TACTTTCAATTACGTAGGCTTTGTAAATCAGTACATAACGATTCGAATACCTCGATCATCCTGATTTATTTATAAAACTTTTATTTTCTATTTTTCTTTTCCGATTCGAACACAACCCGTTTGTACGAAGAAAATGCGATACAATAATGTCATTTTGCTGCGAAATTATCATCGCCTCTGATTGTACTCAAATTTCGAATCACCTTCTATAAGATTTAAACGTCTATTTGAACAGAAATTTTCTTTTCTTCTCAGATAGGATCCACTTCTAGTCTGACAAAACTCAATAAGATTAGGTACAACTCTTTACAACATCTTGAATTGAAATTGTAAAGAAAAGGTTCGAGAATTATACGACATCTGTGAGATCTCATGCATCATAGTTTCTTTTTTTTTATTCGTGGATAGTTGAACTTTAACAAGTTCTGCAATAATTCGTCACCAAATCCAGATTCTATTCCATCAGCTTCTGATAAAAAATCGAAATCTTTCGAAAATGACTGAGAACTGATCTAATACCGGATCCATTCAAATCTCATTCGAACATTTAATTCTGTTTCGGCTACCTTGAACTTGTTACACATCAGATAATAAGTACACACAAACGAACAGATGAACATTTCTTACCGAGCGCAATAATGGGTTTTGATACAGTAGGTCTCTTAATTGATTTTCGTTGTTGACATGATGAACAACTTTTAATGCAAATCTGTAAAAGTTCTCTATTGAACCAACTATAATTTATTGATAACGCATCGAGACACTTATCTCTTCCCGCATGTGCCGTTTCAATATGAACTTTCTTGTAAACTTCATACATGTTTTCATACAGAAGAACTGGTTTTTTCGATTTTATGTCACATAAAAACGTTTCGCCGCTGATATCATACACAATAAACGAATTTCGACACCAAGACGTAAAACGCGAATCAAAATCTTCCGTAATAATCGCGTTTTCACGTAAACAATTCATGATTTTATTTTTCATTGCTTCTTTGATAACGCACTTCTCGCGAAATCTAATATTCAAAGAGGAAATATGCAGATTCGCCTGCTCATAGAACCAGTTTTTCAATTCGTCATCACAATCCATATGAGACAGAATTAACAAGCTTCAATGTATACAATTTACAGCCACTATTCACTTGGCCATTACGATCACCATTTCACGAATGCGAAGATTAAAACACAGAATCAAACCTCTAGCGCCTTTTCATAAATAATCATTAACAAATTTAATCATATGTAAAACTCATTTTCCCGACCAAAAAAGGGGGGGGGGAAGAAACAAGTGAGAATGGTGAGCTTTGGCTTCTTTTTCAATAAAGTCTTTTTTTCACATACAAAAAAAATTCTAAGTTGTTCGTTCGTTATTCATCTCAATTTTGCGCCTTTTATAATGAACGAATTTCGACTAAGTTTAATTTTGCCTGAAACTTAATTCTGCCTATGACATAAACATACACTTGACATTTATATATGAAAGTTAGACGAATATCAGATGATTGTTTCAGCCTACAATATTTTCTTTATTTATTGTACATAAATACGAGATTCTTTTGTTTTATACCAATCACTCGCACTTTGATACAAGACGTCACCATATTATCTACCTTTTGTCTGGATCACGCACATTTTATATACCGGTACAATTATGTTTGAATCTCATACGAAATATATTTACCTTGATCATCGAGCTGAATGCTACGTCTATTTTCGTTATAATCTTGACTTGAAAATGTGCATAGTATCAACGTTCCAATACACTAATTATAATTGACTTCTCAGTTGTAAATAACGATAATGAGTACTGACTTAGATTTTCATCGCGATCGACAAACAAAACTATTTATTCTTACATCTGAGATCATATCCACTTAGTTTTCTTTTAAATTTAAAAACATGATTAAAAGACGATTTGAACAAACGTTAGTAGGCCTGGACTTGTAACAAAAGTTACTTCTTCAAGTTTGCTTTAATATCATCAAAATATTCCCAATAATTATTGGTATAACCTTCTTTAACATGTTTCAATAAAACACATTTTCGTGCATCGCAGTATTTGGATTTTTGAGATAGATTTCGTCGAATATCGTTCACGACTGTTTCATCGAACAGATTCTTCTCCAGTAGTTCACTTAATTCTTCACATGCTCGTTCCAAATCCGCTTGATTTTGTTCGAAAACATCTGACTGATTGTTCTTAACGAGATAATAGGCAAATGGATACGTATATGTTAATGTTCGTCGGCAAGCTAACAAGATTTCAAATGCTTTCTTTATCATTTGAATGTCAACTGTAGATAACTGTTCGACATTTCGAGTTAATTTTCGTTTGATTTTTCTGTACAACTTTGCTTCTAAACTATACGAATGTTCGTGTTCACGAAAACGATCGTGATAGTGAAGATAACGAGATAAAGCAAGAGCATGCTGAGCTTGAATTGGATCGACTTTCGCGGAGTCATCGTAGCGATTACATTCTGTGTGAGTTGCCCATTTACCTAAATACCCAATTAATTAGAAAGAAACACTAGAAAACTATCGTTTTTACCGAAGCATATCCAACAAAATTCATGAGTACAATTTCTGCAAGTCATATGATTACAACCGCCATTCTTCTCAATATTCACTCGGCACTTTGGACAAATTTTAGTATTGACTTTCAACCAGACAATCGTCTGTGTATCGTCGAATAGCTTCTTGTTCCATTGTGATAACAGCACACATTTGATCGGATCGTGCCACGGTTGTGAACATTGAAAACAAAATGATGTTTGACAATGATTACAAGTGATCAATTGTGCATAATTGTACGCCGATGTTAGTGAAGAAGCATTGATAATTCGCTCACAATTCTTCCCGGGACACCAACGAGCGCGGGGATTGTTGTCGATATACGAGTTCAATACAATTTTCGTATAAATATGTTGAACAAATTCGTCATCATGTAAGAATTTCCTAACGGTATCCTCATCGACTAGAATTTCACATTGAGAATCTGGACATACGATAGTTTGGGCGAGACCTTCATTTACAATTTGATTAATTAGATAAGTTTTCCAACAGTCAGTACAAAACGTATGTCTACATTTTAAACTAAACATTTGCTTTTCTTCATCTGAACAACAAATCAAACACATAGTCATCATTGGCTCTGTTGTCGTGTTCATTTGGGAAAATGGATTGATGACTTTAGCCTGCTGAAAGAATTCATTTGGATCTTTCTCGTAAAAGTCTTCCAATAGTCGTTGTTTATTCCATTTAAAATGATGCAATAACAGTTTAACTGTTGATGATGATAATTGAAGAACATCTTTTACTTCATCGACATATCTCATCGTCAGTTGAACATATTCGTCAGTAGTCATAACTGTATAATGAAAATTGGGATTGGTTTCGTCTGTTGGAGTAATTGGTTCATCGATATATGCTTGAATGTTCGTGTCGGTCGTGTGTTCATCAATTTCGTAGAAATTCTCATCAGAATCATCTGCAGGTGTTGCTGGTTCATCGTTGATTTCCGTTGTTGAATCTTCCGCCATATTATAGAAACAATCGTCACTATCTGCTTCGCTTTCGCTCATTTTCGTTTTGTCGAAATTATTTTGTTTTTCAACTCACACGAAACTCGACTTGCACAACAATCTACTCATTCGATATCACAGAACGACAAAGAAAAACATCGGATTTTTTTCTTCTTTCTGTTCTACACTTAAACAACAAAAAACCTTCGCGATCCATGCATAGCAAATGTTTAAGAAAAAACAAGTACGTGACTCACAATATGCTACAGACGATCGAGGTGAATATGAGCCCTGATCTCCTGCAAAAAGATAAGATGACTTTAGAGTCAGTAATGATGATTTGTTTGAAAGTGGAACAGCAAGTTCGAAAAGAATTTGCCATTCATATTATATACTTTTATAATGATACATATGACTAATAAGTCATAATTGCTTCGTAGTGTCATCTTTGAATCGAAATATTCGTATTATAAATTCTTGGTTGCATATTATATACTTTTAATCAGAAATATTTACATGAAATATCTCTTTGTGAGATAAATTAATGTTTTACTACCTCCAAAGAACTCGATTGGTTATCGGTTTTCTTTGTGTAACGGTTTAGTTGAAAACTATAAGTAGGCCTACTTCAACGATAAATTCTTCAAATCAATCAGCGTTTCACATCGACTATTCTTAACTCGTTATGTAATAAAACACGTGTTCTTCTTTTCTCTCCGCAATATATTCAATTTGTGTTTTAGTACTTGTATCACGATGTTTAATGACGAATATTCTCCACCAAAATCTAAATCGAAGAAGAATTCCAGTTCAACAAAAACGAAAAAGGTCCAAAAGAAGTGTAATTGTCGTTCAGGTTGCTCAAAACGATCCTGTTATTGTTTTAAATCAAACGGTGGATGTGATTCAACGTGTGGATGCGGTTCATCTTGTCAAAACCTATTTAATCATCTGAATTATTTCTTTGGTGATAACCAAAACTGTAAGCCAACAGCTTGTTTTTCTGATTGGCTTGTCAAGAAGGTTCAAACGGCTGATCAATTACAAAAGATCAATCGTGAAGAATTGCATAAAAAGATCATGCAATGTGGAAGGTGGTTTCGTATGATTTCAAAAACGAAAGAAAATGAAATCGATCTTTGTTTTTCAGATTTTCCGAATACGATGAAGATGAAGATTACAAGAAATGGTTACAAAAATGGAAGAGAATTGAAGATGAACGTGAAAAACTAGGCCACATTCAAAAATTCTTTCGAATGCTCCTATCGGACGAATCAACAATGCGTTACTATTCATTCTGCAATGAAGATCTGGCAGAAGAAGGCTGTGACTGGCATTGTTCGATTTGTAAAACATGTCGTGATTGGAGAGAATGGCACTGTGATGGATGTAACAAATGTACGTTTTCTGACTACGATTTTCTTTCGAATAGATTTGAAAGAAGGATTTGTTTTAGGTGCATATGGTACAACTTTTCCATGTCCACGGTGTGAAAGAAAGGAGCGTATGTTTAGTTTTTGGTAGACTTTTGAAGAAGAAAGACGTTTTTATTTATCTTATTTATTGTTTTTTTTATAATTGTATAGCTCAAATAGGTCTGTAATTGGAAAAATTGAAATAAATACTTATGTTTATCAGTGAGAATCATGAAGAATATAGTTGGAGCGACGGAGCTTTATGGCTGTTTCTGATTTTTCTAGAGTTGACGGTTAAAAAAGCTTCCAAATGAGTTTTGTACGAAAAGTTCAATGCATACGCAATAAGACATGAAAAAGATAGAGTACAAAGTCTATATCTAGGGAAAGGTCACATTGCCACCATCGCAAAGTATGAAATATATGATAGTCGAACGAACGAACGAGCGAACTCGTCGTGTGTTATCCGACGCATAGTTGTTCGCAACGGACGATCAACATATAGCAAGAAATACATGGTCGGGTGTTTTCACTGAATTATTTTATACTGTTTTGTTATTCAAAATAAATATTCCAAAGATTCGATGTATGTGTAAATTTGAATCTTTTTGAGCTTTTTCTCTTGAACATCAAACATTAAAGAAATGGACAGTAGTGTTCGTCTTTTGTTTTGAAACTTTGGGATTTCTCGTCGTCCTTCGTCGTTTGATGAACAACAATATTCGAAATTCTCTTCAGCCGCCCACGTGTGACAGTTTCCACCTACCACATATTCTTGGTCCAGCTGCAGTCTTCTTACATTTTACTCTAATATTCTAAACTAGTTCGTCTTATTTACTAATTTCAACTCAGTCTTAGTATAATAATCCTTGTTTTCCGCTGTGACAAAATGAAGAGTACTATATCATACACTTGTTATAAGAACGCTATGCATTGTACTTTCGCGTATGATAACAACGTACATTTCATTTATAGACGTTTGAGATTTACTTATTGTATTGTAATCATTCAGTAGAATTTTATAGATTAATAATGAATTTCCATCCAGAATAGGAGACTCTTCCTGATTAAAAGATCTCTCTAGCTAAAAAATCTGATCATCCTTTCATATCCTTAAAGTTACAGTGTTTTTGATTCACATGATGATCGACTACAACAGCGAACGCCTAGGATGATTTATTTATTTTTTTTGTATTACAACAAACACGAAACGAGTAGTATCTTTCACATAAGACTGCAGACAGCGGACGTCGGATTTATTTGAGCGCCAGCGCCGGATTTGTATGGGATATAAGCTTTGATCTCTTCCAAAAAGGTAAGATAATCTTTCAGAGTCAACAACGACGGTGCATTTGAGGACTGAGCAACATCTTCTTTAAGTGATACAAACATCGCCTGCTGATTTGATTGACACATATCATAGAGTCTGTGCAGTAGACGACCGTTCATCCCTTGGAATGCTCCCAAAAGACTCGGGATCTTCTTGACAACAAGAAAAGATTTCACATGTTCTTCAGTCCACATATCAATACAATGTGGATACTCTCTAAACAAAATCCGATGATGTTTATCTAACCGATACAAATACAGAACGAGGAAGACTTACAAAACAACGTGTATTTCGACTGGCTGTGGGGCGACACTAGTCGATAAAAGATGATCATTCTCAGGTAGTTTTTGATTGATTACTGGTGTTTGTGCGGCATTTGTTCGATTACGTTGAATTTGATCTTTTAACTGTTTAAATGCATCATCAAAGGTCATCTTCTTGAAATCGACATACAATCGATCGGAAGTTATTAATCCAAGCCATCCATCCGCTTTATACTTAGGTGTCATCACTAAAGGAATAATGTGACAACCACGCTTAGCAGCATAGTTAGCTTCTTGTTTGCAAACAGGACTTTGCTTGTAAGCATCAGACATGCAGATAAGCACAATGTCAGAATTTTCAATCGCTTCAGCAATAGTCTCAGTGAGATTCCCATGCACCTTTTGAAAATCAATCCAAACGTTGAACTTTTCTTGTTCCAAACGCTCTAAGATTTGCTGGCACAACTTATTATCACTATGCGAATAACTAATCATAATATCGTATTGTTTCTTGTTCGATTTTGGTGATTGATGATCCATTTCCTTGTGCTCATCTTTCGTCTCGGGCCTTGTTTCTAATTGCCAAATTAATGCAGTAGCAATCCGTTGTAAATTTTCATCGGATGATGTTTTCAATTCAAGAACATGTTCCATAAAAGTTGTGTTGTTCTTTAGCGATGTTGCAAACTCATCATTGAACGAAAGTGCAAGAAGAATTTGAAGTGAAGGTAACTTTGCTTTGACTGGATCAAATTGTTTTTCAAGTGCACAACGAAGAAAATAACGTTGACCATTTTGTTTAATTAGCTCATCGCGAATAACATCATGCTGTGTCAGAACTAAACATTATGACAAATTCAACTGAATAGTTTTAAAAGTATCAACTTACCATTAAGACTACGCAGATTGTTGTGAAGACGTTCTTTCATTCGATCGCCACCATCGATAGTACTCTGAATAAATTCTATAAATACCGAAGCGATTCTTTCTGCGTTCTGTAGTTGTTTGATATCTGCTTCTGACATTAATACGGCCAAGATTCGGTACGCATGTAAGAGAATTTCTTTGTGATTGTCTGATAATTGCATGATAGTGTTTATAAGATCAATTAATCCAAGACTTTTAAGATAAATAACCAGATCATTATCCAATGTGAAATAGAAAAGAACTTGGAGAAGTTCTCGAACACAAAGCAATGTTGTTTTATTGAGTTTCATTGGATTCGCTGCTTTAATTGTAATGAGACAATGCTTAATAGTCTTAGCTATTTGTTCAAACTCTTCACGTATATTCTTCGTAGTGATCACGTCACCGTGATCTAATCGAAACAATATATTAAGTAAATGTAATGTCAGTGTATCAAAAACGTCCTCATTTTCTATTGTGAACGATTGACCGGTGCCATATTGATGAATCCAATTATTAAACCATTTCAGCTGAGCTTGTCGAATTCGTTCAATTATTCTTTGTCTTTGATCGCCTGCATACCAGGCAATTTTATTTGGATGTCTCGTAAGTATCACAATATGTTCAAATGGAACTCTAGCAAATTGTGCTTTGGTGGCAGCTTCAAATGCTTCTTGATACACAGGGGAAGCAAGTTCTTGAGCAGCAGTGTCTAATTCTTGCGTATATTCTTTATAAAACGCCATAGTAAATGAAANAATAAAAACAGATTCTCGAGATTGATTGTTTAGTTAACTAGTAATCGGCATGTAACAATCATATCGATAAATAGTTCTCGTTGTGCTTCGCTCAAGTAAATTGACATACCTATCGAAGTCAAGTATCATCTTAAGTAGAGTCATTGAAGAAGAAAGAAAAAATAACATATTGAATCTTTTTATCTGCTCACTGAACGCAAGACACTTCATTTCGGTCGTTCCTTTTCTCTCCATTCTTTCTTTGATCGACTGTTGAAAGTAATCTGAGAAGCCAACTATACAAGGATGTCCTTCATCGAGGATCATCATAGCGATTAATTTTTATTTGAGTTGAATACTATCTTATCACATTGTTCGCAATCTAAATGCAAAAGTCACTTTGTGACATCTGTCATAAGAAATTTCACAAATCTGACATGTTTCACAGCGCATTTATGAGTCTATTAAGACAAATGCTTTATTGATTATATTTGCTTGTATTTTAATCAACTTTGTAATTCTAGCGGATATTGATAATGTAACAATGTATGTCTTTGACCTGAATACCATTCGTCGTACGGAAAGTATCTATGCTGTTTCGTTACACTTTTATAAACGACGAACACGTTGGCCAATAGCTTATTCCCTCAATGAAATCTATTCTTCACATCGACTTTCATCGCTGTCTGCTCAAATACAATTAGAATCTGACTCTTACGGTTGGCAATCGTTTCCGATTGGTGATATCATTCAACGTCAATTATCGTACTTAACAACAGCACAAAAATCGGAATATTTCGGTATTACGCTGAAGCCAACTGTGACCACACCGACACAACGACGAAATATAGTTGAATTAGAAAAATTTAGTGTTTACACTCCATTCTTAATCATCCACTCAAACGATTCGAAACCTCCGAATATCTTCGAAGAATTCATACCGAAAAATCTGGAACAAGATGTGAAGAGTTATGAACAATTCGAGAAAGAAGTGAACCAGCGAATAAGGTTACTATTTCATTCAACAAGATTACTAACTCCAATCTATTATTCCTTTTCAGATCACGACGTTCTCGTGAAAATAAGCAATCGTTGACCGATTCAAATATCTTCTTATCGAATTGGAATGAAACCATACCAATAATCGAATCCGATACGTGTTCATTAAAGCCTTTCGTCATTGATTTTTCTGATTTGGGTTTTGCTTCATGGATGATTGAACCGAAAAATTTCATGGCTAATCTTTGCTCAGGTTCCTGTCAAACAAAAGTAAATTGATTTGATCTGTTTAACCATCGTCATTGATCTTTGTGTCTCGTTTAGTTAATGACGAATCATGCACTTCTTCAACACTTTCTTCAACGATTAGGTATTCGAAATGATCTTGATCTACCCAAAGCGAGCTGTGTGCCCGATCGCTATTCATCATTAAGTGTGTTTTATAAAAGTTCAGACTATAATTATCTTATTCGTCGTTTACCTAATATGATTGTCGATGCGTGTCTTTGTAGATGAATGTGTACGTGTGTCGTGTGTGTGTGTTTTCTCTTTGTTGTCGCTTTCTTTTGTATATTTGTTTGCTAATAGGTTGGTATTGATAAATGACGAATACATATATATATGTGTGTGTGTATTGGAAAATGATGGATGTCTTTTCCGAGAACGAATCTTGCTGCTTTTAACGTTGATTGCTATTCTTGAAATCGAATTGAAGCAATGCATATATTAAATATCGGATTAGTTTTTCGAGTGGATATGAAAATGAGACGAAGTTTGTATTTGATAGTTTATTAAATAATAAAAAAAATGAATATTTGATTTAGTCTGGACTCTTTTTGCTTTCTAATTTCTTTTTCACGATATCAACAGGATATTTCAATGCTAATCGGCGTACTTCATAACTGAATTCTTCGAAAGTTTCCCGCCATAATTGAGCTTCTTCTGGTGTATATTTATAAAAACCATGAGCGTTGGAAATTCCTTTACCACCATCATTGACAAGATCGTCAATCAATTTAGGTACTTCAGTTCCGTTATGAAGTGTTGGAAATAGATCTTTCATAACTGCATGGTAAGCCGGTACACCAGTAAGATCCATCCATCGAAAACATCCAACTAATGTCATCCAATAACCGGCGTTATTTCGGCATGCACGGTCGACATCATCAACTGTAGCATAACCATTTTCAACCAGATGAAAAGCTTCACGATATAGAGCATACATAAGACGATTGGTTATAAAACCACGGATATCTTTCCGTACAAGTGTTGGCTCTTTTGCCCAATAATGGGATAATTTATACAACCATTCCGCCTTTTCTTGGTTGGACTTGTCACCGCAAATGATCTCTAAAAATCGTGTAGTATGAGATGGTTCAGCCCAGTGTAATCCGAGAAATCGATCAGGAACTCGGGTTTCTTTTTGAAGGAGACTTATCGGAATAGCTGATGTATTGCTAGTTATAATGGTTTGATCGCTAACCACATTTTCAATACGTTCATAGACTTGTTTTTTAATTGTCATATCTTCTAGAGTGCATTCAATGACCACGAGCACATCTTTGAGAAGGCTGTAATCTTCAGTGATAGTCAACTTTTTCCAGTAAAATTCAGGTTGTTCGGAGCAAATCTCGTGCTCGAATGAGTGTGTCAGATGATCACGAATACGGGTCTCAGCTGTTTCGAGATCGACGTGTAATGGTGCGATGGCTACAACTGAATGACCAGCGATTAGAAGACAGGTAGTAATACTGCTACCCATCAATCCTAAACCAACGACTCCAATTCGAATCTGCGAAGGCTCAACATCCGATGTTTTCTCCATTTCAACAGCGTTAGCTTTTCATCACAACATCAAGATGAATTCTATATCAAGTTATCAAAGTTGATAAGAAGTTTAATTTTTAGATAAAGTAGAAAAGAAACAAAAAAATACGTTTTTATCGTTATGTCGAGGGCTCAGATATGAGTGGTAGTTCTATGCCATCACGATAGAATCCACCATTGTGTAGTTCATTCGCAGGCGTATAGATAGCATGTAAAATCGAATCAGCACCTAGTTCAGGAGAGCGAGCATTGGATGCATGGCTAGTCATATCGGTTGCACAAAATCCGGGAGAAACCGAAAGGACCAGTCGATTTTTCGCAGAATTCCATTCTCGTGCTTCAATTTGAGTTAGTGCATTCAATGCTGCTTTCGATATACCATAAATAGCGGGATACGTTTTACTGTAGTAACCAACATCTTCGAGAGTACTTGTTTCAATCGCTGAAATGAAATTTTCCACTAGTTGATCCAGTTCTTCGACCGTTAATGACGGCGATGTGTATTTCTTTTGAAGTTCAATGGATGATTCATACAAAGCCATGGGACCAATTTGACTGGATACATTAATAATCCGTCCATCCTCTCGAATTATAGGAAGCAGTTGTTCATTCAAAGTTTTAACACCATAATAATTAACAGCAAACCCTTGTCGAGCAGCATCAACTGTCATATCTGTGGTAAGAACGCCAGCATTGTTGATCAACACATCCAAATGACCATCGTACTTTTCTTTGATAGTGTTCACTGCCTGATGGATACTTTGCGCGGACGAAACATCTAATTGTAGAAGATGAACATTCGACGGACTGCCTAATTGTTCGATCGCATTTTGACCACGGTCTAAATCACGACTACCAAGTAAAATAGTTGTATTAGCTGACGCAGATCGATCTAAAAGTCGTTTGATGACATAAAATCCGATGCCTTTATTTGCACCTGTGACGAGAATCACACGTTGTTGTTCTTTTGTTGACGACATAATGACAAAAAAGATAAAAAAGCCTTGGTAATTTAATACGTAACGTTTATCATCAAAGGAAAATGAAAAGTCGAAGTGTAGTGCTTCGCACCTTAATCGTATTCTCGTTGTTTGGACAAACAAGAACGAAATGATGTAACATACTCAGATTCAAAGAAAAAAGTGACATGATTTTAATTTAATAAACCGTAGAAACCTAATAAACAAAATCGGAAGTTGAATACCAGCAACGAAAGAAAATGGCCAAGTAATTTCTGATGCATATCGATAGAATAAGTCCAGAACACGAGTGTCCATATCAAAAATACATTTGAAACCAATGAAATTAACAAATGTAAATGACAATCCGTGTAAAAACATGATATGATAAGATTCGTTAGCAATGATATTCAAAACGTCATTGTCATCAAGAACATACTGTAGAGCGTAGCATATAAATAAATGTAAGTAAATATTGATGCAGCCGATTACAACAGGAACCCAGGAAGGTTGTCGATGACAATCAACTTTGGCAAGATTGTATCGTATATCCGGATAGGAATGGATAATCCAAATGAGAAGAGTGTAGGTAAGGAAACAATAACATGATGTAAACAATTCGAAGATTGTTTATACAATCGAACAGATTATTTCCAATGGTGAATAGCAAAAGAACACTAATGATATAAAGTACATCTATGAAGAGACGTTCTTTCCTATTGCAATACATAAATTGCGCAATGATGACCGTAAAGAATAATTGCGGATAAAACCATGTGGAACCACTGAGTGAGTACAATCGTAGTTAGAAAAGAGGTTCTAGAAAAAAGTTATATCGTGTTGGATAAGATCCCATAATTGTCGTTTTTGTACTCAGAGTAAAAAGTGTACGCGAAACTGCAAAACAGCTATTGTAAACAAAATACCACAGTATGTATTGTTCGGCTTTGTCCTGAACAAAACGGAGGTTATTCGCGATTCCATAGACTGGTTTGAAATAGTAACCAACAAGAAAGAGAAAATATGCGACTAGAAATGATTGAATTGAAATCCAGATGAACGGTGGTTCATAATAACTAGTTAGGACGAAGTAACTAATACCAATAGCCTTGAACAGCGTCATTTTCTGACATGCCATGATGGAGTTTCACTTTGATGATTATTTTCACCGTTTTTTTCCATAAGGTATTCTTTAATCAAAATCGACTGCTTCTTTTGTCTTTTGCAATGATAGGACAGATTCTTGTAAGTTTTCTTTGCTGCTTGTTTAAAAAGTATGTCAGATCGATGATAACTCTGCTCACAATTGTGCTACATCTCTGACTCAAATTCAGCATCAACAGTATGGAATTAAGTAAGCGACATCTACTACATTCAATTCTTCTCTTTGATTTCATTGTTTATCTAGTACAAAATCAAAGGAATACCTTGTTTTCATCCTATTCAACTTCGTATGAATATCGTTATGAATTGAATACGGCGATAAAATGGAAAAACGAATCACGTCTTATTCTTCTTCTAGCCGGTCGTCATCGTCGGTGTATCGATTGGTGTGGTTTCTCCGTAACTGAGAGACTTCTTTCAGAAATGCGTTTGAACGAGTTTTCTATCCTGGCCATATGTACAAATAGATACGATTATGAGATCTCCATGCCTATACAAAACAATTCAGATGCATATTCAATTTATATGACTTTTCGAAAATGGATGAAAGCTATTTACTTGAAACTGTTTCAGTCTTATCCTCGTCTCTACCTTTTCGGTGTGCGTCGAGGCTCTCGCATGTGCTCATTACTAAGTCGCGTTCTTCCCGTCCAAGCGCAAATTTTGTACGTCTATTCGGGTTATAAACCAAGTTTACTTATTCATTCTGACTATGACAGAGATATGCGCGATCAACTTGTACCCAATCCGACATTTGCAAATTGGTTCTATTTTGAATTTTGTTCGCAGAATACTTCATTAACAAGAATGTACTGCATATTCCAAGATCCCACAAAGAACTTCTTTAATCCAGTTCCACCTACGTACTTTATTCATGCACAAAATGATCGATTATTAAACATAGAAAGCTATTCTGAAATGATCTCGAAGATTCAAAACGATGCTTTTCAACTTGGAGGTACATTACTTACTGACAATTGCACTATCAAATTTTCCGTAGCGATTCCGGCGCGTCTCACTCCAGAATACATGTGCGAGAATTTTAATAAAATGGTTTTGTAAGTCATGGTCATGTCGTTTTTTTTTCTACGAACATCTCACACAATCGAAATACGAAATAATGAATAGAAAATTGAAAACATGTCGGTGTGCAAAACGAAAGTTTCTCTACTATATACAATTTCCAAACAAAACACATTATTATTAGTCGACGGAATTTTAAGACTAAATGACTATGCAAATTCGATTCGTTCAAGTATCTTTCATCTATGTTTGGAAGGCATTAGTCCGCGGTCGCCTCGTTTGTACGAATCGATTGCTTTGAGTGCAATTCCATTGATAGTAGCGGAAAATATTGTACTTCCCTTCGAACGTTTCATTGATTGGCGGTTGTTTAGTGCAAAAGTTAACGTTCAGAATCTGCGACATATCATTGCTTTGATTATGAATATCCCTCATTTTGAGGATTATGTTCAGCGAAAATTGAGCAATGCAACGAATTATTTCCATGCTTTTCGATGACCATATTCTTCAATCGACTTAAAACACGCTTAGTATATTTATCTATCCGATGAAGATCTGTACGGAACAAGGAAAAATGTGTTTCATTGTTTATCACGCGAATTACGCTGTCGCCGATTAGAACAATTCTATGGCTGGACTTTTGATAGTTTATCCAGAATATCTCATGATGCGAGAAAATACGTAGGTACTAAATATGCAAATATATGTCCATGTTAACATGAACGACAAAGTTTAAGTCTTGGCGAATATTTCATATAGTCCAGATTTTTTCACTACACATTGGAATTTTCCAGTCTGGTTTTTATTTTCGGTAATTTGAAAGAGCACATTATCGTTGGTGATCTAGATTCTTTCTTCGAAGAGTCAACTAAAACCAAAGGGAGAACGGCGGATTTTCATTGTACTTTCAGTGATCCGGGAATCCGTTGTTTCTTTTGATTAGTTTTTCCTCAATACGTCTCATTTATACTTCTGATTATCAGGTGGACACACGTACTGACTGAATCTCTCAATGCGACTTATATATAAGTTAATAATAGAATGAATCTTCAATTCTCAGTCAAATATAGGCCATTATCTCACTCGTCGAATGTTATTAAGAAAATAGGTTTCTTATGAGTATCATTATCTATAAAATAGTTCACAAAACCGCTGTAATATAATGACGAATTTCTTCATATATCGTACACCAACATTCATTGAATGGTAATACTCACATTCGATGTAATTTAGATTTGCATGTTGTGCTGAGGGTGTTTTGATAAAAGTTAGCCTTGTTATAAGATTAAATTGGCAAATCAGAATGAAGTCAAATCTTTATTGAAAAAAAATATCAATCAGTAAGTACAGATTTGACCAATCAATATAAAAAATAAATAGCCCTATGTTCTGCAAATCGTGTACTGGACGGAACTTATAAATGTTCCGATCGTTTCGTTCAAAATCTAAAAACCTTCGTTGATCGTCTGCACCGTGTTAATGTGGTCAATTCAATATCATGTTTGCGTCTAACATCAATAATAGCGTGGTTTTAACCTGTTCTCGTAAAGAGAATGATCCTCATTGAGCAGGTAACTCTGAGAAAAGCAATGATGCTTTAAAGGAATACTTTCTCGCTGCCGATCCAGAACAAGACCGCAATCCTTCTGTCGATTGTCTTCTGCAATCTGAAATTCCAATATTCGAACCATGTCAGCTTGGTTAAGATCTTGATGACCTTAAATAAGTACAGATACGCTAATAAGAATCGAGGTGTATATTGTTACAATCAACTAACACCATTCAAGACAAAACATGTCTTTCTTTCTGGCGGAATCTAAAAAATAAAGTTTCATGATCGTATCTTCACGCCTTAGTTTCATCTGATCGTCTGAGTATGATGGAACGTGCCACTGAGAAGGGAATATGACTATCTACTTCTGCAACAGATGCTATACATTGGGGCACAGCATTCTTCCGATGAACTCAGATAGTAGCGATTTGAATATCAGCTTTCCAATTGACAAAATTGTATTTCTCATCGATGAAAATATTTCTGTACTCGCCCTTCCAGACTATTCAATGACGAGCTTTCCGTTCTCTTCTGTAAAAATGCATAAATATGATTAAATATTATCGTTGAAAGAGTCATATCTAACGCAGCGAAGTGTTTTGAAAAAAAGCTATTTGTGAATGAAATACTCTCTATCACCATCCTCAAACGAAGCAATTGATCAACTCGACCATTGCGATTCCCATTGACAACGTGAATATTCAATGCAAGTGTGTATTTTACCTCTCTAGGTGATTCATTACTCTTCTAGAAGTGCTGCAACCATTTTCGAATTTGTAAAACAATAGACGACTACTTCAAGTCGATTATTTTCATCTGTATCAATCGATAGTCACTTAAACGAGTAGGATGACATATTGGTTTTAATGGCAGCCAGACTCACTAGTACATATGTGAAAGAATTCATATGAGTATACATCGACGTTATGTACTGGGTAGTTTGCCGTGGACACGGCTTCGTAGAGACTGATTCTGAATAGATGGATTTATGTTATTCAAGCACTTCGTCTGCATTGGCAATGGCCGATATGTATCAGTTGTTTGTAGTCAGCAAACTACCCTGAACAATGATGGAAATTGATTCAAATTATCCAATGATGCCATTTTCCTCGACTCCATGGTACTAATTATCATTTGAACGAGCGTAAAGCGTTGTGCTTTCAATACGCATAGTGCTTCAACATGAAAAGGCTACAGATTGCCGCCGAATAGGAAGTTTGAGATTGTTCCTCGAAGAAAGGGCTCAAAATGGATAGGCTGAGACACAATCTAGGCGACTTGACAACACAATGTAGACGAGTACCAATGCATCAATTTCTCATCAAACTATATGTTGCCAGATTCAGCTGAGAAAATTTTTGAAATGACGGAACTTCTTCAAAGATTATTGACGATATTGTTTCATATTTGCACATCGTACAGTTCAGACAAAAATCTAACAGCTATCATTAGGCTTTTTACAATCTCTTCGAATGATGAAATGGAATATACAGTATACTCGTCAATCATTTACTCGTATTTATAATTATGCATAGTATGTAAATCAAGATTATCACGAAAAACTTTATTTGCAATGTGATTCTAAACTTTTCATTGTTTCTTCGAATTCAAAATATGGTCTGTTTATTATTTTTTCATCATATATAATGTTCTTATGAACGACTTTGCACATATTAATTGAGAGAAATATATCGTTTTCTCAGCACACTTCAATATAATTCAGCAGTGTTGGTATAACAGCATCCACCAGTAACTAATACTGTTTTATTGAATAATATCGATGCTGTATGATACACTCGTGTAACACTCATATTTCCAGTCGTTGTCCAGCTACCAGTTGATGGATCATACAATTCAGCACTATTCAAATATATACCATTCGATCCACCAGTGACTAAGACTTTTCCATTTGATAATATCGATGCTGTATGATACCTTCGTGCAACACTCATCGTTCCAGTCGTTGTCCAATTACCAGTTGATGCATCATACAATTCAGCACTATTCAGATAAACACTACCATTGTATCCACCAGTGACTAAGACTTTTCCATTTGATAATATCGATGCTGTATGATACCTTCGTGCAACACTCATCGTTCCAGTCGTTGTCCAATTACCAGTTGATGGATCATACAATTCAGCACTATTCAGATATCCACCAGTGACTAAGACTTTTCCATTTGATAATATCGATGCTGTATGATACCCTCGTGCAACACTCATCGTTCCAGTCGTTGTCCAATTACCAGTTGATGCATCATACAATTCAGCACTATTCAGATATCCACCAGTGACTAAGACTTTTCCATTTGATAATATCGATGCTGTATGATAACATCGTGCAACACTCATCGTTCCAGTCGTTGTCCAACTACCAGTTGATGGATCATACAATTCAGCACTATTCAAATATATACCATTCGATCCACCAGTGACTAAGACTTTTCCATTTGATAATGTCGATGCTGTATGATAATATCGTGTAACACTCATCGTTCCAGTCGTTGTCCAGCCTAAAGACAGATTGCAAATGAGAAGCAAGAAATCTTTCATGAAAAAGAGGAATTTGAAGTCCATCAGATTCAGAGACTGGTCGCCAGTTAAACAAAAACTAGTCTATTTAAAGAATTTATGATAGCCTCGCCTGTTCTCAAATGCCTATAATTTCACTTCAAATACTAGGCAAAATGTGTATCTTATAGTTTTTATGATTTGTAGACTTTATAAGGATCATTTACACAAGCATTGCATATATCAAAATACCGCACATATTGTTCTTTTTCTGTACAGATCGATTATTATCATGTTAGCAATGTTAGGCGTTTCTCTTTCACATGGAGTTGTTCTTGTAAAAAACTAGTGAGTCAAAAAAGCACCCTACAACTACGACGATTCTGCGTAGTTGACTTACCTGGAGGAGAACATTGATTATTCGATCCGTGATTTGTTCGATAACAAATAACACTCGCTCGAACGTCTCTAGATGATGTTATATTACCCGATTGACAATCTTCGCTATACAATAAACAACTTCGATTGTCATGATAATAAACAGCTGTTTGGCATTGATCTTTGTGAGCACATTCCCAAATACAAGATTGAATCGATGCATCGGCTGCTAAAGTGATATTTGAAAGACGAGCACAAGAAGAATTGGTTTGATACGATGAAGATCGATGAACTTGACTTATGATAATGGCATTGATCGGTGAGATAAATACAGAAATGATCAGAGCCAAGTACATTGTCTTCCACTGTTCTATTGTTTGAAATAACGAGAGAAATGGAATGAAAAAGAAGAAAATAAACTACATATATATTGACGTTGATTTCGTTCATTGACGTCAATGGAAAATAAATAAGAACCCGTTAGAATAAATTTCTAGAGATCAAACTATTTGTTGGAAAAGAATGAGACGTCGTCTTACGGGAGACTTTCTCTCATACAAACAATAACTATTCTGTAAATTCTCTTGAGTTATAGATAGAGAACAAAAATGAATCTAAAATCTCTTTCCAAATGTGAGTGTCTTTTGTATAGGCATTGTAAGCTCAAATACAAACAAGAAACAGAAAAGAATTCAACTGAGCCGCAGTTAACTGGTAGTTCTATCAGTACAAAGTGAAGAAAAGCGTATTTCGGAATGATATTCATGTTGTTGTTCATCTCATTTGATTTAAAAGAATGATAGATGGCAACGATAGTTGACGACTTGAAGTAATAAATCATTCCCAAATAAACTCTGTTCATGACGATTTTCATTTAGTATAATTCATTATAACTATGCATTTTGTAGCGAATCAAGTTTAGTTTCAGTTTCTTAAAAAGAATACAAGTCGGTAAACTGTTAACTTCAATGAACATATCTTAGTTGTCTCACACTAACACTGTTCAAGGTATTTCCTAGGAAGTAAGCATGTTCCTCAAAGGTTTCATTTCTTCAAAGTCACAGAATAGTTAAACAACTAGCACAAATCAATGATAATATTTGTCAAACATTCGGAAACTATCCGAGCAAATGTAAATTTGTCTAAAAATTATGACATTAGAGTGTTTAACATAGAAATATCATACTCTATTTTGTTTTGACTGTTCAAATAAGTGGTAAATAAATTATAGTTTTGAGCAAACACACGGAAAGGTTTGTTGACCATGTTCTCATTCTATTAAAAGAAACAAATCAATATTTTGTAATCGAATGACAATAAAGTTTGCCATTTGTTCAACAAAGTGCTAATGTAAACATGAACTATGATTAGAAAAATCTTCTATTTTCTACGCAGAACATGATTCGAAGCGAGTCTAAATAGTAACTCCAATATTAATTTCGATGAGGGTGTGGATGAAGCTGAATGAAATGATCGAGACCAATGTTGTCAAAACCAACGACTGAAAAATGAACTCTAATCGAAATATATTCATATGTTGATCGATCTGTCTGTGTCCGAATGAAACAAACGAGATTTCTTAATAGGCAAACAACATTGGAAAGTCTTGATAAGATACACATTCTTCTCTAATAACAAATAACAAATTTTTTATCTTTTACGACAACGGAATATGTGAGAAGTTCTTTTTGTCATAGTGCGTGCAGAATATCCGAAAAATTCTCGTCGTAAGTTGGCTTTAGTAATTGGAAATGGTGATTATGTCATAGGAAGATCGTTATTCTATAAAACAAATGACAGATGTTTTAAAAGCTCTTGGATTTATTATTCATGCACATGAACCAAAATGAAATTTAACTTTCGAAGAATTTTTTGCGTGCTAATGACAAGTTGTGTTTTATTATTCTGGATACGAAATTCAATAGGAGGTAAACTAATCTAATAAAAGCATTTTTTTCTTTTTAATTCATTCAAGTGGATAATTTCAGATAAGAAAAGAATGAAATTGAATAGACTTGATTTGAAAAGAGATGCGAGCAATGCTCATACTTTTCTCGATGACCGTGATACATTTGCAATTATATTCTTCTTAGTTTGTTGTCGAACATATCATTTAAGACATGAAGAGTTATTTGTCTACCTATTTTCATGGATTAAAACCAATGTTTGTCAAAGTTGGTTCATTAATTGCATTTACTCGTGCACCTGGAACAAAAATGAAACGAATGCAACAAAAGAAGTTCCGTATGTCACATTTGCGTTGACGAAAAGGATTTTCTTATTCAATGAAAATCAAATCAAAGTGAAATATATAAGGATACAGTAAGGCTTAATAAGTTCAGTCATTACTGGTATTACCAAATAGGAAAGTCAGTTACATTCAAATCACTTGAACCGCAACTGACTCTCTACTAGTCATATCACTGAGAAATCTAGGTGGTAAGAGAATTCTTTTGACATCGTTCAATCTTGTTAATTGAAAGACGACATTTGATTAATAATTTTGTTATTTGAGTCTTGAAAAGAAAAGCGAGAAGAACCTCCGACGAGTTGTCTGTGTATTTCGGAATCTCCACTTACGTTTCTTTTATATCAATTTGCAAATCATTTTCGACTTTTTCTCTTGTGTGAAAATTAAATTCAACAATATGGAATAACCGTAACAGGAGGATTTGGAAAATAACACAAATTAAATCAGATCTAGCAGCCAATCAGAATATCTATTGACAAAAGCCGAAATCTTTTCATTCCTCATTATCACAATCATCGAATAATCCAATGGAAAACAAATAACGAGTCATTCTCAAAGTTACTCACGATGATTCTAATGTTAACAAGATTAATTATTGCGATCTATTATTGGCATAGCCATGTTCGATCAGTCAGTAATCTTCTCACATGTAACTCGTACATTTGTTTGTTTTTCTTTTCGCGATAACTTATTCATTTTAAGCTCCTTCATTTATTCGAGAAATTTTTTTCAATGGATCGCAGCTGAGTCCATCATTTTGTCGAATTAGTGCTTATTTAACTGCATTCAGTACGAACGAGAATAGTCGTACATTTAGGTCTCATTCAATCAATTTATCATTTATTTTCTTCGGATTCTTTGAAAACACCAAAATCTTCTAACATTTCAAATCAATTCGATCATGATTCTTGTCAGTTAGTTAGTAAATCTGCTCATCGTTCGTTATGTGTTCATTCCTTCATTCTCTTATGAATTTTTGTACTTTAAAGTATGCAATCTGTCTTTGGATAAATCGGATTGGCTAAGTTCCTGCTTTGTTGTATCCTGTCGAAGTTTTATCATTTTCATTTACTCCATCAATTCATTCATCATTCCTTTTTTTGGTATAAATCAACAAGTAAGAACGATTTTATTTTGAAAAATAAACCAAGTTCTGACATAATCAATGCACGATAGAAAAAGAATTCAACCATAGCCAACGATCAGTTAAAAATGATGTTTCGGTCTTCGTTTACCAAGGAGTTTTTCATAAGCATTTGTCCGATCGTGATGATACTCGCAAGTGACTCTCGACAAGCAATGCAATTGAAAATCATAAACAGTCGTCATTATATTTTATTTTGATGACTATATAGTTTCTTCGCTTGTGCGTCTCACCTGTACTTCTGCTTACTAGGTAGTCATATACGAACCGATCAAAAGTAAAACCCATAGAAAACTTGATTCTGAAAAAAATTGATCCAAAAAATAATATTTCACACTGCAATTTCATTAGTTTTGCCCAATAATTCAAATTCTTCATCGCGTCAACCCTATACCGTTGAGCTACTTCTATAAGATTCTAAAAGTATTTCTATTCGAGGGATAATTAAGACTAAAGAATACGAAATCAATAATCACCCTCAAGATTTTTATTTCTGTTCTGAGCTATCTTTAACAAGCAAAAAGTTTCATCAATATATTTCTACATACTGTTACCAGATGCGTTCGTGCCCGTGGTGTTGCAAAATTTCTTCGAATAGATTTGATTGAATGCGCATGATCGAAATCGAATCACAGCCATTTCTTGTCGAAGACTAAAAAGAATTCTAAGATAACATACACCTTTAATTGAATGAAAGATTTCTTTTGCTTTAGCATGTTCTTCGGGATAGTTTTGAGTAAAAGCTTGATGAAAAGTTCAACATGCTCTCTCATAAGTATTTCCTGACACTTTTCTAAACCTTGACTTTGCATGCTGAGATTGCTCGACCCTATGAATGAATACAAAAACAAGGAAATTAGTCTTCCAGCAACTGTAAAACTGTCAACAGACGAAATAAGAAATAGCAAAGCATGAAATAGTGATTCACTTATCAGCATAATCTTTGAAAGATTCTGAACCATTTGTTCGTCATATTCAGTTGGTTTTTGGTGAAAACATTTCATTGCTGTATGCCAATTGCAGAAAGAAGAATTGAATATGATGTATGACAAATTTTCCATTGAAAAATGCCATTTGATTGAGAATGAGTCTAGAAATAAGTACAATTTAAAAAAAAATCTGAATCATAAACTTCCACGCGTTGTTTGGTATCGTAGGCGTTATAAGATGAGAATTAAGTCATCTGCTTCTTTCCACTATTGCTACTTTTCTTATCACACAATTATTTACTTTATAAATAGTCCGTACGAAATACAGTACCGCTGTCAAACATGACTTGCATCCATCCTTTCGTTGTGTTCTCTCTTGTTCTATGTTATCTAACGAGTATTTGCTTAAGTGAAACACCAAATTTCGTTTCCTCTGGCGGTATTACTGTTCGTACTATTTCCAAACTTAATAGTGAACTTTATGAAATAACAATATCAACAACTGCTGTACGAGGTGATCAAAAAGTTCGTATACTTCTCCCACGTGATTATACCAGCAGTGCAAAAACTCGTCGTTATCCTGTTTTGTACTTATTTCACGGAAGTCTTGGCAATGCTGCTGACTGGACAACAGGTGGTAAAGCACAAACCATTCTCGGTCACTCTCCTGTGATTACAGTTATGCCTGATGGAGGATCATTTGGATGGTATACAAACTGGTTGAATCCTGGTCATGTTACTCCACAAAATTGGCGAACGTTCCATATGGAACAGTTAGTATCATGGATCGATCGAAATCTCCGAACGGTGAATGAGAAGAAAGGTCGAGCTGTCATCGGTCTTTCAATGGGTGGTTTTGGTGCAATACGTTATGCAGAATTATATTCCGATCGATTCGCTTTTGCAGCTAGTTTTTCTGGTGCACTTGATTTACAAGATTTTCGAATTCAAACTGGAATCTTAGGTTCAGTAACAATCGATGGCAAACCATTGGATGGACCATTCGGTGCTGCACTTCTACCTTGGACACAAGAAGGATGGATTGCTCAAAATCCTATTACACATGCGGCCTCATTAAAAGGTGTTAAATTAGCACTCTATACCGGAAATCAAGGAATTTTGGAAGGAACTGTGCGCGATACCACCTATCGTCTACTCGATAAACTTAAATCGTTGAATATACCAGTTTATTTTAATGATTATACGAATGGTGCATCGATTGGTAATGGTTGCAAAGGTGGACATGATTTTGCATGTTGGAACGGCGCATTAATCGATGTATTACCTCGTATGATGTCTGCTTTAATACAGAAATATTAATTTAACACATTTTCCTATATTATGTGAATAAATACTTTTAGAACGAAAAGAAAACCTAACACAATCATATATGTCTATTCGATTCTACCTGAATAAACACATTTTCGATCAATTAGTTGACACGTATTTGTATACCTTTGCTAAACAATTGATAAATGTATGAATATAAGAAAACAAAGCGTATGATTAATAATCGTGCTTATAGAATTAAATAAAAAGGCAGTAATACGAAGATTCTTTAATATCATATCGAAGGTAAACTGTATTTCGAAAGAAAGTTGATTATCCCAATTTATTTTCGTCTCGAAATCATGTCAGATTGGATCAACCATATCACGGAGCGAGTTGATCTCGTTTGAACAACATTTTATTGTTATGTTGATCCATAATTATTGTTTCAATACAAAAAGGATGATTTCTTTGTGACAGGTTTTTCGGTAGGATGAATAAATCATGCGAAAAAAAAATCTTATTAGAAAGACGTCATTCTCGCATACAACTTAATAAGATTGACACAAACAAACTATTGATCATTTTCTAGATTGTTTTGTACAGAGAAAATGGGCGAAGATCAAAAGTCAATATGTGAGTACGATGAAATAAATCTTTGCACTTCGACTAAACATAAGATTAATTGCATGTTTTCTCACTTCCTTTGAACGATGATTGAGTACTGATACAACTGGAAACGAAAGCAAAGATGGAGTATAAGATGTTGAAATGAAGATGATGTTCATTTCAGGAATTGAACTACAAGTTCGATAGTGAGAATAAAGCATTGACTAGTTTTTTGTTTTGTTTCCATCGGAAGAAAAAGATTATTTCTAAACGTAAATTATTAAATTAATGACGTCAATCACAATTTATAGGTGACAATGTATTTAAATAAATCATTACTTATTAGTTTTGTTTTCTTTAGCATTTATATCGTACAGTGACAGTGATGTTAAAGAACTTCGTAGTTGGGCAGCTGTCCCACGTGATAACAACACCAATTATGTTGCACTGAATATGATTGATGAACATGAACTTGATCAACCAGCTGAACATCGAGCATGGTCGTCAGGTTTGAATACCGCGGAGAATTATTTAGGTGAAGGTCCAACGAAACAACAACGAATACTTTTTTCTCGGAAAGTTCAATTGGAACAAACTACACTAGCAACTGACGAGCGTAGTGTGGAACATATACTTTCCTATATTGATCGACATCGTCCACGTCGACGACGAAAATACCGTTTGTCATGGCGAACATTCCTAAATACAATGTCTGGAATGGATAAGATCTATGCCGAAGACGATTTTCTTGCTGATCATCTGTATTACCGATTGTTATTCATCTTTTTCGATTCAGTCTTTCGCGGAATTAGTCAGGTTATGTTCGCCAACAATCCTCTTTCAGGAATTATCATTACCGTCGGATTGTTTATCGGAAATTGGGAGCTAGCTTTGTATGGTCTTCTTGGTACAACAGTATCAACATTTACCGCTCATGTTCTAGGATTCAATTACAGTGCTATACGATCCGGTTTGTATGGTTATAATGGATGTTTAACGGCAATGGGAATCGCTTATTTCAATTTTCCACATTCACCACAATTAATACCGGCAGTTGTCATTATGAGTATATTTTCATCGATATTTGCGATGGCAGTAGGAAAAGTTCTTATACAAAAACTAGGAATTGCACCGTTTACATTCGGTTTTCAAATTTCTACCTGGATATGGTTACTTGGTTCATTGCGATATCGATATTTTTTCATTGACGGAACGATATTATCTCCTTCGTTATTATCAACAAACAAAATCAAGCCCGATTTATCCAATGTTACATTTCCTGGTTATTCAGTGGAAGATAATTTTGTCGGTTTCTTCGCCGGCATTGCTCAAGTCTATTTTATCGAAAATCCATATACCGGTGCAATAATCCTTGTTGGTGTTTGTCTTTGTTCTCGTATACTTGCATTTTTTGCATTGTTTGGTAGTGTAACCGGTCAACTAATTGCCGCGTATCTCTTAGGCATGTCACCTCAGTCGATTCATGCTGGTTTATGGGGTTACAATACCGTTTTAACATGTCAAGCGTTAGGTGGAATGTTTTTCGTGCTGTATGGTTATCGAATTTGGTTGTTTACATTGTATGGCTCATTGGTAACGATACTCCTTCAAGCTGCTGTTTCAGCTTTTTTAAGTCCAGTCGGTATGCCGACGTTAACATTTCCATTTACGGCAATCTGTTGGATATTTTGTTTGATAGCTGGTTCGAAAGATTTAATAGCAGTAAAAGTTACATCTGTGAGCGTACCCGAAGATCATTATCGCCGTTATCGCATTTCTCAATTGATAAAAGATCAGTTTTATTTCCTGAACCACCTCACGAACCTTTCTTTATCAGCCGATGATGAATTAACATGGGAGGAATTATCGAAAATTCAAAGCGAATTTCTCCCGATCTTAATGTGTTCCTACGTTTATCTAAATGATTATCGTTCATTGAAAATGTTAGTTAAACAAGAGAATAACATACGATTTACCGATCAAAACTATCGTAGTCCGTTACATATTAGCGTCTCTCAAGGAAACTTCAAAATCACCAAATGGCTCATCGAAGATGTTAAAATCGATGTCAATCTAGTTGATCGACATGGAAATACTCCTCTATTCGACGCCATATGGCACGGACATTTTAATTTACTGGCATATCTTTTTAATCGGGGTGCACGATTACCCGGTGATAAATCTCGAGAATTAGCGTTCTATTTAAACGCGTTCGTATATGAAGGCAATCTTGGTGCAATGAAATGCTTAATTCAATGTGGCTTAAATCCGAACATTGGCGATTACGATGGCAAAAATTCGTTACATATCGCTGTGCTTACAAATCAAATCGATATTGTTATTTATTTAGTGGAAAAAACTCGTGTTTGGCTTGACATTGCCGATCATTCGCATCGAACAGCGATGGATTATTCGTTCACATTAGAAGATCCATCGATACGAAACTATTTGTCAGATAAAATTGCTAACAAACACAATCCGTTGAGTATCAATCCTGAAAAACAAATTTTCCTGGCAAACTCCGAAGAAAAACTTTCGGATAAACAAGAAGATAAAAGTTCAACGAAAAGTCTTGATGAAATTTTACTACCATCATTATTCTGGATTATCTCTGCACAAAATGATCACGCCAAAGTTTCACATTTCCTTCAACAATTTCCACATTTGAACGTGTTCAAATGTATGAATTATGATTTACGTTCGATTGCACATGTAGCTGCCGTCGATGGTCGACTGGAAACGATTGAATTTCTAGCAAAACTTACTGAAAAATCTCGCTTTGAAGAAATCGTTTTAAGAGAAGATCGATGGGGCATAACACCATTAGACGAAGCATATCGAAATCGACACTTTCACGTTTGTAATTTTATTCTCAATAACATTGATCGCCCACTTCAACAACCAGTGAAACATTACGAGAATAAAATTGTCGATTTAGTTCATAAATGGCACAAAATTCATTTTCTTTTAACTTTAGTCACCTCCGGTCAATCGGAGAGAATCGATGGATTATTTTTTCGTGGTTATTTCAATTTACAAGAAGCTTATACCGACTATCTCGGACGAACTCCGATGCATTACGCTGCGGCTAACGGCCATCTAAATGTCGTGCGAGTGTTAAGAAAATACGGTTATGATGGTCTCACACAGCGAGATCGATGGGGAAATTATCCCATCGATGAAGCCCGACGGAATAGTTATCAATATATTGTGGATGAATTCGAAAAAACTTCGAATTAACCCTTTGTTGCACTTACAAATATCCATTGTTTTCTTGTAATAGTAATAAAAAAAACACAGTTTATGAATTGATAATTTTCATTAGGTACCCAGAAAGGAAGATGATACAGATGTTTACTTCCTTGTTTTTACATTTACAGAAAGAATGTAGTAGGCGGTTAGACGTATCACATATCGTCTTCCTACGTACAATATTTTGATGAAAAGAAAATGATGTTTTGCACTGTGATAAATAACGTAACTAACGGCTATAACTGAAATGGCGGTGTGGGCGAACGGTATATCGACGATTGATTGCTAGTTTTTACTCGCATGTCAAAAGTTAACCAGCAAGAAAACGACACAAACTATTGATCCATGAAAAACGACAAATATTAAAACGTTCGTTTCGTCTAATTCGAAATATATAAACAAATCAAACCGTTGGCGTGCGATATTTTAATTAATGAAAAACATCGTTGTATATATACTCAAGCATTGTTTTTCTTATCAGAAGAAGAAACGAGTGAAACTAGTGTTTATACTATAGATATATCATCAATGAAGTTCTTTCTCATATGTACTCTGATCGGAATCATTTCAATCGACGCAAACACATTTACGACAGGTAAATCTGGTTTATTTAATATGAAACCAAGTCTACATTTGTATTCTTTACTATAGTTTCACATCGAACAAAGAATGTTTTCGCACTTTTGATTATTGATGTTCAATACTGCTTTATTAATGGTTCATTAGCATTATCAAATAGTCCTGCTCAACACAATGGTGCTGATGTTATTCCATCGATCAATCATTTAATTCAAACAGCACCATTCGATGTCATTACTTATTCATTAGATTGGCATCCAGTTAATCATATATCGTTTATTGATAATCTTCACGATCGGAGAGAATATTTAACCGATGAAAAGCATCAAACTTCGAAAGTGTTTGACAAAGTTACTTATACTGGTCCAAAACATGAAACCGAACAAGTTCTATGGCCAACGCATTGCGTAGAAAATACGAAAGAAGCTCAATTACATGACGATCTTATTCATTTACCAGAAAGTCCAAACGTAATTTACATTCGCAAAGGAACTGACCCGGATATCGACAGTTACTCGGCATTTGCTGATAATAATCGAAATCACATGACTCCATTACATAAAAAATTACAATCTCAAAACGTCACACATGTGTTTGTCACTGGTTTAGCTTTGGACTATTGTGTAGGATCAACAGCCATCGATGCAGCTCTATTTAATTACAAAACGTATGTCATCGAAGATGCATGTCGAGGTGTTGATCAACGATCCATCAATGCACGATACACTCAATTCCTAGATTATGGAATTCAAGTCGTTCATTCGAATGAAGTCATGGATATCATGGACGATATAAACAATACATGTTTCTGAAATGTTGACAGATTTTATGTCTACCATTCATTGAAAATGAACACAATAGTGATAGTCTATTTCTAATCATAAAATATTATTCGAACAAGAAAAGAATGAGTGATAATCTCACACCTACGACTTTGTTGGCTTATACAGATTAAATAAGTCTTGCACTTTGGCCTTTTGATATCGGTAACTCTTCAGAGAAAGATAATCATAGAAATTTTCTTCAAACAATTAGAAAATGAATTTTTTTCTCGGTGTGAACAAAAAAAGAATGATAATTTGTTAATTAGCTTGTTTCAAACGATAATCTTGAAAGCAAGTGTTCATTTCCTTATATAAAACCTGTCAGCTACTTCAATCATTATAAACTAGAGCATATTTTGACTGACAAAGCTACTTTACTTTATATTTATTTTATTGCATTTCTAAATCATCGTCTGTTGTTATCCTGACATTTACAATGTACTATTATATTAAAATAGTTTGTTACTGCGTTGGTGAGTCAGAATGTGTATCATTTTGACTTACTTGATTCCTATTGTGCACAAATACTCGTAAGTGTTTTCACTAGAATACGTTGTCAAGTGACTTTCTTTCGACACACCTGGAAGCCTACTAAAGTTAGAGCTTCTTGCGATATAATACATGATTCTTTCAGAAGTTGAAGAAATGAATAGAATAGGAAAATAGTATAATTAGATATGCATTCATTCTGTTCTTTACATTATTTTTCAGAATAGAAGACTGCTCATGACTACAGATACAGATATTGTTTTGACTCTTGACACTATAGCAATATGGATCAATCGAATTAGTCCAATATTTTCGATTGTATTTGGTACATTTGGCAATTTTTGTAATATCATCATATTTACGCGTCCAATCTTACGCACAAATCCATGCTCGATGTATTTCTTGGCTGGCTCTTTCACTAATCTCGTTGTTATCTATATCGCTTTACTTACGCGTTACTTAGCATCAGCGTGGGGTTATGATCCGTCAGCTACAAGCATGGTTTGGTGTAAAACACGTTACATTCTCGTCTATCCTCCCCTTAGTCTGGTTCTATGGTTTATTGTTCTTGCTAGTATTGATCGGTATCTTTCAAGTTCACGAAATGTCCATTTTCGTCAATGCAGTACTGTACCAGTAGCGTGGAAGATCATTACTATAGCCACAGTACTGACATTTTTGGGTAATATCCATGTTTTAGTATTCGCTCAAACAGTGGTGAGCAATGGCACACCATCTTGTACAATACTTCCTAATGAATATTTGGTTTTCTTCAATATCTTNATGTCCATTTTCGTCAATGCAGTACTGTACCAGTAGCGTGGAAGATCATTACTATAACCACAGTACTGACATTTTTGGGTAATATCCATGTTTTAGTATTCGCTCAAACAGTGGTGAGCAATGGCACACCATCTTGTACAATACTTCCTAATGAATATTTGGTTTTCTTCAATATCTTTGTTCCTATTGCCACATGCATTTTACCTGTCATATTAATGGGTTTGTTTGGTATTCTTACAATTATTAATATTCGCACGACTCGAACTCGTGTTATTCCACAAGAAAACAATGAGCGTTTACGTGCCAATGATCGACAGTTGATTATCATGCTGCTATTTCAAGTTTTGATCACGACAACTCTTGTCGCACCTTGGGCTCTCATCAACATGTTCAGCGCTATCGGCGTGGCTATATTAAAGTACAAATTTTCACCACTCGGCCAAGGTATTTTCAATTTTATATTCAATGTTTCTCGAATGTTATACTACCTGACCCCAGCAGTTGGCTTTTATATTTATACTCTATCCGCTCCAAAGTTTCGCCACGAAATCAAGAAAAGTTTTCGTCATGGTTTGAAGCTTATCTTAACAGGCACGGGTATCATGCGATATCTTCCTGCTGATGTTCAGCAAATGTTCGCGACAGAGAATCAAAGAAATAATATCAATTATTCATTGACCAGAACAAGGAAAGGATTAACTGGACATGCACATCAACGTTAAATATGGATGAACATTCTAAAAATGAAAAACTTTTGTTGTTGTCTCAATCCGTTCTATCGTCAAAATGTTTTATTCATATATTCCCATTGTATTTAATGCACCGCTTCATTCGTATCAATATTTCTTTTATTTAATAAATAAATCGATGTGTTATCTTTATATTTAAGTTGTGTTCTTTAATTGGATACATGATACTCGACTCACTACCTACAGACTAAGTGCTTTTATTACATAATGATGCAAAAATTAGTTCGCTTTTTAACTGGTAAAGATTGAATCAGTTTATTTAAGCCACTCAAAAACCGAGCATATTCATCGAGATAAAACACATCTTTTCCAATTCGATTTCGTAAACTGTCGTATTCATCATGCGTATACAATGATGATCCGATCAGCAGCTGTGCATAATTAAGCAGCTGACAACCATCAGTGAAGTTCAGAGTATTGAATAAAACATCGGATAATAGATTAAGTTGAAACCAACACTTGATTTCATCCGATGTCCATTGTTCAACTGGAGTAGGAGGCAAAATGGGTGATAATATTGGCGCATTCATTGAATTGAGATGATGGGATGATAATGATTTAAGTATTGTCTGTTTTTCGGTGTTCGCAGTAGTCTCAATTTGTCGTTCGCGAGAAGAATCGTTCTCTTGGTTACTTTGTTTGACTTTATCTTGTGCGTAGATAAGTTTCAGCAAATTATTCATGACTTCTTCATCACTTTTCTTGTCTCCAAACCGTACTCGTACAGCTGAACCAACACGTATCTCAAACCAATCATCTGGCTTATAATCTTTGCCTTGATAGATCGGTATCATACGTTTGTTACGTTTATCCGCATGGATCACTTCACGGCGACAACTTTTCGAACTACAATAGTTTTCTGTTACAATCATTAATACGACGTCACATTGAGTAATGGCAATAGCGATTTCCTCCCAATCGTCTTCATACGGCAAAGATAAACGTTTGAAATCAACCCAAATATCACCATCAAATTGTTCTGTAAGCTGGTTGAAAAGTTTTTCACAGAATGTTATATCTTTATGTGCATAGGAAATCATAATTTTCACCTGACTTTCATTGATTGACTCTTCGATCGGTTGAATATCCATTTGAATAAGATCGAGATTATAGAGAATTCCTTTGGCGGCACGTTTCATCATGATAGCATGTTCATCATTGGATTCCAGCTTTGAAATTTGTTCCACATGCGCGATAAATTCCTCCATCGATTTCAATTTCGAATGATATTCACTTTGAAAGCTAATCGACCAGAAAATCGTGTATAATGACGAACAAATAATCGTATTTAGATCCGTTGATTGATAATTAACATTAAACAGCAGAAATTTATCCATTAAAAGATCAAAAATCTTCTCGCGAGAGATTATATATAGAAGAAACTTGTCATTGACAACAAACTTCGTTAAACCATTTAAATACTCACAGATGTTATAAGAACCGAAGCACAAATCCGGTGACTTGAATGCTTGAACTGTTCGTTCGAGAATATAGTCAAGAACAGTTTGGATATTTGATATCTCTTCTTTCTTCAGTTCTTTTGGTTCTAATAAAATTGCATAGACAAGATGATATGCGATTAGAATGTCTTTATCGTTTTCATCATTTCCAATCGATAGTAATCTCGACATATACTGATCTTTCCATTGTTTGATAATATCTATCGCTTTCAGTTTATTCAATGTTTTCACACCCATACGATGACGAGCTAAATTATGTAATAAATTAAGAATTAAAAACCAGTGATTGAGAGAGATGTGTTCTCCTTGATCGTTACTCAGCGCCATCCATTGTAAGACTGCGTTTGGATATTCCATTTTGACGAAATATGGCACGAATCCGTAGATATTAGTCAGATTTAACAGCCATTTCAGTATCGATGTATGACATTCCGATTGTTGGTGATTGTGAAAAATATAATTATTCAGATAGGTAACGATTGCTTGGAGAAGAGATTCAGTCGAGACATTGAGTTCGAAAAAGTTGGAAATGTTTGTATGTGATACGCAAATTGAGTAAGATGTATTCGTTTTGATATGTACAGCACGTGAACCGATGGACGCGAAGAAATTTAAGAATAGCTCGTTGATATGATTTGCAGTTTTGCCTTCGAGATAGTTGGTGTTTGAATTCGTTGTTAAATAAATGGTAGAGAAGTGGAAATAGTGATCAGTCAATAGTGGATTGACATTCATACTCATGTTAACTTGAAAGCGAATAGTATCGAGCAATGCTTTGACAAGAGAGTATGGGATTGTGGCAGAGTACTGTTGAAGTAAGTGGATAAAATACTCGATTTTCAGACGATTCAGATCCGAGACGAGCTTGTGTTGCTTATCGAGTGTGGTCAGATGAAATGTATCATCAAGTTCTTGTAATTGATCACGAAGAATAAACAATGGATGAGGTTCAGTCTCTTTGGATATATTCTCTTGAAACAAAAATGTCCCCAATCGTTGGATAGAACGGTGAATGTCATCCGTATTGGCATCCATATCGAGAAATATTCTGTCAGTCAGATTTGTTTTCAATTCCTTTTATACGACGAGAACCGTCTACCGGTAAGAAACACTTTTTCAAAAACATGAATCAGAATAGTATCGAGTGACACTTGAATATTCAAAATTTTCTTTAATATACTTATATTGAATAAAAAAGAATGAATAATAAGTCTTTTGTAAATAAAAAGAATTCGAAATCATCATGATTAAATATTTTTCGAAGCGTTTTACTACAAATGTTCGATTAAGGGACATGTGTAAATACTGTAGCATCTCTATTGATCGAAAGCACGTTACTTTTGATAAACCAAAACAATGAAATTCTTAACGTTATTTATTTCTCGTACCAACACAGTTTCTCTTTACTAATACTATCCATACTAGAAAGAAAAAAAAAGATTCTAAAGCATATTTTGTCCTTGTCGAATCCATTTTTCATTCAATCGAACATATTTGATTGTTTGTCTTTCATATGTGTATACCAAGTGAATATCATTATCATCACTTTCAGTCCAATCGCTTTGTAAAATCGACGGATAGGAATATTCACCAACAATGGTACTATTGTCGTCATTATGAACTTGAACATCTCGTTTGTACGGCCATGTCACTCCATTGTCGTAGGAAAGCGCTACAGTGAGTGGTGATCGTGGATGTTTCGTACCGTTGATGTTGTTAAACGACATGATGATTGCACCGCTTTTTAATACGTAAGCTTCTATGCCGGCGTTATTATTTGGCAAGACTGTTTGTAAAGGTTTAGACCATGTTAAACCGTCATCGAAACTGTCAGCATAGTAGATAGCAACATTGTTTTCGTCTCGATAGAAGGCGCGTAGATTTGGAGAATTATTTATTCGAACAATTGTTGGTTGAATGAGTTCATCACTTGCTGTCATGTCAATTCGAGTCCATCCGGACGATGGCGACGACGATCGAAGTATAAATGAATAGTCCGTGTCTGGTGAAGAGTTATAACATGGGAAAATGAGACCATTATTGTTGAATGTTGGTATGATACGGTTTCGATCAAAGGCGCCAGCTACTGTATAGAACGATTCAGGTTGGGACCAGGTTGCACCTCGATCTGCACTTTGAACATGCCAAAGTTCAGAATTCGTTTCACCTGCATTTCCCAATTGCGAAGAATGATAGAGATGGAGTATTTGTGTTTGACTGTCCCAGTAAAGGACTGGATTTTGATTGGAATAATTGACTCGTTCGCTAACAATGACACCGGGAGTGAATTGCTGAGATCCTCGTTGTAGAAGCGAGACTGCAATGGAACAATTGGGTGTTCCTTCACCACCGGTAAACCATGCGATAGCTAGAGTGTCCGAGGGTGTGAGTTTCTCAATAGACGAAGCATGGTTGCCTTTGAGTGGCGGAGCAAGGTACGCATAAGAAGTACCATCGGATGCTCGATGAATGATACCATCGAATATAGCTGCTGTCGCTGATTGTATGACACCGAGAAGTACTAATTCTAATAAGACCATTTCTTTTTTGGTTTTATTTAAAATAAATTTCATAAATATATGAAAAGAGAGGTTTATAGAACAGCTGTAGTGGTTTCACACAAAAAACACGCGAGGTATTCTATTCATCATCCCTTGCTTAAATAACAGCAGGCGTGTAATGTACTACTTCGAAACTATATACAATGAAGACACTCATCCTTTGATTTGTTTCATTACTGATTTTTCGATGAGAATCAACCACGGATACGTCGAGTAACGACATCTCATTGTTTCGCTCTGTTCTACTACCATATACAAGTTACATACTTATCATTTGGGCAGAGGACAATATGAAAAAAAATGGAAAGGAGGTCAAATATGATTCATTCATCATACTCTTCTCCTCCTGCAACAGGCAAATTGCACTATGACCGATAAACAAGCTCCAATTGATGTGGAACAGATCAAATCTGATCATCTACCAACTGGAACAGTAGTCGAAACATTACCTGGCCGTTTTGAATTACGTACCGATAATCCATGGGAAGAAATTTGTGGTCATACACGTGCTGTTAGGCGTGGCCCCTTTGTTATCATCGCTGGTACAACAGCTAGTGATGTAACAAAAGGAGTTCTTCACGTAGGTTCAATCATGCAATCGTTTCTCTAAGATATCGGTTGTTTTACATTAGCCTACAAGTACTTACAATCAAGCTGTAGTTATCTTTGAACGCATCAAACATGCATTAACAACGATCGGTGCTCAATTAACAGATGTTGTTCGTGTGCGAATGTTCATGTGTGTATAGATAGTTATAGTAATTGTTTAGACTTGACTCGTATTCGATTTACTTTAGTATCGATATTGCCGATCAAGATGAAGTTTGTCGAGCATTTAAGGAAACATTTCATTCGTATGGTATTCGAGTACCTGCTACACTTGTGCAAGTTAGTGGTTTCGTTCATTCAGATATGCGTGTTGAAATCGAAGCTGATGCCATTGTTATGCAACAATGAAAAGTGTCATTGATTGAATAAAATCTTATTTTCTTTTGGAGAGAGAAAAGAAAGACGTTTACAAACATTTCGAAATATAAATCAATCCTTTTTACAAAGCTGAGAAAAAAAAACTAGTATTTTTATGAATAGAATGTAATCGAAAAGAAATCTTCCATCTTATTCTGTTGCTGATTGGCTTTGCAGACAACTTCGTTTAACATAAAACAGAAGATATGCTTTACGAGTGACAATTTCAAAATCATAATCGTCAGGTTTGATTCGATTCACATACGCATCATCGAATTTATACCAGTTTGTCTTATTTCCGAATGAATGTTGAGCACATGCGGTGTAATGACCGCCAGCAACTCCTCCTGAGTGATTACAAACTGCAACTAAATCATAAATTGCATCTGCTGATGGTGTTGGTAAAAACCGATTAAGATCAAGTCCAGTTATTGGGTAATTGATATGCGTGTGAATTTTCTGATGTAAACCATTTTCGTGTAAAAATCGTTTAAATTGAATAACTAATACTGACGGAAGCGTATGGAATTTGAGTTGTTTTATCACTTGTGCTTTTTGTCTACATTTTTCATATGAACACGATCGTTCTTCCTCTAAAATTTCGGGAGAAAGAAAATCTTCGAGACAATTTTCCAGTGTGGGCGCTCTTTTTGGTATGTTCAAAGGCGGTGGAAATTTATTTTTCGTACGCTGCTCTTGCTCCATAAATATGAGTTCATCGGTAAGGATTTCTCTGAGTGGCGTCCGAAGGTCCACCTCACCCTCGGGTAACATAGCAAGTATATGGAAGAACAACGGTGGATCGTTGAATTTCTCTGCAAAAAACGCAACAATATGTCCAACTTCAGCATTTACAGAAACATCAATATATGTTTCCATGTCTTCTCCTTGCATCGGAATAAACTTAATCCAAAATGTACGTTCTTGACGATTGAGAGGAATTGATAAAAAACTAATCGGTTGTGTGATTGATGTGGCTTTTTGACACTTCATACATGTGATGATTGATGTTATTTGACCAAAGAACAATTGCTTAATAATTGTATCTCGTTCGTTTTTATTCGATTTTTTGATTTCCTGATGAATAATCTCGAGAAAGCAGCTCATAAACTCTTGAGCATCTTGTTGATCTTGTCTACCATAACGTGGATGTGTGTCTGCCATGCATCCTTTAATACGAGTAGGTTTAAATGAATAACCACCATGATCCACCTCATCACATCGCCATAAATTCCAAAGTAGATCAGCGTAGGCGCCAATTACATATCCTACCTCATCAAACGGATTCAAGTCATCAGTATTCTTATTAGCAAGATGAGCACGGTCAATATTGTTCAGAAAGAAGTCTGTTAAAGGTGAAATATGAGCAAGACATTGAAATGCACTACTCATATAACATGAATTACCGAGATTGTCTAGGCCTATAGGTAATTTCTTCAGACTCTTCGGCTTTTCTTCTATTTCAGGTGGTGATGATGAGCGATCGCTTACGATTGTTGAACGAACAGGTGTTCTGTCTTTTGTCGAAACGTAGATAACATCACCTGGTTGAAACCCCATGTCGACAAAACATCGAGATCGGTTTTCGTCACGATTGATCGAAATCTTGTCCGAACTTATCTTGGATATCACCAACCGACGGTGAACTATAAGAGTGTCAATATATTTCAATAATCGACCGACAGTGTCTTTGATGGGTAGTTGAGTAGTCACCGGATTTTCTGTTGGCAATTGACAAATAACTGTAATCTTATCGTTTTTTACATTAGCGTCGGACGATGGACTGGATAGTTGTTCTTCGTTTGTAGTAGTCGCTGACGATTGTTGATTTTTCAGGCGAAAAGTAGCGTAGATCGTATGACCGGATTTAATACCGATCGATTGCAAAGTTCTGTCACTATCCACCAATGAAATCTCCTCGTTCGCTTCGTTTCGTATTGTAAAATTAAGTGGTGTTCGATTTTTACAACGTTGTTGGACCTTCTGTTTTAAGTTATCAAGCGTTTTTCTCTTCGATACGTTTAAAACAAATTCTTCTTCTTCATTACTGCATTCAACACGGACGTCTGCATCGTCTCGAAGTTCAGTTGACGATAGCGGTGGAATAATTTCAACGTGAATATTCATTCGAGTATGTAGACCTAATTCGCTCATTCGTAAATTTATGCCGTCAATTAAATTTAATTCCTGGAAAATTGTGAACAAATGAATTCGATTGCGATCAATCGATTGCAGCGAAAACTGTTCGATAATATGTTCTAAGAGGTCTCTTATCTTTGTCGTTGCTCTGTACCATTCATAAGTAACTGTTTTCATCTGATCCGGTCCAACAATAGTTAACTCACATTGTTTTGGTGGAACTGCATTAGATGTTGGTTCAAAATCAAGTACGCAACCGCTCGTTACACCTATTTGTTCTAGACTTGCATTTTTGTCACTGTCGCCTACCGTAGTATAATCGGTCTTAGAGTGAAATCCAACAAGACGAATATCTTCCAGAGGCATGTCATTAAGAAATAAAAATTCTCTCGCATCTTTTATAATTTGAGCGACGGTCAAGAATGGTGGGGACTGAACATGTGCATGTAATGCTATATCATATTTTTTATCCGTATAGCTTAATATCAGGCTCATAACCTGATGATCTCTATTGCGTATTGGACAATCAGGATTATCGCAAACATGATCACGATCTGCATCAGACGACGACATGCGAAAACTTCTCCCAATGATGAATTAGGTATTTGTTTCAAACGAATGGAACCATCTAGAATTCAGAAATTTTCAGTGGCACATAAAACAAAAGTAAGAGAAACCATTTAATGAAAGGAAAACTTCTTTTACAAACTTTCGAAACAACACGAGGACGTCTATTCTGCTCCTCCACAAACAAACGCAATTCGTCGACTACGTTTTCTTTCTCTTTCCTTCCTCTCGCTTTGCCAGGTAGAATCATTCTCATCAACAAAAACATACTGCAATATTCTCTCGTATTCCGAAGAAAGTAAAAAAGCAACTTTTTTTTCTTCTTCTTCTTCTTCGTCTTCCGACTTCTATAAATGTGAACTTGGTTTTTTCCAAATAATTATTTTATTACAGATAGCTCGACAGCTTATTTCGATCCTAGTGTATATCAACTTGTCCCACACGGTCCTCAATGGTTGATAATGACAATCTTTGAAAATCGTGTTTTTATTTTATGTGCAAGATGTCTTCTAGCGTCATCTATCGAGAGAATTAGAACTAATGCAATTATCGTGACAATATAAACAAACATATCTCTCGATTTCTTATGTGATCATGCACTAAAAGGAGATGCTCTCTATCTTTTCAAATCGAAAATGCTCTTCTCGTCATGAAACATGTGAGTTTAGTGCACCGTATCGAACACTCGGAAAAATTATTGAGTCAATAAATTAACCACGGTAGTGTCTAAATGAAATAAATTATTAAGAATATTTCACTTGTATACCAAACACTCATTTTGAGAGGTACTGTATATGTATACAGAACGGTTCAATCAGGATTAAAACGTGCCTACAAAGTAAAGTTTTTTCTCTATTAATTTGTCGATACAACGCGTGAACAATACTTTCGACGACCATTTACGCTTGAATGACTGAATGTGATCATTACTTCTCTTCGTTCTATCTGAGTCGTAATACGTATCGGTATGTTTCACATTGATTTTTATGTTTAGATTCGATCTCATGATTATCGTAGCGGTTATTTTAAGCTTAATTTTCTATTGTGGTTCTGTCAGAGGAGATGTGACCGATGAGATAGGTGTTGATGTTCTCGGAGTATTAAAAGAAAAAAAGATCGTATGTGATCTGCACGATCTCGTTACATCTGTTGATAAGCCCGAAAAGGAATATAATATGTTCATACATGATCTAACGAAACATTGTTCCGAATCTGTCACAACGGATTTCACTCCAATTCTATGTCGAATGATTTCGATTGCACTGGAAATTGCCTGTACATTACCGAACACAACGCGTCCAGCGCCAGTCAAATACACACCTGTCTACACACCCTCACAAATCTGTTCGATGCATAAAATAGTCTATACAAATAAATGGATCTGGGAACAATTAACCAAGAAGCAAAAAGCGCAGATTGGTTCATCATGGGTGCAATTATGTCCAAAATTGACATCGGGAAATTCGACACTTCGGTTAACACGATTCTTCTATAAAATTGCACCTCGTATCAGACATATTCAAGAATCCAATGCAGCAACACCAATTATACGAATACAAAATTCTTCGATATCAATTTCAACAATTGAGGAAACGACATATTCATTATACGTTAGTCAAACAGTGCGAAATTCATCGATTGCACGAGAAGTACCTAAAACTATTCCAGTAAGACAAGGTCGACGACGTTCGATATTCGGTTCCGACGTCAAACGATCTCGATCGAGTAAATTTATCAGAAATTTTCTCTCCGAATTGAAACAATTCTTTCTTTTCCAGATACAACAAGAAAGAATTTTGGATTAAGTAAACCGATGTCTCGAAAAGATTTTTCTTTATAAATCTAAACGATTTCTCTTAGGAAAACATTTTCTCGATCGTTATGAAGAAAACCTACTCGATTTCGCTGATATTCAACAGAAAACGATGATGAAGAAGAGAAAAGCATTTCAGCAACAAGGTAAGACTAATCACAATATTTCACGCCATATATATTTCTTATTTCCTTTGAAATCATCATCGATTTCTCTTTGATTATACCTGCAGTAAACCTAATTCGAAAAGAAAATGCAGGTAGATATAAATTCTCTTTTACTTGTTCATCAAAATAATCTTGTTTGTAGAAAGCAAACTACAATCGAGTAAAACTACTTCACTTAAATAGATTTACGCAAACAAGCCTTTTCCATAGATTTGGATCCGCCAGATGCTAACAGACGCCGTGAACACCAATGGATTGACGGTATTAATAGATATCTAGATAAAATTCCTTCACGAATAAACTTTTTCTTCGTAGGGAAACGTCCGATGGAAGTGAAAGCCGAGGCTTGGTCGAAATACGATGAGATCAGGTCTGTTAGACACGCAAATCGAAAAAAGATTTCACTCCGTAAGATTGAACGAAACTTTTTTTTCGAAAAGTTATTTCTTTTCATATTCAAGGACACCGATCGCATCGTTTACACGATGATGACGGCGGTGATTATGACGATTTGACAAATAATCTTGTAACATATTTCCTTATCTTTATCGTATTGGTTATTACAATGTATTTCATCTTACAAAATAAGAATAAAGTAAATTATTTGAATTTTAGTATGATAATCAGCACTGTTTTTTCATACGAATTATAGATATTTGCTTTGATTATCGAAGGATGTGGACGAAATGCATATGGACGTCGTCTTGGATCGACTACGCATTTATCACATCGATCATAAACAATTCATTGACTATATTTTACTCAATAAATCAATTTTTTTTCTTCAGTGAAAAAACATAATGTGATACGCGTTTACAATTTGCTTCAACATCCGAACTTAGCTCAGCTGGCAGAGCGGTAGGCTGTAATGGTGTATTCATAGTAACCTATAGGTCCCCAGTTCAAGTCTGGGAGTTCGGATTTACCCTTTTTTCTTCCTTTTTTTTTTCTTTTCTCTACGCACAGATACATTGATAAAGCACGACAACATTGTTTGCAATGCTATTTTCGTCGTAGACAAAGAACAGAAAGAGAAAAAAAACTCCAGAAGCAATGATAGGTATATAGCTTTAGTAGAGTAAATAGATGTGATTGTTGAAAACCGACGGTGGTGGCGATCTCGATTGTATGTATCACCCGTTGAGTAAGAATATTTTTCGTCTAGTTGATAAAATACTCACGAGTCGTTAAACTTATCTAAAGCAAATATTTTCATGCATTCTAGGCTAAAAAAGCACATTGTGCGTAGACATTTCGAAGTTTCGTTGTAAAAGAATTGAATGGATATCGAGAATAGATCAAACATCTCTAATTATAATGTTATTTGGTTGGATAAATCGATTCATTCGAAACAGAATGCGAACCTACAAGATAGACTTCGATCGATAGTAACTCATTTACAAGTGTTTGAAGATGTCGCTCAATGCGAACAGTACATACAATCGACTTTTCCCACAAATCAATTCATTTTCATTGTCAGCGGAAAATTAGGACAAGAGATCATACCACGAATTCATGAATATTCAACCATATATATGATTTATGTCTACTGTGTCAATAAAGATTTCTATCAAGTCTGGTCACTGGAATATCCTAAAGTAAGCAGAGAAAGACATTCAGTAGAGAAAAGACTGCTTTTGCATTACTAGATCAAAGGTATATACAATCATTTCGAAGGATTGCTCGAGCTTATAAGCAGTTATCAAAGAAGACGGGTAGAATCGGATACGAATGAATCATTTTCGATGAGTATTTTAAATGGAACGATGGATAACGAACAATCGACCAGTCATATGGATGGTCGTTTCGTTCATTCACAGTTACTAACCGATTGCTTACTTCGCATGCAGACAATAGTCTCAGACACTGATAAAGAGGATTTAATCAATTTATGTTTAGAAAAGTATCCCGATGCATCACTCGACATATCGAAATACAGTGAGGACTTCACAGAAAGCTATAGCGCTGATTCTGCTATATATTGGTATACAAAAGAAGCATTTGTTTATCGTCTGTTAAATAAAAGTCTTCGAACACAAGATATTGATTTGTTATTTGCCTTTCGATTTTTAATTCGTGATATTCAACAGCACCTTCAAGAGTATCAATGCTTATCGCCGGTGACGCTCTATCGTAGCCAATTAATATTGGACGAAGAATTGGAAATTTTGAAGCAATCGGTTGGCAAATTAATTTCCATGAATTCTTTTCTTTCTACAACAACCGAACATGATATTGCGTGGCTTTCGTTTACATCACCAAATCCACAAAATGCCAGCTCAAGAAACAAGTCCGTCATTTTCCAAATCTATGCAGATCCTAGTCGAACTGGTATGAAACCGTTTGCGAACGTTTCGGAATTCAGTGCATTTCCAGACGAAAACGAAGTTCTTATGATGTTAGGATCCGTTTTTCGACTCGATCGAATTCATCTCGGTCAATATCACACCTGGGTTATCGAAATGACCTTGTGCAGTGATGATGACCATGACTTAAAAGCTGTTGTTGATTCCATGAGAAGTCAATATGGATCCGGACAAACTCGACTTCTGCTGTTCGGTCATGTTCTCGTTGATATGGCTCGTTTTCACGAAGCGGAAAAGTACTACTATCGATTATTGAAACAATTATCAGACGATGATCCCGATGTTTCTCTTTGTTATCATTCGTTAGCCAAAGTCGCTTGTGAGAAAGGTGCGTATGAACTCAGTCTGAAGAAATTGCAACGAGCATTAGATATCGCACAACGAACACTGCGCAAGAATCATCCACGTCTTGGCTTCATTTATACAAGTATGGGCGAAGTTTATGAGAAAATAGGCAAAACGAATGAAGCGTTGGATTCCTACAAGAAAGCATTGAAAGTCTGGTCGAAATATCAAGATCTCGATCCTCAGTATATAGCATGGTGTTTGAATAATATCGGAAATGTTTATAATACACATAAAGAATACAGTAAAGCATTGGAATATCTAACGAAAGCTATGAAAATGAAAAACTCTTGCTTGCCACCGTCGCATCCATGCATGGGGAATGCCTACCTTAACTTAGGCAATTCACATTATTATTCCGGTCAATATCAACAAGCAGTACAATGTTACCAGACAGCAAAAAATATCTATACCACATCTCTCCCGCCTGATCATCCATCTATAGCAACGACTTTGAAAAACATCGGTCTTGTTTATGAAACCGAAGACAATCTTTCAGAAGCTATGATTTGTTATGAAAAAGCACTTTCCATTCGACAGAAATCACCTTTCCAGTTACATACGGATGTGATCGAAGCCAAACGCGATGTGAAACGTATCTCATTGAAATTGAAGAAAGATAATAACTTACAACGCACATTATCGTCACAAACTGAAAAGAACTGATATGTATCGAACAGTTCGATTCACGAATGTATTTTGGTACGTATACATATACGAAACTATTGATTTTTTTGTAAATAAACTAGAGAGCTAGTTGATTCAACTGAACAAACTTGATCTCACGTTTTATAGCTAAACACTATGAACGACAGCTACTGAATAGTAGTAGAAAGAAAAGTTTCGATAGATTGAAAAACTCCAATTGGTACAAATAAGAATCTGTGCATATTCAATTTGTTGGATTTCAATTTCGTTAATTGAATTGGTTCCTGTCGAAATTTGACATGGAAGATTCAGTAATGAAGTTATCGCAGATATTGTACTTATAATCGCATACACATACATCTATTCTTTTTGATGTTAATATGACGAAAAAAAACAGTTTTTCACTCAAATAATTACAACAAAAAAAGTTGCCCAATTAATTTCACCCATAAGGTGTGTCTAAAATATAATGTAGAAAGATCATATCTATACAAAACAACTTGCATTTCTGGTGTCGAGAATCTGGTCACCTGCGAGAATGTTGATAAAAAAGATAAAGAAGCATGTTTGATGATTTTTGCTGCGACATTGTTAGTAAACTACACAGCCTTTCTTTTCTTGAATGATCAAGCAAAAACGAGCTTCATCTTATCTTTGTACTGCTCCCAGCCCATGTATATAGACTTATCGACGGACGTCGTCAAGCCTTAGTTGCGTTTCGACAACAGACGAGTAATACACTCTCAATAATGAAAGTTATTTTTGCTGTTTGCCTTCTTGTCGTTAGTGCCTATTGTGCACTTGCCATTGATGAACAATTAAATGACTCTTGGACGTTATTCAAACGTGTCTTTAAGAAATCGTATGCCACCAGAGGAGAAGAAACAAATCGGTGAGTGAGTCTTCTTTCACTAGATAAAAACAAACATACTTTTTTGATAGACGAACAATTTGGGAACAAAATCTTGCCCAAATTCGCAAACATAATCTTGAACATGATATGGGCCTCCATAAATACACTATGGGAATGAATCGCTTTGGTGATCTAGTATGTATATGGAATTTTTACGCAAGACATTATTTGTTTTGTTTTTGCATCTCAATAGGCTCATGAAGAATTCAAAAAACAAATGAACGGCTTCAAAATGAGCACTAATACACAAGCAGCCAAGCAAGATCGTCATATGTTCATTGCACCAGCAAACGTTGCCATTCCAGATTCCGTCGGTCAGTAATTACGAATAGGAATGTGGTTTTTTGTAGCGAAATATCGATGTGTATAGATTGGCGTAAGCAAGGATATGTAACTCCCGTCAAAGACCAAGGACAATGTGGATCATGTTGGGCATTTTCAGCTACAGGATCACTCGAAGGACAAACCTTTGCTAAAACTAAAACACTTCCTTCACTTTCTGAACAACAATTGGTCGATTGTTCAGATAAATTCGGTAATGAAGGATGTAATGGTGGCTTAATGAACAATGCTTTTGAATACATCAAGCAAAACGAAGGCATCGATTCTGAAAAGAGCTATCCATACAAAGCTTATGATCAGAAATGCCGTTTCAAACCAGAAGATGTTGTTGCAACTGATGTTGTAAGTATTGAAGAGGTACAAGATGTAGACGAATTGTTCTTGTTTGTGTAGGGCTTTATGTTTATCAAAGAAAAGAATGAAACAGATCTCACAGCTGCCATTGCCACTGTTGGTCCTATTTCAATAGCCATTGATGCCTCACAAAATTCATTTCAATTTTATTCGGGTGGTATTTATGATGAACCCATGTGCTCACAAACCGATCTTGATCATGGTGTATTAGCTGTTGGATATGGTCAAGATGGTACGAAACACCCAACATATTATTACATTGTGAAAAATTCCTGGGGCGAAGGATGGGGTGATGGTGGTTATATTTTGATGCTTCGTAATTCGAACAATCAATGTGGTGTTGCTACTATGGCAAGTTATCCACTTGTTTAAACCGATCGAACTGAAACATGAACATCTAATAATGTGCAATCGAATGCTCTTTTTTTGACGATTCTTTGTAATAAATTTACATAAATACGAATACGTTTTGCTTCAATCACTACTACTGTAACATTATTTATCGTGTAGTAGGTAACTGATAAATGTAGATGTCGGTAGGTTCTTCCAAATATTTGGGGCAGAGTGCATTTAGTGATTCAATTTTTGACTAATAAGGTTTTTTAGTGTATTGAGTTGCACAAGACGAAAGCAGTCATTCTCGATTTACTTTGACACAATTCAGATAGCCGACAATTACATTATATCTTTATAAAACATCATGTCGTTCGGTGTAATGACTTACAATATCCGTATGGATACACCAGCAGATGGTCCAAATCAATGGCACCGACGTAAAGATCGTGTCGTCAATCTAATTCGTCAGTGTGCACCTGGTCTACTTGGTGTTCAAGAAGCTCTATCACAACAGATGTCCGATCTACAAAGTAATTTGTCTGATTATGGTTCCTATGGTGTAGGTCGAAATGATGGTCGTGACAGTGGCGAGTTTTCTGCTGTCTTCTATCGTCACGATCGCTTTGAACTTGTTGACAAAGGTACTTTCTGGTTATCGGAAACGCCAGACACACCTGGTAGCCGAGGTTGGGATGCTGCTCTGCCTCGTATCTGTAGTTGGATAAAACTTAGAGATCGTTTAACCGGCAAGGAACTTTGCTATTTCAATACACACTTTGATCATGAAGGAAATACTGCTCGGCGAGAAAGTGCTCGTTTCATTCTAACTCGCATCCAACAAATCGCTGGATCGACCATACCTTCAATATTAACTGGTGACTTCAATACAGGGCCTCAATCCGATGCCTACCACACAATTCTATCGACAGACGTGCTCAAAGACGCTAAGTTATTATCCGAATCATCTCATTCGGGTCCACAAGGTACTTGGAGTACGTTTCATGTAGCTAGTGGCATAGGTGATCGAATTGATTATATTTTTATTACTCCATCGCATTTCAAAGTATTGAAACATGCTCATTTGACTGAATCCGACAATAACTATTATCCATCGGATCACTTACCAGTTCTTGCAGAACTAGCATACAATAGTTGATTGATATTATTTTTAATACAAATAAAAATTTTAGTTGCGAGTAAAAAGTTTAGTAATGAGGAGAAGACTGCTCAGTGAAAGAAAGTTCCGTTGTATCTTTGAACTGTCACTAGTAGTCGCTGGTCGACGTGAAGGTATTGGTGTAGTTTTCAATAGATGTTGTATCCACTTTGTATATGCGGAAAGTCGAGTATAGACACCGGAATGGCCAATTACAGTACAACTTTGAGTTTTAGAAAGCATTCCAACCTATATATATAAACACATATGTAATCAAAGAAAGATCTCTATACATTTTCTCTTGTTTCTTATACTCACCTGCTCCCAATATTTATTTCTATAAACAAAAATCGGTTCACCGAAATTGCCTAGAATTTAAATACTTGATATGATAAGTATTTCAAAATAAATGTACTAACCGTTGCATGTACCTAAATTTGAATAAAGATAATAATAATTAGATCGAATAACACGTGTAATTTGACTCACCTGTTTTGTCAGATGGTGCACCTGCACACAATTGATACCTATTGTCATAAGTTGAATTGAAACATGATGAATCTGAATCATTCATTGATTTCGTCGATACTTGTTGAAGTGTATCGAGTACAATTCTTTCAAAAGCTGAATTTTGCCATCCGATCGTCACTAATGTCGTGTCTCCCGTTAGATTAGGAGACAAAGAATTCGACAGGCATGTTTTTGCAAAGATTGGTTGTGTTATCAAATCCAATGGATGTCCAAGACGAAGAATAGCAATGTCGTGCAAATGTGATCTGTCAGTCGTATAATTCTCATGAATATGAATTTCGACAACTGTTCGATGCGATGCACTATACTGTGAAAGACTATGCACACCACCTGCAATAGTGATATTATTCGGATTTTGTCGATAATTGTTAACACATTGAGCAGTCGTCAGAATAAAGGAATCGGATAGGATAGTACCCATACATATATGCTTTGTATTATTTATACGTATAGAGACTACCATTGACCAACTATAAGGATAGGCATCTTCGTTTGTAGTATCAATTGGTGATGTTCGTTGATTATCATAGGATAAGACAACATTTGCTAAGGAGCATCCACATTCATTTTGAATTCGATCACATTCATAGGTTATTTTGTTACGAAAAATAGACGTTACTGCTGTGAGATGAGATGGAAATAAATTAGTAGTGATCATTGTATCGGTTCTCGCAGAATACGTCGGTTGTAATCTATTTGTAGTTATTGCTGCTGTGAAATGTGGTGCATAAGAAGTTCTGGTGGTCGTTGCGGTTATCATTTTTGATGTGTCCAACGTTACTCTCGTTACTGCTGATGTCATGCTAGTAAACGGGTGAATTGTGATCGACATAGCAGAAGTGGAGAGTTTGGCTGGTAGTATCTGTGAAGTAACGGTTAGTGATAGTGACAATGGAGCAATCGTATTTAAAATTCTCGACGTATGGAAGTAACCAGTTGGTGCTCTAGGAATATCCGAAGGCATAGTTACCAATGGTACGTGGGCTGTAAACGAATCCGTCCGTCTTAGTATGTCAGTAATCATTGCTGAAAATGAAGAAAATCTATTCGATGTAGCTGTAGGTGGTCGCGTTCGTCTAGTAGTGGTCGTGTTGGGACGACGAGTAGTCGTCGTTGTCGTCGTCGTTCGAAGAGGCCATTGTGGTTCCAAATATTCATTGGTTTCATTGAGAATTTTCGCAATCCATTGTAAATATTGCCCTAGACGAGTATAGACACCTGGATACTCAGGTCGTCCACATTGAAAATTGTGACCAATGATGCCCACCTGTTCCCAATACTGCCCAGTCCACTGCAAGATTGGTCCACCAGAATCACCTGAACGAAAAACGGCAAGTATGCGCGATGGAAATAGGCTGAAAGAATATAACACATACCCAGACAAGCATCTACGCAAAAGAAAAAGATAAATATGAATTATCGATGAAAACTATTCAAATGGAGATTTACCTTTTCCGCCGTTATACAACCCAGCACAAAATTGATGTTCCTTACTACTGACTATTTTCTGACAAATGGGATCTTGATTGTCGATAGTCGATATACGTATCTGTTGTAAGTATTCAGACTGAAGGAAACTTCCCGGTTTCATCGCACCCCATCCGATAACTACAAGACGCGTTCCCGGTTTAGGATACTGATGCATGTCCATCATCGATATATTCCTAGGATTTACGCACGTTTTTGCCAGAATCGGGTTGTGTAGGAAATACAATGGACGATCCATCCGTAATATAGCTATATCATTCAGATAATGTGGTCGATCGGTATAATTTTCATGTATATGAATACGATCGATATTTCTCTGATAGGCTTCAGGATCTGATCGATTTGTTATACCAGCAATAATGCTAATATTCACTGGTCGAGAAGATAAAAATTGAGCGACACAGTGCGCTGCCGTTAGAATATGCGAACTTGAAAGGAGTGTTCCAGCACAGAAATGTTCTTGACTTCCATAGAAACGAAGCGAAACAATCATGGACCAACTGTGTTCAATTGCATCTTCACCGCCCATAATACGAGTTGGTCGAAAAACAACGTCCGTATAACCACATCCACACGGCATATTGCGATCGCATTCATAATTATAGATAGGCGGTTCAGGTGTAGTTGATGTCATTGCAGTATGAATATTTAGAATTGATTCAATCCAATCCAAATACGCAGCAACTCGTACAAAAAGACCTTTATAACCGACACGTGGACAACCATCGAAAGCGTACGACTCAATTCCAACTAATTCCCAATGCGTTCCACTCCATTGAAATGCAGGGCCGCCGACTTCCGCTAACGAATGAGAATGAATGAATGAAAATATTTCAACTAGTATCGAATCTTACTTACGGAAACATGCAGCTAAGAAAAATTCAAAGAAAATCAAACAATTATAATGTAGAAGAGAAGGAAAAGACTAACAAACCTCCATATCGTCCTGCACAAAACGATAACTTCGGATCATTGCTTGCTCGTGAACACATCGAATCATTAAAATCAATCGGGTAAACAGTTAACTGTTGTAAATTCTCTTCTGTATTGCTGAGTACACTCCATCCAACGACAACTAAACTTGTATTCGATATCATCTCTACAGAAGTATTCATTTGAGATGGAAGACAAGCTGAGCTGAGAGTAAAATCAGTTTGGAAATCAAGCGGTTCAGCTAGACGAAGTATCGCGATATTATGTAACGCTTCGTTCGTTGCCGACCAATTTGGATGCAGAAAAGTTCGCTCAACAGTTCGAATTGTTGGACAATTTTGCGATAAACGATGAATGTTAGCAGCAATTGTTATATTTTCAGCACTCAACGAAGAATTTTCTGCTGGATCAAAACAACGTGCAGCTGTTAAAATATATCTTTCGTTAAGAATTGTTCCTGCACAGCAATGTGTCGATGAATTTCCATTCTGTCGACAATCATATCGAATTGATACCATCATCGACCAACTGTACGGTATTGCTTCTTCGAGATCATCACCAACCTCAACATTTTTGAAAGCACATCCACATGAAACATTACTTTTCTCACATTCGTACCGAATCGCTGAACACAATGCAACATTCACAAGTAAAATCAGTTTTAATCGCCACTCCATTCACACTGATACAAAGCTAATCTGATCGAAAAACGTCATCTCGTCACTTTTATACCAGATCCTCCATTCGATCAATATTGATTCGATCATCTCCAACATCGCAAATCTTGTACATAATCACTTTCGTCGTTCTACTTCTGATCAAAACGAGTCGATATTTGATATCCGAATATTTTCTACTCACATATCAATTACGCACTTCAAGAACACAAATAGAAATCTGATCGGATGGTGCAGAAGCTCTTCGATAGTAGAAATCAAACAAAAATATTTCATCAGTCGAAATAAAAATCTGTTTTGAAGTAACAACATCAGGTCACTGTCAACAACATTTATTCAAGCAACAACCAAAAAGCATGCTACGATATACTCTTTATACAGTAGCCATATGGTCTAACATCATCAGCGCTGGGCGATATCCAATAGTCGTCAACTCCGTCCTGATCAGCACTCAGTTTAACTACAGTTTCTGGATTGATTCGATTTTGTATAACAACACAAAATTTCCGACCGTTGCGTGTAAAATGTGTTGCAAAAGTTTCTGCTATATCAATATTTGGTGTCGTATAAACACCACGACCATAGAGAAATCGTTTATGCTTGCTTAAGTCAAAACCACTTTGAGCAATTGAAATAGCTGCATCATGCTTAGTTCCATGATATGAAACTGGCCACTCGCCATTCCTATTATCGCAGCCGAGCCAAATTTCATTTTCATATTTTCCACAAACTCGAATTGCAAAACGTCTCCATCCGCACGGTCGACGATATTGTACGTTGGCGCGAGTAAAAGATTTGCCTGTATCATCAATATTAGTAAAATCATAATCATAGTGTGAATCTCGTGTGCTCGAATCCAATATTAAAATATCGTTGGCATTCATTGCTCTTAAACGAATGACGGATATTTCACTTGAATCTTGAACATTATATTCACTCAACAGATGACCTTCATCCATCTCTTCTCCACAATGAATAAGATTTTGTTTATCACATGTAATATTTGTCTTTTGAAAGATCCATTGTTTTAATTTATCAACACTCGCATCACGTTCAATCACACAAGAGAATTTCTGTTTCGTTGCTAAAACAGTTACATATACTGTTAATAACAACTTATTAGTGCTGCTATCATCTCGTCCGACTTTGCCATAAACTAGTGATGCTACATGTTGATTAAGTAATGAAATTTTGCTAACGTGCCGCTGTGTCTGCTTGAGTACACTTGACTCGGGTACGATTTCTTTGCCTAGGATGGATGATAATGCTGCAGCTAATAATTCATCACCATCGTTTTCCGTTGAGTTTGTCCACATTGTTGTAGGTTCTTCCTCAAATGTTGTATTTTACGACGGAGAGAATTTTATCTTATACACCATGTGTTGGAAAAAACCAACATGCAATAAACATAACGTGTGGAGAAGAGGTTTTTTTCTTTCTTTTTACACTATTTGTCTTTCACCGCATGTTTGTAATGGCTTCTTTTTAAGAAAGCACAGGAAAAAGAAGGGGTTTACTGATGCAGTTGTTTGAAAATGTTTTTTCAATGGACATATTTGTCTTTTCAGTACTTATGTTGGCAAGATTAACCATTTTACATCTGGAAGAAATCTGACACATTTATGGTTACGAATAGAAAGCTTAATCATTAACAATATTGCACTAGTTTCGTTTTGAACTTAAGATAAAGATTTCTTCACACCATGCTTTTCAGTTGCGATAGAAGTGATACCATTGATGAACTGATCGAAACCGTGTAATACACATCTATAGTGGATGTTTGATACTTGTTACAAAAAAGATCATTAAAAAAACTACGATACGAATCCGTTGAATGACCAGTAAATCTCGTTCTTGTCGCTGTTCAATCATCAGTATAGTTGTTCATCCAAATATCGCCGAATGTATTTTACGATCACGCAATAATTTAATATCAATAGAATTACCGATATCACGTAACACAGAACAAAAACTGATATCACACCGCCAGTATTAGTAAGAATTAGATAATAATAGCGATCTATGGCAAGATAATTAATTTCACGTCAAATCAATGAAGAACTCGAGAAAAGATAGGAGTATAAGCAAAGTTATTGATTGTGGTCTAGAAGAAATACAGCCTATAAGAAAATAATTTGACATGGTTTTTAAAATACATCTCAATCAATTCTCACTTGCTGCACGGATAAAGTAGCGTGCGTCTTTCGCTCGATGAGTTCTAACAGCTGACAAAAATCTATAACTGAATTGCATTTCTTATCATCAATTGGTATGTCAATATAATGTGTCAAAGTGCGGCAATGATATACATATTGTAATCAAAAAAGTGACTGCTTCAAGGGAACCTACATATTTACTGGAGTATCTGAATTCTTTTCGGTCTGAGTTATTTTCTGATTGAACATACGCGGAAGTCCAGGTAATCATGCTGCTAGTCGACATGATATTTCGTCAACTTTATCAAGTTGATATTTGCAAGAGCGTTTATTTCAATAACGTAAGTATTTGTCCTTTGTCACAATTTTCATTTATATTCTCTTATAGGTGACAGTGATGGAAATTGAATTCCGCTACTTCGGCCAAGTTGACTTCAGACACAATGAAATTTAATCTTCTGCACGTGTAACATAGGATGCACTTTAGTTCTGGACATACCTTTACGTAACACGATGACTTAGGTCATTTTCTTTGTTTACTAGAAGTGTTCAATTGTGTTGACGGAATATTAATTAACTTCTGGTCTTTTTTATCTATTGGTTCATTTTAATGAAGAATGGGTACATGATGAAAGTCATTAAATGTCGACGAAAGTACAATATACTTTCATTCACTTCATCTTCTCTCTTCTATCCACCGTATTCGTTGTTAGAAGTACACAAGCAAGAGTATAACGGATAACTTATTTGGACAATTGGCTCAAAACTGATGAAAATAAGTTCATTTACAGGACCTACTTATAGCGAAGTTCATATCATATCAGCAAGAAAAAGTTCGTGGTAAATACTGTGTTTTTTGTGTCGGAATTCGACTAATTATGACATTTATTATGTAATCGGGATTGTTGATTCAATGTAAGATTTGTGTAAGTTACTACGACAGCAAGTGCTAGAAAACTAATCTTTTTTATTTTTCAGAATATTTTTGAGTACAGAATAGTTTCATAAGTAATGAGAAAAAGTACGTAGATGAGGTCATTAATTAGACGCCTCATGAAACAGACCGAGATTACGTTCGAGGTCAGAGATACGTTGATTGATATTTGCGAAAGTTTGAATTCCAGGCTCCGTCGAGATTATCTTATAGCGTTCATGCATTTGTTCTGCCCAACGTAAGTATTGTAATGCACTCAGAAGGCGTTCATTCTCATTTAATTCTTGTTCTTGGTTGCTTAAATGTTGTTCTTTTTGTAAATCGTCTGCTTTGCTCGAAAAACGACGCGCACTTTCAAGCACCATACGAGTTAACAAGTCATTTTCATGGTTATACATTAAAATATTCTTCTCATAGTCCAGTGCCCATTCATTGGTTGGATGGATGTCGCCCACTGAGCGCATATTCATATTGGCACAAAAAACATACATCCAATACCCATCGATAAACGTATTCGGGAAATTAGCCTTCAAAGCTGGGATTAAAATTTTTCCTTTGGAGCCGGATGTAATGAGGGTAATGTGTTTGTTAAGTCCAATATTCTTTTCAATAGCGTCGAAGCATTTTTCAATGTCATCGAATGCTTGAAACCAATATTCAACTTCATCCATACGTACAAGTATCGGAGCATCCGAACGTATACTACGATCTATATCAGAAATTTGTAAACTTCTCTCGAATAAACCGGTCATGTGATTCAAAGCGAGAATAAATGTGGCTTTTAACATAATACATTCTTCAGGTTGACTGATGTGTTTGTCACACCAAGCTATGAATTGGTTTGGATCATAACTTCGGTTTTCCCCCGGTATAATAGGAGTAACAGTAGGAGACGTCATTACCTGCATTTTCTAATACGTGATGCCTCGAATCGGATTGATTATATGTGTATATTGCTTAAGACGATACACACGTGATAAGAATGTAGAGCATGATGACGCCTGATTCGATGGAAGCCGAGCAACAAAAAGAGCTTCTGCTGTTCTGTGTATATATTTTCCCACACACACCAAAACATATACAGATGTCTCTTGATATCGTATGAGTATTAAGTCGATCGTTTCTAGACGTTTCAAGAAGAAAATACGAGAAAGAATTGATGAAATTTGCTTTGAAATCTTTACGACAAGGAATCTAAGACCAGACGTGTCGTTTCATCAACACTTTTTCATTCGGTATTCTCCAAACAGTCATGTTTTGACAGAGAAAGGGAGAAAACACTCGTTTGTAATTACACAACTTGCAACGTATATATAAAAAGACGAACACCGTACCTTAACTTTCCTGTTATTGTGCAATGTGTTAACTTTTATATAAGGAGACCGAAGCTTTTGCAAAATATTTTTCGATTTTCTTCTAGATTGTTATTAAAAATGGCAACGTATTTTAAAACGCCCTTCACGATCGGTGAACCAACGCATTACGTTGAATTGAAAGTACCAAAATTGGACAATGCATCATCGAACAACATCATTTGTTGTGTTGATGTGTCAGGTTCAATGAGTGGCGCTCCTATTCGAAATGTTTGCGAGGTTTTACGTGATATTTACAGACGTACACAAATTGAATACCCATTATTTACCTACAATACCACGGCTAATACGACACAAACGATAAAATCGGTCGAAAACCGAGATTTAGTTGCTAACGGTGGTACAAGTTTCAGTTCTGTCTTTACTGCTATACAGAATCATTTGGTAAACAATCAAAAATCCACAACATTCATATTCATGACCGATGGTCAAGATACTGACTCTAAAGAAGCTTTAAAACGAGCGATTCAAATGTTGAAATTTTCCATCAGTGGACTATCAAAAGCAGTGACAGTCGTCTTTCATGTAATTGGCTTTGGCGATGTGAATAATGACTTTTTGAATGAAGTTCGGCAATTCGGTAATAAAGAAGGTCTATTTCGTTATTCCACTGCATCAGCTGAATTACAGAACAACTTCAATGACATGTTTGAGTATGCCATGTCAGCAAAAGAATACACTATTGTGATCAATGGCAAATCTTACACAGCAAATAGCAATGACGAAACAGTCGGATTTCTGATCGAAAATCTAAATATGGATACTGCGGCAACAACAACAACAGAAATTACATTGAAATCGTCGGATAGCGAATCAAAAATTCCATTAGTATTAGTGGAAAATCCTCGTCCGATCCAAGTCGTTCGAGCATTGAATTTAGTTTCACCAGACAATGCAGAAACTGTACATCAGATTCGCACGTTTCTAAACTCGATCGTTCCAACTGGTAGTCGAGACCTCATGGAAAAACTCGAACTAGAGCAAATCAAGAAAGAAATCGACGAGCGAATGATGGAATATACAAATTTATTCACCCAAATCAAAATGGGACAAGTACCTGAACAAGTCAAATTGAAATTAAGCGCATTGCGGCACGATGCCACATTCGCTAATGCTCAACGTCGAAAGAAATTAGATTTACGTATCAATAAGAACGTAGATTACTTTCGTAAAACAGATATCAGTGGAATTTTAGAAGGTTATAAGAAAAGTATTGATCAACAAGGCTGGAATGATATTAAAGAACAGAAAGCCGATTGGGTTTGCTCGTACTCAAAAGATGATATATATGAAATGATGCGCAAATCACCAGATAACATCATGTGTTTAGGTATTCTCATTGAACAGAATGAAGAAGCAATTACATCTCCGACAAAAGGATTGAAATTACTCGATGTTTCGAATACAATCATTTCATACGATGCATTTATTGCAGCAATGACTTATGCAAAAAATTCTGCGCAACAACAACAACAACAACAAACTAATGAAACCAATGGTATCTGTCATATTGTTGGACAATCACATGAGAAAATCAATGCAGTCATTCCGCTTTACATCAACTATGAGCACATGAAACGAATTCGAATCTTAGAAGGTATTTGGTTAGGATACCTGTACACCTTAGATTCCTATGGTTATGATAGAGAGCAAGAAATCGGTCTGTTGAAGTTACTTCATGATATCATTATGGTTCGTGAAGAAACTACGCGAAGTCAACAGATCATTAAAGAATTGGAAAAGGTTTGTCATTTTATCATCACAGAATCGATTGGTTTCAAATCGGCATATGGAGAGAAAACTTACGACAACTATCTTCAAAGTATTCACGGTCGACAGATAAGTACGTATGACTTGAGTATTCCATTAATGATCGGTTATTTGAAAAACGACTTGAAAAATGTTCTCATGCCTGTTTACTACGAATATATTCGTCAATGTCTGCGAAAGAAACCACCAACGGATAGAAATGCCATCATCGATCGTTTATTGTACGGTGATGAGAGTCGCCGCGAGAAGCGAGTAGCTAATAATGCAGATACCACATTCGTCAACATCAATGAACAAGATCCTGATTATGTCGAAGAAAGTTTCATCAAATACTTTCACGATGAAATGTGCAAACCGTTGGAATTGATTCCCGAAACAAACAGTGGTGAAGATCGAAAACTGATCAGTCCAGATGCGGAAAACGATTTCATAAAAAACTTCCTACAAACGCATCATCTCGATGTACCAGCAGTGATTAAAAACATGTTGAAATACGCTCAAATGGATGAGAATTATGTTGAAAACAATCTTGATTACGATGAGTTACGAAAAGAATTATTGATGATTCTACATTTCGATGCTATTGTTCCAAACAATGTCACTAAATCGAACGTCCTGACATTCGTCGATGAGAAACTCCAGGGTAATCGGGATAATTCTGTCATGTTCAACTTCACTTCAGAAACAATTCGTATCGTCACCTATAAACTGTTAACAGCGAAAACATTGGAAGGTTTCGGTGGTTTATTGAGAAAGTATTGTCCAAAACGATGTGGACCTGTTTTTACCGAATTAGTCAAAGGTTTATTAACCGTTCCACCGACTGTTCAAAATGCCACATTAAACAAAGAGAAATTAGTCTCTTTGCTAACGAACAAAGTCGGATATTCGAATTTATACACCAATGCAATCTCGCGATTCTGTTGGCAACCGTTAGCTGATGTGAATATCGATACATTAGCTGAAATTGTCGGTAAAACGGAATTGCGCGCAATTGAAAAAGGAAACCTGGGAAGCGATGTGCTGCATTGTTACCGAGTATCGAACATATTAAATCACCATGGCTATGGTAACTACAATCCGAATATGAATAATATATATAAATTCAGTGGTTATAATGATCGACATTGACATATCATTTTGTTTTTCTTTCACTATAATAAAGAAGGGTTATTCCAAATGCGAATCGATGCGTTTTTTTTTGTTTTTGAAAACAGCTGGCACAGAGATAACACGTCGATACAAATGGCGACTGCATCAAAATCGTTGATGAATACTTACGAGTATATGAATGAAAGCGCAATTGACAAGGAATTGAAATGTACAATTTGTACTGAACCATTCCTGAAACCAGTAAGTCTCTCGTGTCAACATACATTCTGCTGTGAATGTATCGAACAATGGCTGGATAAAAATTGTTCATGTCCAATATGTCGGGAGTGTTTTCATTTGAAGGAGGAAACATATTCACCGATCAATACACAAATTGTGAACAATCAATTGGATCGATTACTTGTTCGATGTAATCAATGTCAACAAGAGAATATCGCACGAGGAAACTTTCGTGATCATGAATCAAAGTGTACGAAGAAGTTAGTGGCATGTTCAGCAGCGGATATTCATTGCCTATGGAGAGGACCACGAGATGAACAAGAACTACACGTGAAAACATGCGTGTTTCAACAAGTTCGACCCATTGTAGATCATTTGCAGATACAATTAGATTCATCATTGAAGATTCAGGAAAAACTTGAAGAAAAACTTGAAAAGCAATCGAATGATATCGAATTTCTTTTTGCTTTCATTAACCAAGGCCATACAATGAACAAAGAATGTACAAAATTGCATGGGCGATGTCAATATGCTTTACGTTATCCGAACAAAAATAAACTACAATTTGAATGTACTGTCTGTAAAAGTGCGATACGACGTCGACACGTGGCATTGCATACATGTTCATTGAATGATCTAATTCAATGTATATGTGAAAGTTGTTATGAGAAACAATATCCTATTCTAGAAGAGGATGAAGAAGAAGATGACGACGATAATTGTTGATTGTTATTTTTCTCATTGAAATAAAAAATGATGAAAGTATATCTGTGAAATACTACTGTCCAAAAGTAATGATGATCAAGCGATTTTACTTGCTCCCTACTTGATAGAAGCATCATCGTCATGCAATGGATTGATGAAAACACACAAAGCTGTCGGATTAATCAGTATCGAATGACAATAAATACCGAAGAATAAAAAGCAGTTAGCTGACATCGAGTGCAATCATATCAGCAAACGTGAAATGATAGTTCTTTCGATTTTATTCGGTTTATTTGGTAGGGATTGCTGTTGAGATTTTTATAATTTGAAACTATAAGAGGTTGATTTTTTAGCTTTGACAGCGGGTCAAACTTGTCGAAACTTACCTCTTTATGCTCGTTGCTCGACGAATCCCGACTGTGGCTGTCTGCCATTCTCATCAGTTGATGATCAAAGTGGTATTTGTGCTTACCTTCATCTAAATCCAACGAAACTGCGCGCGTGCAACGAATATAATTATTATTGTGATCAGCCATACACAGTGTGTGTTCATCATCCAAGTTTAGCGACGAAAAAACCATTGTGTTATCCAACTGGTATGGCTTCATTAGACATCTGTCCACCTTTAGATCACAGTTGGAGTAAGAAGATAGTACTTTCTATAACTTCAATTCTAGTGGTTCTCTATGATTTTCACTAGCATCATCTGAAACGACGACGACAACCACCACCATAACGACGACAGTTACATCGATATCTGTGGAAGAACTTTGTGCCAACGTTAGTTGGTCACAAGTGGGTAAAACAGTAGCAGGAAGTAATTTCACTGGCAATGCAACAAATCAACTACGAAATCCAACGGCCATTCTTTTCGACTCCAAGACCGATACTCTCTATGTTGCGGACACAACCAATGCTCGTATTGTAACCTGGCACATCGATGCAGATTATGGAATGCTTGTTGCAGGAGGCAACGGAAACGGAAACCGATCTAATCAATTCGAGTGGGTATGAAACATCGATGGTTTTAATCAGATACGAAAACTTGTCTATCTAATAGATATCAAGTATGGTATTGAATCCAGCAGATGGAAGTTTAATCGTTTGCGATGCAAGAAATCGACGAATTGTTCGTTGGTACCCGGGTGTTATAGACGGAGAAATCCTTGCACACAATATTTATTGCAGTGGTTTAGCATTGGACAAGCAAGGTTTTCTCTATATGACTGAATTTGAAAATCAGCGTGTGACCCGGTGGACATTAGAATCCAATCTAAAATTTGATAGTATTGTAGCAGGAAATAATGGTAAAGGTAACAGACTCGATCAATTATATGGACCAATGAACATCTTTGTTGATGAAAATCAAACTCTGTTCATCAGTGATAATTCCAATAATCGAATTGTTAAGTGGCCAAAAGGTGCTACCGAAGGAATCCTTGTTGGAAACATCCGTTATCCGAAAGGAATTCGTGTTACTTCATCCGGAAATGTCTATGCTATTGACAGTTATTACAGTCGAGTGATACGTTGGACACCAAATGATGTGAATGGCACAGTTATCATCGGTGAAAAACAATATACGCTCAGTCAACCGACGGATTTGGATTTCGACGCAAACGGCAATATTTACGTATGTCTCTACGGCAAAAATCGAGTTGAAAAATTCAATCTTGATAAAAATGAGTGTCTATAAAATAAAAAACGCGCCAATCATAAACAATTTCTTCTCAAATGCTTCTTTCTATTTTACGTATTTTTCTCATTGTTTTCCTACTTTTCCTATTATTAGATCTTCCTATATCAATTGTATTTCGAGCTCTTCCTGCTCGTGCCATTCTCTCTGCATACCTTCCAACAATAGTCTCATGTCTAATGAAGTTGACTTCAAGTTTTTTCTTCTGTTCAACAGAAGATGCGAAATTTCTACAACGCATTGTATTCACTTCAACAAGTTTGTTGAATCGATTGCATATCAGATGAACTCTTGTTGTTCTATCAAGTTATTATATTCGTCGCGTTTTGTTTCGATATGAACTTTATATCCAACTATATTGACGATGTTCATCAAAATTACTTGGAACTCATAGATAAATATCGCGATGGTACATCACCAACGGAACCTCATTTGGCATTTATCTATAATATCATTGAAATCAAGCAATGTTGCGGTTTTTATTATAATAATAATCTATTGAAGTCGGAATGGACATATTTTAACACCTATTTTCACCGAAATTGTAGATTAGACGTTGAACAATGGTATCCCTCGCTTGAACTACGGTAAGTATTAGCCGAGTTGAATTCTACATTTCAGAATTGTTTATATAATCAATAGTCATGCACCTTGTATCGTATTTTTCAATGAGTATCGTACTCTATTATTCATACGTAAAGAAATCTTCAGTCGAGACTAAGCATTTCTACCTTTCTTTGTCGTTTTAGTATTCGCGATCAATGGTAAGTCTTAGCGTGTTGTTCCTCTCGTCTGCATGGAAAGCGTCTTAGTATGTCTGACAACAGCGGCGATCATTTTATCTTGGATATACGTCATTTTACTTAAGCGGGAACGAACACGAAGGAATCAGTCGAGAGTATTTGTGAATTATCAACCACCGACAGTATATCCACCGAATGTGTATAATTCCGCGCCTCCGGCTTATCCAGAAATTGTTCAACACAATTCAAAAGCGAATTTACCAGATTGAAATCCTTTGGAATATGTATATATCTATTTAATCTAGACGTTAGAAATAATTACAAAAAAAAAAACAACAACACATTTTGAACGAAACATGTTTTTCGCTATGAGAAAAGACGATCGATTAATTGTTTGTTACTTTGTAAATTTTTCGATATTTTCCTTGTTGAGAGGCAGGTGGACCTCGAATAGTGTTCGAAGAAGGACTTCGTGCATTGTTTGTTGAGGTCTAAATATGAATAAATTCGATGCTGAATGAGAAAATTGTAAATCTTCACATACGAAAACCATCGGCGGTGGATTATTGTGTACACTGAATTGATCTGCAAAAGCGACAGAGCGTTTGGACTGATGAGTTGGTGGTGTAAGTGAACGATATTTAGTGTTGGATGGAGGCGATGGTGAACGACGAGTTGTTCTTTGCGGATCTTGATGTTGTAAGTTCGTGATAACACTTTTCATTACTTTCAACGGCTACAAAATAGGGGATTTGAAGTTGTTAATTTCTTTTTTCAATTCAGAAATATCACCTCTTGATATTCCAATAGTTTTTCAATATCTTTTGTTAGTTGATTATTTGTTTTCAGTAATGTTTGTCGATCATTTTCCGATTCTCTAAAAGAAAAAATCCGTTCATGACGAGAACAACTAAGTTCATCACATACCGAAGTCGATTTTCTAGTTGATCAATAGTACTTTGTACTTTATTCAACTGCGCGTCTTTGTTACGAATTGTCGCAATGAGAAAATCGTACGGTTGCTGAGCTTGATCAAGTATTTTATTTGCATTGTCCAACTAAAACAGAACTGAATCAAATCCAATCTCGAACGCCTGTAAATCAAACATACGTCACGATGAAGTTCGCTCTTCGTCTTTCGTTCTCGTTCTAATTCCGAACGTAACGACGTATTTGCTTGTTCTAGTTGAATAACACGTTTAGCTAAATGCACGGAATGCTGGAGACGTCGTTTGGCTGACGTTGGTAATGATGCACCGTAACCATAAGAAAACAACACCTTCTCCGCTTCGCCATCATTTTCAACTAATTGACAAACGATCTTCGAATAATTTTAAGGGAAATTTTGCACTTACCTTGCGCTGCTTGCATGACAACTTCGTCTAACTCTTGTTCAACCTTTTCATAAACTTGTAGTTTGGTTCGTTTTTCATTCAGTTCTGTATCGATCTCCATCAAACGTCGGTCCGATTGAACTTGTAGATTAAAATATTCTTTTTGAATTAACTAAATCAACAAACAAATCAATAGAGAAGATGATTTTCATGAGTAACCATACATCATTTTTCTTCTGTAATTTTTCAATTTCGATCTGTGTCGCTTTCAAGGTCTTCAAATTCTCTTCATATAACAATTGAACGCGGTCCGACTCGAAAGTTTTCAATTTTACTTCTGCCTGTAGTTCACCTAGTCGAACTTCAACATTGCTTTGATATTGACGAGATCTATTTACCAACGATAAGAAATCACTTTAGAAAAAAAGGCAATAGATCTTCTTACTCGTTCAATAATACATCGTATTTCCGTTGCAAATCTCGTTCAAGTTGAATATGTCGGTCACGTTCGAGCAATGCTTCGTCACGTGCATGTTGAAACGATCTATACGAACTGATAGGGAAGCGAATGAATATTGACGAGAGATTACTTACCGATTTTCTCGTTCGTACATTTCCTTTACTCCATCGCGTAATTTTTCGATTTCCAATGTTGTTTTCGAACGAAGTTGCTCCAATTCGACGGATAATTTATTCTCATATTCAGTTTTATACGCATCTCTAGAATTCCGTAATCAAAGTCGATGCTTAATGTGATCTTATGCATGTATACCTAGTTGAGATATGTTTTTCATAGAGAAGCTCCTTGGCGCGTTTGGTTTCATCAAGTGCAGCTTCAAGTGTTGAGAGTTTCTCTTCCGTTGAATAAAATTTATGTTGAATATCATTATATTGTCGCGTTAAATATTCTTTATCTTGTCGTAGAACAACTATTTCTTGACGTAATTCCGCCAACTACATATGATGAACAAAAACTATCTTCTTTTATGTAAATTCAATTATGTATTTTACTTGTAAAAGTAAATTTTCTTTTTCTTTTGTTTGCGTCTGAATGTGTAATTCATTCTGTGTTATTTGTCGATCGAGCTCAACAATACGATGTTCATATTGATCTCGTTCACTTAAGTAAAGAGCCAAGTTATTTTCGGCTATCAATACAAGTACATTACCTTTTAATTCGATCATAATTTTGCTTCTTGAATTCATTCTGTTCACACAAGTTTTTGTATTCATTCAGCTCTCCGGTCGTCTTTTGTAATTGCATATGAACAGTATGGTTTGAGCGACGTTCTTCATCTAATGCCTGAAAGGATAGATTTAGTTGACAAACTCACTCGCTAATGTTTTACTTTTTGAGTTTGAAGAAGGTCCTGTCCTGTTGCGGTCAGTTTACTGTCCAAGATGTTTTGCGTTCTTTTACAATTTTCATATTCCATTTCGATCGGACGTACTGTTTCGTAGAATTTGATCTGAAATATTCAAAATAGATCTTTGTTTTGATTCTTTTCGGAAGTACAAACCATAATGAAGTCTTTTAACGGCATTTGTTCCGAATTGATATTCGTTGACTTTAATATTCGATATTCTTCGTCAGTTGGAAGAATTTTATGTTGTAAATTGTGTCGAATTTCATTCGATTTTGATACTAAACGTGCATTCACGTCTTCTAATTGTCGCTGTCGTTCCATAATATGTGTTAATTGTTGACGAACTTCATCTTGTGAACGAAGTGCTAATTCACGTTCGACCTACAACAAAAATGCTGTTTTTAATCATTGATGTTGGTCTTTAGTCTTACTTGAAGTTGAGAATTGAGTTTAGTTTGCAACAGATCGCGTTGGTAAGTCATATCAGCTAGTTTCTCTTGCAAATCTTCACACTTTTCCTCATATTCGATCTTCAAATTTTGTATGAGAAGATCACGTTGATTCAATTCGATTTTCAGTAATTGAAGGCTGTGCAGTAGTTTTTTCGATTCGATAACATTTTTCATCACATTGTTGTCCAAAGTAGTCCGAGGTGTTGATATGAAACCGTCAAAATCGTTCCCGGCTGCACCCGTGGGAGAAGTATCCTATAAATATTTACATATTGTTTTTTGATAACATTTATCTTTTTTATTACTAAAAACTGCTGACATGCTTTTCTTCATATCTTTAAATGAATAGTCGTTTTTTTTAGAATAAATGAATACAATAAAAACAACTCCGGGGTAATGATAGATTAGATGTATTATGAAAGTATTGAATATCAAATTTTAGGCCGAGAAGTTTAGAACGACCAAAAACGATGTTACTACCGCAACTTCGAAACGAAGGAACACTGCCAACAATTACTGAAAAGCGTTCACCGTTTTTTAAAACTCTAAGTCAAGATGATCTTCTCTCGCCAGATTCAAATGACCTGGTTCAAACATGGCTTTTTGATCAACCAGAAGCGAATAAACATGTTCAATTCGCACGAGAAGAAACTAGTGAACGACAAGCGACATCAAGTCCTCGTTTACGAAATATTTATCAACAACCTCCACCGCCAACTGTAACAGCTTCTCTTCCAGGTAAATCACGAACTATCTCTACGGACAGCTATCTTGGATCTCTATTTCAGAAATCAAGATCGAAAACAAATCGGCGAAGCCACGTGATCCCTACGTTGCTGCGACGACCGAAGCCAAATTCTATCGTACCACTTCTCAGAAAGCATTGTCTATTTCAAGTACAGGATCATCAATATTATCGCCGCGTACGCGTCAGTCACCAATTATACCATCACCGCAAGCAGTCGCATCTAATTTCTTCTTTCGTGCACCGTCCAACGAAGTAGCACGAAGTTATATTAGTACACCGACTACAAATCGAGATCGGCCGTTGCCATTGTCTTCACTCGAATTGAATCCAAGTCTATCTGAATCGGATCGAAAGCGATTCGACGAAATTCGTCAACAAGTTCCCGAAGAATTTGATCAATTACTTCCGACATTAATCCACGTCGGAGTGATTCTCTGGCCGAAGCGACTCTTCGACAATAACATACAACTAACTGTTAAAGAACGCAAACAACGTCAACATTTACTTTCCATTATCGACAAGAATAATCAAGAAACTGAACAACAACAACATCTTGAACGTTTATACGGCAGTGTCCTTCCCACTGATGATATTTCACGTAAACATCGTCTTCTACGAGAAAATCTTTCATTTCAAGGTCAACTCTCATTGATTAAAGCGTATCATGATGCAATCGAGGATGAATTAACGAACCATTTCCCTCAATGGAGATCAATATCGGTGCGAGCACTTCAACCAAGTTTGACTGAAGACACCAGTTCCGTCATTCGCTCATCGATTTTAACTACAACACTTCGCGCCAAACAAAATTTCTTAAAAAATAAAACTCTTTCGACTGTATCACAGTTCACTAACGACGAATCATCGTTTCCAATCATACCCGATGAAATCGATGATCAATGGCAAAAGAAATCTCTGGTGAAAGTCATCGAACAAGGCATGCTTATTCTAGATCAAACAAGAAAACTAGGCGAGATCGATGCAATCAACCAAGAAGTCGACTTCGAACTACAAGCCCAGCAATGTGTTCGAAAATATAAACGTTGGATATTTTTATGGTCAACACTTTTCACTGATGAGAAATATTTTCTATAAATTAAAAATATAATACATACGTCAAGAAGAGAAAGTCCAGCTAATCCAGGAAAGGTTGGATCAGTTGGTAGAGTACTTTCTGAACTATCGTGATCATTATTGAAGTCTAAATCACTATCAGCATCATCGAAGCCATTCGTTGATTTCTTCTTGGACTTTTTCGACATTTTTCTATTAAGAAACCGCAGAAGAATGGAGGCAGTCGATCAGCTCGTTCTCGTTTTATTCATCCAATTCTGTTCCACCATGGAAGATAATCGATCCTATGACAACAGAGGACTAGTTCAATTCTCAACCGTAAGTTATTCGATATTGATTATTTTCTAAGAAGAGAAAACTTAATTTCGGATCGAATATTCAAGATTACATTTGAATTTAGAAATATTTCGTTACAGCGACATCTATCGGTCTTCCTGACTGGAGATAGCGAATGTCAAATACACTATTACCTTCGATAAAATATAGTGCGTCCGAAGCGAAGGTGATCGATATTTTCATTGAATTTGCCAACAAATGGAGATCGTCATTCAACAAAAACCGACTTATTTAACCCCAATTCAATGTGCACGTCGATTTGCTGATGATCTTCTCGAGGTTTGATTGTTTTCTTTGATATTCTCATCCATTTTCCAGATTCTCCTTGTAGAACAAAGATATTTCCCAATCAATGACAGACTTAATTTCACCTTCGTACTTAATATCATTGACAAACATTGCTAGCATGTATTTGTCATATGAACGTTCACTATTTCTATCGACTGTCGCCGAAATCGGTTCACTTTGTTCAAGTAAATACTACGAACGTGTTCACTATTTTATCTCATTTCTCGATGAGTTGATTGAACTTCATCAGAATGCAAAATACGAACATTTGATTAACAACTATCTCGAGCAAATTGTGTATGCGGATTTAACCGATCATTTCATCTCCTATCCAGTTCTATTGCAAATTCAAATCATGAGCATCATCGAAGATTCACCTGTCCTTCGATTTCCATTGATGAAAGAAGATTCCGAGGCTGATCAAGCGAAGATCGATCTCTTTCTTCGAGATGCCGGTAGAGAAAAACATCAACAAGCTGAAAACTCATTGCATATTCCTTTCTTTAGCTCGATACTTCTACAATATCACATCCCGGACACTTTATCGTCGTCTTGTCTTTCGTCTTGATCCGTATCTTTCGTCACAACAAACAATCTTTCGCGCTCTATTGATCGGCTGTATTTTTCTTCCATTGACATGTCATGCGGCGTATTTAGACGAGCTGTACCAACTTTTATCGAAACAATCTCAGTTTCTATCGAGTGAAAACATGGAAATTTTCTATCACGTCCTTGGACCTTCGAGTATCAATCAGTCGTATTCAGTTGCACGCGTTTATCTCGCACAATTACTAATCGTTCGATTGATAAATGTTCGCAAATATTTCGCACATATTATCAAAATTTGTTTTTCAATTTACTTACGTGTACCAAATATACGCGTCAATCTGATGGACGTTATCGAACCTTTATGTGAAACAAAAGGTTTTCAATCGTACTTAGATCAGCAACAGTATGAGATGAACATGTAAGATTTTCCGATAAATGAGACAAAGGACATGTCATTTACTTCGATTTAGAGTTCGACAAAGTGGACAACAGCATGTTTCTCTCATTGAACCATTATTCCAACAACTTCGTGATCGTATGAAACGAGGCTTTCGATTGAAGCAATTGTGTCGTATGAAAGTTCGTTCAGTACTTGCTCGAGATTCGACTCAACCGATTCTTTCGCAAATAAATCAGCTAAAAGATTTATCGGAAAGAAATAAAGCATATTTAACATATAACTTAGATGTTTTATTGATTGAACCCGATAGATATGTTGAATCGACTCAAGCACAAAACGAACCAGTTTGGAATTCAAGTATTCCACCACCACCAGTTAATTGAACAAAATGACAATTATTTATTTATTTTTCACGATAAATTATTAAAAAGATTCTTTCTCTTTTTATGAATGAATATTTCAATAAAAATTTCGAATACGATCTCTTCTCTATTTGACTGTGTGTGATGTTGATACACTGACTAAGAAATTTGTTGTTAGCAACCGATAAGATGACGTTGGTGAGTCACGCACAGCAAGAATATTTTGCTGAAAACATTGAGTAGTAATACCAGTTCTTCTTCTTTGGATATTTTTGAATTCGAAGAGACAATGGCTGATTGTTATGGATGCCGAAGACCTTTGAATTGTTCGTGGTATGTGTATGTCATTGATTCGCCTCATTTCGAAGCTACGAATTGCTTTGATATCAGCAGTGGATATTTATGTGCTACTACTCCGGACTGGGTCTTTTCTTTTTGTGATTCTTGTTGGCATAGATATACCGTTGCACTCTCATCAATTATTCACAAAAACCAAATAAATGCACTAAAACAAGAAAACTATCTATTACACCAGAAGCTGACTACCAGTGAGCAAAATTGTGCCGCGTTAGAAAAAAAACTTTCTCGTCTCAACACTCAGAATCAATCAGTCGACAACACGGATATAACAAAATTACGTCAATTCATCGAGCAACTGCCTGTACTGCAAATGGATGTCCTACAAAGACTTTCAAACCTTTGTATCGAGCATTTCGAGGGTGATCATCATGAAATATCATCCAACTGTTCATCGCAGTGTACCACATCATTTGTGGAAAAACTCGGTTCAAATATCAATGGCATATTACAAACTGTACAGGACACTTTGACTCAACGAAAACAAACGAGGGAAAACATTTTGGAAACATTATTATCTAGCTGCATATCGGAAGAGACTATTGGTGCTACTTTAAAACCGCTGGAAATAGAAATCGAACAGATACAAAGAAATTTCCAGGTGTGGAACACATTTGCGAGTATGTTTACGACTACTTCGAACCAGCATCCGGTTCTGAAACTATTCTTAAGACAAAGTGGATCATAATTAGCGTTTGATAACTTTTTCTTTATTGTATTTTGATGTCTGTTCAATAAATGATATATTCTCGACACTTCTATGCTGACATATTCGATCATCATTTGTTAAAGATGAAGAGAGAACACCAACTGTTTCCTACTATCAACTCTGTGACCTCGATGGCTAGGTGCGTGAGTAATTATATAAGAAGTTTTCTGCATATCTGTGTGTATCACTTCTTCCGTTTATGGTCTAGAAAAACAGTTATTAATTCATTCTGATACAAAACAACAACACCTGAACGTTCTAAATCGATAACGAGCTTTTGCCCCTCATAGAGCCACCGATTCATTTGGACTGATAGTTAACGTTTCAGTCATTCTCTCTACTACATCACCGACGCAGTTTTGGTGAATTTCACTATTGGAATACATATCTGCAACATTGCCAATAACATCGAAAATATTCTTAATGAGCCCAACAAAACGTTGTACCGATTGGGAATTTCCGTAATAACTTTACACAACTATTTTGACTTCCATATAGACGGAATGTACCTAACAGAAAACTATCGTTCGATGTTTTTCCAGACATGTAAACAAGACAACAGCTGGATAAGTATATAAGAATAATAAACATGATCTTCAACAACGATCAATCAAGGTCAAGTCGTTTTGTAAGAGCAAAAGATTGCTCCATGATTTCTGACCCATAAACGTGATTATAGCTTTCCGAACATGCACGATTGTAGGAAACGTCAGCATCGCGAAATTCGACGAGAAATGATCATTTTGAAGAAGATCTAATGCTGGTAAAATACAAGTGGGCTACAAATCCAAAGCAACGCACAGATTACTTTCAATTAAAACACGAAAAATCCTACCGGTTTTGCTCGATCGTGTGATTTTCATGTCGTCTTCAATGCTACCGCTTCTACATGCTTCACAAGAACGTGCACCGTAATTTATGATAAAAGCCTTGTCGCCGCAGACTTTACACTGTGAGAAAAGACTTTTTTACCGTTATTTTCTCCAAATTCAAATGTTAATGATAAAGATCGTTTTGATGGCGTTTTCAAGCGAATAGATTCTTTCAAACGGAATGCTTTTGAGTATGCACTATTCTAAAAACAAGTTCAAATGTGAATTCAATGAGTAACCACGCTCTGTTGGTCATTAAATAAAAACAAAGAAGCTTTAAGAAATACGATTTAAAGAGTAAAGTCTTGAAAATGATCAAGTTGGCTACTTAAATTCCATATTCACATTTTCATTCTGATTTTCTAGGTGTCTCACTTGCCTCATTATATAATACCTAATCTAATGGAAGCGTTCTACCCGCTCTTACTACATACGTCATTTTTATAATCTAGGGCGCTATATAATTAAAAAATATTACGGACTATATAATCGTGATTCTAGTGACAATGGATCCATAGAAATATTTGAGAAAACATTAAATATCTGTTTTAATGTAATATAAATTTCTTTTTCTGTGCCGTCATCTTAGTCGGATTTATTTTTTCCCGTCAAGAATACCTTCATTTGACTTTCTATCCGACAGGTAATGTAATCTCTGTTTCAGACACATCCGCTTTTCCTTTCTTTCCCTGTCGACAGGGCAATTTTCTCAAAAGGAAATCTGGTATCTACATAGTTTTGTCACGCATTGCTGACGTCTATTTGTCCTCGTTATGTGTTCATCTGAAATCTTACACAGAATAGACGCAAGTTATCTTTCTCTGCGCTCTTAAATGTCGGTGTAAACAAAAAAAAAGGTCGCGCTTAGTCGAAATAAGATTTGCCGACGATCAACAAAGGGAGTGTACTTGAAATCGACGATCAATTTTATTTGAGATAGTTCATAGATTTGGTCCACATGTAAACAGACATACAAATTTGAAACTAGATAAACATACATACATCGGTAATCAAGCAAGCGATGCGTTTAACTTGTGCCAACTATTTTGCCCCAAAGAGCTACTGGTTGGTTTTGGCTAACATCTAAGATATCTTTCGTTTCCTCAACGACTTCATCAACAAAAGTCCGATGAACCGAATGAGTTGTATAAACTTCTGCTATATATCCCAACATATTCACTACATGTCCAATAAGTTTACTAAATCGAATGATCGTCGCATTATAACCGTACCGATAGTTCATATATTTCCAAAGCAGTTCAACATAAATATTTTGACTTCCAAATAGACGAAATGTTCCGAATAGAAAACTATCATGAAGAATATTCGAACTGTCAAAATCGACAATAAAACAATTGGAAGAAAACGCGATGATAATAAGTAACAGTTGAAATAATGTAGAGTCAATATCGAGACGTTTAACTAGAATCTTCGATTGTTCAATGTTATTAAATCCATAAGCTAATACATAACTTAGACAACACGCACTATTATCGAATATTTCACTATCACGATAAAGAAGATTTGAATAGAAACAGCCAATCCCATGTAAGTTACGCTGGAGAAGAGATTTCTGTTCATTGATACAAAGTACTTGAAATTCAGGTGTACAATCAATTAATGACTGCATTGACATATACGCCGAGCCGATCATTTTAAAAGCATTGTCTTGAGTAAATTGCGTTTTTAAGTTTGTTAACGAAACATTTTGAGCAAGGTATTTCATTTTAGACATTATTCCAAATCTGTCAAAAGCATGTACAACATTCGAAATCAATGTCCATTGTGCTGGAGTCAGTAACGAACGATCATTGGTTAAAAGATCTAGAGGAACTATTTGATAGTTTGCTTGTGTTGAAGCTTTGCGTTTATCTTTACGATTAAGATTTGCCTTCATTCCAGTGGAAAAACATTTTGCTAGACGACATGCGGCGCATGTATGTCGAGTTAACATATTCACTTCACATTCATCATTGTATTGACACGATCGAACAATCTAAAGTGAAAAGAATCCATCAATCGATGGGAAAACAATGCATGTAAATTGACAGACTTCAGGATGTAAATTATATCGACGAAAGAACGTTTTACATGATTGACATGACAACACACCATAGAATTTAATGCGAGCTTTATCACCACACACTCGACATGTCATCGAATCATTTCTGTCAAAGACGAGATTTGCTTCTAACAATGATCGTTCGAATATCATCTAAAAAATACAAATATATCTGGTTTATAGATACGATGAATGTAAATAAACATATTATTGTACTAAAACTCAAAGACGACATAATTACTTTTCTTATTCGTCAGCATGCATTCCTTACTTGACTAACCGTGTTGTTTCTTTTTCTTCTTTTGTTTTTCTCTCTCCGTCATGTGTTTTTTTTCCTTCCATATGCTTGCTCATCGAACACACTTATTTTCTAGTCTTTTCTCTCTTGCGTTCTTTCCTCGGCAGAACCTTTATATTTTTTTTCTTTTCTTAATCAATCTCGATTTTAATATCTGTTTACGAAAACAACAAGACCCGGATTTTCGTTCATCCTCACATTATGGCGACAATGGAATCTCATCGAGTAATTCATGTTGATAGATTATCCAAAGACTTTGGAATAAATACGGATCGGTAATAGCAGGCAGCATAACCTCTACTTCCGAGTTCAAAAAAGCAACAACGATCCTTTTCGGAGAACATTTATTTATAGAACCGCTCTCATGACATTGATTATATGAGTGACGACGTTCAATATGAGTTCTTTTTTGTTTTAGAATAACGCTTCTTCGTGCAGACTTATTGATTCTTTCTAGGAAAACCAGACAGCTTAGACAAAAGGACAGTTTTGCGTTAATGAAAAAAAGCGGTAGAAGATATTTCCGTCATTCGAGAAGATTTATTCACGCTTCACATATATATACAACTTCGTTCATTGCGAGAATATGAGGGTGAAAAAAAAAGCTATAATACAAAAGAAAAGGCAGGATTAACCATTGGAAGAGATGCACGACGGGCAGCCTAAACATCGAAATGAGAAATAGACGACAATTACAATTTTTTTGTTTTACCTCGATAAGTTTTCGATACTCTAGAATATAAAAAGAAAGATGTCACTTTCTCACTTGATTATCCAGTATGTTCTTACCTTCTCTACTTATATCGAAATCTTTATCGTTCGCTTTTTTCTCTACAATACAAAGAATGACGAATAAATCATCGAATATCACAGCGAAACTAACCGTGTGATTTGAACACAAATGACGGTCGTTTCTTCTTCGAAATATGCTCGTCGATACTCTTTCGTTTTGGTTTGGAATTTTCAATACCCATTTGAACAAAATATTCAGGAGAGGTGAAGTTTTATTCCGAATTTCATGGACATATCATTACGAATGCATCGAGTATATATAGACACACAGATATTAAAGAACGACGCATTATTTATCAAATTAATTGATCTATATATGCAATTTTATGTTATAAATAGGGAAACAAAATTAATTTTCTTTGATTGTAATTAACATTGATTTATTCGCAAGTTGATGACTAAAAATATAACATATGCGTACGGAGAAATGATTGACAGAATTAATTTTCTGAAATATTTATGTCGTATCGTCTTCGACTAGAAAATAATTTGAACTGCGTTACATGCACTCGAATGAAACTATGACAGTCAGACTTTCAAAGGGTTTATATAATTTATTTTAAAATTTCTCAAATGCTTCTCCGCATGATGAACAAAATTTAGCTGTAAGATCCTGACGAACGAGTCCACACTTGAGACAGGTTTCTATTGTATCGACACTATAAGGTGGTGGTGGTGGCGGCGATGGCATGTAACAAGGTGGTTGACCAATAAAAACAGTTGGTGCAGTAGAGGAAACTGTATTTGAATAGTATACCGCAGTTCCGGATTCAGATGCATTGGCTCGGCCAACATCGATGACAATCTGAATGATAAAAGAAATATACATAATCACAGTTTGAAAGTATCGAGAACTCACCTGATAAATCACTTGATTATGATGACTATGGATGTACGCAGAACCGATCAAACCTCTTGTCATGTTCAATCTCCAACTGCACGGTATTGGCGACCTAGCTGAATACTTCATTGACTCTTGACTAATAGCTTGTCGCATTCGTGCGGAGCGCTGTGTCTGTATGACACAACATCCAACACTGAATACAATTGAACCAAACGATGTTAAACCAATACCAACGCCAATCAATGCATGAAATCCAAATTCACGTGATCTAGTTCCTTGTATTCCACCAACAATAAAACATATCATACCACCGATGATACAACCAGCGAAAAGCAGTCCGACGATCATCATCCACGCACTCGAAGAGATTGCTCGGTTAATTTTTTGAATCGATTGTTGAAATTCTTCTGGATTGATGATGCCTTGCAGATGTACGGGATAAGTTGAATCGAATTCTGCTTTCAAACATCCCGCTAAAAATAACATTCAAACGATTGAAAAACAATGTAAATGTTTTACTCTGAATTGTAGGTATAAATATCGAATTGGAATTTGTAGGTAGAGCAAACATGTTAATTTTAATCTTTAAATCTTACGTTACAACGATAAAAAGAGTTAACTGCTCAGTGAGTTATGCGCGAGAAACAAGTCTATTCCTTGGTATAGTCATACAGAGAATAAAATCGCAAGCGAGTTTGTTCATAACAGCAACACTAAACGTGTGTTAGTTCATCTGTTTTGTCCGCATTTAAATCAAATGTTTAGAAGTTCTCTTATCAAAGTTACATGATGGAAAATATTTGAACAGGTATACTTCATCTTGCATCAAGGGAATATTTGTTTTTAGCATACAAAACTTTTATTAACTAATCAAATCGAGGAGAAAGACCGAGGCAGAGGATGTTTCTGTATACAGAAAAGAGAAATTTATCTTCTTTGCGTCGGACGATAATATCGTTGTTGCGGGTTGTATCGCGGTCGTTCATTAATGGGTGGTGGATCTTGTAGAACAACTGTTGATAAAGGTTTTGTATACCCTTGTTTATCTGAGATTTCAACTGAACGTTCGATTAAGTTAATCACATCTTTCGGTGTTTTTATCGTATCATCCATTCTGATTGCTTTGACAAATTCGCTGTATCGATCCAATGTTTTAATTGCTTTAAGCTTCTGCTGGAAATTTTCGACGATCGTGTCTGGTGGATAACCATAACGTCGATCCAAACGTCTGAAATACAAAGAACGCTCGATATGAGAAGATTCGTATGAGATACTACGCACCGTTTTACATCAGGCACAATGAATGTTTGTGCCATTTGTAGATTGAAGACTAGCAAATGATTCGATACTTTCGAAGCTTCGAAGACTGTGAATAGATCTTCGGTTTCCATTTGGCGCAAATCCGGTATACGACCATTTTTTTGAATCCAAAAGATCTGTCGAGCGAAGTATTCTTCGTAAATGTATGTTCGAATTTGTTCAAATTGATATTTTTGTGAAAGAGCGACTTGAATAAGAAATTCACCGATATCCGGTATCACTCTCTTATTTCGATTCGCTAGATCTTTGGTGAATTGTTCGATTCGATTGTCAATTTGTTGACCTAAAACAAACGCATGAAGAACGATTCATCCTTAAGATCGAATCGACTTACTTAATTCAGGATAAATATCAATGAAGTGCATTAGTAAACGCAAAAAATGACAATATGCTTCAATAGCATGCTTAGATTCGAACATTTGTCCATTGAATAGTTGCACACCAGATTTATTCATCAATGATGTCAGAACATTCAGTGCCATGATTGGTTTGAAATCGTTTGTTTTACTTCCACAAGCAGTTCCCGTTTGAATGATACTGAGACTGTTTTCAATCAAGGTCCGACTCTGTCGAAAATGTTCATCATTGATGTAAATCGGTAGCCAATGATTGTAATCTTTGCCGGTAACAGAACGAAATCTCGAACGTTCATAGAAATCCAACTTATGTCCGCCTGATTTTTGGATCTCGGCGACGTAGGCATCGTACGAAATCAATTCCAATACGACATCTGACCAAAGACGACCATATGAATCACGTTTGATGAGCAACGGATAGCCTAAACAAATTTTGTCGTCGAAAAGATTTTGTTTAGTAACACCACATGTCAGTTTTTCCATTAATTCCGCTAGATTTTGCATTTCTTCCTGATTGTTTTTATTTGATTGTTGATCTTGACCAACTTTTTCTGCTGAATTATAATCAACAATAGCAGGATTGGGTTGTGCATATGTATGACCACATGTTGCACATTGAAAAGCTTCTACCGTACGTTTTAGTGCGGCAATACTTTCAGGTGAAATAGTAGCATAGTGGAAGTCCGGATCCGCAAAAAACGTAACGAGTTGAAGAAGAACAGTAGAAAGAGTATATCCCGGACTAGAAAGAAGACATACGAACGTCGAAATTCGAAGCGAAAAAACGTTTTTTTATCACCTCCATCCACTCCCTTGTTTCTGAGCACCTCCATCAACCATACGAAAATGTACGGCATAGTTGGTTAACAAGTCGTTACACAAAGCATGGCCGTTGCTGAATATATATAAACCAACAATAGAAATTGATCGATAAGAATAACAATAAGCATACCTGTGATCGTCATGTATGTGTGCATGATAGCGAGAATTGAATTCTAAGCCCGGTGCGACATTCCCGGCTGGACCGGTCAACGGGTAGTTGTCAGGAATATGGAGAATTAAATGGACGATAATATCTTTGTAAGGCCCATCGTTGATTAATATCTATTGAAGAGAGGATGGCCTTTGTATGAAAACAAAGATTATCAATACCTACATTACAATGTAAAACGAATGGATCGGATTCGTTTGGACAGGTAACACCAATGCCAGGTATTGGATTTCTATCCAAATCTCTCAAATCTCTACATGACAAAACAATGAACAGATATGTATATTTCTCGTCACATACCGCATAATTCGTTTTGTTGCAGCTGTTTTGACATTTTGAGGCTTGAAAGTTAAACTCATCTCGTCGAAGAAGCTTTATCTTAAAACAAAACGTAAATAGATATGTTACAAACGAAGTCAGAAACCACTGAAATGGCCAGAATACCACGTTTTAAAAAGCGAAAGTATTTATATGTATAGGTCTTGCACCACGCACCACACAAGCCTGAAAGTCACGTACTTTTATTCGGTGAGTGTAATTTCTCTTGTAGTCATTTCACCACGATAGGTAAAAAAGAAAGCTAGATCACAAACAATGGAAAAAACGACGAGAACTAAAAATATAATAACATGTACATTGGTCACGTTGTTTTATAAAGGATAAATCTTTAACAACGGATAACGATCGAACGACAGAAGATAAGAGCATTTATATATGTATCCCACCAATGTATATTTCAAGTAGGTGATTACCTGGGAAAAACCTATACTATCGCATATATAAGAGACACATGGGAAAAGACCAAGAAAACACGAGCTGGGGCTTACTGTATATTTATACGAGAAACAAAAGAAAGAAATATGTCAGAGAATTGTAACAGAGAGAACATGTGATAAGAATGGAAATATCCTCGGTGAATACATGTCACAACGTGTTTCAATATGTTAGAAATGTGGTGTAATCCACTTTTATTATCGACCCACAACGTCACTCACTGGGTTTTTTCCAACTCGATAGTCATTGAAAAGAAACACATGTCTACGGTTGTGTCAATACACGTCGACGTATTCGAAAATAGAACGAAATGAAGCACATGTGTCGTTTTTTTCGAAACGACTTTTGCATGTGACAGCATATGAATATAAACAGATTCATACTTGTGGCGAATATATTTTATTTAAGATACTTTCCGTTTCGAAAATATTCAAAAATTCAGTTTTATTACAAACGAAACGAGCGTTTAAAAACCTTCGCTGCATCCGAACCATTTGCATTGTAACCATCTCAAGAAATCTAAATCAAGCGGTACGGTTTGTTTAATCCACATGGCTCGACGTTGACTATCATGATCGCCAACCATTTCACCGGTGTTTGGATGGAATAACACTTCAAATTCGCCATGGTTCGCTGACATCCATGAAAGTGTATCCATCAACAATTCATTTGGTAAATAAACACCCCATTGTCCATATGGATGTGGACCGTCGACACCCATAACTGGATCCCATACGCACATGCGTGTACAATTGTCGAAGATACCTCCCATAAAGCAGTTGCCGAGACATTTTTCAATATTGAAATAGCTCATAAATTGTTGACGTATGGCAAGGGCACGTGTTGTAACATTGACGTTCTCATGAAAGAAATATACATGGATATGCCATGAATAGTAGTAGAGTGTTTCGTTTCCGGAAGGCAAATGACGTAATTGTGGATGAAAGTCGTTATTTGGTTGACCAGGTAATGGTGGAAAGAAGAGATCAGCATGTGTTTCCGGAGATGTTTCACCAGCTTTAATTGCCACAACGCGTTGAGTGGCAACCGATTCCTTCAATGGTTTCCGTATCGATGCGCGAGCTCTTGCACGAATGTAGTCATTTCGGAGAGAACTGTGGCAGTTTACCACAGCTAGAACAATTAAGATCAATGCAAGACAACGAAGCATGATATAAAAAGATCAGTGAACATGAAACTTTGTGAAGAAATACACGACTTTAAATATGCCTCCTTATCTTTTGTTTTCTACATGTCATTGATGACACGCCTTTCGTTTCGTTATCATCATCGAAATCATCTTGCAAAAGACGTCGAAAGTCCATTCGCGTTGCAATAAGCACGATTGAAATTTATCGACGGTATTGTTTGATAGACAGACGAATGTGTATCATTGACCTTGTGATTTTAATGTTCAAAAGTTTTTGATCGATTTATATCTGTATGAAATATTTAAAGATAAAAACGATATGCGTAATTATATAACTTATCGTCTGTTTGTTTGCCTCTCATCATGACATTTGCAATATAACGAACGACCCTTGACCATATCTGTCTAACAAGCTATATACACAAATCGAAGTCTTCGCTTCAGAGTATACAATGTCCATTGTTTATTTCGCTCTTAACACGCTATTGGGATTCATTCGAATCCACCAAAAACATTGGTAATATTGCATATAGATGTATTTACTTATTTTGTGTTAGACTGTTGAGAACGCGTCATGATTCATTTTGTGTGACTCACTCTTTATGGCAACGTCATCAGCACGTTGTTTTTCTTTTATACCTACTTGTTTATGAATTCTTTTTCTGTTTTTAGTTATGTTAACGTTGTTTGAAGTTTTACACGTCGGAGTTTTCATACCAATCTTATACGATGTCTATTCGTGTTGTGTCATATAATGTGCTGGTGCCTATTTATGCTGATCAACCAGATTTTTATATTCATTCTGATCCTCGATATTTGAAGACAAATTACCGATGGAATTTAATCAAATCTCAGTTAGAACAAGAAATAACCAATCATCAGAATACAATCATTTGTCTACAAGAATTATCCCGTACTCTTCTATCAAATTTTGAAGAACTCTTTAACAAATATAATTATACATTACATTATTGCCTCTATGGTGGACCACATAACGATTATATGGGTGTAGGTATTGCAGTTCCGGCATCGGTGCGAGTCAACAAGAGATCGATGATCAAAATTGGCAGTTACATACGATCTATGACCAGACCTAGAGGAGCAGCCGCCAATATAATTTCACAGATAAGATCCTTGTGTGATCGCCTCGCTCGCAAGCCTTTCAAACAATCAATAGATCCATGGGAAATTGCTATGGCCAGGAATAATACACTTGTTTGCCTGCACGTCACTTTCAATGGTAAATCATTTTGTATTGGCACGTATCATATGCCCTGTTTATATGACACTCCTGATGTCATGATCATTCACGTATCGGTCGCCAAAGATCTCATGTTTCATTTAGCAGATGGTCAAGATTTTATTTTTACTGGTGATTTCAATATCGAACCACACAATGTATGCTATCGCATACTGACTAGACAAGATTTTTCCGACTATAGATTTCCTGCATCGAACTCTTATGAAATCTCTTATCGACCGCATACTAAACAAATCTTGAAGAGTGCATATCGAGAAAAGAATAACAAAGAACCTGCATACACGAATTATACACATCCATCTGGCATGCCATTGTTTTGTGAAACGATTGATTATATATTTTTCAATGGTCGTATACAAGTGCAAAATGTTTTGAAACTACCCGATGAAGCTACGGGTAAATCCTATCCGGATGAAACTCATCCATCGGATCATATTATGATCGCGGCAACACTTCTTTTATAATAATTCTCAAAAAATATTTTTCCGTGAAGATTTTTTTCATATTAATAAGAAAATACAGTTGCTCAGAACTAGCTCATCCAATAGTTTTACTTTCGATAGACATAAATTATACCTATGTCACCAGTATTCGGAACAGATGTCATGAACGACGCTGCACATCGAGCCATTCATGAAATCGTAAAGAAATGCTTATATCTACAACACTATTCTTACGTCATTATTATCAAATACGATGAGTCATCTAATAACAACGTAATATACACGTGGCATCTATATATATAAACTATAATCATCTACTTTTTCTCACACTACTTCACAGTTCTTTTACAATGACTATTCGCATCGTTTCATACAATATTTTAGTTCCAATATATGCTTCTCTACCCTATTATTATCATAAATCAGAACGACGATACCTCGAAACTGATTACCGATGGAATTTAATTACGTCACAATTAAAGCAAGAGATCAATGACCATGAAAATACAATCATTTGTTTACAAGAACTGTCTCGAACATTGATTTCAAAGTGTGAGGAATTCTTTCGCGAATTAAATTACACGTTCTATTACGATCTGTATGGTCAAATATACAATAACTATATGGGCGTAGGTATTGCCGTACCAGCATCCATAGAAATCAATCACATGTCAATGCTCAAGATCTCCGATCATATACGGTCATTGAGTAGACCTCGAGAAACGCTCTCGGGTATATTTTCATGGATACGGCCTTGGTATAATTTCATAAGTGGAACTCTTTCTCAAAGTACGAATGATCCATGGGAAACAGCAATGAGTAAAAATAATACACTTATCTGTCTTCAGGTGACGGTTGACAGCAAATCGCTATACATTGGAGTATATCATATGCCGTGTTTATATAAAACTCCTGACGTCATGATGATCCATTCGTCGATTGTTAAAGATCTCATGTTTAAACTAGCAGACGGCAAAGATTTAATCCTAGCAGGCGATTTCAATATTGAACCGCATAATTCTTGTTACAATATGTTAACCGGAAAAGATGTTTCTGGTTATAAATTTCCTGTATCGAGCTCTTATGAAATCTTTTATCAATTAAATAGTGAACAAACCTTGAAAAGTGCGTATCGAGAAAAGAATGGTCAAGAACCTTCGTACACAAATTATTCGAACATAATCAAATCATCGACATATTGTGGAACACTCGATTACATATTCTACCGCGGCGATCTTACGGTACAAGATGTATTAGATGTACCAGAACGTCCGGCCAGTGAATCATATCCAGATGAAACTCATCCATCGGACCATCTAATGATTGCAGCAACATTTCGACTAGTATAGCCTCATGTATTCTCTCATGTTAAAAGACTAGCATCAAAGAAGCATCACTTTGAAGTTTATTCAGCTCATCCGTAAAAATATGATGACGTAAACGAGCTAGATCTAAGAATAGAGTTTATATCTGGAAATGACAAATTAATTTTCTTGTTTCATTTTCATAAAAGCTGACTTTCAGCAGCATCCTTTCTACTATGTTGAATATGCACTTTCTCATTACACTTTCGCAAAAGAAATATCGACGATAGGAATTCTAATTGCACATCTTTTTATCCTTGAGTTCAAGTGAAATTCATGGCATCTTCGAATAGTTCATCTTACGAAATTCCTTCCTATGAAACTTCGACTTCTCGTACTGTCAAATTTACTATTATACTCGTTTTTCAAATCATCTCAATAAGTTGTTCGATCTTTCTTCTATTTAACTTGCTGACGAAGTCTGCACTTTATCGACCTCTACATAATCATACAATTATCGTCCTTGGATTGATCAGTTTCTTTCAAACTATTTCTGATCTTCCAATGGTACTGGCATATTTACACTTAGGTCAAGCTCCTACAACAGTTTTTTGTCTCCTATGGAACTTTTTTGCTCTTTCTAACTACGCTGTTGGCATATGGGTGATGACTTGGGCGTCATTTGAACGACATTTGTTGATTTTTCATGATAATCTAATGAAGACATCACGTCGAAGACTTGCTCTTCACTATCTCCCGTTAGCTTGCTCAATATTTTTCCCTTGGTCGTATTATATCAGTCTGATTTTCTTCTATCCATGCGTGAATACTTTCTATCAAACCTTTCTTTTTTGCGGTTGGTGTTGTTATGCACGAAATGATCAATTGGTTTTCTTTAACTGGCTGACATTTTCTGTTATTCCAACATTATCGATTCTATTTCTCAGTGTAACCTTAATCATTCGTGTTATTCGACAAAAATATCGTATGCAACAACAAATCCAATGGCGGCAACATCGGCATATGATTCTTCAATTATTAAGCATTTCCTTTCTCTACATATTGTTCGATACTCCATCGACTATCATAGGTATTGTTCAGTTATTTCTTCCAACGTTTGCTGTCGACATTCAAATTCTATATCTCATCTACATCGTTTACCTTCTACCATTGTTAACTCCATTTCTATGTTTGAATGGTTTACATCAATTACGGAAACGAAATCATCAACAGACTCACCCGACATTACCATTAACTCAAACAAAAGTCGCTCAGCGACGTTGAATAAACGCAATTATTTGTATGAAATCACAGTATTATTCTTTATTTGAAATAAATATTCAAGGTCGAACAAGAATTCTTTCGATATTTTCTAAAAACAGGCCCTGCAACTGTCCAGGATTAAGTGTTGGCATATTTTTTAATGTTAATTCATAGCCAACATTAGCTTGTGTCACAACACCAGTCAAATCTAAGTAGTAACCCATAAAACGATCTCGATCGATATGATCACGCGTATTGTAGCCTTTGTGTACTTGAATGGGAGTGTGATTGATCTCAGCTGTAATATTCCATTGGTCATTGGGATTGAGAATAGAAATGAATAGAAGAAGACGATGTGGTCCTAGCCATGATGCGTCGTTCAATTCTTTTTCTTGCCATGGAAGCGGGTATTGAGCTTGGCGTTGAGCTAATTGTTCGAGTAAAAGATCACTGACTAGAATTGAGTTATTTAAAACTTCAGCTGAACGTGGTAAATATAAACCAGGGAAGATTAATGAGTCAGTTAAGAGAATAAATTGACGATCTTGTTCGAAACGTTTTTCAATACCGTTCAAATAAACATTTGTAATCGATTTTATACTTGGTAAAATAATAAATACTGACTCTGTAGTCTCGGTTCCCACTTCACCATAAACACCGTCGATCATTAAGGTATATTCATTAGCAAAGTAAGCTTGACCGGTGATTCCAACAAGAATTGCCTGATCAATTGTTGAAGGAAATATTAATTCATAGACCGTGACACTTTGTCCATCTAATAACAAGCTTATAGTTTGATTGTATTCAACTAATTGAAGATATCTTTCTTGAGGATAGATCTCTTTTAATAGCCAGTAGCCTTGTTGATCAGGATAACGTAAATTTAGTTTTCCGTCGAGTTGAATCGTGCGAGTGACTTGTTTATAGCTTGGATTGAACAGGAACAGAAATCCATCATGACCATTGCATTTCATTAATGACCAATCTTGTTCAGCATTGAAAGGAATAGCATTTCTTATTTCCTCTATGTGTTCATCGGTCCATTTTAACCACGACGACCAAAACTGAATGAAATCTGCTGGCAATAAATAGAATTCTTCGACATCTCTTGCTGGTAGCAACGTATGAATCAGATTGAGACCCGATGTGGCGATATTCGACAATAATGAATATGGAAAGCCCATGTAATCAAAATCTCGTAAGTTATTATCAACCCATGGTAAACTCCCATCTGCTGCAGAGCGTTCTGATTGATGACCGATGAAACCAGGTATAGCATCCATTGCCGCAAAGTGTTTAATACGTAGTTCAACATTGCCTTGTCGCATAAAATCAGCAGATATTTTATCAGAATGTAATGATGGGTATAGAATTGGATATGTTTCCGGATTCTCATCACTTAACAGAGGTGATGTGTAACCATTGAGTGTTATCCATGACCATGGTCCATCGAATTGGGATGAATACCGATGATCCATAATCAGATGGGGTAAGGCAAGAAGTAACTCGGTGCGAACCCACTGCCAACCGCGCCATTGACTGTATGCCGTGTGATTAGAATCGTAGAAGAAATTATAATCCCAAGCATAGCCGCCAATATCTACAGTCAATCAGAAAAGATAAAAATATTTCCGAGACTTTTTTTCTTTCTCTCACCTGTTACTTGTGCGAAATCGATCAGTAATTGAAGAAAGTATTGTTGAAATTCAATACTTGCTAACGATGCACAAACAGTTCGACAATGTGGACTTGGAAATAACCATGCTTGATCTCTTCCGGCAGCTCGATAACCTAACGGTGGATAAACGTACGGAACTAATTTAACATTCTTCAATGCAGCATAGTCTAACAGTCGCTCGATCGTAGCAGGAATTGGATCACGATATGGTTTCCATTGTTCTAGACGAATTTGTTGTCCTAATGTTAAAAACAAAACGCTCTCCCAGTTCCAATCATCAGTGCTACGATCACGACTCGACACATTGGCATTCGATGGTGCAAATGTGATACTATTAATGCCGAGCTGAGCACATCGGTCGATCAAACGTTTGTATTCGTCGACACCATGAGATGTTGAAATATCGATTTGATAATCATTACTATCCCAACCGACTGCATGCTTGATCGATTGTTGACGTTGTGGAACTGGATAGAAGAAACTTGTCGCTTTTTCATAAGCAATTCTTTCATTATAGTTAATCTCGTTTGTATGCCAATACAGAGATAATTGATAGAAACCAATCAGAAAACCTTCACTTAAATATGGGACATTCATTCCTATGTTGTAAGAACTGGTAATGGTTTGATTGTTGGATGTAACTGCATAAGAGCCGAAAGGATTTTGCCATGTGGTGAATATTCCCAAAGCAGAATTCAAATTGGTTCGCAAGAAAGCCGTGTGTTGTTTACTTAAATCTTGTTGATTTTCAATGATAGACACAGATGTGATATTCCAATTCAGGATTGAAAATGTCGTTTGAAGCGATGTTATAGTTCTATTATATTTATTGGTGAAATAAATTTGTTTGTTAAGAAACTCCCATTGAGGTCGAAGTGTATAGATTGTGATTAATTGCTCATCGAATTGATCGGAACATGAATACGTGAAATTAATCGACTGAACATCTTGTTGATAGTTGAATAGTTTCGAACAATCGATGGTAGTTCCATTGATGGCAATAGTACTCTTTTCGTTTGTTACATTCGTTGATTGCAACTTATAATTCCAAGAAACTATTTGTCCGTTTGATAAATTAAATCGAACATTTAGAAATTCATTGGATAATTCATAAGAACTTATTGGTAGAATAAAAATTGTGAAGAGAACGACAAAATTGATTGAAAACAATGAATATTTCTTCATTGAAACGATGTTCTGCGAATAAAACAACAACTTAATTTGTAACTTGAAAACCGACGCGTGACATCTACCGATGACACAATTTTTTTCTTTTTCTTTATTTTAACAAGCAACGTCTATCTTCATAAACAAGATCACGTGTAAACGAAAATGAAGAAAAAAAACAATCTACTAACGACATGGACTGCGGTCTTCACCTTATATCTACATACGATTTGAAGCGTGAGCGTAAAATTGTCGTGTGTTTTTTTTCAATAAGTAAATAACAACAACAACTGGAAGTTTACACATATATTTCACAACAAAAGATTTTAAGAAGCCATTTGATCGATATCGTCTAGCAAGAGTTTGAACTCGATATCATCGACAAGGGTATCGACGTCGTATACATGAGCCGTAAGGGTCTGCGCATGATGTGTCAGCATCGTCACTGCTCGTAGCCAAAGTGTTAAATTAAGAAAACGTCGAACAGCTTCGAGAAGACCGTACCTATAGACAAGGTACTTCCATGTCACTTCAGCATAAGTATTCTGAATCTGGAGAAGGATAACGGGATTGACTAGATTGGTCAATACGTTCGATAAATGTATAGAAGTGTGTTGTGTAAGAGCGAATAATGATATTGCTAGTTTCCCTATAACGATATCAGAATCTATGTATTTCTTCCCTCGCTGATGTATGGATACTGTTTGTACGCCATATCTCGATGTCATCATGTGAAGAAAACTGTCGAGATTATATAATTGGCAATGATTCATACAAAATACACCGGTTATACATGCTACATTGTCGGCAGCTCCGCGTAGTATTAACGAGCGATCATCCACTGATAATTTACCGATATCACCATTCGAACATAAATATTTTCCTGCTGTTTGGTAGATTGACGTTAAGAACTCTTTGACACAGGTTGGGTCAGTCATGTGAAACGATTTATTCTTAATATAGAAATCAGCTAAACGATGACCGTTTACGATAAGTTCTGATTCATTGTAACTATGATATAAATTCGATAGCAGAGTCCACTGGCTTGGAGTTAATAACGAATTATCGGATTGTACAAGGTTTAACGTTGAGATCTGTGCGTGAATATATAAATAGTCAAGTAATTCTTTTTTTTATATAACGTCAACTCACTTGTGTATTGACTAATCCTTTTGTTGTCGGTTTCATTTGCCTTGACGGACGAAATCGATCTGTAGTCATTCCAAATCGAAAGCATTTGGCAAGTCGACATGCCGTACACAAATGCCGAGTATGAAGATTTATTTCACAATTATTGTTATAATCACATTTTAGCGTATCCTATCATGAACAAACCGAACATTTGTTTACTATCAATGAATGCTCCTTTGAACTTACCTTTTTACAAGTACCATTACGTTTAAAAAACATTTTACACGAATGACATGAGACAACACCAAAGTAAGAATATTGTGCTGGTGCTCCACATATTTGACAGTGTTTTGACAGCGGTTTTGTCTTCTGAATTTGGTTCATTGAGAAGAACTCGACTGTTTAAGATAAAGGTAATATTTGTACTCTTCACGTATGCGATGAATGGAAAGAGTTTTATACTCTACTCTGGAATAGTCTAGAAGGGAAAGTCTTTTCTAAAACTTATTAAGGTCCTTTTAATATTCTTCTTTTTATTAGGAATGAGAAATGTGGCTTTTGTCTTTAACGTACTTTCTATATTTTCTTCTAGCAGAACGACAAAATCGCAATGTTTTCTTTCCTTTTCTCTCGTACGTCCTGTGTACGTCATCAAGTTACTTTGCGATTATGACTAACATAACGACGCAAAACGATAATTTTCTCGACTATGCGAGTCATTCCCCAAGAATAGGTGCGTCGAAAGTTACCTCCTCCTCGTCGTCTATGACTCAACTTGCAATAATAATACTTTCCATTGTCAGTCAGTAATGAATGACGGGATCATCTATAATTTACCTTAATATCATGTAAGAAAAAGTGCATCATGCTTAAGAATTTCTTCTTGTATTTAGCTGTATATTCAAATCTAGGCAGATGATGACGGTTCTTCCTTTATATATGAAGTATCCGGTCGTTCGTGCAATTATCTCACTGACTTAATCCCTCTAGTAGGCCTGCTATGAACAAAAACTGAGAATGATATTCGCATACTTCACTGGGGTTGTGAATGAAGTTATTCAGTACGTGTTCTATTCTTGGCGATATGATTTTTGTTAAAGCTATGATGAATGACGGAAACGCATTTGAAAATGAATTTTGGCGTGTGTGTGTGCTGTGAATTATTGGTTTTTATGTTTCTGTTAAGAAAGGAGGCGTTTTCATGTTTCATTTCAAGTATGGAGTTATTATTTTTCTCTTGACACATCAGTGTGCTTTTTCAAAGAAAGAAAATGATAAAGAGCAGAAAAGAAATATCCGCTGGTTGTCTGCGTTCTTCAGCGAGCTGACTAACAGAAGATTTGTATCTCATATTCCTTTAATAAAGCATCTCAGTTGTTGGAAACAATAGTGCAATTACTGCATTTTCTTTCTAGATTTCTCCTTGAATAGCCATGCTGGGTACATGCTTAGTAGAACATGCCGAAAACTTAGAAAATGCCATAGTTCCACTATCAAATAAATGCCGAGTTTGTGGAAAAGACGCGCGTTATATTTTCTTTGGAGTTCGATCGTGTAATTCATGTAAAATGTTCTTCAAACGAAATGCTGAACGAGGACGAGTATTTATCTGAGTTGTGTATCGATTTTCATCTGAATTCGTTTTCATTTTTCCTTTCTAGGATGCTTTGAAATGTCAATTCGATAAACAATGTGAAGCAAATCTAAACAATCGATTCGAATGTTCATACTGTCGATTAATGAAATGTTTTCAACGTGGAATGTTAGTTGAAATGATTCGATCATCACATCCGAAAAAAAGCAACAAACACAAATCATCATCGAATGACATCAGACAAAAGAAGTCAAGCGTCCTAATTCAATCAAATAAATACCAACAGGTATTTTATATAAAAAAAAAGAAAATATTATTTCTCCGATAGCGATTTTCTCCCAAGAAATTCCTATTAGCAATAGCTAGTGTATATTCTGTTTATGACTTGTAGCCTTACATGTTAAATCTTGTCCAGGCTGATTTATCAAACTTAACCAATAGAGAATGGAATCTTCTTTCAAATGTATCGAATTGTTATAATGAACATAGTGGATTGATGAAAGGAAAGTATTACATGACCGAACAAGAATCTCTACCACTTAAATTACGTTTCAAAACAGCGCCTATGTTAGCCTTTATCAATTCGGTGTTTGAAGGAGCTCAATTGTTGTATAAAAATAATCAAGATTTTCTTACTCTATCACTCGAAGATCGATCGTCTTTACTTCATTCAACAACCCCATATACAGCTAGTGTATCTTCAAATTTCATTATGTATAAAATTGGCTTGATGAACAGCGCCGCATATTATAATTCATTAGAAATCATCACACATCCAAGTTTAATTCCAACGGCGAAGCGTATTGCTACACGATTGGATTTTGATGTCGTAGTTATGAAATTAATGTTAGCAATTTTATCATTCTCAACTATTCATTATACCGTTTATTCTCAAGCGCCGACAGAAAATATCTCAGATGTTAAGCAATTGTTAAATATACAAAATATTTATATTGAATTAACATGGAAATATTTGATCTATAAATATAGTTACGAACAAGCTGTTCGATGTTTTTCGGACATGATTCGATGTGTGTTTGCAGTCAATCAAGCAATGGTTGAAATCGAACGAATACAATGGTTCACAAATATGATCGATTCATTTGTGCAAAAAACGGAAGATATTCTGACTATATCCGGTTAACAAAGTATCTTCTCTTTGTAGTGATTTGAAAATAAAATGTATAGTAAATCTTTCTCATTCAAATAAAACGCAGATATAAACAAGTGAGAAATATTTATGTGAAATTATTGTCTTTAAGTTATGGACTTCTTTGAAGAGAATATTTTAGATCAAGTTCCCATTACTTTTCAGCTTATATTCACCTAAATGGGTGCAGTCGTGTGAAATCATCAAATACAGATGAATGATTACCAAAAATTAACATGAAACCTACCGGTAATTGCACGCCATATTCTGATGTGAGATAATGTGTCCTACGAAGTGTGTTCATGGAAATATTCGTAAATTGTAAATAAAATATAAAGCGACTTCTGTTTGTTTTTCGTGTTTTGTTATTGGTTAATTCTTTGACAATTCTGTTCTTTGTTTACTTCATCTGTACGATGTGTGACTAATTTGAATGCACTTTTTCGAATTATCCTTTATTGTCACTAATGGAAAGATGATCTAGATTCAGGTACCCGTAAAAGAGTTCAATGTATCAGGAACAAAATGAAGGTTTATTCTTAGAATGTCCTCGCATACGAACATGACTGATGTTGAAAAACCATTTATGACAAACGAGAGATTATCTTTCGTACCAGATCATCCAACAAAAACGAAAGTAATGAAAGATCATCAATCGTCATTTTATAACTTCATCATGTTTCATTCAGATGACACGTATGGTATATACATTCTGTAGTCTTATTGTGATAATATTGTTGATGTACGTGTACTATGGTGATGATTCTTGTGCGGAAAAGGATTTCATCTCATCAGCTACGCTTGTATCTGATCTTCGCAATGGTAATGTCAATAATCCTGTCGTTAATGTGACGAACGATTGTGCGTTACGATCTTTTACCATTGAAATGGCAGGTTATATTGCACCTTCATTTTGGAAAGAGAAATGGATAAAACTTAGTAGAGATGCTTTTCAAATGGACGAATGTAATATAACGACGGCAATGCATGATACTGATCGATCATTTCAAGTGACACCAGAAAGACAAAAGAGCAATTGTCAGTATCGGATATTTGTACATGGTTCCTTAGGTCATGATTCATACAATGGAACATTCGATAAGCCATTAAAGACTATTCCCGCAGCAATCTCAATGAGCCGTTCATTAAGACGTCTGTACAGTAAAGATTCACTCTTATGCATCGTTATACGTGAAGGAATTTATTATCTCGGTATGAGTGCAACAACGACGAGCAGTCAAATAGGTGCTATTGCATTAACTGTGAATGATGATAATCTAGTCATTGAAAATTATCAAGATGAACGTGTGGTATTGAGTGGTGGTTGGCCGTTAGATTTGCATTGGTCTGCTTATAGAACACTCGGAAATAACGGTACAATTATGCAAGCTCAAATACCATCGGACGTTAGACTTGACCTATTCAATGAATTATATATCGATGGAAAACGAGCAATTATTGCTAAATATCCAAACGGTGATCCTTCTACTCAAGGTTTATATGCGAAGACTCCAGGATTTGCTTTCGATGTACAAAAATGGTTGCCATCAACTTACAATCCAAGTGTACAAGTACTTATTCAGGAACCCTATCGTAATGGAACAGTTTTTCCTTATTATCAACTTGGTATTGGTGGTGGTGCTTCAGTATTTAATCCGCCGACTAACTTCTGGAGTGGATTTCAGCCGGCAGCTGGTGATAATTATCGTACACCTCGCGGTTTTACACTACCTAACGAAACCCTACCTCGTCTAGAAAATTGGAGCAATCCGACTACGGGCTTCGTTCATGCTTTTCATGGTGGTTATTGGGGCAGTTGGGTATTTGAAATCGAATCGATCAATCGAACAGAAAATACAATCATGTTCGGCCGAGGAGGATTCCAAGAAGCACGCGGTATGGATAGTGGTGGTGCTTATTATGTATCTAATATTTTAGAAGAACTCGATTCGCCGAATGAATGGTATTTAGATAAAAATACTCGTACTCTCTATTTCATGCCGAACGATACCATGCCCGGTGTCTTTGTTGCAAGTCAAATTCCTTGTCTTATATCGATGAGTGGCAGCAGTATTAACAATCCCATTAATAACATTCTGATCCAAGGTCTAATATTTACAGAAACAAGTAGCACATATATGAGTGATTACATGGTACCAGGCGGTGGTGATTGGTCTGTTCATCGTGGTGGTACAATATATCTCACAAATACAAAGGACGTAATCATAACACGTAATTTATTTACACAATTAGGTAGTAATGGTGTAGCATTAATCGATTCGAACGAAATGACATCAATTACTTTGAATGAATTCGTTTGGTTAGCCGATTCAGCTATCATACTCGTTGGCAGTACAAATGGTATTGATGGTTTTAGTGTTACTAGTCAACCTGCTAATGTGCTAATACAATCGAATGTTATACATGAAACTGGAATTTATATTAAACAATCATCTCCGGTATTGATAGCTGTTAGTCGAAGCACATCTGTGATCGGTAACTTAATATTTAACGTACCACGCGCAGCCATTAATATCAATGATGGTTACTATGGCAATCATACTCTCAGTTGGAATGTCCTGTTTAACACAGTACGAGAAACAAGTGATCATGGACCGATTAATTCATGGGATCGACAACCATTTTTAAGTGATGCTGTTCAACACGGTTCACCTTCACTTTGGCAACATTATAGTTATATTCATCATAATACTATTTTCAATAATTACAATTCTCTTTGGCCAATCGATCACGATGACGGAAGTTGTTTCTATGAAGATAGTTATAATTTTATGATGTACGGTGGAAAGAAAAACTATTTGGGTCATTCGAAAATCGATCATCATGAAATTTATGTTTATGCAGATGCTAGTAAAGGTGAGTTCGGTAGTAACGTATGTCTCGGTGATTACGCACCTCAACGTGGTTCCAGTGGATGGAATGAAGTTTTTATTAATAATACTTGTATACTTTACAATGATTCTATACCTTATCTGATTGGTGCCTGTGATACTGCTGATTTATTTGTTCCATACTTAGCTGATAATAAAATTTATATTCCCTCTGGTATGAATGCCGTGTTTCCATGTATAGTCAATGGTACATTAACAAAACTTAGTTTGAAACAATGGCAATCATATGGATTAGATAGAAATACGATTGTTCAAGTTACTCCTGATGTTCAAACTATTATTAAATGGGGTCGTGATATGTTACAGTAGAAAAAAACAATGTTAATCAATTTTCATCGATTTTTTGTGTGTATTTAATAAATATCTGTCTTACGATGTTTAGAATAAAACAAATTTGCTATGCATGAGTAGTTATTCCCATGAAAACAAAAAACTTATCTATAAGAAAGTACCTACCCGACACGGAGTCATTGTTACATTGATTGTATAACTAGAGAGGTAGATTCGTTGAAAACATGCATTCAGTTTGCGAGAAGTTTAATTAGAATGAGATGGATGGGATGGAATATCAGCTTGATACGTAAAGAAAAAGGACTGCTGAATGTTAGTCTGGCTTTGAGTCTTTCATTTTCTCGTTCTTCTTCTAGCCATCATCAAGAATTTTCGATCTGTTAACTGCGAAAATATGACCTTTTGCCACTGATAGTGCAAATGAATTACTTGAAGGAAACATCTTTCTTTCTTTCATTTATATTAGAGAAGTTACCTGAATAAGATTGAAGTTCCTATTTAGTATCTGAACATATGCTAAAGTTCATTTCCATTCCTGTCTTAAATATTTCTTTCACTAATAACGAGTTCCTGTCAAAAAGATATCGAATTCAACAGAGGCGAACTTGATTAATTATTTGAATATTCTCTCCTTCGATCTCAATCGTTACTTATCGATTTTCACTCTTCTATTTTGTACTGTCCGCAATCTTCTCAATTGCCTTGTTCTATCACAACAAACTCTTGCTTCATTCGTCGCTAGTTTCATCACTCTCATTTCTGGTCTTGTTGTTCGATTAGCGTCATTTTCCCTTCGTTATAAATGTTTACTTTCGAATCTTTGACAATTCTAAATATATGTCACGTGTCTCAACGTCGCGTTTGATCAACGACACTGACAGTTGCCAATCAAATAGTTACACCTGCGGTGAAAAAGCCGGATTAGCACTTCCTGTTGATGTTATGGATCCAAGTGATGTTACTGACATTATTCTTTCCTCCTCAAGTCATTCAGAATCTCTATAACAATATAACAGAGTCTGAAATGAAATCAGCAGCGTAGAAAACAATAAATAACTTCGTATTCAATGTCTTCATCCTTTAACTTACGTGACGAATGAAATGCCGTTTTATATTTGCACATTATTCATAGAGTTATGTGTTATTCAAAGTAAAATAACTACTCTTTTGGTAATTCGCTTTTGAGAGGAGAACGCCTAGCGCTTACAGCTTTTACTCAATGTTTGTATTTACTGATCTTTGCCATTAGAGCTTATATCTCCAAGAAGGAGATCTTAATGATATAATGTATCAGTTGACGAGGAACTTCTTCTTTAATTTTATAAACATTAGGCATAATTAACATTAGATCAACGGAATCAATGTGGAAATAGAATAATATGACGTTCTTTGATATCAGGTTAAAAAGATATCTTGAAATGATCGCTGAACCAGCAAAAACGAATTTCTATTCAGATTCAATGTATTTACGAAGTTTAAGAACATCTGAAAAATGAAAAAAGTACCACGAGTATTTATTTTATTCTTGTGAACTTTTTGTATACGATTATTGAATGTGTCTGAAACATATAAGTTACCATATTGATCTAGTTGTAAGCCACTTGGATATTCCTATTGAGTGGAACTGGTACCAATAACTCGTTGCGCTATAGAATGCGAATGTTCGTTTAAAATGTAATAGATTGGATTCGCTTTTTCATAGTAAAATTGCAACGAATAATTCAGCTGATAAGTATTGAGTCCTGCATTATTACCATCCTGAAGAATGTGATAGATGAAGATGAAAATCTGAGGGAATTTTATACTCACCGATGTTATTTTTCCAAATGATGTTTTCGAATTCAATGAGAGCGGATCCGCGTATCATATTTCTGGCAACTGTTTGTCCGCTTTTAGCATTTCTTTCTCAAAACTGAATGCGTTGATTATTCCAATCAGCGATAAAGACATTTTCATTAGCATCAGCAACAACATGAGCAGGATTTCAAAGAGTCTCAAGCGTGGATCCTCTGATACCATTGGCTAGGCGAGCTGCCACACTTATTTCATCATTTGAAAAACGCTTCAATACTCGTTTGTCACCGACATCGACAGCATATAGAATTTGTGTTCTAAATTCAATCAAAATACTTGAAGGAACTCCTAACGCGCTTAAACTAGTCTCATCTAAAACTGTAATCGCTGTGGTGTTCCATTTAAGACCTTCTGGACCTAGAAATAAAAGTAAATTTATCATTCGTATCCAATATGATCAATGAGATTAGCATGGATACGTACACTCATATGATTACTTTTTTTATTGGATCACCTTGAGTACAAAGAGAACAAATGATCACTTGCCATTCATTGACGGAAATATTCAAAAACAGAAACATACGGGCTTATGGAACTAGTTGTAGGAAGATATTAAATCCAAATTTATGTTTTCGAAAGCTCAGAGATGTTGTGTGCGTTACGGCTGGCAGACATTTTTCTATTTCTTATCATTTTCATCGACTTTCAAAACATATACTTCCAGAATTAAGCATAATAAATATCACAGCATCATTGTTCGTTTATCAAGTAAGACAAGAAAATATCATTACATTTCTTTTCGCTTCGGAATATCTCGCTAGCATAGTCTATACTGACACGAACGAATCATCATTTCTGATATAGGGTATTCTCGAAAATTTTTCTCTAAGGCTATCATACAGATCAAAGATAACGTTGATTTCTCACGAACAAAACACTGAATAAGTGTCATAGGTTCGATAACTAAAATGCAACTCATCATAGATTTATCATACCAATCAATTCAATTCATTGCAAAGTCACATTTCTTTCTTTCCTTTTGTTTTGATAAGAAAAAGAAAAGCCCGATACGTACAATACCCTATTCTAACGAAACAATCGTATGCACTATATCACATTCACAATTGTGACGCATCCAAAAGCTATTTTCCTTTCGATATCGAAAACAGTCTATGACGCTATCAACAATTTTCCGTTCCATTCGTCGTTTTTACTTCAACTATTATCATATCAAAACATCTTCAATCTATCTTCATTCCGCATTTACGCGTCGTCTACAATATGCCTTTCGATTAGTTCTTACATTTCTCATCGGTAGTTTCGTTGCTTACGCCACACCATTACGTCTTCATTTAGGACAAATCTACATGATACCAAACTTAGGAGTTTTATGTATACAAGAAACATTTGGAGCAACTCTATCAACAACACTTCATGTCACGTCAGTGATCATTCCGCTATCGATGTTTCTTTTTCTTATTCAAACACTCGGCTTGTCTTATCAAAATTATCTCGTCGGAGAAATCTTATTGCTTCTTTCTTCGTTTTGTATTTCATATCGATGTCGAACAGTAAGATTCTATTTCGATCTTCTGTTTCCTCTTCTCTCAACCTTCTTTGTTTTTTCTAGTTACAATTTCGAAAACTTTCTCTTTGGTTCAATGCCATCTTTTTTGTTAGTATTATCAACGAACAAACAATTCGTGCCACATTTGCTTTCGAATTACTTGCCGATTTCGTTCTTGGCATGTTCGTCGCCGTGCTTGTTTCTCTTCTTTTCTTTCCTCTCTTCGCCACATTAGATATCGAAAATCGTGTCAATTATTGTTTATTTCATCTCGATCAAATGCAAGCGTTTCTTATTCAAGCATTTCTCTGTTATGACTCAACAGCTGCGAAAGTTTCATTAGCTCGTGCTGCCATTGTCGAACGACGATTGAGAAACACTATGAATGAAACGAGACAACGACTCAACGAAGTTTATCTCGAACCGTGTCGATTATTACAATGGATATTTACTCGACATCGAAATGAGATTTTCAGTTTATCGATTGAACAACAGGTAGATTTGATCACATCGTTGATGTTCCATGTTTGTTCGTTACAAGCTATGATTGAACAATGTACGTTTAATAAATATCATCAAGATCTGGTCAAGCAATTAGAATCAAATTTATTAGATTTCATATCGAATCAATCGATGGTTATTGATAGTTTGATTTCCTCGTCGTTAGTTAATACAGATACATTCCATAACCGATTAACTAATTTACAATTAGCAATAGAATCGTTGAATTCGGCGTACAAACAAGTTCGTCTTCATCGTATTGAAGAGGTTTTTCTCACAGGTACCAAGACACAGTCCGACGACCATCTTTCTCATACATTCTTCTTCTTTCAACTTGACGCAATCGCTCGTTTATTAACACAAATAACTACAATCAACCGTCAACGAGAGAAAACATCGAAAACCACTCAAGTTCGAACATGTCTGAAAGATTATTGTAAATTTCATTTTGATTGGCCGAGAATTATTTCAGCATTCAAAAGTATGTTAATTATTGGAGTCGGATCAATCTTTGTTATGGTTCCTAGTCTCGCAAATAGTTTTGCTAATGGACAATGGATCCTTATTGGTCTTTGTATGACACAAGGTGATACGGTTGGTGGAGCATTGACAACGATGAAATTGAGATTAGTTGGCACTTTACTCGGTAGAAACCAGTTGAATGGTTTTGATCGGTTTTCGCATTGTAAATTTTAGGTTCTATGTGGGCATATGCGATCTATGCAGCAGTTGGTGAGGAATCGTATAAGATTTTTGCCATGCTCGTTCCCTGGTTATTGTTATGCGGCTATTTGAAATTGATCCCTCAGTGGGATTATGCTGCAACAGTGGCTGCATCGACTCCGATCGTTGTGAACTTAGGTCGATTGTATGGCGATGTTTTCCGTCAAGGAAATTATGTTCTTCTTCGTATTCAAGAGAGTATTATTGGTATCGGTGTGGGTATGTTTTTGACTGTTTTAATCTTTCCAACGTTTGCTGTGGATCTATTGAAAACTAATATTCAAGGTATTATAACTTGTGTTTATTGGTTGAAAAAGGATGACTATCTTGTTGTAGATACATTGAAAACATGCCGTCGTGCCACGGAATCGATACATTCTGTGTATGATCAATTCTTTCAGCATCAGCATGCTCGAAGATATTCGCTAAGTATGAATGAAGAAGAAGAGATTAAATTTCATATAGATCTACAACGACGTCATTTTCATCAATTGATTAGTTCTCAACGAATTCAATTGAATTATGCCTCGCTCGAACCATCAATTTGGTGGTTCAATTATGGATTTTCACCAAGTCAATATGATCTCTTGATTAAACAACAACTTGATATGTTTCGAATGTTACATAACATGCATGCGACAGTACAGATACTTTAGCGATTTTGTGTCAATCAAACTTTTCTTATTCTTTTATAGTTAATGCAGATTAATGATTGTTCAATGGATGATAAGAATCAAATTGATGAGTTACGATTAAACGCTGCTGGCGGACGATTTCTTCCTGATCTACACGGTGAACTGTTGGATTTAAGTCGGCAATTAAGTGATTGCATTGATCTCTGGATATCTTATTTGACTTTAACACATACGACATATTATCGATGAAGTCGAATACGAATATCACATAGAAAAAAGAAATTGATCAAAGGAAATTTAGCGGAAAATCAACAACGTCTCATGGAACTTCATTCTATAGTAGTTCGTCTTCAAAATGAACACCAAAATTCTGTGAATCGTTCCTTAGATTATTACATAGATAAGTCGAAACAAGGGGAAGATCTGTCCAGTTTTGTACCTTATGTAAATAGTCATCAAGCTGAATCGATATTTGTTGCTATATCGGCGATGTATTACTCAACAATACAGTTAGCGCAAGCAGCAATGGCTCTTGGTACAACTATTCATACGATTTTTGAATTAGAAACAACATCTGTATACCGATTCTTTTAGTTTATTTTCGGAATATATGCTGTTATTGTAACTTTTTCTACATGTAGAAGATAGAAGAGTTTTTATTTTCTAAAGAAAGTCTATAAAATGCAAACGTAATCAAGTAGAGTCATTATTAATTATATTTCAGAAGTAGTCCATAAGGTCTGATGGCTTTTTCGTCGAACACACGCCATATGTCACCAGTCGTCACTACTCCGGGCTTTTCATGAACGGTGAATCTTCCCGGTTGTACTCGACATTGAAAGACAACTTGACATTTTCTTCCTGGACTTGTTGCTTCCTTGACGTCGAATGGTTCAGCATATACAGACGCTCCATCTTGACAATGTGTTGCTACATATAAGCCATTGACTTTTGGAATCGACGGATTCTGCATTTCTGCGACGGGTTTAAAGATATCACGAACTACTTTACTCTGTGATAAGCCGTGATCAACAATACTTCTAACTCCAAGTGATTTTGTACCATGATAAGCAACAGCCCATTCACCTGGCGAGTTGTCCATTTTAAGCCATGCCTTGTCCTCTGGATACTTGTCGACTACTCTCAAAGCATGTCGATACCATCCTTCGGGGAAATAGTATGGTTTACCACCTCTGCGTTCTTCATGAGCAAAGTCATAACTACGATTATGGACACGCTCAAGATCTTTTTCTTGTATTTGCAGCTGAGCAGGCACAGGCACTCTTTTAAACTCATATCTCTCTGGAATTAAATGTTCAAAAATACCACCTCGTCGTTTTATCGAAGGTTCATTTAATTGATCTTTCGTTTTTTCAGCGACAGTTTTTGTCTCCTCAATCACAGGAGTAGTAATGCCGAAGCTAAGATAAATTGATTGTGTTCGTTGAACCTCAAACACTCGAATGAATTCTTTTTTACATCCAACAACCGACGAAATATCATTGATACTGTCTACAACAAACTTCTGCAACGTTTCAGGCGTTGCTGTCAAATTATCGTAGTCAAGATTGAGATGGAGAGTAAATTTTGCTGTTTGAAACTGTCCTTCTGAAGCAAGAAACGTGTGAATGCTACCAAGGTTAGCCACACCACATGCAGTTCGATAAGCACTGTCATCATATTTGAAATCGGAGTTGGTAAAAGTTAAGCGTGTGCCAAGTTGATTGGCGAGTTCGTTGAGAACGACGACTAGTGTTTCCGTATTTTCGACATCTGCTTTGAAAGGTTCGACAACGAAGTCGATGTTCTTGGTTTTATTTTTCATCGATCGATAGGTAGCTAAGCATTGGTAAGTGCGAACGTCGGTCGGTGAATTTTTGTCGAATTCAGGTGGTAAACGTGTTTTCTCCAAAGGTATTGGTTTCACTTGTTCACACCACGCAGGTGTCACATCAATAGTGGCCTTTTGTGTGGTAATTTGTTGGGCTACCTTTGGCACAGCGGGAGTCGATTTCACAACGTGCACTGGAGATATTGGCCGCGGTGTCTCCACTCCTACAACAGTCAAACGGTACTATGATCTAGGAATTCAAGGACAATATACATACTGATGATATTGCTTGCGTCGCTATATTCGGTTGCATTAACTAAAGTATATCCTTGTACTGCGAATTCATATTGTCCGGGGTTAAGGTTGGGAATAACCACGGAAGTGGTAGCATCTTTGGTTCTTACAAATAATTGCCACTGCTGATTCCGTGGATTTCTGCCGTAAACTGCGTATTTTATGATACTTCGATTTCCGCAAGTGGGAGGTGTCCATCTAAGTGTTATATTTGAACTTGAAGCGTCTGCTACTTGTGGTCGACCTGGTTTGTTCGGGAATTCGAAGTTGACCGGAACACCGTTTTGATAGAGAAGGATGGACGCACCTTTGTTCATCTGGAAATCGTCGGCATGCTCTTCATTGACAATAAAATGAATATTCTGTTGGTTTCGATGATCATTCGCAACTTGAATAAATCGAACAACTTGGTTTTGTATTGATGGCAAATTCTTGTCATCGTACCAACAATCGATTTGTGCATTTTGCTGTTTCACATGTTGATCAAACGAGCGAAATAGATCTTTTAAAAATGGAGATTTTCTTTCGGTTACATGTATAATCAAACGAAAAATAATTTCGTGTTTTGATTGCCTTTGAAAATCTGCAAACGAGCCGATTAAGGAATCAATATTTCCTGGTCGTTTTAAATCCTTTAACATATTAGCCAATATTCGTATTTCTTGCGTTTTATGCCGAATCCAATCGTTGAATTTTTCATTTTGTTCTTTTGAGAAATTCACAAAAGTAAATAAATTAATCAATGCTGTTTCTTTAACTGAACCGCTGCGTATCTCCGGTAAAAGACTCCTCATTTGTCCTTCGATGTCGTCTTCACAGTCGCCAAATTCATTTCTCAATATTGATAATTGTTGTTTACTTTTATCAAACAATTGTAACGAGTTAATATCTTCGGTCAAATCATTTAAAATAACATAAAATCGCCGTAATTTGTCAATCAGTTCCAGTGCTCTCGACAGAACTTGGTTATCTATTTGATGAAATCGTTTTTCTGTTGAACGTAAATCATCTAATAAATACAACGGATAAATTGTTACTTGCTGTGGTATGGCATACTTATTGTTCGCTCCTAACAATTTCGGAAATTCTTTGTATAATCTTACAACTTGTTCAAAAGTTTTTGCATCCGATGGTAGTTGAAGATCACCATGATATCGACATGTTAATGATTCTGCTAGCTTTCGTTCATGATCATTCCAGATCAATTGGTCATTTGACGTGAAACGAAATGATGGGATCTTCTCCAAGAGCTGCACTAGACTTTCTTGGATGCTTTTAACATCTTCATTGTCAAATATCGTTCGATGAAATACGACAATGAATTGAGCGCCATAGAGAACATCGGTAACTACATGTGTGGCCATTTTTTGATCGAATACTTCGGGATATTTTGTATATTGTTTACTGGCATAGCTCATGGTTAACGAGCGAATATGTGTTACTATTGAGTGTTTGAAAACCAATCGTAGATTACGGTTAGTTGTTCGACGATTTCTAAGTAATATCGATGCACCTGATAGATCGACAAGGCTAGCAACAACGCTCAATTTAACATTATCGTCAATTCCTAAAAGATCGCCATTTTCCGTAAATGTATCTTTCACACCCACTGCACATCGATTATTCGTTGATGAACTTTGACAACTAATCGTTTTCGGTGTTACGTCTTCACCCCAGAGAAATATATCCGATATGACCTTCTCAGTCCGATAGTCATAGAGCATGCCTGGTTGAATGGATCTACCCAGTGCTGCGATTTTAGTGGTTGGATCGATTCGTGTTGCCATTTTGAAATCTATTTTTGTGATGAAATGAAGAGAAATTTCAAGAATTTATTAATAAAGATTCAGTGTGTATATGTTGGAAAAAAACCTTATTATTTATACAAGATATTTTTCCGCGAGTAAGACATTTTGATAACAAGCAACATACAGGTCCTATTTTATCCTAGGCGAAGCGCGTTGATAAGAAGTATAGAGTGTGCACGGCAGTATTGTGAAAGCAAACAAGTTCTAAACACCTGTATATGTCTAACGGAAAAGTGTTAGTTGTTTTGCTTTTGTTCTTGAAGTAGTAAACCATATGGTCGAATGGCCTTTTCATCAAATACACGCCAGGCCTTGCCCTTAATCACCGGACCTGTGTGTTCGGTAAATTTTCCTGGTTGTACTCGACATTGAAAGACAACTTTGTAATCAATATGAGCACCGATCGAATCCTTTACCGTGAAAGTACTAGCGTAGTTTGCTGCTCCACCTTCACAATGTGTTGCTACGTATAATCCTTTGACGTCTGGAATCGAAGGGTTTTGTTTTTTGGCTTGGGCAGCACATAAATCCTTCGTCACGAACTCGTGCATTAGACCATGATTTATAACACCTTTCAAAGCACTGTAATTAGTGCCATGATAAGCAACAGCCCATTCACCTGGCGAATTGTCCATCTTAAGCCATGCCTTGTCCTCCGGATACTTGTCGACCACTCTCAAAGCATGTCGATACCATCCTTCGGGGAAATAGTATGGTTTACCACCCCTTTTAGCTGTACCAGCGAAATCATATTTACGATTATGCTTAGAATCGAAGTCTTTTTCTTGTAACTGCAGTTGCACATGCACGGGCTCCAGTTTAAAATCATAGTTTTCCCTAATTACATATTTAAAAACACCACCTCGTTCTTTCACGTCAGGGTCATTCAATCGATCTTTCGTTTGCTCAGCTATAGCTTCTGTTTCAAGAAGGGATGGACCACAAATACCGAAGCCAAGAAAAGCCGATTGTGTTCGTTGAACCTCAAACACTCGAATGAATTCTTTTTTACATCCAACAACCGACGAAATATCATTGATACTGTCTACAACAAACTTCTGCAACGTTTCAGGCGTTGCTGTCAAATTATCGTAGTCAAGATTGAGATGGAGAGTAAATTTTGCTGTTTGAAACTGTCCTTCTGAAGCAAGAAACGTGTGAATGCTACCAAGGTTAGCCACACCACATGCAGTTCGATAAGCACTGTCATCATATTTGAAATCGGAGTTGGTAAAAGTTAAGCGTGTGCCAAGTTGATTGGCGAGTTCGTTGAGAACGACGACTAGTGTTTCCGTATTTTCGACATCTGCTTTGAAAGGTTCGACAACGAAGTCGATGTTCTTGGTTTTATTTTTCATCGATCGATAGGTAGCTAAGCATTGATAAGTGCGAACGTCGGTCGGTGAATTTTTGTCGAAACTGGCTGGTGGACGAATTCTTTCTAGAGGTACGGGTTTAACTTGTTCAAACCAGGCAGGCATAACGTCGAGAGTTGCTTTTTTATCGGTAATTGTTTTAGCAGACACGATTGGTTGCGTTTTCTGAGTGAGAGCAAGTAGAAGTGTTGGATGTGGAGGAATTGGTGGGGCAACCATGACTGGTGGTGATGGTTTTGGCTCATTCATATCTATGAAGGAGGATGAGACTTGAAACGAAGGAGAATAGAATTCAACATACCGATTAGTTCACTGGCGTCACTTTCAGCTGTATCACCAATTAAGGTAATTCCTTTGATTTTGAATCGATATTTTCCTCGTGGAAGTTCCGAAATAGCAGTAGTCAGGGTATCATCGTCAGTGATATGAAATACTGTCCATCGTTGTGTACCATCAAGTTGGTTATAAACTTTATATTGTTTAATGCTCTGGCTTCCATAAATTGGTTTTGACCAAGTTAGTGTAAAAACTTCACGAGATATATTTGTTACTTTGGCTCTACCAGGTTTACTTGGAATTTCGAAATATGTTGGAGTTCTGTTTTGGTACAGAATAATTGATACATCTTTGTTCATATGAAACTCTTCAGCGTATCGAGCTTCAACAATGTATTGAATGTCCTCGTTCTTGCTGTTAGCTTGCGCAAACTCACAGAAAAGGGCGATTTTATTTCGAATCGATGTAAAGTTATCCTGATTAAACCAACAGTTGATTTTGGTACTCGGAGCGATGACTTGATCATTTGCATCGTGTAGGAATTGAAATAATTCATTTAAAAATGGATCGGATTTTTCTAGAACATGGATAATTAAGCGAAGAACAAACGGTGATTCCACCGATGCGTTTCCCACAACAATGTTAACTGAATTATGTAGAAGATCGGTAAAATTCACGAGTTTCTGAACTCCTTCACTAATGGACTGAATCCAATTGTTAGTTTTCTTCGCATTCAACGGATAGATGTACATTTTATTTAAGAAGTCTCGGTAGATATTTTCATTCATACCATCCTGACGAAATTCTATCCACAAATCTTTTATTTGCTTCTTCAGTTCGATTTGAAACTTGCCGATTGCAGCAGAGTAGAGTGATAATAGTTCATGAATTTGATAAAGCAATGGTTTATAGGGAGTTCTTGCCTTCAAACCATTTATTTTCATTTCCAGTCGATATAATCGTTCGAATAATTCAACTGATCTGTTCACAAGGTCATTTTTACTGTGAGGAAAATTACGATAGCCGATACTAGATCTGTCTAACAGATGCAATGGATATAACCACACCTGTTTCGGAATCGATCGATCTTCAAGAAGTTGCGGTAATCGACGAAATAGATGAGCAACTTGTTCAAATGTTGTTGGCTCTGAGACAAGCTGCAAATCACCATAATATCGACATGTTAATGTTCTCGCTAGTTTTCTTTCATTATCTGTGAGATATAATTTACCATTCTGAAATATTTGATATGTTGTCAACTTTTGTAAAAGTTCAAGAAGATTTCGTTCGTTAATCGTGAAACTTTCCCCGCTGTCTGCTGCTTGATTAAAGACAAAATACACTTCGGCTCCATAAAGAATTCCAGTCACCAGATGCGTGGCGATTCGTTCATGGATCACCTGAGGATACTTCGCGTTATGTATACTCAAATGATTGGTTGATAATTCGCGTTGTTGTGTAGTGACGGAATATTTCATCACGAAACGACGATGATGTTCTCCTTGTTTACGATCATCTATCAACTTGCTCGAGTGAGTCAGCTCAACAAGACCTGACAGAACACTCATCTTCAAATCTGAGTCCAATTGGAAAAGATCTAGTCTCTTTGCTAATGAATCTTCAGCATGAATCTCATAGCCACTCGATGGTATTAGCCAAGCTTTGACATAATTTGTAATCAACCTATCATCCCAAAGTGAAACATCACTAACAGGCATGTCCGTTTTGAAGTCATATAGCATTCCAAGCTGGAATGATCGACCAAGTGTCATAGGTGCTAGAACTGGACTCGTGTCAATAGACATGTTAGTTCGACTTCCGAAAGGTTTCGTTTTCTTTGAAAAGAAATACGAATAGCCGATAATGAAACCAGCTTATAAAAAAGAAGCATCAAGTCGTATACGATGTGATATATGTAGTAATAAAGTCATATAATCGTTAAATACAAGATAACAAATATGTTTGGATGCATTTTATTACTAGAAAAATATGTTATTTGAATTGAAAGCTTTTTTCGGTTGGTTTCTAAGAGTATTCAGATGATGGTTCACAAGTTTTCTCAGTACAATTTAAAATAGACTTGGAGGACGAATGTTTCATATTTGTTGTTAATATATTTACTAAAAAAAGAAAATTTGATATGTTTATTTAAGCTAAAATCAACTTTTTTGTCCTCTATGAACTTGAAGAGCAAGCACGTTTTAAGTTACATACGACGTAGAATATCATTGGACGGTTCTCTTTTACGTCGGTTACGTTTTTGGCGTATAAAAGGCGAGAAAATGTTCCTTTTGCTCTCAAACAATACAAAATTTTTCAACGAGAAGTCAAACAGTTTACACACGAAAGAAAAATGGGTATGTAGGCTCCTTCTATAATCTTCACGAATGTTTTATTATCGATTTTTCTTAGATTTCGTTACAAACAAAATCGAAGAAAAAACCGGTATGGACATCAACAGAGATGGTCATATTGGAGGTGGTGGTATAACAGGTCAAGCAGAAAAAATAACACATATGGATTTAAATCATGATGGAGTTATCGGAGAACGTCCGGCAGGACATGGAGCTGGCGGAGGTTTGTAAAAGATGATATTTTGATCACAATTCATGAACTTATTTCATAGGTTTGATCGGCAAAGCTGAGCAAATCACTAATATGGATTTAAATCACGATGGCCGCATTGGTGGTGGTGCACGTCATTGATATCGAAAAAGAAACGACTTTTTATTTGTAATATCATTGTAAATAACCTTTGATTTACTGTATAATAATCTTGCACGAATAGAACCATAGAATTTTGATGTTAATGAGTCAAATCAATATATGTCTTTATATTCACCATATCGAAATTATTTGTCACTTTGAATCGACAGGAGTGTAATACTTGTTGCGGTAATTTTCATCAATCAGGTGACAAACAACCTGCTTGTGTGCACGTGTATATATATATTCGTTTTCTTCCTTTTGCATAAAAAAACTGGTTTTTCGATCATTAGCATAATATCAACGCACACAAAAACGATTGACTAAAAGGTGAAAGTATGTCTATTGCGCTGAAATTATCGTTTATTATACTGTTAACTACAATAGATAGAATTCATCGAGCTAATAGTATCAATGTAACGTTTACTCCACAGGCAATTCACATTACAGTAGCAAGTTTACCTCAACCATATGGAACGGTATCAGTCAACAAAGGAGCACGAGTTATTACCGTACCTGATGATCCCGTTCTTTATGTCCCGCAAGGCTTCTCGGTGCAATTATATATGACTGGCTTGATAACACCACGCTATCTAATATATACACCATCTAATGATATACTTGTCAGTGAATCAAATGCTAATCGAATCTCTTGTCTAATCGATACTAATCAAGATGGTTACCCTGATCAGCGTGTTACATTTGCTGATTCATCCAATGGATTAAATTATCCGTTTGGTATGGCTTTTGTCAATGGTTATTTCTACGTTGCAGATAGGAACACTATTCGACGATATCCGTGGACATCAGGTAGTCGAAATATTACAGGAACAGGCGAAATAGTGATGACTTATCCTGGTACGGGACACTCAACTCGAACCATTGTTGTGTCACCGAATGGTAATCGAATGTTTGTTAGTGTGGGTTCAGAGAAAAATGCCGATGTTGAAGAACTACCACGGGCATCCATTCAACAAGCAAATCTTAACGGTAGTAATCAGACGACATTTGCATCTGGTCTACGAAATACCGTCGGTGTAGCGTTTCATCCGATTACCAATGATTTGTATGCAACATGTCAAGAACGAGATGAACTTGGTGACGATCTCGTACCGGATTATTTTACACGTGTTCAACAAAATGAATTTTACGGATGGCCCTATGCTTATCTGAGTGCGAACTTAACCGATCCAAGGCTAGTTTTCAGCAACGGAACAACTGAACGACCTGAACTAGTTGCACAAACTCGGACGCCAGATGTTCTCCTACAAGCTCATTCAGCTGTTCTTGACATGCGCTTTTACGTAGGCACACAATTTCCTAGTCGATATCAAAATGGTGCATTTGCAGCATTGCATGGTTCATGGAACAGAAATAATGGTACAGGTTATAAGATCGTATTTATTCCATTTGATAGCAGTACGAATCGACCAGTTGGTACCTATGAAGATTTCGTCTACGGATTCCTTACTAATCCAACAGGCCCAGATACATTTGGACGCCCAGTAGGCATACTCGTTATGAAAGATGGAAGTTTACTGTTTAGCGAAGACGGAAATAGTCGTCTTTACCGTGTGCAATACAATTCCAATCCGAATTCGAACAATACTATGACCGGCACAGCTGCAACTAATAACATATTCAAAGATACGTGTATCATCATTTTATTAACGTTGCTTTTCTGTATTTAATCTTGTTTATACAATAAAAAAAAATACTACAGCATACAATGCTCTGAGTACTGTCTATAGATGATTTCGAAAGATCTTTTCGATTATAATCGATTGTGTCGACATCGATTACAAGCCATAAAATGACAACGACGACAACAATATAAATATCTGGGTAAATAATCGCGACATTCTTCACACCGACCGCCACCGCTGGTGTATACCCATCCCGCTGCATGACGACAGTCATGATTGTTACGCAGTTGATCAGCCATTTGTATTACATACTGTTCAAAATTTCGTCTTTCATTGTTTCGATGAATTTCAATATGAGGTATTCTATTCACGAAAAACAGAATCATTTGTAGGTGACAATCCATTAGAAAATACTACCTGGCAGTGCGGACACGGGCTTCTTGAAACAAGCGTGCCTCATCCCATTGAACACACGAACAATTTTTCCATGCAGTTGAACAAAGATAACAAAATTCAGCGCGGCATCGACAGGTCATATGATAGCATCCTTGAGTTAATTCTACCACTGCTCGGCAACGGTAGCATCGAGTCCAACCTTCTTGCTTGGCTACTGCTAAAACAGCTGTAGTTGCTTCATCTTTTGGACACTCAAGATCATCGTGACTAACTCCTTTGCAAATGGCACATGTTTTCATTTGACACTTCAGACTACAATCGACAGACAAAAATAAAAGAGTAAACTATATTCTATGTCAAACATACTTTGGACACGTTCCGATCTTATTAACAATGGAAGTGGCAGGAATAAATGTTGAGCAGGTCGGTTGGGAACAATAGAGACGATCTGTTGTTGAATATTCTAAACGTTTCGCATTGAAATCTTTTGTTTCTTTCGAATTCAATTCTGCTAGATGAATAGGTATCTCTTCTCGACAACATCGTGGTGGCATTAAAGTTTCATCTTGCATAGAACTTAGAAACAATTCTTTGAGACATCCGACACAGTAGGCATGACCGCATGGAACGCGAGGATCAGTTTTATTCACCGGTTCCATACACACAGCGCATGTTTTTCTGATATTATCACAAAAAAATCAAATCTGGAAAATAGCATGATCACTTACGGTTTGGATGTCAACTTGATGGTGGTTTTGTTTACAATAACTAGGATAGAGATCGAGATGATTCATCAATACAAAATAAATCAAGTGAAGTACCTCGTCTCTTGACTGTTTCATCGTAGTTATCGGCTAACATCGCCATTCTTCTCGTATTTTCAGGGATTGGATCAACAGTAATTCCAGCAAGACTTGCTGCCAATGCTCGATCTTCTTCTGCTTGTTTTTCTTCTTGAGTGAGTGCACGAATAAGTTCTAAATCTGTTTGCCATGCTTCATCATCATTTGCCAATGATTGCAAATCAGGATCAAGAGCACATGCCATTTTCTAATGGACTTGTCTAAATTAAACTAAACGCCATTATTTGTAAAATTCACAAATAAACTGAGCGCTTTTTTTGTTGTAACGATTTCAACTCCAATCCTTGTCATCAACAACTGAGAACAGAAAATGTTTTTAGGTTATTTTTAACTGAAGTTTTTCCCAGTCGCTTTTGCTGTTCTGTTCTTCGATGGTAATCATCACGTGAAAATGTTTTAATATCTGTTCTCACAGAATACCATGTGCTCTTTTCGCGGTCTGCTTTTCAGTGGGAAAAAAATTATAATGCAATAGTTTTTTTCGACATGTTAATCACATAATTATTACAAACTTTCGAAAATCATATTATGAAGATTTTGTTTTATTTCCATAAGAATTATCACCTACTAGTCGATAGTTTTTACCGATAATTGTTGTGAAAACGTGTGTAAAATACGTCATGGTATTCTTTCTGGCTCTTGACCGAGAAAATACTCTATCAATTACTTATGTATATCGGGTAGTAGGGAAGCAGTTGCGAAATGACGGATTCAATTGTGTAAATATTTTCTCTTTCTACTTAGAAATCACTTTTAAGAAAATAATTGATGATAATACATAGAAAAAAAGTTAATATTGTATAACATTTTATATGAAAACAATGATGTTTTTTTCAGAAGTAGATATTTTCATACATAACAATCTGAATAGAATTTTTCTTTTCAATAAGTTCAAAGTGATCACGAGTTCATCAACAAATTATCCGAAAAGAAGCAACCGATGTGGATAATGTTCAACTTACACTAATTCTATAAATCGAAAGAAATAGACATACAGTCACAAATGGAAACCTACAGAGTAAATCAAATGGATCGGTATATGATTCTTATTTTCATTCAAAATACCTAAGTTACACGTTTGGTATAATAATTACATCTTTATACCTCGATTAGCCATTGAAGGTGACACTATTCGATACGGTATTCTTTGCAGCTCAGTCTCACTACTGTCGTCATCATGACGATGTAAATGATATGGCAAAAAAAAGATAGTATATTTAGAAGATTTTATTGCCAACTGTCGATACGACGTCTTCGTTTTTATCTTATCATCTGACAAAAAAAAACATTGTACGTTGTAAAAAAGTGACCTTTTACATTTAAATATTAGAGTAGATGTTTTCGTTAGTGTCATTCGCGAAAAATTCATCATTGTTTTGAGAATATTTGTTTATTGAACTGTTTACTGTATTGATCCGCTTTTCATTTTGGTCAGAAATAGGGATTATCGTATTCAACGTGATTTGACTTTGGCTCAACAATATTAAAACCCAATGAATCTTATTACATTTCTGCATTGATTTGAATTTTTCTTTAACCAGCAAATGAAGTGCATAAGAAGAAAAAAATCATAAATAGCTACCAGAAATAAACCGAAAAACAAAAATACTAAACATACACAAAGAGAGACAGGTTTCGTTGAAATTATACATACAAAAGAAAATAAAGATGTGTTATCAAAAGTAGATGTTCAGTATCTTATCACCATATGTATTAATCTTTCCTTCGAACTGAACTATACGGAATAGATGAGATAATTTTCAAATAAACTATGGCTAAAACTAATCGACGCTGAATTCATTCAGCACTAAACTACGACTGACGAAATGATGACCGTTGAAAATACCGATATCCAACCATTTGATAATCCAAGTCTTATGATTTGCTTCATGTTTTCGTCTCATAAGCCGTACTGTCTACTTGAGAACAGGTGGAATACGAAAATGAGTTCGTTAATATATTTGCTGCGTGATCGAGACATTTATCAAAAGCTGTCGAGTTACCAGAATTACCAAATATTATTGCGTCTCGTAAAGCTGTTTCGAGCGCTGCATAATTATCACTGCCATTGCTAGACATGCTTATTGTCGTATCTATAATAGACAGATACCTAAGTGTTGCAATGATCATTTCAAATCGTATTCGATTTTACTTTTGTTACAATACTTCTTCGTCGTTGATTCTATGCGCGTACAAGATTTCTATGAATGTCCGACTCTAATATATAATCGCTGGTTTTATCGGTGGGAGGGACGCTGCATATAAACCATAATAAAACAGGTGTCACCTTTGCTTTTTATTTATTAACATGGTATATTTCCATTGTCTGGACTATTTCGCTTTCGCCGAAAGTCTATGCTACGATAGTAGATTGACGTAAATATACCGTATTTATTTTTGCTTTCGCATCAAAACCAATTCATTGTGTGCAATGCATTCAGCACCACGTGTCGATAAAAATATTTTTTATAATAAACATCGAATTTGGCGTACAGACTGTTTTTTTTTCACCTGTAAGTACAATCTATGAAGTAACTAATCGACGAAATGTTTTATTTTATGCGCACTAATTATCATGGCTGGTTCGAAAGGCTAGACGGATAGACAGACGTCGGCAATTGAGAAAATTTTTTTTTTCAATAGTACTACTAGGACTTAAAGAGGGTAGTCATTTTCGGCGAGTTATGCTACAACGACGCATAAAATAACCAATGTGTACCTACGTCTCATGAACATATGCGAAGAACTGAAAAAAGTACACCAATTATGTATGTATTGCTCGAGTATATATTTAAGTACGTCCCTAGATTTCTGCGAAAGATTATACGTGAAAAGGAGAACATGTTTTTTTACCCTCTCTGGAAGAACAGCATTGGTTAGCGACGACAGATATGTCCAGATCGAATAATAAATTGAAAAGAATCATTATTCGTTATACTGATGGACTGCGGTGTCCGTTTGATTCACTGACTTTTCATTTTCTACCAGTTTATCTTTGATTGATCATGTTTTTAGAATAAAATAATAACAGTATGAAAACTATCTGCCTGACTACGAAGTGACAAACTCGTCCAATGTTTTCAATAGTTTTTCGAAGTCGTTCTCCCAATCGTTTGGATTGGGTATGTGAAAAAATCTACTGTATAATAGATCATCGTTGGAATTTTTCAATAAAAAAGCTTCTTTCCAACATTTGCTAAGATCAAGTTTGGATCCTTTGACTTTCTCACATGGTTGTTCCAGATATCAATTGATACAAGAATTTTGTTACATCAATCCATTTTGTAACTGTTCTACGTACTAGGGGATCATCGAAATCGATCAACGGCGTTAGACCTCATTTTCGTAACTAGTCATCTTTGTATTGCTGCACAAAAGTTTCTTTTTCGACTTTTGTTTTGAATTTTCTCTCCGACATATGAAATTCTCGGTTTTGAGCGCCAACCGATTGTAAAACCACTGCGAGAATTTGTCTATAAATTTATTTCATGCATGCATCATCTACATCCTTGCTTACCAGAACCTTCGTCAGCAAATTCTGTTCGATCCCAACGTTCACCTTTAATAGAATCATTCATTGTAGAGTAGATAAGGATGTAGTGGTATGGAATTAAGAATTGTTGTTGTTAATTTCTTGTCATAGCGTTTGAATCGATTTCTCGTTTTATAATTCATCATTAAATAACATATCGAAAAGTAGATTTTCATTTGAGAAAAGCCCGTTTTCCCGTTCGCGTACGGCCCAGCAGTGATACGCGATTTTCGCTTTTAGTATTTTAATTGAATTTACCCGTTCGTACTCTTTCTATTGGTATAACAATTTCTTCGAGCTTGCCGGCTTGTAGCTTATCTGCCAAATGTGTAATAATTACCATTTGATAAAAACTGATTTAATAGTTTCAATTCCTCTAATTTACGATGAAAAACGTTAATGAGTAGTTTTGCGTGTTTGGAAATACATTGAGGGTGTTGCAAATCGTTCTATTTATCTTATGTAGCCGAGAGAGATTTTCTTCACTAATTTCACGCCTATAGGGAATACGAATAAAGAGAAATATTCGACTAGTTTAATCATTAATACTTGTCATGTTATCTTCGACCTGAGACATGTCATTGAACAAAATTTTCAGACTGTCATAAAGATCTTCTTACGATCGGATGTTACCGTTTAAGAAAATAAATCTCCAGAGTGTGGCCAGGTATCTGAAGTATGGGATTCGGTACGCTCGGTTACTGATATCCCTCGAAGTGTACCTGATCCAAAAACCATGTCGAATTATAAACATTTCGTATCGTTAGTATTCTGAGAAGAAACGGTGAAAGCACCATGTAATAGTACATTTGCTTTGCATAAATCAATATTGAACATTGTTTCTAGTTGAACGATTGGAGGAATGCCACTGCCAAGTCTGACAAAAATATCATCTCAAAATGAATTTGTACGTAACGAAAAGTAGTTACTAAAAATCACTTGTGCTTATGTAGTTTCAAACCCGAGTTAAATTTTCATCAATATCCCGGCAGTAGTTGGTATGCGGCTCTATTATTTCTGTAGAAATGTTGAATTTAGTAATAATTGATGGGCAAACACAGAACCGATTCTCAATCCTCACGATCTGAAAATAACGATATACAGCAAATGTATAGATACAGTCTTTGTGTACCTCAAAATTCGAAATCTCAATGATATTCATCGTTTCAATTTCTTGACTTTTACTGTCACGATACAACATTTATTGATATCATTTCAAATTATTAAAACGAACAAACATACAGTTCTCGTGAATAGTGGGTTTACATCACACTTTATTGCAAGACAACATCAACGTCAAATAAATTGTTTTGCATATTCTAACGCGTTTAATCCATCCATCAAACAGCGATTCGCCAATGACATATCTTTATTATCCTTATGTTCCATTGCTTCAATGTAATAACACATGACGCTTTTTGTACATAAATGGCGCATCAATTCATTATCTGTATAGACAGCTGTTGCCTTCGATGACCATGGTTCAACACTGTACTCAATCTTGCCATCAACATTTAAAATATACAGTGTATCGAATGTAAGATCTGATAAAACCGGTATTAATTCACTCAAGCTATCTGATCGGCAAGCGATAATAAGAATGCACGTTGGATATTTCGATGCTTGAATGGCCAGATCGCTGACTGTTGGGCAATGGACGACGATCGTCTGAAGACCTTCTGTTGACAGATAAGAAAGGTCAAGAAGAAGGATCTTGGCACTTTGAGGTTCACTAATAACTAAAGTGAAGATGATTATAAATCTAACGAAGAATTTATCTAGTCATTGAACCTACCTGGCATACTGAGCGCGAATCAAATGAGCAAAGATAGAAGAAAAACAAATATTATTCATCAGTTGACGACAATGTGAGAAGTCATAAACGAGGTAATTATGAATTGCTTGCATTCGTCCTCTATTCATTTTATTGTTACTAAAATGTCATTTAAACATTTGTTTCAAGATGCGTTATATATCGATATTAAAATAATATCATTCAGAATCATTTTTACTAAGCCCATTAGCAATTGATATGCTTGAATTGTTTCTTAAATCAATAAAGATGCGCCATCTTTCGTTACTATCATGGTCTACTTTCTTATTCATCTACTCTTTTCGATCAATCATTGATTGATGTTCCAAATATTTGCACACACCGTCTCGCGCTAGATTATCTTTCAAAATATTTTATTTCACATATCTGATTCACGGTATACATACATTTTATATACCACGTTACCTATTTGTTTCTCCGATTTCATGCTGTGCATAACTCTCTCTCTCTCAATCGACTGTTATTATATATCAATCAATCTTAAAAAGAGAAAAAAAGGAGCGACTTTTTCTCTAGGTCTATTCTCAATATACTTATTGCTTATTTTTTTACTAATGTCTGTCAATAAAAAAACAACAAATGATTCATTGAGACTGTTCTTTATATGGTTCGTTTTCTCTCGTTGCTTTTCATTCGGTTATCATCAACGAACACCGAGACAATTACTCGTCTTTCCATTGTTGCACTGAGTAGAATCAAAAACTTCCACATCACATTTTTCTTTTAGAACATTTACCTTCAATATGTCGTGGGTCGTTGAACAAAGTGACAATACATCTGCTGTTAACGTCAACGGTGATACAATCACATGTACGAGCACAAATGGTTATGGTAGTCCGATAAATGTTTTATACAAGGATGCAGCTGATAAGAACGGACAATATTTTTGGGAGTTCGATGTGAAAGAAGCCGATGAGCAAGGTGGTGTTTCAGTTGGTCTAACAACTAATCAAGGCTTTCAAAGTGGCTGGGCTTTGAAAGCAATGAAATATTTAGGCAATCTATCGGACGGTGGTTGTCTACTCGTTCAATCGTTTGGTGATTCAATAAGTCAAGGTGATAAAGTTGGCGTTCTATTGCAATTAACCGATGCAGAAATGAAGATGTACTTATTTCATAACAATCGACCATTAGGTTTAGCATTTCATTTTCAATCTCCATATCCGAAACCGTTGTATCCAGGTAAAGTATCTTAGACTCTTGTAATCTTTTACAACTAAATTTGATTTTTATATAGTGGTTAGTTTCAGTTCAAATGGAAAAGTCAAAATCTCTCGTTCGCAACAAATTCCATCCGGACTAAATCGTGCTGCACTTCAATATCAAGGAATCGAAGGCGATTGGAAGATTGTTGAATATTCTCAATATCCGGAATGCGTTGGTTGCAAATTCGAAATAAAACAACAAGATGACAGCGGCAACGTTTACCATCTCTACGCTCACGTGGTCAACAATTTAAATTGCCGATTAGAACATAATACATCAAAGAACGAATGGAAACCTTCACATGTCATGTCCACAATGATGGCAGGTCCTCCCGAAGAGATGAACAAAGAAGCGGCTATTAGCAGTTTGATTGGCTCCATCCAACGTTTGGACGCACAAGGTCAATCAGGATTAGTTATTCGAACTAATAGTGGTGAACAAGTGCGATTAGAACGCTACTCAAAGTCTGGACCATCGGCGGTCACACAAAATATATTTAATTAAGCAAATCATATTCAAAATATGCTTTTAGAACAGTTATATTATTTTAACCTTTACTTGTAGTAGAGAACGAGATAATAAAATTTCACCCAAGAACTCAAAATTGAAATATTCCTGATAAGAACAGCAAAGCAAATGTTTAACCTTCGTACAGTAGAGAATAGTCACAAAACATGACAAGTATGATTCACATGCAACGTCGACGGTGTTATTCATTGTTTTTGTATAAAAAGGCAACAGAAACTTTTTTTCTCGCTCACATTTCGTTTTATTACAAATAGAGCAGAAGAGAACATGACGTATGTCTATCTTGATGACTCAACTGCGAAGGAGAAATTTTATGCAACAGATATCGCTCAAGAACCTCAACAAATATGTTTTCGTGTCGATGATGAATATCGACTGACTGGTATTTTTTTAGAAGATGCGGTGAAACCACTGACTAATCTCATACCTGAAATAGTCGAAAAAGCAAAACATGCCAAATGTAATTGTGAAAATCCGTCTGATGGTCTCTCATGTGACGAATCAGCTGCAATCTACTTATTTTCAATGAGATGGCAACCTGTCGATCAATGTCTTTGCTTTGTTCTGAACAAAACACTTCGCGAACAGAATAATACTCAACTGCACGTCTGGAAATTGTATTTGAGATTGTTATTGACTGCGTTAAATCGTCTTCCATCGACTCGCATCACTTTTCATCAAGATATCGAACACGAACGAACTAGACGACTTCGAAAAGATCATCTTCTCGTCTTTTGGGACTTTACATTTTGTTCCCTATCAACTCCTCTACCTCGCAAGCTGAAACAGATCAGTTTTTATACCAAAACTCGAACGACTTTTTCATTTGAATGCCGAAATGCAAAATTCATCGAACGACACTCTTGGGATCCTTCTCAAAACGAATATCTTCTCCTTCCCACACAATTTCAATTCGTCCGATATCTCGATCGAAGAACAGATCTTGAGATCATTCAAGTGAAAGAATATGACACAAAACAGCCACTCATCGATTTCATCGAAGCATCCAATCAACATCATCGTCCATCGATTCCAACTCAAGAGATTTCACGCACAACATACAAAATGCCTTCATCAAATCCCAACTTAGAACGACTCATCGAACTTCATCAACCTCAATCAGATATAAACTTAACGTATCAAAATCTTACTACCGATGATATGTCCATAATCGTGGAAAAAGCCATTATCGGAAAAAAGTGCACGCGATTGTTCTTAGATAATAATTATATCACTTATGAATGTATGTGTATCCTAGTCAATGCATTCCCGCATAACACAACTTTACAAGAATTATATTTACGTGAGACTGGTCTTTATGATGTTAGTGTTCAACTTTTAGCGCGTACACTTGCGTTGAACAACTGCTCAATCAAAGCATTGTACATGAATAGAAATTATATCACCGATCAAGGAGCAGGATATTTAGCCGAAATGCTCAAAACAAACACGACACTCACACAATTACATCTCTTCAAAAATCGAATAGACAAGAAAGGTGCACAATTGATTATGAATGTTATGGGGCAAGAAAATAAAAATCTTCTATATTTCGGCCATGAATATTATGAACAGAAAAAGAATTCGAGGTTGCGCACGATACTCCATGTGCTTAATTGTGTGAACAACTAAGAGCATGTTTTGTTGTTTCTTTTTTGTTAATTTAAAGAAAGTTTCTTAAAAACCTTTTGTGTTAAAAACGAATTCAAAATCATTAGTTATCATCAAATCGCTCTAGCTCATCGTTCGGTTCCATCTGAGTTGCGCTTGCTCCTTGTGAAGACGCAGTTTCTACATTTTTCGAATAACTCAATGCTTGTAGCCATTCAGCAATGCATACAATCAAGTCGCGAGCGTATAACTTTTTTATCCATTTCTCGGGAATCGAACTGTAACCGTAATAGGCACCAGCCAATTGTCCATAGATAGCAGCTGTCGTATCAGTATCACTGCCTAGATTCACCGCATTGATTACGCCATCTTCAAATGTTTCTGTACTCCAAAATGCCCACAATGCAGCTCGAAGACTTTGAACAACAAAGCCACCTCCACGAATTCCATCGTCGTATCCTTTTGGTTGTTTGTAAGATCCACTGGCAACTTCCATTATACTTGCATCGAGTGGTTTCGTACCGAACCATAATTTATGATCGTCGTAGAATTTGTCATTCAATAGTTGTTCTTTCGATTCACCTCGAACAACAGCAGCAATCAAAGCGCCATAATAACGACATGCATCGACAGCTCGTACATCGCCATGGGTGAGACGAGCACTTTGACCGGAGTACTCCACAGCAAGAGTAGGTACTTGGTAGAAGAAGAGTGGAACGGGAGCAAGTCGCATCAACCCTCCATTCCCAGCAGAACCTGGCGAACCACAAAATACATCGAACTTGTGTTTTTTGATTACATCGAGTGGTAATTGATCAACTTCTAAATCAACGCGTAATTTACGATCTTTTTTCAAAACATTTTGACGACGCTGAAATTCTTCCAATGACATGCGTGTGGCATTGCCGATATCGAAACAACGTCCTGTCGATGATAAAAAACCATGCTTGTACCACCATTTGTATCGAACCATTTGATCGTACAGATTAAAATCTTTTTGAGTAATAAGAGATGACGCAAGGCACAGAGACATCGATGTATCATCTGTCCATTGACCTGCCTTTAAATTCCACGTGCCACCAGTTTTCATATCTTCTACAGGTTTTTTAACAAGATCTTCCCGTGAACAGAATTCGACACCAGCACCAAGTGCATCTCCAATTGCGAGACCGATAAGAGAGCCAATGCAACGATTGGCAATAGTGGAATCTAGTGAGTCAGGTGATGGTCGGACAATCTTGATTTTTTCAGGCGGTGTCTTGTCATATGGAGAAGGAAACTGAAGCATTATGAACGAAAAAAATCTTTATTAATCTGAAACGTAGATAAAGTGAATCATTCTGCTACGATTTATGAAAAAAGAACTTAGCAACATGCATGACTCTCGCTTGAATCGGAGAATAAGAAAGATAACTACCTTTTATGGTCCATTCGGGTAGCAAGTATAAAATGAGATGAAGAAAAGAAAGCTTTATTTAGATAGTATATGCAAAAAAACACAGTGAGTAGATGAAAACAATATTCGCTTGTATATACAACGAACACACAGTCTTTAATCGAGATCAAATAATAAAAATTCAGCATCGATTAAACCAACATTTTCAATTGAGAGTTTATTTTGACTTTTGTCAGAGTAAATAAATGCACCATCGCCTTCTTCCAAAACAGTGCCATCAGCCAATCGAATTTTTGCACCGTTTGTCACTTTATATCCACTTCGCATTACTACATGAATATATCCTTTTGATCGTTGAAATGTATGCTCCACCGTTTGACTCTTTTGTAAAATACTAGCATACATGGATAAAGACGCATGAATTGGAATTGCATCCTTATTTGAATTGTTAATATCATCAACCAACAGACAGAGTCGATTGATTTTATCATTGTCCGACCATTTCTTCGTGGTGTAAGATGGTTTAAGTCTTGCCTGATTTGGTTTCACCCATATTTGAATAAAATGAACCCATAGAGATTTGTGAACATTATATTCTGAATGTTGAATACCAGTTCCAGCTGAGGTAAACTGCACTTCACCACGATGAATTATCTCTGTATTACCCATTGAATCTTTATGTTGTAATTCACCATCGACAACATATGAAAAGATTTCATATTCTTGATGAGAATGTGTATCGAATCCTGTTGTTGGTTGAACACGATCTTCATTTAGAACGCGAAGACACCCGTGACTGGAAAAACTTGGATCGTGATAAGATGCAAATGACCATGTATGAAAACTCTTCAACCAACCATGATCAGCATGCCCACGTTCATGAGAAGGACGACGAACGATTTGTATTTGTGACGACATTGTACGTTGAAATGTAAATAGATGAGTTTTGAATGTCTTACTGAACGCACAACGTTCATTTTTATAGGCAAGTTTAGGAATGAATGTGTGAGGATGATGCAGCAAAAAAGACATGCGTGAAAACATGACGCCTAAGACAGAACGAAAGAAAAAAAACTGATGTGGTTGTTTTCTCTTTTTCTTTCCTTGCATCGTCAACAGAACGAAAGAAAATCATGAGTCATTACATTCTGCTCTGTCGTTGTAGTCTTATTCATTCAGAAATACGGTTTATTCTTATATCCAGCATGAAACAATTGGTTTGAACAAGTTACTAGTATTTGTTCAAGGCATGATCATATTCATTGTATATTGGGCAATGTTTATGATGCAGAAATAAGAAGTGATGTAAATAGAACAGTCATATCAAGAAATGTATCTGTATGAAATAAACACGTACTTGACAAGCTGTAATGACTATTTACTTGTCATCTAAAAATACGAAAAAACCCAGAGAATGACAAAACAAGAAAAATGTTGATTGAATCAAACTATGCACTCTGGATATTTTTGCAAGCCTATGGGTAGCATTTACGTAGATGGAGGAGGAAATCAGACCTTTTATTGCGAATATGTCATTTCAGCCATCTTTGCTGACTAACACTGAATTGAGAAATTTATGATGAAATCGGGAACCAATGAGGCATTTACAGATCAAGATACGTTGTGTTCGACGAGCTCGGCCGTAAAAAATAATGTTTTCTTTTCTTTGTCTGTTTAACATACGATGACTCATCATTTGTCAATGCGTCTCAACACTGGTTTTTTTCCCAGTGAGGACTACTCGTTGAATACGCTATATAAATGTAGGTCTGCATTAGCTTGTGTATTTATTCTCTGAAAGTTTTTGAACAGTAAAATTGGGACAAGCATTGTAGATATAAAACTCGTTTTGAATTGCTGTAAAGTATAACACAAGTAACTCTATACCTGAAGGTACCATAGCATTTGTTTCTATACGTATTATAAATACTAGAATTTCTATTATCTAGGGCCAATTTCGCTATCTGACTAAGTATGGCTGGACGTGGTTATCGACGAAGTAACACATTGTAGTTAAAAAATCTAGCTGAGAAATCAGTCTTGTCTTCTAGATAAAGGAGACTTTCGATCGGTGAGAACAGTTGCTCCATCAGCAAGAATGACCGGCGAAAGTGAAGATGTATCCGACATTGTTCAACGAAGTGCACGTGCTTCAAGTGCATTTCCGACGCTTAATGAATCGATGAGAAGTTTATCTGTTAGTGAAGCATCTGCGAAGGAGACTCGTTCGAAGAGTGTTCGTCAACGACTTTCTCGTCGAACTTTGTGTTCAGCAGTCCCCGATCTGGCAAATTTAACTCCGGTGCATCGGCCAGATGAGGGTGGACACAAAGGCCGCTCAGTCGATGTCTATACGAATCATTTTCGTGTTGATATCGAAGACGCGACTGTCTATCAATATGATATTGAAATAGTTATGATCAATCGCAGCGGTAAACCATGTCAAGCACGTAAAGATGACAGATGGGAAGTCATGCAAACTATAATTAAGCAAAGAAAACATCTTCCGACAATATGGTAAGATTTGATTCCTATCTGAGCAATCTTCACACGAATGCATTTAGGTATGACGAAGGCAAGACTGTATATTCAAAAGAAAGCTTGCCTGATTTGGGACTACCCATTGAAATTTCGTTGACTAAGGAAGAAGTGAAAAAGTTTTGCTTGACCAAATGCAATTTGGTTCAACAAAGTCGAATTCAAAGTATCCATGATTACATTCGACGAAAGACAACTACTCGACCGCAAGAGGCAATTCGAATAATTGAGACGTTGTTTAANGCAGGAAGCCGCTAAAAATAAATGGCAATTGGCTATTATTGTTCTTAAAAGTTATGACTCAGCTAGAGTTTACGATTATGTTAAACAATCTTCCAATCGATCGATCGGTTTAATGACCCAATGTGTTAATTATCAAGCTCTAGAACGAAACATTAGCAAACTCAATATGTGTAAGTAGAACAACTTGGTTTTTTACGGAGAAGAACGTTTTCATTTAGACGTAGAAAACATCAGTCAAAAGATCAATGGAAAATTGGGTGGTATCAATGGCGTCGTCAATATAAAATCCGCATTGAGTCGACCTTCAAATGAAGATTTGTTCATGTTTTTTGGAGCGGATGTAAATGATAGAACCCTAACATGAAAAAAGCCATGCGCAGTGTTCTTTCTGTTTTCAGGTTACTCATTCGACTTGCTCAACAGAAAGTCCATCGATTGCAGCAGTCGTTGGCTCTCGAGACGCGACAAATAGTTTGTATGCAGCTCGGCTCTGTGAGCGTATGTTTCTTTTCGACATGACTTCTTCTCGATTTTGTCATCTTTTGCTTTTCCTCGCAGAATACCCCAAAAAAGGCCGTTGCTCCGTCGAGATTATTAAAGAATTAGGCAGCATGGTGACTCAGTTGCTTCAACTATTCGCTGACGCTCACGGTGGCTGTCTTCCGAATAAAATTGTATTCTATCGAGATGGCGTCGACGACGGACAATATCAAAAGGTACTCGACTATGAAGTTACACAAATAAAAACTGCTTGTCGTCGTAAGTTTGAAAACTACTCTCCATATCTGATACCCTGTTTCCTTTTTCATCATGCTTAGAACTATATCCGAATGGATTCACACCACAATTGACTTTTATTGTGGTGAAAAAACGTCATAATACACGATTCTTCCTCTATGAGAGTGATCAGACATTGAATGTCGAACCAGGCACTGTTATCGATCAGGATATCACACATCCCTTCCAATTTGATTTCTACCTATGTTCACAAAAGGCATTGTAAGTATCTGCTCATTCTTTTATTCAATCTCATTACTTTGGTCATTTCTAGAAAAGGCACATCACGACCAACCTTGTATCATGTCGTACATGATGATAATCAGTTTACTAGCGATGACATACAACAACTTACCTATTGGGTAAGTTCATGTTCGTTTTTTATCCAAGCTTTTCATTTCGATTCTGTTTCAATAGCTATGCCATACAGATATGCGTTGTACAAAATCCGTTTCTATTCCAGCGCCAGTGCACTACGCCCATCTAGCAGCGTATGCATCACGAGCACTTCGTTTAGAAAAAGATGAAAATATCGAAGGGTATTTAATCATTAAGATGAACTATTTCTTTTTTACTGACAGTATGAATATTTTTAGTATTGATGGCGGAAGTGAAGATCCCGAAGACTATTGTCTTGATGACATTAAAACAGAACTAATGATGTTAGATACCAAAATCGCTGATGATATGTGGTTTTTGTAAAGTAATCACGGTTCACCATACTTTTTTCTCTCATGTCAATGCATTGTAATCAAACTGAACTGAATATGTCACTGTTTCAACAAAACATATAATATGTATTGCAAATATTCTTTTACATTTTATTAAAATAAAATAAGGATCCACGTCGTCTGTACAACACGAAGAATTTAAAAAAGACGGTCTTTTTTTCTTATCTTTGCTCTACAATATAAAGATGACGATGTACTTGTAACAAATACAGGTACGAATGAGACACAAAAATCGAAGCTAGTTTCTCAACATCTACTCTGCACATATTGACACGAATGTATTACTATGCGTTTTGACTTACCTACAGAATATTGTATCAAATTTCATTGATATGAATAGATTACGTATTGAAATCATTGGTGTGAGCAGCAATGATGAACTGCTTCACTCGAGCATGTATTGCAAATAAGTCACTGAAACTCGGATTGAACTGACAGCAGACTTTTGTTTTTCTCAAATATTCCAGAAGAACTTAGAGAATTTTCTAATTATGGTTGGAAGTTAATAATCTTCAACGATTTATTCGTTTCAATACAATAGTTCGGCATGTTGATTTTGATGATTGCATTTCAATAGAGATTTATACGAAAAAACAAAAACATTTGACCGTGCGATTGTAACTAGCGATCATTATCATATGCCCAATATGATCGATATCGACGAAATTGGTCAATTTCAAGGTCGAGTTCTTCACTCATATGAAATATCATTCATTTGAAAGAGAATTCAACGATTAAGAACATCGATGCTATTATTTTGTGCACCGATCTTTTTAAATTCCTACTTATGGCGAACAAGCGGATATTCGTAAATGGCGAAAACATGAAAAACTGATATTCCCGCTTTGATCGATCTACAAACTGACTACATGAATGATATACATAACTTGTTACACTTGTCTGACAAGCATCAGTCATTACTCAAATTTGATTTCAATAAAGCAAATGAATTAGTAAAGAAGTTTGAAGTGAAGAAAAATACAGATATAATTCATCATCGTAACGGGTGCGACGAGAGTATGGTAGATGACAAACATCGATCTGCCGCTCATATAGATCAGACGTGGGTTATAAATAGGGATGGTTCGATGAGAAACTTTTTCATTACGTACCGAAACGACTAATTATCAACAATTAGAAGTTTTCAAATCCACTGAACAGAAGGATAATTAAATGGAAATTTTCTTTTTATGTTTGCTGTGTCCTAGAGAATTTCTTATTAAAGACTTAATGTCTTTCTAGAATGATCGATAATCTGGTCTGAGCGCATATTAAATAATGGTTACTTCTACGTTAATCTACGAAGAAAATTTCATAGCATTACTCACACTTCGAGTTTCTCTACAATGAGTACCAATCTCTACATTTTTTTTGATATACTAGAATTGATTTTTGTGTCGATTGGAATTTTATCTTCAGTCACAATTCTTCTCCTCATCTTAATATATCGCTCAAAATATCCTCTGACTGCCCCGGTATTTCTTTTGTGTAATAGTTATGTATCCATTGTATTCGTTTGTTGTTTTCTGTTGAACACGTATGGAGATAGTCTCTACGGTGACACTCATCGAGTAGTCTCATTAGATTCCATTTGGTGTCCCATACGTTCTTATTTGTTACATGTTGGTATTTGTTTAGTATATTATTCATTTTTCCTCTTGTCATGCTTTCGCTTCTTTCGAATTGTTTTGTACAAATACAAAATATTGCAAAGTTTTCAATTTATCTTTGGATTAACCTTTCTCTATTGGCTCATGAGTTTCATTTTATTGATTCCACTGTTAACTGAGCACTGGGTTACGTACTTACCAGAATGTTATTTTTGTCAGATTTCCTTTACCAGCATTCAAGGTACGCTGTATGGTGGTGTAGTTGTCTATGTTTTTCCGACATGGAGCACAACAATAATTTATACCTACATTATCAACTACATGAAGAAAACAGCAGTTCAATCTGTTTTACAAAAGCGTCATCAAACAAATCAACGAGATCTTGTTGTTCTTCGTCGGATCATCGTCATGTTAGGGATATTACTCACGTTGTGCTTTCCAACTGTTTTAACGTGGGTTAGTTTTGTTATTAATAATAATATTGATCCAATTGGCTATCGTATTGGATGGTTAATATTTGCTCTCTCATTTGCAATTTTGCCAATAACACTCGCTTTGTTAACCTCTCAAACACGCCAACTATTAATGGCTCTCTGCTGTGCTCGACGGAATCGTATTCAACCAGTACAAGTGATTACACATCAATAAAACATAAGAATATATCGCCTATATACGGATTTAATCGAATCTAGTTTTTAAATGTTCGTAGCTTTTAATTTGAATATACATCATCCTTAAAGTAGATGCAATACCAGGGAAAAAAACTTCATTATCAAAAGCTCTTTGTCTTGAATACGCGGTTCAATTATGACCTCATTAAATCGGTTACTGTTCGCTTTTAAAGAAGCATTACAGTTTGCTGCCGATGATCTTTTCTTAGTGACATTATCCGAGGGTATATGCAAATGAAGGTTCAGAAGATTCCGGTCAAATGTGTTTTGTCATGATGAGAATGCTTTTGATTTCGAGTTCAAGCAGCATATCTAATATGAAAACTCTATTCAAACGAGGAAAATAAGTGCAAACAGTAGTGATTGAAGAATTACGTGAACTGTGCAAAGTGTGTATCCATGCAATTGAATGAATGTAAAACGAAATGAAAAGGTTGCTAGAAGATCCTAAAATGATATAGGAGAATATGGTTTGAAATCAACTATTGAAATTCACCGACGACCCATCTTCACACACATTTTGTTTTGTTTGAAAAAACAGAATTCTTTCTTATACTTACCTTATATTAAAAACGATGAACACACATCTATACTATATAAACTAGATTCAAAAATAGTTTCTACAAATAGAAGATGGCGAGATCCACATGTAACTAGTTCAGGAATATGACCCGGATAGATCCAGAAAAAAATATCTTCAAGCTGTTGGCCATAGCCAATCTCTTCGTATTCTACAGCATTTTATTTAGACGTATCATTGATTGTTAGTGAAAGAAACTCACATTCCTGAACCTAAGCAACCTCCCAAAAAGGTTACTTGTAAAAGTAACACTCAGAAACTTACTCAACAATACAAACCTATATATCAAGATGACACAATCAAAGTTCGTGTGTTTATTATTGATCTTGTCTAATGAACTCTTTCTCAATAAATCGATGATCTGCTTCGCGGTGTATTCATCTTCAGTTATGTGAAAAGAATTATTTATACTCATCATACGAAGTCGATGATGAAAATATCCGATTCTTTACCGAAGTCACATAAGTATTGTGACTGCATTCGATCTTACTTTGCGTTAACAGGGGTGGTATTACTGGTATCACATGTAATGCGATATCACAGACATTGTCATTGAATTTTGGATAAAAAATCGACAATTTGAGATGTTTGATTAATCACTCGTTTTCAAGAATTTCTGCGAGAGAGAAATGCTGTACTTGGAAATAAAACATCGTGAGTACAGGATGAAAAAATTTCCAAGCTTTACCATGTGCTTTGCTCACTCACTAAATCATCATCGTTTTTTTTATCGGTTCTTTTTTATATGGCTGTAACTGTCACAACAGCAGAAGTTGCGATTTTTTTCTAATAGTAGAAGACAGTATTGCATATATTTCACATAAATTCGTTGTTAGGTAGGTGATACAAGAGAAGTAGATGTAATCATCTAGAAGTTCGTCGAAGATACCTCTATTTGATGAGAAATATCGATTACGGAGGTCGTAAGATGTTCGTTTTATCTATGACTTACATGAATATCGGTTGTATCACTGGGAAAAATAGAAACAGTCGTTTTTTGCGCCACAATTGTAGAGATTCATCGTCTGTTTGTTAATTTTTTGTAGAAATATCATGAGGAAAATTGCTATCAAATCCACGACTGGAATGGGTCGAACTTATACTTTCGACATTGACTCTTCGATCACACTCAAACAGCTAAAACAGCAATTCTTGCATAGAACAGGCAATCCAAGCGATGAAAAAACTGTACAGCTTATATATAAAAAGGAAATCCTTTATGAAGATGAAGAGCACGATTATCTTTTATCTGCGTATGGTATAGAAGATGATGCGTTGTTACAGGCAGTTAATATCAATAGTCGTACTTGTGGATTTCGACCACCGACATTCGTCGATGTCAGTAATGGTAAAGGTTTAGTGAGAAAGAATTGGGGAAAATATGCTCCCGATTGGCGAATTGCATGTCCTGGTCTATGCCTCGAAGGTGTATGTCAAAATCAAAGTTGTAAAGCATATCAGCAACGAGTGATTATGTCTATGGGTTTTATCAGATTCAATATAACTGTAGATCCAGATACTGACACAACGAAATGTCCTTCGTGTCAAGTCTTTGTTAATCCAACTACATGTGCATTTAATAATTGTTGGTGGAAATACAGCGGGAAGAAGCAAGAGGGTGAGAAAGCACCCGAGAAATGTTCATGTGATTGGCAGTATGCTGATAATGCGTATCATTATTTTGATGAAGATAAAAGCGGAACGGTTACATGGAAAGAACTGATTGTGGAAACTACGCAAAATAAACCTTACTAAGTTTTTTTCTCGCAAAACTTTCCGAAGTGTTCCCAGACATCATTAATATATATTCGCGAATAAATCATGTGTATTGTATTCCTCAAACGAACTTTCTGATTGAGGATCGAACTAACTGATGTTCAATTGAGTCACAAGATTTTTCTTAGTAATTATAAAAAATTTTCAATTTGTAATTTGAAATGTGAAACGTTTACACCTTCCAGCAAGTAGTATCACAGTTTAATAAAGATTATATCAAGAGACAATATTTGAGTACCTCTCTTCGTCGTTCGATTGTATACGTTATTGACACTGACTATCATCAAAGATATCAAGCAGTTAGTAAGAAAAAAAAGATGAAATATGACGATGGAGTCGTGTTTTAACAAAAAAATTAAATAAATAGAGAGGTTTGCCTTGTGTTTTATCATTCTCAAGGTTATATGCAAAGTCCACTAGAAGGATAAAAACTAGTGATACATCAAACGATATCTTATCATCAGTAGAATTTGCACCATGATGATGATGATGATGACCATAAATAAAAAGACTTATCATTTTCTTAATAAGTACTGTATACATTCATGTCTATCTTAACTAAAATTAACGGTATTGTCTTCTACTCACGCGAAATTTCATTCTAGATTAGTTCAACCTAATCAACTATGCAGAACGAATCTATAAAGTATGAAGTTATCTGTTGAGGTCTGATTGATTTTATATGAGTTTTTTTCTAGTACTCGATCTCCGCTGCTATTAGCAGATCGTCATCCAAGAAATTACAACCGGTGGTTACTTCTTTTGATTCTTCTTCTTCTGATTTCTTCTATTACATTGGGTATTTTATTCGGACTTGAGAAATCAAAAACAACACCAACTCCAGTTTCAACAACAACGACAGCACCACCTCGTAATGCACACGATTGTTTTTTGTCCACCATAATCCTTCTTTCTATTTTGTAGCTGCTGTCGATCTCTGTTTAACACCTTATTGCGTCAAAGCTGGTACGTCGTACTACTACATTGATGTTATTTCCAAATAATCCATGCATTTGCTCGTTCTAGCGGATTATTTATTGGATTCAATTGACGAAACTGTTAATCCTTGTGAAGATTTTTATCATTTTGCATGCGGATCATGGTTGAAAACAGCTCGTATTCCCGAAGAATGTGAGTTGTCTATCTCCAAGGAGATTACCAACGATTGATTGTCTTTCAGCTGGTGTTCAAAATATGTTCAATCTATTGGATATTGAATTAGATGGAAATCTCATTGGTACGATACATTGTTGAGCTGCTTTCGCTCTTATCGTTCGTATAATTCGTTTAGATCTTTTAACATCAAACACTACCGATACCACAGCAGCAGTTGCACATGCCCGGACATTGTATGCTTCATGCATCAACGAGGCACAAATTGAACATGAAGGTGTTGCAGCCGTCATGGATATCGTCAATTACGAATTTGGCGGATGGCCAATCCTTCATGGCACTGCATGGAATGAAACAACATTCAATCTAACAGATCTTTTACTTCAATTACGTAAATATGATGATGCTATCATCTTTAGCGTTACAACAGCTACGAATCAAGAAAATTCATCTGTTTATGATATTGAAGTAAAAGATCTCCATACGGGGTTTTTCCTTTTTTCGATCAAAAAATATGTCTTTAGCTCGCACAAGGTAGTCTCGGTTTACAAGAAACTGAATATTATAACAATGAAACAGCAATTACCGAAGCTTATCGTCAATTCATACGAGATCTTGCTGCAGCATTATCAAACGACACATCAGCAATTACAAATGATGCTCGCGATATGTTTTTATTCGAGAAAGATATCGCTCAAGTGAGTCCGCACTTGCTCAAGTCGATTTTAACAAATCATTCCGTTTAGTACCATTGGTCTGCTGGTGAACAAATCCTACGTGACAATGAAACTGTCCGAACAACTGTTGCTGATCTTTCTAAAGCGCTTCCATCATCTGTAAGAAAGACTTTTACGTATGAACATACATTTCTCATTCAGTACTTGCAAATTTAGTTTGATTTCACTAATTATATCACTGAAGCTTATTTGATTGGTAACGTTACATTACTTCCAACAGATCTCGTCACTGTTAGCGAAGTTGCTTATTTACTCAACGTCTCAACAGTTCTTCATAAAACACCACCACGTATTCTTCAGAATTATCTTGTTTGGCGATTTCTGATGAACCGCGCCATCCACATGCCACAACACATTCGAAGCACACGTCAACAATTTGATCGTGTGTTCAAAGGAACAAGTGCTGAACCAGCACGTTCAACTGTTTGTACTGATTACGTTAACAACAACATGGGTTTCGCCGTGTCTAGACTCTATGTGAAAAAATACTTTGACGATGATGCTCGTAATCAATCAAAAGACCTCATCAAAAACATTCGAGCTGCAATGATCACAATGCTTGAAAACGCTACATGGATGGATGCTGACTCCAAGGCAAAAGCTGTCGATAAAGTAAAAGCAAATTGAATATCTACTTCTACGAAATATTCGATTGTTCGATAGGCTCAAGCTATCTACGAAAATATCGGCTATCCCGATTATGTTGCCAGTGATAATACCACCCAATTAGAAAAGATGTATGCCGAAGTAAGGAAAACGAATTTCTATAGGAAAAGATAGACAAAATTCTTTGAATTAGTATGTGTTCAACTCATCATTCATCGATAACGTTCTTCAAATGCAACGTGTGAAAGCTCAAGAAGATTTTCGAACACTCCGAGAAACGGTCGATCATCGAGCATGGGGTGATCTTCCTCCTACGATCGTCAACGCTTTCTATGAACCATCTACCAACGCTATCTGTAAACTTCTACATCCATATGGACGAAGCACACTAAATATTTTCTCTTTCTTCAAATAGCTTTTCCAGCTGCCATTCTACAAATGCCCTATTTTAACAAGCTTGCACCTAAGTAAATCGACTTACTTTTTTTCTCTCTCTCGCGTTCTTTACTCTTGTATATGTTTTCTTCTCTTAGATATCTTAATTATGGTGGTATGTAAATAGTTAATCATCACGGATGAGCAGATTCGGCAGGTTTATTTAGGTATCGGTATGGTTATTGGTCATGAAATTACGCACGGTTTCGATGACGATGGTCGTCAATACGATAAAAATGGCAATCGACACCCATGGTGGACGAATACGACTATTGAACAATTCAATCAACGTAAACAATGCATCATTGAACAATACAGCAATTATACTGTCGAACAAATTCACAAAAACGTGAGTTTTCTGCTGAATAAGTTCCGGTTAATTTCGTAAATTACTTTTAGTTGAATGGCGATCAAACTCAAGGTGAAAACATTGCTGACAATGGTGGTATTAAAAGTTCATTTTATGTAAGTAGATGCGATAAATTCTGTTTTGTCTTATGAAATTGATCTTTTCTCAAGGCGTATCAAGCTTGGGCAAAGGAAAATCCAAATGTTGACAGACGATTACCAGGTTTAAATAAATACTCACAAGAACAAATGTTCTTCATTGGTTATGCTCATGGTTGGTGCGCAAAATTTACAGATGCTTATGCATTGAATCGAGTTCTAACTGATGTTCATTCCATTCCACAATTCCGGTAATGCGTTTAGAATTAGTTTTTCCGCTATTTGTTCTCTTTGGTTTTTAGTGTTCTCGGTCCGTTGTCGAATTTCGTCGAGTTCGATCGTGTGTTTAATTGTACACCTGGTCAAGGAAATAGTCGCGTGAAAAAGTGCGCCGTTTGGTAGTGTGTGTTGTTTTAAATAATAAAGAAGAGTCTTACGAATAAAATTATTTCCTTTAACTTGAAGAAAAAGAAAAGATTGATGTTCGTTTACTGTTAAAAAGGAAGAAGAAAACGACACTTTTTGGTTAATTTTCTGTTTGAGAAAGTAAACAACAAATAGAATGGAATATTTTCCATCTTCTTGATTGCCGTATGACTTTTCAATGAACGTTACTATGACAGTCTGCCTAGGCAGAAGTATTTATATAGGTTAGAAAGAGTTTATTTGCTGTTAGAAAACAATTTTGCCCGTTAAACGATGTTAAGGAACAAGATTGAATGTAAATATGTAAGTACATCGATCTACAAGATTTGGTAGATGGAAGCTTTGCTTTCTCTAGAATCCTGCACAATATGACGAAGCATTCAAAGCGGTTCCAATTAATTGCCGGCGATGCGTTATGTTTTCTCCGGATCAGTAAGGATTGAATTTGAATAACCATTACGAAATTGTTTACTGCAGCTCCGACGAACAATTTTGTCATTGCAATCGAATGAGACGAGATCATCCGATAATTTCATCGAATCCGCATCAACCGTGGAGAATCGATACGCATACCGAGAGAATTTTTACGAAAGAACAAGGTGTTTCCCTTGTCAACGGTGCTTTGGTATTAAAAAAAAGCATGAGTGACTTTATTTATTGTCTGATTTCTTCGTTAATAGTATGTTCGATGTGACATTGAAACTGATCCAACTATCATAAAAGGAATTCTACTCGACATCTGGCATATGCCAATACCAGCACTTCTTATGCAAATTACTGGTGGACATAAATATTTTAAATTACGTGGAAACATGCAGGTAGCTTTTCTCGATGATTTAGTTCGATTCATTAGTAAATCAAGTAAGATTCACTAGACAGTTATCGAGCTTTTTCGTATCTTGTTCTTTGCAATATAGATACTTGGTTGTTTACCAATGCAGCAAACGTGGGAATTGTTCATTTAATTGGACAGACCATTCGTAAACGAAGATTGACGAAACCGCTTCATAAGACAGTGGCCATTGGTGTTTGTAACTATGGTTTTGTAAAGAATATCGGTGATTTTCAACGACTGGAAGTCGAGAAATCATTCGAAGAGGCAATGGGAACAGAAGACCGAGATCTCGTAAATAAAAATCGAGTTATTCAAATGTTCAATGACTTTTCTTTCCATAGAATGATCTAAATCAAGGACGATCCGGTGGACAACGTCTGGAAATGAATCACACACATTTTATCTTTCTCGATGATGGAACTATTCGACGGTTTGAAACTGGAGACTATCGAACTAGATTAGCAAAAACAATTGCTAGTCGACAAACGACACAAGAATTACCTAGTAAAAGCATTGCTGATGGAAATAATTCGTTCAATAATTATTTATTTTTAGTACCGATTGTAACAGTCTTATTTGAAGGCGGTGAAGATTCTGTTCGGTCAATTTATAATGATCTGCGTCGAAATATACCTGTGATTATTATCAATGTAAATATTCTACCAGATTCTATTACTTTTCGATTGTATTTCATTGATTTTATTGTTAGAATACTGGCCGAATTGCTGATTTTTTCGTACGATGGTTGGCGCGTACACAAGAAATGGATTTAGATGCGAACTGGACAGTTCCACTTGATATCGATCGTGAAATTTTTGTACAACAAAACTCAACATGTTCTCCACTATCGACGGACGAATCGAATCGACATCGGTAAGAATAGTTTCCTGTTCTTGTTTCTCTTATCAGTGTGATTCTCGGAATTCGACAGATTATCGAAGAAATTCGAAAAATACCTCAGTGCGATGACGGATGAATTAGTTCAAGCAGTGAATGGCATCGATCGTGATCGTTCTATTAAAGTAATCAAAACTGATACATTGAAAAAAATCAATCCAGATATTCTTCTTATGGTCCTCTATTGTCTTCAACCAACTGTACGTGCAAAGATTAGTATATTCAACGTCAACAAAGGTGAAACATTACCTGATACGATTCTTCGAAGCATTTGTAAATGTAAGTTCCGTTCTCTTTGTTTCTCTTCTCTGCATTCATGGATTTATTCTGTATAGCGGTTGTCATCAAAGCGCATCAGAATCTTCGTTTGAATAAAACCGAACGGCCTGTCGCATACTTAGATTATCTGTTAGAATTAGCGATCGATTGGGATTGTATTAATACTGCTAGAGAATTGATTGTTCAAGATTTACTTGATAATATTTATAATAAAAAAGCAATCTTCTTGCGTGCATTGACAAAACAACGGCATCGATTTATTCATTATTTTATTCACTTAGGTTTCAAAATCGATGAGATTTTCTTTCATCCGAAATCAAATCCATTTGCAGCAAGAGAACATAGCAAAACAAACAAACGTTATGATGAATTTATCTCTTTGTTGTACACGAACGAAGCTATTGTATGTGTATCGAGAGATTTCGTGGTGAAAGTTGAGAAAATTTTCCATTTGATGTTTTAGAATCGCGAAGATTGGATGTTACGAAATATATTCAAAACAACGAATGATAAGAATCGAAGAATAATTTCATCCACCGATGATTTGAATAAATTATTTCAAAAGGTGATTGGTAGTTACGTCAAATCGCTCTATTATGATTCTCAAATCGAAGAACAAGAAGACAGAATGGGTGTCAAGCGTTTCACGAACATAATTTCACCTGCGCACGATATTGAACAAGGACAATTGATCGGTACTGATGCAAGTTACAAACAATTAGCAAGAGATTACATTATCCGTGATCTGTTTCTATGGTCGATTGTTATGAATCACATGGAATTAGCAAAGGTGTTTCTTGCGCATATGAAAGATCGTATATGTGGTGCTTTGATTGCGACTGAGATACTTTCGCATTTACGTGATAATTCATCGGATGCAGTGTATGGTGATAAGAAAGTTCGTTTGACACTTTGGATAAATTATTTCGAACAATACGCAATCGATTGTATGGACTTATGCTTTCAAAATGATCCAAATATGGCACAGTTATTAACTGTACAACGAGTAGAAATGTTCGGCGATGTCACTTGTCTACAGGTGAGAAAAATTCAATGAGAATAACTTGGGAAATTCGTTCGTTTGATATAGGTAGCAGATGATGCGAATAGTAAACGATTCGCTTCGCATCCATGTTGTCGACAAGCAGAAAATAGTATATGGTACGATAAATTGCATTCGGATCAGTTTCATTTACGGTATTATATCGGACAGTTAATTGGAACATGGACTCTGGGTTTATTAGCTCCGATTTTCACTCGTTTCCGCACTATAAATCCAGTAAGACGAAGTTTTTTTCTCTTCGATATCTTAATTTTCGTTTGATTTTCTCGATAGACTCAATTGCCAACTGAACCCACGTAAGTCAAATGAAGTTAATGGCATACATAGCCTTCGTTTGATCATTTAGACTGCAATCCTATGGTATTAATTATTGTGATCCATATGCCATAAATCACTTCGAAGGCAAATTTATGCAAACTATCTATCAGATTTGGAAATTTCATCAGTCGTTGCATATTAAATTCACTTATCATCATGTAACATTGATTTCAATTGATTTTCTTCAACTTTGATGTTTTTCTCTTTAGGTTCAATACATAACTTTCCTTTTCCTATTTAGTTATGTTCTTTTATTTCATTTCGATCCACTATTGGACGATCATTCAACAATTCATTCAACAGAAATGCTCGTCATTGCCGCTGTGACTTGTATGTTAATCGAAGAGATTCGTATTGTAAGTTTCATTTTTCAAACTGAAATCCAACTTAATTTTGATTGTGGTTTAGTTCTTTAAACAAGATAGCTTGTCCTTTAGAGGCAAATGCTACAGTTACTTTCGGTATTTTTTCAAACAACTGTGCGTGATTTCGTTTGTTTTGTTCTACATCGGTTTAATTCTGCGATTTGCTGCTGTTGGGGACTCAGCGACATTCCAGACAGCAAGGTAAAATTTTATATCGTTCTTTAGGAGATTTCAATGTGCATGATGCATAGGATTATCATGGGATATGATCTATGGCTTTGGTGGATGAGATCGCTGCAGTTCATCATTGTTAATCCATACCTTGGACCGCATTTGGTATCTATTGGAAAGATGGTAAGAATAACGATGAATGTCAAATGAAAATATTATTCTTGTTGTTTTGTAATTTAGTTGAAAAATTTATCCTTTTTTGCAATCTTGATCGCCATTGTGATGACTGCTTATGGTGTCGCTTCAAGATCTATGGCTTTCTATGGTACCTTTGCATTCAATGGTCGAGAAATACTTCGTTCAGTTCTCTATCCCGTTTATTATTTACTTTATACCAATCTATCAGGAGAATTAAGTGGTTTAGATGGTATATAAACAAAATAAATGTTTCGACAGCTATTGATTAAAACAAATTGTCTTTTAGAAGCGGCCGACGTTATAACCAGTATTGCAACGCATGTTTTACTCGCTTTTCATATGCTTTTAATCAATGTGCTTCTTGTTAATCTACTAATAGCGATGTTCAAGTAAGTAACATATAATTCGACTTGATAATGAATATACGCATGGAATTTCAGTAAGAGTTTTCAAGATGTTCAATCGATTCAGTCTGATATTTGGAATTATCAACAATATGCCGTTGTTCGTGAATATTTCGATCGGCCATCTTTATTCTTACCTTTCAGCACAATCTTTGATATCATTGCAATCGTTAAAATGTTGTACCACTGGTATCTTCGTGTGCGATATAACTATGCCAATCCATTACAGCGTGTGTTCAGTAAGATTCAATAGTAAAGAACATAAAATCTCTTAGTTTGACTATTGCAGAAGTAATTGCTGTGCGACCAGAGTTGGAACTGGCTTGGCAAGAATTTGAAAGTGCATCAACGTATGCTTATGCACAATGCGAAGCACTAGTCAAAGTTAATCAGTAAGGTACAGAAAGGTGTTGAGACTGTTGACTATGATTTATTTGATTGTAGAACGATTATCAATAAGAATTCTACTTTGCAAGAATCAGGTGAAGATAGATCTGCTAATAATGTTCGAAAAAATAGTGATACAATTATTCAACTGCGTAATGAATTTCGAGCAGCAATTCGAGATCTTCGAAATGATGTAAGTGTAGAGAAATATTTTTGGAATATTTGAGTTTTTATTTTGGATACTTTTCAGATTCAGCTTATTGTGAAACAAAAGTGAACAATTATTAGTGCAAAGGCTTGCCTATTTGTTTTTATTTCTTGTAAATAAACAAAATATTGAAAAATAATAATTTTTTTATGAAATAGTTCTCGTACTTTTTCTCTCGATCCAAGAAACAGGAACAATAGCAACAGAAATTCGATCGGCAAATGTCTCTTCGCCATTTTCTAAAACTACTGCAATATAATCTCCATTTCCAAGAACCGCAGTATCAGAGTATGAACTCAATCCTGAAAACAAGACACGTGACACAGGCCATGTATATCCCTCATCGTATGACAGTCGAAGTGTAAAATTCGATCGTACGGTAGAATTATCTGGACCACTAAAAACAATACGACTAGGTATGGTTGATATTCGTGAAACAGAACACACAACACCCGTCCACGATCGTGTTACTGGTTCTATGAGTGACGAATCAATACCGAACTTGGTGAATTGATTTGCACCATCGGTAGAACGTGCAAAAAATCGATGACCAGGCATCGGTGAAAAGTTTCTCCCGTTTAAATAGATATGTGATAAACCACTATCTGTACTTATGGTTTGTACGAGTTGCGATTCGCGAGTATACTGTTGAGCAATACCAGAAAAAGTCCATGTTCGATTCTGGTTTGCTTTTGGTAAGTCACTTTTCAATACACACGCGTAGCAGCTAGGACATGAGCCGTTATCGCCTGGATGACTTGATCCATTAGCACAAACAAATGGCATCTAAAATAAAAGAGTAAAGGAAAACTTAGGAAATACTTCGACGTGCACATACTAATAATGTGCCTGCGTCAGAACAATTGCTATTGCTACATAGATTATCTATAACCTGCAAAGAGAAATCATAGATTTTGACAGAGAAAATATCGAAATATCATACTTCAATGCCATGTCCAACAGCAGGTTTTATTGCCTTACTGAACGGTGGAGGAGGATATACTGCCAATGGGATTGGTTTCGACCATGTGACACCCTGGTTGAAGGTAAGTAATGTAATAATGATCAAAAGTTGAACTTACCTCATCCGTTGAGGTAAAGATCAGAACTGGTGTTGTTGTTTGCAACATTAAATAGACTGTGTTCGTTCTACTATCCCAAACTACAGTATAGAAATCAATATTTCCTGAAAATACTGTCTGTGCTGGAAGCCAAGTAACACCGCTATCTTCTGAACGACGCATCTCTAAGCCACCATCTTCATTCGTTTTACTACGCCCATCCGATGGATTTTCGAAAGGTGGTGCGCAACTTGTAACAAATCGACCTTCAGCAAAGACGAGCAGATGAGTTCTTTGTGCATTAGTGGTCAATAGAGCTGGCTAACATGATACAGTAAGTTTTTTACGGAGACTACACAGTGAACAGATTGATACAGTACTCACTTGTCGATAACATGGATATTTACCATCGTGTGGTTTGAAAACAGTCGATAATTCTGGATCTGTTGTTTTCGCTACAGAAATCAACGACGTAACCAAGAAAATTACCGACAACATATCTTTATCAAAGAATCTTTTTTCGCTGTTTTTATCAACTGGTAGTTGTGTGTTTATCAGGACATACGAAAATAGATATACTCAACTAAGCAAGAAAGGGAATAGCAACAGGAGAACTAGTTACTGTTGACTTACGTATATGCAACAACATCTGCGCAATTTTAGAAACAATAAAAAAAGTCGTTTTTCGTCAGGTCAACAACGACAAGGAAATCGTTAAATGCTAAAGGGTTAAAATATTTTTACCGCGTTAATCAATGCATTTCCAATGCTTTCCGTTGTATTCAAATAGTCTGTCAGACAAAGTCGTTACAGACAAACAAAAAACTTTCACAAATGTGTCGATACTTTTGATATGAAATATTAACTACCAATGGCAAACAACAGAGTAGCACCGGCTATGCAGGACAGTACTAATTATCCATGGATAGTCGAAGAAAACACGACATCGAACAATTTATCAAGTCATTATCAACAAGGAGAGTAAGAAAAACGTCTTCATATAGGTACACTTAGCTCAACTCGAAAGTCTAACTGCATTTCTTTTGAAGAACTAATCCAAAGCACGTGCCGATGTCTCAATCGAGAGCGGCGCATTGGGAGTAAGTTAAAACAAAAGCAACCAGTCGAATAGTGTTGACTTTTCTACTATAGGCCAAGCTGTTGCTGCTCATCAAGTGTATTCGTTGCACTATTTGCCATTATTATTATTGCTACGGCTTGTACAGCTATTGGCATCACCGCAGTAATAGTATTTGGTCAAGCCCGTAAGTAACTGAGGCGAGTTTTTTCCAAATCAGTTATCTCCTAAATTTCAAAAGGAACGACTACAGTTAGCACAACAACTACAACCACTACTACATCCACTCGTACTTCAACAACTTCTGCTATATGGCTTACAACAACTACCTAGAATCCATCAGATAAAAAACGAAGAACACTGATAAGAATTCATGTTTTGTTTTACTTTGTGTTAATAAACAAAACCGCGAAAGGTCTTTAAAATTAGCATATTTAATCAATGATGTGTAATAGTGTGTCAGTTTGTCCGTTTCAAGTCTTTGATCGTAACTTTTTGTCCATGCGACAAGAGACAGACAGCTGGTATGGCGACTGCACCTGAATTTGGTAGTTGAATCGTTGGTGTTCGAACACCATCGATGATGAAAGTGAAGCTGCCTTTGTCTTTTTGTGGAAGATCAAGTTCCAATTCAATAATACCGTTATTTCCATTAAATTTCGGTAAATTGCCTCGAATGGAATCTGTTCTACTAACAATATCACCAGTCGATGGATCATACGACCATGCTGTTGAAGACGCACCCAAGTAACCAAAAAATCCCCAATCAGGATCAATACTCCAGTCTAACAGAAAGCCTACACCAATTTGTGCGCTTTTCATTTCTTCAACATGGAATTGTAATGACCATTTTCCAGAATGTAGTTTAGATTTTGTTTGAATCGGAATCCAGCTTGCCTCGTATGGTTTTGTCCATTCTACTGTACAATCATTGTTACTGAAAGTAATGCCAGACTTTGTTGCTCGAGCTGAATCGAAGCAAAATTCACCAAAATTATTGGACGTTTCCGATGAAAAAGTCGACGAATCTATCAAATACGGTTCTCCTACTGCTCGTTTACCATCCATAGTCGCACAGGAAGTAAAATTCAGTTTGCGAATCAAAGAATCCGATAATCATAGTATACAAATATTTATAAGCAGTTAAACTTACTCCAGTATGGTGCAATTCACGTACATGTCATTGCCACGTCAATGTAGACGTATAGCAAGAGAAACAAGAATGAAAGTGGTTATTATAGAAGATGTCAATGGTGAAAACGAGTAATTGATGGGCTAGGTATTTTTTTCTGCGTTGTGATTAACACAATAATATCATTAACGAAATGGCGATAGATCAGTTTAAACGTATAAAGTACGAGAAAATGAAAAAATATCTTTGTAAAAAATGCATAAACCGATTTTCAAAATTAAGTATGTTTTTGGTCAGTTTTCATCGTATCTGATCGGATTCATAGTCGTTGATTTCATTTACGAGATGAAGCCGCTTGTGATCCACCTGCCAAGACGTAACTATGTTGTTCTGTTATCACCGTAACACCGACGACTTTTTCTTCTGGTTTGGTCGTATTTCGGTTTGGAACAGTCGGTGGTAGAACTTCAACTACATTTCAAGCGACAAAAAAAGAAGATTATAATTATTCTACTAGATAATAAACCTATCTACCGTGATTCTGAAGAAATCGAGCTTCTTGACAAAGCGCGCAAGCTCCGCAGCAACATGTAGTAAGACAATCACCGCAGCTTGGCTCTTCGCGTAGGTTGTACTTTTGTCGAAGAGTTTGCCGCTTCATCATGTGCGGTACCCAACATAGAAAACACGAGCCGAGAAGCCAATATCCACAACAGCAAACACAGCAGTTGCTTCCATCGATTTTTTCAGCATTCTGACCAAATAAACATGGTGTACAACACCAACCGCACAGACATATACCACAATCATCGAAGCAACCAAATAGCGATTCTAAAATATATCGGATATCATGAGACGAAGTTATTGATAATTAGAATGACAATAGCACATACCGTTCCATTCCTTAGACATGTTGTTTCGTATTCAACAGAAATCTTTTTTGGTAGAATGTGTGTGAATAAGAACATGAAATGCATGTTTTTATACGCACACATCAAATATTGTTTTCTACTTTCATGTTTGTACAAACTATGTATGTGAGTGAAGAAAAGACGGGCTTTATCATGAATCAGTATAGTTGCTGATCAGAACTTCACGTTTTGCCACAAAAATATTTGCATTATCGACACAGTTAAAGACTCCTTGGAAAAATTTTCTACCAACATCCATGTAATCACTCATTCTCAGAATGTTAAAATAATAAAAGAATTCGGATTATTGATTTTGTTGTTCAGAAACAAGATTTTTATAAGAAATCATAAAAATTCTTCCAACTTGCGTGTACTGTAGTCATAGACAAGGATTCATTGTTAGTTTCGATTTACACTTAAGTTAATAAAATCTTCGAAGATGTAAACTAAGATTCCTAACAAATGTGGAGTTCAAGCCGTCAGATAATACACGTTGTTTCTATTTGAATACCGTGCCTAAATTCATGTACCTTCGATTAATAGTTCTCGAATATATGAAAAACAAATCCACAGAATCCAGTCCATTCGCTAGAGCTTATTCGAAGATACATTCCGTATCGATTAGTCATGTTCTGTATAAAAATGATGTGTTAACAATGACGCAGTAAGGCATGCGTTCTCTTTCTTCTATTTTGTGTTGCAACCACGTGTTTTTACATCAATCAGTGTACTTTGTTAAGACAAGAAAAATACTTTTATTCTTCGTCATTGCGACTTACAGATGAGTTTTTTCTTGGTTTTATCTATAATCCTTGGCATTATTCTCTTCATTGTATGTATTCTTTATTGGAAATTAGTTCGCCAACAAAAATATCTCTACTATCAATTTTATCGACAAAATGTACCTTGCGAACCATTTATACCTTTGTTCGGACAATTGTCTGACATCCGTCGTGCGAATAAAAATGATCGTTCGATGGATTACCGATTAGAACTCGTTGAAAAGCACGGTTACACTTATGTTATAAGTTTTGGCCCATCAATAATTTTAATTGTGATGGAACCAGACATGCTAGCAGATGTTTTCGGTCGATCCCATGCTCAAGATTATAAAAAATCATCGGATAGTGTCGACTTTTTGAAGCCATTAATCGGTGTACATAACCTGTTGCTCAGTGATGGGGCTGAGCACGAACGGGCGCGAAAAATGCTCAATCCGGCGTTTCATTTTGTCAAATTACAGTCGATGTTTCCCATAATCGTTGAACAAACAAATAAAGCGATCGATGCACTCCTTCAATTGTCGACAACGCGACCGGTAATCGATTTTCAAGCAGAATTTAATGATATAACGCTAACAATCATCGCATCGAGTGCATTTGGCAAAGATTTTGAGACGATGACAGATTCAAAACGCATCGTTCGACAAGCATTTGTCGAATTATTGAATGTAATAGGATATCGAACATTGCGTATGATTGATGACATACCTATCATTTCACAACTACCGTTTTGGGGCAAAAAGATTATGGATAAGAGTTCGAAAGATATATCTGATTTTGTTGATCGTATTATAGTCGATCGCCGTCAGAATCGCTCGCAAAGTCTGTCATCCTACGATGATATTCTCGATCTTCTGCTTTCTGCTGTAGATGCAGAAGGAAGTCCATTTAGTCCTCAGGAAATTAAAGATCAAGCGTTGACGTTTGTTCTTGCTGGTCATGAAACAACATCAAACTTAATGACATGGATTTTCTATGTATTAATGACCAATGAACAACTGTTACAGACTTGTCGAGAAGAAGTTGATCAAGTGCTACCGAGCGGCACGACACCTACCTTTGAGGATATGGGTAAATTAATCGTCTGCGAAGCAATTATACAAGAAGCGCTTCGTCTCTATCCGCCAGCAACTTTTATTACACGAGAATGTATTCGCGAACATTCGATTGGAAGTGAAGGTCAGCGACAAATACGTATTCCTGTCGGAGCAGTTGTCTCTGTCAATACTTATATTCTCCATCGACGAGAAGAGTTTTGGCCTCGCCCGAACGAATTCGATTATACTCGCTGGCTTCGGGATCCGACTACTGATCTGAAACCGAAACTAACACATCCTTTTTGTTATTTGCCATTTGGCGCCGGATCACGCAACTGTATTGGCCAAAACTTTGCACTGATCGAAGCGAAAGTGATTCTATCAATGATATTACAGCGATGCAATTTTCAATTAGAGCCAGGCCAAAAAATAGTACCTGACATTCGATTGACTATGAAACCTAAATACGGTTTGCGTGCTAAACTGACTAAACGCTAAGAACATACAATTTTTCTTTCACTTCACATACTCTGTGTGATATGGACCACGTGACGAAAAGAAAGATAAACTATTCGAAATAGATAACAGAAAAATACATTTCTTTCACTCTTAACTATTTCAGATGGCGAATTCGACTTACTTGTTCTTCGTCGCCATTTCACTCGTTCTTGTGGGTAATCTTGTTTACAGCTACCCGGAAAATTATTGTATTCGATTTGATACGGATGTAAAAGGTGCTAGCAATCCTATCATCATAAATATTACACAAAAATGGGCACCTCTTGGTGCCAATCACCTCTTCAATGTGATTAATTCCAAATTCTACGCTGTTCCTTCGGCTTTCTTTCGTGTCGTTCCCAAATTTGTTGTACAATTTGGAATTAGCGGTGATCCACCACAGAATATCATCTGGGACAAACCAATCCAAGACGGTAAGACCACCAAGCGTACCAACACGCAATTGAGTAGAAAATTTTATTTTATGAACAGATCCAGTACTGATGTCTAACACTGTTGGAACGCTATCGTATGCTACTGCCGGTCCTAATACTCGTACAACTCAGTTATTTATTAACTACATTAATAATACACGTTTAGATCCATTGGGTTTTGCACCTTTAGGTATCTATCAATACGTCGAATCAAAATAATCATAACGCTTTTATTCTAGGTATTGTTACCACAGGTTTAGACACTGCCAATGCTATCTTCAATCCTACTCCAGGTAAATTACCCTCATTCTTGCAAATTTCATCTGTTATTTTGTATGAAATAGGTGATCCGAATGGTGTTGATCAAGACAAATATTCTAAGCAAGGCAATGCCTGGATTCGACTGAATTATCCTCAAATTAATTTCATCACCAAAGCTTCCATTACATATGATTGTCCTGTGCGTTCCAATGAAAACTAATTCAATTAAATCATCGACAGTTCTTTTTCTTTCTATAAAAAGTATTTTTTTTATGTACGACATAATCAAATGTGACTTTCTAAAATGTCAAATCTATACAGTTCATTTTATCTCAAGCATTCAGATGTGTCCATTCTTCGCTTAGCTTCCAAAATCGTTTCGCTTTTTCGACATCATACGATTCTTCACTTGATCGTGTTTCTTTCATGTCTGACATGAATATTCCCGTTTTACCATCGAGTGTATCAGATATTGCTGCGAACACTTCGCATTCGCTACCAAAGTCTTCGGTTCTAAATCGCAAATCATATTCAATGGAAAACATTTCGGCTCATTTGGTAACACACTCACCGTGTAAATGGAAACAGAGATAAAATATACGACATGAAAAATCGTTGAAAGATATTTGCATCTCTATTCAAACCTGTCGAAGGAACAAATCCCTACGAAGCAAAAATAGAACGCAATCATCGCCGTAGAACGATAAGATTCTTCTTACTGGACAAAGAACATGAACAGCAACACCTGTACCTTCTAACTTTCGAGCTAGTTCATACGCAAACCATACATTGGCTAATTTCGATTTTTTGTAAGCGCTCATTGGATCATATTCATTTTCATTGTTGATTTCTTCTAAACTCCATTTGAAATTTATCGGTGAACCGTGTCGTACATTGGGATCATGAAGTTTGGACGATACGACAACTACTCTTGAAGGAGATGAACGTTTCAAATCATCTAACAGTAGATTCGTAAGTAAAACTAAACAAAGCATGCAAGATTAATCTTTGATAGTCATAATTCAGATCTTACAATGTCCGAGATGATTCACTGCCATGGTATATTCAATCCCGTCATTGGATTTCTTGAAAGTTTTAGAGAAGATTCCTGCATTATTGATCAATACGTTCAACGGAAGATTTTTCTTATGAAAATTAGCGACAAATCTAAAGAGAATACTTTGTAAAATGAAATGAAAATCAATATCTACCGTTTGATTGAATCGAATGAGCCAAGATCTAATTCCATGAATTCAAAATTTGATCTTCCCGATTGTTCTCTCAAGTTTTCAATCAAACGAACTGTTTTGTTCTCATCCCGACACGCAAAAATGACATAGAAATCTTTAGCGACTAATTTTTTCGCCGCTAGAAGCCCAAGGCCTGAACTTGAGCCAGTTATGATACACACTTTCTGTGCTGACATTTCAAACATATAAATAGGACGACACATGCATTTATCATATCATCCGATGACTAATGTCTTAACGTTGATTGGCTTCTGGTAATATCATTGAGAGTTATGAGTCTATGAACCATTCATGAGGAAGTAGTGAAGAGAAAGCGAACTAGATCGTATTAAGATAAAATATTAATTTTGAGAGATAATGTCAAATCTAGAACGTAAGATAGAATACTAGCGACATCTTACCGTAGGTACGATTGATGTGCAAAGAGCAGAATACCTGTGACGATGTTGCTGTGCTGTTATTTTCAGATATTTTTGCTACTCCAATTGATCGAATTCTTTTAAATTTGAAGACGTTCATTAGCGACTTACTTGTTGTTATGAACATCATCCGTAAATAGAATACTCGTGATTTATTTAGACATAGTCATGAAGAGTTCGACAGTAAACTACACGAATGGAACATTCTATAGATTTGATGCTGCAAGCGATGAATAGCTGACGAGTGTAATCCTTTGGAGATGAAGAACTAATGATAATGACACCGGTTGGTAGAAGAGTTCAAGAGCGTTCTGTTAAACACAATCGTTCACTACGCTACACAAGAATAGAGTAAGCTCTTTAGGTACATCCGTATACCTATCGCATAACAAATTTGAATACGACATCGCGACGGTATTTTTGTTAAGTACTATCATTTTCAAAACGTGATAATATCGTTTTGAACAATTTTGGTTGCACACTTGAATCTGTATATGAAAGGCGTAAAAAACAAGACAACCAGCTGGTGATATTCAATGTGTACTTTCGTTTATTTTCTGAGCAATGCAGGATCGGTTCATTCTGACATCAGTGATCACTCTGACGTTATCCTTTTCGATATGACTATATAATCAGATAACTGCCCTAGCTGACTGAACTTTTACTACTGGGTTATGTAACATATTGTTGTTTGGTACCTATAAGCTTTACCTGGCAGACTACACATATGGTTTCAATTCAAATCCGCAATACACATCCTAAACAGAAACTTCTTTTTAGAAAGGGAGAAGTTTAATATCAAATTAAGTTTCTTTGATAGGAGCTCGATGGTAAAAGAGCATACAAAGTATTCCCATCGCGCTGTAGTTATCTATACAGATGAGAAAGGGCATTGCAAGCATCATTTATCCTTTAATCACTAGTTGTAACAGTATATGATGTAAACAGCATGGTACACGGAGCATAATATCAAATTATTGATAACACATTTATTTAGAATGTTGAATAGACCTCTGCGCTATTTAAAATCGTCCCCGAAGAACCACCAGTGACTAGGATCTGTCCGTTATTTAGTGGGGATGCAGTATGTGAATATCGTGCAGTATTCATACTACTAGTGACGGTCCAATTCTTTGATAATGGGTCATATAATTCACTGCTATTAAGCGCCGCTGTCCCCAATCCACCTATAACAAATACCATTTCATTTGGCAGTACTACTGCCGTATGCATATATCTTGCAATATTCATAGGACGACTGACCGACCAACTTCCTGTTGATGCATTGTATGTTTCCGTATCGCGTCGAACAACGACAGTATCTGACTCACCGGTCACTAGCACATCTCCATTGCTTAGAACAGATGCTGTGTGATAATACCGTTCATGATGCATCTGTCCACTCATTGTCCAATCTCCAGTTGATGGATCGTAGATTTCGGTACTATTCAGAAATCCACTAGCCATTCCACCAGTAGCTAGAACTTTTCCATTATTCATTAGAGATGCAGTATGTCCTAGTCGTGCATGTTTCATCGGACCGGTAACTGTCCATACACCGGTGGATGGATCGTACAATTCTGAACTATTCAGTTGACCTTTTCCTAATCCGCCACAGACTAATACTTTCCCATCCGTTAATAATAATGCTGTATGTAGAAAGCGTTCATCGTTTAGGTTCCCACTACTAGTCCACGTTTCTGTGCTTGAGTCATATAATTCAGTGCTTTTCAGAGCACGACCATTATCATCGCCGCCAATAACTAATACTTTTCCATTTGTTAATAAAGTCGCTGTGTGCATCGATCTTGCATGTTTCATACTCTTGATGATAGTCCAATTTCTTGCTGTTGGATCATATAATTCAACGCTATCCAGAGAAACATCACCATCGTCTCCACCAGTGACTAATACTTTTCCGTTTGGTAATACGGATGCTGTATGCATGTATCTGACATTATTCATGCTATTCGTAGTTACCCATCCTAAATGTAGAAACATATAGATAGATTTTTACAAAATTACCATAGACGTACTTGATTGAAAATGATTACCCTTGGTTAGTTTCGATTGAATTGGATTTCCAGCATTACAAATGATTGCTGAGTTAACTAATGCAAGAATAACAATGTTCAACATTCTCGATAATTTAGCCTATTTCAAATAGAAGGACGTTTGATCGAATACTGTCACGTCAGTGAAGCGAAAGAAGAAAGATAACACTTGCCTGCAATGTTTTCTTATCGTTAAATGGTATACCTAGTATGTATGTTGTTCTCTTTGTGAAAACTGTTGTAGTCAGCACATGTGATAAGGATTCAAAACAGAGCATCAGCTTGTATCGTCTCTGTTTCATTATTGCAGCTCTAAGAAAAGCTATCCATATGTTCATAATTCTTTTTGATCCTTGATGATAATTGCAACTAGTTTCCAAACTATTCGATAGATGTTCTCTTTATTATTACCTATTTGTTTCTGAATACAAAGACTCTACAATTTGTGAAACATAAATTTACAGATAGGCAGAAATGCTTGTTGATGACTTTAATTCTGTTGATTTTTTTGAACCAAAAACATGCAGAGAAAATGTAAGCAACCGACGTAATGAAAACCATCGTGCCGAAAGCCACGGATGTATCATTCATATTAATTGCTGTAACTGGATATTGTGAAGAAAGAGCAAAGAAAACAACGACAATTGTCACCCATGCAACACCAACACGATATCGATACATGGGGACTACCGACCACGATAGAACGGACCCAGAGAGAATGGAAGATGTGAAATAAGATTACATAACAAAGGTAAACCATACGCAACATTCACTGAGATAGTAATTATATAAACTAATAATTGCTGTATTTGCTGTTGCATTGATTAGATATGAAAGAACAAAAAGAATACCGATAAGGGAAGAGAGCCAGATTGAATAGATTGGATATGAAGATCGAGGATGAACTGTTTGCCATAGAGAGCTAACAAGGTACACAATCTCGTTATTTGAACATGTGAAAATTGAAATATGACTCACTAATGGATTATCCCGACTAGATGCATACAACAAGCCTGATATAGTGGTCACTGAGATGAGGTCTCCGAACCATAAAGAAACAAGTAAAAGGCACATGAATACAATATTTTATGCATGACCAAAATTATCTAATAATATTTGTGTCACTGGAAACTCGATAGTTGTATACATTATTGCTTCATAGTTTTTAATTGCCATAAGAAGCGAAATCATGAAAAACCAACCAAAGAGCGAAGATCTTATAAGTGCACGAGTCATTCCCATGAGGCCAACGACTGCAGCACGCTCTGTTTCTTCGGTCATGTATACTGTTGAATCATATCTACCAAGACAAAATTGTACTTGAAGAATTCCGACTAAAATTATACACAAAGCATGAATGAAACAAGTCGACTGGTGGATACTTTTCTGTGAAAATCAATTACACTTACTGAATTTATCCAAACAGTATGATCCACATATGTTGTAAAAGTGAAATGTACCGGGTGAAGAACGATGTGACTTTTGATGAACAAAGCAATAGCTACAATAGTTGGCGCTACTAATTGCTACCACGCCGAAATTACGATAACGAAGAAGAGTATAACAGATTGACCATGTGAATTACATATACCATGACTGATAATACAAAGAGTAAGGAGTGAAACAGCAATCTAGTCTAATACCATTACCATAGGATCTCCAGCCGTTAAGTCATAAGCAAAGAGTACTGCCACACTATCACAACTGCAAAATGCCGATACTACCATTCCATAATTGGTCAAACGATTGAGGGCGCGAGTTAACTCTTGTTTGTAGTCAAGAGTTTCATCGGTCATATCTTTTTTTTTTTATGACTTGGTGGAGAGGTAGCCCGATATCATTTACATAATGGTATTTCTGTACGTCATTGTTTATTTGTATCACTATCGGCCATCGAAATTAGTCATATTTGCCACCGACAATGTTGTTACTACTTGTTAGATGACTTCTAAAATCACTTCGAACTTTGTAGATACTAATGTAAAATACAACCGTTTTGGAAGCTTCCAAGTTATGTACATTCAATACGTCACTGATTGTTTGTGCTCCATTGGGTGTAAAAGTATTGTTCGATAAAAATGAACAGATTTATTAGATGTCAAGTTTTGCAGCAATCAGTGTGATAAGATGTGATTTTCTTTGGAAAGCTCGTGTGACATTATCGACGATATTCGAATTAGATATTAGAAGGTATGTTCTATTGAATGTATTTATCACAAGATCTTCATTTTTTGCCATATTATTTTATTCCCACGAAAATATAAAGTCGTTTAATTTGCGAACACTTTCTTTATTGTTCAAGCATGTAGTAGCTTCTGTTTGCTATTGTTTTTTATCGAACGAGTAGTATGTTAGCAATGCAACTATGGAATTAGTTCTTTGTTTTCAAATGTTATTTATTCAGTGATAGTAATAAATGACTTGAAATAAAAGTATTCTAAACAGATCGATCTATATCGACCTACAGGAATATCCTTTGATTGTTTCAATAGTAAGAAGATAAGATATTCTATTTCCTAAGTTTTTGACGGTTCTTCATTATCAGATGTTTCTTCTTTTATCTCATATGACTTGAGATAGATTGGTCTTGACATGTCTTCAACTTCATATTCGCTTTTGTATCGAATCCGGTTGTGACTAGGTGGTAATGAATATGTCGGTAAATTGACCTAAGAGTGAAAAAAAAAACATCCAAAAGTACATCAAGACGATGACATGGATTTACTAGTCGAGGATAAGGATTTTTGTAATGACATGCTAATTCCACGCGTGCTTCACCTTCCCGGATATGTTCTTCAAGTTCATTTGCGTTCTCAACCTAGACTCTCCATAGAAAATCACAGTTAGTATTAATAATCTGACTTTACATGCTTGTTTTTTCGAAATAGATTTCGTGTTTCATTACGAATATACAATCGTTCTTCCGCCGTTTTTGCTGGATGATCGACAGCTTGCCATGTGTGAGATAGTTTTATCAAACGTTTGTACAATTGAAGAACTCGAGAACGAGTCAAATTGTTAGTCATGAATGTTCAACAACAAAACGAAAAAAAAAGTTCGATCATTCCAGAATATACCTTTCTGGTCACCGTCAGCAATGTAGAAAGCAATCAACAGTTGGCGTTAGTTGCTTATGTAAAGTCATAATGATTTTTATTTTCAATCATCATATACATGATGACTAGATGTGAAATTAGAAGGATTCCGTTGATTATCGAGCATCGCTATTTTATGAGTTTACTTTGTTTTGCTAAAAATAGAAAAGAAGCTGGAAGTTGAACAATTTTATTTTGATTTTAGATGTTTAGTCATAAACGACAACGTAGAAGAGTTCTATTTACTTGAAAATAAGTCTTCTTTCCTGATAATAACTGATTCATATGTTAAGAAGAAGAGCAAATGCGCGAGATTTTTGTAAAGCAACCTTCTAATTTCATGAAAAACACAGTGCATTAGACGTGTCGAGTGACTGATAAAAAGTTCATTTTGAAAAAATATTGGAATGATGATCATGACGGCGAGCTTCCGTTGGAGAAGACGTATGGATGATCACTTCTTTTCTCTTCTATCCTTTCAGAACAAAACAAAACGGAGATTAGTTGTTGTTTAAGATTTCCTCCGTCATATATAAATACACCACCTTGTCTGGTCCATGGATTAAGTCAGGAAGATCTACAACGGTGAAGTTATTTTTGCTTGAAAAGGACTTCGGAAGAAAAAGCATAAGCGAATATCTAACAGCTTACGCAGCAGGATTCTCTTTATTCCTCCATATTTCCTTTCAACTTGCAGTTCAAAAATGAGTAACTCAACAGAGAGTATTAGCGCAGCACTTTTACTTGCACCTTATCAACTCAATATTTGGTTCGGATCATTTCTATGGATCACAGGAAATTTCGGTTGCTTATGCAATTTGATGGTCTTTCGTTCGCGATCGTTCCGTAAAAGAACTTATTCGATTTATCTGTTTGCAGCTGCCATAGCCGATTTTCATTATTTTAACTTTGTTCTGATTACACGCATACTTCAGAATGGTTTTCGAATCTCTTTGATGAATCGTTTTACTATCATTTGTAAACTTCGACAGTTTAGCACAGTATGGGGAAATGTTGTTTCGTTCGGTTTATTCTCATGTGCAGTTATCGATCGATTTCTATCCACACACCGATCAAACGGTATGTAAAATCCAATCTTTCAATAAACTTCTTTTTTCTATCTTTGCATTTTTCCATTTCAGCTTACCGAAAATGGAGTAATCAAAGCCGACTAGCTTATAGAATCATTTTCATCGTTCCATTCTTTTGGTTTCTATGCTTTGGTCATCGAATTGTTTTGTATAGTATCAACAATGGAGCATGTAGTCCACCAGCGAACATTGTCTATCTGTATTACGATAATTATTTTCAAGTTATTTTCTCTTCACTTACTCCCGCGCTCAGTATGTCAGTTCTTGCTTATTATCTATTAAAAAACGTCCGTATTTTACGACGTCGCATTGTACCTGAAGAGATTGTGCCGACGGTAACTCAACGAGGTCCTTCACGAATCAGCCAAATGGACAAACAATTAACTGTTATGTTGGTTACTGAATCCATCATAGCGACTATAACGTATCTGCCCTATGCAATTCAGTTGACGTATTCCAATATAACAAGCGGTTGGTATAAAACGCCATTGCGACTGGCGTGGGAACAAGTTGGAATTGAGATTATTCATTTGTTTTCGTATATATTTTTCGCAACAAGTTTTTATGTTTCCATAATATCAAACGTCGGATTTCGTCGAATATTCCGACGATTATTCGGGAAATCGAGAAGTAATCGTCAGGCTCAACAGAACCCATCCGTAGCTGGTATTGGTACAAAAGCAACTGTTCCAATGAATGGTATATGCCGTTAGAAAAACACATTCACATCTGTTGTGATTCTCATTTGAAATGAATATAAATTTTCGGTTTTTTTTTCTCGATTGTGTGAAATAGAGAGAAAATATGTTCTATATACTTGTCGTCGGGTTTGTTGCTTTCATCTCATCGAGCGGAGCGTCGGATTTACAAACGTATTTCAATTTAATTGATCAAAATCACGATGGAAAAGTATTTAGTGATGAGCTTTTCGTCTTTTTCAACACATTTTATGAAGAGAAACCAGACCAAGGAACACTCTCACTACTGAAAGCCAAGCAAATCGAAAATCATATCGTCAAAAAATTCAATCAGAATTCTACGAGGAATTATCTAACTCTTTTCGATCTCGAGCGTCGCTTCGTTGATCTCTATGCTCTACAAAACCAATTTCCGACCTTCCTATTCAATGGTTACGAACCAGAACAAGTTCACTTATCCTACACTCATAATATTTTTAATGAAATGTATGTTTCCTTCGTTACACGCGAACATCCGTCTTCAAATCTTCGGCCCATTGTTCAATATTGTGAGAAGAACTGTCTCGCGATTGGCGAAACAACTACATATAATGTCGACAATTGGCATTATTGGATTCATCATATTTACATCAAAGATCTCGAGCCGGGTATGAAATATAACTATAAACTTGGCTTTATCGAACCGGATAATGTTACCATTCGTCATCTGTACTCCAGTGAACATTGGACATTTCAAACATCGTCCTCATTGGAAAAGCAAAGCACAGAAATCGTGTACATCTATGGCGATATGGGAACGATCATGCCGTTAGGTTTCGAAGTAACCAAGTCGATTATTGAAGATTTCAATAAGAAAAAGAACGAACGTGCAAATTACGTTGTTCATGTAGGTGATATTGCCTATGCTGGCACCGGTGGCGAAATGGAAGTGCAAACAATTTGGGATCTATTCATGAATCAAATTGCTCCTATCGCCAGTCAAATTCCATATATGACAGCAACGGGCAATCATGAGAAGTATTATAATTATACCAGTTATAAAACGAGATTCTTCATGCCGTCGAAGACGAATCCAACAGCATTGGAGAAAGATGGCAATTTTTATTTTACCCTAGAAACCAATCTTGTTCAATGGATCTTTCTTTCTACTGAACACGATTACACACCTGGATCATTACAGCGAACATTTCTGGATAATTTTCTCGAAGAATTTCAACAAAAATGGCAAGGAAAACAACGGCCATGGTTAATCATTGTTGGACACCGACCAATGTATTCATCCGATCAAGCAACTGACTCTGGTCGATTACAGGAACAAATTGAATCAGTATTAATTCAAAATCGTGTTGATCTCGCTGTTTGGGGGCATATGCATTGTTATGAACGAACAACACCGGTCGAATATAATCGTTTTACTGATAAAGAACATTTCTCAGCCGATGGTAAACTTTATCAACATAACGCAACGGAAACAAGTCCAATTCATTTAACAATCGGAACAGCAGGGGCATGGATCAATGAAAAATGGATACCGAAACCAGAATGGTCTCAAACACGCTATCAGAGATACGGTTTCGGCAAACTTTTTCTTTACAATCGGACGCATTTGGAATTTCATTCGGTTTCAATTGATAAAACATCTTCTGACGAAGATGATAGTTTTATGATTATCCGACAGTTTTGATTGAAATAAAACTTTTCTTGACAGCACTGCGTAAACAACATCTTTTCATCGATATAAGCTTCAACCGACTGAATGAAAACTTCTTTCAGTACTAATTTTACTTTCTCGTGTGTTTGCCCTCCTTATAATCTAACACATCTTAATCTTTTCACAGTGATGCGCGGGAGCTTTTTTGATGAAGATGTTATTTTTTCTATTCAGCTTAAAAACATCTCCAATTGATCTTCGGGAGCATAATCACTTGTTTGACTATGAAAAGAGTGAGTTTAGATTCTCCTGTATGATGAATGACAGAAGAGTCTCGAATGACTTTTGGATGCAAAAGAAAATACGCGCATGCGATAATTTTAAGAAGCTTTCTAATTACATGATGAGGTATAGAAATGCTCAGAAAAAGACATGATTTCATGAGTAAAAGACTGATAGTCAATTAAACTCGGGTGAGTTGGAATACAAGACATTACTCGAATGTATTTTGCAGTATTTAGTGTAGTCTGCATGAAAAGAGAACTTTTTTTCTCAATTATTGTCTCTGAACTAACGGGTGTGACACAATGAATGACCCTCTCAGTACTTTGCAAGTATCTCTCTCAAATTGCGACGCATATACTTTAGTTTTTTTTCTCAAAAGATAGCCCATGAAATTCTCTACAAAACCCTTATGAAGAGAGTTCTTCCAACGAATCGCTATGGGGTTATGTCGGGTCACTATTTTAAGACTCCAAAGAAGCCAACTTTCAATGCATTCATTTTCATATTACCGATCTTGCGCCAGTTTGTCGACCCGACACAAACAGAATAAATAGGGTATTTTGTAGCCCTCGAAAAGCTCTATCAGTTTAGCGAATAAATTTTCGTCACATACGATGAATTCACTCGGAGAAAATCTTTTCCTTGTTCTCTTCTGTGCAAGTCATTCGAATCTTCGATTAAGGTTAATTACTTTTTAATTTTGTTCTGTGAAATAGAAAACTATTATGCGTTCAGATTTATTACAAAGTTGGAGAAAATGCTTTCTCTATCATTTCGATGCGCACAAAATGCTATAGTGTTTTTCTGCAACGCTTGAGATGTATGTGAGGAACGATCAGTGGTTTCGACTCGTTTATTGTTTAAGGTTGGTCTCTGGAAACTTGAAACCGTTTCTGAATGTCATCTTTTAAGCTTTGTTAAAAAGAGTACGCTTAAAAAAATAGGAAGCTTGCATTAGAATTGGGTCTCGTATCTGTTTCACAAGAAGAAACGACGTCATTCATTGGATAAAAATGTGGATTTGAAAGTGATCCATTTTATGACATTGTAGTGTTGACGGATATAACCCTATAGCTATTCGTTGGAAGAATTCTCTTCGTAAGAATTTTGTAGAGAATTTCATGGGCTATCTTTTGAAAAAAAACTAAAGTATATACGTCACAATTTGAGAGAGATACTTGCAAAATACTGAGAGGACCATTCATTTTGTGAAACCCGTTATTTAAATGGTCGATTACTTTTCACATACGCATCAACCGTTTTTTATTCTCGCAAAGTAGAATGTTTGATGAGATATCCTTTTCTAGATACGTTTGCACTACGACACCACGCCCAAATGAGCAACTCATCAAGTTATATTAGTGACAGTTTGAAAGCTGCGCCATTTCAATTAAATATTTGGTTTGGATCATTTCTCTGGGTCACAGGAAATATCGGTTGTTTAGGAAACATCATTGTCTTTCGTTCTCGGTCTTTCCGAGAACGAGCTTATTCGATTTATTTGGTCTCTGAAGCCTTATCAGATTGCCTGTATTTTAATTTTGTTCTTTTGACACGAGTATTACAAAAAGGTTTCCAAATCTCGCTGACAACTCGATATGATTCTATCTGCAAATTACGACAATTTGTGTCTGTTTGGGGAAATCAAATCTCTTTTACTCTATTTACATTCGCAACCATTGATCGAATTCTATCTGCACAACGTGACAATAGTAAGACGGACCTTGTTCATCAACAAATTTTCTTTTGTTTTTCTCTAAAGAATACCGTCGGTGGAGTAATCGTGTTTCTGTCGCATACAAAGCAACAATCCTGTGTTTATTATTTTGGTTTCTTTTGATTTGCCATCGACTTGTTTTATACAAAACTGTCGATGGTTCATGCATACGTCCCACCGGTTTCTATGATGATTATGACAACTATTTCGAAGTTGTATTCACAGCTATAATGCCGCCGGTTGCCATGTATTTACTTGCATATCTTCTTATACGAAGTGTTCGAGGTGTTATTCAACGACGGATTACTCCGGGAAATAATCAACCACAGCAAACAAATATAAAACATCGGACGGTTCTTCAACAGATGGACATACAATTGACCAAAATGTTGATTTTACAGTGCGCTGTAGCAGTTTTAACGTATGTTCCATTCGCTGCAGAATTAATTTATTCAAATGTGACACAATATTGGACAAAGACACCATACCAACGTGCGTTGGAGAAAATTGTGGTTGAATTAACGCATCTGTTGTCATATGTATTTTTTGCTACAAGTTTCTACGTATCGATTGTTACTAACGTAGGTTTTCGTCGAGAAATGTTACGTTTTATTCCGTGCTCGACAAATCTTCGAAGGAGTGAAACAAGATGTAGCACGTTACAGCATGCAGCTGGCTCAACTTTTACTTCACCTTATGAGAAGACAAAATACTGAAAAGAAAACGATAGTTCTCTTTGTTTTCTGTCATCAGGTATATATGTTGTGTTTGTTTAATACATTTAACAAGAACGCAATAAAATTTCGACGTAATCCCCTCCATAATTAGCTACAGCAATATCTAGCCAATGATCTTGATTAAAATCCCCTACAGCCACCGCGTAAGGATCATATTCATAACCCATAACATAGAATATTTCGTTTCCAAACGTTCCATTGCCGTAACCTTGTAAGAGCAAAACTTTACTTGTACCAGCAGCAACAGCAATGATGTCTAAGAAATGATCATTGTTCAAATCAGCAATATTCACTCCGCGAAGTAGAGAACCTAAACCAACTGAGTAGATCATTTGTAGAACGAATGTACTGTTACCATCTCCAAGAAATACATAGATGTTATTTAATTCCGAATCAACGACAACAATATCCGAATTATTATCAAGGTTTAAATCTCCGACAGCGACTGCTGTTGGAGTTGAACCATCCAATAAAGAATATTTGATCAACGAACCAAACGTTCCATCACCATAACCATCAATAATGTTTATATCACCTGTACCATAATTACTAACGACAATATCCGAATGATTATCGTTATTAAAATCACTAACAGCGATAGCAACTGGAAGTGAGCCCGTGGCGAAAGGATATCGTGATATACCACCAAAATTTCCTGTGCCATAGCTTAAGTGTACACCAACATTATCATTCAAATAATTCGCGGTAGCAACATCCAGTCGACCATTGTTATCAAGATCACCTATAGCTAATGATATGGGACCGGATTTAGAGCCAGTTGAAACTGATGGTCCTAACAGCAATCGTTTGTTATCCAATCCGTACAGGACGACCATACTGTTTGTTCCAGGACAAGTAACAGCAATATCTGTTCGTTGATCATTATCAAAGTCACCTGAACGAATACTCTGGGGACTTGATCCTTCGCCAGTCGAATACGCCATTACGGGTGCAAATGTACCATTGCCATACCCATATAGAATTCCAATAGCGTCGTTATTTTTATTACTAACAGCAACATCGGATATTTTATCGTTATTATAATCATCAACATTGATAAATGTTGGCATAGAAAGATATCCAGTAGAATAGAAAACAGCATTTTGAAAAGTACCATCACCATTTCCTAGTAACGTCGCCATATTATCTCGACGATAATTAGCGACAGCAATATCGAGACGACTGTCATTATTAAAGTCACCGACAGCTACCGACTGTGGACGAGATCCATCGTTTGTTGAATATGTGACGACGGGACTGAATGACCCATTACCAAGTCCTAACAAAACACCAACATTATTACTGCGATAATTTGCAACAACGATATCTATTATATAATCATTATTAAAATCGCCCGCAGCAGCTCCATATGGTTGTGAATCATCACCTGTAGAAAATAATAGTACGGGAGCAAACGATCCATTTCCATATCCCAGAAGAACACCTATCGTATTTGAGCCGGCATTCGCTACAACAATATCCGTCTTATTGTCATTATTAACATCGATGGCGATACATTCATATGGATATGAATTGACACCTACTGAATACATTGTTAATTCGCCAAACGTTCCACTTCCATTACCAAATAAGATTCCAACACTACCGCTCGCTGCAAATGTAGTTGCAATATCTAAGTATGTATCACCATTTAAATCACGAATGGTCATCGATGACGGTCTTTGAGAATATTGACCCGAATACGTTTGTTGGCTTTTAAATGTCATATATTTATAACCGAAAAATATCGCAATATTTTCTGTTCCTTTATTAACAGTGACAATATCCAATATATTGTCTTCATTAAAATCAGCGACGGCTAGTGCATACGGTGCACCGCCAGGTCTTAGTTGATACGTTGCTGTCGAGGCAAAACTAGTATTTTCGAATCCAAATAAGACGGTTATACTATCACCATTTGTATTGGCAGTAGCAATATCGGTTATGTTGTCTTTATCGAGGTCACCAACGAAAACACTTTGAGGATGAGCATTTTCACCGACATTGAACGTCATCTGTGGTTCAAATGTTCCATCGCCACGTCCAAAAAATATGCCAGCCGTATTAGTTGCTGAATTAGCAACAACGATATCTAATCGACTATCGTTATTGAACGAGCCAACCGCAATTCCATACGGATGTGTTCCACTGCCGGTTGCACATGTCAGTTCCGTTCGAAAATCAGCCCCAATATATCTCACAAGCAAGTTGACAGCTCCAATGCCAGACTCAGCGACGATAATATCCCATCGCCCATTGCCATTAAAATCACCGATGACGATTCCCTTCGGCCCAGCACCAGTAAGTAACTGATATGACCGATTTAAAGTAAACGAACCGTTTCCATCACCACCGAGAATACCAACGTTATCATTACCAAAATTAGTCACAATAATATCAAGATAATTATCATAATTAACATCTCCTAGAGCAAGACCTGACGGATTCGAAAATGAGTTATCTGTAAATGATGTCGCTGCTCCAAATGTTCCATTGTCATGTCCGAGTAGTACAATAACGTTGTCCGATGTTGAATCTGCAGCGATAATATCTAACCACAAGTCCTTATTCAAATAACCAGTAGTGATCGAATCGGGATGCGACTGGAATCCTGTCGAATACGTGATTACTGCGCTAAAGGTACCATCACCTATTCCAAATAAAATACCCACATTTCCTCTTCCAGAATTCGCTACAGCTAAGTCTAATATCGTATCGTGATTAAAATCAGCTGTTATAATGGCACTGGGATCTGAACCAACACTTGTTGAATAACTAACTGCATTGGCAAAAGTTCCGTTTCTATTACCTATAAATATAACAACATTATCGATGCGAAAATTTGCAGCTGCAATATCTAAGATGCTATCATTATTAAAATCTCCGATCGTAACCGCAATGGGAAACGCTTCAACACCGGTTGGATACGCCGTCATATTGCTAAAACTTCCATTTCCATATCCATACAGAATACCGATGTTATGTTTACCGTAATTAGAAACGACGAGATCCAGTCGACCGTCACCATTGAGATCGCCAACAGATATGCAAGTTGGAGAAGATCCTGTTGGCAAAGAGCAAGTTACTTCTGGATAAAAACTTCCGTTCCCATATCCAATTGCAACGCCAATACTGTCAGTACCTAATTTGGCGACTGCTATATCCAATTGATGATCGGAATTAAAATCACCTAGTGCAACGAACGGTGGATGAGAATTTCGTCCTACAGAATATGGCTTTTGTGTGACAGTATATCTGGAAAAATAGTCCATTAGAATTAGAACTTTGTTTGTTGTAAAACTGGTAACTGCGAGATCGGGCTGATCGTTTTGATTTAAATTGGCAATCGTCACTGAATATGGAGAATCATTGCCATTCGTTATATATGTTGCGATATTCGAAAACGATCTATTTCCGTAACCTGGTAATACCTGAATATGTCCATTTAGTGGATCCAACATAATAATATCTGTAGAGTTATCTTTGTTTAAGTCACTGGTAGCAACAAATTGTATAGAAGCAGAAGCATCGAGCTCAACTAGTTGCTGTTGCTCAAAGACTCCGTCTTTATGCCCATAAAATATGCCTATACTGTGCGTACCTGAATTAGCAACGACCAAATCAAGTTTATTATCGTTGTTGAGATCGCCTATCGCAACCGAAGCGGGTTGCGAACCGTACTTCGTAGAATAAAATGTCGGAGGAAAGAGCATACCATTTCCGACGCCCAAAAGAACAGCAATGTTATCGGTACCATAGTTTGCAACGGCTACATCTAAGTTTTTATCCTGATTAAAATCACCTACGACGAGTGAATACGGTATAGAATCGTATCCCATCGAATAATTGATTTCATCTGAAAATGTTCCATTGTTAACATTGAGATAGATGCTTATACTATTAGTACCATAGTTTACCACGATTATGTCTAGTCTATTATCATTATTAAAATCCCCGGCTTCGATATAAACTGGTCGGGATTTCATAGTGGAAATAGTTAACATATCTGCAAATGTTCCGTTTGATTTACCAAAAAATATGCCAATACTGTTTCCACCATATCTGTTCACAATTATGTCAAGAAGACCATCGTCATTAAAATAGTTCACAACCAATGCAGATGGACTTGATTTTACTCCAGTTGAATACGTTATTGGATCATTAAAAGTGTGATTCGCATTGCCAAACAAGATTCCGATGTTATCGGTACCAAAATTAGCTACAATAATGTCCAATCTACCATCCAGATTGATGTCACCTAAAGCAATTCCTCCAGGTCGAGAATTATGAGTTGCCGAGCTGCCTACTGTTGGCTTGAAGATATGTTTACACGTCGTCACTAATAACAAATGCTTTCAAAGATCGTTTTCAAAAAAAAAGTCTTCTAATCTACCTGGCTTTTCATATGTTAAACATACGACTAAGATGCCAATCGTCATAACTGTACAAACATATATCACGAATATCAAAACAACTTTCTTTTTCGGTGTGAATGTCTTCTCATAGTTCTTTCTAAAAGAACAAACGGTAACTGATCGTTCGGAAACGTCAGTGCTACCTTTCGATGGGATCATTATTGATTGAATCTCTTCTACTATCAGTAAGAGAGATAACATCTGAACTCACAGGATTTGAAGTAGAATGGTTTCGTTCTAAATTTGTCGTTGTTTCAGGTTGCATCTCCATTCGCTTTGTTTACACTCGAATGAATAAAAAAAAAAGGCAAATAAGAGATGAATCGATCGTTATCTTTCTCTCGTTCTATTTTTCAATATATAATTCGATTGCAACGCCGTTATATTTGTTAGATATTTTGCTTATTATAAAAAAACGACCTATCATGATAAATGTTTCTCAAGTGATCAAATGAGAAAGAAAAATCAATCATGCGTTGACAGCATAAGTGCGCATTCGAAGTATGTACAAAAATGATCGTTATTTGTTTCGTTATTGTTAACGGCATATAAAAAAGAAGGGCATATGTTATTGACGTAATCTTCTTTACGAAAATAGACGTTAGAAGTCATCGAGTAGTTAGTCTTTGCACATTCGATACACGTGGTATACATAAAATACATCTATGATAGCAAAGTCAACTTTTTCGTGTAATTATTATGACAAGAAGATTGTAGTGGAAACCATAGCACGCATAATTCATTCAAAGATTTGATTGATCTGATGAATCAGTTATTTCGTTTTGCAATATACATAAAATTGAGAAATACGATCAGATAATTCGCAGGGTAATGTTTGAAAAGAATTTCTTTGATTCTCATTACAATTACACACACCCTTTTACTCAAATAGGTAAATGGAGAAGAAATCAATGGAACGATTACATTTATTCGTAACGCAATGTAAATACAAGAGGAGAGAGAGAGAGACGCATTAAAAATTGGCAAACACATGCAGACCTTCAGTCAACAATTAAAATTATTGTTCTATAAAATTTCATTGAAATACTGAAGAGATTAGACAAATATGAAAATACAAACATTTGTTAACCCACATCGAAAAGAAAAATCACGCCATAATCACTTGAATACTTTATATATGAATAACAGAAGGAGAAAAGATGGAGTTTCGAATCTAGGACAGTAAGCGGATCGGTTTCGAATATTTTGTAGAGAATTCCGATTGATTAATTAATTTAAAAAAAATGGGCGATCTGATTATATACTCCAGTTGAGAAATGTTTTCACAAGGTCACTAATGTAGCTTTTTTTAGTATTCTTGTACCTTCAAGATGTTCTATTACATTGTTAAAAGGGCAAATGTTTTCTTTTAAATGACGTTAGATGGAATTCGGTAAATACATTTGCGTCCGAATCATTTTGATGATTGCTTCGTTGTTGTCGTCTATCAATATGTATTTTGACTGAGATTCGACACTGATGGGATTATTTTGTTCAAAATATCGTCAACAAGTTGTTCCATTAGATGCCAAACATTCGCTGGCAGAGGCGAATGGTTCTATCGATAAAATCGCATCTGTGATCTGGCTCGATCATAACGCAACAAATTCCGATCCGATCAATCAAAATTCTCTCTTTCACCTTCAACAAACATTCGCGTCTGTCCATCCGTTTGCGAATGTCAAAGATTGTTTGAAATATCTCTCCACTCATAAGAAAGCCGTGCCTACTATGATCGTTTCCGATGAATTTTTTGAACAGATCTGGCTATCTGTTAAGTCCACGAATCAAATTCATTCGATTTACATTATCTCATCGAAGAATGAATTCAATTCCATTATATCCGAGAAGATTCAAGGTGTTTTTCCTCAAATTGAATCCCTCGTTCGCTTTCTTCAACGTTCGATCACACAAATCAAGTCCGATTCACTTATTATGAGCACCATTCCTTCGATGAAATATTCGAAAAAGGATTTGAAACGAATCAATAAATTATTTATCTACTGGATGCTGACAAAACAGATCATCCTAGAGACAAAGTACGAGAACGATGTCGCATTGAAAGATTTCACCAAATTTTGTCGCTCGCAGTATTTTGGAAATGCAAATCAATTGAAGCATATCAATGAATTCGAACGAAACTACCATACACGCTCACCGATTTGGTGGTATACAAAACGAACATTTGTATTCGATTTACTTAATCAAGGATTTCAAACACAAGATGTAGAAATTATCATTCGAATGGGATTTTTTATCAAAGATCTTCACCAACAATTGGATAAATTACATAACGAGGCATTGAAAACGCAGAAATATCCGATCGTGGTCTATCGAAACCATCAGATATCCAGCGAAGATTTAGAAAAGATGAAAACAGTTCACGGTAACCTTCTCTCGTTTAATAACTTCATTCTAGCTGATACGGATTACCAATCATCATTGAATTTGGCACATCAAACATCGGAAACCACTCTGATCTTCCGAATTAAAATCGAATCGAAACAAACATCCAGTCCTTACGCTTTACTTCATAATATCTCCTTTTCACCTGATCAAAGTACATCTATTCTCTTTGCTATGCATAGTATTTTTCGAATTGGTGAGATGAAACAACTTCAAGGTCAACTTTGGCAATTAGATCTAACGCTAACCGAAAGTAATGACGAACAAATTGTTAACCTGAATGAATTATCGAAAAGTGAAACACAAGATTCAACATCGTGGTTTAAGCTTGCACAGTTGATGAAACAGATACATGATTACAACCGAGCAAAGGAGATCTACTACGTTCTATTGAACTCATTCACCGATACAGATGCGTTGAAAATGGCGTTTATTTATAACGAATTAGGGTTAGTTCATGATGAACTTGGTGATTATAAATCAGCACTTTCGTTCTATAAACAAGCTATCGATATTCGTCAAGAACATCTTCCGCCGAATCATCGATCGTTGAGTATTTCTTATAACAATATGGGTGAAGTTCAACGACAAATGGGCGACTATTTTAATGCACTGTCAACACATAAGAAAACATTAGGTATTAAACAGAAGGCACTGCGAGCGAACGATCGATCCTTTGCGACAACTTACAACAACATCGCACTAACAAACGAATTGTTGGGAGATTTTCCAACTGCATTAGACTTCTATCAGAAGGCATTGGATATCAAACGTAGAACTCTTCCTAATGATCATGAAGAACTAGCAACGACGTATAACAATATGGGTGAACTTCAACGAGCGATGGGAAACTTTGCAGCTGCATTAACAAGTATGGAAAAAGCACTTCAAATTCGATTAAGAAACGTTCCTGCCACTGATCCATCCTTGGCAGTCATCTATAACAACATTGGTCTCATACATCAAGAATTGGGTGATTATCCCAAAGCGGTATCCTATTTAGAAAAATCACTGGAAGTCAAATTGAAAAGTTTACCGACTAATCATCCATCATTGGCATTCTCATATAATAATATCGGAACAATGCACCAACAAATGGGACATTTTGCGCAAGCTTTATCATCGTATCAGATAGCACTTGCTATTCAAGAAAAAACGCTTCCTCCTGAACATCCAGAAATTGCAGTCACGTATACGAATATCGGCGTTTCACATCAAGCCATGGCAAATTATTCCGAAGCACGTTCTTATTACGACAAGGCGGTTCAAATCCGACAAAAAGCTTTTCCGCCAAATCATCCGTTGTTGGGCGTGTCTTATAATAATCTCGGTCATCTTTATCAGTTAACTGGTGAATATCACTCTGCACTCGAATATTATCAAAGAACGTTGAAATTACAAAAGAAATCTCTCTCTGCTGATCATCCGTCCTTAGCTGCAACGTACAACAATCTTGCTGATATTCATCGAAAACTAGAAGATTACAGCGCAGCATTGGCATTGTATAAAAAATCGCTTTACATAAAAAATAAATCACTACCCGTTAATCATCCTGCGTTGATCATTACATACAACAACATGGGCTCAATGCATCAAGCATTGGAGAATTACCCTGCAGCGTTGGAATGCTACAAAAAAACGCTCGAAATCCAGCAGAAAACAGTCCCATCCGATCATCCAGACTTAGCCGCTGTTCACAATAATATCGGTGTCGCTCATCAATCAATGAAAGAATACTCAACTGCACTTGATTGTTACAAAAAAGCCTTGTCTATACAAGCTAGTAGTTTACCTCCGAATCACCCAGATGTTGCCATGACTCATAACAGCATGGCTTCTGTATATGCATGCTTGGATGATTTTCAAAATGCGCTCAAGCATGAAGAACGAGCTATTGAAATTGCTAGTCAAACCTTACCAGAGGATCACCCTCACCTTATTATATTTCGAAACTATCACGAACGAATTAGTACTAAAGTTAAATCGATGAAGAATGAACAATGAATGAATAATTGAACGAATAGACTTTCTATTACAAAGAAGAACATTGACTTCTTTTTGTTTAGTTATTCTTTTTGCAAAGCAGGAGCATAAATCCTCCTTCTTTCTCTTTTGATGCTGATAAAAATGACTGATTGCGTATACTTGAGATTTAAATGTTGGAAGTTTTTTACAAAGAAAAATACTTCCAATTCTCTCCTTCGAACAAGAACTCATTGTTTCTACTTAATTGAAGAAAAAGAACGAAACAAGACCACATTTTATTTGCACATATAACCAACTTACTAGAGGTTTTTTCCAACATGCACAGAAAAGAAAAAAGTAAATAATTGCCCGCATGTCACCAACAGGCAATTCGAATTCTTGATAAATACGGCGAAAAAATACACACATATACTTTATATTTGTATCATTGAAATCTCGTACAAATCCGTAGGAAACATTATATGGGTAAGTCGAGCGAGGTGAATGCGAGCGAGTCAGCAGTGACAGAATATCGATATGAACGGAGTAATCGCTTGGAGAAGAAAAAGAAAACGGCCACGTGTTTATTTAAAAAAAACTATTCTCTTCCTATTTTTCTTTTTTATTTTGGTATAACTGGTTATGCGAATGAATTGATGTTCGTATTTTAGATACACTTACGTGAATCGACATTGCACAGGATTAGTTTAGTGTAAGAGAAAATCAAATGGCGACTGATACGGCAAAAATTGACGAAATGTTTCGAAGAATGCAGGAAATTCCAATCTGTCAAGATCATTGGAAGCTCGTGGGAATGAGATTAGATCGCCTGAAGCAAACATTAAATCACACTGAACTGAGTGAGAATGAGGAACGTTCACAGCAGTCTATGATGGATTTATTAGAAGTTATTGAGAAAATTATTGTCCATTGCCATCAGAATGACACTCATCCAAATGGTTTAACTTACGGCGATTTAGAATCCTTGTTATTTCGAATCCAAGAACGTCTAGCGCAATATGAAGCTGCGAATACGAATGATTATGATCAAAAAATTCAAATAATTAACGATGCTTATCAAGAGCGACATACTCTCATGCAAAAGACTGTTGACGAAACATTGAAACAGCAACTGACCGCTATTGAACAGAGTACGAAGGAGCAAACAATAGCGCAACTTCGTCAATTACGTGAAACGTATGCTGCAATCATTGAATCGTACTTGCGTCGCTGTATTGAAATGCATCAAACTATCTCTTTGACTGATCTTACCGATGATACAGTGGCAGAAATTGGTCAATCAGTCTACCAAGCTACATTTGACCAACAGAGTCAATTAAAAAACAATTGGCAAACATTTCGAATTCCCCTTCACAATCCGCGTCTTCAATTCAAACCCGATGGATATACAACAATTGAACGAAACGAGATCCAAGCACAGAAAGAAACTTTCAAAAGCCTATGGCAAAGTTTAGCGTGGACAGCTATAGAAAACACCGTCAAGGAAGAAGAGATTATTCGAAGCAAACGATGGGTTGCTATTTTAGGTGAACCAGGTAGTGGCAAGACGAGTTTCGTTCGACGACTTGTCCGTCATCTCGCTGAAACATACCTTGCCAATGAAAAACACGCATCCGACTACGGTCTTCTTCGTATTCCTATCTTAATTCATCTTGAAGAATTCGTTGAAATCGTTAATATGCAACCGACACTTACACTTTTCGATTATATCGGAAAACATAAATGGATGAAGTGCTTCATCGTCAATGACTCATCGATTTCAACGGACGATCTATCATCAGCATTGCAAGATTATATCAAACACGGCCAAGCGTTGATCATACTCGACGGTTTGGACGAAATTCCAGAGCCCGATCAACGGTCAAAGATCATCCGCATGATCGAAAACTTCGTGGATACATATGCTCAAATACCGACAGGTGCCTCAGCTCTGGATAATATTCAGCTTACTCGTTTATTCGATGATCCATCTCGATCAGGAGGTAATCAATTGATTGTAACAAGTCGCACCACTGAATGCGACGCTACATTATTACCCGGACAGTTTGCTCATTATACCATTCAGCCATTGAAACTCAACCAGATAGAAGAATTTATTGACTATTGGTTTTCTTCTATGCATCAGTATATAATTGATACATTACGGCTGACTACCGAGAATCGAGGAAATGCTCATGGAGAAGTGCTAAAAGAAGAACTGAAGAAATCTGAGAATACTAATCTTCTTGCTGTGGCATCGAACTGCAGTTTACTAGCAACACTTTGCACAATATCTTTCAATCAACAAAATAAATCCGCCTTACCTCTTCAACGCATTCTCCTCTATGAAAAGCTTACCCATGTGACGCTACTCTCATGGAACAGTAAACGATCCATAGTTCTCATGCCGGAATTGATACGAATACTGAGTGACATTGCTTATGCTATTCATCAACGTGGAACATTGAAGTATATTTCCAAGGAAGAAATCATCGAAATTTGTAGTCGATCAGTCCAACAATCATCTGGTAGAGCTCGTGACGAAATCGAAAGTCAAATATCTCAATTAACACATATCATCCTCGAATATATTGGCTTTCTGATTCCTCAAAACGGTTCCTCATATGCTTTTCCAAACCAAATATTTCAAGAATACTTTACTTCTCAAAAGTTCATCAATATCAGAAGAACAGAGCCAGATCAATCCGACGCTGATACATTTGATCGACACAGTGACTTTTCAGTAACTGCTGAATTATTCCATAAACATGTCCAAGATCCACATTTTCGCACTCCAATCGGACTTGCACTTGGTAAAATAAGTTCGATGTGGTTTGCCGAAGAATTCAACGAACTTTGTCGCATATTTCTACCCAATGACCACGGAATTGATTCGCTGTGCACTCTTGTCGGTTCTTTCAATGAACTTCTAAATTACCCATCAGACGAAATTATGTTCGATCTCTTCGATCGTCTATTGATCGTTTCCAGTAAACATCGCTGGTCTAACGTATGTCCATTTCTTGATGATCATATTATCAAAATGTTGAAAAGATTAAGCAAAGAAAGTGTCATATCATGGGTTAATCGATTTCTGTCTCGATGTTCTTCTAACGATATTCAGCTGGTATCTACTTTTTGTCATCTCATCGAAGGCAAAGCGCACGAATTTGAAAATATCCAATGGTTAGATCAAGCTGCATGTTCGATACTTCAATCTATGTCGAAATTTGATAACGAAATGAATCAGTTTGCTATCGATCGTCTTCTGATTAAAGTTGCCTTTTCCAATCCTAAGCTACTGCCTGTTCGTTCAAATACTTTCAAAGAATTTCTTCTAAATCAAACAATCGAACTAACTGAAATTCCGACGCTGTTATTACCTTTAATCATAACTTTATACGGCGGTTTAAAACGAGATAATCAAACTGTAACATTCGATTCTTTTCATATCCACCGTGAATCAGCGATTATGACTCCTATGCTTGTACGATCTCTTTCCGCAGACAATCGATCGAAACAGGATCCAATGATAAAACTCAAACAAGAAATTATCCAAACATTTCTATCTCATATAAAAAAACATGACGAATCGGATGAGATGATCGACCTCTGTATCGCGACATTATGCGTTTGTGACATCGAATATGTCAAAAACAATCACGATATTATTCCCTTTTCTTTATTGAAAATGACCATTGATCGTTTGAAATACATCTCGATGATTTTACGTCAATTTTACTTTCCAAGTGACGAGAATGATCGTTCAGTTGAAAACCAAATCAGTCAGTTGATTGCTACCGCTATCGATAAGTTTCACTACGGTGATTCAAGTCGTATCCAATTTCTTGACTTTTTACATTTATTAAAAAGTGATATGGCACGTTTACGGTCTTCGTCGTCGTCAGCTCTATTAGATGGTAGATCAAATGTTTCCCGCCGAATTACGCTTACTTTGCCCAATAATTTCAAAAAAGGAGAGAATTTATTCGCCAGCATCTTATTAACAGATACACGATTTGATGGTTATCGACAATCATGCTCATTACTTCCTAGATTTCTAAGTTTATTTCATACATTCGAAATTGATCAGGATTTCGATACAGTATATCAAACTGCAGTCGCTATGGACACAGTACCCGAGTATATATTTTTTCGAAATGATCGAGATCTGTTTAGTTCGTTAGCATACACTCCTTCGCATTTACAAAATCTCTATCTTCGCCTCTTAAAACAAAAATTCATCTCAATCAACCCGAACGATTTGCCCAACATTAATAAACAACATCTATATTTCGGTCATATATTAACAGAATGCCTGATGTATTTGTCAAATGCGTCGTGTAACCGGCTCTCACTTTATACTTCTTTGCTAGCGTTATTACCATGGCTTCGGATACAACAATTAGATATCTTCGGTAGCAGTTTACAATGGACAGTATCGACGAAAGACTCTACCTATTTAGGAGGCTATGAGTTGACAAGACAACATCCAATGAATAATATCACTGGGAGATATACTGGTAAAAGACGGGGTTATTATGTTGACGCAGATGTCACAGATGAACAAAGAAGAGCCGTGATTGACGAATATATCAAAGAAGAATGTCAACGATTTCAGAACGCGAAATCTACCAACACAGGAGATAGCATGCAGTTATATGCATCAGCAATTACTTTGGCATGTATTTGCCGTTGGACGGATGAAGAGCGAAGACAAAGTCTATTTGAAGACAGTATACATGGAGCTATGTTGATTACAAACAAACTTACACGTCTGGATGCTTTATGTGTCATTGCATTCTATTCAAACTCTAGTCAAATACTGATCAATACTGGTCGAACACTTCTAGAGGAGATTGAACATCAGCTGAATGAGAGTTATCCTACACTACCTTTACTATTACATGCAACTATATTTCTTCGATGTTTACCATTGCTTCAACATCAACAGACAATTGATAAATGTCTCGAGAATCTGTATAGTAAATTTGGTGATACAGATCTACGAGATCGACAAGCTGTTAACGAAGCTCTGTTACCATACATACTCTCGACTAACACATTCTCTTCTGTAAAGAAATTTTTTCCATACGACGCAACTAATGAAACTACTACGATCACTACCAAATCACCTATTGTGCGAAAATATTTGACTGTACTTGCGGATGACAACTTATCTTCTTCAGTACTGATGTCAAACTTGTATCTTCTACAGTTAACACACGATTTATACGAATGTTTGAAAGTCAGCGAACAATCCCTTAATATTGATGAGTTATTAATAACATTTCCATTGCATTTTAATGGACCAACTTTAACTGAAGCAGAAGCTTTAATACTGACTAATTTTCTTCACTTTGCTGCGTCAACAGAACAGTCTGGCTCACTCGGAAAAGTTCTTGTCATTCTCGACAACGCTTTACATCGCATGAGCTTTATAGAATTCAAAGCACGTACCCTATTAGAATCATGGTTAAAATGGAAGGACTCAAACGAATTCTGTTCGTTTGCTTATCATGCTGCACTGCTACTTGCTAACTCTGAGCTTTGGTCTGTTAATGTTGCTACAATTTTATGCGATTTATTATGCTGCGAAAGCGACCGCTTTCGTCAGCGAACTCACGTAATTCTACAGTCGCATGGAGATGATGTAAATTGGACAACTTCCAAATTAGGTTTCAACGTTGTCTTAACTTTAGCTGAAAGAGAAGCTAATTACCGAAAGACATCAGCAGCGTTCAAACTTATTCTATATCGATTTCTTGGAAATATAATTATAGATAATCAATCACATTTAGAAACACTTCTTTGGATGGAAAGATACAGAATTCATGCTTTGAATAACGAAGATTATTGTTTAAGTAATTCACGACCATGGAAAAACATGCATCTCACTTCGTGCTTATCAAATAATGTCACATCACATGCATACTCTTTTATTAATTTATTAAAACTATCTGGTGACTCATGCGTTTATGTGTGCGATATGATTGCGTCCAACTTCTTCTCTTTCTCAGATATCGATGGTGACACATCATCAGATAGCGTTGTGCAGAGTCACAATCAGTTTGTTATTTCAGTGATTATCAGATTATTCAATGAATTCAATAACACTGAGGAAACACGACAAACGGCTATCGAAGCCTTAACAGACTTATTTACAATGTCTGGTAACGACGAGATCCGTATAGCTATAGCGTATGCACTCGGCTATATGTGTAATAGAGCAACATACAGAAGTCTCTTCGAAAAAATACAAGAGATATTATGTGATTTAAACAGCGATACTCCGATGTATTCCAATGCAGTCCTAATTGCATTTATTTCCAGTTACACGTACTGTATCGCAGTGCATGGAATTGCCTTTGATCAAAATGACATCGATCTATTCAGTATTTTGCTTCAACATACTTCACAGGATATCGTGAAAGCTGCCCGTAATGGTTTTGGACGTGCAATAAAAGAAACATCATTTCTGTGCGAAACGCTTGGTTCCAATCCTCTTCAATGTTATCATGCACTAATCGAAGCGACAGCATATCTATTCATCTATGACGTACAACAGAACAGTGAGATTGCTGTCGCTGACTTCGTTGAGCAATATCCGACTCTTCTGCCTATATTTAATATGGAACTCTACAACAGCATTCGTCACTTCACAGATCAAGTTATACCACTAGGCGGTGTCAAATATATTTTAGCATATGGGTGTCCTCAATACGTAAAGGTTGCCAGTCTGATCGCTGTTAAAATGCCAGAAACATTTTGCACTTCTGTTAAACAGTTCAAGCATGGAGATGATCTCAAACGTGCCATATATTATACAAGTAAACAGCACAATTTTCCACAACGTGCTGCTTGTCTAACTATCCTATCTGTATTCGGAGAGTTAACAATCGAACTATGTGAAATGATGATTCGAGCATTGTTTGACGATCCGCATCTGCAAAATACATGTTACAATTGTATAACACGCATTCACACTGTGAAAGATGAGAAAGCTGTCACAGATTATTTATATTCACATTTAAAATCGAAGTCGATGAATGTCCGCTATCTTGTAGCAATGATTCTACTCTATCTGGTTCAATCTTCTCTACTACCATATGAACAAGTTCGAAGTGTCCTTTCTGAGGTAATGTTAGATCCAAGTTCCAATGAAGATCTTTGGCTGATCGAAGACGATGATGCTGTCTTCGCGTCTTGTGCTTATCACTATACCGGTCAATTAAAAGACGTGATTTACTTGCTTCTTATTCAACATTCGACAGGAAATAAAACTGATATTGTTCCACAAAAAGAATTGAATGACATCGAGTCGGATTTTGTTCGAGCGCAAAGAGCATCACGTCTCGCTTCCTGTCTCTACGGAAAACAAGCTGAAAATAAAACCAAGAAACCATCGTCCCTGTCATCAGTAAACAGCATCACGAGTGACGAAGAAGAAAAACCTTCGGATCTTTCTGTGATGAGTGACAATGACGATGATGATGATGATGAATAGATATAGAGAGACCATCCTTCTTTTTAGAGATTAAGCTCTGTGTGACGTACTTTCTGTTTTTTACATCGTATGAATAAAATAAATGCTCTAGTTTTTACAAAATAGTCATGACAACGCTAGTTAGCTGCAAATATACACAATGAAAACGATTGCAATAACGTTAGTGACAAGAAAATGACACAATAGTAAAATCAGTTTCAATCGATCGTACCGTCGATGATCGTTATTCATGCTCGTCGCAGTTTCTGTGTCCTGTCTTACATTTCGCTGACCATTTTCCTCTTTTGTATCAGCCGTTTGAACACTATTAGCCAATGGTGTCACAATCGACCGTTGTTTATATTGAATCCTTTCGAGAACGAGAACGACGATCACTATCCATCCTATCCAACAGGAAAAGATAGGGACTAAATTCGGACGAAATCTCGACATCGCGTCACTAATCAGAAAGATTGTGGGAATGACGAGAATGAAAACTGTTAGACCGACTATACGATGACTCCAATCGAAAATATACCGATATCGACTTTGAGGATGGCAACGATACAATGCCAGCCAGACTTGTACCATTGTGCAACAGACAATCGTGCCACCAAATATCGAATGAATGAATGCTCGAATATCTGATGTGGCAAGATTAGCCCATTGTCCACCTTTGCGAACAAGTATCAACAGAAAACCAAGTAGTGTTAGGATCGAACTGATCGAAAGAAGAAACCGATGAATTTGAAACCAAACTGCTTTGCCAAGTAATTGACGTCGATTGCCAAAGCGTATCGAACGACCGTAACGTGCGAACAAAACACCTGTCGAAGCAAAGATCATCAAGCCAATGACCATAACCATACCATGAACTTGTGTTAGAGTGAGAGGCATTTAGAAAAGAATATTATGAATATTGTTGTTGTTCTTTACATTTTATACCAAGACTAATATGTTGATTTCGATGCATTGAGATGGAAAAGAAAGAAAGCTAATTAGACTCAAAGTCACATGAATGCTGATCTTCTATGAATACGCGTAATCAAATATTTAAAAGCATCTTCAAGAACAAAGTACAACTCGTGATATAGAAGGTGTGCCTCAGCAACACAAGAAATCCCAACGCAATACTATAATTTCATGTCTGTCTAAATCTAATCATACAACTATTCACATAATGATATCTTTAAGATGATTTATAGCACAATATTCAGCTCCGTCAATGGACATCATTAATTGACGAAACAATGGTTTCTTGATTCAGTTCATCATTATTAATATTATCACAATCTTATGAATAGGATGCTGTTGACTATTGCATGTAATCAGATTTTTCAATACAGATTTTCAATTCATACGTTAACGATATCGACAGTTCTCTCCGAATCAATCGATTTTGTATTGAATCATATCTTCAATGAATATTATATAAATAAAAATTCTTTCTTAACGTAGACAGAAATAAAAGAGGGTTTATATTAAAGAATATAATGAGTAGAATAAACCGATATTTTGTTTGCAGAAGCATTCATAATTATACACTGTTCTGATAAACACTATGGCGTAGGTGTACGGATGAAAAAGTGATAACATTATTTCGCTTGGAGTTGTAGCATGTTCAGATTAGAAAATGACAGATTTCTATTTTTTACATAAGGTTGGCGCAGTGCAAACTTCGAGCGGAATTTTTTTTGTCAATTTTTTAATGGATTTCGATGTGGTTTGATCCGCTGAATCCCAATATGTATGATTTAATTAGATAAGATATGATCTTCCTACCGGAAATCGAAAAATACTGCGAAAATCGAGAGATTAAAAAATAGTTCTTCTACTGGGGCTTTGACGATGGCGCTTCGAAAAACTTTATTATAGTTTTCAAAGTTTTTCTGTGGATTCAGCATGAAAAACTGATACTAGGACACTAGGTTTTCATCGCTCAACGCATATCTTTCTCCTTAAAAAAATTTATTTCTTTTTAAACACCAACCATTCGAGTGAAGTTCATTGAAAATGCATCAACTCATTTTCTAATGAAGATAGACAATTTTTTCTTTCGCTATTCAACTTCTTGGATATCATAGATATAATCTACGTATTATTATCTTTCTTGAACTCACTTTCTTTCTCAAAATTTCCTAGTCATTTGTCGACCATTCATTTCGCACAAGTACTTTTCGATTTTTAACAGCAGTTTTCGCTTATTTTCTTTTTTTCATTCTAATTGTACGTTCGGAACGAGAAAGATCGTTGTTATTATCATTTCAAAACGCTATTATGCCATTCTTGAGATATATGCAGTCTTGCGAGACGTAATCCAGAGGGTGAGGGTGTCTAGGAAATATGAGTGTTCTTATAAGCTTTAGACATACGGTGACTGCACCCACCCTCAACCAACCTAATTTCATCCATACCCCTCAAATTTTTTCAAAATAGTTAGATCGGCCCTTCAAATGATAATAACAACGATCTTTCTCATTCCGAACGTATAATTAGAATGAAAAAAAGAAAATAAGTGAAAACTGCTGTTAAAAATCGAAAAATGACTAGAAAATTTTGAGAAAGAAGGTGAGTTGAAGAAAGGTAATACGTAGATTATATCTATGGTATCCAAGAAGTCGAATGGGGAAAGAAAAAGGTGTCTATCTTCATTAGAAAATGAGTTGATGCATTTTCAATGAACTTCACTCGAATGGTTGGTGTTTGAAAAGAAATAAATTTTTTAAGGAGAAAGATATGCGTTGAGCGATGAAAACCTAGTGTCCTAGTGTCAGTTTTTCATGCTGAATCCACAGAAAAAACTTTGAAAACTATAATAAAGTTTTTCGAAGCGCCATCGTCAAAGCCCCAGTAGAAGACCTATTTTTTAATCTCTCGATTTTCGCAGTATTTTTCGATTTCCGGTAGGAAGATCATTTCTTATCTAATTAAATCATACATATTGGGATTCAGCGGATCAAACCACATCGGAATCCATTAAAAAATTGACAAAAAAAAATTCCGCTCGAAGTTTGTATTGCGCCAACCTTACAAATCGTACGGCAACGAAGCAATTCAAGAGAAAGGACCTTAAGCAAGAGTTATTCACTTAAGTGCACTATTTTTTACTGACAGTGAACGATAGTTATTGATTAAAGTTATCATCTGCAGATTTAACTCGAATATTTTCTTGAGTGTAGCAGTTCTTTTGCTGATCGAATGCATCTGACAGATCGCATTGTAAATACAAGAACGTGACGTATACTATTCTATGTACATCTGTGAACGACACCCTTCAAAACAGAGCCAAGGATTATCCGTTGACATGGAGTAATTTCTATCCCGGAGATAATCTCATCTTTTTAATAAAAAGAAAACCTCGTTGCCAATAATGAGCATTTTTTTACATAGAAGAGCGTATTTCGGTCCTGTAAGAATCTTTTCACGTAGAATTTTGTTCCTACCTAACTACCAATGCGAGAATATTTCAAAAAATTTTAATTAGAGACGTGTTCACTTGAAATTATCTTTATAGATATAGTTCACAGATGTGCATGGAGATCGTTGCATCTTTTTTTAATTATGTTATATCAACAGAATAGTTCTATGAAAGGTCCATCTCCTGTAGAGTATCAAATGTCTATTTCTCGTTCGGCTCAATTTTGGATTATATTTCCAATTTACATTCCATCTGTAGTTTGCTCGTTATTTGATTTGTATCATTATCTTATTTGTCGGACTATACGTCAAGCTCTACATAATCACGTTATTACTTTTCTGCTTCTGATTAATCTGATCATTCAGTTGACAAGTATACCTTTTACACTCAGCTATTTACATTTGGGTTATGTCTGGCCGCAGTCACCTACCTTCTGCATCTTTTGGACAATAATTGATGAAGGACTTTTCATAGCTCTCACAGCGTTCTTCGCATGGGCAACCATCGAACGACATATACTAATCTTTCACGATCGATTAGTATCAACTCGACGAAAGATTATCATTTTTCATTATATTCCGATGGTCATTGTTTTTCTCTATTGCGTTTGTTATACTCTTATTGTAATCGTTTTTCCGCCTTGTGAAAATACTTTTGATTATGATGAGCTCACGTGCGGTGAACCAATTTGTTATTACAATGAAAAATCATTGGCTATGTGGGATATCATAGTTGATCATCTTATCGCCGTTCTCATTATTGTCTTTTGCAGTTTCACACTATTACTCCGCATTTTGTACCAAAAAAGTCGAATGCGGCAGACCACTCAGTGGAAAAAATATCGAAAGATGACTATCCAACTACTGGCCATTTCGTTCTTGTATTTCGTTATTTACATCCCGCATATGTTCTTGGAATTTCTTCACATATGTTGCATTCCAGAAGAAGTCGGTGCAGATTTTATGGCATATTCAGACTTTTTTTCGTACTATGGAAATCTCCTGTTACCATTCGTCTGCGCTGGATCAATACCTGATTTGAGAACAAAAGTGAAGAATATGTTTTTACTGCGTCGAAGACGAGTAGCAAGGATTATCTATCCAGAAACAATGACATTATCACGTCGTGCAGTTGTTCGACAATAAAAACGATGTTTCTCTTCTGCGATGATTATATTAATTTTCAATTATAAAAGTAATCTAGTTCTACACGTAAATATCACAGTCCATGTAGTTTCTACCTAATTGAACATGAAAAGACGATTTCAGTAAGCCGATTGTGTGTAAAATAGAGCGAAAGGTTCTTCAAGTAACAAGTTCAGCGCCGCCACAACCGATGTTTTGAGGATCCATTACGATTGTGTTTACATAATATAATTACAAAAATCAGCGAGTTATTTAACTGAAAATACCACACTTTATCTAGAGTTATCCACTGTAAATGGTTCAAAGTTATCTATTAATATACTTTCTTTTTAGACAATAATAATGCTTGTGGCTCTAATTATTCGTTTAGCACAAAATACAATACCACTTGTAACTGTTGTTTCTACTCAATAACAACATTAACAATGCAGAAGCGATTCTATTTTTGAAAATTAGAATCTATATGCACACATGTGTATACACGTCATCCTCCTACAGTGAAGTAGATATATTTAGCTGGCGCTAGAGGAATAACACTGTTAGAAATTCAACTCATCGAGGTTCTTGCGTCCGTGGTATGCTATCACAGATTCGCCGATGTGACAATTTCTAGATTTGAGATCTTATTTTTCCGATCACGCGTATCTAATTACACAGCAGCAAGAGAAAACAACCGGAACGTCATGATTTGAACATACAATCGATGATTCATCATGTAAAACAATTTTTTAATATGCACTTTTTTCATCTACTAGCAAAATATGTTTAAGAAGCTTTTTTCTCTCATGATTTTCTTCGGATTTTCATCAGCTCACCTACTCTATCAGATGAACAGTGACAATCTAAAGAACACGCATCAATTAGAATCAGACCCGCCAGACATAGCATCATACACGTCATACGTACTGGAAGCAAATATGTAATGAACTATTTCTTCATGTATCTCGAAGTAATTTATTTCTGGAATCTTCCATAATGGATACCGATGACCATCAGTCATTCGAACAATCAAGACCACACTCTCACGAAATTTCTATTCCTAATTTCGTTCAGTTTTGGCTTATTCTACCATTTTACATTCCATCCGTAGTCTGCTCTCTATTTGTTCTCTACCACTTCATCACTGTTCGAACTCTACGAGTAGCACTTCACAACCATGTCATCATTATTCTACTCTCTATCAATCTCGTCGTACAGCTCACTGACATGCTTTGGAACCTCATCTATTACTGTCAAAATCAAGCTCTTTGGCCAATACCTGTCTTTTGCACCGTTTGGATTACAGTTGACGAAGGACTAGGTATTGCAATTACAATATTTTTCGCTTGGGCAGCTATCGAACGACATATTCTCATATTCCACGATCGACTTGTTTCCACTCATCAAAAGACTATTCTTTTTCACTACCTTCCCATATCCACCATCTTTCTCTATTTGATCTGCTACATCTCCATTGTCATCATCTTTCCACCATGTGTAAACACCTATGATTATGATCACATACTTTGTGGCTCTCCACTGTGTTACTATGAACTGAGACTGGTGACAGTATGGGATGTAGTAGTCAATCACAGCGTCCCGATCTTTTTGATCATCGTGGGTAGTGTTGGTCTTCTACTGCGTATCGTACATCAGAAGAGTCGCATGCGTCAGCCGATTCGATGGCGAAACTATCGAAAACTAACGATTCAACTGTTGTCCATCTCATTTGTGTATTTGATTTTGCACACGCCACACACACTAATGGAGTTTATGTACTTGTGTGGTGTTCCTGAAGAAGTGGGAAAAGATTTCATGAGCTATGCCGAGTTTTCCTCATACTACAGCAACTTATTATTACCATTTATATGTGCAGGATCAATACCAGAACTGAAAACGAAAGTGAAGCATCTACTATCATGGTGTGGACGATCAACACGATCAGTGCATCCTCATACCGTCACACTTCCACAACAACGTCGAGCGGATTAAGAAGAAACGAACGCCTCCAGTCATCTGATAATTAAAATTTTTGACACTATTTAATAAAAAACCTAAGAATACGAGTGACAAGACGTACATTTAGAAGTTAAAAAAAACACGCTAATTATACAGCGGATTAGATCACAAATGCGATTTTATTTACTTCGTTTTTAATATTCACATCTCTCCGAATCCTGCTAGTTTGAAATGTAATTTTAATTGTGTGTAATTTTTTTTAATAAAATACAACCAAAGCTACGATGAAACGACCGTTTAATATAAGTTTGTGAGAAGAAACTATTATGACTCACAAGTACTTCTCGCAAAGAGTCGCAGACAATAGACTAGTCTATCTTTCCACTGGATACAGATAGAGCACTGAGTATTCTGAAATTAACCTTCTGGTAGAATGCAACTGTATTCGCTTGATTACAATAGTCTTCTAGAATATTAGTATAGAGAATTTTGACAGGCACTAATCCGCTCGCTAGAATATCAGCAAATTCTTCATTAACATCAGAAGTATTACTGTCTCTTAGTCTATACCGATGGAAATTTATAGAATTAAGCTGAGAAGCCAACGTTTTATTTGACTAGCGATGACATTCTCAGTTTAGTTAACCATGTTCACGAGATTCACATACCGTTACACTAATTGTTTTCAAAGATGCTGTTTCTGTCATGAATATCGACCAACACCTCCAGTAATATTTTCTTCTATATCATCACCCTTGCACTATTTTGCCTTGAATTCCAACCCGAGGTAAATATATCACTGATAATAGAGTTGTGCTCATGTTTACGCGAACACTATTTGTTTTAGAACGAAAGATTTTATTTTTTCGGAAATAGAATGAAACATTTAATTTAAAATATCTATGTAGTCAAAGTAAAACTCAGTTGGCCTTTTTTTACGTAGGACGCGCGCTGTTAGTCTAGAAATCACTACTTATGAGACTTCTCCGTCATTACCACCTGAGGGTTCTAGTAATTGTTCCCGCTTATCACGTATCAGACATTGAAATAAAACATACATACTGAGCAAGATACAAAGAGTGGAACGAGGCCTCAACAGGAAACAACTATCTCAACTATATATAAAATATGCTCGATAATTTCGTACTTTCCATTCATATTTTAGCTATGAACAACAATGGCAACCAATCTCACGAACAATCAACTTCAGATTCTCACCAAATAGCTATCCCTAATTTCGTTCAGTTTTGGCTTATTCTACCATTTTACATTCCATCCGTAGTCTGTTCTCTATTTGTTGTCTATTACTTCATCACTGTTCGAACTCTACGAACAGCACTTCACAACCATGTCATCATTATTCTACTCTCCATCAATCTCGTCGTACAGCTCACTGGAATGCTTTGGAACCTCATTTATTACTACCAAAATCATGTACTTTGGTCAATACCTGTCTTTTGCATCGTTTGGATTACAGTTGACGAAGGACTACACATTTCAGTTACGATATTTTTTGCTTGGGCTGCTATCGAACGCCACATTCTCATATTCCACGATCGACTTGTTTCCACTCGTCAAAAGACTATTCTTTTTCACTACCTTCCCATGTCCACCATCTTTCTCTATTTGATCTGCTACATCTTCGTTGTCATCATCTTTCCACCATGTGTAAACACTTATGACTATGATCAGCTAGTGTGTGGCTATCCGCTCTGCTATTATGAACTGAGACTGTTGACGGTGTGGGATGTAGTAGTCAATCACAGCGTCCCGATCTTTTTGATCATCGTGGGTAGTGTTGGTCTTCTACTGCGTATCGTACATCAGAAGAGTCGCATGCGTCAGCCGATTCGATGGCGAAACTACCGAAAACTAACGATCCAACTGTTGTCCATCTCATTTGTGTATTTGATTTTGCACACGCCACACACACTAATGGAGTTTATGTACTTGTGTGGCATTCCTGAAGAAGTGGGAGCGGATTTCATGAATTATGCCGAGTTTTTCTCATACTACAGCAACTTATTATTGCCATTTATATGTGCAGGATCAATACCAGAACTGAAAACGAAAGTGAAGCATCTACTATCATGGTGTGGACGATCAACACGAACAGTGCATCCTCAAACATAGATTGTATCACAGCTTCCAGCCGACCGATAGATGTGTACAGCCCGGATCTTATTTTTTGCTCTAGTTTTTCTGCATATGAATGAGTGTCTTTTTCAAAAAAATCTCTACATGGAAATATGAGTTTCCTTAATGATTTTGTAACTAAGGGTAAGGTTTAGTATTAAATTACATTACACCGCGAGGTATTTTTGGATGTAATTTATTGTAGAAAATTATAAATAGAAAAAAGGTAAAAATATATACCGTTCTTCTGCGATTACTTATCAATTAAAGTCTGTTTAGAAACATCGTTTCAAATACTTATAAACACTAGCTTGTCTTCACCATTATTACTGATAATACCCTCAAGAATTAGCAATATCTTGAGGGTGAAATTCTTTTTTTAATGAGAACACTAGTCTGCAGTCACCTTCGGCAGATAAGAGCATATTCATTGTAATTAACATTATTATAAAAAAAAAACTTTCTGAGAGAGATGATGGCCCGAGTAACATCACATTAGTATCTTTGTGAAACACTCACAATTAAAGAGTATTGTTGACGAGATCACCTTAGAAGACATTTATTTCTATTACGACGTTAGAAAATCCGGTTTTATGTTGCACATTTTCTCACTTCACACATATTCTCTATTCTCTATAGTTAATCTTTCTCTTAGACGAAAACTTGCTCTTACTTTGATCATTGAGCGTATTGAAAAGATTCTAGAAAGCGGTAGGTTTTTAATAATTAACACATTTTTCGCGACGCCCTTCGCAGAACTTCTATGTATAGCTGCATAGTAACGTCATCCATCGTGTCATTTCTTCACAACCTGAATAGATAAACATCATTTACATCTTATTATACTCACTGGCTATTCATAACATGTCAAACGAAAGAAATAACTCTTCTCAATATCAATCATTCTCATCTGATTATATTCTTTTCCCATATGCTGTTCGATTTTGGATTATCCTACCGTTCTATATTCTTTCAATGACTTGTTCTCTCTTTGTTTTCTATTGTTTAATCGCTCGTCGATCATTCCGTCAAGCAGTTCATAATCATATCATTGTATCTCTTCTCTTTGTAAATATTCTTATTCAATTGACCCATATATCATCAGTGCTCAATTATTATCGTCTTGGGCATGTTTGGCCGGCGTCAACTTACTTCTGTATGGTTTGGGTGATAGCTGATGAAGGTCTGCGCATCACGACGACACATCTTTTTGCTTGGGCTACCGTGGAACGACACATTCTTGTCTTTCACGATCGATTAATATCAACAAAAAGGAGATTGTTCCGATTTCATTATTTACCTATACTTATCATCCTCCTCTACTGTTTCTCTTACTGTATCGTTGTAATCATATTTCCACCGTGCGAAAATACTTACGATTTTACTCAAATTGTATGCGGCTCACCGCTTTGTTATTATGACAGATATTCATTGGCTTTGTGGGATGCTGTTTTTAATGATATTATTCCGACATCGACGATTTTATTCTTCAGTATTGCTCTTCTTATGCGCTTTCTACATAAGAAAAGTCGAATGTGTCAACGGATGCAATGGCGACATTATCGTAAGATGACAATTCAGTTATTATCTATAGCAATGTTGTTTCTCGTTATCTACATTCCTCATGTTCTCATACAATTGGTTGAGTTTTGTGGTGTTGTTGACATGATCAGCAAAACCTTACTGATTTATGCCGAGTTTTCTGTCTACTATGGAAATCTTCTTTTACCATTCGCGTGTCTGAATTCAGTGCCTGGATTGAAGACAAAGTTGAAGAAGACATTTTTATGTTCGCCACAGCAGAATCCAACTGTGCGACCTCACACTTAATGATTATGATGTTAACAGATTTTCTTCTTCTTTATTTTGTTTGATCTTTTCTACTGCAACTGTCTGAACATGATTTGGAGATCAGCTTTCTTTCAATGGCGCAATAAATTAATACTACAGAGAGTTGTACACGCTTTATCTGATCGAATGAATTATAACAGAATCATTCATTTATCCAACAGATAATCACACAACAGTTATCTATATCATCAAATTGATGATAAGATACTCTTCTCGAAGATCACGCTCTCTATTGAAAGATAACATCTGTAAGAAAAATGTTATCTTCTTTCGAGATGCAAAACTAACAGTCACATATTCATTTATTTGCATGTTTCACGATCAAATAATGACATTTCGTGTTTATTCGATTTGTGTGTGTATTGTGATATGCATTGGGGTACAAAATAGTGCCGATGCATTACCATTTAAATGGCCAAAGGTAATGAATGTGATATTCAAGAATTTCGTCGAATGAATTGTTTTGTATCAAGATCTTCCCTATTTCTACTTAAATTTATATTTTGAAAACCTGAAGAAATATGTTATTGTTTCGTACTTTTTAGGAATTGCAAAACTTGAAATTTTCATGGGAAAATTGTGGTCCTAGTACTGATCCAATCAAAATAGTATCGCTTGCTGTTGGTCCAGATCCAATTCGACTACCAGGTTTAATCCTTTATTTGTCCCTAGTAATGATTTTCTCATTTGACTTGTAGGATCTGTCACCATATCGACTTCAGTCAATATTACGAAGCCACTACCAGCGGATATCGAAGTAAACTGTTCAATATCACTCAATAACAAATGTTTCTTTTGATTCTAGGCACATGTGGACATGGAGAAAAAAGTAACCGGCTTTTACATACGAGTTCCCTGTGAGCATAACGTTGGATCATGTTCTTATAGCATCTGCACGAATAGTACTGCACGTTATCCCAGATTATTCAAAGACTATAGTGCTTCGAAAAGTTGTCCTTCGGTTCCGCCAGCAACATATTCAGTATCGAATTTAGTTATGAATGTAACGAAATCTATACCATCGATAGCAGAAGGTAACTTTCGGATCACTATTAATGTTAATTCCAATCATGGTGGTCATCTTGCTTGCCTTCACCTTGGTGTCAATCTGAAAAATTGATAAAGCTTTAGGACAGTATGGTCTTCGCGAGTTGAGATCGTACAATGTACTGAATTCGATTAATATAATTTTTAATTGTAGAGACGGCTCAATCTTTTGCATTCATGTGAATAATAAAACTTCCAGATTCAAAATTCTATCAGTAGAATTAAAAATTCAATTCATTTTGCTATCTTTATTAAAGTAAACAATAAATCGTAGTTTATCTTATGTGTTATGTTGTGATCAGTTTCAAAAACATGTTGCACAAGTGTTATACTTTGAAAGAAACCCTAAATAACGAGTTCTTTGAATATGAAAATATCTGTTTAAGATTCACTCGAATTTTGTCTCGACTAATGACATATTTATTCATGTTTCTGTAGAGAACAACAAATTCTCCTGTTAAATTTCAAGATATTCTCTTCTAGAAATGTCATTCGACTTGTATAATTATCAGTAACCAGTACTAATTCGTATAAAAAAGGCATGGATCGTTAGACGGGTATTCTAGTTTTCTCCTCCAACTGTGCCTATTCGCAAGGCAAAGACATGATGACCTATACGCAGTATGTATCGAATGGTAAAACCGGGGAGAAAAATAACAGTTTCGGGATTAGTTGGACTGCGGATAGAAAAATGCACTGTGACATTACAAATTCACTAATGCGTCAAAAACATCCAAGAAGCAAACTTTGACATATATTAATGACCTATGATGCATTCATTCCAGTCAAAATGTTTACTTTTCACCCAAAAGCGTTCTTATACTTTTAATTTAAAGAAAATCTCTCAACCTTTAACATCGTATGGAATCTGCCCTAGTTGATGAATTTTGCACTAGGTCATATATGTTCCGGGTACATTTAGCAACTTGTAATCTCACCTATCGATACACAATCTACGCCCATAATGTTCTCTTTCATAATCAAGTCAAGAAACATATTATTATAATTAAAGAGTATTGTAGAGGTATCGTACTTACGTGACTTACATTTTTGTAAAAAATCAAATGTAAGCGAAACGTTGTCATTTACATATTATGTATAGTTACGGTTATAGTCGGTACGATTTACTTTGTAGTCTTTGTTCCTGACGCAATGTATTATTCGGGAGATGAATGTATAAAGTCGAGTAGTATCGTGTGTAGCGGTATCTCGGTGGTGGTTTAGGTACTTTTTCTTTGCAAACTTGGCAGATCTCACACAGTAAACTTTTCCGTCAGATGAACTTGATGATGATAGTTGAATTCATTGATGGATATCAAAGAAGACAAGGAGTTGAACATAACTCTTAACCGAATATATGTATGTTAAGGCTTCTACTGCTTTAGCAAAATGGACATATGATGTTTTATTGAAAATTATATGCACATATTAGTATAGAAATCTATACATATATACGAAAAAACAATGTCTATTTTAGTATAGTTTAAATTTGCAAAAATGAATTAGAGTTCGAAATGTTCAGCGGCATACTTTGATGCCATATCACGAGCTACTCGGTAACCCACGTAGTTTCTACCATGTGTACCCTTTCGATACCATTGCTGAATACTTTCATTATTTAAACATTGGTTTTGTTTAAAATACGTTAATAGATGTGAAAATATATTGACTAAAACAAGAAGAGGATCAATCGATAGATCGCAGAAGAATAGAGCAACCTGTGTTTTTGTCAGCTTTGATATATGTTTGAAAGGCAACGAATACTTGAATACCAACGATAACCATGAATTCGCCATCAGGATGCTTTTTAGTCCAATATTGAATGATATTCATATATTGTAATGTGTCCATTTGACATTCGTTTTTGTCAACGGATTCGATAAAAGACAAGACAAGAACAGCAATTTGCTCCGGATCGATACCCTTTTTCTTTGTTAACACGAAAAAATTCTAATAAAAAAGTCATACCTCGCTTTGCTCGTCAAAAAAGTAGATCGACAATACTACCTTTAGATAACTCTTCACATCGTTGGGATGTGCACCTGATGAGAACAAGTTAATAAGTTTTTCACAAGGCTCGACTCTCAGAAGTCTTTTCGATTTTGACTGTTGAGTATTATTAGCATTTGTTGCCTTACTTGCCAAAGCTGCTTGTTCTGCCCATCCACCAACCCATTTATCTTTTGTTTTCAATGTATCTGTTGCTGCATGTTCAAACAATGGAGAGAAACCAACATGCTTTTCGACATCATCGTTTGCTGCTTCTATTGATGATACCTAGAATTGCTATGAGGCTTTGCCTTGAGTATCAGTGAAACTTACTCTCAGTATTTTCGATGAAGTGTTCCATCGTAACTGCCAAATATCGTCAGAAATAGATTTGATCATTTGTTCTGTGGCAATAACTTCATCCGTGTCCTGTGAATGCAAATCGATGTAAGTCTGGCAAGCTTCTACTGACAAGCGCTTTTGAACGCGTTCGTTAAGTTGCATTAATTGATCGTAACGTTCGTTGATGTGATCAAGTTGACTCTTGAAATGTGTCTCGATATCGAGAATTTTTTTTGTCGTACTTCCTCAGCCTTTTTGAGTGCCTTCTGACGACTTTTTTCGATTTTATGCAACGACAATCGAGTTTGTTCAGCTAGATCGTTTAGGCTTCGTGTAAGTTCACACGTTGATGGTGTCTCAGGCCGTGCTGCACTCATAATATGTTGTCCTGATGACTTCGTCGACCTATTTCTCACCAAAAATCAAATATGTAAATCTGAATGTATAACAAAGAAACCACATTGAGTCTAACAAACCACAACGATCTATATCTCTACTATCTCTGGAGCACAAACAGATAAATAAGATGTGCTGAATTACCAGCATAAGAAAGGATACTCCTAGAGTAGATGGCAGATTAGAGTTGTAAAATTGATGTATGTGAACACAGTGGATGCTTGAATATATTTATTAAATTACGCTTAAAAAATAAAGGTATAAAAGGATCAAAAAATAGTATGTACAGTCTGCGTAGGTAGTCGCTGATGTGTTATAGTAATCGGATTTACAACTCGCATACGACTATTCGAGAAAAAAACTTGTGACAAATTATGAAATATACGTTTTTTTTCTATTCTTTTCATGATATCAGCGGACGTGCATGTCTATTGCTTTCGCTTAGCACAACGAAAACATTGTTAAATAAATAAATTCGTCCGGCGAATCGTTTTTGCGGCTAAATATAGAAACCTCATGTGACAAAGAACGGAAAAAGCAGTGTCTGAACCAACTCGGTACAAAAGAAAGAACAATTAATTACTAATCCATAGAAGTATTTGTCGGTGATCAATTAATTTAAAAGCAAAATTTTTCAGCCGAGTGTGAGTTCGTAGCCAGTGATCGAGTTCTCCATCGTCCTCGAAGTAATATGATAGGATACGTGTTGTTAAATTTTGTAAATCTTTCAAATTTTCGATGAGAATTTCTAAATAAACTTCGTCGTAAAGATAACAATTCATCAGATGTTCGAGACAAGGAAATGCGGAGCATAAACTCGTTCGAAATTTCTTCGGTAAGTATTCACGTCTCATGTCAAGCCAACGTATCTGAGGATATTTCGAATTCAACAATGGATGTAACTGCGAGTTGAATGATGAAATAGTCAAACGAGTCAAACATGGTGAAACGTTAATCAATTGAGTTAATACAGAAGATGTAACAGCACAAGCACTTTGCAGTATCAAATGTTCGAGAATCGAAAAGTCATTCATATATCTTTGTATTTCTACCAATTGTGAGATGACATAACACGTAGTCTCAGAATTCGTGACATGTTCTAATTTCAATATTTCCGCATTTGGGAAAGTAATCATCGGTGAAGAGGCTAGGTTAATCGTCAGAACTTTATTTTCTATCGTTTCTCGTCGGCAATCGACGGATAATGGGTCGAATGGCATCATACCGATAGTAAACGATCGATTTGTCCAAAACTGTGTTTGAAAACCTTTTAGCGAATCGTTCGTGATGTTCAATTCTGGTGAAGATGGAATATCGACCTTAACAAATCACGAATTTAACCAGTACTTCGAATAACAAACAACAATATTAAACATACCTGTAAACGAAAGATTTCCAGTCGAGGTAGAAATTCTTCGACGATCGATTGCCACCAGTCAGCATCGAGCCATTGCAGAGTATCCGTTTGTTTCCACTCAATATGAATATTCAGATAGATTAACATCGGGCATGATTGAAGAATTCGTTTGATTTCATCTCGCAGACCAAAACTGACTTTCATCGTTAAATGAGTCAATGAACGAGGAATACGAAATTCTGAAGTAAAATCATCGTCAACTGAGGTTGTATTTAAACTGAATGTTAATCGCTGAATATTCGGAAAACATTTGAAAAGTAACGAAAGATTATCGATTGTTCGTAAATGAATTTCAAATTGAGTAATATTCTCATTCGTGGGTAGGATTTGTATGTTAAACCGATTATTGACTGACTCCTTGTTTAAAATCAATGTACGTAATGTCGGAAGGCGAAAAATACTGGCGAATTTTTCGTCGAACTTTTGGATGTTAGCAATCCCAAAAGAATGGACCGGCCATTGGACAAAATCGATCGAGATTGTATGTAAAACGTTCATTGGATGCAGGATTGGACATGCTTCGAAATTGCGTATATGAAGGCATTCTAAGCGAATGAAACTTTGTTCGAATGCAGGAAAGAGTGTGAAGAAAAGAGACATTTGACCAGGTGTTTCTTCATCATCGCATAATGTCAATGTTACTATTTGATCGGGACGAATTGCTCGAAAGATTCGATCAAATTGACGTTTAGATATAGCTTTCAAATTCACCTTGTATCCGTCATAGTTACGTATGCATTTTCGTAAGTATCGACTGAAACTGTAGAATGAATGAAGAATCTCGGCAGTGCTTAAATAGGTAAATATGTTAAAAATAAGCTCCACTGGAAGTTGATCAAGAAGAAGATGGGGTTTTGTCATTATTTTCAGCTATGCATTAATCAAATGATGGTATTTTCAAATAGTTGGATAAGATTAGTGTATGACACACATATATAAACTCTTATTTTTGACGATATTAGACGACCTATAAAATGCACGGAGTAGATGTTGCTCTACGTCATACGTATTTATGCATCATATTGTGCAATTCAGAGGTCGCTGTATCTTGGAACAGACCTCCATCGATAGTTATATACGACCGAAAGATAGATGAAAACTCTTCAGAATTATATTGAATTAAGAGAAAAGAAAAGCATCTACTAATATTACATGCATAAAAATACAATAAATACAATAGTCAAGGTGATGCTAACAATCAAATGGAGAACTAACAAAATTATTTTGATATAATTATAGTATCCATTGGTAAGATACACCTGCGCACCTGTTTCCGTATCTAGTTGCCCGCTCGCATTTGTTCTCTGTTGGTTTTCATTGCCGCCATGTCCGTTGTGCTCAACTGGGACAATCGGTTTTCGTTGTCGACTTTGAATTCTTTCGAGAGTGAGAACGACGATAACCATCCACGCTGTCCAACAAGAAAAAATGGGAAGAAGAGTTGGACGAAAACTATACATGACCACAAGTATGATGAATACCGCTGGGAAAAAAAGAGAAAAGCCTAATAGACCGATTGATCGATGACTCCAATCGAAAATGTATCGATATCGACTTTGAGGATGACAACGGTACAATACCAACCAGATCTGAATGATCACACAACATAGAATTATACCGCCGAGGATTGAGTGAATAAATATTCGAATATCTGCTGATGTTGGATCGGCCCATTTCCCACCTTTGCGAACAAGTATGAATAGAAAACCAACAAGTACCAATAGTGGAGTGAAAGAAAGAAGGAACCGATGAATTTGAAACCAAACAGATTTACCAAGTAGTTGTCGTCGATTTCCAAAGCGTATCGAACGACCATAACGTGCGAAAAGAATACCTGTCGAACCAAAGATCATCAAACCAATGGCCATAGCCATACCATGAGCTTGTACTAGGTTTAGAGACATACCAAGGTAGTCTTTACTCTTTACTCTATCGTAGAAATATTTTCTTAATTCTCAAAATAAAGTGATGACTTATGTTATATTTACTACGGAAAGGAAGATATGCTCTTTTTTTCTGAAAAATCCAGATAATTAATGAAAGAATAAAGTAGTGGGCTCACAGTGGCAGATTTTTTTCTCATCAGAGGTGTGTTTGAGCTTTTCTTTAGGCATATCTCGACTTCGTCCGTACAACGGTTCTTTTAATTAAATAAATCACAAATAAATATGGATCACCGTGTGTTACAATTCTATTAATGGAGCTAAGCCAATTAAATGATTTTTCCATCCGATGACAAATGTTCCCGTAAGATTTTGTGTATTTCAAACTTTTACAAAAGCAAAACAAAGTCAATTTTAATCATCGAATGTGGATAAATGTGCCCCGACAGTTTTCTATCAGAAAAATCATGCGAAATTGTAAAACTGATAACTTTGAGTCGTTGCAGGTGACAGTTAATTACATATACGATACAGCATTCGATAATGGAGGCAAGAAGTTGATAAAAACATTAATTAATTTCGTTTCTTTCAGACTTATTGGATATTGCTTTAGCAAAATTGAATTTTACAAAGCCTGTGGATTAAATAATAATGCTGCAGCGTAATCTATAATGAAAAAAGTCCTTTTTTACGCATTATTAACACGCTGCGTGGTCGCTGATTTTAAAAGTTATAATCATTAGAAAAGCTTGTTTGAGTTGGTATTAAATGTGAACAAGTACCATATGAGAAGTGCTCAATTATTTTGTTGAACAATGTATTTGAACGTCTTTCAGTATAATATTCTCGGACTGAACTACTCAAGAAGATGAATGCATTCATAGATGAGATTATTATGTTTGGTAGTCCATTATTGATGAATCAACTAACACACACATGCTATTTTTGATATCGTTTTCATGAATATTACTCCACGAAAAGAACTGCAACTGGACAGAAGAATGCCGTTGTAGGAAACTAAATTTCACACTTTGGCTCATACTTTTAGTATTTTTCCAAATAGAATAGCTACTACGAGCACAAAATAGACAACAAGCTGGACGTTTGACACTCGGCATACCATATAAAACAATCTATGAACGAATTCTTTAGTGTTGTGGTAAACATAAAGAAAATTTATATCTTTCTCAAACTCTGAAAAGTACTGTTCAACCAAAGAGTAATCTTATCAATATGAAAATTTCGACTTGCAGTTGATGTAACCTCTCTGTTCAAAGTTATTAAACTGTAACATGTTCATCAATTCTAAGATAACTGTATAAAAATTCTTCTTCGATTCACAAAAATATTTTACAATAAAGAATCGAGTTCTTCATTATAACATCTTACTAGAAAGAAGCTTGAATAAAAAAAAAAGTCGTACGGAAAAGAATCTTGTTTACATATAGTCGATTATCACTGACGAGATTTATCGCTTTGAGTTTGTTACGTTGATGATGTCGTTGTTTCATTGAGTACTTCAGCAATTTTAAATATCTCTTTGATTTCTGCTGATGTCTTACCTTTAATGAGATAGATCACTGATTTACAAATAGTGTTCAAAAGTATTGGAATATCAAGATAATTAGCGGCCTAAAAACTCGTTAAAATCGACTTCCGTATAAATAAATAGTTAAACAATACGTACCGCGATTATATCAAACAATGATCCATCACGGATAGAAAATCGCTGAATAAATGCACGGTCCCATTCGCTGACAGGTTTTCTTCTAAACACGAATGTTAATACATCAGTCTTGCGTTATTTTCTCCTCGTCCATAGGTGAATGAGTACAATATAATTGAAGCTTGATTTCTTATCAGAATATCAGAGACTTACTGTTTCACTTGTTGCACGTCCTTTTTGGGAATTTTAATGTTGTCATTGTCGTCATCGTCATCATCATCATCGCTTATTTCAGCTTCAGGATCATTTTTATGATGTTCACAAAAATCGATTACCTATAATAACCATGTGTCGAAGTTGAAATCAAAGAGGAAATAACTCACGGATTTAAGAATCGATGCATCAGTAAAAGCCAATTTGATTGATTCATCAAAACTGTCTTGAATTTTAACAAGGACAGTTTGTTGTATGATTATATAATAGTCAATTGTGTGAAAATACTCACCATCAAAATACGATCGAAACAACTTCGATTGTTTCGCGATATCGTGATCAATTTGAAATTCTTGTCCATCCGAAGATATTACCTTCAAGTTGCCTTCTGACATAATTATCGACGACGAAAAGGGAACACTAGTAGCTTGTAATAATAATGATAATACAGAATTCTGTTTTATTTTTTGCGTATCGAAAGAAAAGAAAAAAAAATACTAATAAATCTATTCAAACTAATTCAAGAATCGAAGAAAAAAGAACATGTGCACGTGTGTGTAGCGAAGCAAATGAGTAAAAATGTGGTGTAGGTGAGATAAATATGTCTCCATTTAATTATTTGCTTTGTCTACAGCAAATTTAAGAATAGCACAATAATCGACGGGAGATGAAAACTTGAAAGATGTTCGGTTTCTATATGAAAATGATTGAGTAATTAAAAGAGTACTAGATCAGATATTTTATCATTTGTTAAGAAAGTTTCCATCAATTAAATCTTGCGCGTATCAAAGTATGATGTAGAAGACAACTCGTCATACTGTTTTATTCGTTTATAAAATTGTGAGAAGGGTGCATAAATCTATTGTTAGCTATTGCAACGAAACGAAGTTACTTTCATGGTTTTTATTTTTAGCGCCACATTCCTCTCAAATGGCACATCGATGCAGCAACGAAACTAGATGAAAGATCATATTGAATAACCTTCGCCTATCTTTTATCGATAAGAAATGAAGAGAAAAGCAATTGATTCAAGTCATGCTATGCCCTTCTTTGGTATAAATACGATCGAAAAAGGAAGATTCGACATACAATTGATGAGATGAAACGCCTCTCGTCACCATTCATAGTTTTACTTCTACTTTCTATATGGATAGCTGTCTTATCAGCAGGTAGGCTTTCGATAATCACATCTTTCATGATCAAATTTACGTTATTTTATCCGATAGTCAACGGGCAACAGGTAGTAAGACCAGCACAACGTCCCGGTGCTGTGCGAAATACTGAAGACGATGAAAATACCGGGGCAGACGGTGTGATCGATCGCAATCGCAATCGCAATGGAGATGGTGATTTTGACAGTGAAAATCGCCGAAACCGTAACAATGTTCCAAATCGAAAGAGACCATTCGATCGAAATGATGACGAAAACTTCGACGACGATACGACTGACCGACGAAATCGATTTCCAGACCGATCAAAAAACCGAGGTAACAATACACCAGATCGAAGAAAGCCATTCAATCGCGATGACGGCGATGATGATGATTCGGACGAGCTACAGCCATCAAAAGATCGCAAACGAAAGAACGGAAAGAAAGATAAACATATGAAAAAACACAAACATGGGAAAGATCATCCTGCTTGCCGAAAACACGGAAAACGCCATCCTGGTTGCAAACATGCGCGAAAACATCATCATCATCATCACCACGACCATAAACGTCATCGTCACCGAAAACCAAACGGTGGCAAAGATGATTTCAGTGACGAAGAACACGATGAAGGATTCGGTAGCAGGAATAAAGGCCGCGGAAAGGATAAAAAAGATCGTAATAACGAAAATCCACGCCGTCGACCTGATACATCTGATCGAAATCAAAACGAGGAAGATGTCGATGATTCAAATTCAAATATCATCAATCGAAATGATGCCTAAGACGTCATTGATATCTTCTATGAAAAAAAAAACAAACTTTCCTGTCCTTTTTATTATGTAAACATCAAATTGCCAACAATGTCAATTTAAAATAAAAATCTTAGTCGAAAAAAAAGACCTTTTTTTAGATACACTCATTATTCCATGTTCTCCGACAATGCTGTTGATTGTTTAGGTCGCGTAGATTTGCTTTTAGCATGTTGAGTCCTTCAGTGAAGAGATTATTGAAATCGTAATCTTTGTTTGTTTGGCGATGATCTTTAAGGATAGAATCGAAATTCGATTTGTGCTGACGAACGTGCTGAGAAGTTTGGTCAAAAAGATTCTGAAATTGACGCTTGATTCCGACTAAAGACTCGTCGAATTCTTCGAGAATCTTGTTTGTATCAAAAGCAAATTTCGAAAAACCGTTATCACCATATTTCCTATATGATTGAAACGATTCATGGCCTTGAGAATCATATAATTGACGCTTATCCGGATCACTCAATACATCATATGCTTCGGTAATTGTTTGAAACATCGTTGCAGCTTTCGGATCTTTATTCTTATCCGGATGATATTTCAACGCTAAAATTCAAGATGAATTTTTCAAGTCGAAAAAGAACTTCTCCTACCAAGTTTATGGAAATGTCGTTTAATTTCTCGTTCACTTGCATTTCGTTTCACGCCTAAGATTTGATAATAATCCTTCGCTACACTTTGAACAACGCATGTAATCAACACAAGAAGAAACAACCATTGAGTACACAGATTCATATTTCGTACTTGCATTGTTGTCGATCAATTGACGTATAAACAGGTAATTAACGTTTCACATATTTATACTCCAAACTTATTATCTATTCATTATTCATCATCTACCAACAAACAAAAAATATGATAATGATTGGTTCGTCAGCGATTCATCAAAAGATGGAGTTTAGCGTGATTTTAATGAAATAGATCTGAATACAATTACTACAAACAACAACGAAAAGGAGAGGTTTGGATAGTCAAGACAGCATCTATAACGGTTGATTTAAGATTTCCTCAGCTAATTTTGTACCTTGGATTCTTGCTCGTATCTTGTCGTAACACTTTTCTCTCGATATCGATTCGCTGTCATTGTATGGAGCAAAGCCACAGTCATCAGTAGTGCCTAATTGATCGATTGGAATGTATTTCGCCGCTTTGAGAATCAAATCTCTGATTTCTTCAGCCGTTTCAACATGTCCATTGGTTGGATCAGTGACGCCGATGAAAACACGGTGGTGTGGTTGGATCAATTTACTGATCAGCGATAGAATCTTGTCTGGATCTTGGTCCGATGATAATCGTAAATAAAAGTTATTCAGATGTAGTTGAAAAACTTGTTCTAAAACTTCCGAATAATCGATACCAGGAGATTGAACGTTGTCAGCTTTATTATCTATATTTTAATTGAACAGCGAAAGTGAAGAAAATGAAAGAGGAGAAACTCACCGGAACAAACGTGTACTCCGATTTTCTTTTGTTCTTCTCGACTGAAACGATTCAGTAATCGATTATTGATCTCGATGAATTCTTTCAGCAAATTTGCATTTTGTTTCATTTTCAGAGTCAATTCAGTTTTCGCAAAGTCCAATTGAACTTTATCGGCGCCTGCTTCCAAACATTGGCGAACATCTTTTTCAGCTTCATTGATTAAATCATCGAGAAACTCTTCTCTCGAATACTGATCAATGCTTTCAGTCATATAGAGAATTGATAAGGCCGATGGAGCTATGACAGCTTGTTTTAATGGATGTTTCGTATACTTCTGTGCTGTACGGAGATATTCAACTGCAAAGGTGCTGTAGCGAAATGGTGCATCGATAAGTTTAGGAACTGATCGCTGATGACCATGAATATCGATGATGGTTGGAAGATTTCTTTCGTCGAAAGAAAATTTATATTGAACCAAAGCATAAATCTATGTGAAGATTGTTGATTTGTTTCATAGAAATACAAAGATTACTTACTGGATAATTGAAAAACGATGGTTTGGTCAATTCACCATCGGTAAGTTGTACGGAACCAGTACGTTGTAGCTCGAAAAGAACATTTTGTAAATCTTTTTCTTGTAAAAGTGCTAACTGATCTGTTGTTAATTCTCCATCTCGCCATGTTCGTTGTGCTTCGACTAGTTCAACTGAACGAGGAATAGAACCGATTAATTCGCTCGGAATTGTTACCTAAACTTATTATAACAAATACCTATACGTCTTATAATTCCATATTTACCCAATCTTTTTGCAATTCAGCCATATGATCAGGACATACTATATTGAGAACTGGAAAATGGATAATATTTCAGAGGAATGAGCTTATGAAAGTTTTTTTTTGCGATCATCAACTGGAAAATCGCCCATCCGTTATCATTGATGGAAATTCGTTTCCTATTCATTTGTTCCACTCACGATTTCTATTTTTAACAATATCAGCATTCCACATTTAGAAGTGTGGAAAAGGGTAATTCTCTTGTTTACTGATTGACTTTCAATATGACTTAGGAAGATCATACCGTCGAACAACGAAGAAACTCTGAGTACTCAGTGACATCTATCGTGCACTGATTGTCAAAATGATGATCGAGATAGTTACTCTCAAACTGTTCGTGCACAAGCAAGATCGATCGATTTCGAGAAATACGATGGCCGAATATAATACCGATAAACATATGATTGGTTCGAACGCATAATAGCAAAGCACCTTTTATCTTTTGACAGCAAAGGATTCTATAAACCTTGTTTTTCTCTCGTAAACTTAAAATAAAATATTGTCCATCATGAGTCTCAATGAATATCGTCTCACCGCTGATTTTCTCCATGGATCAGCAATCTTGTTACTATTTTATCATATCTTGAAGTCTCGATCGTGCTATTCAGTGTCTGGTACGACAGTCATGCTCTATACTATCACATTTACGTGTCGATATTTGGATTTATATCCATTCGATTGGCATTTCTTCGAAGGTTTTTCTGTTTTTACATACAATTCTATCTACAAGATCTTTTATCTCGCATCTCATTATCTCATTCTTATCCTTATCTACGGTATCTTTCGGAATACTCGTGATAGATCAATCAATACATTCCCAATATTCGGGTATCTCATTTGTGCTGATTTACTCACATGGAGTACATGCTATATGGAGAATATTCAACAGCTGGATCGGGAATTTTTCTGGCGATTTTCGATCTTTTTGGAAATGTTCGCAATCATTCCTCAAATGACTCTCATACATAAGCAAGGTGTTATTAGTACGATGATGTCACGTTATTTGATGATGCTGGGATCTTATCGGGCACTGTACATTGCTAATTGGATTTTTCGTTATTGTAATGAGCAATTCTGGGAGCCAATTGCTTTCTCTTGTGGCTGCGTTCAAACAATGATCTATTTGTGCTTCTTTATTCATGTTTATCCACGGTTAAACAAGGCGAAATCTTGTGAAACGATGGAGATCGTCAAAGAAAAGATCAGTGATATCAGTTTAAGCGTGAACGAAAAGATGGATCGAGATGTGCCTCTAATTCATGACGTCTAAAACGATCGCTTTCAATGTTGTGTAGCGTTTTTATTATAAAAAAATATATTATGAATTTTTGATTTCACCAATATTACTATACACAGTTTACCTACAGACGATGTTCATAATCCAGTCAGGCTGATGTTCTGGTCGTTGAGTTTTCGTATTAGAATGTACGTGTACAACAATACGACTCGTGTTCATTGGTAAGTGAAAGGCACGTGCTAACGGACCATTGTCGCAGAGACTATGCTTTAGCACGCGATCACGCAGAGCGATGGTTTTCTCGTCTTGAAAAAAAGGTCCGTGAGAGAAAAGAACGCCGTATGCATTGCGTAGATTGTACGGTTTATCGTTGAGTGTACCGTAGAGTTGGGGAGTTAAGATTTTGTCCTGTACGATACGATCGTCTTCGCATTCGGCATTGCCCAAGCATTCTCTCTCTAATCGTTCGAATACTTGTAGGCGAAAAGTTGTGGAGAATGTTTCCATACCGTTTGGTGCAACAGAGAAAACTAAAGGTAATGGAGACGCAACCGTTGCGAAACTAAGACCACGTATTTTAGGCATATTGAAAACATATCCAACGGATTGACCGAGACCAAGAATAATCCATAGAATAGCGATGATACTGCTGAATGTATACCGTTGCTTGTAAGCCTGTCGTGTTTTTTGTTTGTCTGATAGAAGTACATCACGACCAGCAATCATTTCCCATACTCGATTTTCTACTTCAGGTGCAAAGCCCGTTGGTCGATCCATTCGATCTGGATTCTCAAACGTGCCACCGAGAATATCCCATATTGGTAGGTCACCATAGTTTTTACTATGATCACGTTTATTACGTAAATGATGAATACGATGAGATTCTGGTCGTTGAAAAATGTAACCAAGCCATCTGGGTGTTCGAATATTCATATGATAAACATACTCACCAAATGCAGCCAATGCTGCTAACCAAACACTCGAATCACGAGAGAGGCCAAGCACGGGATACAATAAGACGGTCATAATGATCGAATCGATGAGAATTTCTTGTGGTGCTTTGTAAAACGACGTAATTGCTTCGATACGCTGCGCACTGTGATGTAATTGATGAAACCACAACCACAGAAAGTACACATTATGTCGAGCACGATGGAACCAGTAGAATACCCATGTGTGAATCAGGTAAGCAATAATACCACCCACCATCGGTGAAACATAGTATCGTAGTTGAAATAGGTGTGCATCGGGCAGCCAAGTTTCCCATGTATAAGTACCAACAACAACGATTATTAATTGGTATATATTGATCAATAGCACACGTTTCCACCAGCCAGGTACGTATACCAATGGTTGATCTGGAAACAGACGTTCAAGTATCATAAGACATGCAAGTCCTAGAACAATAATTGATAATCCGACGAGCATTTTTCTATGCGTTCGATTGGAATATGAGAAACGATATAACTTTTATCTAAGAATATAAATAAATCATACTAGCGTCACGGATTTTCGAACTTACAGTCGTAATGAGCAATAACAGTAAGTTTGACACACATTCATAATGCGTTTCATCATGTTTTTCTTCTATACTCTGCTTCGTGGCAAATATGATGTTAAAATGAGTCATCTCGATGTGTCATTTTGTTTTTCTTTCTCCAAATCAAGTATATTTTGCTGTTACTATACTCGCGTTTTCCCTTCATTTACTGTACATATGACAACGTCAATAGCATCAACAACGTGTACAAGATGGTACACGTTGCGTCAATTACAAATCTTTCAATTTTGCTTTGGCGCTTATCTAACAATTCATTTTGCACAATTAGTACCTTATGCCACAGAACTATTTGGTCGAACTGGTATGATCGCCGACCCTCAATGGAGTCCTACATATAATTATTTTCCAAGTATTCTCATTTGGATAGATCACTCGACAACATTATTAAGTGTATTTTTATTTTCATTATCGCTTTTATCTATTGTATTTGCTTTACGTTTATTCGCTCCACGTTGTATTGCTCTTTTACTTTGGTATGGCTGGGCGTGTCTTTTCAATCGAAATGTTTTAATATCGAATCCAGGCATTCCTTACATTGGCCTTCTTTTACTAGCATTTAGTCTCATTAAAATCAAGAAGCGTCAAAAAGATGACAAGGACGATGAACAACTCGAACTCAGTACTCAAGTTTTTCCATGGTTATATTGGGGTGCATGGACTTTGTATGCATTAGGTTACACAATAAGTGGTTTGCACAAATTGCAATCCCCAAGTTGGATCGATGGTAGTGCATTACATCATGTTCTACGATCTCCTCTATCACGCGATAATGCTCTATGCCATTTTCTACTCAATACTAATCCATTGATATTGCAAGTGTCGACTTGGGCATCCCTATTTGCCGAAATCACATTTCTACCTCTTGGACTTTTCTATCATACACGGAAAGCATATTGGCTCGCGTTTCTTGCACTTCATCTCGGGGTGCTCATGGTTGTTAATTTTACTGATTTAACATTCGGTATTCTAGCCATGCACTTCTTTCTGTTCGATCCACGATGGTTTTTTTCGATTAATATTTCCTCCGCACATACCAAACTAGAATAACTCATTTCGCAGGATTACTTATATTTTATTATTTTTATAAGACGAAATATATCGAAATACAGTGATTTATTTTGAAACGGATCTCTGCTGATGTACTCTTCTCTCTTCTTCTATCATTGCATGTTGAGCAACCGCGGTCATTCCTGGACTGATATTCAGTACGTAAGACAGAATTTCTTTTGGATGATTTGTGAAATCGATCATTGCTTTGATGAACATCGTATCATTGCGAACATATGCATTGTTTCCTTGTTGAAGAATCCGTAAAGGAACAAATTTGATAAAACCAATAGGAGTATTTTTTTCACTTTGAGGTCGTTGATAACTACTAGATGATAAATCTGGTTCAAGAACGTCAAAGATATGTTGTTGTTTGCCAGTTTGATCGATTAAACAAAATATCATTTTGAAACAGAATGGAAATGTTAAAATCGAATCATATTCGCCACGCATTAAAACGAAATATAACGACATGTGAGTATGTTGAGCACTATCATTCCCATTAGGATGCAGACAGAGACATATTTTGTAACCAGTTGGTGATGAATAGAAAACTGGAGACAAAATTGATGGTTGTACATTTGACTTTGCATCTTCTAAACAATGGCGGATTTTGGAGCGTTATATTATGAAATTCACTTACCTATTTTTTGCTTAACATCAGTTATTCTCCATATCAACGTTCCATCGGACGACGGTGATTTCATATCATGGAGTTTTTGCTGGATTGACACGATGTCACATTGGGAAATCTGTTGATCGTTTACTAACTTCTGGAGGAAAACAAACTCTTCTTCGACAGATTTTCGAGAAACTGACAAATCTTGAAGTAATGCTTCCAGATTGCGTTCATTTTCTCTACATTCATTTCTTAAATGCCCTTGATCTTCATTTGCTTGCTGAATAACAGTCGACAAGACGTCCAGACTTTCTTCGAGTTCATTTCTTCTAACGATACTGTTCGATGATTGAAATTCTCGTGAAGGAACAACATTGATCAAAATCCTCTGATGCCTTCCGGTTGAATAATGCTTAGAAAGATCTGTACGACGAATCTAAATGAAAACATTTCCATTGAAAATGATTGATGCAAGAATTTCTTCGACGTACGTTATCTTCACATCCGAATACTTCCAAAGGGCAATGCACAAGAACTTCTGGACATTGGTAGGATACATGCTCGTTCAGATCGATGACCGATGGATATGTCGCGTGACAAAACTCACACATTGGGTTCGGATGTTTTTCACCAAGATGAGCCTTTGAATAACGAATTCTAATAGATGTTTTTTCAAGAGAAAATAGAATATTACTTCGTAGTTTTTCAACGGACCATTCCAACCGCAGAGTGCACAACAGACAGTTAGACTCTGCATATCATTTCTACACCCTCGGTCAGGTTTCACCTAAGAAAAAAGAACACAGAGTTCTATCAACAAACAATGAATTCATCCTTACTTTACTTCGAAGAGTTTTCTCATTGCATTGCGGACAAACGATCGATTCTCTGTGAATAAAAAAGAACTCGAATACGGATAACAATGAGTAGAAAATAACTGACCCTGGTTGATTATTTACACACGATTGGCACAGACGATGAGCACATTCAATCAATTGTGCAGGATTACGTAACAAAAATGAACAACAAGAACATTTGTACGAAGAATCGATTGAACCAAGGTTTTGAATCTTATAACCCACCATTTATGTTGATTATCTAAAAGTAAAGAAGTCACAATGTTTTTTGCATTATGTTATCACGAACGTTTTTTTTTTCAAGTTCAGGATAAAGTTGCTTTTTCCGGTTCCTCTTCTGTTTATATACCATTTAGTATCCATTACTATATGTAGAGATGCTCTCGATGACCCATGATTCATGATGACCAGGTACTTTATTAGTAACTATCTCTGCAAATTACGCTTTGAAATTCACTATACCAATGAGAGACACTGACGTCAGCAGATCGTTTGTAACAACAGTTCATATAAAATACCATGCATCTTCATCAAGAGGTGAATACATAACAGTTAAGAACATTCTAGTATGACTAGTCAAATACGTCAAATAACAACAGAAAAAGAAATAGATGCAAGGTGTTGCTCCAGGTAAATGACATATGATTCATACACCCCCTCCTTCTAGATTCATCGATTGCATTCCATACAAAAGCCTTCATAGTAACGGGTTAATTGTTGCTCAGTCGATAATGTAATATGACAGATGTCGACTTTATACATTCAAATTCGACTCCGGTTAGATTATTTTTTCGATTAGTAAAAATAAAATATTTAAGTTCAAAAGATTGAAACATATATAACTAAAGGAAAATGATTTCAGAGTTGTAATTGGCTGATCGCTATACGGTATGTATTGCAACTCGACCCGACAGATGACGCAGAAAGCATCTGTCTTTTCTTCATTTTCAAAATATCTTCTCGATTACATGCAGCAAAAGAAATCGACTGTTTCCAATATGAAGACATCATTCGCACATGAAAAAATGGAGAGCAAACCGTCATGATCTGTCATTGCCTTGAAGTTTCATCAACTGACACCTTTGTACTATAAAATGCTAGGAGTAAAAGTTGCTGCATTAGAAAGACAAATGGTCATCTTACCTCTGTCATATGATCATTCTCTTAATCATTTCGACATTCGCAATTTAGGACAGATTATTAATAAATTATGTTTATATTTTTGTATCAAAATAAACGAGAAATACATTAGAACTAAACGGAACATTAGCAGAAATGACCACACTCGCCATAGTAAACACACTAGAGAAATCAATACACATGTGCACGAGAAAGCAAAAATATATGTATATTGGATATTTTCTCTTCGTGTGGAGATAGATCACTTAGGCCACGATTAGAGTTAATCATCAAAGCTATCATCACCATCACTTTCATTTAAGTCAGCTCGACTTATTCCTTGTCGAACTTGTTCTTCGCGATAAGATTCCAAGCTAGCTTGTTTAGCTCGTTTCAGATCTTCATCATCATCGTCATCATCATTATGATGAATATCAGTCGAAGCGTCTCCGCTTAAGTCCGACGAAATTGCTTGTTGATTGAAAATATGACGATTACGACGTCTTTTTCGTATGTGTTTCACTAATCGATATGTTCCATAAGTTGGCGCTGCAATGGTTGTCCCCACAGCTAATAATGCTACTGCACCGACAGCTGCGACAGGAGCAGCTAACGTTGCAGCACCAGCCACTAATCCACGAACTGTATAACGTACAACTGGCTTATCTGGATAGAAATTATATTTACATCCTACAAGTAAACATCGGCAGTATGACAGTACATTGATTTTTATGACAAAACAGAGAAATTCCTACCGAAAGGCGATAATCGACTTTCATGTGAACCGAGAAATTTCAGGCCGAATCTGCGTTTACCGCAATTATAACAAAAATCACAATGGCATTTGGAACAAACCATGTGTGGGCAACCACCATTACGCGATATGAATACCTAGAAAGACATGCCATAGATTTTTCGAAAATATATTCACGAATGATTCGTTTCGACTAACTTTGCATCGCGGACATTGCTGAGCATTTTGTTGATTATTATTTGTTTGCGATGCCCATGCTCGAAGTAGTTTTTCTCCTTCCCGATATTCTTTGCAGTTCATTCGTTCATGCCAAGGTGCATGACAGTAAAAACACCAGTTGAATTGACATTCATCACATACTACATGTCGGGGAATGGTCTTCTTCCATCGAATACCTTCAACTAGATTTTTATCAATTTTTTTGATTGCACAGCATTGGGGACACGTTTTGATATGTGGTTCACGATTGATATCAGCATAGAAGCGTTTATATTTTTCTGCTTTCTCGCCGGATTCGTCTTTTTCCGAGAGTAGAAGAAGAATCTCTTCACGAGTAAATATATGTGAACATGAGGGACATTGAATACGTATTCGTGCTTCATCGATATGTGTAGATATGTAAGAATAAAGACATGTTGAACACACTGACGATGAACAACAAGATAGTGGACGTATGGGTAATTCATCCAGGCAGACTTGACATTCAGCATTGGGCAATACTGTTGCAGGCGGTTCATCTAACGATGCAAGTGAATCACGGGGCACTAAAATAAATGATTAACGTCTTTTTTTTGTTACTGAAAGACTTGTGTTGCTTCACTTACTCAATCGTCGCAATGTATGAAAACGTTCTTGCACCTGCGTCAATCCTTCATTCGTATCATCGATGCTGCTTGCGTCTTCGTCATCGTTTCGTCGAACCGAAAATGAATTTAACGAACTCAAGGAGGATGATCGACTAGTAGAAGTTGATGAATTCGATGAGCGACGACGCTCTTTGACTTTGGAAGTCAACGAATTTATTTGAAGTTGCATGGAATCTATGTGGACAGGTGTATCTAATGCTGATGCCTCAGCTGCAACGAGACGAATTGGTGGGGTGAGATTCGATGTTGGAGGAGATTCTGACATTTTTCAAAACTTTATTTTGTTCGACTACAATAAAGAAGAAAAATTGTTCTATTAACACAATACAAAGATCTTTTGATTTCAAAATGAAACAGCTTTTAAATGTCATCTGTCTGAGGTCCGTACTGAGTAATAAATAGAGAGGAAGAGAATGTGTGTCTGTTGAATTTTTCATCGTTTTGCTTGTTTTATGATCAAGGTAGAAGAAAAAAATACAAACATCGATTGAGTAGGTTGATAGAAAAAAAAGAAATACGAAAAAAACACGAACAGAGAAAAGAGAACGAACCGGTTAAATTAATGTACAGAAATATACATTATTTAATCAACAAGATTCAATGCGAGAGAAACTACTCGCAATAATTTACCTATGATTCGAAAGATATGTGAAGCGATGTCCATGCAACTGTTTAAATAGTCATAATAATCTTAAATGGAAGAAAAGACTCGTTTCAAGCGCAAACGGACCGGTCAAGAAACATATTTTTAATTAAAATCTCCTATTATTCAGTTGCACAGCCTACGTTATACGATTTGTCGGAGAAATGAGAACACCGAATCATACATTCATACTACATAATGAGTCAAAGTCGGTAGGAATTGCACCAGTCACTCACACTTATGACAAATTGTTACATATGATGTTTGGGAAGGAAGAAAGAAATGATTCATGTATTCCAACGTAAAAAATGTATTGATTCACAACAGCAATCAGATACTCTGTACAGCAGATGTCACCACAAGACAATCTGTAGATTTGAAGAAACGAAAGCCGATTAGATGAGGAGAAATGTGTTGAATGAGATGCTCGCGGAGTAGTCTTATATAAGAAGGGGAGGACAGGCGATTGAATGTGAACAATACAGAACAATGCTTTGTTTACGAGAAGATTTACAATTGTATCGATAGTGTACAAATTGTAGACAGATGAATATGGCTCGATTGCCGATATATTTATTTGTTCTTCTCTGTCTTTAGAGCAGACATAAGCATACAGCAAAAATTAAAAGTTTTTACAACAAGTATTCGCATTAACCATACTAAAAATCCTCCTAATAATGTCATCCCAACTGTTGCGAAAGTATAGCAATAGTTATACAACCACGGATGACAATACGAGTTTGTATCGGATAAATTGTTCGATTGGTATTCAACAGACTTTGTACGCAATACAGATATTATCTAGATAAACCATTCATGAAATACATGTATACAAATCATTTGTTTGCATTACTTACAAATAATGTCAAGATAACACCGCTAATAGCATTGATAGTAACTACTATAAATGCATATATGAGATAATACATATGAGTACCTGAATCATCGACTGTTTTGTAGGATATGACGATCTTAGAGAATACATATAACGTGGAGAAAATTGTGGAGAAATATGTGAGACTTACTAGAATCGATGCAATCGTACTACATATCAATCCTACGACTCCGAAAATCTGTAAACTACGTGGCAAGAGTGGTTCAAATGGACATTCATCGTATTTCGTGTAGCCCAGAAATAGAGAACTAATTGGTATGCCGATCAATATGCCGAAAAGCACAATGAACACAAGACTAACTAGCAAACACTTTCTCAAAAATTTGAAAAGAGACCTCATCGTATGTGTGAAAGCTGTGCGGACTTTTCATTATAAGGTAAAGACCGCCGACGTGGCGTTTCGTCGTAGCAGTGACAAAATGTTGATGTGATGTAAATAATCCGTGATTCACAATGACTCATATGTACTGAAATTTGGACTTTATCTCTAAGATCGATTCATAGCATCGAAAAACTCAGTACGCTAGTCAATCAAGGTTCTTTTCTATGACGTTCGATGAATGATTCGGTTTCTTCTTTCTCTGAACGCTTCATATCAAATTTAAAGAAAAACCGTTATTGAAAATATTTAGTTTTGGTCACATTCATGTAAATAAGATTTGAGTACCGCTTCGCTGTAGTACTTCAAGGCGGTTGTTTTTGATATTGCTGCTATTTGCAAGACCCGCTGCGCATCTTGTCTTGATTCGTAATTGCACGTTGCGCGTTGCCAAAGTCTCAGCATCTCTTGATTCCATTCTGGTTTGATAGAAAGCAGAAGTTCTAAACCTTGATTTACCGTTCGAGAAAAATCCGGACAGTGTGGCGGATGATCATCATTTCGTAAAAGACGATACGGAAAGAATGCATCTTGATATTTGAGGACATTCGATAAATTGGTATTTTCACGAGCCATACCGATGAAATCGACTAGATGTGCCCATCCTACTCCAAAACGTTGCTCGGTAACTGATGGTAACAAAGGTATTTTCGAAGCAATCATTGGGAGAGCATATCGAATCGAAGCTCGATGAGCTGACCACATTGGAGCTAAATAGCATCGATCCATAATACGATTATCAAATGAATTACTTTGACAATAATTCGCCTGGCGTAGATTGGTGAAAAAGGTACGCCACAGAGTCATTGCTTCAGGAATTTCACGAAAGCATTCCGAAGAACTCGAGCAGAAATTTTCACGTTGAACAAGTTCAAATGAATCCTGTTGAATAACACCGGCATCGACAGCAGCAAGAAAAGGAATAACTGATAGATAATAATTCGCAGCGCCCCACCAACTATCCGTGGAGATTTTTCTACTTCCATTGGAAAATAATCGATTTGAATCAAATTGCCATCCGAATTGAGAAGGCAGACCAAAGAGAATATTAGAAACATTCGACGATGAACAAAATGGCATTAATGGTGTTGTTGTTATTATCAAAATTTTATACAGACCCAGTCGATCAATGTACAACCATGGGTCAATTAATCGAGTTAAATCTTGCTTGACTGATCGATTAGAGGCAAGCGGATAACCAGAAATTGATGAAGGAGCTTCATCCCAAAATGTTGGTAGACGTTCATTTGGATTTGAACCATTTAATGATGGAATAATCAGAGCAAGTGCGAGCAAAATCAAGACAGGTGTAGTTGTCATTATTTAACTGATGTAAAATGAGGACTAGATTCATTGAAAGTACATATCTTTTTTCGTCATATCATGCTGTTCTGATGATAACGAAATCAGTTTGTTGACGCATGGTATTTTGAATACAAAGATATTCTTTACTTCGCTAATTTTCGTAACCGATATTTTTCTATTAATAGTTCTACTTATTTTCGAAGTAGAAGCGCCAGATTATACCTTGCTCCAAATGATACAAAGTGCTACATTTAAAAGATGAAAATCAATCTCGGACGACTCACATACAATGATTCTAGAAGTTCTATAAATAAACTCAAAACGTCGAAAATGAGTTAATCACAAAAGTGCCCCCATTTACCCCTAAACAGTACGTTGAGATAGGCAGCATCTTACATTGATCTCTCAGTTTATCAATTTTCAGTCATATCGGCGCAATGACTTCACAAAGCAAGTAATTCAACGATGAATATTTGTTGGATTAGAAGAAGCGAAATATTCGAATATAACTTTACGTATGAGAAAAACCAGATGTCATTTATTACTGAAATATCACCGAGTCACAAGTAACAGGCTAGATGATATCATCATTCGAACAACAAACTACCATCGATTCACTGGTAGTATTGTTTTAGTCTTTTTCCATTTCGGATCTATCTGAGTTACGAAAGGATCCTTGGCTAATGCGTCAATCAGTTCTTGCTCCGTATGTATTGTCAATGATCGTGCGTGCAGCATGATTCGATGTGGTTTATAATCAATTGGATCTGTATAAAGATAATCACCAATGATTGGATGACCCAAGTATTTCATATGTAATCGAATTTGATGGCGTTTGCCTGTTAAAATTCGAACTAAAACTTTCGATGCTGGCTTGCCATCATAATCTCCATGTTCTAAAACATCGACATGTGATTGAGCAGGTTTAGCAGCTGTACAATGCGGATGATCGTCCGTACACATAATTCGACCGTAACACGAAGCATTTTCTCCAATAGGAACGTTGACGAAAATTGAATATGGAGCATGAAGATGACCGTGAACAAGTGCGAGATAATACTTCAAAACACGTTTGTCAATAAATGCTTTGTAAGTTAGGTAGCTGGCGCTTGCTGAACGAGCATAACACATGCAGCCACTGGTTCCTTAAGAAATCGATAGATTGGATTTATTTCAGATCTTTCGAAAAAGGTAATTTACCTAAATCAAGCCGATGACAATATCGAATATCCTCGACTTTTTGTGCTAAGCTTTTGCTCCATTGCTCTGCTTGCTCTTCAGTCGCTGGTGGATCTTGTTTCAGAAATCTTTCCGTTTCACGTTTATGAAACCATTTCTTCACTTGTTGTGTGACATTGACTTGAGCGGGTGCATCGAACGAATCGATCGGCACGAGATCGTCTTTATTTACAACGAAATAATTCTTAGATTCGTAGACTATTTGAATATCATCGGCTGACGTTGGATATCGATAATGATCGGATCGCTGTGGACGATACCGTTGTAGAATGACGGAATACCATGGTGCACCGAAATAACAAAGACGAGAAAAAGTAGCACATGTGCCACTGACATCAATACCAAGCAAATTCATTTCTAGAAAAGTTCATTTCTATTAGCCGATGGTAATGGATTGTATTAGATAAAAAGAAGAATTTTCAAAACAAGATTGTTAGATGAGCCTAACGAGTACTGAACTTTATTCCAATGATTTCGTATCGATATCACATTCTGTGTCCAATCAAATGACAGAAACTAGAGAATGAAATGGAAGTGATGGACAAAAGATGCCACTATCTAACAAAGATATCAATGACTGTTGGACAGAGAGCACAAAGGATATGAAAGACGAGTTCAGCACTGTTTGATCAGTTTTTATCGAAATCTTTTCGGATAATCGCAACTATATGATCAATTACTTGTGTTTTGCTTCCTGCTGATTGCATATGATTCGTTCCAGGAATAGGTTTGGGTATTTGTGCGGGCGCATCTGACGGATTTGTATAATCATCTAAAGAAAACTTTGAATGAGATTATGTTCCAGTAAACCACTAGTCATCATTGAAACATGGTCGATGTAAGAATGAGACTGATGTGTTACATTCGCTTTTGGTCCATTAACAAGATGATGGATTGCCGGTTTTGTGTTCTCGTCCTTTTTGTTCATATCGTGATATAGTACGCGTCTTAGGTAACCATCATCCTTCCAGATGAGAAGAGAACATGTTTTTATGAATGATACTGTCCAATACAACACACTTACGATATCAGGTGGCCACAATCGTGATCCTTGGAGGATGAACCTTTATAAATAAAAGGCTACATTGATTATTTAATGCAAAATAAAATGGAAAACTCACTTAGTTTCAACTTCGAACATGTAAATAGTATTCTTGAGAACGGATCCGATGGTTGCATTCATCGAGTTTCATCTGAAACCGACTAGAACCTTCATAAACGACAGTCGAATACAGTCACAGGATTTTTACATTGGACTCTGAGCATTTTCCAACCAGGAAATAAGGAGTTTTCTGCAGGTTTTCGTTGGAAATTAGCGGAATACTGCTTCAGGAAGCATCGTCCTGTGGATCATTTTCTGATTGGTTCAAAATGAACCAATCCAATTAAATACTTTATTTTATCTGATAATCAACAAATAAAGATAATTAATCGAAAAATATCTGGTAAAATTTATTTTTTATCAATAAAAATCAGGACTCAAAGAAAATAACTTGATAATAGGGGTCGCCTTGGTGACTTGTTTATTTATGTTTATTTGAAGTGAAAGCCAGACTAAGGAAAAGTTGTCTTTAGTATTACAGATGTTCACGAAGATTTCTCGTCCTTTAATACCGAGTGGAACTTCACCGTTGTCACTCGCTTTTCGACCATTATCAATTTCAAACCTTTTATTACAAAAATCATCAGCAAAAACAGGTATTCATCGTTTGTATCCACGTTTCCCTTATTTGTATTTTCGTGCATTCGTTTAGATGATAAATCATTAGTCGAAAAGAAAAGCAACGAGAAAGTGCTACGCGTTGAAGATTCATTAAAAGATTTATCATCAGTTAAATGGCGAACAGAATTCAACGGCAAACGTCTATGGCCCCATGATCAATGGCCAGAGCGTGATTTAGTCAACTATCCACCATATAAACTTCGCGAAGCACCAAATCCAGTTCGTTGGTATTGTGTACCTGAATCATGGTTCAAGTTTTTCTATGAAAAAACCGGTGTTACTGGACCATACATGTTCTTCTATGGTTTACTTGTATATGGATTTAGTAAAGAATACATCGTTTTGTGGTACGATTTTACTGAATATTTAATTTTGGCCGCAGCTGTCATCACAGTTGTTAAGAAGTAATCTAATGATATTATTTGCACGGAGAAAGTATTGTAATTCCTGTCGATTTTGATTCTAGAATCGGTCCAATGGTCGGTGATGTTTTCCGTGGTTGGCATCAAGCAGAAGTCGATCGTTATACTTCTGTCGTTAATAATTCAAAAGCTATGGCTGGTAAAATGTTACATGGCTACGAGGAATCATTGGAACGAGCTCGTCATATTGGCAAATTAGGTGACGCTCGTAAGGAAATCGTCGACATGGCCTTGGAAACAGCCTATCGTGAACGAATGAAACAGATGTACGATGCTGTTAAACGACGATTAGATTATCAAGTTGCTCTTCAAAATGCCCGTAAGGATTTCGAAAGAACGAATATGATCAATTGGATAACAAGTGAAGTAAAGAAGTCCATCACAGCTAAACAAGAACAGGATGCATTACAAGCCTGTCTCGCCCAACTCAGACAAATGGCATCTGGATCACGATAGATTTATTTATATTGTCAAAGACAATCATCCAAAAGATTTTGCGTTCTTTTCTCTGTCTTTTTCATCTTGTCCTCTAACCCCTTGTCCGAAGTTTAGAAAATAAACATAAACGCTCTCTACTTTTTAAACAAATCATGCCAGCAACTTCTAACATCCATGTGGTATCAACCTGTGACCTTGGACTGAGATATGTGTAGATTAATGCCATTGAACTGATATATCTACCCACGCGTTTCATGCAGAAAGTAAGGTCGTTTAGTGGATATCTTTTGACTCTGTATTCTATCGGAATTTTCATTTGACTATTGTTTTGTCGTTGAGAGACACCTACACATAAATCCATCAACTACAATTATCTATCGTATCACATGCATACGAAAGAAGATACTTAAATGAATAAGTCAGAAATGGCGCATGTCCTAAGGAGAAAACAACACAAAGCAGTGTGAACGAAAAAAAATCGATTTCATGCTAATGGTTTCTCTTTCCTATTACTTTTTATTGGTGTGTTCTACTAGAAGATCAAAAGCATCGATTTTTTCCTTCTGTTCTTCATGTTGTTGCGTATCATGCGTACTCGCTTCTGCTCCAAACAAACTACTGTATAAATATATATGTTGTTTTCTCTTGTTTTTTTTCCTACAGAAATGTATTTACATAATACATCAATGAATTGAATCTTTCAAACATCAAACACTCTTCTAAAACGTATCCAGGTAAGAAAAATATCGTTTTTCAGCGGCGGGAAAATGTACTCGTTGGCTTGTTTTTCACTTACGACTAATATTATGAAGCATCGACGAAAAGCACACGATATCAATGAGAATTATCGTTACTCGCTTGTTTAGCCTTCATCAACGAGGTCAGTCAGAAAAAAAGAGAACGATATAACATAAATGAACCATATCGGTCATTGATCGTCTAAACCAATTGAAGGAGATCAACGTATTTGAGTCCTTGATTACACAAACTGGTTTTCTTTATCGATTATTTGAATATTAACGAAGAATTCTTGTGTTATTTAGTATGTCTCTGCAAGCATTTAGCTCAACCGTGAACACCGTATTCAAACGGTTTGGAACGACAATAGTCAAAACAATCATGATTTATTCGATTGCATTATTCTTCGTTGAATTACCAACATTTTGGCATCTAATGATTAGAATCGGAAAAAGTAGTCAAAGATTTAAGAAACAACATAGATTACGCGCAAAAATAATCGATCCTTCGGACTCTTCAGCGCCCTATCGTGCTATTGAGGTATTAGATGGTCTTCGTACGACACCACACGATCGTGTGAATACTCTGGCGGATATTCCTGACCATGCACTGGAAAATTTCCCTGATAAGGAAACGCAAGGTGTTCGCGAGATTCTCGCTGTTGAAGATGAGAAACAACCGAATGGCAAAATATTTAAAAAGGTTGGACTTTATCTTTTCTAAATCAGATATATCATCTGTGTTTTAGTTCATCTTGGGTAATTACAAATTTACTACCTATCGTGAAACATGCGATCGAATCGAGGCAATCGGCCGCGGTTTGATCTCTCTCGGTGCTAAAGCAGGTGACAAAGTATTAATCTACTCTGAAACACGTCCCGAATGGTTGTTGTCCGCATTTGGTGCTTTTCGTCATGGGATGACTGTTGTGACACTCTATTCAACATTGGGTGACGAGGCTGTTAAACACGGAATTAATGAATCCGGAGTGGAGATTATCATCACATCTTCGGAACTGTTGTCGAAATTAGATGTAAAGATTCAGGAGGTTTTCTTTTGCGTTCTATTTGTGAACTTGATCTGTTTAGAAAACGTTAGATCATACACCGAAAGTTCGTCACGTGATCTATTTTTCTCCACTTGTGAAATCGCAAATGGTCAATATACCTAAAGAGAAGAACAACAAACGATTTTTACCTTTACATCAACTAGAAGATCAAGGGAAAAACGCACCAATTCGTATGTTGTCCTGTCGAAACTTTTCTTTTGTTATTTCGAAGAGAATTTTTCATGTAGCGGAAGAAATTCTACAGAAGCGACCAGCCAAAACGGATATTGCTGTTATTATGTATACAAGTGGTAGTACTGGGACACCGAAAGGTAAGTTTGATTCCAAAGATCATCGTATCGACCTTTACGACACAGATAGACGTAGACAAAAACGAAAAGCGTAATAAATCTACAATTACCTTTAGTCCAAAACACACATCTATACTTTATCAATGATACAAAAAAAGATTGAATTACTTTCGTCTTATTGACACGTTTACACGTCTGAGGAGTTAATTAAGCGAATGAATGAAATCTGTTTTGATTAGGTGTATTGATCACACATGAAAATATCATAGCAGCAATGACTGGTCAAAAGGAGCGTGTTTTTTCGATGGTTGATGTTGAAAATGATATTTATATTGCTTATCTTCCATTGGCACATATTCTTGAACTCTGCTGCGGTAGGTTGTGAATTGAATTGAGAAGAGAATTGCTTCTTTGTCGTTTGAAGAAATTCTTATTTATTATATGGGTGTTAAAATGGGTTATTCATCTCCACAAACATTAACAGATCAATCGACTGCAATTAAACGTGGACACAAAGGAGATTTACAAGTTCTACGGCCGAACATTATGTGTTGTGTACCGGTATGAAAGCGAGATGTTTTACTTGTTTGCTCTAGGATTGTTTTGCATAGACGATTTTGGATCGAATTTACAGAACTGTACTGGAAAAAGTCAATCAGTCTAATGTCTTTCGACGTTATCTGTTTCAATTGGCGTACAAAATCAAAGTCAAGCGTTTAGAAGAAGGTCTCGACAGTTCATACTTGGACAAGTAGAGTTGCTTTGTATGACTGACAACGAATCTTGTTTTATATTTCTTCTATAGATTGATCTTTGCTCGTTTAAATCAAATGATCTTAGGCGGCCGAGTCAAGACTATGATGTGTGGCGGTGCTGTGCTCAGCGGTGAAACTCAACGTTTTGTTCAAGCGGCGCTCTGTGTGACACTTTTTCAAGGTTACGGACTGACAGAAACATGTGCAGCAGCAACGATTGCTGATCGTATGTAGATTCTTTCCAAACTTGCATTACTCAATCTCAAACCGTTCTATTTTCATAAGAATATGATACAACAGTCGGTCGCGCAGGGTATCCACTAGTCTCGTGTGAAATTCGGTTGGCGAATTGGGAGGAAGGACAATATAAAAATACGGATAAGCCACATCCACGAGGTGAAATCCTAATTGGCGGAAAAGTTGTTGCACAAGGATACTATGCTGGCGCCTCAACGGAAAATGTGAATTTCACGGAAATCGATGGAACGAGATATTTTTGTACTGGTGACATTGGAGAAATGTTTCCTGACGGTACATTAAAGATCATCGGTCGGTTCTGCTTTTTATTTTCAAATTCGTGTTAATATAATTGTCTTTTGCCTTTAGATCGAAAGAAAGACCTAGTGAAACTACGTTCTGGCGAATATGTTTCTTTGTCCAAAGTTGAAATGGCTATCAGTAAATTTCCCATTGTTGAAAATTGTTGTCTATGTGCAACAGCATCAGCAGAATACACAGTTGTTTTAATTTCACCGAATTCGAACCAACTGAGCGTAAATATCCCTTCTCATTCATCATATTTTTCAATTTAAAATGCTCATCATTGTAGAGTTATACAGAGAAATATTTTGGTATAAGCGAATGGCAGAGACTAGTTGATAACGATGACTTTAATGAACAAATTCTCAAAGATGTTCAAGATGCCTGTCGAAAAGGTGGCATCGAACGATTTGAAACTCCTCAACGTGTTAAAATAGTACTCGAAGCTTGGACTCCCGAAACAGGCTTGGTCACCGATGCGCTCAAATTGAAACGTAAAGCCATTGATCAAAAGTACAATTCTACCATCGATGCACTTTATGTCGATAAATCGAACCCAGAGTAACAAAATTGATTTAGTTCTACGAATTTTGATTCAGGAAAAATTCTTGCCAGGCTTTTTTTATATTTGATTATTTCAATAATTTTTTTATAGACCTTTATTCCACGGATTTGTTCCTTTTGAATATTTTGACGTGCTTTTTTTTTCTCTGACTAACTAATTACGATTCCCGACTCCGTTGTAAAGAGAAACGATGAAATTTCGTAATTAATCCTAATTAAATAAAAACGAACCATCAAATTCATCGCCTAAAAAGCCTTTCGTTCTGTCGCGAAAATGAAAATTAGATTGTTAAGTAATTCGATTAATATTTATGAATTGATTGAAGACAGTCCTTTCATGAACAATGACAGCGAATTGGATTGATCTTATTAATAATGGAAAAGAAGTGTCCATCAACGGAAAGAAGTCATGCATATGCGGCACCATACTAAGACACTTGTTCATTCTTTATCAATAGCAGCTATTGTCAGTCGACATGAACAGCAACGATACATAATTGTCTCCAGAAGTAACTCACACTCAGTTATTTGATGATCATTTAATGGCATTGAGAAAGAAGAGAGCATTCGTTGCATGAACGAAATTTTCCTATCTATTAGAAATGCAGCTGTTAGATGACCTCTATGTTTTTGTCTGTTCTTCGATTTGGACGGGAATATCGATGTGTATATATATATATATTTAAACGTCTAGAAGACACATGTAAACAAAAAAAAAAGAGAAAGACACGTTTCTGTCGTTCAGTAAGAGAGAGTCAGTTCATCGACCTTCGTAGGTCTATTTAACAAATAAAAAATTCATTTTCGGAAGTCAAGTAAGTGAAATGACAAATCTTATTAAACAAATTTTAATAATTTTGTTTTCCCGTGGAAGAAAATTGATGATTATTTGCACAGGGGAGACGTATGTTTTTTTTTGTTTCTTCTTTCTCGATGTGACCGGAGAGGGAGAGAAAGAGAAAGAGAGAGGGCAGACGGACACACGATGAACGAGCGAACAGGAAGTTAATGCACAATCGTTGGAAGCAGAAACAACGGCGCACAACCATCATCCTTCTACTCATTTCTCTTTTTTCTCCATGCTTTACTATCAACTTCATGTTGAAGACTTGTCATTTTTGTTGTCTCTTCTTCTTCTCTTTGCTTAAAATTACATAATTCAAACAAATTTCCTTTCCAGATAATGTTTGAATAATGTCCTCAGCAGCAACTATTGAAAGTCCATCAAAATCGTCAACGACGAACATACGCTATCATAATAACGGCATAGAGAATGATTCAAGCACGACGCATTCGAATGGTAATGGAGTAACTGCAGTTGTTGTCACGAATCCTTTAGCATCATCGTCATTCTCGTCGACAACATCTCGATATCAATCATCCGTCATGAACAAATACAAAAACTTAGCAGCACCAGACCTAACTCATCCATTAACAAGTCTAAAACAGATGAGCCATGTTCTTACAACTAGTAACGGAACGAATTCTGCACTCGATCCCCATGCTTATCTTGCATCGAAATACGTATGTTCATTTTGATTCTTATAACAGATATCTGATACATTTGAGAGCAACTGTTTTGTGTTGTCGAGCGAAAGATAATCAATGGAAGAGAGTATTGTACCATAAAGTAATAAAAGCAAAACATTGATGCTCTTTTCCCAGCGAGTGAGAATGTGCACATTAGAGTCATTTATTTCGTTTGACTTCCCATGTGAAGCTGCTAATGATACTTGACATGTACGATGGGAAAGAAAGCGAATTGATCGCTCATTAGTTTTGTTTTGTTTATTAGCAAAGATCAAAAAACGAAGTTAAACAATAGATTTACATCTTAATCCGTCTCGTTCGTATTCGTTAGTTAGATCAATGTTGATGAACGTTGAACATCCATCAGGAGAATTGCATGTATCATTAGTTGAATATCTGCTTAGAATACCTAATAACCATCTGAGAATTGATGATCGATGTTTAATCTCTTTCTTCAGGTGATTAGTTCTGTTAACTGATATAATCTTTTCTTTTTGAGACGAATTAATGTCGAGCAATTACATAATTATCAATGAATCACAAAGAATTCCTACGTCTCCGAAGATTTAATTACGTATCAACGTCTTATCTAAACAATAGTTTGTATTTTGGTGATTAAGTAATAGAGAGAAGTCATTTTTTTACATGACGATAGAATCAAGAGAACGTGTTTGGGAAGACATTTTCGAAGGTTGATAAGAACTTGTTTCTAAACAAGAATGTCACGTCTAAAAGAAATGAACATATTGTATACGAATAATTTTGCTCAATGAAACTATTTCATATGTTCTTGTTTGTAGCGTCGTGCTGATCCATATCTTCGATCGACAACATCGACGCCTAATTCGACACCAACAAAAACGGCAGCTTCTGCCTCCAATGAATCAACAGCAGTCGATGGTCCTCCACCCATCGCTCCTCCTCCTCCCCCTCCCCCTCCTCTTCCTGCAACACAACCACCATTACCAACACAATCAGCTCCCCCTTCGTCGTCTTCATCAGCATCAAGTATCAAAGGTCCATCAACTCGTCTGGCACTAGACGATCTTCATCAATCTCCTATTCTCCATAGTACGACAACGCACAGTCACACGTCAAATGGTGATTATCGTTCAACATTGTATCCAACCATAGTTAATAATCCCACGTCAACACCAATACCATCTCCACCACACGGCTATGGATCATCGACGAGTAATTCGACAATATCGAAACTGATGCGCCCTAGACAAGAATCGGAAACAAGTTCAGCCAGCAAAGATCAACAAGTAGCGCCAAAAATTCGCGAAATCAATTCGAATGTCGGCTTTGTATCATTGCCCGATCAAGTTCATCGACGGGCAGTTAAAAAAGGATTCGAATTCAATCTAATGGTTGTTGGTACGTCTTCACTAATGAGATACATATGTGATCGACATCATTCTCGCTTTTAGGTCAATCTGGACTGGGTAAATCGACGTTCATTAACACTTTATTTCAAACTGAACTCTATGGTCAGGACTTTCCTTCGACCATTCATCGGAAAAAGAAAACGGTCTCGATTGACTCTTCATCTATAATTTTAAAAGAAAAAGGGGTTCAGTTACGTTTAACAATTGTCGATACTCCGGGCTTTGGTGATGCCGTCGATAATTCAAATTGGTATGTTTAGCTTTTGATTACTAGATCATTTTCGTCAGAAAGAACATCTTTCATATCAATTTACATCTGTTTATTTGTCCTAATTGCTCGATATTGCTTACGTAAATCAAGTCTATTAACTCGATAATGGATTAGTACGGATGTTGTCCTTTGAATGTCTGAATCAAGATCACTTACGATAATTGAGGTGTTCACGTATCCATTATTCTGAGAAAAAAAAACGAGAAAATTTTCATTCATTCACTTTTCCTTTCTCTTTAGTTGGCAACCAATCATCGACTACATCGATTCGAAATATGAAGAGTATCTCAATGCAGAGTCACGAGTTATTCGTAAATCTCATATAACAGATAATCGTGTTCATTGCTGCCTTTACTTCATTCAACCAACTGGCCATAGGTATGTCACTGTTTTATCCGAAAACAATTATTTATTTATTTGATCAATTAGTCTTCAACCACTGGACATTGAATTTATGAAACGTCTTCATGATCGAGTGAACATCATACCTGTTATTGCCAAAGCGGATACATTAACATCGGATGAATTACGTCTATTCAAGAGATCAATTATGCAAGACATAAGTAACGAGAAAATGAAATTATATGAATTTCCTGAATGTGATGACGATGACGAGAACAAATTGACGAAGATTTATAAAGATAAAGTCCCTTTTGCAGTCGTTGGAAGTAACTTCATTTTGGAGAAAGGAAGTAAACGTACACGTGTGCGACAATATGCTTGGGGAGTTGTTGATGGTAAGTGTTTTTGTTCTCAACATGAAACAAACTCATGTATCAATGTTATTTTTAGTTGAAGATGAAGTTCACAGTGATTTCATTGCTCTACGGAGTATGCTGATTCGAACGAATTTGAACGATCTACGTGATGTGACGCATAACATTCATTATGAAAACTATCGCTATAAAAAGTTAAGTGCTTTCAACGGAAATGATACAAAAACCGGCAAAGCGTTGCAACCAGCATCAGTTAACAAGTGAGAAAAAGCCGAGCATGTGGAATTAACAGTTCGATCTTGTGTCTTTTCTTTTCAGGAACTTTTTCTCGCAATTAGAAGATGAACGTAGTGAAACAGAAAGTCGTTTGGAGAAGATGTCTCGTGATATGGAAGCTGTTTATCAATCGAAAGTGACGGAAAAGTTGCAGAAACTTGAGGAGAGCAAACAGAATGTAAGAAAAACGATGTTGACACGACTGATTGATGAATTGCTTTTGTTTGAAGGTGTTCAAAACTCAGGAAACTTATCGATTGAGTATCCAGCAAGAAGAAGAACGTTTACAATCGAAACGTGACGAATTCGAACGTAGTAAACGTGAATGGGAGGAAAGTTTGACAAAAACTGGTTTTGCTGATCATATCGGTTCGCTAACGTAAGTGCTATTTCGAATGAATTCATCAGTATGTGACTTATTTTTTCTTTTAGAAAAACGGCAAAGAAGGGTCTCTTTTAAAAATTTTGTTTCTTTGATGTTACATAGTCTCATATAAACTTTGTTCTTTTTGTGGTTGTGCTACATTTTTGTTCTTTGGAAATGATGAATAAATAAATTTAACTAGATTGAATGTTTTTCTTTGAGATGTTAGTCTGTTTGTTGATCGTCAAAAATCTCGTTGTAATCGTCTTCGATTTCATCATTGGATGCGACGTAGAGCATCTTGTTTTCTTGAAAGATCTCTTGCGCACGTTGGACATCTCGCGAGAGGATTGCAGCTTGCTCGAGTGTATCACAACGATGCAAAGCATTCGATTTCGGTGATGCAGTTCTCGTATCGAACAGAAACTGGATATAAAAAGAGCCATGATCATCCTCTGACAAGAAAAATAGATTTTATTCGATGCTCAATTGTCGGCAATCTACTTACCAATCGGAATGACAGTCATAGATATATCGAAATCATAACTGTTGATAATTTCAAAAGAGCAAACATCAGGATTATCATCAGTTCTATATATGATAACACGTTGGGTGGTAATCATTACCTTTGAATGAGAAAATGATCCATAAAAAAAAACAAGAAATCATAAATGGCTTACATCGACACGATCCGATGTGGCTTTACTTGTAGTCGTTGACTTTTTCTCAAACGTCTCGTTTGCAGTGGTCGAAATTGTACAATGTGAAATATATCGTTCGGCTGAATTACCACTATTCATTTTGTACAATAAATTGTGTCCTTTAGCATCCAACAGATTATAGGGTTGCAAGAGACCTAAAGCATTTGCTGGACATCGCGTGGGTCGAAGACATGTTTGTAATGCTAGATTCGGCGGGCGCGCACCATCTTTGATGACTGTTGCCACTCCGTTAGTAAAATCAAGTATGCCGACAACTGGCTTACTGATTGTTCCAACAATACCTTTAGCAAAGCCTTTCATAAGTCCTGGTACACCGTCTTTAACTGCACCTTTATACGGTTGTTTAATTATCGATGTTAACCCGCCATAAAATCCAGCAGCTAGGTCAGCGGTACTATTACGTATGGCTTGTCCGAATGTCGCACTTCGATTATTGTCAGTTGTAGGATTTCGTCGATGATGGGTTGGCTCGTTGTTGGAAACCAACTTACCAATTTCACGTGAAAGCGATCCGGTGACTTTCGATGTTGAGTCAGCCACACCGTGTGCTATATTTTTCACCGATTCACCAACACCGCGTTCGTCGGTGAGACAACCTAGGCCGTCGGTCACGTCACGGAAAAATCCCGACGGATTTCCAAGAAAATCTACACTGCCCAAGATCTTCAATGCTTGCCGCGTACACACCTGAATATAATGCGTCAGAATGGACAAAAGAAATAAATCGTAAGTGTTTAAGATGTGTGTTTGTTCATAAGATTTCAAATGTATCTGAGCGTTTTCAAATGGAACAAGCGGGAACGATGCTTGTCTTTTGATAGCTAATAGCGAAGAGGAAAGAAGTCGTTTCGAGGATATGCAAGAGACACTTAAATTCAGATCGATTCCTGAAATATTCAATTCATTAAAATAAATCCGGGTGGCATGTGTTGAAGTTAATAAGGAAAGAATTCGATCGGTCTCGTAATCATCGATACTAAAGCCAACTTTACGATTAGAGGTATTCATATTATTGATGCCGGTTAGTGTATATACTAAAGAAGATAGAGAAAAAACTTTAATATCGAAGAATTCGATTAGTTTCCACAGGAGCAGTTCGTCGAGTTGAATGGAAATTGAATTGATCTGAATTTGACATGAACGAATGATATGTAGATGACTAAATAGAAGTCAAAACAAGAATTCCGTGTCGATGAAAAGCTTTTTATTTACTTGAAGTTGAAATCCAGCTTTTGCCAATGGATTTCAAAATGAATCGCTGCACTGTCTGTAAAACCAGCATAGAGAAAACGAGGTTTGCTGGTCGATAGCAACTGATTCGAAATCTAAATAGAGAGGAATTTGATACTGACTGCAATTGAAAAAGTTCTAACTAACAATCAGAGAATCAATCATTGCTTCAATCGATTGTTCGTGACCTTCGTCATTATATCGAATATGAATATGATCGACGAACATATAGATCAGCTCTTCAGATTCATGATTCATAGAATTGACAACCGATATACCAGCGCCTGCTGGGAGTTGAAGATCAACATGATAAATAGTTGATAGCACTTTCGAGATGGTATCAGTCACAATTGATGCATCCGTCGATTTAACAGAGTTAATTTCAAGAACATTGGTTGGTCCATCAGCAAAGACACATGCATATAACACTCCTGAACCTGAATAACGTGGATGTGAACGAACATACATAGTAGGCACCGGGAGTTGACTGGGATTTGTTCTAAAAAAGAAACAAATAAAATTTATCTGGTTATCGATTTCACGAGATTTTACATAGTTGGTCCGAGTAGAACATCACAGTTTGTTTGTAATTCACCAAAGATTTGTATACACATGGATGTATTATCTCTTAGACACAAATAACCTTGATCTGTCAATTGCCATGACTGTGTTGATAGTCGTTTCGGATCGTAACGTCTTACTGTCAATTGAGTAAAACATTTTGTTACTGTGTTCGATAAATCTCGAATATCCAAAACATACGTTTGTCGAAGATCATCAAACAAATCCTTCTTTCTGCTTCCATTTGAATTCACTGGTGTAGATCCAATATGAATCAAGAGACCATCAGCTGTTAGATACCACAATTGTGAACGTTTACTTTCTTGACATTGCGCTAGAAACACCCGATTATCTTCACACTCGATCACCAATCTGCACGATAGTGAATCGGATGTTGCAATCGAGTTGTCGTCTTCGAACGTTGCTTGAAAAGCAAGATAAATATAATTATAATAGTATAATTCTTCCGCGGAGCCTAATTTCAAAAGATCATACGCTGTTTTTGTGCCATCAACAACTGAACAAGTTAATGATGGTTTCAATTTCGGTTCATCCCAGGCGTAGTCAATCGATTGATGAGGAGCAACCACCGTTGTTAAATGTGTTGATTCGAGTGGAATATCTGTCTGTTGAAACTGAATTGATATATTCGATCGGTTCGAGATTCGAAAAGGCGCTGGCATGCGGTTGGCATCCATAAATACGACGAAGTAAGTTTCATTTCGTTCGATAACTTGTACGTGAAGTAGAACACATTGATTCATTTTGTCTCTCATATTAATATGAAATGCATTTGTTGAATCGATTGAAAAACCACCTGACCAATTCACATATTGACGTTGTTGTTCGTCAAGAATTTGAACACATAATAACTGTTCCAAATCTGCACGCGGCCAATGATACGCAGCCGTAGCTTGCTGAGCAACTTTTAAATAATTCGATTCATCATGCGAAATTGCTCGTTGTGCGATTAATAGATCGTGAGAACACTGATTATGGATCATATATCGTGCACTAAAGAAGATAAAGTGAATTTTTTTCAGATAACCACTTCCCAATCGACTATCCACAGCGATCGAATAAGTGCAGTCCATCGACCGATGCGTTGAGCGAACTTGTAACTGTCGGTGAGTAGAGCCAGACTGTAAACTGAACTTTGTCGACCATTGTGAGCGTCCATCTTGTTGCCGTTGTAGACATGTACCAACTCGCATGACGCATGTGTCGGTACGATTGGAATTATCAAAAGAGAAAAGAAGTGGTTCCCGATTTAACGTCAGTTCATCTTCTGCAGTTTGTCCAGCGGTTTCCATTTTTGAGTTTGAATCTTTGAAAATTAGTGGAATACCTAACGCATGAAAAGAATGTTGAAGAAGAACATCTGAGAGATGAAATCTTACCACTTCTGTTGATGAGAATATATGGAACAGATATGAAGAGTTTCACACGAAATTCGATCATACAGACAATGTTGACATCAACGAATAATTCTCTTTGGTTGCGATCATAAAAACTAATCCGTTGATGCGCATGTTTCCTCTGATGAAGATCATGAATTGATGGTAGTTGAAAAGGTTTATTCATTTGATAGAGATTGGTTGTAAAGAATAGATCAATGTTTTTCAGAAGATTCAACGTATGCTCTCGATGGGATTTGTATGCGTCGAGTTGAATTTTTTGATGACAAATAGGAATAGTAACAGTCAATGAACACGGTAGTAAATTACATATTGTCAATGGAGGATGGATGGATAATTCATAGACTGAAAGTATTTCGTCTTGAAACGTTGAAAGCAAAGTCTGTTTCGATTGGATACAAAGATAATACACGGCTTCTTTGCCATCGAATGAGCAAATTCGGAATAAGGATTGACGATTAATTCGATTTTCTTCCGATGAAGAACTTTTCCTAGTTATAGGATAAAAACATATGTGAATCTTTTCCCGTTCGCTGATCTTACCTTGAGTTTTTCTTTTTTGAATTGGGTAAATTTTGATGCTCAATTTCAAACCACGATATAGGTTCAGTACAAAAGCCAAGAGCGAAATCAGCTGGTCGGACTTGAATATGTTTTAGCATCGAACAGATTTGAATCGGCAGCGAACCCATTTCGTTCGATTCCAAGCGAAATTCATGAACTAGATTTGACCGTGATTCGCATCGAACATCGATTGCATTCAACAATTGATTGCGTACTTCGATCGATGACTTAATAGTAATCGATCGAATGGAATTTTCGGTCATAGCGATATGGATAAGAACAAGGGTAGGCTGGACCAGATAATTGTCATCGGTAGGAGTAGCAATTCGAAAGAATGTACCGGTACGGTCGATGGAGATTGGTTGTAAGCATTTCCATCCATCGATAGCAATCTCCACGCGACGATCAGTTTGAAAGAGAGAAGTAACAACAGAATTCTTTCGTGTTTTGATTTGGAAAGAAAATGGAATAGTTTGATTATGATCAACAAAATGTTCATTGGACGAGAACATCTGCTCTGCTGATATCCAAGTGCGAAATCGGATAGGGACGCCAATGAGATTTGTAAAACAGTAAGGTTCAATGGGTTTGACCTGACGAAAATAGGCTTTCTTTTTGGTATTCCAGTTCTTTTGAACAAGATTGAGCAAACAATGGAATGCTTTTGTAAAATTCAAATTCAGGGTTTCTTTCGAAACGACCGATAAGAAATTGATCGAAGATGTTCTCATCAAAATCATTAGTAACGAACACGGTTCAATTAATGGCTCAAATCCTGATTGAAATCGATTGTAATACAATACAGTTAATTCAAAATCACAAACTTCCTTGCGCTCCTGGACGCTATGTTCGATTGTTTGCAGTTGAAATGATTTCAGATGAACATTCAGGAGAGGAATATTAACACCGAAACAATCATCAATCAGGCATACACATATTTCTGTACAAATGAACTTGATGTTTAATAAATCAGACATAAGCGTGGAATAATCTCGAGCCGGTGAGGCGAGAAAGGTAGAAACCGTAGTTAATAGAGGTTTTCGCATTTGCATTTGACGGGAAATAGTTTGAAAGAGAGAAAACAACATGTGAATATCTGAGTGAGAAATACGTATATTTAATAGAGAGAAGTTGAGTTCGCAAGTATACTGTACAGGTAGGTCGTTTGATGCATGAATTAATAATGAACAATCCGTTGGTTCAATAATCGAAAGACTTGTTTCGTTAATATTTCCAACTTGGCAGGTAATCATTGTTAAATCTTTGATTAAGCATTCGACAGATGACCTTGTCCGTAAGTAATTAATCATCATTGTGCTGGAATAGATCAATGCGGGAGTATATGGATCATGTAATGTAGAAGCAAGGACTATTTCGAAGTGATTCAAATTCATTTGAATCTCTGAAAATGGGAATGAGATGTTGTTTGCCATCATCGATGATTGTCGGCTGAATGTATGGAGAAAACTATTGATTTCAATGAACCAATCGATCACAAATAGAATACGAATGGAGTTTAATGTTATTGTACATTGATTTGAAGACTTAGTTCTTTTGAAACGAAGTTCAAGCTGATGAGAATCCGATGATGAGGATGAAGGCACTATCAGATCTTGCCTTTCGGCTCGAGTGTCAGTAAGTTTGATTGCAGAGCAAATGAGATGTAAAACTTGATCTCCATCCGAATATTTGTCGACAGACAGATGAAGATTTGTCAGATTCGTATAAGCGAACGAATGACGATGCTCGATTGTTCCAGGAAGAAATATTTCCAATCCGATCTGATCGAGCTCCATCGTCAAAGCGAAATCAGACGTCGGTATCGAAGAAAATAGATGGCTTGGATTCGAAGTAGATTGTTGATGGAGATTTGAGATCAGAATACTCTGAAGTAAATGAAGTTGGTTCGAATCAAAGAGAAATTCGATTGATGATAGTTTCAATTTGATCGTGTAATTCTTCGATAGTCCATTCTGTTCAGTTGCAATGGTCAGATTGAAAGGTGCACGAATGAGCGGCGAAAGATCCAGTTTTATGTTTGTGATGTTTATCGACATAAAATACCCAGGTGAGCAATTGTTGAAATAGATCTTATCGAGTTGCATAGTTAATTCTGATTGTTTACGTAGATCTTCAGGTATTTGCAATGTCACATCTGTTACTTCGATGTTCCAGAGCGTACCAGTGTGTTTCTGAGGAATTTTACACATAAAATGTTTGTAAAAATCTTCATTTTGTTGAAAGCGGTGAAAATATTCGAGAATTCTCAGCAGAAAATACTGAGTATGAGTGTATTGGATCGAAGTTATTCTTAACTGAGATTGAGCTTGTCTATCTTTTGTAAGTTTAAATTGGATCACTGGTGTTGTTGTAGAATTAGTTGTCGTGCCTAATCGCTCAACGTATATTTGATCGATAGTTGTTAAATCTCGTACAGATATAGAGCCAAGTTGACTGTGAAGAAACCATTCCGAGCCCGATTGTTTCAGAAAAGTGTGAAACTGAATAGTAAACTGCTGTAGATCGATATTCATAAGTGTGATTTGTTCGTCTTGAAGCCAACAAGAAATCGATTCAATGGCAAACGAGATTTTGATTAAATTATTCTTGGATAGAACATTTGCTTTTCTTTCTTCTTCAACTTCATGTTTATGATTAAAGAATTCAATCAGTTCTATTAAGAATCTCCAAGTTGGCCTGATGAGTCTAACATCAGTTTTGCTCAGTCGAATATCGAGCTGTTTGTATTCACTTTCGATTTGTGGTAAACACATTTCGATAGATGAAGGTGATGTCAATGCGATGAGCGATGGATCAGCATCGGTTAAACGATTTTTAATTACAAATGAACTGAATTGAAGGCGTATGTTCCTTTGACGAGTATAATTCAGTTCATAGGTCATTTGACATTGGTCTAGCAAGGCTTCAGATAGAACACTCATGTCGGTGCTGCGATCAGTAAGGAAAATGATAATCATTTGTGTTGATTGCAGTCGAAAGAGGAAATTAGTAGACGAGGATGCTTGATTAGTAGAAAAACTTGTCCGCAAGATTTGTGAAAGCCAATGAATTCGAACGGGACTAAGATATATACGAGGTAAACTGGTTAATTGTAAATTAAGCAGGGTTGTGAATTCAGTTGTTAGTTGAAGATTAACCGAAATAGACATATGTTCCAGGAATTGCTTTGATAAAGTTTCCAATTGATTACTCTCGTTCGCTTTCATTCGTATTAGAGTCAACTGGTTGATGTCAATGTTGAAATCTGACGAACTGTTGGGATGGTTTTGTATATGAATATGATCAAGTTCTAAACCAATACTATTTGGTAAAATAATCGTTGATGCACTCACGTCGATACACAACGACCATGATATTCCTAAAGCTTTTGGAAACCGTTGTTGACCGGTGTAATCACAGTTACGTTTGATATCATCATAAGTTTCTCGAACAGATTCGATAAGATACTGGGAATGCTTATAGGAAAAAGAAGAGACTTTGATAAGCAAGTGGAACTGTTTGTTCTTTTCGTTTGTTAACAAGCAATACAACGAAGGTGCTTCACATTGGTTTGAATGATCGCGTATATTAATAGCTGGTAAATTATCAGAATGGTTCAGCAGTTGTAGACTACTAATCATCATTTCGCATCTAGTATAGGTATTGAATGTGACATTGAGTGCAAATCTATCCATTTTGATCTCATTTGACCATTTTGCTGTGGTGAATGGATGAAAAATTATATTGGTTTGTGTAGATTTGATGTTTAGTTGACAGTTTTCTAAATGCTTCGATAGAGTATCTTTTGTTATTCGTGAACGGTTGATGGTTGAGAAATAATTCAGTAATGTACAGAATGTGCGAGGATTGAAAACAAAGATTAATTTGTTTGTATTTACATCGACGATTGCATTGATATTGGAAATAGTAGGTGTTGTTTGAAAATGACTGTTCACCCGGATGAAAGCATCGCTATTACTAGACACTCGCTCAACTTTCAATAGAATTTCGTTGCCATTTTCAGTCTTTGCCAGACAATCGTAAATAATTAGATCTTCTAAACTCAAAGTCATGCTATTCAAATGTTGATTTTTGGTGAATGTAACATAAGCATTGCACATGCGAATGTCACATAAGGTCTGAGAATTATCATTTAGAACTACGCAGATTTCCTCGAAACGACAGTCAAATCCAGGCAAGATACTGCGTTGATAATGCTGCTGGCTAGATGCACAGGTCAATAACGTCAACCAAGGAGTAAGCGCATTGGATAGATTTTGTATTTGATGTAGATCGAAACAGAGATTGACTTTTTGGAATACACCGGAGATATTTACTATAGGCCATAAGCGATCGTTTTGAGGTTGCAAAGAAAAGCAAAGATTTGATAACTGTACAATCTGCGTAAGACAAGCTGGATATCCGATTTGCACATTATCAATAGAAAACTTAAAAGGTGATTGATCAACAGCGTCACTTGTCTGATCTGCTGTAAAGAAATTCATCGAGTAAAATGTCGACTCGACCTCGAATAATTCGTCATTTGCAGAAGGAGAACTCACAGGAGTTAGAAACTCTTCTTCATCGACACTGGCTGCATTTCGAGGAACATTAGTAAAGCTCAAACAACTGATACCGACGATTACTGAATCTTGTGATGAGAAAGGCATGATGATTTTTGAAGCACCAATATTTACAGATATTTGCAAAATCTTCTTCGCAAAATGATGACGTCGTTTGAGACTTCGTACTTTTGATGTCGTTACGGTTTGTTCAAGTATCGAGCGATAATTTCGAGCAATACAATGTTGGATTCGTTTACAGTATGTCAACGACAATGGTATTGACAGTGAAGGTTCATCCAGTGCCGAAACATAAAATCGGTATAATCGTTGTATCGATGTTGGACAACAAACAATCGACAGACCACAGCTACGAAAACAAATTGAACTCGGCATTTTCGCTCTTTTCTCGAAGACAAAGTCTAGCACAGAAGATTGCTGGTGTTGAACTTCTTTATTCGCAGAGATAATTGCCGAGAATGTCTCCGTCTGTTCTTGGTCACGAACAAGTAAATCATCTAAACGAATAGCGAGCATTAAAGCTCGATGACGTGGTCGAACTTCTGTCAACCAAGTGAAGTTTTGCAAATGAAAACCCAAAAGCTCAGCATGTTGGGAAGATAACAGATTGATTTGAATTGATTTCAAGACCAGATTGAATCTAAAAATCTGCGCATTTTGACAACTTTCGAGTAGATCTTCATCTTCTAAAGATTCGGCGATAAACGTATTCACTTGATCTTGAATTTTCACATCGTTTTCGTTTAATGACACCTCACTATTTGTCGACGTTCTCCCCCACAAATCGATCATCCTCGAAGTAATCCACTGTGCGTAATTCGCATACCAGGGAGTCACCTTTCGTCGTTGACTTATCTGTTCATTAATTCGACTTTGAAAAATCGATCGTCTCATAATGAGTAGATGTTCTAAATCGAATTCTTTCTCAATCTCACTTAGAGTTTGTTGAACTTCAATTGATAAGCTCGAAGATTTCGACAGATGAGTACGATATAATCTGGCATATGTATTCAATCGATGTAAACGATTAATTAGCAACGAACGATCGAACCATAGCGATGTGGTAGAATCCTTAACAGCCATTCGTAAACGAAGAACGGCTAGAATAGCATAACGCCACCATATTCTCACTGATTGTTTGGAAACTTTCGACCGAGGCCGACATGGATCAAACATAATCATCCGATATAAACTGGAATATTGAATCGATCGAAGTATTTCAACTAACAGTCGAATTTGCTCCGCAGTGCACTTGATATCGAAATGATTCAATACGCATTCGAATTCATACCGATATTCTTGTTGACTGACCAAGAAATGGTTATGAGTTAATGAAATTGCCATAGAACTTTCCAGAAATAAGATATACGAATGATCTGACACGAGATTGGTATTTATGTACAATCCTGGCTGATTGATTCGAATAACTTGTCGACTCATTAGTTCGTTACACGGTTCATTTCCAATGTCGATCTGATGGCAAGTCAATCCAATGGATTGATCTGACGAAGTTTTATATTGGATATGGACGTCGTGAATATGAATTTGCAGTTTTTCAAAAAATGACATGATTAGATGTTGAACGTTCCATCTCGATCGTTTGACTTCACCGAAACATTCCCATTCTTTTTCAAATTGTTGTTCGGCTAAGTCAAGTTGATCGCGTTTGTATTTCTCATTAGTTTCATCGTCGGTTTCACTCGAAGTTTCTTCTTCATAGCTTTTAACAACAAGATGAATACGTTGAATTTTGATAATAAATGCCGCTGATGTTGAACGAAAGAACAATGAACTCCATACAAACGAACATTGAATCTGACCTAAATCGATCGATTCAATCGTTAACGGTAAATGAAATTTCTTTCGTATATCTTCGTTAATCGCTGTGATGTTGAATCGTAGATTATCAATGATAATCTGCTGTTTTGATAGAAGTTGAGCAGATAATTGATCAGCATTAATATCAATATAACGAATGAGATAACGCTTGATAAATGATGCAATGATTGTTTCGAACATGGAAATCAATTTCAGATTAACTCGCTATGGCGCACTTTTTTATAAGTTTTTAGTGATAAAAACTTTTTTTTTCTTCTATAGACATGGAATAAAAGTCACGTGTCTACGTTTTTTTTTTCTTTCTTTTACCTCTTTTTTGAATCACCTTTCTCACTGTTGTCATAGTTTATTCTCCACTCAAATGGAGAAATTTCAAAAATATACAGACATTTACAAAGCAATGGTGAAGTTCAGGTAGTTGAAAAACAATCTAAACTTATTCATACGACGATTACGTCACCGCTGTCCACAGTCTGCGATGTTTTCTGCTCGCTTTGTCTCTGTTTGTTATCATCATATTGTCTCCTCGACCTCTCGTAAGCGTTCGGAAAAATACTGTAAAAACTTACAAAAAAAAGGTGAACGGAACGAAATAAATTTCGCACGATCCAAAAAACTAGTTGAAAAGATGACGTCTCATATAATTATATGATATATCAGATAATGACATACCAAGCAAAACTATGCGTACATTCTTGTTGTTTTAATATGTGTGATAGCAATCTTCGTTTCGTTTTCAGTGCCTAATCCTTTGACTGAGGTCCGCCATGAGGATACATTAGTTTTTAATTGTCTCTATTAATTAGTACTCGTTAGAAAAAAAACGTCCGGTAGTGCGAATGATAAAAAACGAGCTAAATATTTCTAAAAGATGGAGGTAGTAGTTAAATGAGAGTTTGAACGACTGATAATTGCCAATAATAAAAGCAGATAAAGGGTGCAGTTCTCCATGACTGCGCATTGAATATGGGTGGTAATGGCGTCCAAATAACCATCGGGCCACATGATAATACAATCGAAATGGAATTGCGATTTGATGAATCAAATCATGTGGTGCATATAAACTACGAAATACAAAGTGTATTAGTGAATACTTATGCTAGAAATGCTTACACGTCGCTATAAACTGATGTCGAGAAATTGTTGACAGTTAGGTAACCACTTAATCTGATTGGCGAATAGAAACCGAGGAGTTGTGAGTATTGAATACTTGCCAATGGGACTGTTCGGCCAAGTAAGACTAAATGATGCGCGAGGTTGACGTCTTCAGCGCAAATGGTTTCTGTACTTCCGGTGTCATTGCGGTCAACAACGATAAAGTGTGCATCTGTCAAACGAATTTGATGTCCTTCGACTGTTGTGAACGTATAAAACGGGCATGTCTGTTTGCTGTAAAGGGAAAACATTGCACAAACTCGAAATTTCTGGTCCACTATGGGATATACACATGATTTCATCTTGAATAAGATGTTATCCGTCGCTATTAATAGACCATATGCAATCACCTGTCTCCAAGACACTGATCTGTCTTTACCCTCCTTCTACTAAATTAACATAGTCTCCACCAAAATAGCATGCTAAATATAGAAATCTTCTATGAAAATATAATCGCAAATCATGTTGATACTGTACGTGTTGTCGTTGCGGTCGTGGTATTCGTTGTAGTTGTTGCCGTTGTAATAGTTGTAGAACTGGCTGCTTTGTAAAGAAATGTGAGATATCACGCGACTTTGCCAATACTAATTATAGAAATATCGTTGAATACTTGCTGCTTGTTGTTGTCACTAAAATTAGGATAAAAACTTAGGTTACTCTTCAAGAAAGAAATGTAGGCGAATTATGTTTGACAATAAAGGACAGTCCATATATGTGCTGTACACCACTAGGTTCAACTTATTTATCGACAGTGGTTAAATACGATTCTTTTTTTCAGCAAGGTGGATTGCTTCACAAATTTGATGATTTCAAACTTTTAAAAGAATCCTAACTGGAGGTTTTCTCCAATTAATTTAAGAACTGGAAATAGATAAAGGAAGCTGAAACTTACAATTCGTTGTACCTAGAAAGGAACTAAATTAATTTAAACTGTACTCGTCACCGAGAAATAACACTTACTAGCAGTTGTCGTAGCTGAATAATTTGAAAAGGAAGGGAAAACAAAAATGTACTATCTTAAATCTAAAAATTCCAACAAACTTGTTGTTGTTCCAGTTGTGCATAAACAAGAAAGTTAACATTGTGTTCTCGAATAGCAATGTGAATATCAATTTAGTTTTATCAATTGTAGTTGTCGACAACACAGTCGTATCACTTCTACTAGCAAAAAAGAGATAGGCACAATGATCGCTCCGATCATAATGCCCAAGCAGATACAAAATCCACAGGCCGTCAGAAGTGCGATAAGAAGAGTTTTTCTTAATTTTCTTCTGTTATTTCTGAAATGCACCAGAAACACCAATTAAATCACGAATGTAAAATCAATAGCATGACGAACTCTTTATTAGCAATCAGCGCTGGAATCCGTGTACTCTATACACAAAACGAGGAAACAAGAAAAAATATTTCAAAGATCGCTTTCTTTACTAGCCCGTGACGCATACATTGGCACCATCTGTATACTACCATCATTGGTATTTCAAACACGGTATTGCTATATAATTCAGTGGTGTCACATAATGCGTCAAAACAGATGATCTAACTTACAGGTAAACTCATTTCTATTTCCGTTGCTAGCGCACTTGGTAGTTGGAAATATTTCAACGAAACAAGCATTAAAGCGCATTGATTATATACGGGTTAATGCATTTATCTGTTTGCGTGGCATTCGAAGACACTAATGGCTTCTACGCTTAGAAAAGGGACTCAATTAATTTGTTTGACCATTATGCTTGATACGCGTGATTTGTTGGAAATAGCATGTTAGCGAACGGAGCAAAGTTTGGACTTTGATTGATATTTTTTAGAATTCTTCTCCCGTGTACCATCATTTAAGTATTTATAAAGCACGTGGAAGAAAATAACAGATTAGAAAGCTCTCTCGTGAGTTGATCAAACATTAATGAACATGCGTTGCTAGAATGATCAAAACATCAATACTACTATGAAATCAGCCATGATATCTATTGTCATTGTGAATGTTGCTATGCTCTAATTTCGTGTGCACGAACAACAAATCGAGCTGATATGTATGCTAGTTGGTCGTCACAGTCGTACTCGTATAATCATACAGAAAAATAGAGGAAGGACACGAAAATAAAGCACGATAGAATTCAGAATATTTTACACATAAAACGTAGAACAGTGACATATGAATGACTAGATGGTAAATGATAGCTGTGTTGCTCTCATGCTGCCGACCAAGTGCATGATTGGTTTCATCGTAGATCTACAAAATCACTTTCTCTTAATTAAGAATCATTCGTCATACTATCGACAAAGTTCATAGGTTAAATGGAAGAGTATTCGGTGTACTGATCACTACATAATATATCTATTCCTTTCATAGATCCTTATTAGATGTCCTAATAAAGTCTCCAGGGCAATACGTGCTAGAATTTTGCGGAGCTCCCATGATTAGTGAGTGCTTTCAATATAAGAAAAACATCCCACCTACCCTCCAATTTGATGTTAGAAAAAGGAGTTTACCAGTGATTCAAGCCATAGGAAACTTTTAACAAGAACACATTATCGTAATTATCAGGTTTGTTTTGAACTACCTAGCGCTCAATCATATATAAATGGATGTATAAACGAAGTTATTTAACATTTTGCTAAGAAAAACAGTCTTAGTGTCTACTTCGTGTAAAACTTCCGATGGATACGCTGACCTATTTACTACGTGTTATACTTACAATAGAGATAGTCATCGGAGCATTTGGTAATACAATCAATGTATTAATCTTCACTCGCAAAAAACTTCGTCACAATTCCTGCACACAATACTTTCTGGCTGGTTCGATCAACAATCTACTAGTTGTGTCTTTTCTGTTTATTTACGTTTTGGTAACAAATGGTTATGAGATCCCATTGTTTGCACATTCCTCAATCTTTTGTAAAATCAATTGTTATCTATCTTATTTAATCTACAACCTTTCACCGTATTTGCTAGTACTAGCTAGTTTTGATCGCTTCTGCTGTTCGTCTTCATTAGTCGTACTACGATCACTGGCGGACGTTCATAAAGCACGGCGATACCTTTGGGCTATGTTGGTTATATTCATAATTATTTTTACACCGTTACCATTCTTCTATGATATATCTTCAACCGATCCTCCTCAGTGCGTTAGTACGAATCAAAAGTTCAATACCATTTGGTCGATTTTTCAACTAATATTTTATGCGTTACTTCCACCTGTTTTAATGACTATCTTTGGCCTTTTGACCTTGTGGAATATTCGATTTCAACGACAACATATTCAGCCCATGATTAGGTCTAGACAGTTACATAGACGAAAAGATCAACAATTGCGTCGTCGTTCAGACAATGCTGTTTTACGTATGTTGATCTTTCAAATATGTGCCTATATTCTTTGTGTCACTATGCTCTGTGTCATGGTGGTAATGATCAATACTGTTTCTTATCCAACACCATTGATGGTGACGTTTGTTCGGATTGCTATGCTACCCTTTTATCTATCACATTGTACGTCGTTTTATATTTATACACTGAGTGCAAAACTGTATCGAAAAGAGTTTCTTGCTGTCGTTCGCAAAGTAGTTCAACGTATACAGAAGGTGTTAAGATACATTGGTTCATCTTGTACAAGCTAGTTTATCGATAGTATTAGACTTTTGATTTGTAACAGTTTTTTTTTCTCAAATATAAACTTAGAGTACATCGAAAACCTCGCCATGCTTGACTACAATAAATGACGATGGATCAAGTTGTTTGTTTTCTACCGCTTCCGAAAGTTTACTTTTCGGCTCCATGAAATATTCATTAGCGAACGCCCATGTGCCCCAGTGCACTCCGATTGAACGCTTCGATCGAATATCTATATGTATCTGAACAGCTTCGGCTGGCGAAACATGCTGAGGTGACATCATCCAACGTGGTTCGTACGAACCAATTGGTATAGCACTTAGATCAAATGGACCATACTTTCTACCAATCTGCCGAAAGATTGAGATATTGTGCGTATAGCCAGTGTCACCAGCGAAGTAGAACTTATGTTTCCTATCCCAGATAGCGAATCCACCCCAAAGAGATTTGTTTATATCCGTTAGACCACGACCACTCCTACAACCGAAAATGATTGAATGTAGAGAAAAAATCGAGAAGAATTTATCGATCTTCGTATTACCAGTGTTGTGCTGGACAGAAAGCAATGCTGACGTTTTTCTCCTAAGACAGATTATAGACGAGTTTCGGATAAAGAAGAGAACTTCTTACTGAAAAATGATGAGTTTCCCACCAGTCGAGTTCAATGACATTCTTTACGCCATGTTTGAGAAACCATTTTCGAAGACCTCGCCCACAAAACCATGTCAGTTGTTGACTAAATCGTTTATTTAAACTTTTAACGCTCGTATAATCGAGATGATCAAAATGGTTATGTGAAATAAATACGGCATCGAGATTATCTGGTAGATCATCGACTGTCAATGGCGGCGGACGAAATCGTTTTGGGCCAATTAATGAACCGATACCACATCGATTACTAGAAAATGATCTCTTTCTTTTTCTTTCACCAACAGAGAATGAGTCAATTCTTACCTGAATATTGGATCAAGAAGAAACCGAAAATTATTCAATTGAACATAACTTGAAGCATGTCCAATCCAGATAAATCGTATACCGTGTCTGGTGCGATACAAATCTTCCGATTTAGAATGTCGGATTACTGGTAAAATATCATCGAGCTCTTTTCTCTTGGCCGGTAAACGCGTATTTTTTCGTGCCAGAAATTTCCATCTCAATGTAACTGATAGACTAGGAAGTTTAAATTTCGAATTGAATGAATTCACGTAACGTCCTTTTTCCATTCGGGATTTGGTAGGTTCATAGTCTGTCTCAGTAGCTGTTGTAATCGCTCGTGTAAATCTAGTTTGATCAGAAGGTAAAACTATTGTTGTGTCGATGTGATCCTATAAATCGATAAAAACACCATTCTCTTCTGTAAAAGTAACGTCTATGGAGATATTTACTAATAATATATCGTCCAGATATTCGATTCCAAGAGTATATCCTATATAATACTTCATTATTGCATTGGAATTATTGAAAAATGAATCATTGATATTGTAAGCATCTTTGTTTATTTCCAATAGAATATTTGCAGAGAACGGTTCAATTGTATGCATGAAAATTACTTTAACTTCGTTCAAGGAAATATTCTGTTCATCAGACTTAGCAATAAAAGTTAAGTTGAAGTTAACCTCATTGTTATCCAATGTTTCACGAAAGTTGATATTGGGATAGACGCTCCAATGATCAAACGCCTGTTGGATCTGCTGGCGAATTCTGATTTCTTCGTTGCTTGAGAAACCAATGATTGATGTTTTCCATTTCAAAACAATCCGCGGTTTAATCCTACGCAATAGAGAGAGAGAAAGATCTATCTGTTGTTCACAAGATAAGTATATTACCATAGCTCCAAATTTTCATTCAAAAATGAAGAATCTACTTTCAAATTCCAATTGTTTGAAACCAGTGATACAACGATACTTAAGTTAGTAACAACAAGGTAAAACTCAATCACACCGATCAAGAGAAATGCTCTCATCACAAATGGATTCGAAAAAACAAGAAAATGAATCGTCTCGTTTTGCTTTCAAACATCTTGTTGATAGAGATGAAAGAGAGAAATGTGAAATACCTGATATGATAAGAGTAATAGTTTTCTCCTATTAAAATTCAATGTAATCAATCTTAACAATCGTCAAATTTAAATTATCTACGTAGTTTATTTTTCACACCACAGATACGTATTTGCTGAGTCATACAGACTACAGAGAAACATCGTATTACAGTTACGAATGAAGCCGACAATGAAAAAATATATCGTTGCCAATGGACAACAACTGTTCCCATACCCAAAAAACGCATAATTACGAAGCCCGATGAGGCTTTGACATCCATTGAGGATGAGTCACAAAGTATTTGATAGAGACATCGACTTAATTACGTTCATATATATATTCAATGATGTAGGAAAAAAATGTCCTTATCGAACGACATACTACACTGAAAGCATACGTATGAATTAGCTATGAGTCAGCCACGCATTTTGCGTCTGTAACGAGAAAATCGAAAATCAGATTGAATGCATCACTATTCTACATACGCTGATTTCTAATAAAAAGCTTTGCTCCTCAACATCAGCTGTAGAAGATGCTGTCATAGAATTATCGTACAGTAGTCCATGAGAAAATACCATCTTCTCAGTTATTCATTATGGATGAATCCACTAATACTAGTTTATCTCTTCTTACAATTCAAGGCCTGATCAGCCATCAAATTCCGCCTTCATTGGTTGTCTCTGTTTCTCTTTTGGCGCCTGGTGATCGTTGTATTGCTAACTCTAGTGTTGATGTCTTGTCATATATCAATACTGGCACTGAGGGCGTAGTAAAGACAATTTAAATCGAGTTACAACGAAAACATAATATATGCAAGTGTTCATATCATCTGTGCGAGCGATTTACGTGTGTTACATGTTTATTCGATGTTTTATCTTTGTTCTTGGGAAGCACAATGGAAACGTGCGAATATTCACTTCCGAACTCATTCATTTTATCTATTTTTCGTACCAAATTAACCTTTTTCTCGCTGTCATTGCATAAACATTTTCGATATGGTGATAATATGTAGATAAATCAGACAATAATTATGAATATGAAAATGTCAAGAGGAAAAATATCAGTCAAGTGTGTCGAACGCTACCGCCCTAATCGAGCAGCTAGCTTGCCAAAATATCTACACCCACAGCTTATCATGCTTTTGCAATATCTACATGTAAGAAGGGTACTCGATGCGATGGCCTTGAGCAACTCAGTATATATGGAGCCATTCATATTGCATAAGAAATATATATTTTTTACCTAAAAAGTAAGTGTAAATAAACTAGTTTCCTGTATGTATTCCACAATGATGATCAATCATTTCTAGACGAAATCCCACAAGATCGATGCAGAAGGGAACGTTCAGTGTTGTAAAGAAGCTTTTCCTGCTTGTCGTCCTGTTGGCTGTGGCAATTCCGATACGATATGGAACTACGGACTATCAACATCTGACACTGCGATGTTTACATTCAATACTGATCATGAAGCATCAACTACTCACGGATCACCTTCGACCAACACTCAGTGCTGAGTATCGCGCATTCGAAAACTTGATTCGTCTAAAACCAGTTGCCAAGATCGATTCATCGGCAGATCCAGTTGCTGTGGTCCAAGAATTACGAGATAACTTCGCATTTGATGTTATTATTCCTATGCCATCTCAATGTCAACTTGATAAAGAAGTATTTCAATATAACGGGCGATCAGTAGATGCTTTCTGGGTTCAACATCACCAATACAAACTCCAAAAGAACTCGGACAAAATACTGATCTATGTTCACGGCGGTGGATTCGTTGCCGGTAACATTCAAAGTAAGCAGCCCACTTATTTTATTCTACTTGAATCCTTCTCTGACTCTTTCAGAATATGGTGGATTCGTCTGTCATCTCTCTCGCGCTTTCAATATAACCGTTCTTTTTGTTGAATATCACCTCAGTCCTGAACATCAATACCCTGCTGGTGTTGAAGATACGATCACAGTCTATCGTAAGCTTCTTCAGAACGATGTTTCACCCTCACAATTGATCGTCATGGGTGATTCAGCTGGTGGTGGTCTTACTTTGCTCACAATTCAAGGATTGATCAATCGTCAACTTCCTGTGCCTCGTGGTGTTATGGTTCTCTCACCATGGGCTGATCTCTCTACATCAGGCGAAAGTTACAAACGCAACCGCGATATGGATATCGTTGCCGACATCGACAATTTCAGATGGATTCTTTCATTATTGCTTGGCAGAGATCATTCATCTGATTCGTATGTTGATCCCAACCTTAGTCCATTGCATGGATCTTTTCAAGGATTTCCATCAATGTATGTTAATGTGGGTACAGCAGAATTGTTAGAAGACGATTCAAGACAAGTTGCCAAGAAAGCTCAAGAGGCAGGTGTTAACGTCACGATAGAACTAGGTGCACATCTCATGCACGATTATCCAATGTTCTTTTCTTATTTTCCTGAGGCACAAACTACCTTGAACAATATGAAACGGTGGGTGCAAACAGTATTTACGAAATGATATCATCCACCAATAAACTTTGCTTCTTTTTTTTCTAAATGTCGTTATTTTTCTCTCGGTGCAATTGTATTCATAAAATGATTGAATAACCAATAAAAGATATTGACCCATACTCTTCATACATTCTAATTATATAACAAACATATTATTGCCTTTTTTTTTCATCGCCTGTTTTTTTCGTATGAATAGGTAATACGAAAAGGGCGTTAACCAGAGGAAAGAAAAAGAAATACTCATAGCACATGCCTTAACGATCATGATTAGACACCGATGATAATTGCGCAGTTAATAATCATAAAAATAAATCAAATATTTGATTTTTATGGTTGATTGACCAAACAGATTCAATCTTTTCCATTGATAAAGGTTCGTAGAGAAAAGACGATTCGGTCGTTCTCAAGTAGATACCATGTGATGTAAAACATCAAAATGATAAGAAGTAAACCACGTAGTGCATCTGTTATCAGACAAACAAAGACAATAAATATAAGAAAGAACAATCTTTCATTGTTTTTCGAGAAAAAAATGTCATTCTTAACTGGATTGCTAAAATCAGTTGTTGTTGTTGTCTTAATTGTTGCTATTGCCATTCCGTTGAGATACGGTTCGACAGACTATCCGTATCTCCGTGCTCGTGTGGCTCATTCACTGTTAACATTTCGATATTCGTTTGCATCAGATCCAGATCGACCTCATTTAACCGCCGAGTATCGAGCTTTCGAAACGCTACTACGTCTTCGACCATTGCTCGCTGATCATCTATATGCAGATCCCAGTCAAGCTATTAAACTTTTACGTTTACATGTTCGTTCGAATAACGTCAGCCCCAAACCATCAGAGTGTCAAATTGACAAAGAAGTGTTTGTTCATAATCAACATTCGACTGATGGATTTTGGATAAATCATCCGCCGAGAACTTTTCAGAAGAAAATCGATAAACTTCTACTGTACTTTCACGGTGGAGGATATGTATTCGGTGATATCGAAAGTAAGTGATTCATCATAGAATTGAAAAGAAAATATGCTTTGCACTCGATAGCCTATCGTGGATTTGAATGTTATCTCTCACAACTTTTCAATATGACAGTACTTCATTTGGAATATCGCCTGTGTCCTGAACATACATTACCAGCTGCAATAGAAGATGCAGTGGCTATATATCGAGCAATTCTTAACCAGGGCGTTTCTTCATCACAAATTATGATCATGGGCGATTCAGCCGGTGGCGGTCTTTCTCTATTGACAACTCAAGCTCTACTGACTCAACAACTACCTCTACCACGTGGTGTTATCGTTCTTTCACCATGGGCTGATATATCCATTTCTAGTGAGAGTTATACACGAAACAAAGACAAGGATGTTATGCTTCGTTTCGACCAGAAAGAATGGCTGATAGAACAACTGCTCGGTTCGAATGCTTCGCAGTTGTCAGCCGATCATCACTCTGTTAGTCCATTATTCGGTTCATTCGAAGGATTTCCATCTCTATTTATCAATGTTGGTACAGCCGAAACGTTAGAAGATGATTCCAGAAAAGTTTTCGCCAAAGCTAAAGAAGCCAAGGTGGATGTTACTTTCGAAGAAGGTGAACATTTAATGCACGTTTACCCAATGTTCTTTGGTTATTTTCCTGAAGCGAGACGTACATTAGAAAATATTCGTCAATGGATTCAAACGAAATTCGATCAAAAATTGAACACTTAACTTTTTCTTCTAACAATATAGCATTCATGTTCATATCCGGCAATGTTTGTTTTATTTTTGCATTTCTTTTAGAAAATTTCATCACATCGCTAATCGATTTAAATATGTAATGTTTGTATATCTCATCTTCATGCAATATCTAACAGATGGATGTGATGTCGCCAGTAGCTGTATTACTTTTTCTCTAACATCAATTTCGCGTTTTTCCTCTTAGTTCGTTTCATCTAAATATTTGCCATGTGCCTTTCACTTAGTTCGGCTGTCTGATCGAACACATTGAATTCTAATTGTTTTTCTTTCTCATGTGACCGTCGACGGGCGCCACCATTCCTCCCATCTCTGTCATTTTTGACACATATGCCCGTCGGTTGCTAGCATATACAAGAAGAGAAAAAAATGAGAACGAGAGGAGAGAGACAGGGAGAATAAAACAGAAAGAAGGAATGAGATGCGAGAAAAAGTTCAGAAGACGAAGATGAAGAAGGAAATTGGAGATATGCCAAATAGGAAAGCAAAATTTTCTTCATGGGCATTGAGCCAATTGGCTGTTGGAAATGAGAGGAGGACGAGGTCAAGCACAAACAATGGCCGTCGGATATATTCTCTATTTCTGCCGTCCGCGTTCATTTCCTTCTTTTTCTTTTTTTCTACACTGTGCCTATATAAAGAAGATGCATGTCAGACATTGTCCGAACACAAGACTAACGGGTAAGGTCATCCAAAATTCGATCGAGATAAGGTAAATGGGTTTATCGTGAAAAGATCTTCTATGAAAGACATGGGTAGTGAGATGTTGATTCACGATTTCTCACCTTACTAGTCTGTCTTTCCAAAGAATGTCTTTTCGATTCAACTGAACGTGAGAAATGAATTGAAAAAAAAAAGAAAATTTCAATGAAATGATTTTTGATTTTGTGAATTGAAACTATTCCGCCTACTGGTTGTGATTATGTGTCAAAGAATACGGAAATCATATCACAGCCAGCTTTGGTGGAATGGAAATCACATGACTCGACACGACGACGATATTCTTTGTGTCATCAAAGGGACTGTGTCATGTGCCGGATTTTCAAAATTCATATCACAGTCCTGCTTTGTTGACATGAACACGAATTTCCTCGTTTTTCTTTCTCATAGGTTACAATGAAATGACTAATTCTGTTTTTTTGGTTATTGTCAAACAGGCGAAAAGAAACAACGTATTTGAACTTTCACGGTTTCGTTCCTTGTGAATGTACTTATCAACTTTATGATCACTTTTTTCACACACTCGATGTATGTGACATTTGATTAGAATTGGAATTTTGTATGACGGAATTCTTAGAATGAATGTTCACGATAGAGGAAAATTGACATTTACAATGGACGTCCGATGACAGCCAATGAGTCATGTGGTGCGAAAAAAATTGACAGCAGAAAGGAAAAGAGAATAGAAATATGTGTATGTGTGTGAAGCTTGATTTTGTTTTTGTATGAATGCGTTTTTATTGATCAAAAAATAAATTTGGCAAAATATTATTCTTGTTGAATCTACTTGCTTGAAAAGTAACCGATTTGTTTGCGGGGGGAGTCTCAGGAAATGATATTGGTGGCTGAATGTACGAACAGTACACATTGATATGAAAAATAAGGAAAAGATAGCGAAGATCGATGCAGTTAGAGTAGGATGGTTGTCAGATGTTCGGAAGACTACATGCCGTGTTTTCTAAGGAGAATCACGTTGTATTTGTAGTATTTGGGAAGGGAGAAGTGGAAATTATGTGCGACAAAAGCAATCGTAAACCATAATACTTGAACAAACGGGAGAATTGGTGAGCCAGTTGAATTCTAATGATGTGGTAGAATTTGTTTGAACAAGTCTGTTGCAGAAAAAGTGGATATTGATAAAAGTTCTTTGTTTAAGCTTGTGCTATATATGTGCCAAAGAATAGAAAAGAAAAAAAATGCGCTGAATTCCTATGCGGATGTATTTTCTGTCATCAGAGCCGCGTGCTTGGAGAAGTTTGGTTATCCTAATGGTAAATATTGTATCTCAGAAGCAACAGAAATAGTTGCATTGTGCAAAGTTATTGCGGTAAAAAAGTTTTTTTTTCTACCGGACAGAGAATATTTTGCAATACTTCTGTATTTTCTTGTTGTAGTTCCATAATAAACTACGGTATTGACCTTATGGTGGTGCTCCTGTTGCATCACTTGATCAGCATTGAATATAGGATAAACTTTTCAAACCAAAGAGGTATGTGCTATCATTTAGATATGAGAAAGTTCTTTTTCAACTCTCAATATATACTTGTTTTACTTTTAGTCTGGTTAATTTAATCCGTTCTATAGGAGAAAAAAAGATGAATATGAACGCGTTTCGTAAATCGCGAAAATATTGCAATAGTCGTTTATTAATTATAGTTTTACAAGTAGTCATTATCGTTATGATACTGAAGAGTGAGGTACACCAAACATCGTCTTCAAATCGAGTGTTCGTCAAGAATTTAACAGTATCAACGAAAAGTGAAATTACGTTAACAGAATTAGATAGCAAATACCTCACGAGCAAAGGACGTCTGCATCATTACACTCGTTTCTATGAACATTATTTAAGTAAGTATCGGAATACATATTTTCGTTTACTGGAAATCGGACTTGGATGCGGGATGGCATGGGGTGTTGGAGTTTCGGCTGCATTGTGGCGAGAATACTTTGGCCCAATGGCTGATATTCATTTCATTGAATATGATAAACAATGTGGTGAGAAATGGTCCAAACAAATTGGTCAACAAGTATGCGGGAAACTATCTTTCGAATGAATCTTTTAATTGAACCTTTTAGTTGAACATAACGATACATTATGGATCTCAGGATGATAAATCATTTCTTCAATCGTTCGCTGAAAATTTTACTAATAGTTTCGATGTTATTATTGATGATGGTGGGCATCGAATGATACAACAAATCAATAGTTTAGCCATTCTCTTTCCTACTGCTCTTCGCTCCGGTGGTATTTATTCGGTTGAAGATCTGTATACAAGTTATTTAACTGAATATGACGGAGGTTATTTAAAATCATCGACGTTCATTGAATATCTGAAAAAATTAATCGACGATATTCAATCGAAATCACCTACTTATAAACAAAGTGTACTCGGACGACTTGTTCATTCATTGGAAATTAGTGATAAAATATGTCTTTTCACCAAGAAGTAATCAAATCTCCAATGAAAAAAGCCAAATAGACCATTCACACTTTGAATCGGTTATAGATGTTTTTTTTTATATAGTCGAAGGTCATCGGTTATATTTTGTTAAAGATAAATTGCTACTGAATCATCACTGACTGCGTAGTGTTGCATTTTACTTTTAGAAGAACATTCTGGTGAGTGTTCGATCGAGATAGTCGATACGATAGCATAAATACAGTTAAATTTATACGGAATAATGATGCGTATTTGCATCTGAAAGTCATATTGACAGAGTCAATATTGGTAACTGATAAACAGTATAGATCTACTATCTGTATCAAGAATGAAAGCGTAAGCAAATTTGAGATTTCTTCTATCATACCATTTAGTTTGTAACTCAAGATGAAAAACGTGCTAGTTTCGGTTTAATGATGTGAAGTAGTGGTTATGGAGTGAAAGAAGATTGCTTGCTTGGGAACAGTTAAATATGGAGACTATTGGTTATTTTTGAATAAGATTCTCATGCATAATCGTACGGAAGAGATTTCAAGTGAATCAATTGAGTCCTTGATGCTGTAGTCTCAAGAAGCACTCATTGATGATGCATTAAGTTCACCTGATTATGTTTCAAAAACACAGCCTACTTATCTTCTTAAATATTACAGTCTGTGAAACCGTTCTGAAGATTACCTATACGAGTGAAAAGAATTTCCATAATTCATTTAATTCTTCTTCAATGAGCGTACGAACTTGGATAGAAATCAGCTTTGAAATTTATGTATCACTCCGTGATATTTTCATACATATTTCAACTACGTATTTTCTTTTAGTCAATGAGTGCACTTGATTTGAAATATTCACTTGATTTTATTCAAAAATAACCATCGATCCGCACCAATTTAGATTGCATATATAAATTCTGCAAAACATTCACTTTTCTTCAATTGATCTGAAATTTTCTACAATATGAAGTCGACTCTTCTCATCACCGTACTCATTCTCGGCATGTTAGCTTGTTTGGCTACCAGTGCACCGACAGAAACAGCTGATTCTCTTGAACCACGTGCTTGGGACTTCTGGTGTACAGTTCAATGTGGCTATTGGAACTATTGCATGTTGAAAGGAAAACAATGTGGCACGGAACCAAGCGGCTGCGACTGTCGACATATTGGAAAATAACTCATGAATGACATAATTTCCTTTTTCTTTGCTTACTTTTTCTGATTGAAAGAATCATTGAATCAATTCTCATGATGTAATTTCAAGAGAAAATGACGTATTTTCAAAAGTTGTTCCATTTATATAGACTATTAGTTGGCGAGACAAGAAAACCACGAGTAATGGTTTCAGTAGTTGAAGATAAAATGTGAAATGCTTTAAACTAGTTTGACAAATCGTTGTTTAGAACGATGGATGAAAGCATTTGAAAATCTTTGCCTTCTTTTTATTTTGAAGAGATTTTCATTGATTATCGAAGACGGTAGTGCTGGTGACGAGACGTTTTTCGATTAGGTACAGTTGGAATTTTGTTTAGCCATATGTAATATAGAGTTCATTGAGAAGGAGATTGCACTATCTATTCGTGTTCACAAGTACTCATTAAACTTTATCAGCATCATAATAAGATTTTCCACGTTGATATACAATTGTTGCCTAGAGCATGTTCTTTCTTCATTACAGGTACTGATGATCCTCAATTTATCATCGAGTATAAGTACGCAGTATTTCGATATTGAATTACAAGTGAAATCAAATCCAAATGAGTTCATTAATATAGAAACTCACCGTTTTCGTTCTTTTACCCAATCAAATTGGAAATAAAGACAGACTATGTTGGCATTCGACATTGTGCATAAATAATGTAAAAATAATCTTTTCTCTCCATTGTATTTTATTAAACACCTACTTACTTTTAATATTATAGACACTTCAATCACATAATCTCACAGGAAATACTATTCGAGATGAACAAGCATGTTATATGGTTTTTTTTCGTTGAAATACAATACAATAAGAGTCATCGTCATAAATCCCTTGATTTTTCTAACGAAACAAAAAAACTTTTCTCATCCAATCCGAATAATGCATTACAATAGAGAAATTCTCTAATTGAATTCGTAGTGATTTCAGTCATACACAACGAAGATCTATGACAGCAAGAAGACGCAGTCGAGTTTTACGATGTTATCTACTCGGGTTCTAGATACTTAGAACAATTAATCTCACTTTAAGTCGTATCGAAGAAGAAGTATCAAAGGATTATGATCGGAGATCCAAATCGATTAATACAGATGAGACTCAAGTTGGAAATTCGTCGTTCATCCATAAGAAAATGTACTTCTTCATATATTTTTTTTGTCTATTAATAAAGAATAAAGAAAAGTCAATAGTAAAAGATCAGCAAACAACTGATGATAAAATATATTCGATGAAGAAAATGAATCATTAAAGAAAACTCAAAACAACAGACAAGAGAGAAATCAAAACCGGAACTAAGTATGCGAAGTGTTTGGTTGATGAGTTACACAGGTCACTCGTACATTTACATAACGACATGTCAGGATTCTGCGCATCTAACTGTTGGCATTGATCATCACCTGATGCGCTTCCTGACTTGGGAAATTTCATATATTTGATTAAATCGTTCATACAACCACGTTCTTCAGCTGTTTTAAAGAAGACTTTAAATAAAACAAAAGAGGCAACAGATGTGAATCGAGACGAAGAAAAATTCTTTCTCCTTACCTAATTTGAAACAAACATTCGAAGGACAATCAATAGGTTTTTCTAAACATGTATTATCACCGACACAACACAAAATAGACGAGACAGTTATTGATTGAAAAGCTATCGGAGATAAAAACAAAATGGTTCGTTCATCTCTTCAAATAACATCGAACTTACATAAGAAAATACAAAATAATTGCCACTTTCTCACCACCATCCTTGAAGATTGAAATAATTATTATTCATTATTATTTCTAAAAACCAAATTAGATCAGTTATTTGTCATTGACTGCATTTGCACAAAACACTTCACAGGAACTATATCGATTTTTCCTCCATGCGAGAAAAGAACGCACTTGTTCTCAATTGTTGAATCAAACTGAGACAATAAATAAAAAATAGAAGATTTTTCTTCCCTCCTGTTCCATAGAAAAAAAAAAGCATGAATGACTTTGCGATTTCTTGTTTAATGTTTCATTTTCTATTTTTCTCACTCTTGTTTTATTCAACAGGTATTCTTTATGTGAAGTTATATCTGAAATAACCAACAAATTCAATGCTCGACAACCGAAGAAAAGAAAATACTGATGCAAGATTCAAATACAGGATCTGACGTAATTGATTCCTATCAAATAGAGGGGGAGAAGACGAGCAGAAAAAAAAAACGAAGAAGAAATTCCATCTCATCTATTTCTGTTGCTTGACAAAGTCCCATGAGATTAACATGACTTGAATCTTGTTTGCTACTCATACATATCTCTTTTTGGGACAAGTGAACTGTCGAGTACTCATCTGTTTTAGTGCGCGGGAAAGAAATAAAGTTGCTTGTATGATTCTCTACCTTGTTCTCTCTTCTCGGACATCTTACAGATTCTTTGTACTTCCGGTAAACTAAAAATAGTCTCCTCAACATCGTTTTTCTCTTGCCTAAAGACAATTTCAACGAATTGAGATGATCAAAATACACCCACTTGATTACACAAATCAACAAATACCAGAACACGTAAAAAAGAATTAATTATGAACCATTAATAATTTTATTAGTCTTCGCCAATTCAATATCATTATTGTTCACATACAAAGACTCGATTGTTTCGGACTAATAATAAAGATAACGACAGTTATACGAACTGTTCTTCCATCTATCAAGTTTTCTACTCGACGCCCGTCGTCTTGCATTCCATCAATGAGCAACACACCAAGAAAAAGAAAGAAACAATAGGAATAATAATAATAAAAGAAGAAGAAGAAGAAGGAGAAGAAGTAGAGACGGAACTGCCGTCGGCTCAAGACTTGTGATTAGATCGGCTACGAATTGCAATAAGGTATGACGGAATTCATTAATCGAAATCTACGTTCGTTACAAATCTCAATGAGTAAAAAAAAACATTGATTATCATGCAAGTTTTCATACACGGTAGCGTGTACTTCGTTCGATAAAGAACTTATGATATTATTGTATATAAGAAACGGATTGTTAACTCTATTTGTACGATAATCAATTTATTGACAAGTAACAGATGGGATTTGTAGGCAAATTTCATTATCCAATAACGATAGTTTCGAAAGATCTTCACATCGAAGTCGAGTTTCTCTCTGACAAGGAAAAAAGACAGTTAAACTCGAGTAGGAGAATTCAAATGTATTCGAACGGATGTTGTTGAAGGTGAAAAAACACGACGGAAAACGATGATTTTGTTATTCATTAACGATATTTTGATCAACGTAAGAAAACAAAAGAAACACTTGCCGTTATACTTACGTGATTCAATGGTATTTATAGTTTCATTTTCCTTTGGAGTTAGAACGTCGAAGTTCGGGTGATTTGTAGCGTTAGAAAAGAATGGCATTCACTCGCATCATCTTATTTGGTACATTGTTTCTCTCTTTTTTTTTTCTTCTTTCGCAAGAGAAAAAAAAATCGAGAGGCGAGAAACGGGAGGAGCAGAAGCAGAAGCAGGAGAAAACGAAAGAGCATCGTTTTCCTTATTTTTGACGTATGCAAATGTGCGTAGAGATATGTGTCTATGATGAGATCTTCTGAGATTTCATTGAAACAAAATCAAGGAAGCCAAATATATGTTTAAGAACCGTTCATCAAAGAAATTTGATACAAAGAAGAATACATTGTCGTATGTTCAAAATCATCCAATGAAATGAGTTTCTGCGCGGAAAGAAAATAACTGTGAAATTATAAATTATATTCTTGCAAAGAAAATGATCTCTCTATGGTGCTATTCACATTCCTATCATCATCGACAATTTGCCGGAAATAATAACAGGATGTATCTCATTTACAGGCGTTCATAGAAAGACAATATGATGATGAGTTCAGTCAGCACGGATTGACAAATGTTATAGTTATCACGTTCTCTGCGCAACTAGTTTTTTGTTTTTTTTTTCTTCTCATATTCAACTGTCAATCATTTATCCACATCAAGGAATGCAAATTCATTGTCATTCGTATTCGATTTCTCTGCATAGAACAACTCGGACAGTTGTTCGACGAGACTATTCGATTACATATATATGAATATATTCAAAAGAAACTCTCTCTGTCTGTCTGAATAATTATCACATTGTATGAAATATTAAATAAATCAGAATTTGATATCAACAAGTTGAGACGAACTCGTCTGAAATGTGCATGGAAGTATTTCATCGATATTTGAAGTATTCATATGAAAAACAATCTTTCATTCAATTCTTTACACTCGCTGACTGGCATTTGTTTTTCGGAATACAACTTTTTTTTTCTTCCAACAGAGAAATGTTGATAGTCATTGATGTAGAGACTTGCATTGACTATTATTTCCATCTGATTGGATCATGATTTGAAATAGCCGGACGTTTGATTATTTGCGAATAAGAAAGTATGCAATAATTGTTAATCAACACGAAAAAAGGGCTCCGTTGGTATCAGATGTACATGCAAAGTATCCGCATTACCTTCAAATTGTGAGTTTAAAAACGACAGAAGTACTTGTCCTGTATGTTCAATAAATATTGGAGATGATCAGAAGTTCGAATGGATATACATATATATAATCCATCTAGATCGACGACTGTGCAAAACATAAATCATTTCTTGTTTTGTCGTCAAACTAAATTTTAATTTTGAGATTACTGACAGTGGAATATTTATTGTTCGTTGCTGAATTGGCTTTGTAATGACGTCAAAGCAATCTAAGCGAGTTATTCATTTCTTTCAAGTTGAAAAGACGTCAAGATTAATCGACTCGAGTCTAATGAATTCAGGAATAAGCCCAGTCATCTTCCGTCGTTTTGTTCATGTCAAAACACGTAATAAGTGCAGATTTAGTTGGTAATTATTTTACCTTACTTAAGCTGAATACGATATGAATTTTAATAAAATCATATATGATTAATCATCTCTCAAGATCTTTTCCCTACTTGACAGTGCAGAATGGTCTCTAGCCGATTCTTTTCACTTGATCATAACTATACTACAAAATACAAAAGTAAGTAATTAATAATAAATCTCTTCTATATCTTCAGGCAGCTGAACCGGATAACCGTACTTTTTGAGAATACTATAAGTATGATTATTTTGTAGATTGAATTAAATATTAATATGTTGTACGCACGGCTTTGGGTAGTTTTTGGTGGTATCTTGATTTTGGCATCCGCTGCTTTGTACATGGCAAGTGCTATTCTACCCTCATGGTAAAAATAAAATTCTAAAGTATTCTTAGAAAAGAGCTCGAAAGAATTGTCGTTCTGTTGTAGGGGTGTAAGCCAAGAGAACAATAGAAGTTATGGCTTATGGAAATATTGTATACGAGAAGATTGTTGGAAAATTCCTCTCTCGTGTTCGAGTTTATCGGCTGATTCTCTTCAAAAATGCATGAATTTGATCATTGTGCGAATGTTTCTTATTTTATCATGTATATTCTCTGGTATAGCTGCATTGATTATAATCAAGGTCATACTCAAAGGAGGAAATCCGAAAACAGTAGACGGACTTAGAATGCTATCTAGTGCGTCTTTTACATTTAGTATTATTGCTTTTCCGATCGGTATAAAATGGACATTAGATCATCCATCTACAAAGCTAAGTACAGCTGCGATTTTGGCTATAGTTGGCAACGGTGTCAACTTCATTGGTGCTTTGATTATTTTCATAACACGTAAACCGAACATTGCACCCAGCGATTCGACTGTTGGTGTTGTGAGTGGTGAATAAAAATGCTGCTTAGATTGTCTAAAACAAAGAATATTATATACATATACTTATAATTGCATCGCTTCGATAAAAAAAAACACTCCACCCAAATCTTATATGTGCTATCTTAAATTTTGTATGTTTGTTCTGACTGATATATTTCTATTGCTTTTTAAATAAAAATGAGCGATTTGATGATGCACATCAATGGTGAATGTAAGAAGTTCAAAGAATATTCTTTATTTCACATTAAACGACGTTAGAAAAATATGAAGTAAAATTTATACGGTCATCATAGGTTTGTTGAATTGGAAACAGTCATTTCTTGTTTTGTGACATGACTAATGTTGGTAATGGTTTGATGTCAGGTAGGACCATCTCTTGTCTAGCAGTTGGATTGTTCAATATCGTTTCTTTCTTGTAGTATTCAAGAAAGAGATCACTATTCATTAATTGTGGGTTTTGACGAAGAAATTCTTCGAATGTGAGATCTTTAGGACTTTGTGCAATAGCTAAATCAATCATCTGAATCCAGAAATACGTCATTGTAAAGTGAAATGTTGTTTTTCGAGCTGTGTCACTATTTGCTATGAAATTTTTGATTCCGTCGAATATCTTATTCACACCTGTCCGTCGTCCGTCACGTGTTAGATAAATCCAAGTCATTCGAACGTGTGTTTTATGTGACCAATTCGTTAATGTACATGTTTCGAATTGTCGTAAAAATTCGTCGTCATCCAACTTTTCGATTGATTGATCTTCAATTTGATTAGTTATCGTCTTAGATGTTGTTGAAGGTAAAATATCGGGTAACTTTTTAACATCTGGTAGTACAACAGACTTTTTTGCCGCATCACCAAACAGTGTTTCTCTCTTGTAGTAAACTAATGGAAATTCGCTTTCATTCAGTAGTTGAGGATTCATCAATAGAAAACCAGGAAAGTCATTCGTCGGATTCTTTGTTGCTTCTCGTGCATAGTGAACAATCTGAATCCAGAAGTAGGTTAACGTTTCATTCATATCATCGATGTATGTTAGAAGGTGTTGAAATATCGATTTGATCGTTTCTTTTCGATTGTGACACTGTAAGTAGCTCCAGATGATTCGTAGGAGAGATCGATGATCGAATTGTTCGGAAAGTAACTGATGTTTTTGAAATTTGTCGATAAATTCTTCATCAGAATCTTCGTCTTCTTGCGATAGCCATTGCAAAGTTTTATTCGTTTCATGATAAGTATTTTCGTTCTCCGTTGTCGTTTCAGTCGATTGCGTTTTAATGAAATTGGATGGTGAATTAATCGCACGCATTAACCAGTCCAAACCTTCGAATATACCATCGCCATGTGTGGCCGAACACGGTTGTACATGCCATGGTCTATTCCGAATATCGTTCAGTCGCATTTCTTTAATAAGTTCTTCTTGAGTTAAACTGACCTTTAAATCCATCTTATTCATATATATTAATATCGGTATTTCACGAAGCTCATCTTCCGGCAGTACTTTGAGGAGACCTTCCGTCGCTTCGGGCAATCGTTCTCTGTCGTTTGCGTCGATAACATACACAATTGCTTGTGTATTCTGAAAATAATGTCGTATCAATGCACGGATTTTATCACGTCCTCCTACGTCCCAAAATGTTAAGTCAGTTCGTTTGTATGTGACAGTTTCGACATTAAAACCAATAGTAGGTATTGTTGTAACTGTTTCGCCTAGTTTTAATTTATAAAGAATCGTTGTTTTACCTGATGCATCAAGACCCATAATTAACACTCGATATTGAGGTTTACCAAAGATTTTAGTCAGCATTGTACGAATGTATGTCGACATGATAGAAATAAGAGTTTGAGGTAAGTGTGATTTGCTCTATTTCATCAAAAAAATATAATATATTTATATACTTTCACTCTATTCTTTCCTTTTCTTTCCATTCTGTTCTATGACACGTTGGCAAAAATAACGACACGTGAGTATTGCAAAAGCATTGAGTCAGAATCTACGAAAAATCTTCTTTCTTTTGTCATAAATTCATGAAAATTTATTGAACTACAAGAACTTTAACTAATAGACAAAAAAATGCTTGAATAAATTATTCAAAATATGGGTTGTCTTAAGCAGTTATGAGACCACCCGTGACAGAGAATACTCCACCGGTGATGTATGACGAATCTCTGCCTGCTGCGAGAAATACAAAAACCGGTGCCACCTCTCGTGGTTGAGCTGGACGTTTGATTGGATGCTATAAACGAAAAAGATCCGAATTTCTTCATTTTCAAATCACAGTTCAGCTTACGTCTGCAGCGAATTGTGCAATGTGTTCTTTGGAAAGACTGGATACTATTAACGGAGTCCAGACAGGTCCAGGTGCAACACAATTGACTCGAATACCTTTTCCAAGCATATGACCAGCAAGACCTACAGAACCTATTGCGTACCGGCAAGAAAAATGATCAAGAATTGAATCTACCTTTTGTAAATGCTACGATAGCTGCTTTCGTTGCAGCATAATCAAGAATACCGGCACTAGGGTGATAACTAGTGAAGGAAAAAATGAAAATATCATATATAGTAATGAAAGAAACAAGAAAGATTTACGCTTGAATGGAAGCAACGTTGATAACTGATGATCCTTTGGGCATATGCGGTACAGCAAAACGTGTAAGGTCGAACATTGAAACAATATTTGTTTTAAACGTGTATAAAACGCGCTCGTGACTCATTCCTTCGATCGATTCGTCCTAGAATAACGAACTTTTAAACAGAATCTGTTTTTGTTTTGGTATTTACGAGCATTTTGCCTTGATATGCGGCATTATTCACTAAAATATCGATTCGTTCGAACTTGGTCACTGTTTCATTGATAATTTTTCTACAGTGATCTTCATCGCCGATATCACCAGGCTAGAACAGATCGTGCACGATCAATTATGTTTTAGATCTGACGGAAAACTAGCTAAGTTACTCACAATAAGAATACATTCTTGTCCTTGGTCTTCGATCAATTTTTTAGTTTCTTCCGCATCTTCAGTTTCATTTAAGTATGAAATTACGATAGAAGCACCTTCGCGTGCGAATGCTAATGCCACCGCACGACCGATTCCACTATCACCACCTGAAAATTAACCAAGAAGATCATATTCGCAAGAAAAAAATATATCTGTAGTCACCAGTAATGATCGCTACTTTGCCTTGAAGTCGTTCGTTACCGCCGTAGGATCGATATCCGTAGTCAGGTCGTGGATTCATTTTACTTTCCAAACCTGGATAATCTTGTGTCTCAGCTTCAAATGGTGGTTGAGGACCAGCCTGAATACAAATAAAGCAGAACTATTCGAGGGAGAACGGAGTCGTACAAACCAGTAACGGATCGCCTTTGAGATTACATGGACCACATGCCTCTTCTGAAAACCAGAATAAATATATATTTACATCTATACGGAACTCATCATTCATTTCTCGATGAGTAGTTACCAGTAACTGTCTCAAGTTCCGCTGTAGTCTCTTCATTGATTGATTCTTCCACCGTTGTTTCTAAATTGCGTAGTGTGTAATATTTTTATGAAGATGCTCTCCAACGATTTCAATAAAACTCACCAGTAATTGCAGCACCATTTACTTCTTGTTGAAAGATACAAGGCAGAACTACGCATAGCATCAGTATTGAAAGCCAGTTGAGATGGATAGCCATATTCATTGCTGGGAGTTGAAATGTGTATATAGAAAATTATACTTGTTGCTCTCAATTTATACTCGAAATATACACCGAACTACCCACATTCTCCATACCACAGTATACACGATAGTGAAAGTATGGCATTTACATGCTGCCATCGAGGTCTGACTATATACTGTATGACTTTCATTAAACACAGAGCATATCTCATGTAATTGCACAATCTGAATATTGATTTGTTTCAAGTGCGTTTTCACTTCTCCGTCAGAAAGAGGAGGCTATAATGTTTCGATTACTTCGCTTTGTAAATCAACGGTAGATTGTTTTGCTTTTCACAAAAATGTTGTAGGTTCGATCCCTACTGAAGCACCACTCAATCGAACGTGCGATCCTTCTCTTTTTCCGCCCTCGATCAGTTCAATTCAATTTCGATACATTTATTTTTGACAGAAAAGAAATGAACATGAAGAAAGATCTGTTGATGGTACATGATACACTTGTTCGTCTAAATAGTCATCGACGCTAACAGTTCGACTTTTCCCATGATCAATGACTAAAATGGGTGGCTGTGGAATTGCATCATCGGGATGATGGACTTTCCACACTGCTTTCATAAATGGCCGATACGATCGCTTGATATAGTCCGGCATATCTTTCACATTGGTGTGTCCAGCATCTGCATAGATCTACGAATGACAACAATCGAAATGAACGAGAGTTAGTTTTTTGTTAACTACCTCTAGTCGACAATGTTTTGAATTGACTGTGGCTTCATAAAGTTGCTTTGTGTTCTTCGGATGAATCATTCGATCGTTGAGGCCGATTAAATACATGACAGGTACATGAAATTCATGAACTTTATCAATCGATCGCATTCCTACAGAGAATACCCTCGATGGTAATAGTTTCGCTACAATAGATCTTTCCGATGCAGCAGCCTGAAACTAACAAAACAGAATAAAGTCGAATATAATCAATAGAAAATTATTCTTTTACCGATGTAAAACCGTTTTCTAGGATACACGCATGAATACGTTCGGAATTATGTGGTTCAGTTGCCAGTTGAATAACCAAAGCAACACCCATACTAACACCGTAAACTACAATTCGTTTTCGATCGATCGTATCTAATGTTAATAGATAATCGAATGCTGTTTGAACATCTATATAAGCACCACGTTCGGATTGTTTTCCGGGAGAGTTTCCGAAGCCTCGATAGTCGATAATTAGAACATTTCCGAAATCACGAAAAAATCGATCGGCGATTGAGCTCAAATCTTCGATTTGATGACTAATTCCATGACAGATCAAATATGTATAATGCTCATGACTGTTTTCATGCAACAGCAAAAACGCATGTATATAGGCTTGATCATAGGTGAGTAAATAGACATCTCTAAAACGAAAAAAAAACAGGATGCATTTCATTTGCGCAGTGGAATAGTTTATACTGATATGGATGTTGAGGATGTCTTTGATCACCGTGAACTGTTTGCATCAAACGATGTGTAAGCATCGAATCAAATCTTGGTTTTAATTCACTGTGCTTGTTGATGTACTCCATTTGTTCGAGATGAACCCGGTATTCTTCCGATTGCTTATCGATCGGTGGAGGACCAAATCGTCGTTGGGGGACATTAATTACAGGTAGGCCATTGTATTGTTGAGGAACATTATAGATCGGTTGTTCTTTACCTTCTAGTGCATTCTAGAACATGATGAAATGCATAGGAAATTACGGAATGTAGAAGGCCAGTTTTACTTCAAGTCGAAGGTCATCTTCATGCGATTTTTGAGATGTTCTGCTTTCACGACGTTTCGCCATTCAGTGAAATGATGGTCATAATGAAAGAAGTATTTTTCTTTCTTATCTTTGTTATCATAATGAAACCATAAGTTGATAAATCAACAAAAGATAAGGCTGGGATTGAAGAAAAAACATTTCGAAATTAGATTTCCCGCTTTACAAAAAATCTATTTATTTCGGAGCAATATGTATATAAAGATCAACTCTCAGCTGCAGTATCATCCGTCCAATTAGGTCCGATTAACTCTCTGAGAAAATCTTTTGTACACCAATCTTCCTTTCCGGTATACTTGTCGAGAAAAACTTGTCCAGCACCAATTTTACATCTTTCCGCTGTCCATTCCGGTGCGAGAGCACTGATTATGAATGCATATCCATGGTTTCCACTACGTAATTTCAAAGCTTTAGATGCAACCGTACCCGGAGTTGTTACCAATGGCAGCTCTCCAGCGGTATAATTATGACCCAGAATTTTATGTTCGACATGACCATCTTCATAAAACAGATAATAGTCTACACTATCGCCTTCGACTAAGATATGTAAATCATCTGCATCATCGATTGAATGTAAATAATTGTATGCTAACTGTGGTTGATCTGGTCGTAGGCGTGTGAGCATATAATAGATGTGACTTTGAGCACGTAGAGTAGAATCATGTTGCATACGATGTGGAAGCGATACTTCTATGGAAGACCGATCAATAATCTGATATAATCCACCTTCTTTTGGTAATTCGATCAAATTAAATTGATTTATGATACTGTTCATGCGTGTTTCACCAAATGGAGCGCTGGTTGCATTAGAAATTGTCGACATATTTCATAAAATGTGAAAATGAAATGAGACAAAGGTGAAGAGATAACAAACTCAACGGATTGGTGGGTGTGATAGTTAAATAAAAAGAAATTATCATTCGTGGATCTCACCTACAAGCGCGAAATATGAAATTGTGTATATAACATCATGAACGAACATGTCCATGCCTCAGTAGTTGATAAACTATTCGTTGCGTTTGTATTACATTACTCCATAAAGAATCTAAACGGTGCTGGTGGAAATCAAACACTGTTTCCTGCAATTCATCTATTTTACCTATTCCCTCCTGTTTCATCTAGAGTGTTTTCATCGGTGTTTTTACCGGAACAAATAAACGATTACACTTGCTTCCGACAACATACGTGTGCCGCAAAGTTGATACAATTCATCTTTTTCTTGTCTATCTTTCACATTCAATAAAATATGCTGATTCTTGATATGAATCAAATACAGTTGCATTCACGTCATGACTTTGCTCGGGTTTGAAAAACAAATTGTGCTCTGAGTTTCTATACTTGAGTATCATCGAAGCTCTTCATACGACATCTATTTAACAGAGGTTAAGACACCATTAGAGAATTTCAGTGAGGAAAATGCATCTTGAATTTCCTTGAAGATAGAAACGTGTGACCAATCAGAGCGTATGACTCACGGAAAACACAGGATAGCAACAGCTTTTTGTATAAAGATGTTGCCTCATTCAAAATTGGTCCAAACGGAAGTTGTTCTTGTTTTCTTCATCTTCACATTGCAGCGATTATTTTTACATTGACAGCAAAAATCTCGAAAGCAATAAAAAATTTTTCTTTCTCTATGTCAATGTGTACGCTAAGCAAGAGGATGGTAAAGAAACAGCCGTTTCTAAGCTTTTCTTATTACAGTTATTGTCGAGTGTGACATACAAACGACAATATGTAGAGTAACTTTCATTTTTTTCATCTAGTATTTTCTTTCTCCAACAGTTTTTCTTTTCATTTCTTCGTGTATTTTAAAGTGACCTTCATTTTTCAGAAGACGTCATTGCTTTTTTTTTTTGAAGGCGTTGATGACGTATGATCTGGTGAAATATAAAAATTCCACTGAAAACGTGATTCGTTCGTCTTTAAAAATATATCAGCAGAAATAATTTTATATTCGATTTAGTTGATATAATTTATAATTTTCTTCGATTTTCAATTAGATAAATAAACTATCAAAATGATTGTAATGCCAATAAATCCGAATAGTGTATATATTTCAATGGCACCAAGTAGGACGATTATTGTATTTGTATTAATCAACTCTAATTGCTTTTTTAAATGTTCCTAGATGGATGCTGTAAGTCTGGATTTGATTCGACATATCCTGCACAATTGAACGGAGTCATTAGACAAGACGAATTCCAAACGTCGATCGAAAATATTAATCGATCGATTGATTCACAAAAGTTTATGATTCCTGTTTTGATCATTTTCATTCTATGCTTACTTGGTGGAATGGGCTTGGTAATTGGTGGTAGTCTATCAATAGCGACCTCTCGTAGCACAGGTTTTTTTGCATTAATCGGCGTCGGAGCAGGCCTCTTTATTTTTGGTATGATCTTTTTTACTGTCGCAGCGTGCGTTATACAGGTACGAGTATCGAAACGAATGCGAGCAGCAGTTGCTGCTGAGTCAGCGAAATATTCAACGAGATCAACACCATGTAGTTGGCGAATAGACACGACTGTGACGGTTGTTGGATATGGAAGAAATCGAAGAGCTAGAACAATTTATCACGTAAGAACATCTTAGTAGATACCAGATGAAACAGCTGAACTATGAGATTTCATTTACTGATTATAGCTTATTATCGATATTGGAAGACAAGCAGCTCCATTTGGTGGCAATCCAGCGTATCAAGGTAATTCTTATTCAGGGACACCGAATATGCAGTACGCTCCACCACCTTATTCGGCACAAGCATCTGCAGGCTTTTGTGGTCGATGTGGTGTACCGCGTGTCAATTCAACGATGAGGTTTTGTGCATCCTGTGGTCAAGCATATCCAAGCTAAACGAACTTTTATCTTGCATAATTGCTATACCAAGTCAACTATCAAAGCGAAGAACTAATGCGCTTCATTCCTGATAAACATATCAAATAAAAGTTTATTTCGCTATCGCCATTACTACTCTTTTCTGTTCTATTTTTTTTCTCATTCAAGCTATCAGATAAGATAGTTTCGCATAGTCATTATTCTTTTACATATTTCTTGAGCATTACAGCGTCGCACTTTACGGATTCGAAGAGATGAAGGTTATTTTCGTTGTTGCGATATTCATGTTCGCTCTAATCAATACAGCCGACCAATCGATACACGCAAATGCCCAGATGTATCTATCAGGGACAAATGAGTACATGGGAGAAGTTAATTTTTATATGGAAGAGCAACCTTTTGGTGTTGTTATTTCCGGCTCCGTCAATCGTTTAAGACCTTCGTCGGTTTTAGTAAATCTACTATCCACATAACTAACTGGAAGATGATCTGTGTCTATTATAGGGGTTTCATATACATTCCAAACCTATTGACGATAGTCATAATTGTACAGCTGGTGGTGCACATTTTAATCCATACAGTAGGTTCATTTTACAAAAAATCTATGCCGAAATAATCTATCAATTATAGATGTATCGCATGGAATGCCTAGAGATCCAATCACACAGCGACATATCGGTGATCTGGGTAATATTCAAACAGATGAGACTGGTCGAGCTTATGTTGGATTAGTTGACCATTATATGTCTCTCGGTACTTATAACAACTTAACAAATGTTCTTGGTTTACCCTTAATGATACATAATTTAACTGACGATGGTGGCCATACAGGCAAAGGTCAAAGTAATACAACAGGGTAAGGAATTCGAGTGATACTCTACACAAATAATCTTCATCTTTATAGAAACGCTGGTACATCTATTGCTTGTGGAACAATACGTCTCGGCTAAAAACGCATTTTATTCGATTATATTTTTTCTAAAATAAAGTAATCGAGTTAAATTAATTGTGCCGAACTTATCCATGGTACATTTCCATACTCTTCAAAGGATGTCTCATCTCGAAACAGTTGATAGATCACTTGATATCCTCCCGGTTGTTCGCATTCCACTTGAAATTGATAAGATGCGGTTTGAATATCACCATGTTTGATTTCAGTATTCCAATCGAAAACATAGGTCATATTACAGACGAATATTAATTTCAAACGAAGATTGTTCAATGTATTCCAGCCTTCATTTCTTATTGAAAAGTTTGCAGTTATAATATCACCATTCCGTACGACTCGTGGTAAATTGTCATCTACATATGAAACAAGATCATTGTTTACCGTCGGATCTTTACTTAGATAGATTCGCGCTAATAGAGCGAATGTATAGGGATCAACAAACGTGATATTTGGTTGAAGCTTTTCTACATTTTCTGTGATATTTGCATAATTTGTTGCACTTCGAAGAACGCCTCGGAAAACGACGAATCTTACCGTTTGTGATCTGTAACATGACAGAATTTGTTGCACTTCGGAACCATCGATAAGATCTGTTTCAGTAAAGCTTGGTACTCTCGTTCCTGGAATCAATGCTGTTTCACCCAATGTAGTATAACCTTGTTGACGTGTAAAACCAAGCGGACTAAATTTTGTATACATCAGATCAGACTGATTGGTTAACGGGCCAGCATCGCCATTGATAACGAAACCGGTATGTTTAATGTTGAACTTGTTAAAATAGTAACGATTCCGATCAATCCAGAGAGCATCAGCTCGAGGTAAACCAGAGAACATACGTGGTTCAAACAATTGCGTCGGATTCAAATAACCTGAACCGGAATCTCCACTAACAAAGAAATCATTTGCCGTACGAGTTCGATATAGATAAGAATGCAGCAATGGGAATCGATCGTAAAGATTCGGATTCACTGCCCATGCAACGGGCACACTTCCTCGTTTTGGATCGTCCCAAAGATTTTTAAATTCATTAGCAAACCATGCCGCTGAATCGTAATCACCTCCATAGTAGAGAATATACGTTCTATTCGTGACAATATTCTCCTCATTCAAAAGTCCTCGTTCGATCAATTCTTCACGAGACGGGAAGGAATTTTGAACAAAGCGTCTTTGAGTTTGATTCGATGCATAATGACTATAGAAAGCAGCATTGGCAAAACTATCGAGACAACAAGCATCTGCATCGATAATCACATTAAATGCAGACATTACATGTGCCATACGCCATTCCGATGGCACGCCGCCATGTTTTTCATCAACGTATTTAAAGAGCCATGGTACAAATCCACTAACAGTACTAAACTTCGTCCCATTATGTTGTTGATATGCTTTCTGTAAGATAGCTATCAATGCTTTGTAATCATTTCCAACTGGCTGATGTGGATCATCATTCGGTGCTTCGTCATCCCATGGCGACAAGTCAAAAACAAATCCACGATTTTTAACAATCCAGTCGTGATTTATTGCTAAACTTTCAAACACTGCTTGAGGTGCTTTGGAAGATTGAGACCACCATTTATCGATATAATAGCCAAGGTGAGTACCGTCGGCAAGACGACTAGCTAGAAAATGTTCAGCTGCCCAAACATATGCATCCGTCTTCGCACTGCCAGTTACATTACCACTAAACATATTGACAAAATTTACTTGTACAGGTAATCGAGGACCGGATTGAACGAGTTGCGTATATAAAGAATCGGACGTCGGCCGATAACAAATCGGAAGAAGATTATAAACACCCGATGCAGTCGATGCTAAATTCGAAGTTGCAGGAACATTGGGATCATAGAGAACTACACCTTTGATATCATCTGAGAAATACCGAACAAGATCAACTATTGATGATATTACAGTATAATTTGCATCTTCAGGCCAATCAATCGAAGACATATATGACAACCAACGGATATCGGAATCACCATAGATTGTGAAAAGTCTTGGCGCATCACGATTCGCTAATCCACTCAATGCACCTAGCAAATGAGCATACTCATAGATATCATCAAGAGATAGTTTCGTTGAAGGACGTAAATCGTACTGTAAAATATTTGTTGCCGCTGTCATTATCAAGGCTAAAGCAAAAACGACGAGTTTCACTACTCCGAATGTCATTATTTTCTATACAATCGTGAGTATGAAAGTCTACCTCGTTGTTTCAAAACTATCGTGTTATATAGAAGAAACAGATTTATCATCATCTCAAACCAAGTTATCTCCATGAGTCTGATATCGACACACTGCACACACATATTATCTCGTATAACTTCAAACTATATAGAAAAAGAAATAATTTATTTGCATAAAACAAAAAAAAAAACTTCCTCGATCGTCGAATTGCACAAAGTTTCTTAGGATATAATCCATAATGAAAGACAATGATATATAAGTTTATTATATCTCTAAATTTCAGTTTCGTTGATTTCTTCCGAAAGCCGTTGAACTTTATAACTAATGATTTGTCGATCTTGATTTGAATCAGGTACACATTGTTCATAGATATCCAGTGCTTGTTTATAGTAACTCAATGCCAATTTCAAATGACGAAGGCGTTCATAGCAACCACCTATACTCGATAAACTCTTGCCTAGATCTTCATGATTTGGCATGAGAACTTGTTCACGTATCAGGAAACATTTCATTTCATAGATTAACGACAGATTATGCTCGCCACGTACACGTTGTATGTCGCTCAATGTTTGAAGTGTTTCAATAATCGAAGCGTGCTCTTGGGACAAACAAATCTGGCGAACATGAAGGCATTTTTCATAATATTCAATTGCTCGATCGAAATCTGACTTTGTATAGCAAATTAAACCAATCCATTGTAAATATCGAGCGATCTCAAAATGATCAGTCGGATAATATGTTTCGTAGATAGTCAATGCACGTTTGTAATAATCGAAGGATTCATCGTACTTTTCCTGCCGACTTAAACTACTCCCAATCAAACTATAGATAACTGCGACATCAGCGTATCGATTCGAGAGATATTTTTCATATATAGCCAGTGCTCGATGATGATAGTTAACTGCTTCAACATATTGTCCTTGTCCTCGTCGGATATTACCCATATGATTGTAACTATCAGCAAGATTCAAATAACCCGATGAACAATACATTTCTCGAATATGTAAAGCACGCTGTTGATATTCGTATGCTTCGTCAAATCGTTCACATTTATACAGAGCATTACTGATGTTACTAATCGTTGTTGCAATATCAGCTTGACGTGTTGGACAATGTGTTTCGAAGATGGCTAAAGCTTTTTTGTAGAATTCAATCGCTTCATTATGTTTATCTTGAGCAATACGAATAATACCCATATGATTATAACTGATCGCAATGTCGATATAAGCTGTCGGACAATGATTTTCTCGAATATGTAACGCGCGTTGTTGATATTCGAACGCTTCATCATATCGTCCGCATTTATGTAACGCATTTCCAATATTACTGAGTGTTGTTGCCATATCAGTCTGTCGTGATGATAAATGTTGTTCATAAATATTCAATGCTTGATAGTAATATCCAAGTGATTCAGGATAGTTCTCTTGACTAATTCGTATATTACCCATATGGTTGAGACCCACAGCTATATCAGCATAAGAATTCGGAAAATACTTCTCACGAATAGCTAGCGCACGTTGTTGGTAGTCGAACGCTTCTTGATCCTTGCCACATTTGTAAAATGCATTACTAATATTGTTCAGAGTTGTGGCCAGATCGGAATAACGTGCCGGATAATATTTTTCGTAGATATTCAATGCACGTACATAGAAATCAATTGCTTCACTGTAGTTTTCTTGATTGACACGAATGTTACCTAAATGATTAAAACTATCCGCGATATTCATATAGGCTGACGAAGATGAAGTTTCACGAATACGTAACGCGCGTTGTTGGTATTCAAATGCTTGATCATATTTGTCCTGATGATTGTAACTACGTCCAATGTTACTCAAGATCGTAGCGATGTCTGTTTGACGTGATGGAGAATAGGTTTCATAAACATGTAAAGCTTGTTGATAATAAGTGATCGCTTCATCGTATTTACCTTCACCATAACGAACAATACCCATATGGTTCAAACTATTTGCTGTATGCGCATTATCCGTTTTGTAATATTTCTGTTGCAATTCCAAGGCCTTCTCATGATTGTCAAATGCTTTACTGTATCGACCTAAACGATAAAGAATCTTGCCAATATCATTTAAACTACTAGCATGATATGTGTAGTCAGCTGGATGTGATTTTTTGTAGATTTCAATTGCACGTTGATGATATCCGAGTGCTTGGTCGTAATCGCCGTGATCGCTAAGAATATTTCCAATATTAGCAAGACTGTGCGCAATATTAATGTTATCGGGTGCATAATACTGTTCGTGCATGGCCAGTGCTTGCTTGTAATGATCAAGTGCTTCTTCGACTTTGCCTTGTTTGCTTAAATTGCTTCCGATATAGATTAAACTTTGAGCTATGTGACCGAGAAATGACGGATAACATGTCTGTTGAATTTTCAAAGCACGGCGATTGAAATTCAACGATTCATCATAATTTTCATGACCATTTAGAAGTATGTAAGCAATATTATTCAATGTACACGCTATACTTATATGATCAGATGTGTAATATTTCATTTGAATGGCTAAAACTTGCTGATGAAGCTCTAATGACTCGACATACTTACCAAGTCCATATTTAATATTACCCATATTACTTAAACTAGTCGCCAATTCGATATGACCAGACGGGTAGTACTTCTTTTGGATAAGCAATGCTTTCTGTATGAGACTTGTTGCTTCATCGTACTTTTCCTGTCGGTATAAAACATCGACAATGTTATTTAATGTCGATGCAATGAAAACATGATCAGACTGGTAATACTTGTCATAGATTGACATTGCCTGTTGATGATATTCTAATGCATCTTTATATTTACCTTGATCGGTATAAATACAACCAATATTTGTTAAACATATCGCTACGTCAATATGTAATGAACCGTAATAATTCTGTCGGATAGTCAAAGCTTGACGAAGATATTTCAATGCTTCATCATATTTTAATTGTTGATGGTAGATCAAGGCGATATTTTCTAAGCTTCCTGCTATATGTACATGATCTGGATGGTAGTATTTTTTTCGAATAGTTAATGCTCGTTGATGAATATCATGCGCTTCCTCGTACTTGCCTTCTAAGTGTAAAATTTCGCCGATATTTGATAACACATCTGCGGAGTCTTTCTCTCGGCTCGGCTCCGATTCGATCATGTGTTTATAAGCACGATCATAATATTTTCGTCCTTCAATCCATTCTCCTTTCCAGTGATGGGCCTGTCCGAGACTGTGTTCAATCCCAGGTACATCTTCATGAGACAAATCAGTCAGTAAGTGTTCGAAGTAGTGCTGTGATTGATTCCATTGACCCATATCTGAGATTAAACGACCGAAGATAATTGGAAGACTTAAATTTTCAATTTGACGATGAGTGTCGTCGATGTATTGCTGTAGAATTCGTTTTCCATCATTGACTGCAATCAATTTGATTTCTTTGTCTCGATCAATGGATTCGATACGAAATGTTGCATTGCAATCAAAGAGAACTTTGTCATCGCGATGAGCGAAAGTGACGTTGTTTATGTGACATTCGATTTGAAAAATTGTACCAGTGATAGTTGATGGGCGAACTCGTGAAGCGATGAGAAATTGTTTTGGAGAGAGAAGTTTGCCTTTATTATTCTTCAACTGTTCGCGTTCTTCAGCAGACAAATTAACTTGATGATAAACAGTGAGATTTTCTTTATTGGCTTCATGTTCGGAGACTAAACGATCAATTAGATCACGTAGAAAATATCGTAATTGATAAAGCTGGTCATTATCTTCGATTTTCAAGGCGTTATGAATGATCTTTCGAAGAAAGGAATGCTTTATAAACCAATCAATTGCTTCGTTCGAGCGATACTTCGATTCAAACTCGTCTATTGTCGAAAGTACATCCGAGTTATGTTGATAGTGATGACGCATTGCATAAATCATTTGTTTTTTTGCATATTCGTCAGTGGGAAAATGTAGTAGAACATCGTGTAAAGTCTGAAGCCAAAGAAAACGACTCGATTGTCTTGACAAATCTCGTGCTGCATAATCATCCTGATCGAAAAAGCACCAACTTGGTATTTGTTTTTCGAAATGTTCAATAGCTGACTTTAAAGCTTCCAATTCATCATAAACGCCGATAATCTTGGAATTCTTATCATTGAGATGTTCATCCTGTTCTACACCAGACGAGAAGACAAACACCATGGTGATCTTTTCATGTAAGAAGATTTGCGGAGTGGTTAAATCAGAAACGATTAAGAAAATGGTTTGCTTTTCTTTTGATACAATGGAATCTAAACACGACTGTGAATCGAAGTAAACCACGACATGATCGTTGATTTGTCGCAGTTGATTAATAAATTCGTCGTCGAATCGGTGATTTTCATCGTAACAAATGAGCATCATATTGTCTATCAATGAGTTTTGTCGAGTCCAAAGCTTGGCTTCTCGTGATTACCTGTCGAAAATGTATGTTTCGTCAATGTGAAGCGAGAAAAGAGGAATGTGTCATCGGTTCTCTTCTTTTCATAGTATGCTTTTTTGTTATTGCTTATTTCGTTCGATGTTGATGCTCACGCTTGAAATGAAAAACAAATCAACATAGACAATCTAATGATAATTACACGTGCGTTTCTTCGTTCCTCATAAGCAAAGAATCAGCTTGATTGATTGCATGGGAATGGAGACACTAACGCAAAAATATAAATAGTTATGCAATCAGGTGATATTTTAGGTAGATATTTAGTTTTTTTTTCTGCTCTTCAAACATGCGCTATTGAATCAAACGGTAAGAGAACATATTGCGTCTAATTGTTTATTTACCTTGAACGAAAAAAAGAAAAATCAAGTCATGTCACATTTTTTGCATCGAAATGACGATGAAAAAATTGTTATGACGGAATAAAACGGTGTCAGATGAATTTAAAATTCACCGAATACGATTGAGATCAGAAAACTATAAAACTAATACGTGTAATTCTAAATGAAAATTTCACTGTCTGAATCAACGACGACGTACTGCTGATCGCTGATATGGATTTATAGGTGGAACAAATCCATTTGAACGTTGTTGAGGACCATAATTTTGATACCATTGATTTCCGGTATTGTATGTCGGATAAGCTCTCTGTCCATCATAGTTCGGTGGCATATTGTAATAAGCAGGATATTGTTGAGGATTATAACCATACTCTATAAATAGATGAAAAGAAAATTTGAAATACTAGCATAGAGAACTTACGATTATATCCGTAGTTTTGATAGTCATATGATGGATAGAAATTTTGAGAAAATCGATTCCAACCTTGATTTACTTGTTGCTTGTACTGATTCCATGTTTGACCAATTTGATTGATTCCTTGGTTAATGTTTGGTTTGTAACGATTCCAAAGTTGAGAAGCTTGATCGAAAGTATAGCCAGCTGCCGGTGAGACTGTATCACGAATGGTGTTGAAGCCACTCGATATAAAGTTACTCACGTCTTGGCCGGTCTGTCGGGATTGAATTTGTCGTCGATCACGAATTGCTCGACTATCGATAACTAAATTTAGACATTTTAACGTATTTTTATCTGCACAAGGCGAATTATCTACCTGTAATCAATAAGATACAGAAGAACAGCGTGCTCTTAACCATAGACATTGCCTGTGCGAAAAAGAGAAGAAAATGATGAAATGAATTTCGAAGTCAGTTTCAACTCAGACGAAAAAACTAAAATTAACCGTAGTTTTTATCAGCGGTATCGATTTACATTCGAGTCTTCCGAACGCCTGTTCGCATCGTCTGAAATTACAAGTTGCTCTAGCGGAAATTTATCGATAACATGTCCAGGAGTATCTTGAGATACGGGCCGTGGCGATCACAATGCTCCTCGATTTTTCTTCGTTTGGAACAAAGTTGAATACTCATTACTAGAGATTAGTTCATTGACACGAATGTTAATTCAAATGTTTTTGACGCAAATTGCGTCTGTTTATGTCATAACAAAAAATAGTTTAGAAAAAGGATAAGACCAATAAAGAATATGAAAAAATACACGGAAATTTCCTTTGATGACGGTAGAATGTCATTAAATTTTTGTATTTTCTTATCCTCAGGACGTTATTAAAGATACGGACCTGACATATGTCACGGAAACAAACGCCATTTTAAATCCATGAAACAATCGAATTGGAAGAGCGTGCGCTATATTAGATTCTGAACTTTCTTTGCGCAGTATCAAGTATGTCTTGTAACAATTCTACGAATATTTTTCTTCTTGGTCTGGTCTCAGGTATAACATCGGATATTCGCGCTCAAAGTATCGATCAACAAGCACTGATGACATTTGCTTATGTTTTCTCCATCACCTCATTGTCCTTATTCGGACTTGTATCGAATATACTCTCAGTTGATACATTGTGTCAAGCGCAAATCCGATCAACAACTGTTGGAATATATTTGATTGCTTATAGCTGCTGTTCAATCATTGGAATTATTATGTTAGAATGTCGATTGATTCGAATGCTTGAAAATTTAAATTATGCAGGATCGTTGATCATCTGTTCTATTGTATCGAGTATCGCATCGATATTTACTCGAATTTGCCTGTGGTTGAATGGGTTAGTCAGTTTGCAACGGTCTTTACAATCATTTGAAGCAACGGTATTTATGAATAAAATCCGTTCACAATCAGCAGCGTTCAAACAGATCGTTTTGGTGTTTATCTGTATACCTTTGATGCATGTACATGAAATAATCTCTCGTGTCTCGTTGCCCGATCCATTATTACTGGGAAACTACATCTGTCAAATTCGATATTCTCCTCCATTGCTAACAATGAACACAGTATTCGCATTCATACATCTGTTCGTTCCGTTTACAATGAATATGTTATCGAATTGTTTGATTTTAACGTCCATCACTCGCCGAAGGGTGACACTTCATCATCGACGTTATTGGATCGAATGGAAACATCATTTTCGTCGGCATTGTCATCTCTTTCTATCACCAACGTGTTCTCTAGTAAGTATGTTCGTTCTCCTAAGCTTACTCATGAATTCTCATTTGAAGATCTGTATTACACCTCAATTGATCCTAACATTGAAGTTCTCTTGTGTGAATATCTCTCTCAAATGGCTATTACGACTTAATACAGCGGCAAATTTGATTATCTATATTCCTCAAGCAGCAACATTCTTCCTGTTTGTTTACCCATCGGAAACTTATTATGATGTCTTTAGGACACAGTCCGATTTAAAGAAATGCTTTCGCCCTCGACCTCAAAATAGCGTTCATCCAGTTCAAACGGTAGCAGACCAAATTGAAACTGTGTTACAACCAAGAAATCAGTCTTAAGCAGCGTGTGACAGGTATTTATATTTATTAAAATGACGATTACTTTTGTTCATTTTCTTGATGAATTAAACCTTTTACTCTAAAAAATGAATACGTGTCGAGGATCTTTCTATGTAATTTCATTTCACATAACACGTTCATAATCTATTCTCATCTTTCTTGTAACTGTCTTTCGGTGATGCTATGAGCGAAGAGCATAGTTAATGAGCTCTCATTGAATTATTACATTCTTTATTATGGAGCATAAGAGAAGAAAGACTAATTCTCTTCCTTAGACATCACTTTCGATATTCGTTGATCTCTTTCGTCGGTGATGCTGGATCTAAAGGAAAGTAAAATATACCACAATTGTTGAAGTATCAAACGCGAAATTTTACTTCGAGTGCTATGTTGTCATTGAGGGTGTTCGGTATGAAATAATCAAGTCTATCAGAACCAATAGATCAGACATTGAGGAAAATAACAGAAAGTTCCACTTACTTTTCTTCGATATTCTGTAATATAACTTTCATCGGTTCATATTTACCCGATTTGAATACGTGATGCCAATGATCTTTGGCAATTGCACGCTCACGTCGAAGCGAATCGCTTACTAAAGACATTCCATCCGTCATATTTTCAATCCGACTGATTCAACTCACTCTTAAATGATTGTGAGATAACAGGAGTGATTGTTTTAATATCAACTAGAAGTCGTTCACTAGAAACTAAACAACAAAATGTACCGAGGTTGAAATTAGTGATACTGAATTCACATACTGAATCGACGACTATTTCGGTAGACTTGTAAACGAACAAAAAGAAATCGACCGATCATGAAGATATAATAAACAATATTGAACGGTGGTTGTAGCAGTGTTTTTCTGCAATATTCGCTAACAATTGAAAACCGTTGATAACGCCACAGATCGTGAGATTGTTCTTGAACATTTTGAATAGTCACACTGATATAGGAAAAGTAAGAAGATCCTTGAAAAATTTCTCTCTTACTTGAATAAAGCGATGAGCACATTGAGCAAAAGAATATTTGCAATAGCAACAAATATAATAGCCAAAATAAATGCCATGTTCGAGTACGGATCAGTTCCCGCTATACAGAAAAAAAACGAAATCAAAAACATTCAAGGTTGAAATCAAATCTATACAAATAGGATCCACTTGTCCAAATACTTTCCAAACACCGTAATTAGCAATGTCTCTCAGTAATTTCCATGACCATGAATGTTGATGATCAATGGCGAGAGTGACATTGTGTAATTGTCCATTGTCGCCATACGTCCACTGAATATGCGAGGCAGAAGTTATCAATGACCAGGATGTGATTGAAAAGGCACAGAGGAAAATGAGAATAAAACAAACAAAGAAGAAAAGATCTTTCATCTAGGAAACGTAGAATTGACATAGATGAGATTAGAATCCAAACAGTTGACATACAGTATTGAAAATCATCACTAGTTTTGGACCAAGTCGTTCAAAAGCGGCAAATAGTTTCAGAGTACCAACAAACCAAACAATCAGATCGAGACACACCGAGATCCTATTATTAGATCAGTCCATACAACATGTGTTCATTGAAAGTCTCGTTCACTTACTTGGAAATAGTAAAAAACGTTTCATTAGGAATAAATCGAGTAATAAATGCAAGCAAATACAGAAATATCGCGACAAGGTCAATTATATTCCACATATCGGAGAAGTATTTTTGATGAGTCATCAAGATATACTAGATGAGAAATTGCCCGTTTTTCGATAGTTATTTTAGGTTTTCTTACTTGACGTAATTCTTCCATGATTAACGTCCATACACAAATATGTAGCACGATTTCTGCGGGTCGCAACGGAAGTTTTACGGATTTTCCGTAAACATTCACTGGTAGAAAATCAATGAGAAGAACGTAGCTGAAAAGGCCAAGGAAGATTATGAAGAATATCTTAAAATCAACTGAAAAAAATCAGATGGTTTAGATGCATTGAAAGCACGTACAACATTGTAACAAAATCGAACGATCGGTGCTTGATAGAAATAGACTATCTTTTGTGTCCATAGTATTGACTCATCTGTTCGATCATGATCGGATCTGAAGCAGAGAATGAGGTGTTATGGAAGAAAGAGGAAATATTTCGATTCACCTGAATATCGTTTGAATTTGTATTGGATTTCGAGCTTTCAAATGGTGTTTATGGTTTCGAATGATCTTCACTCAAATATAAGAAAATCAAGATAATCGATCGAAAACTCCAACTGACCTGTTGATGCTTATGAACATACGGTAAAAATATCGAAAAAACTGGTAATAACGGGAAAAATAACGAACAAAGAAGAATCTACACAGAATCAATTAATGAAGGCAATCATTTGCTCGTCGAAGGCACTGACTCGAAAATGAATAAATGATCGTTTATAATTGATATGGCCATACCTATGTATAATATTTGTCGAAATTTCAAATTTGGAAAGAATCGTAGTTCAAAGTCTTACCATTCGTGATCAAGATGTTTTTGTACCGTTCTTGACGCGAGAAATGTACGACATTTGGCTTGTTCAGCTAACTTCAACGGTTCGATGTTATTGAATATTACTGCGGACTGTTTCAACAATTCAACTGCGAAGTTCTCATCATTATCAAAGCATCGATCAATGATTCCCATTGCACACGAATCAAATTCGCTAAAATTGTCCCATCTGTCAATCAAATCATTCTTTCATCAACCAACTAACCTAGCATTGTTCTCATAGTGTTGTTTCGTCTCCATGTGAACGGCCATAGTCGCTGCTAATCGATAGATTTGTGCAGCAATCAACGTCGCGACCGTCTGATTCTGAAACTCGACACGATAAGCTGTCAATCACGTTAGCGAATTCGACTCACCCAGGTTTTCGAACAGAGATACTTTGCGAGTTGAAACCGATCGAGAAAAATCGCCCAGAGAAAAAGTTCACGAGCTGCATTTTGTCCCAATGGAGTATTCTTATTTAGATTGGCTTTATTCCGAATAATATAAACGTCAGCATGTTCAGGAAAGTAACATCTATAGTAATTATTTCGGATCCATAATTCTCTTTTTACTTTTTTGTCCAACGGTAAACCACCGTCATTCTAATCGACCATAAAACAAATTAATGAAATGAAAATTTTTTTTTCTCTCAGGAAATACATACGTCGTGAAGCGCATAGAGTTGTTCCAGATCATTCAGCGTTAATTTTCCCAACGACGTTCCGTAATCCATTAGTAATTCAACAAAATCGAGAGAATCTCGACGAAGCGCATCGATAAGAACTTGACAAAGATCATTGTCCTAGCAAAACGGGTACAGAACATTAAACAAAGTATCACTCTAATGACATACAGTCCATTTTGTGACGGTAGCATCTGTAAGAATATATTTTTGCGCATAATCGAACTTTTGCCATGCCTAGATATGTACAATGCGATAAAATTGTATGATTAAATCTGAATTACCATCGCTAATTTCAATTCTGCTACGCGACATTGTTGCTCATTTGTATTATCATTGGTAAATTTCGTTGCTAAAACAGCGAAAGAATGAATAAGTCGGTACAAAAAAGCTTTTGGGAAAGAAATATACCATTGAAGAGTGCTTCAAGAATCGCATCTTCTAAATTACCATGGTGACGTTGACTATCGAATTCAAAAATAACTACGAGATGCTTTCGGTGATACAAAACATCACATAAATTATCTTTTATGTGGTCGATCCACGTATTATTCACACCGCGATGTTTGTCGATTCTATTTCGCGAGAAAGGAAAAGTGCTGAAAATGATAATGAAACAGAGAACAATATTCATACATAGTCTTGAGTTCTGCTTCTTTCCAAGACGGTAGGAAAAACTTCCTCTTATTTGTTTCGAATTGAGAGAAAAAGTCATGTAGATCACTCACAAGATCAGCCGCTCTTCCCGAACCCTATTTGAAAATCGAATTTCATATTCAGCTCGTCAGGATATTCGAACATTTACTTTAACAACTACCAAGGGAGTGTTGGATCTTAGCGCATGACAAACAGTACGAACTGAAAAAGAACCACCTTCGACTAAGATCATGACAATAGGAATCAATATATTTGCAATCGATGTTTGGATATCTAATTGTCGTGAACATTGTTCGATATGAGCACGTTGTAGAAGAACAGAATCGTTATTAGTGGATTCACCATCGAAGAGAAGGAAATGCGTATGATTTGGTTCTAAATCACATCGTTTCGAATCTGATCGGTCAGCCGCATACGAACGGACATATTTATGTTCAACCACTTCCTATAGACATTACACACATTGAGCAATTTTATGTATGACATAATCTTACCATTTGCATAGAATCTGCCCGTGATCGACGTCTTTGTTTCGCTAAACTACTTGAATCATCATTCCACTCGCATAATCTTATTGGACTACTGAGTTGTTCACTTCCAGAAGTATATTCCCATGTACAGATACCAATACATGGTACATCAAGGCCATGTTTACGATTTCTATAACGATAGTTGCTAATTGCTTCACCAACTTCCTTCACAACACCAACGTTAGTGCCTGATGTAATTAGCCACGCATCTATAAAATAGTAAATAGACAACGACCTTTAAAAACTCGTTTTCATTTACTTGTAGTCGCAGCAGCAGCGACCAGGCCACGTTGAAAAGTTTTTCGAAGATGTGTAGATATATGACATTGTCTTCCTCCACCTGTTACTGATATAATTAGATTCGGTGTTGGTAGTCGCCAGCCCTTTTGCATCAATTCAACGACTTTTGTTGCATCCGTGTGTAATGCTAGCCGGATGTATTGCGAGAGACGAATAGTGGAATCAAGTTCGTTATGATCAAATCTAATATAACCATACTGCTTGGTTATTTGACTAGAAGGAGAAGAATCCTTTTTTTTCAGAGAATATTTATAAATCAACCTACGGAGTATCATCCGATTGATGAATATTCAATCGAGAGATGGTCTACGAAAGCAAAACAATCATAAAATCGTAATTATTGTTTATAGATCATTAATAATACCTCTTGTAACTGCCGGATTTGTTCAGTGATTTCTTTCGCCATGATTGTCGAGCCGCTTGTTGAAAAAAAAGAAAGAAAATGTGACCGAGATAGAACACTAGAACATGTGTATGGCAACGACAAGTAAACGACTTTTGTATCTTATTCAGCCATTCTACTAAAAGTACAATCCAGTCATGGTATTAGTTGTGCTGTTCAAAAACCTGCAAAGGAAAGAAATTTGATTAGAAAAGAAAAGAACAATTTGTCCTGTCAAGCCAGTAAAGTATTAATAAAAAGTAAAAGAAAGTTGTTACAGACATAGAATAGAACGTCGAGGAAAAAAAAATGAGTGCAAACATTCTGTTGGTTACATTGTGTACGACATTTTATGTACGACCATGTGAAGTAAAACTGCGCTCGTGATACATGATAATTATCAATAGACCATACATAATGGTGTTTGTGTCTAATATAGTAGAACAATAACGATGATGTAATACAATACCTTGAAAATGTCTACAATGATATTCAAACAAAATGAGTTAGTTTCGATGGTTAATGTAGATATTCTATTATGGAACATTCAAAAAAAAAGAAACGATTTGTGTAATAAAACGAAATAGTATGTACGAATGAAACTCTTCAATGAGATACTTGAGAAGAATAATAGGTGATAATAAATTCTATGAATATTCAGAGTCAAAGAACTCAGTATGGTATTATTTAAACCATAATAGATGAATTTATTGTAAAGAATAAGTCAAGGTTGAACTTGAAGCAAACTAAATGAATACTTTGTTTGGCTTTATTTATTCGTAACGCAACCACACGTCTATCCAGGGAAATCACTTCTTACGAAACAAAAATAATCGTTATTGAACTTAAGTAAACATTTTTTTTTGTAGTAGTTTGTATATTACCCGATAAATCACAGTGTAAATGATGCTGCTTAAAGGTATTCCGTTCGCGTTACTTTCGCTGCTTAAATTTGAATAGAAATTATGTATGGCCCTGCCTATTGAACTGAATTAAAATTTAAATAAAGGAAAGTATTGTTTTATAAGCACTCGAGTTCTCGTATATTAATATTTTGATTGTCTCTTTTCATAACTATGATGAGTGATAATCAGTCATTCATGCTACACTCGAATTAATTTGATTTCATTTTGAGCAATATCGATAACTGAAGGTTTCTATCAATAATTTGATCATTCATGCTGTTCGATTTCGAAATTACTTTAGTGAATCGCATTCCCTTTAAATAGAATAACCGTTCGTTCAGAGTTTATTGTTTCTTTTTACGAAAGTTGCGTGAGCTCTAATGTTACAATTATCTTTTTGGGTTTATTGTATTTTCAGAAAACGGTATAGTTTTTAACTAGTTATACATTTTAGATCAAATACGAACGGTATTTGCTATTGTAATTATGGCTCTTGACGTAGTAATTCGTCCAGCTTCTTCCTTAGCTGATAATATACTTTCTGATCCATCATTCCAGATTTTCCATAAATTGATAGTATTTTCTGGTAATGTAAAATGGTGAGCTCACGCTGGCTATCATAAAGCCTCATATCTTCCATATATCGATACCGACCAAGTGCAGAAAGAGGTGTAAATCCATGAGGAACATATCTCCGTTCTCGCTCTAACAGTTCAACATAAGATTCTAAAACAGAGTGCCAGTCAGTTAAGGATTTTGCAATGTTCAATACGTGGCGCAAGCGTTTGTCATCAGCAAAAGTTTCTGTGGCAAATCTACCCAAGAAATCACATTCGTCTTGTTCGCAGTATATCCTACAAATGTAAGCCAGGATCAAATCCGTAAGTCTATCGTTCCTGGACTGAATAGAGCAATGTATTAATATAGCTTTGTGGAGATATCTTAAAGCCAATGGGAAATTCTTTTGTTGACACGCTCCATTACCAGCAACAATATAAATCATAACATCGGATTCCGTGCTGGACAATTTTTCTAATACGCTCTTGTACATTCTGGTATGCTTTTCCAGCTCGTCCAACTCCGGAGATGAGTTCTCCACTGAAGATAACGGTAGATCATTAGTAACAAGCTGTAGTTTGATGACATAGTGCTGATCTTTTTCGTTATAATCGACTGTACAAATTTGAAAACGCGAGCCAAGTGCGAATAAAACTTCTCTCTCGGATAACATAGAACTAAGTTTGCTCACATTCGCGAATGGTTTTGGTAGCACTGAGAGTGACGGACTTTGATCGCACTCGATTTCCAGTAGAACATAGACTAAGTTGGGATCTGCTAACGAGCCCGGAATAAATTCCAACGCTTTCGAGCGTCTGAGCGTCGTCGACAAGAAATGATGAAAGGAAATAATGCCGCCGATATTTGATTCCATCTCTTGCACTTGCGCACGTTTTATACACTGACCACGGTAAACTTTGATAGAATTGGCATTTTGCGCTTGCTGTAGTTTCGAGAGTTGCTCATGAATGTCTTTGATTATGAAACGAAATGCGACCAGAACATCAATGTTCTGTACGCGTAGTGCTTTGTTCAATATTCTGTACACAAAACTGTCTCTTGTGTACCAATGAATCGACGTGGCAGGTGTATACTTTTCTCGAAATTCGTCGATACGACGTTTTTCTATTTCATTGTCTTTGTATTCATCTGCACACAGATTAATTATATCAGTCATAGCGGCTGTGTGTTGTGCTAATAGGATAATGTCTATCAGCAATTCAAATACCATAAACGAACAATTTGGTGTATTTGGATTAATAGAACTTTGTGATTTGTTAACAAAGCTGTACGCCATTGAATCTTCATAATTTTGTCGTACTTGATGATCAACACTTAGTTTTTTCGCCAAATCAGCTATTGGTGTCACAATTATTTTTGTCTACAGTTAGAAATTTGATGATCAAGATTGTCATTTAGAAGCAACTAACTATAATTACATGTTCATGCACTGTGGACTCCTCTACCGTCGGAATGTTGTCAGTATAGCAAATATAAACAGTATTGATTTGATGTGATTCGTTCACCAATCGTAGAAGCTGCGTACCTAGCTGATCGTCAGCAACTATTATGATTTCTTCGTCTTTTATGTCTTGAATAAAAGACAAACACTTTATGATATCGTGAAATACTTTGTGGCAATTTATAATGGATTGCACTTCGGGTTGAATTTTAAGCATAGTTTCTGTAAATTGAGCGTTTTCACCAAGCCAGATCAAAATGTAAGATTCCAAATAGTTAAAATTTTCACCCGATAGTCCTGACAAGAAAGAATGTCATCAGAAATGAATATATGAAAATGTGCTCGGAATATTTTCATGTAAAACATGTAGCTTACGTTGTCGAGACGCCATGAAAACACTTTTTGATTATACTGGACCAATAAATACAGAAGAAACTGTCCAAAACACGTATTGTGTGTCTTATATATATGAAAATATCGAGAGGAAAAATCCAACATAAAGGAACAGTATATGATGCATTAGTCAGAACATAAACAACATCTTAAAAAAAGGCTTTTCCACCAATAGTTGTGCATGACGCATTTCATAAAGATTTATACACTTTTGATTTTCGCATTGTTTTTCGAAAGTCTTCTCGTTCTGCGTAGTAACACGCGCAGCATTATAAATGAAAAGTTTAACAAACAGTTACCATCATCACAGACACACTAATTGTTTCACTAAGGATCTGATAATTCCTGCCCATATAGTCAAAAAGTTGTAATGAGCTGTGAGTACTATAATTCACTGCAGGCGATAGTGAAGGAAGAGTCCACTTTTTTGCTATATAGGTCTAAAGACGAACTAGATAATTATTTATTAAATAATTTAGAGTCTCATATATATCTAAAATGTGTTTAGGAAAACAGAATCTGATGATGATGATGATGGTTCATAAATGAATCTATCGAGCTCGATCAAAGCGAACTCGAATGGCCATCTTCTTCGGAAAGCAAGTTAAACGTTCCTCATAGCCACCAGTATTTTCAGGAGTATCTTCAAACGTGACTCCACGTTGCATCAATCGAATAATAACTACTTTCAATTCTAACCATGCTAAATCCTGTCCAATACAAGCACGATGTCCTCCACCGAATGCTAACAATGCAGATGGATGATGATCTTTATCTTCATGTAAATATCGTTCAGGAATGAATCTCTTTGGATCATCATGATGCCAATAGCGTGCATCGGTATTAATATTGTTCATACCAATAAGCACCGTCTGGCCGCGTCGAACAGGTGTATTATCTACAACCGTATCTTGCAAAGCAATACGTGTTGTAACACTAGCAATCGGAGCCAAACGGAGAACTTCTTTTATAACAAATTCGCAGTAAACGAGTGCATCAATTTTCTCCTTTGTCAAAGTTGGTAACGATTGAACATCGTCCGTGATTAACAGATCATTTTGATAAAGTTCATCCTTCATTCGTTTTTGTACATGAGGATTTTTGCTAAGGAAAAATATAGCCCATGCTAAACCAGTTGCCGTTGTTTCAAAACCAGCAACTAATGCTGTTAAGACTTCGTCAAACATTTCCGCTCGTGTCAAACCTGATGACACTTGTTCATCATTGGCTTGTTCGTTGAGCGACGAAACCAATGATGAAATCAAATTTTTCGGTCGTTCTTGTTCACCAGCTTTATCCTGATTATTCTGTTCTTGTTCGACAATGTTCTCCATCAATTCACGAAGAAATCGATTGGTTTTCTGATATTTCCAATTTAATTTTAAATACAACTTCGCCACCCATTGAGGTAAACTTGAAAAAAACATCACATTTACGACAACAGAAATAAAATCTTCGAACATAACTTTCGTTTTCGAATTCATCTCAGCGCCCAGATCGTAATCAAATGCAATAAATCCAATAACATTCATTGTTACAGTTTGACACTGACGGACGAGATTTGTATGAACTTGATCGGCGATTAAACATTGATCAATAAAACGATCTGCACATTCAGCGATGACGTCTAAGTGTTGAATAACTTTTGCTCGTTTGAACATCGGCATCATAACTCGAGCATGCCGTTTCCACTTTGATCCAGAAAATGTGACGATACTGTGCGGACAAAATAATTCAAAGTTGGGTAAAAATAAAGGTGATTGTTCAAATGTATGTCGATCAGCAAATATGGCTTTCGCATGTTCAAGCGAACAAAATACAAGGATTGGATACGTTCCAAACCAGAAAACAAATTTATCGCCATATTCTTGTTGATATTGATGCATAACCTCATGAAAACTCTTTTTTCCAGTCAAAATACCTGAATTTATCAGATTACCGAACAGTATTTGAGGTTTAGGACCCGGTAAACCATTCGTTTTTTGACATAACTGCCGTTTGAAATAGACATAACTAATAATAAGTATAAACAGAGCAATACCAAAAGCTAAGAGTAATGCCATGATCAAAAAAACAAAAACATCAATAAATACGGCATACGCGTACGCGCTTATGTATGGTGCGACATCAGAGATTACTCATCGTTTTTCTTTCGTTTGATTAGTCATTGCATATATCTCGTGCACAGAATGTAGGACAGAAATTGATGTCCTTAATTTGGCAACTTCAACCTAAAACAGCTCGAGAAGTGTAGACCTCGATGTAATATGAGTGTCTATTCAATGAAAAATCCTTGGTTTTGCTTTTATTCTTTCGTGTTGAGTTTGAACCTCGGTAAATATCATATTGATTGCCTCAGTAATACTACTTAAGTCATGTGGCGCCACTAGCATGCGAGATGTGAAAGAAACTTTTTTTTAAACTATATTTTCTTGCTACATTGGTTGATAACTGAACACCAATGAGCAGTTTCTTCGTCAAAATGAAAGAAAGTGACGTCAGTTGTTGTTTTTGTTGCTGTGAAATGTCGAATCCAGCACAAGCACTCGTTCAATATTTTACGACGCGATTCACCCGTTTGTCTTCGTTTACACATCAGTATAAACTTCGTCAAAAGATAAAAAAATGGCGTCCTTTGAAATGCACGGCACTGGAACATCTACCAAATGAAATTCTTCTAGAAATCTTTAGTTATTTAACTCTGATTGATATTCACACCTCATTTTACGATTTAAATACTCGTCTCAATCAATTGATTATTTTTTCATGTCTTCGTGGCTTTATTATACATACGACAAAAGAAAATAACCTCTATCTCAAACATATTCTACCTCATATACCTTCTTGCCAAATCAATACGCTTAAATTATGGCACAACAGTTCCTATGAACAGCTATTAAATGAATTTCCGGTAAATCTGTGTCAAGTTCATACATTGGTCCTACGCGGATTGAAGAATCTTTCATTTTATCAATGTCGACAGTTGTTAAAACATTTTCAGTATTTACGAACATTGACAATGATCGATTTTCATACAGCTGAACTTGACTGGCTCGATGATGAGACATGGAAAACTCTGATTGAAAGTGATTTACCATTTCTTCGTCATCTCGACGTTCGAATATGCGTCATTTATCACAAACAGATCTACGATGATGATAAGGATAATATCATTTACAGTTTTACGTCAAGATATGCTCGACCAACCTACCGTTTATACACGGGAAGTTTATTGAAGAAAAATCCTATCTTAGAAATATGCTTAACAATTGATCAAGTTTTTCCTTTACGATGAAATCGTTCTGTATTTATCTCGATGTTGTTTGTATTTCGTCCATTCAATGGAATTTATCATACTTAAAGGATTGTACACGGTTGTTCGTTAACTTGAATACGCGTGGCTCGACAACATGCATGATGACATGATTTACAACATATATATATACAACACATCGGTGCGCCATCTTCAATCGTACCGGTGCCACAATAACATAACCAAATAAGGGCAAAAAATATGTAGACCATTTGAATGCACGCTAGGGTGTCAGTCAGACTATATCGATAGATATTCATGGGATTCCACGCATCTGTACACGAGGAATATTTGTACGCTATTCGACAAGGTGCGATAAAGAGTGCAATGATGAAGATAAACACGAAAAGACATAAAATAATTGAATAAATGGCGATATCAAGTGCAAATGCGACTGGTACTATAAGAATCCATAGAGGAAGGCAAATAAATGAACACCAAACTGAATAACAGTGTGAATATCGTTGTACCCAACGAATACTTGCCATTGCGAATGAGCCAGCTGCCGAACGAGTGTGTTCAATCTCGTTTTGCAATTTATCGCGAATATGATCAGCTATCACGAGTTCATCCATCATCTCGTAAACGATGAATTCAATGATAAAACGAACACTGCAATCGGTTTACTTTTAAACTCGTAAGTTATGGCTCTATCAACGAAAACGTGGCGTGTTACAACCCGTATATCTTATCTATCTCATTAGAAGACAATGATTCAACATAGTAGTCATAGGTTGGGTACAAAAACATTTTATTTGAACAAGTGAGAAGAACTACTACAATTTTATTCAAAAAAATCATTTCAAATTTCGTTTATTTTGATATCTTCATACGAGTTAAGTGACATTCTATCAGCAACTAAATGTAAAAAACGTTAAGTATTTTAGAAAGAGTAATTTCAATCGAACTCACTTAATTGATTTTTGTGTTTTGATTTCTTTGATAGCAACTATCGACAGAATAAAGTTTAGTTAATTATTCTCAAGACAATATACATTCTTTACCTTTTTAAGTGACTTCTTATGTACAGAAGTACAAATCCAAACCCATGTCATTGTTAAAGAAACACTCAGCAGAATGCATAGCGCAATCAACGAATGAACAATCACAGTCGTGCTAACTGTAGGCAATCTAGTCGTGGTCGTGTTCGTTGAAATTGTTGTGACTATTGGCATTGTAGTGTTGTCGTTGTCAGTCTCATATTCCAATGTTGTCGACGATGGCGCAGCAGATCTGCTTTCATCTTCACCATCATTAACTTCTTCGTTTCTTGGCGCCGGCACTGGACTTTCATCTGAATAGTCTCTCCCCTACAAATTGAAAGAAAACGAATTCAGATTGAACAATGAGTATCCAGATACATACCGATGGATCACGGCATTGCAAACATTGACATGCACTTTCTGAACAGTAACCTATTTGACAGTTAATTGATTTACAATGATCTCGACACATTGGATCTGCTTGTTCGATATCAAAAGCACACTGACGAGAACTGTGTGCTACTGGCACACTTAGTAGAAGAGTAAGTACGCAGAACAGGAACATTGTGGACAAGTTGGATAGTTTTGAAAGTGATTGTAGATGACGATACATTCGCTTTTTATAGATGGTAAGAGAGGAAGTTGAATACATGAGTCAGTATAATGGGAACTATTGAATTTCATTCGCAAAGGATATTCTCCTCCGTCTGAATCACCTCTATAAACTATTGTTTTCGTTGTTTCACATTGGATTTATCTCGTCGATCGGAACGAAAGAAACAAAAGCTGTTTCGATGACTAATGCTTGCGAACGATTATTCCCATTCTTTCGTTCTTTAAAAGTTACACCTTGATCGATCTTGCCCCCAAAAATATTTCCCATTTCGAATTCACATGCGGTAGACAAAAAAAATAAACTCGATATGCAATATTATGAGTAATCGCTTTCGTATGGTTTCACGTGGGCAAATGCCATCGTAGTAGAATAGGATTTCAACTATTTGGAATAAAACAAATTCAACAAATGTATTTCTGTTGAAAAAGTATCGACAATGTTTGATGCACGCAAAAACAAGATTGTGTCTCTATTCAAAGAGTGCGGCTAGAATTCGTCGCGGAGGTTCGAATGATTTACGAGCATGTAGAACTTGACGATTATCAACCAGTAAAACGTCGCCTTGTTGCCAGCGAAAACTCACACTGCAGTCATCGAGTATATTGCCACATTGATCAATATCATTTTTGTTCATGAGAGTACCGTCAGCGAACATCACTGCTCGTTTTCCGTCGTTCCTCTTGTCTGACCACCCTGTATAAGCTGCAACAATAGAGTTAAACCAGGATTTCTTTCCTACAGAGAAACAAGTCACTTGGTCGTCACGAAGAGTAGTAGTTAGCTGAATGTTCCTACCAGTTCTTTCGTCTAATCGAATAGCTGGTAAAATCTTCGTCACTGTTTTCAAACAGCCATCGTCGAGCCATTCGCATTCTAGGATCAGTAGAAGAAGACGAAAGGTCTACCGAATTAATGGGCGTATACGTACCAGTACCTTGCTCTCGACAGACTTGTTCAGCATGGAAACGATCTTGTGTTTGATAAGTTGATTGCCATCCGCGCCCGATGGCCGATTGTGGATCATCTCCATTGGGCAGTATTCGCGTGTATCGCACTTGTTTTGCTTCTAATTGCTGGACGAAACTAGGCAATGCTTGACTAATTCGATTGTACACCATAGGCGAATAGGCAATTGGTGTTTCACCGCCGGATTTCGATGGTATTTCACAGAAGAACATCAAATGCTTAGGAAATTTAGGTACTTGTGCCATTTCATGATGGAATGGAATAGGTTCTGATGGAGGACTTTCATTCGAAGTAAAAACAATTTCAGTTACTTGTCGACGCGGCGCAGCACCTCCGATATATGGTAAAGGAACCCATTTAAATGCTCGTGCAAATGTATCAAACGCCAGAGCATCACAAATAGGAAAGTCACGAAATAGAATAGCTCCAGATAAAATCAAACGTGAAAGTAATTCTTCACGATGATCTTCAATGAAAGTGACAGCTTCGAATATATTCACTATACGATCAGATTTTGGTGTAACCACCAACGGAAATGGACTTCCATCATCGAGCAGGATTTGTTCAGCAATCGGCGAAACTGAAACGACCGAATCCATCATGAAGATTTTATCAAGGCGAAGTATTCTTATCTATCTTTCGAGTTTTTGAAGACATGCACTCTCAAGAATAGCTAAATATTTATATGCGATACTATACATGTCATATCATCCGAATATGTAGTGCTTTAAATTCGCTCTGAAAGATCGATCATGAAAGACACTACCTATTTAACTTGAATTTCAGCTTAATAAGTAAAAAAATCCGTTGATGAGTTGCACTGCGTCCTTTCGGCGCAGTTAACCATTGTTTTTCGACACGTCATCAGCAACGTGGAAAGAGAAAAATAACGACAGAAAAGGCAAAAGGAGAACGATATTTAACTACTCGACTATTTATTAGAAAAAAAACTATTTGACACACATTGCATATACTTTTAACTGAATAACAGAATCCAACTTTATTATGGCATCGCATGTTCGTGCAATGCTCAATAAAATCTTTGGTAAACCTGAATATCGAGGATTGTTTATTGGCCTCGATGCGTCAGGTAAAACAACGATTCTCTATAGATTAAAACTAGGTGAGTTAGTGCAAACGATTCCTACAATCGGTTTCAATGTTGAGACAATCGAATATAATGGTACAATGCTAACGCTTTGGGATGTTGGCGGCTGCGATAAAATTCGGCCTTTGATACGACATTATTTCTTAAATATGCAGGCAATTATTTTTACTGTCGATGCGAACGATAGAGAACGAATTGAACAAGCACAAGATGAATTATCACGTATTTTATCTGCGGAGGAATTACTTGGAGTACCAATCTTATTCTATTTGAACAAAAGTGATCTACCGAATGCAATCGATCGCACACAGATCATCGAACGAATGCAATTGAATAGTATACGTAATAGATCTTGGCTTGTACAGACCTGTTCGGCGATAACAGGTGATGGTTTGTACGAAGGTCTAGATTGGTTAGTCAAAGCAGTGAAATCTCCGTCGACTAAATCTTGTGAACTATTAAATTCGGATCTGAGTACTTTAACAGCAACCGAGCAACCAGAAACAAATCAATCGTTACAGTGGTTATCGCAAATAGATGAAGATTCTGATGAAGATTTTATCGACAAATTTCAAAAACATCAGTTACTTTCCGAACAATTCGATCATCGATCTCTCCTACGAATCATTTGGATTTATTTGCAGCTTCACGATCGAAAAGAAACGATCAAATCGGTATTTCAACATCTTCCAGCATACATCGATGATATGAATGAAACGTTAACCTACTTCTGGATTCAGATTGTTCACTATGCACGAGAAGCAACAAAGAATCCGACGAATGACTTTCCTGGTTTTCTATTGATGAATCCTCAACTACTGAATGAAAGCGAATTTCCATTAGTTTACTACAAGAGAGAAACACTGTTTGGTGATGCGGCAAAAAAGTCTGTCGTACTGCCAGACGTGAAACAACTACCGAGTCGTGTGCCTTCGTCATTCACACCGAGTAGTACAGTCTCAAAACCGATAAATCAAGCCGAAGAGCAGCCTGCCAATGAGTTAGATGACGATGAATTTTTACGACAATTCGAAACATGTACATTAACGAATTGGTCACATAAAACACACGTTCGAATGGCTTGGATTTATCTAACACGTGACGGACGACGGACAGGTGTGAATAAGATATTCGACGGAATCAAAAATTTCATAGCAAATAGTGACACAGCTCGAAAAACAACATTTCACTTTACAATGACGTATTTCTGGATTCAGATGATTGATTTAGCTATTGCACAAAGTCCTAAAGATCTCACATTCGAAGAATTTCTTCGTCAAAACCCACAATTAATGAATGGTGGTCTCTTTCTTGAATACTACAAGAAAGAAACGATGTTGAACAATCCAACTGCTAGACAAGAGATGGTCCTACCTGACATCAAACCATTACCAACATTACTGGCATCGAAACTTAAAAAGTAGTATGAGAGATTTTGATACGTATCAGGAATTCTCCATCCGAAACTATTGAATTGTGCAAAATAAAACGTGAAGGAATAGAAATCTCACAATCGTTTCGTTTCATTTCGTAAGGATATAATTCACTGTGTTCAGATTTCAAATCATCATTATTCTGAATTTATTGTAAAACGATCTATAACTATCATGCAGAATTATCCTGTCATACAAGAGTAGCATCTACTGTTTCATTGATTATTAAATAGCCTATCTCACACCAATTCTGAATCGGTAGACAATCAAGATATTTACACCACGAACATCGAAATTTTCTCGAATAGACATTCTCAACCGAAAAAATAAACATACCGATAACTATTAGTGAAACCACATAACGTAGTATCCACCAGTTATTAGAACGAAATCGTTTAGGCTGAGCTAGTACCATCATGCTCGTGCACAAGCCCATAACGAAACCACCGATATGATTGAAATTACTGATACTTGGTAAAAGTCCTATAGCGAATGTAACAATAACATCAAGCATAACAGTTAATAATGCAGGGCATGAGCCATGATGCCAATCGTACAGTATATTTAACAGATGAAGCGCTACAAGGCCAAAAAGTGAACCACTGCAACCAACAGTGACAAAACCGTTGTGAACAAAGTTCGTGTCGAGAATAAGTCCAAAGATACCGGAGATGAAGTAGACGACAACTGCCCGACAAGTACCGTTCTTCATCTCTATGCGTGTACCGATGATGAGTTGAGTGAGAACATTCAGACTAACATGAACAAGTCCTGTGTGAAGAAAAATCGGAATTATAAAACGGAACCATTGATGCGCAGTCAAACCGCAAAGTTCATTTAAATTGCATAAAATATGTTCCATCGAATTCGTATAATTTGAGCATAAAACCGCGTAAAACTTCTGATCTGTAATACCATGTATACACGGTGAAAATCGCGCACCCATGTAGATCAATACAGGCAAACTCGGACCGATATTTGGATTGAATGACGACGTGATTTCAACAGGATTACCAGTTAACACCCAATTTCGAGCTAATTCAAACATAAAAACTAGAATCTGTACTATAGAAATCACCCAGATAAATATCGGTTTCTGTCGTAATTTGGTCGGGTCATTTTCTATCTTGTAATTCTTCTTCGATTCATTCAATGGACCGTTTTCGGTACTGCATATTTCTAAAGTTATAAGCGTTTCCATAACTTGTCGATTGGCTTTTCTGATCAGCAGCATTGTGTTCCGTAAAACAATTGAATGACCATATCACTAACAACAAATGGTTAAAAACATGCAATTTTCACTCCATTCTTCAGAACGCGAGAAAATCGTTATGTAAAATAATGACTGATCATTCTCGTACAATAACACGAATTGTAGTTTCTCTGTTTCCGTCACTTCCTTCTTATATCTCTCGCATAATAAAGAAAAATAATAATGAAATGTAAATGGAATTACAATCGAAGCTTTTGTACAAATATAATTTCCTGTTTACTTTAGAAATCAGTTTATCATCGACAGGGATCGCACTCTAGGTAATGAACTTATGGTATTAGAAGAATCGAACGGAAATTGCCAACACTTATTCATTCAAAAATAACGTTCGAAAAAGTTCGCCGAAGATTATCGAAATGTATTTTTATTAATTCATAACAATTGATTATTTCAAATAGATGAGCGAGTACGATGAAGAAGAAAAAAGCAAAATAATTAATGATGAATTGGATTCACATGAACATAAATCGAAGTTCGAAAATGACTTTCCTCATTGCTGACGGAATGAGTTCGTTCTAAAAGAAAAGCAAACTTGTTGAATATTGAAATGGAATGCAATTCCCTATCACCATGAATCAGCCTATCAAGACCAGCAACCGATCGACCGACGCGACAATCTGTGCATAGAGGTTGAAGAGCGTTCTCTTCAATAGAATCTACCGATAATGATTGATCATCGTCATCATCGGTTAGATTACTACACACCGTACATGGTACTCTCCTGCAAAAGCAAAGAGAATAATGACAAGGGTACCTTCGTCAACATACCGAACATCATTCTTCGATATTTCATTAGAGTTAATTGGAGAGTACATTCCATTCACATGAATCTCCGGTAATTTCGCAGATTTCACCGTAGTTGGCTGTGAATGTATAGATAAAAGATTTCAAAAAAAAATGTAAGATCTAATTTACTTACTGGAATAGTTTGATCTTGAGCCCATCGCACTCTATTTGTTCGATATGCGGTCATTACCGGCCATTTAATTTCGCTACAGAGAAATAAAACACACACTCATATCCCTAGATACAACACAAATCAGTTCCAAACCCGAAAATTCCTTTACGATAGACAAATTCCACCATGGAATTCGACATTTTCTTCTTGTTTCCATCTACAAAACCATCGTTGATCAAACAAGAGCATCTCACATTCACTTACAAATAAGATCGCGTACATAAAGGTGTAACTCTTGATTATTAAGCCATACTTTGATCTAATGTCAAAAGCACAATCGTAAACAATTCTTCAGATAAATCACTATCTCATTACTTTCTGTGCTTTAACAAACGATTCACCATCGTACTGTCGAAGAAAAGCATAAGCTGCTTCTTTTGCATTGAATCTAGTAATATTAAATTTCTTTAACCGGCGAGTACGACGACATGAAACAAATCCATAATGACCACTAGAAGCAAATCCTCGATTCTTTTCACATGTAAATCATGTCAAATTATACAAACCGATCATAAATCTCAAGGACGATTTTCTCTATATATTTCAATGATGGCTCATTTCCGTCCATTGTACATAAATGTGTCTGCATGTATTTTTTCTTCTGACATATATTCTTATCATTATCTGTGTACGTGATTGAATGAGTTGAATATCGAATTTCGAAAGTATGATGAAGAGGAAAAAAACGGCGAACGTTCCGAGTTTGAATAAATCATTCCGATTGAATAATATTTATTCGATTACAACAATGACGTCAAATAGAAAAGAAAGTTGCACAGGTGACAATATTTATCTTATCATCGATTTGTTGACGATAAACATTCTTAGAGAAATAATAAATTAAAAGAAAAGAAAGGAGAAAAAAACACCATTCATACTTGTCATCTGCTAAATTCCTTAGTTTCTTTATGCCTATGGATGTATGTGTGTGTGTGCGTGTTTGTAATGAAATGTAAAAGAACAAACACATGATATTTTTGTCGTGTTTTCTTATTTAGAAATAAACTAGAATAAATAGACACGTTAGTCCATGATTTTAGAGTGTGTTTTTTTTCATCAAGAAAAGAAAAGGTACACAGTTACGGAGAGAAATAAAGTGAATTTCGTTCAATAAACTGTCACTGTTTTAATGCAGCTAAGACGTGGAAAGAAAAATGAAGAACAAGAACAGAAAAAAAAGGAGGAATCATACTCGGAAATAGTCGAGCAATCATATTATATATATATATATATGTATAAATTAAGTCTTATGTTCCTCTCCGCATTACAGATTTGAAAATTTCACTCGTTGTTTGCTGCTTTTTTCCTTTGTGCACACGCTTGACCGTAAGCATGTCGCCATTGGTTTGCCAACAATTGATATAATGGATCTAACGTTTCGAGTTCTGTTCGAAGTTCACGTGCGTCTGTTTGACCGGGCGTTGTCAATGAAGATGGTCCATTCGGATCTCTATGTACAGACGGACAATCAGACGAGATTATATTCGATGTGATTAGAAATGATATAAAATGAAGAAATAAGCTGTTCAAATGTGGGTGTAATTGTAGTTCGATTAGTTGATGGTAGTGAACAGCATATAAATGTGCCACAGCATGAAATAGTAATCGAACCATTTTACGAACGTGTGAATCAAAATAGAGTGGAAAATGTTGATCTAGAAGAGATGAGATCAATTTCGAAGATTCGTTCGCCGTTCGCTTACCAAGTCTGGTGGGAAATATCGTTTCGTCTGATAGAGTCTTTTGTATAAACATCATTGAAAGATCAATATATTGAGGTGCAGAATATCTCACTTTCTTATTCCGCTCATCAAGCCATGAATAAGAACTAGAATAGGTACATGAGATCATGCTGATCACTTTCTAGAAAAAGAAACCTGTTCTGAGGACCGGTCATGGTTGGACACGTCGCTGGCGTACAAAAATCACACATCGCATTATGCAGAGCATTGACATGGTTGAAAAACGCTACGACTAAATCAAGCAGAGAAAAAAACGAACATCGTATTGATCAGTTTTCGATGGAAAGTTGATACGAACTATTATTAGCTATCCATTCGTTTTTATCAACACCTGCCGGTTGACGAATCAAGTCGTGTATATTACATTCAGCTAGTGAGCGTGTAAAAACAGCATATTCAGGTCGAAGATAAAGTAAACCTTGATTAGTTGTCGAAGGTAGTGAATGTGATGGAACTGAAGGCACAGTTGGGAGGGATGTTGACGATGATAGATTAACATTTTCAGTTGAATTGATTAAACCAGAATTAGGAAGATCATTCGGCGGCGGAGATGGTTCTTTGCCTGGTTGAGTAGTAACGTCTGGTTTTCGACGTGGTTTCCTGTGAAGAGACGAGAAAAAAAACAACATTGAAATAATGTTTAGATTTGCAATTCATGAAAGTATTTACGCAAAAATGGAGCCTAAATGTAGAGAAAGAGCACGCATCGATTATTTCATCTACGCAAAAAAAAATTGTACAAAATGAGTCACGGACCAGTGCTCTACGCGCATCATCATTCACTGCCTTTTTTTCTCGATTTCTTCATCTTTATTATTCATCAATTATCGTTCACAACTAATTCAAAACCCCTTTTTCCCACGTCGGCTTGTTTTGGCTATGGAAACATAGGAACAAATAAAGCAAAAGAAAAGTCTCACGTTTGCCGATAGTTGGCGAGCTTTGTCAATGGACTTGGACATGAAAAACGCAAAGTATGACGTAGTCTATAACGGACAGTTTCTCGACTGATGATAATGACCATATTTGCTCTCTTGTCTTCGAAAATATCAATAAAAAAATATGAAAAAATGTCGATGAAACTCAAAAAATTGGCTACGCCTCGGTGCACTTTTTTTTTCTTCTTCCTCACCTTGTCTCATCGAATATGACTAAGAAAAGACGAAGGTTTCCTTTGACGTTCTCATCGTTCGACATACCTCCAAACAGAGAGCAGAACATCGAGAAATCCTGAAGCAGAGTTATTCCAATTCGATTCCGAAACGTTCGTACTCGAACGTAAACGCATTGCTAGTTTTGCCTGTTGTTGCTGTTGGTTTTTTTCTGTTTCTGCCAAGTCAACATGTAATACTCAAAGAACTGACTCGTTGTTATCTACTTGCGTTCTGACTCATTACAGGTAAATATTAAACAGCACGACTTTTGCTTATGATGCCGTAAAGAAATAATTCTTACCTTAATAGATTGCTCATTATTTAACAATTTATTGTAATATGTGAAAGAAAATCTGTTTTGTAGGGAAGAGAAAAAAAGAAACGGTTACGTTTCTCTTCTCTCTTTCTTCTCGGTTTGATAAAAGTTAATATATTAAAATGTTCACTGTGTCAGAGAAGAAACGCTTATCACTTTTTTTTCTCTTCTCTGTCGCAACATCATTTGAGAAGAAATGCATGTTATAATATTCAAAGTGTACCACAAACATCTCGAAAAGAGAAAAAAAGCCGGCAAAGGATTTTTCACTAGGCAGGTACACGTTTCATTTCTTTCTTTTTTCGTTCTCTGACATCTTTATACTCATATATGTAACATTCATAATGATTCAAACAAGAAAAATAAATCAACACTCATGTTTATGAGCGATAAATGATAGGCCAAAGAAAGCCCTTTTTTCTTCTCCCTCAATTCAGATGATGTAACGAAATTTCCTTCTTTTTAAAAGTCAATCACTATAAACACAAAATCTGCTTTCTAACAACATTAAAACGATCGTATTCGTGTCACTAATGATGACAATAACAATATGAAGAAAGACAAAGCTCAAGTGGGCAATAAGGGAGGAAAGGAGAGCTCTAATAATAGCTGAGAATATTGATTATATTTCGAGGATCAATAAGAAAAAAACTTATCCATAACGTACCAGAGTGGAAACACGAACATTGCATATGAAAGGATGACGATATTTTGTCTATAGATTGCTCCTTCCGTTCCTCTCGTCTTCCGTTTTATGATGGCATTATTTCAGCAATACGGCTATTCTTCTTTCTCTCTCTCTATCGTTCTGTTTCTCATTGCTCTTCAGATCCTTGTCGTTAGATCAACAACACATTTTATACTTGTCACAGGTACAATGAGGGAATATAAGAGAAAAAAAGCGTTTCTTCCAGCAGAATTTCATAACGAATGATGATCAAACGACATATGAATGAAGGTCAATCGATTTGATCATTTGTCGTCCACTATTCTGTTGCCGTAATCTCTTACTCGATAGCTTAGTCGTCTGCTCTTTCTCTCTTTTGTGGACATACTAAGTACACAAAAGGATTGAGCAACAACGAATATTATACCATTCGGTTCAAATTCTTTTTTTCCTGCTTGCATGTCTCGTTGTTCTTCGTCTTCTTCCGAAAGTTTTTCTCGAGCGAAAAAAAGCCGTCGTTTTCCCTTTCATATCAATATTAGATTAGTGTTTGCAATGAGGAAAAAATAGGACTGATTGAATTTTTGAATGGTAACAAACATAGACGAAGGCAAAACGAATTAGACGCTGAGTGCCATGCAAGCGAATCAAAAGTAATGATTGTTGACTGAAATTGGAAAATCTTCACTTACGTCGTCGATGAAGCTGAAGTAAATATGAATGCCAAACTAAGAATACCCATGATTTAGTAAAATATTGTCATCAGTATACATTCATAGTGTGGACATTCGCGGTTGCTTCGTTTTTCTCTTTTTTTATACTTCGCACGCGCTTCTCTTCAAGTGAGAAGAAGAACGAGAGGAAATGGCGACGTTACAACAACGGAGGAGAAAAAGAGAGAATCAACCAAAACAAACATAACACGATCACGCCACTATTCTCTCGATAGTGACATATTGATCCGCACAAGTCGGATTTAACCGAATAGCCCCTATTCGAACTGTCATATTCACGGTCAATGCTCTTCTTGTTACACAACATTCGAAAAAAAGCGAGCTTTTCTCTCTCTTCCTTCTCCTGTCCGATTCATATTCACTCGTGGTTTGAAGTCATTTACATTTTTTCAAGTTTCAATGAACGCTTTCCTTTCCAATACGATTTACTCTATAATAGGTTAATTGATAAGATAATATAGCAGATGATCAGTGACCTTCTCTTGAAAAGACAGATAGACACGCCTTATGAAAACAAATGGAAAATAAACAAGGTTACAAAAGTCAAAAGAAACAGAATTAGCACGATCAATCAAACGAACAGCAAGAACGCTTTTGACAACGAGAAAAAACAAATATCATATCCACATCTCATCTTTAGATATATTGCTTAGAAGGTTAGTCTTACCCTGAACGATCATCTATTCTCACTCGGATATATGTTACATGAACGATATATCTATGTCACTTGACATTCGGCAGAAGAAGAACAATTTTCGACATTGAATACTTTCAGTTTTGAAGTGACAATGAAAAAATGAACATACCCCGTAAGCCAATCGGTGAGATACTCCAGTTTGGTAGTGTTGATTGTTGTTTGTTGAAGAAGTGGTTGGTCAATCGATGAAATACTCCTGGTATTGCTTAACAAAACTGTCGAACAACGCATGGAATTTGGGAATAGTTGAACGACAAACTAAAATGCCACGGAGGACATTCACGAGAGTAGATTCATTAATCGAATCATTATCTGAAACACAGAAAAGAACACATGAGTTTTTATTTTATATAACAAAAAAAGAAAATATTCAACAGAAAAGATTTGTTTTCTCAATCGTCATCATCGTCTTGTGCTGCTTCGTTTAGTTTTGAAGTTGTCGCAACAACTTCAGCTAAAGATTGTTTTTGATCATTTAACAAACGTTCACGTGTCAACTCCGCAATCGCACGTGCTGTACGCTTTTCTAAACGCTTCAGTTTCTTTTCGACATCACGTTTCAGATCCCAATCAGGTTTACGCGGCGCTAGTGATAATAAATCGACATCTTCAGCAATATCACGAACTGTTTTGTCATTGGAACTCGTTGATTTTGCTTGATCTTCAATCTAAATAGAATTTAAGATGAACAACTTCATCAATTTACTGCTACTGACTACTTACAATCGATTTCACGTCGATTAACTTGGGTTTTGGCAGAACAATTGCACCGGACAATGGACCAGAATCGTTGGGCTTATAATTGCGAAAGATTGGTTTAGGAAACTCAGTATTTTCTTCCGGTACATCGTCAGTTTCTTTCTCGTCGTCTTCATATTCTTTTCGTTTACTGACTGCACTTTGTTTGTTAGTTTTCCACTGAGCCAAACGTTCTTTGCGCTTCCGTGCTTCTTCTTCTAATTCGCTTAATGTCATCTTTAGTGAGCAATACTTTTACAAAGCAAATCAAAATAAGAATGAAGTTACAAGAACAATAAATAAACAACAGCTGGTTTTCTCTTACATAAATAATTGCTGATTGGTTTAGAAGGGAATTATTTGGAGAAAAAAATTAGAAAATGAAAGAATTTCGATTTCGAGAGTATTTTTAAATAGCTTTATTCAAAAAGAAAATTTCCAATGGTATTTGTGAAGATGTCGCTAGACGGAATCGTCTGCTACGGACAGAGGTTGTTCACCAGGGAAATGTTCGAAGCAATGGACATTCAGAGAGAAGAAGAATTCTCTTTCTGATTTGATTTCTATTCAACAATGGGTGATGATGGAGGCAAAGGAACTTCGGCAACTGAAACACCGGACGTTAGTCCTGGTGCCAGTTTCCAAGTTTTTGTTGACATGGCAAATCTGCACAATAAATTGAAATTACTTAACTACGACGACGAATACGTGGTCAAATGGCGTATGAAACCAATATCGCGCATTCATTTTGCCGTGCAAACCAATGCAGGAGATCAATTACATGCATTCATTGCATTAGCCGCATGGCTATTTCAAAAAGGTGGCACTAAATTCGACAAACCAAGCGAGGTCGGCAGAACATATCTTCGCTTCATTTGACAGCATCATCTTTTCTTTTAGGATGACGATCAAAGTGTACTTCTAGCAAATATTATTGCACAGTTTAAGAAATTAGTAAGCAATCCTTTTGCGATATAGTGTGTACGGATTGTGTTTCTTAGGGTCATGATGTAAATGTTAGTGCGAATAAACTTCGAGCAGGATCTGGTGAACCTGTTGTTTTCATTCTCAATCGATTGGCTGATGACGCTTTGAAGAACAGTGGTTTTACATGGCGATCGTATGTTAATAGGATTGATTTCAGAATGCTTCTGTACATTTAACATTCTTTTAGACCTGAAAAACCTGATGAATTACCTGATGCAGATGACGCAGGTGAAAAAGACGACGATAATGAAATCGATGTAAACAAAATCGATGAAGAAATGTTCAATAAAGTAATTTTGCTCGTTTGATGTTCTCTACTTATTCGAATACGGTTGGATTGTATTTAGGACAATGATCAGGATGAATACGAAGAAGACGAAACGATCTTGAATATGGAAGCATTGACAAAATTGGGTTTAAAATCGAATTCTGTCGGTGCAGCTGCGATGTCCGAACCGGAAATTCGTCCGGAATTGATCATGGAGTCGACAACTGATGCGACGGAATGGAAACTCGAAGTTGAACGAATTCTTCCTCAACTAAAAGTTACATTTAAAGCCGAAAATAAAGATTGGCGCGCACGACAAGAACAGCGTTTAACCTACAAAACACAAATCGCCAGTTCTTTGAAAGACGCTGAACAAATGTTAACACGATTTCATACAGATATCGCTAAATCTTTGGAAGAAATCGCTACACGTGAACATTACATAAATTCGCAATTGAGTGATCATGTTCAAGAATTTCATCGGCAACAAAACGAATTAGCATTAGCTAAACAACACTACCGACAATGTTCAACTGGCATTACAGAGAAATCTCAACAGTTAGCTCAGATTACAGCCGAACTACAAAGAATCAAGGAAGAAATGGAAGAAACAGGCCAGAATGTAACAGATGGAGGTTTGTATGATTCGTATTTCTGTTCGATTTCATCTTTTCGGTTTCGAATGTGTCTAGGTCCATTGGTTCGAATCAAAAAAGCCATCGAAGAGTTAAATCGGGATATTGTTCGTGTCGATGTTCGAATTGCGGTACTCGAGCATACGTTGATGCAATCGAAAGTACGAGAAAAGGAAGAAGCCAACGACGAAAAAGCTGATTTTCTTCTGAATGAACCCGATTTTGATTGAAATAGTTTCATTTTTACGTTGTATTGCAATGAATGTTTTGTATTAAATTGCAGTTCGCTTTTGTTTATTCTCAACGGATCAACATTCTATACCTTTTTTTGTACGGAACGTGTTCAAAAGGAATGATTCATGGGTAGTTGTAATCATGAGCTGAGAATTTTTTGTTCAAATCGATACAGCCGTCAGAAAGTCCTCTATGAACTTTATCGTGAGAAAATCAAGCACAACGAGACAAGAGTGATCAGTGGAAGCGTACAACGATCGAGGAGAACATCTAGGCAGCGTTGATGGCAATGTATTTGATTTATTACTTAAAAAAATATGAAAAACTGAAGTCACACAGATATTCGCATACGGATTGTTCAGAAATTCATAATGGAATCATTGAGTGTTGTTCATTTGTTGGAATAATTCGAACTTGTCTTCGCCTCTTTTGATACCATTGTTTGAATACTAAACTGATAAACTCGTCTCGAAAAGGTTTTGAAATTGAAAAGAATAAGTAAAAAGGAGCAACACTTATGAGATAACCAAGAAATTGAGTGCAGAAAGTAATGAACGATTCGATTTCCTGTCGTCCAGTACTTTTGTCAGTGTAATAAGTTGCTGCACCATAAACGAGATTAGCTGAATATGGAATCGATGTTAAGATATTCACTAGGACTTCAGCAATTAACATACGCATAAAATATCGATCTCTTCGTCTCGCATGTATTCTATTGCCATGTCGTTGATGAAGAGTTCGAATAGTTAGAAAACTGAAAATAATCATCAGTACCGGAGGCAAAATAGCAACCAGTGTCAGTTGATAAAACGCATAAATCAATCTGTACAAACCAAACATACCACAAACACCATTTCGAATGTCCATTAAAATCGGCATGTGAATAGCAATGATAGAAAGTACGATGAGTGTAGTAGAAACAAGTTTGACTGCCGTTCGAATGGAACTCATTGAACGAATATGAACATTCGTTTGTGTCACTATATAACGATCAATACAAGCATATACAACAACACATCGAATGCACTGACCGAGAATGTGACCAAAATAGAGTCTTATCTTGCAATAGAATAGAATTTGTGTCTGAGGATCAGTATAATTAAGTGAGTGAAAAAGCGGAATCATTGCCCATGTCAAATAAATTATAGCAAAAATAGAAAGGAAAAGAAAATAAGTAGAACTTGGTGTATAACGATAATTTGGTCGAGTAAACATTATACAATTACAAACATTTCCAACAATACCTAAGGAATAGTAAATACTCATTCCATATCGAATCATGGCTTGTTGGATGGAAAAGAGATTTGTTTCAGGCATAACTAATGACGTTTTCACAAGGACGAATATGTTGGGTAAAAATTAGGTGTATGATTGATTGAATCAGCTATACTCGATGATCAATTGAGTATTTAATTAATGACGAGTCTTTCTTTCAGAATCTTCCTACGAAATCAGACAAAAAGGAAAACTAAAGCGTTTATTCGAAGTGATAACGATGATCGTTCTAAAGTAATTACCTCATATCTTTGTCAGATCGTTGCGTGTCCCAAGCGTTGCCATGATCATGTATATGAAAATAAAAGTCGATCTAGTCAAGATAAATCTCTTCATCACGCTCACTGTTTTCATTTCTAATGAGTATTCCGTAAGATTTTTGCCAGTGAGAAAAAACAAATATTAAAGTTCAAGATGACAGTCGAATTCATAAGCGTTTTTTTTTCTTCTCATATAAACAACCACTTCACATGAGTTGAATTCATGGTAATTATATCCGAGATGGTTGTGTCATAGAGACTACTTTAGAAGACAAAATGAAAGATAGTAAACTGCGTATAATTCTTATGCTCTATCGATTTCTTTCGTTCGTCAAGTAAAATTCCTACAGTTTATTCCACTTGATATTCGACACTAGTTTTCATACAGAACAGGAAAGTATGAAAATCTAGGTAAAATTTTTCTCAATCGTTTCCTTATGAATATAAGAATAACCATTCGATAAAGAATCAATGAGTCAAATGTAATCGAAATTGCTTATGCAAAAGAATGCAATTATTTATTTCATATCGTCAATTTCTTCTTTATTGTGCATCTTTACATAAGATACAACTGAAGAAAAAGTGTCAGCGAAGCTAATCTGTACATAGTTACACAAAGAACATTTCAGGTAAATCTGCCGAGTGAAACAACATTCACAGTAGGCAAAATGGAAACTGAGGTAACATGTGAAAAAGTTTGCTGTTTGATAAACAGATCTCAGTGTTTTAATTACGACAATAATTGGAAATAACTATTTTGTTTAAAAAAACAAACTTATGTATTAAAATTCAACAGTCTCAATCGATTTTCGTACCAATGAACTTCTTCTTGAAATTCAACTTTTCGACATAATTCCAGTAATCCTTGATACATTTCTTTAATACGAAAACGTTCTTTTCCAAAAGATAAATACATTTTTTTCAAACATATCGGACAAAGATATAATAATTGCCTATCCATTTCACTTTCACAATTACAGCCATTCATTAAACATGAATAATAAATGCAATGTTCTAATCCAAATAGATGCATAACTTCATGTACATAAGTACTAACAGCACGTTTTAATATCAACACTCGTTCTGGTTCAGTACAAGGTCTTTGTGCTGAATTTGACAGCGAGTATGGAAATAATGGATCAAGACGAGCGAATGAATAGATACCAATTCCATCGTCAATTGAAGCTGAACCATAGACAAAATTCCAATCGGGTCGCGGATAAATATCGCTCATAGTCACTCCAATAGAAAATAATTCTTGACGATTATGACGCTTTCGTTGTAGTTTTTTCAAATGGGCAATAATTCCAGCAACTAAATACTGTGGTTGATTACTAAAGGGATCAATTCGTTTTTTGATTTTATTATCAAATTCAACTGAAGGTAATAATTCTGTTGCACATCCCGGAAAGAAGAGACGAGAAAATTCACAAACAATATCTAAATCCGGTGACCTATGAAAAATATAATCAATACATCGCTCATTGCAAACGAAATTTATTTACCGTGGACTGCTAAAATCTCCGATAGGTTGAATAGATATAACATGACATCTAGTAAATGCAAAAGCAAAATGTTGCTTGAGCTCAAAACGATGAAAATGAATGCGTTATTTACCTTGTAGTAGGTCGAGTCTTTGGTGTTCTTTGAAATTGCTGAACAGTTTGTCCGTCTTCATGCTGAACACTTAACCAGTCACTCCCACTTGGCTTCGGAATCACTGGAAAACTATCCTCGATAGCAACTGTGAGAGCTAGTCGAATGTCTTCATTTAACTAAAATAAAAACTTCAATTGATACGAAACATTCTTTATTACAAAGTAATAGACTAACATTATCAGTCTCGCCCAGAGCTTCAACTCTTAGCTCGAGTGTTGGCGGCTGAAAACCACTCTGTTGACAAGCCATTATCAAATGTCATATATGACTGATCAAATTGGCCGATATTTATACGACGATTTCATCGAGGAAGTTCAAACTATGACTCACAGTTATCGACATGATGAAATTACGAAAAAAATAAAGTTCTATTCATTAGTTTTGAGTCATTATAATGCAAATAATCAGAATTATGCTATTTTTTTCTTGCGTTTGACATGAATCGTTCTCTACGATGATATACAGTATGCAAGAGCGCAAAATAAACTTTAAATTCTGCTCGATCAATCGTAAAAACATGCAAACGAAACATTCTTACAACGTCTATTCCTTTTCATCGAAAACAACGTACTCGACAAAAATTGTTCAACAGCGACATCTGGAGAATAAACAGAAAAATAAAGTAAAATATTGAAGTTATTTTTACCAAAAAAAAACTCTTTCAGTCAAAAAATAATAATCAAATCAATTTGGTAGTGTAAACTAAATAAAAGAAGAAAAATGAGTCATCGATTTGATATATTTCACCTCTTGACTGACTGACTGACTGACAGGGTCGTTCTTAATAGTATTAGATTTCATCCGATTACTTTAAACGAACGTGTAGAATGGGAGAGACCGACGATGGTCTTCATCGTGTTATTGAAGTTCTAGCTGAAACTGATCTTTCAGGCTATCTTTCGCGAATACGTGATGATCTTCAAGTAACAAAGTAAGTCGTTGAAAGCACACTTTAGGAAACGAAATTCTCAAGGTAAACTATTTCGTTTAGACTTTCTCATTTCGAATATGTTCAAGCCAATGATCTCGAACGTATTGGTTTAAGTAAACCAGCCATACGACGATTACTAGCAACTGTTAAACAAAAACAACGTTTAAATACGAAAAAACTTTCACATGTAGGTCGTTTATTACACTAAACCAATTATATTTTGATTTTTTTTTCTCGACAGTCATCTGCAAATGCTTCCTCCGCCTCTTCATCTCCATCAACCAACTCATGTTTAATATCTCCATCGTCTCTACAGTTATCAACGACACTCGGCTCAGGACACTTTGGTATTGTTCGTCAAGGTGTATGGAATGGTCTTCCTGTAGCTGTGAAAATCCTTCGTGGATGTAATGCTATCAGTGATTCCGTACGAGAAGCAAATGCTATGCATTTGTTATCACATCAGTATTTAATTCGCCTTCACGGAATTGTTCTTTCCGAGCCATTGATGATGGTATGTAGTAATTACTTTTGTTACACATTAATATTTGCTTCATTTTCAAATTCTAGGTGACAGAACTAGCTCCACTAGGTTCTTTACTATCACGATTACGCAGTGAACCTAAATATTTTCTTGTATATATGCTTGTCGAATATGCCCGACAGATTAGTGAAGGAATGAACTACTTGGAACAACGTCGATTTGTTCATCGTGATTTAGCCGCACGAAATATTTTCCTCTCGTCCTATGAGCAGGTTAGTAGAAATGAATGAATTTATTTAAAAAACAAAAACACGTGTACATATTTCGTTTGATTTAGATTAAAATTGGAGATTTTGGTTTAGCGCGAATGATTGATTCGGATTGTAATTTATACAAACCAGGAACAATCGTTGGTCAATCGATTCCGATTGCGTGGTAAGTTAAGATGAGTTGGATCGTTAGTTTCAAACAAGTGTGACTAATTGTTCATCGATGGAATTGAATGAACTAATACCCGTATCAGATTCATCATTAGTTGAAAATGACCAAGGATGATGATGATGATGTGGAGAAGAAGAAGAAGAAGTAGAATACGAATGAGTCGTTGTTCGATTTTTGAAAGGATGATCAGAGAATGATTTCGATTTTCGTATGGACAAACTTGGTTCGACGATTGCCGTTGGTCGAGAAAAGACTAAGGAGAAAGATTTTAATTAAAATAAAAGTGAAATCTTCTGTTCGAATAACTTCCAGACATGTTATGTCTATCACGTTCTTTTAAATAGGATTAGAATAGCTTCTTACCTGTTCGTGTTTTCTTCGGAGATGGTGATATGTCTTTCGTACTAACACGTTCCTGTTCGAATGTAAATGGTGATTGTTCTTGTTCATTATCATCATCAAGACTGTCGATGTCGATATTTTGATCTAGTGCGTAATCTAACTCTAATTCATCGAGTAAATGTTGTTTTTGATCGATTTCTTTCGTTGCTAAATTGATATTTTCATCAAGTTCTTCGGATTGTTCGTTGAGTTTTCGACTGATGATTAAAGTTTGATTAACATCGGAAAGGATTCTCGTGAAGTCATCCTGATTGAAATCTAATCGTGTTTCTTGTTCGATATCGGCCATTAAGGAAGATATTAATTTCTGTTGATATTCTAGTTGTGTTTGAGTATTTATAATCGAACGATAAAGATTCAAATAGGGAAACATTGAATGATTAGTTTCAGTTCGTTTTGGGTGACGTTTAAACTTCTTCTCTGGTTGACGAACACGATATGTTGACGTCGACGCTTGATGATAATTTCGAAGTGTTAATGTGACGTTATGAGATTCTCCCGCCCAGGAATTCCAAAGTTTTAGCAATCGACAGCGCGCTTTCAATGGTCGCTCAACTCCACGCCATGATTCGTAGAGAACATAACTTTCATGTACTTGAGGAGAATGATTGTCATCGGACGATAAAACCGCTTGAATAACATCGGAGCAGGTTGAACGTGTTGTTAGATTCGATATCCATTTCATCTTTCCATTGTACCAAATGGGTATTTCTACTTCCAGATCCATTTTTCTAGAAGTATGAAATGATTGTTGATTATTCATCGATATTCGACTATGACTGAGCAGAAGATAACCTTCAAAAGAACGATATTCTTTCAATTGGTTGTCAAGCAACAACTCTTGTTAGTTGGATAAAATAGAGAGTGCGATAAACGAATGGCGTCAATATATAAGAGAATGTAAGTGGTGTGTTGTTCTTTAATGGTACAAGTTTTTTCTTCGTTTCGTTCAGTCTCGTTTACACTTCATCGAAGAGAACGAAAGGAAAGAGAAGAAGGATGAGGGTATGTCAAACGCGAGGAAAAGAATGAACACTGTTTCGCACTGACTCAATATCTACACTCGTTTCTAATTAGAACATCTTGTTTTGATTTCTATATATTCGAATCGCACTTCCTTCTGATTTTTTTTCTTCAAATGAAATCATCTTACCTTGATCTGTAATGTCGTCTTTCTTTCATTATAGCTTATCTCAAAAGAGTAAATGTTGGATTGATTCGAATAAAAAGAAAGAATTATGAAGTACTTTTCAATTACTTGCATAAATACATGTCGCGAAGAAAAATGAAAAGTTTTAGTTTTTCCTTCTCATTAATAAACAACAGGAGAGCAAAAATGACTTTTTTCTTCTCGTTTTCAAAATAAATCGATCTCAAGAGAGCAAGAGACATTTGCGTGTGGGTTTTTTTATACATATGTATCTACTAAACAAAATCAAATGTGTGTCGCGTGATCAATCAATATAGGCGGGAGGAGATTATCATTGATTAAACGAGACATATACCTGTCTTACGTCTATTGCACAAAGAAAGAAGAGTGTCGATCGTTTCTCACTTATTATATAAGATACAATTGACAATATGTTCTCTTTCTCTCTCTCTCTCTCTTGCTGCAATTATCGATAAATGTCAATTCTTTGTCTTAGAGAGCACATAGAAATGAATCTAAACTTTTCATAGCAATGTTTATATTGATGCTGAGCTTCTTTATTTATTCTAGAATGAACAACAATTCTTTTTCTCTTTGAATATAATCGTCTCCCTATTACACAAGTCATTAATTTTTGCGAAAGAGAAGAAACGAATGTTCACAGTTGAAACAGAATTTCATACGTACGTGATTCCGACTGCTATTCGTCTTATGTTCATCCGACGTTTTACAATGATATCTCAATAAGAACATAAAACGTGTATATGAGAAGAAAAATGTCTTGTTTATTTTGTCTACATATTGTTAGAGAAGATTCTCGCGAGATGATGATTGATGAGATGAGTAGCAAATAGGTTAAAAGTCAAATGTTCAATAGAACTAATCATCTCTGTAGTAAATCTAAACAAATGAACCGATACTCATTAGTATTGATGAGTTCAGCATATGAAGACTGTTAATACCCAAAGGAAAATGAACAGCCTTTGGAAAATCTGTTTTTCGATGTTTAGGTGTGCACCAGAAAGTCTTCGTCGACAAGAATTTTCATCATCGTCTGATGTCTGGATGTTTGGAGTAACAGTCTGGGAAATATTCACATTAGGCGCAGAAAATCCTTGGCATGGACTCTCCGTTCAAGAAGTAGGCAGAACCAACGAAGTTTTCTTTTCCCTAACTTCCGATCCATTGTATTCAAGATTCTGCAAGCGTTAGAAGAGCGCAAAGAACGTCTTCGATGTCCTGATATTTGTCCACCATCGATCTATACTCTTCTACTCTCATGCTGGTCGCTGAGTCCAACTGATCGACCAAATTTCTCGAAGATCAATTCTCGTCTAAATCAATCTCGTCCAGCACAGTATCGAGTTACACGCGACAGCAAACAACTGAATCAAATAACCTTAATACGTGGTGATACAGTTAGTGTGTTCGATTCCTTTGCGGATAAACCGATTTGGAAAGGACAGAACCATCGAACACAGCAAGTAGGGTATTTTCCAAGAAATTGTCTTTCATCCATAACATCAAGTACAAACGACAAAATCAGTTGGCCTGTTCGAGGAAGTTTTATTCACACAGGACATAGTGATGGAACTGGACAGGGAATATCTTGGGGACAAGTTGATAAAATCGATGAGTATGTGTTCGATCAAGTTCCATAGATGTTATTCGACTAATTTTCTTTTCACTTTAGAACAATTTTAAGTAATCCAATAGTTACACCCATCGAGAACAATGAGCGAGATGACAATGTGCAAAGTACGAGCGAGTTATTTCAAATTTTGGATTTAGATATTGATTCTGAATTTTAGTTGTACCAAATATTCTTCAATTAAATGGATCAAACAAAAGCAAGCCGATTGTTACTCGACCTCCACCACCTGTCCCGAAGAGTCCTCAAACAATTGTGGATGACTTGTTATTAATCGACTTCAGCGATTCACCTCCACAAAATTCTTCGACAAAAACTAAGTCACCAGAACAAGTCCATCGGAATCGTGATTTAATAACAGTTGAAACTTCTATTCCTCCTCCTCCTCTTCCTCCTCCGCCTCCCTCACTTCCAACACCACCATTACCATCTTATGAAAATCATCCAAGAGCTCCAAGCAAAGCTCATCTTGACTCATATCAATTCGTTGCGAATGTGGTTTCAGGCGTAACTGAACAATTGAAACATGATTTCCCACGAATGAATCCGCGCAAAAAGGATTATACGCCTCCACTTGTTCGTCGATTTACAGTTCCATTTCCTCCAACTCAAACTTCCTATTATAATCTTCAACGACCACAATAATCTAGTCACATGCAAATACCAGATCTTATTCTTATTCTTTTTTTTTTCGATGGTGCTTTTTATTATATATACATGTATATACATATGGAAATATTTTCTACGTTCCGAGAATGAGTTAATGAAAATAAAAATAAGAAATTTGCATTAGACTTCGAACGTCAATCAGTACGCTTAGATTCAAATTCAACGTTTATGGATCATCTGGCTCTGTTGGATGATTTGATTATCGATCTATGCCCGATTTATTATTCATATAGATTAACTTATTCAGTACAAGCATAGTAAAATAATACAATACATAGACATTGTAATGATGAGAAAAATCGAGATATGTCAAATCATTGTCGACTTTTTTTTTTCTTACGTTGAGTCTGTTGGTGCATCATTGGATTTTGAAAGTAAGATTTTCTCTCATAGACAATTTCGATGTAATATGATCGCCATCTGTCAAGATAAGATTGCATATTTTGATCCAGAGAAAAACACATATGTGTATGTTCATCACTTGTCTTAAAATTCCGAAACGGAAATTTCGTTGTATTTGTTCAAAGTAGGTGATATATCTAAGCGATAGTTTTGGGTGACGTTACTTGTTTCGTTTGAAACTGCTTTTGATGTTTGTTTACATCGAAAGATTTTTGATAGTAATGGCCATAGAGCTTTGATTAACCATAGTTTCATCAATTGCTGACGAAACACTTCACCGGTTAATGTATAAATATAGAAATGGACCTAGAATAACTATTGAAGATGTTTTCAAAGTGAAAGGGAAAACCAAACTTACGGCATAGTTCAGATGTGCAAGCGAAAGTAAAACTGCGGTTAGAAGATATGCTTTTTCGGTAACAAGTTGATTACTTGAATGTGATCGAATAATGTCATTGATTTCAGTTGGAAGAGTTAGAACGAGAAAGGCAATCGATGAGCCAAGCAACATTAATGTTAATTGTCGATCCTTTTCATATTTCTTCTTTGATTTACCATTTCGATTACGAGATTTTCCATTAAAATTTCTTAAGGAATTCGATCGACATACTCGATTAATTATAATTATATTACATATACTCATGATTATAAATGGAATAACATTTGTTCGAATAACGTCAACATATGAATCATATACGGCGAAGAATTTCTGATAGCCCTCAGGAACCATACGTTGCATACATATTCGCGTTGACGGACCTGACTCGGATATAGCGGATAAGACAACGAAACCGTAAAGTAAATGACCATTGAATAATGTGTGAATTAGAACTAAAACACATGTGATTATGTAAGCCATTCGGCGGTGACAAAATTGACGACTTTTTATTGGAAACAGAACGATTGCAGCACGATCAATTGAGCTAAAAGGAATTTTAGTAGCAGATGCAAAGACTTATTTGATTCTTAACGAGTAAATCTCTCAAAAAATAGTCTCATATCCGGCATCTGTCTAATTACGAAGAGTTCTTGAGATCATGCCAAGATTCTAATAATCAATATCAGACTTTTCTAGCGCTTATTTGTCCGACTAAACTTGCTCTCGATCGTTCTTTTGATACATTGATCGAAGTGTAGTGGAACTTAATGGGCTTTTTCATCACCTATCAGTCAACGCGAGAAGATAGCCCAAATGAAAAATCTGTCAACTAATGTATTCTATTTCTTATGCTTTTATCCAAATCTGACAAAAGTAAATGATCGATATTACCATATCACTGGTCATCATGTACTAATCTAATTTCAAAACGACAAGATACGGCTAGTTTGATTCGAATCCACTATCAACGCATAAGAACCTACCATACAGTAAGAAGGTAATTGGCCAAATCAAAGGCAAGATACATAGCGAATACAAATGTTTTGCAAAAGACATTCGATATAGTAATGAGATGAATATCATAAGCTGGTAAAACAAAATGTACAAGCCAACATATCATACACAGAAGATCAGCTAAGGCCAAGAAGAGAAAGTAAATTGAACAAGATTTTTTTCGTAATGTTTTACGACGAAAAACAAGTAAAGAAAGTGTTCCACCGATAATACCCAAACATGCAATACACAGACCAAATATCCGATAGACGATCACATCTGCATACCAACGATAAATATCATTATCAGATGTCATATTCTATCTGAAAAAGAAGTTGTTTCGATCATCACAGTTTAAATTAACGATCAAGATACATTCTCGTACGAAGTACAGATGACATTTAGCATTCTACATCGAATAATTGGATCTAACGAAGCGAGAATACGACGTGCAACACACCAGACTAACCAAAATTGCAATTCCTGCTCGCTCTCTTTCTCTTTTTTCCTTGGTCCCTCTCCCCCTTCCCCTCTCTCTCTCTGTCGATGTAATATCCTTTGAAAGAAGTCTATAAATATTATGTTCTAACAGCGTCACGCCCAACAGAAATTATTTTTCTTGACAGCATATAACAACAACATAAAGCCCGATGGTTCGAATGACTGTATATCTTCTCAATTCTGTATACTAAATAGAAAAGAAAAACAAAATGACAACGAAACAGATGAATGACAACAGAGAATATGTTAATTAAAAAAAAACAAAATCATATATATACATATACGGATTTGATACACATATATCTCTTTCTATTAATTAACTAAAAATATCCAAAGTCGATTTGATTACACCATCGTATTATGATCGCGCTCATCTAGCCTTTTGTACTGTACTCTTTTCGAGCAGTAAATAAGAGGATTCGAATACTAATCTTCTTGTCTTGTCGTTTATATAACAAATAAATAAGACCAAAAAAAGAGTCGAATAAAAGAAAGATTATCTCGTATAATCTTGCCTTGGAAGAAGACTAGTTCATCAGTATTCTTGTCTAAAAACCGGCTAAATAGATTCATTGGAATCCTATTTACATTCGTGCTTTCTCTTACTCTTCAATGAAGTTAACCAGTTTGGTGCAAACAAAACAGCTCCGTAGGAATTACAAAGCATTGTTATTTATTTGATTAATCGATTCATAAATCGATAAAGAATGAAACGATCTCAATAAATTTGATTTCTATCGATTAGCTGTTCTTGATCATAGCATATATTTGAACAACAACATCGTTTCTGTCTTGGATGATAAACCTTGAATGGTTTAAACACGAAAAAACTGAAATAAGCAACTCGTTTCATATGCAAAGGTAACTAATGTTCGTTGACTTCAAAGCGTCGATACAGGAGCACACTACTTCGTTTTCTTTTGTGCTTATCAATTACTGAATAGAAGGGGAAAATATATACAATCATACATGAAAAATAAGTTTGCGTATAGAATGCAAGGTCATGCTTGAAACAAAAGCAATAAAGCTTCTCTTTTATTACTTTCCTATCGGTTTGCCATAGAACTCATCGCGTGTATTATTGTTTTCACGTACCACTTTGCTGAAAAATGGGTAGCAGATTGACACTTAAACATATGTTTTGTCATATTTATCAAATCGACTTAGAAGTTAATCAAACGATGCGATCTTTCACTTAGCTCTTTATTGAATTAGTAGAAAACTAACAATAGCTAATCGTCAGAAATCGAGTCCAGTTAGAATGTTTCATTGATCAATGTTTAACTAGCACTAACGATCAGGCGACGGTGGCGTTCAGCGTCATTATTCGCCAGATCACCATCCTCTTTTTCAAAGGACTCAGTGATAGTGACATATGTTGGTTGTCCGCTGGGTAATTCGCACTAAATAGAATAAAACAAGAGCCATGTTTCGTTAGGGAGCAAAACACAAGAAACAAACAATGAAATTGTATTGACCGCCGTAGTCGTAGTAATTGAATCGTGATTGGAATGGTTCTAGAACATAATCATCCGGGGTCTTAGGCCAAACTTTGCGGACATTTCGATTGATTTGATCACGGTACTAGAAAAGAATGAGCAATTTGTAAAAGTGAAACGAAATAGTTTTTGATTACCTTTTCAAATAATTCTTTTGGCGGTAGTGGAGTATAGACTATCGGGGGATTGCGTTCCGGACGTTCTTGAATTTTCTCCCTGTGATTACGGTTAGAAAAAGATGTACAGCATCAGTTCATTTCGTCTAATACTTACGAGTAAGGCGTTTTTCGACGTGTATTCTCGGTGTTTTGTTCTTCTGTAGTCATATTGTCTCCACGAATATGTAATCGAATACTATTTCGTGTATGGTTATATATCCAACCTCAATGATCCGTGACGAAAGCTCTCCGGATTGAAAGATACAGAAAGAAACGATACACATGTATGCGAAAACAATTAATAAGGCTTTTGTATTCCTAGCTCCGTTCATGGTTTCTGTTTTTGAATACTGTAATGTGAATATTTTGATTCTACCCCTATAAAAGTACATCATTTCACTGAGATATTTATCTATTCTTGTTTTCGCAATTTGATTCTACTATGCATACCTCGAACAATTTGATTCAACAGTATAGAGGTCGGCAGCTGTCCGCGATAAATAATTCGATTGGTTCCGGTGAAAATTAAACAGAAGATAAGCAATTTTTGATGAAGTAATAATAACAAAAAGTTGAACGGACGTCAAAATGTATTGGATACAATCGATTGAAAATGGTCCTCGCCGTGTAAATCATGCTGCAGGTGCGTTGGATAATTTGATCTATTCTTTTGGTGGCTATTCAAACGCTGAAGATTACACACAAGTAACTCCGATTGATGTTCATATATTAAATGCTTGTAAGCGAAATGTTTTCTATTTCGAGTGAATATTGATCGTTTGAAATGATTTAGGTACATTGAAATGGTATTCACTACCCAAGCCTGATAAGACCGATCCACAATACAAAGAAACGCCATTTTCACGATACGGACACACCGTAGTGGTTTATCAGCAAAAGTTTTATCTCTGGGGTGGACGTAACGACCACCCTGGAACTTGTAATCGTTTGTTTTGTTTTAATCCAAGTAGGTTTCTTTGAAATGAAGTAGTTTTGTTAAGCAAACTAAATCATGACTTAATCTTTCAGAATCGTGCAAATGGTCTATTGTACCTGTGACAGGTCGTGATATTCCCAGTTCACGTGATGGTCATTCAGCATGCGTGATCGATGATCGAATGTACATATTTGGTGGATTTGAAGATTCCGTAAGTTAATTAAAAGAAAAGAAAGCAAATGAGCCTTTATCTTTCATGTTAGAGTCAACAATTTTCTGATGATCTTTACTGTTTTGACTTCAATCAATCGATTTGGCATTTGTACAATCGAAAAGTATAGAACTTTCTTTTGCGTATCTATGCATATGACCCATTTTCTATCTTAAGCTTGACGATCAAGTACCTCAATGGCGAGATTTTCACTCTGCAACCAATCTAGATGGTCGAATGTATATATTTGGTGGCCGTTCTGATCATATTGAGCCTCACATAACAGATAATCTATACGATAATCAACTCTATGTTTTTAATCCCGAATCACAGACTTGGCTCCAAGTTGCCACAGCTGGACAAGTACCTCCTGGAAGACGATCCCATTCTGCATGTATGTTTTGCCACGTGTTTAAAACCAAAATATCATTTTTTTTCATTTTCTAGTCGCCTACGATGGCAAACTGTACATATTCGCTGGATATAACGATGTCGTTGGATTACATTTCAATGATTTGCATGAATTCAATCCGTTAACTTCGATTTGGCGCCGTATAAAAACCGCCGGTATTCCTAATCCGATTCCGCGTCGTCGTCAATGTTGTCTTGTTGTTGGTCATCGAATGTATATGTTTGGTGGAACAAGTCCAGTGACAGCATCTTTATTTTTAAATAATCCCGAAGATGTTCGGGATATACCCGGAAATCGACTGATACTGTACGATCAAAGTGACCTTTACGTTCTAGATTTCGGTACGGACTTCATTTTTCTTCATCTTTTCTAACCACTCGAATGCTTCTTTTGTTTAGCGCCGAGTTTGAAAACTCTATGCTTTTTATTCCTTGCTCAACAAAGAATCGATGTACATCATCTTCCGAAAAGATTTTACCACGAATATCAACTTTTCACTCAATCGTCGATCAATCGTGCTCGTCCAGCTGGTGAAACTAGCGGTTAACAATTCTCGAATTGTTTCAATGCTCCGAATCATATGCCTGTACATAGACAAGTTCTTTTTTTTTATATCAATAAGATTGACCCTTAAATGAAGTTTTGTTTTTATTTGTATTATAAATAAACCCGACTCTGGTATAGTAGATATTACAGTAAAGTCTGATTGAACAAAAGATTTCTTATTGAAAGTAATCGGATATATTCATCTTGAACACCTCGATGATAGCAATCAATATAATTATCTGATTGTATACTTTCACCAGACTTTCTTCGTTCCAATTAAAGAAAAAAATTTCATATTCTCGCCATGTTATTAATTATCAAAGGTTAATGATTGATTTGGTATGATATTTCTTTTTTTCTCTCTTCTTCTACTTCTAATATTGTCATTCATGTCGATATATATAGAACGAATAGTGTCTATTCTCATATTGAATAAGAAGTAGTGGAGTAATAAATGATGGTCTGGTGACGATAAAGAAGCTTTACATACACACGGCAAGGGTGTCAGATGATCGTTCTCGTTCTTTTTTCTTCTCTTCTTTCTCATCCATCGAAACATCGGTAGAGCGGGAGAGAGAGAGAGAGGGAGGGAGGGTGACAGAGAAAAAAAGACGAAGTGAATGAAGAAAGAGAGTAAAGTAATCGAGTATCATCCTCATCAGCGACGTCAACAATGATTATACGCGTCAAGCAGAAAGACCTTCGACAACGACTCGTTATGCATTCCAAGGTCGTTTCTCGCTATACTCTAATGTACTANCGTCGACGAGTTCAATCTAATGATAATTCGAGTAAAACTGAAAGACGTCGTCTAACCAAAACTGTATCAAATGACAGTTCGAATCCTTCATCATTTGATTATTTATTTTCTAATGAACAAATTCCTTCATCATCAAATGATATTTATTCATCTGCGCCAACATCAAATCAACGATCGTTTACATCTGTTCGAGACATGAATAAAAATCTTTACTCACTTTTACAAACCAATAACTCTCAAGATCAATCCTATTCATCCAACCAACCTATGCCAAATATCTTACATGATATGCTCAAATCATCACCACCTTCAACATCAAATCCAAATGACAATAATTTCAATTCAGGTCTGACATTTGCCTCGCGTATCAAAATCATCCGACGAACACTTTTCTCCTCATAGGTATCGATAGTGCATATTCATCATTATCAAAATCTCCATCAGGTAGTTCACAATCTCCTTCGCCGTCTCATAGTGATTATGAAATTGATCAAATGATCTCATCAAAACTAAGTAAACAATTGAAAACGATGGACCGTTCGAGTCCGCTGTTTCGTCGAATGGTTGTGGCGATCATGCGTCATCAAATGAATAAATCGAAGCCGAATAATGAACGACGGAAGATTCTCTCGACTCCACCATCGATTCCATCACCGTCCCCGTCGCCATCAACCAATCTCTTATTCAATCAAATTCCAGCTTCATCCATGGATTTAGAACTACCAAATGCAACACAAAATCCAATTCCTAGTTCGACATTTGATCTAGATGTTGAAGCAATACTTGATTTTGAACGAACGACATTTGGAGATTGTTCTTTTGATATACATGACTTGCCCAATTTGTGATGTGTGTTGTTTGTTTTTTGCTTCTTCTTTTTTTTTTCTTCTTTTCTTTTTCTATCCGGTGACCGTTTCATTATCGTCATATGAATATTTGTTTAAATTCTAACATCGATCATTTGAACAATATCAAGCATTTATCCCTTATTTATTATTTGTCACGCATCAAACAATTAAGAGAATAAATCCTACGTGACACCGACATCCAAACAGTTTTATTTTTTTATTTTTATTTCCATTGTATTCCTCATTTTCACGACAGAAGGATTTCATATTCAATTAAAGAAAACGACTTGACGATCTTTTAGTTTTTGTTTTACTTATTAAATATATCCCGTGTGAACGAAGAGTGTGTGGTTTCGTTAGTGGGAAGCGACATCTGAAGATATTGCTTGTTATTTGACCTATCGAAATAGTATTTGTATGCATAATTGCAACAGATCGATATGAAAATGTTATCACGATCAAGCTTATCGCAGCGTTTCCCTGTTTATGCGAAGTTCCTTTCGTCGTCATTGCCAATTCATGCATCACATCGTGGTGGACGACATTGGGGAAAAGAGAATACCCTTGAAACCTATCGTCGAGCTGTTCATGAAGCTCGAACAGAGATTCTTGAAATTGATATATGGAAAACCAGTGACGAGCAACTCGTTCTTAATCACGATGGTATTATAAATGGAGCATATATTAATGAAAATACTCTTGAATATTTACAACGAATGGATTCACAACTGCTTACACTCGAGCAGGTTTTAAGTTCGTATTTGCTTGGCCAGGTTTTCCATTCATTAAATATTTATTGACATTTTTAGATGAATTCGTTCCATTATCATCTTTGGTATTCTTCTTCGATATGAAGGATGCCAATGCAATTCCATTAACACTTCAAGCTATTCAAAAGTATAAAATTGAAGATCGAGTTATGTTTGGCGCTGTTGATAGACCAATCAATAAAGAATTACAAAAGCAGAAACCTTCTTCAATTCCTCTTTGTGCTGATGTAGAATCAATGATGAAAATAGCACAAGCTTACAAGCAAGGTCAACTCAATGAAAGCTATCCTTTTGAACACGATATACTCGGACTATTTCTTGAACCAAACACTCGTGCAATACTAACAACACATTTAGTCGATACAATTCACAAAACAGGTCGACCATTGGCGCTCGTTGGTTCGTTGCTTGATGATCCAGCAGTTCAGAGAGAAGTGATTCAGCTCGGTGTTGATATTATTTTTACTGATCGTCCAGACGTCTTACGACAAACTTTCGAGTCGTACGCAAATAAATAAATCAATCAATCTTCTCTTCTCATCAGTGACATTCATTTCCAAATAAATCATTCGAAACGATAACTATTTTATATACTCGTTTTTTTTATAATCAATTTCATTTTTTCGTCGACAATGCTTTCCGAGACAATAAAACCATCTTTTGTCTTGTTTCTTCTCTGTTTCTGTTCACTAATTTATGAAATAAAACCCCAAGTAACATTTGATGCAACTGTAGCAACGCTATGGACTGATGCAGAAACACCACTTGCGACAAGCGCATTAGCTACGAATGCAAGTACCTCCCGATCAACAAGTAAATACCTGAATTGTATCTTCCATTGCTTTTATGACGCTCTTTAGGAACAACAACTGACATCCCTTTGATTACAATCGCAACTGTGACTACTACCACTGGAACAACATCAAGAACTACAACATTGAGAACGACCACCAAAGCACCCGTATCGACAACAACACCAACAACAACAACAACGCACCCAAACAAAGGTGAATTCATTTGTGTTGACTTTTCGATTACGAATATTGCTTTTCTCTTATTGCGCATGTAGGTAATCAGTTAGGAAGAACGATCCATGGCGCCTTGTTGTTTCTTTGCTTGATTATGGCACATTAATCATACAACTATTCGGATAAGAGACACGTTTATATCAATATAATCTATTTCGAAATAAAAATTACAAAAAAAAAACACAGTAATCACGATGAATAAAACGAATTAGTCTCATGAATCAATTATTTCTTCTATTTTCTGTATTTTTCGTCTCGTGTTCTGATATTTCTTATTGATTTTCGCGCTGGCTTGATCCAATGGTGCTCGTATTTGATTTTTCACACGTCGAACAGCTTGTTTTCCACGTTGAATTTTCTTTTTTCCTTCATTGATCTTCCGATTGGTTTTAGCGCGAACTGCTTTACGAATCTCTTGTTGTCCTTCGCAGCAATAACTCAATAACAATAGTATAACGGTAAAACAGATCAGCAAACGAGAGAGTAGCATGATTTCGAGTTACCTCTACTTGTTTTCAATACGAAATGAATCAAAACGACGCAATGAAAGGAAATTAATCGTAAATGATAAGATAAAGAGAAACTATCTCCAATTTCGATGGTATTACGTCTGTGAGAAAGTGCATTTGAGCTACTAGAGTGAAAATGCTAATTTCGATTGACTTCTTTATTGATATATAGAAATTACAAGGAAAAGAAAGAAAGGATGAAATATGAAATCAGTCTTATGATTTGATAACATTTTCGATTTGATGCACTTTTCGTCTGGTATTTTCATATTTCCGATTGATCTTTGTACCAGCTCGATCAAATGGTTGTCGCGCTTGATTTTTGACAGTTTCCACCGCTTGTTGTCCTCGTTGAATCTTTCGTTTACCTTCTTTGATTTTCCGATCCGTCTTAGCACGCATAGCTTTACGAATTTCTTGTTGCGCTTCACAACAATAACTCAACAATAGTCCAATGATCACCAAACAGAATAATAAACGCGAGAGTAACATTGCACAAATGATTCTAGACAAATAGTTATTTGTATGTTCTTACCACTTACTTTCGATGTTGAATGAATGAATAAGAAACGATCTGAATGGATTTATTCTATTGTATTCAAATGATAAGATAAAAAACAACGAAGAAAATGTATTCAATTTCGTAGTTAGACTCTCGATACTCTTCGAAATGTAAACAAGGTCGAAAAATAAGCTGTTTGGATAGTTCTTCAATAAAGAAGAGCCTGCCGCATCGATTTGATCTTGAATTTTTCGCCTGATTCAGTTTATATTGAACTGTGTTCAAACTTAAGAAATGTTCACAAGTGATCGAGTTTTGTCCTTCAGAATTTAATCAACGATGACATTGACGCGATTGCAATCGGAGTTCGAACTAGTAAAAGTAAACTTTTCAAGGATTTTTCCTTGTATCAGCGTATTTCACATTACCTTTCACTCCATGCAACAGAATTCTTGTTCTCGACCTCGAGATTTCCAGATATTGATCCTTCATAGAATTTCTCTCATTAACAAGGATCTTTTCAATGATGAACACGATACACGAAACTATTTTTCAAGATATAGTAATTGAATCTTGTTGGTAAGCTCAATTATTAGTGGACTGCTTCCTGTTAGTAGAAAGCATGCTGTCATGCTATCAGACAGAACTTACTTCAAGGTTTGTATGTATACAAAAAATGTATCCAGTCGAGTGTCAAATAGCATTGTATTGATTGAATTAATCGAAGCTATTATTTCTTCATCATTACTCATTAATCTTGACGATATAGATTAACTACGTGACCGATTTTTGTAGGGAAAAGTTTCTTCTTCGTCTTCTGATGAACCGTAGCAGTGCAATGATATTCATTCGAGATTGTCGAAAAGAAGAAAAAATTTAATTACATAAGATTGATAATGTACGTTTATTGTACTCCTGAATAGTACTGTTCTATCTCGAGAATGTATCATTAATGGTTAACCGACAGTCGAAGGTTATTCTCTCCGAAATAAATCATATTGTAAATTCGCTGATAAGATCTTTCTCCGTTGTTCTTTCTCTTATTACATCGATTGATAATCAAATTAATAGAGATTTCATTTCCAAGAAAATCTTTCATTTGCTGTTATCTCTGTGTCGATCGATCGATTATTGAAAAAAAAACGATGAGGAAGAAACATTCTTGACAATATAAAAATTGATCTATTCCTAGGAGAATCAAAAAGAATCTTTCATCAACTTCTCTTCTCTCCGTTTCATGTTCTCGAAATAATATTCTGTGCTCGATCGTCATTTAACCATGAGAGTAACTTTCTTTTCTCTTCCTAATCAAATGACAATGAACAGAAAATCTCAAACGACGAGTCAGTCACTCCGTTGACATCTCTTGTTAGACCTTGAACATTGTAAGTAGATGTATTGTGTCATTTATCGGTCAATACTGATCAAATTGATTTCTTCGTATTCTGTTTATACTGTTCGATAAACGACCTTTTAATCTAGACTGACATTAGATAACATAGCCATGCATAGAAAAGAAATAATCATCGTTCTGTCACGCAGATTATAATCGTCAGCATATGCTCGTTTCTTCTCTTCGATACATTTGAACATCATTACTAACTAAACAAATAAGTCTTTTTTTTTCCCATCACCAATTATATTCGATTGTTTGTTTAACTAATCACAAATACTTGATAGATCTACTCTCTTCTGGGCAAGTTCCACATGTATTCATTCGATTTTACTCGGAAATCAAGTTTTACTGACATAATGTTATTTTCTTGATCTATGTAAACAAGTAAAACGATAATTAGTAAAGCAAAGACGCGTGAATAGAATTGACAAGCGGCAAGTTAAAAGTGAAATGACAAGAAGATTATATAATGATCTATTTTATTCTTTAATCGTCCGAACTTGTTTGCTTAGAAGAGGATTAACAACTGGCATGAACGAGTGTAAACGGAAAAAAAACGGAAGGAGCCATTTTCGTCACATTTCTTCTTTCTCTTCTCTTCTCCTCTCTATTTCTTTCGCGTATCGCACTTTATACGTACATTTGGTGATTGAACAAGGACGATGAAAAGCAGCTTCTCCACACTCTTAAAACGTGAAATAATTCTATAGAAGTGCCCAAATAGTGACACTGTCCTTCGTTTTCTTTTTTTTTCAAACATGCAAACTTTTCTATTACATCATTTCTTTTCTCTTGATTTTTTTTTCTGCTTCGAGATTGTTGAAATATATGGAAGAGGTAAGAAGTAATCCTTCATCAAAACATAATTCAACATCGATCGATGGCAAGCAAATCATTTGGACGTCGGCGAGTCGATTTAGTACACATATGAAAAGTGAACCATTGAAGAGAAGAGAACAATTAAAACAACCACCTCGCTTGAGACAAAATCAACATATGAGTAAGTTCAATCAGTCGAAAAATGATAAACCGTCTTTTTCACTCAAATGAAATATTTTGCTGATTAAACTTTGCCTCGTGCACTTTTCTTTCGTCTTTTACTAGATGATTGTTTATCTGATCAATCCACTGGCCCATGTAATATTGATATGAATGACAGTAAAAATGATGTGTTATCTTTGAAATCATCGATGGGATATAATTCAATCGAACGACGTGAGAAAAAGCAAGTTGGCATTGTCAAGCCACTATTAACTGTAGAAAAAGAAAATAACCTATGGAATTGCTCGGAACTCGAACGACTTCAACGACGTTTCTCGGAATTAATCGACGGGAAAGTATCGGACGAGAAAGCATTGCCAATAAATAAGAGTGCGGTTATCGAACGTCTTGAATCTCTCTACTCATCGATTGGCTCACACGTTTATGTTGCTCCGTGTTTAGTTCGTTTATTCGTTTTAACTGACTTTCAAGTTTGTTCACTAGAACAATGGAGATTGATTCATCGCGGTTATCCACTTTGGTTATACAATACTGGGTTGAATCCTCGTCGATCAGCTGAACTACGTTTAATAATTGTCGATGAAAAAACCGGGTTTATTCTCTGGTCTGATCGTATTACATCAATATCGAATATGATTCAGCCAACAAATTTGACACTTTCATTTCGTCATTCACTGAATAATTCGTCGATTATGTTGCGATTCGAACCGACAGATGAAAAAGCTTTCACAAGATTTTATTCATATTTGAAACAAAATCAATTTTATACTGATAAAATACTAAAAACGCACGTTTCCAAACGTCTAATACGAAAAAGTGATATTTCGCCACCTTGCCATTTCAAACATTTGAATCACATCGATGAAAATATCATAGATGTTCGTCATTAATTGTATTAGTTGGATAAGATACACTGCGAGGAGTGGTGTCGACTTTTGAACGTAGAATTTTACAATACAATATCACAGCAATGATGGTAATTAGAATTATGACACCAAGAATGGGAAGAATAATTATTAATGCCAAGTTTGTCGATATTGATGGTGAGGATGATGAACATTTTAATTGTAATTCTTTTCGCGTATAGATACCTGAAATATTGTGAAACGATCACTTTTTTTTATACGTATATAGATCTGACTATAATTTATTTTAGAAAATAAAAAAATAATTTTTCTTTCGAAACTACATTTCCTTTCCAAATCGTTTATTGTAAGATGGAAAACAACGAAAGTGTAATATAAACATTCAGATGATTAAATAACGAGAACATACGGGTGAAAATTTCTAATTTGAATATAGCGAAACTAGCATGCTGTTACATTCATCTCGTACCTGACTTGATCCTTATGGTTTGTTCGTTATTGTAAATGAATGTGAATCTTTTGTTTTGCTATTTTACACAGATCAATGCACATAATCGTAGAACTATTCAAAATCTTAGTTAATAATAAGCATATTCTATTAGTTTCAAGAGACCGGCTAAGCACTGACACTTGTGTATCCATATCTGCTGCTCAGAAAAGTTGCAACATGTGTTTGACAAGTTATCAGAAACAGATATGTAATTTCTTTCTCGATGTAGTTCAATGAGTTACAGTAGATTTTCAAATGCTTTACCAAGATTTCATTGACACACCGTAATAATTATACTAACGAACAATCTTCTTCGTCTAGGGTTTTCTGTTCTTTTTTTCTTATTAACAAAAATTGTTTATATTACGTCACTGAATAGAAAGAAAGTGAAACCCATGAGAATTTATCTATGTAATATGATTAGCATAACTCTATTCTAATGCAATTGTAGTCTAGAATTAGATTGAGCAGGTATTTACCTTGATAACATTCGGTGCCAGTACAATTACATTGACCAGTAAATCGATCACAATTTGAACATGAACATTGATACGAACAACCAGGTCCATATAGATTACTTGGACAACCTTAAATTCATAAGAAAAAGCGCCAATTTATATAATTAGTTACAAATTTCGAGTGATTTTCTTACTTATATTACAATACGTTCCATACCACCCCGTATAACATGAGCATCCGTATGGATCAGGTAAACAAATCGATAGTCCTTTACAATAATCATCATCACCTTTACAATTGAAATCACATGTTTGACCATAATAACCTGCTGGACAATCTTTTAAAATGAAGAACAAACGGATATTTCGTGTTCTCTCTCTCTCTCATTAAAGACATGCTCTACTTACTATACTGACATTGATCTCCATAGAATCCTGGTGCGCAGATACACTGGTTAACATACGGATGATATATTCCTTGTGAGCGACATCGATTATCATCTAAATAACAGAGAAGGAGAGATTTCAATGGATTTCGTTTTCTTTTTTTTTCTGATTTACAAAGCTGATAATCAATAAATCTGGTGTGATGTCCTGACATTCGTCTATCGTTAAATGCTACAGTAACTAAAGTATTGAGATTTTGTCTGAGATTAATGCCATTCATTGTTAGATTATTTGTATTAGATAAACTACATGACAATGCAATCGTTTCGTATAATGTCCGATCGAAATTCATGTATTCAAAGCAAGACGAACTAAGACTTGTATTTGCTAGTGTGAAACTTAATGCTACTGATTGATTAAAAGGACGACGAAGAGCAACACTATAATCCATCGGAAGATTTGGTCGTATGAAATCGCCTTGAACTGGAAACGACTGCGTATAAACAATGCCAACTAAGCTATTTTGTGGTATACACGCATAAAGACCAAATCGAGCATCATCACTGTGATTCGGCAGACTTATATTCTGACACTTGGACACACATGCTTTATAATCACACGGCGAGTCTGCTATCAATGAGCGAATATCACCTTTCCGACAAAACCGAAGTGTGCTTAAAACTGTAAATGGATTGATATCGTAAAGACCATAGTAAGATTCATCACTCGCTCTTGATAGATGATATCCTGTTCGGTCCGTGCCACGAAATGACGCAAACCAAACATAGTCCAACGTACTATTGTACTAAAATGTGAATGATTACAATTGGAAAAAGTTAATCTCGATGAATTAACTCATACTGAAGTATTCATTGGCATCCAATATGCATTAGTCACTTGCTTTGTTGGTGATATTAAGCCGGTATAGGCATAAGTACCAATAAAACTTGAATCTCCTAGCATGATTTCTAGAAAGACATAAAGTTCCTATAATCTTGATTTAGTAAGAAAACTTATCGACGCAATACCTTGAACTAATTGCCATTCGTAAGCATTATTCGCGTATATTGGATAACCACCTAATTCAGCACAAAAGTCAATGACACCACTTAGGTCTTTTGATGATGTGTCTGTTTCAAGTCGATAAATAAAATCACTTGTTTTAGTGTTAATCGATGCTAATCAACAAATTAAATCGTGCGATTCAAGTACGAATATTTTTTATTAAACATCTTACGCAAAAGTCGACAAAGTGGATATCCCATGATAGTTGTATCATTGCAACGAACACTTAATATTTGTATTGACTGAGGATCAACACCATTCGATTGAATTACAGTACAATAATCTCCATCTATTGTTATTGAACTCAGATTTAGTTGTAGGGATTGATTAAACGGAATAGCCTAGAAAAGATATTGAAAACCAGGACAAGGTTAAATAATGTGAAGATAATTTTACATTTGATTCCCATTGTTTAATTTGATTGATTTGTTTCAAACCAATGAAAAATGTTAGGAGATTTGAACCCATGATTCGCCGTTGATATCGAAATAAGTCGTAAATTGTTGTCGTAAGAAGATCTATATGAAAAGAATAATTAGTTGAATGTATTTTACGAGAAGTCTCTCTGTTACTTTGGAGTATTGTCTGTTCTGTTGAATTTGCCCAATACATTAGTGTTGCATTATTGTTCGAACAAAACGCTAACGATTGTTCGCGTGTGTAATTGTGAGGAAATGTGAAATATTTTAAACGATTTCCCGTCCAATGTTTCCCTTGCAAAAGAAAATTTTTATAACAAAATTTTAATAAATCTTCTCATACATCCTTGATCGATTTCAACCGGACGAATCGGATATAGATCCGTCTTGCTTCGACATGTTATGCTCGAAGGCTGTTCTTGAGAATACAGATACTGTCGATGTTCAATAGCTATATCAGGTATGGAAGTTTCTAATCAAACGAAAACACGCAATTTCTATGTGGACAAAAACAGGTTATTCCAACCATTAACACGATTGTTAAGAAATCTGTACACATAATAGTTTGTACCAAATGATTTGCCTGAAAGGATCCCGTTTCTTAAACTATTGCTAAATGTAGACGATTGTACTAGATTATTTTGAACGGATACTGTCGAATATGTTCCATTCCACGGCATAATACGACCGTCATGATATGCCGCTTTGCATATCAATGAATTCTTCGAATTTAAAGGTAGATATCGAAAACGATTCCGTGTGAATCAACTTACTCCGGAGTAAGTTTCATTGCCATAGATCGGGTAGTCTTGTTGATTGGATAGATAGCGTATTGTGTAACAGGATGACGGGCAAGTAAAAACACTAGATGGAATACTCATACAAATAGAAATATAAAAAATTATCCATGTTTTACTTTGTATTTATGTCTGAAGGATTGAGAACTAAAGATGCATTACTGAATGTTGTAAAACATGCGTCGGGTAAATAAAATTGGCCTATAAAAGATAATGGGAATCTTCCTATGTTGTCAAGTGAAAACTAGACCTTGAACAATAAAACAAAAATTCCATAAAAGAACTTGTAGATAACAACTAATGTACATTCTCTTCGTGTCTATGTGTATATCCTATTAGTTCATCAACGACGACTGTTGTATATTCTTTAAATAAAAATGATAATTTCTTTTTTTTTTTGTCAAACCAAATATTGATCTATCTCTAATGGAAGATCAACATTCGATGCTTGTCAAAGAACAAATAGCGAACATTCATTTATCAATGACACTTCGAAGTTTGTAATCATTTGTTGTCTACTATTGTGCAAATTCATTCGATTTAGAGGACATTAGAGTTGATATGAACCGAAAAATGCTCTTTATAAATAATCAAGTAAATGAAGAAAAGAAAAGAAATGAAATAACAAAAGATCTTCGTTGTCGGTCTGTACAAAGGGAGAGAGAGAGAGGCCCGCGAAATATGTTGTCTTTTGAGCAAATTTAAATCACCGATTGATTTATTGATTAGAAATTCGAGGGAAAATCGTCGGAGCATTATTTGTTAGTGTATTTTCATCGTCATGTGCAAATGTATCGTCGTGGCCGGTCGTTTCACTTAAACTAAAATCTATACGAAAGAAAAATAACGAGTGAATAGTGAAGGACAAAAAACAGTTAGTTTTACATGACTCTATGGTACTATTTGGATCTTTTTTTCTTCGCTGTTGAATGCGAGATTCTCGCGTCGAACGTTTCAATTTCGATTCAATCATCCATGGATGATGTAGACCTTCTTCCGGAGTCAAGCGTATTAATGGATCCCATCTAAATCGATGAGAATTTAGAGACGGAAGGGAGCAAGAGAGAATGCAGAAAAACATACTCAAGACATCGACGGATGAAATCAACGAAATTATTATCAGTTGTACGAAGAATCTGTGCTAATGGACGGCTAGCTGGACGACGTTTTTTCATTGTTTTCGCCGAAGCTGATCGAGGATTTCCTTTGGAATCTAAATTCATACGATTTTGTTTATTATCCTGTATGCTTGTCAACACAAACCAAAAAATAATTTTCTTCGACTTCCTTGATCGAGCACATGAAGCGGTGGTGAATCAATAACTTCGATAATCATTGCCAATTGCTCTTGTTCATTTTCACCCGGAAAAACTGGATGACCTTAGAAAGAAAATATTCGCGTAAGGAAAACGAGCGAAGAACTGATTTACCAGTGAACAATTCTACAAGAATACAACCCAAACTCCACATATCAATTGCTGGCGTGTAAGGAATGCCTAGAATGATTTCTGGTGCTCGATAAAATCGAGATTGTATGTACGTATAGACTAAATGAAATATAAATTCGAAAGTATTCTGAGGAAAGATGATAACAAACTTCGTTGTGATTGGAAACAACCAGATCCAAAATCGATTACTTTGATACTACTACTTCCTTTCTGTCGAAGGATGATGTTTTCCTATGAAATCAAATTCGATAACCAACATCAATTGTTACAAACTGAATCTTACTGGTTTGAGATCACAATGGATAATTTTCTCTCGAAAAGTGACACGAAGACATTGTAAAAGTGAATTGGCGAAACGTCTGACTAAATGAATACTAAACCCTTGATAGTTGTTCTTTCGTATTAGTTCATATAGATTGATTCTAGAATACAAACTATCAATTAGATAAAATGAAAACCAAGTTGTCCTTACCCAAGGATTTCAAATGTGATGCAAAGATGAGCACGAAAGTAGAAATGATCTTTGATATGCACGATATTCAATGAATTATCCGAATCTAGCGATTTCAGATGCATTAAAATGTTCACTTCGACTAAACCTTGCTGTTGGAAACGTTTCTTATTTCGAATGATTTTCAATGCAACTGTTTCTTTCTTTTTGTGATCATAACAACGAAGAACTAGACCAAACGAACCTTTGCCTAATGTTTCCAGAATTTCATATCGATAGCAAATATGATCTTTGTTCACTTTAATGTATGAACCATTTTCATCATCGTATTCTTTTATGTTTGTCACTGGTAACTTTTCGGCTTCTAAACCGAGAAAATAAACTTCGTGGTACTCTAAGATTTCTTTTCGTTCGAATTCGGTTAATTGTGAACCGTAACACATTAATGCATCTGAAATGGAAAAGAAGATGAGTACTGCTCGATTTTACTATGAATAAGTTTACTTACCGGAAGGTTTCATTGGAAATGGTGAAACTCGAGTTAAATTCTCATAGGTTATACCCGTGAGAAAACTTTTTGCTCGAGGATGTGATTGTGAAGTATGGACGATAGATGAATTGTTACTGGTATTATGTGCTGTTTGTTGTTGATATAGATGATGAGTGGGCGATGGATCAATTTCTCTGGAAGTCGATTTCACACTTCCATCTCGATTTCTCTCTTTGCGTAAGGTTCGGGCTGTTGCTGCTGCCGCTCCGCGATGATGATATTGACCAATTGTTTGATTGAGTCGACCCGACGCACCGTACGATGAGTTGAAAAATGGTAAAGAAGAATCGTGTTTGGTTGTGTGATTCAAAGTTTCATTGGATTTGCCATTTCGTATACTTCCAGTGGCATACGATGTTGTTTGTGGTTTATCCGTTACACGTGGAAACGATCCGTTCAGAACTGTTTGAACAGATAATTTCTAAATAAATCAAATAATTCCTTTCGATTGCTATTAAAAGCAGACGTTGTTTACTTGGACTTTCGACAGTGGCTTTGATGATATACTTAATCCCATATCACCAAATGACGCATCCATGTCATATGGATCTAATCCACTTCGGCTATGATGAGCTGATTCATCACCAGATCTGGTGAGGTTGTTCGACTAGAAGAAGAAAGTTGGGATAATAACATCTCGATTTGATATACCTAATCAAGGTAAATATTCAAGATACCTGACCAAATAGCATCGCAAACTGAACGAGTCTGTTTGAATTAGTCATATAGAAATGAATTGGAAAAAAACAAAATAACATGGAAACGTCTTGCCCTCGATATTTCTCTTTCTCGAACTCAATTATCTTCTCAATATTTCAATGTTAGCCCAAAGCTACACGTTTACTTTTTGATTGATTGACTGTAGACATTCTATTGATAGAAATTGTTATTTTACGGAGAAACCATTAGAAACTATTTTTTTCGTCAAACCAGCGCCTATTCTGTTTGCCCTAATTCACTTACATGATCTGTCAGATAATGGTCTGGTTCTTCATTATCTGTATGTGTATAACTAATATTATCAGTTGTGACCGGTGTTTCAACCCGATGAGTTCCATAGATGCTCTTATGTTTGATATGGCGGGGCGGTACTCGTGGTGGTTGATTGACTGCACGTTGACTTCGTCTCGAAGTTGGTACAACATTCAACTGTTCGCTTTGTTTTTGTTGTCGTTGCTGTTGACCTTCTGCGATAGGCTGACGTTTTTTAAATCGTCCACTTCGATCGTCTGTTTTAACAGTTAAGCGAATGAATTTCTGAAATAAATCAGTGAGACTTTTGCTATTGTCAACGTTGAGCGTTGCACCAGTGGACATGTTGGATTGTTTGTTGTTCTTTTTTTTTTTATAGATTTATAGATGAATTTTTCTCGTGATCATCTATTTGATCAGTTGTAGCAGTGCGATACGAAAAGAAAAAGTAATAGACGCAACAATTCATTTTCTACTCGCATTTTTTTTTCATTTTTCTTAATACGGTTTCTTTTAAGTAATTTTTCGTCGCATTTTATTTTCGTTTCTTACTATTTACTTTTTCTAATGCAATATTTACCTCTTTGAACAGGCTTTCTACGTTCATAGACAATTCTCATCGAAGAAAATACGATACTCGACTGAAAAGAAAGACTAGATCGTCTTGAATATTCTTTCGCAAAGAAAAACTTGAACATTTCATCCTGGAAATTCTTTCCGACACAGATGTCGCTAATGATCAATCGATGAATTCTTGCTGTTGAGAGATTTCAATTGATAGAGGTTGTCTCCTGACGATGACTGACGGTCATGTTGAGATTATTCCTTATTCTATTGTTCAAGTGAATTGAAAATGAGCACGAAACCAACAAGTTTCCTCGTTTTTATCAATGGATCTATTGAAAATGCGGAAGTATGAAAAAATGTTTGCAATATTTTCAATCTATTATCATTTGAAATAGGTTAATGATTACGACGAGCTTTATCTTCGATTTTCCTATGTAATTGGAAAAGATTGGGAGATATGTTCTGTAAGTGCCTGCATAAAGACATCACTTTTCAGCAAAAAAGTTTTATCTGTCTAGGGTCTTGATGAAGGAACAACACAAATCGCTCATAAGAGTGTTCAAGTTGGATCTAAGATCGTTTTTAATTTTCCGTTAGAAGTTACATTTCGAGCAACTAATCCTTTTGGATGTACGTAGCCGCACATCAATCATTCATTCTCTCATACTTAGTCTATTTCAGGGCCACAGTTAGTACTTAGTGGCTATGGCCTCGATACATTTGGCAATGATGTTGTTCGAGGTTATGGAACAACACACATTCCAATTAACCCGGGACGGTAGATGAATGTTCTCTGCTTGAATTGTTTTGTTTTTAAATAATTTATGTCCATAGACATCGTGTTCGCATCCCATTGTTTACACCACGTTCATCCTCTCGATTTCAGCAATTCTTAGGGTGGATCATGGGTCGTCGACCGGAATTCGTCGATCCAAAAGTAGTCGCTTTCAATGCAGGCAGAGAAAGTATGAGTCAACATTGTGACGATTGGCCTCGTCGTTCGGAGCGATAGCAGGTTCTTTTCTTTTCGATTCTAGTGACACGTGTTCGATCACATGGCTATGTTCAAGTTGTCTTCAATGTTGTGACTAAAGATATGGATGCCTTAGGATATCGAATTCAATCGAAACATGCATTGCCGACTGGTTCAAAACAATCTGAAAATACAGACAGTGCTCAGGCAGATAATCACTATTCATAGTTATTTCATAATTCAGTTTCATTTCTGTTTCTACTTGCTTCGTATTTGTTTATAGAAAAGATAAAGAATATATACGAGAAAGCTAATTGAGCATCTATTTCAAGTAATTGTTCTGCATGTTCTTTTCTTTCGAAAATAAAAACGAATTTATATCGAAGAGATGACGAAGATTAGCAAACAACACATCTTGTTCCATCTTCGCGTGCATATTCAAACCTGAAAAGGGCGTTTTTTTTTCTCTGCTTTCGTACTGAAACGTAATACTCGAATTCGATTAAGAGAAAGAAATCATGAAAACTAGTGATCTCTCTTTTGTTTTCAAGTGTCAACGCTGACATCTCAGCTAATAATAATTTTCTTTAAAAGCCATTCTGTTATTTTAACCTAACTGAAGCAGCGACGCGTGCAAATGTAAGTGCAGAATTCGACCAATGCATAATATACCGATAGTCTGTAAACCTATCCTGTTCAAATGAAACTCATCTCGTGTTCTTGATGAGAGAAGTATACGAAAGAAAGGCGCTCTATTTCATTAAGTTGAATGATGGATTGGTCGAAAAAGAAAACTGATCTTTTGAATATTCTCGGAAGCCGTTTTCGAAGCTTAAGCCTGCACCGAAGTAAAAATCGAAGCAGTTACCTGGCGGTTGACCCACATATTCGAATACCCATCATTCTCAATACGGTGAACGTGACACAATCGTCAACGCAAACAATTCCGATTAATGTGAATAACAATGGTATGAAAACCGTCACATCGGCGACTTATTCATTTGAATTTTCTGAGATTTAGCTGAACATATCAAAGCTCCTGACAACGCTCGACATCGAAGTCGTCGTCGAAAACATCAACAACGTTTTAGTAAATGCTTAGCTGAATTAACCGAAAAATATCCGCCGATTCCTGCACATGAATATTTAGTCTGTGTGATCAATTTTCAGAATTCAATATAATCGGTTTCGATTTGTTTAGAAAGACGATAAATCAATCAACGAGGATTCGAAAAAGAGTTGCTATTCGTCAATATCAACGAGTTCGTTTTGATCTTTTTTTAATTACAAACAAGCTCGTTTGACTTTTTTCTTCAGATTCAGAAATAACTTCGTGTATTTGGTCAAAACTATTGGAAAGTCGAGAAGATCTATTCAAATTGAATAAAACACTTGAAGACTTGGACAAACGTTTAGAGCGTCTGTCATCAAACATGTGTTCCAAATGTAAATTCAAACACGTTTTTTAAATAAAAAAAAGATCTGTATTTGTGAATACACACTACTGCCATCTATCGACACAATTGATTTTGACTCGATCAATGAATTTATTCGTAGATAAATATAGAAAAAGTGAAAATGAAGTTTTTGTTCGGATCAATTAAAGAATTTTCTAAAAAGTCGAACATATTGCCACGTGCTGTGGATAGTAGCGAAAACCAAAAGGTCTCGATCTTTTAGTATACTTAATCCGTTGTTTTCGAATAAGATAATAGTACTGAGACTAATAGAAACAATATGACTGAATACTGGAATTGGGCTCGAACATTCCATTGCCGACCTCGTCTCTATGCAGAACCGAAATCAATTGATTCTCTTCGAAGTCTCTTGGCTGAGATCAACCAAACTAAATCGAAAGTTCGTGTTATCGGTTGTGCACACTCTCCATCATCGCTAGCTATGTCCAACGAGGTTTTGATATCAATGAAATACTTCGATAATATTCTTGAAATCAATGAAAAAGATATGCAAATTCATTGTGAAAGTGGAGTACTCATACGCACATTGAATGAAACTCTTCCGCAACATAATCTTTGCTTACCGGTTCAAGGTTCTGTGAATTACTTGACACTAGCCGGTGTTATTTCGACAGCTACGCATGGATCAGGTGACATCCCTCTTTTGTCCTTGGAAACAAAAGACGTCTTCTTTTCTTTTGTTTCTAGGCATTCAGTATGGTTCCATTTCCTCGTATGTCCGGTCTATAACTCTAATGAAATTAAATGGAGATTTACAGGAATATCGCTTAGAAGATGACGAAGACTTATTTCGTTGTTTGACATGCGCTTTGGGAACATTTGGGATAATTGTTAGTGTACGTTTACAAGTTTGTCCATTGTTTTACATGGAATTAAATCAATATTCGTTAGGATTTCATAGTTTATTAAACACATTGCCCAGTCATTATTCCTCATCAGACCATTTTCGTTATATGTGGTATCCGCATACCAACTCCGGTGTTGCTTATCATTTGACTCGAATTAATCCACAACCGATTTCACACAAGACTTCAATCTTTTCACGAATATTTGCCTGGTTTAGATATTCATTAATTGGTATGTTTCTAATAACGATCCTAAACACTTTTTCATTCTATCGTCTATCTAGGTCACCATTTTTGCGAATTCTTATTCTACCTTTCACTATACATGCCAAGTTTAGTTCGACCGATTAATACATTCTACGCCAAACTCGACGGCAAATCCCAACACAAAATCGATCGTTGTGACAAATTATTCAATTTCGATTGTTTATTTCGTCAATATGCCAGCGAATGGGCGGTACCCTTAGATCAAGCCGTTTCCTGTCTAACCGAATTACAACAATCCATGGAAGTTCATCGAAGTGTTCATTTTCCAATTGAAATACGTTTTAGTAAAGCTGAAGATTTATCCTTTTTATCACCCGCCTATGGCCGACAAACATGCTGGATTAATACAGTTGCCTATCGACCGTATGGAGTCGACCATTCTCTTCATCGAGCATTTTTTCAAGCATTTGAAAAAATTTGTCTTAAACACAATGGCAGACCACATTGGGCAAAGGAGCATCCATTGAAACGAGAAGATTTCGTTCGCCTCTATCCCCATTGGAATCTGTTTCAAAAGAAACGTCAAGAGTTCGATCAAAATAATCTGCTTATTAACGACTGTCTTCAGAATATATTTTAGGTTGTTCTTTCTTTTCACTTTTTTCTTTCTTGTTTACTCAATAAATCAGCGACATCTATATGAAAATGTGTATGATGCATAGGCGAAATGAATCTATGCACCATAGAGATATATATTTGTCTATGGTATGAATGTGACCCCTAGGTAACAGAATGCTTGGACGACCGTTGCTTGGTGTCATTCTTTTTCTCTTATTGCACTAACTAAAGTAACGGTAGTCATCGAGATCTTTCGTATTCTTGTCAAGTAACCGTCGTCAGGTCAGTAAAAATAAAGAAAAAAAGTGTGTTACCATAACGAAAGTTTCTCAAAGAAAACAAAGTTTTATATTTTTGACATTTTCTTTAAATAAAAAAAAAGAATCTTGAGAAGAAAACAATATGAAGAATTTACCATATCAAATATGGATATTCAATTGTTTTTATCTTTTAAGTTTAACACATGGCATCATCTACAACGCTTCCAATACGGGTAAGATCGTCATTGACTGAAGAAGTTCGGTTTGGGATTTTAGAAACAAAAATCATTTGTCTGTTCTTTCCAGACTGAATCACGTTTAAATGGTCAACAGGGACAATATTTAGTTGCCACAACAAATCCGTCAAGTGGTGAAACGAATGGAACGCAAACAACAGGAAGAGTGATTATTGCGAAGGCACATCCACCGAATCAAAATTCACAAATCAGCCAAAATTCAAATAATATTTCGGGCCCTGTGTAAGTACCACGAGCGGGGGGCCATTTATATATGTTTCTATGTGTTAATTTGTAGTCAATTTCAATTCAATTCAAGTGATGGCACACTTTACACGGGAACGAATTCATTTTTTCAACCTCAATCATCGGTAAGAATGCATAAAAATCGCTTTGCAACTCTCATATGAATTTGTTATCGATTTCGCAGGGCACGTCATCTGATGGGTTTTCCCACCATATTTTGTCATGCACAGGTGGCTATTTTGTTCCATCGTTAGAAAGCGGCTCGCAACCATTGACACATACAACGCGCGCATCACCTGCTACGGTAAGATAAAGACAATGTCAGAAGAGATCATTTGAAATACTCGATGAAGATTTAGTACACCTCAGAGAAATCAATTAAATTCGCACATGCTACATAAAATAAGGACGTCAGTTGATGAATTCATTTTCTTCTTCACATGTGTATCACGTGTCCAGATTGAATGCGCATACCCCTCCCCTCCCCCATTCCGATGCACCATGCAATACAATGCCACTATTTCAGGTGCAATGGTTAGTTGATAATTTCGAGCCAGCTGAAGGTTGTTCTCTTCGTCGTTCAACATTATATTCGTTCTATTTGCAACACTGTTCGGATCAAAAATTAGAAGCTGTTAATCCAGCATCGTTTGGCAAATTGATTCGTTCGGTGTTTCTCGGTCTTCGCACTCGTCGTTTAGGTACACGAGGTAATTCCAAATACCACTATTATGGGATACGTGTCAAACAAAACTCATCCTTAAACGCATTTTCGGATGAACATGGCGGCTTAACATTTCGAGGTAATAATGCATTTGCCAATTTCAAGAATCGTCGTTGGTCAACATCAAATGATGGCTCATCGCCAGAGAATAAGCCGAACATTAATGATCAATCCTATTCATCTCAATCGGAATCAACATTATCTCAAGCAGATACAAAACAATTCATTCATGAAAATAATTCGTTAATCATCAATGAAAGTATTCAAATTGATGCAAACATTCAATTACCTGATGGCGTCACACAAGATGACATTAAGCGTTTTGAAGGCATTTACAAAGATCATTGTCTTGTAAGTGAAAGGCTTTCTCGCCTCGAGGAGTTTATTTTTCATCAATTCGCTGTTTAGAAACTATTCGACGTAATCACGACGTTAGATTTTGGTTCAGTCGAACAAATATGGCTTCAGTTTTGGTCTCACTCGGGACGAGATGAAACGATTCCATTGGCATTATTCCATTCCATTTGTTCATTAAACAGTGTTCAAGACTTCATTAAAAATTCGGATTATCAATTGTATCAACAATCGGTCGAAAGATTAATTGCTGATATTCTATCGCCCATGCCAAGTGAGTTTCCTTCCTTTCGTCATTCGAAAGTCTATCTGTTTGATTTATAGCAAGTGCAACTCAAGCGATTCGAACATTCGGTAAAAGTGTTGATGGTTGGCTTCGGGCTGCTCTTGGTCATCTACCTGAGCGATTAAAAACAATCAAATTAACAATAATCAATGCATTTGCCATGACATTACGTCGTTATACATCGATAAATCATTTAGCTCAAGCGGCACGAGCTGTTCTTCTTAATGCCACTCAAGTCAATCAAATGTTAGCGGATTTGAACAAAGTGGATTTCCATAACGTTCAAGTAAATTTCATTCACTTGTCCGTATACAGAGTGCAAGCGGTGGATTTCTTTTCTTTTCAGGAACAAGCTTGGTGGGTATGCGAATGTGATGATAATTTAATTTCGCGTATCGAACGAGAATTCAAAAATCATTTATCGTCTCAATCTACATTAGAAGATTGGTCGCAGTGGCTTGACTCCTTATTGAATGATTTACTTAAACCATATGCACATTTACCAAGCGAAAAGTATACGAAACAAGCAAAACAGATTCTTTTGAATTGGTCGTTTTATTGTTCAATGGTTATTCGGGATTTAACTCTACGTAGTGCAGCATCATTTGGTTCATTTCATTTAATCCGTCTTCTCTACGATGAATACTTATTCTCTTTAATTGAACATAAAATAGCATTACACGCACAAAAAACTCCGATTGCTGTTATGGCTGAAGTAAGACAGATAGAAGGAGAAATATATCAATCTGCTGTTTGTCATTATTTTATAGTTAACACTTCAAAACAAATTGTCGATATATGATGGCGGTGTTAATCCGTCGAATGCAAATGGATCTTCATCGAGCATTTCAATTGAACGTCGAACTATTCCACCGAAAATTTCTTTGGTCGTCAAAAAAGATACACTTTCACCGGTAAGTGTATTTAACACGAGAGAAAACAACACGAGTTTAATTATATTTATTCTAGCCGCAAATATTGACATTATCAGGTTCACCTGTTCAATTGCCAATCATTAATAAACTAGTGTCTGCTGCTAAATTAGCGAGTCAACCAACGACAGCAGCAACAACAACAGCATCATCAGGCGCAACAACGAACATAAACCAACAGAATGATAAAGATTCGGATTCTGTCAAAAGACTTAAAACTACGGACGAAATTGTTGCTGTTTAGTTTTTGTGTACATTTATTTGTTCGGTATTAGATTTTCGTTTTTTTTTCTCTCGTTTTTTTTTTTGTGTCTTCAAATAAATCAACGTTCTCTTTAATTCACAAGAGATCGTGTCACTTATTCACGAAAACAGAACATACGATCTTTTCGACTTTAGAATGAATACTTGTACTTGCGCTGCTATCGCACACAAAAGGCGTGTATGACTTATTTTCCATAATAGCTAAACAAGATGAGCATTTTTTAAAATTTAATATTTATCGTGAAGGTACTGAAAAACGTTTTATAAAAGTAGAGAAGATCAGGAGCAGAACAATTTCGTTAATTGGGAATAGAATACTGCTGTCAAGTGTCTATTTATTGAATTCGAAATACAAACGAACATTAAAATGAAAATAAAATGTGGAGTGAATTGATATTGTTTCTTGGACGTTTCAATAACTCTTGAAAAATTAGCAAACGACTCATGATAGAAATTACAAATCTTTCGATCTATTGATAGAAGAAATGACATTTCGTACACACTTTGAATGTGCTTCTCAAAGAAACTCAATGAAAGGATGAAAAAAGCTATTAAAATCGTACTACAGCTAATTTGCAAACATGATGCACTTTTCGAATTGATTCTTGTGGCATAATTCAAGTGAAACAAGATCTTGTAATGCGATAAATGCATCTGATTTACTCTTCACCAAACCCAAAAACAGTTCTGATTATCAAACTAGAAAAAGAACATTTTGAATTGAATATTTATTAAAAGTGAGAGGAGGATTCAATAAAACCGGAGACTAGGATACGTGAACAACTGATTATTGTTTTTTGTAGTAATCGTAAAACATACACAAAGAAATTTCAAAAGACAAGATAATCAAACAAAAATTACCTGTGACGTTATCAACAAAAGCATCGTATCATAGATCATTGTGAACTATTCTTTAAAGAAGTCTTCCGTAATCTTTTCATTGATATGGTAGTATAGGATTAACATTTGATCTTCGACTTTTTGATACGAAAGATAAAAGCTCAGTTTGAACTTCTTTATTGAATATTGATAAAGTATCGAGAAAAAACACGAAAAATGTTTGAAGACGTGAACACAGTTCGAGCAAATTCCTTGCCTCCCGGATCCCGGTGGTAGGGAAGCCGTAGGAAAATGAAGTTAATCGATTGAACCACAATGACCGTGTCGGTGTTATAAGGACGATTGAGCATGAGCTATGTATTAATATTTGTGAAAGGTAACTACCAGAAAATGAATTATAATTATTACAAATTAGAAAAGATGAAGATGTCTCTTCCTTTCAATTCATGAAGAATAATCTGTTTTCCAAATAGAGTATGTTCATTTTCATGTTTTAATCAAAATATAAATGAACGCAAATCCGTTGAGATTGATGGTATTCATTTACTCAATGTTTGAAAAATATTATTCGCTAATGATGGTAAATAATAAATATCTATATTCAAATATTTCTCTATGAACATATTTTATTTGTTCGTTTCCATTTGAACACGGTATTTTTAACTTATTCGTTTTCAAAGACTAGGTTCGCATATTCTGATGAAAATGCATTTGGTTTTGTGACAATATCATTAATACAATACACTTGAAAGATCTTTATTAGAGTACACCAGAGTGTTTCATGTGGTTCGAAATGTTTATTTGACTTCGAAAGAAAAAGCTACGCGCGTAGACAATCACTCTTCGTGTCACTCTCTCTCTTCACATTTCCATATACATATATTTATAGTATGCCAACTGCACAAAGAAAAAGATCTAAGGAGAGAGAAGATATATACGTATCTATAAGAGAGATATCGCCTATAACAAATCTGATTAGTTTTAATCAAGTGAAATTCATTGCAGACTATATATAGATTGAACTTGATGCACTTTTTGATGTGGAATAATATAATGGAATTTCATTGAGTAGAAAAGGAACTAAAATATCCGAATGATTATGATTTTCATCAGTTCAAGAAATTCTTTTTATTCAATGTAAGTCGCAACAGCAACAATATTCGCAATTTAAGGGCCAATAAACGCATATGATAATGTGAAGACTGATAATGATCTTTTCATTTTCCATCAACATCTTCACTTTTATAAAAGAAACCCATTAGTCATTCAATGTTAAGCCTCATTGTCAATTAATAACAGCATGTCATTTTCTATTTATAGTAATCATACTATGAAATAAATTCTCGTTCTTTAAAGATTGACATGTGATCAGATCTGTTTATTTGGATATTTTAACATTCATTACATAAAGTGTTACAAGAAAAATAGAGGCATTTTTACAATAAAGATTGAATTTCTATCTAGATACGATCTTGATATTTATTGAATGCTCGAATTATATTCTGGTAATGTTCGATCACATATTCATATTGAGTAGCTAAGTATTTCTTTCGTTTTTCTGGATCTGTTGCTAATGCTTCAAGTGCTGGATCAGCTAGTTGAAGACGACGTCGTTTATCAAACTATTGAAGAGAAGATACGTGAGTCATGTCGCTCAAATTGATAAGAGAAGATACTCTTACTTGTAATGGTTCGAAAAGACGTTGTTTGACAAGTAAACGAAATCGTTTCATTTGTTCATCATCACTCTTGTTGATCGCTTGAAGAAAACACATTTCATGAACACGTCGTGTTTCTTGCTAAAGAGAAAGAGCAGATTTGTCCGACATACTTAGGACAGAAAAGCCAAATCGATCTTACTCTAGTTAATTTGCAAACATCCTGTGCTTTTACAACCATTTCTTTTGTTAATCGAGGAGTTTTCAGCATTGGTTCTTTTGAAAATAAATCAGGTAGATATTTATGACATAATTCCAGCGAAACCAGATCTCGTAGAGCGACGAATTCATCCGACGGATCTTCAGCTAAAGAAAAAAGAAAGTAGTTTACAATGAAATTTTCAATCATCTCGTCTTCATCATCGATAGTGACTTCTTGAGACTAACTTCACTAGTGGAGAGGCATCTTCAAACTACAGATCGACAATATATGTACATAATAACATTACCAGAACAAGGTTTTTTTTCTTTTCCTACGGGAATATCTCGAGACGATTGTTTACCCCAAGCACAAAACTCATTAGTCAATGGGAAAATGTTACTCTGTGACAATTAGCAATGCTATACTGTCAACTCCTTGTTGATAAACAAATAGCCATCTTACCTGTAATATCTTGAACACGTGAGTCTTTTCGTAAATCATTGTAGATTGCTGTCAATAGACGACGTCCATGACCTTTTCGTTGGTATGGCGGTAAAATCAATACTTGACTAAACAGAAGAAGTTGTTGTCTGAAATAAGTAATAAATCTGATCATTCACCTAATTCTCGGCCGTTTTTTATCAGGATATGCATAGTAAAGATAAACGGTAATGTATCCGATTGGTGCATAGCAAGTTTGACTATTCTCATTTTGATATTTCTGATACAGAAGATAAATGATCCAATTGCGATCTTCTTTATCGATTCTTGATGCAGCGTCAATGAAGAAAACCAGAAAGGTTTCGAGACGAGTGTACCATTCGAGAAACTTTTGATCGTCGCAAAAATTCTCATTGACACGATGAATTAAATATGATGTTGACTTTTCTCCTTTTAATTCATACGTTAATATTTGTTCACCAAAAGTGCCATATTCTTGTTCGGTTTTTAATTTCGATAGGAATTGATCGAGATTCGTCGTTGTCGTAGATGGAAGCCATTCATTCAATGCTTGGACAATGTCATCAGCCTGGAAAAGATACGAACTGTTTTGCTAATTGTCCTATTCGTTCAACTTTACTTTGAATTGTTGATATTTCTTTGGATTGATCTTTTCAGCGAATTCAATGTTCAAGTAGAAATTCAATGAAGATGATAAACAGTAAATATCGATAGCCAAATCTTTGTATCCAAAGATTCGTTCACTAGAACAGAACATCTTGTCTAACATATAGACTCTTCCTTCTATTAGAAATTACTTTTCTCCAAAGATTTGATGGGTGAATTCTGGTGCAAAATCGATTTCATCATTTTCAAGATCTTTTTCCGATCGAACTAAAGCAAATTATTTTCATTTCTCCCTTCTGACATTCGTTCGACTTACCAAATTTAAACGAAATAACTTCATTAGCTGAACAATCAAATACTCGCAAAGGAGCAGGAAGCAGAATACCTATTTACACGAAGAAAAAAAAACACACACACGATTTCTCCCTTCAGTTCTTTGTTTATCGAATCTTACCTTGTTCACCGAGATCCATTGTATCGTCTTTTTCTGAATGAATGAAAAGACAGATTACAAAAGTAAAGAATATATATACATGTCACAGACAACTATGGCACATCAATGCATTAAAACATCAATTCGATTGGTGAATTTTTCTCATTTTACATGATAAATTATTTGTCGTTTGTTCAATATTCGAAAAGAAAAGGAACATTGGATTCTCTAGGGAACGAACAATATAGCAAACATCTCGTACTGATTGTGAAAGATGACACATGAATTTGATTCTTTTTTTTTCTTAGATTAAAAATTGACTAAAATTCTCCCGTTCTTGCGAGATCGATAGAAACTTCATTATCTATCGAACGAATGGCGTAAAACCACTTGCCTAACGTTATAATTAGTGGAATGCACGAAATCAACTGAAAGAAATATGTAACCCGTTAATGCACTTTGAAAATCGATTCTGATTGGTGAATTTTTTTCAAGTCGATATATTCTTATTTGTTCATTAGTATTCAGTTAATCTTATTTTCAAGAAAATAAATAAATAAATATGTCTGATGTCGATACTCTATGCTCAACGATTGTCAATCGTCCTGATAATAATTCTTTAGGTCAATTAACACATTTACTGAATACAAATGAAACTATCGATCAGGAAAAGATTCTTCACCAGTGTGGCAAATATCTTAGTGGAATGAACTTAGAAGAATTCTTCGAAATAATCTATAAGAAGAGCCAAATTAATCTAATCGAAAAATATCTTCAGACAGTTGAAGATATCAGTGAAAAACAATTGGTACAATCGTTAAATTTGACATTTGACTATTTGATATTAATCCTATCGAAACGATATGATTATTGGTCATTGACACATGCAATGAAACTCTATCTGAATTCATCCAAATCAGTTGAATTAGGTGAGCAACTCGTTTCTTTGTTAATACATTTTCAACAACCAACACCAACTATTATTGATTGGCTCTGTGCTTTGATTGACGCCCATTTTTCGTCGTTCGTCTTGGCTAAATGGAATAAGATTCCATTAATAGAACAATTCGTCCAGGATCGTTTGTCTACCTTCGATTTGCTTCAAGGTTTGAATACAATAAAAAAAACAACAGCATCAACGACGAATAAGAAAACCCTTGACAATCTCTATACGTTACAACGGATTCATTTTAAATAAAAGAAAAGAATATCTTGTGTGTGTAGCCTTTTTTTTTTTGTTTGTTTTCCATAGCAACATTCATTTTTCATTTTCATTGATGAGAGGAGTTGAAATGAGGAAAGAGAAAGCTCCTCTGCAGGTGACTTATGGATAGACATGAAATCTTATTACAAAACCAAATTATTTCTTTCTTCTCTTCTCTTTCTTTTCTTTCCTCTGCCATAAAAAGATACTATTCGTTTTGCGTTTTTTTTTCTATTCTGTCGTATGTGTTTATGACTTATTATAGATGGTATAGAGTTTGTCGTTCTAGTCAATGAATGGTGCAATGGGAACTCGTCGTTTATCGACTGCTGCTGCCGTTCCCCGTGAAAAATGGTCTCTAAAGAATTTATTTTATCCACAATTCGATTCGCTAACCATAGAAAAGAAGTATATCTTGAGTTATCTAAAGAAGATTTATCCGTCGAGTCATCGTCTACTGGTCATCATATTAATTAGTCATGCATTAATTAATTTACTGAAAATCTTCCTATTCGATTCCTTATCGAAAGAATCGAAAATATTTCATTTATCATTATTAGCGATTAGCATTTGTCTAAATATCCTTTCATTGGTCATTATTAATCGTCTTCGAATTCACATTTTATCGAATATCATTTCATTTATATGTCTATGTCCATTAGCAATTTTAAGTTGTTTCTATCCAACAGAATGCCACATATTTTTGCTAATCGTATTGATCTATACATTGGCAAATTTCTCTTTACTTCCATCGATGCTTCTGTCGGTTTTAATTACGCTCATTATCGTATTCTTAACATTGGATACGATGATGATTTTAGTACTATTGGTAATATCGAATCTGATTGGAATCTATCTGAATCGTCTGTTAGATATAACCATGCGTTCAGCATACAATCAATTGTGCAAAAGTAAAGATAAGACAATCGATTTCATTTCGTCCCTTGAGATGCTTTTATTCTTTCCATAGATGCTAACGTTCGTGGTTCATTATTAACTGAACATACATTAATATCGAAAATGATTGATTCGTTAATGCCACGTAAATATGCGACGGTGATCATGCAAGATTTCGATGTATTTCGTAATCGGGTGCAAAATGTTAATACGCCACAGCCAGCGGATGATGAATTGAAAATGGCCACGTTTCGACCATTACACATCGAACGAATGGAAAACGTTTCGATTCTATTCGCTGATATTGTCGGCTTTACTCATATGTCATCGAACAAAAGTGCAGCACAATTAGTATCACTATTATCAGATTTATATGGTCGATTTGATGATTTATGTGTGCAAATGTCATGTGAGAAAATAGCAACATTGGGTGATTGTTATTATTGCGTTAGTGGTTGTCCTGAACCGCGAGAAGATCATGCACGAGCATGTGTACTGATGGGTTTGGCGATGATTAATGCTATAGAAGAGTTCGATGAGGATAACAATGAAAGCGTTGACATGAGAGTCGGTGTTCACTCTGGTTCGGTTAATTGCGGTATTGTTGGAACAAAGAAATTCAAATTCGATATCTTCTCCAATGATGTAACATTAGCGAACAAAATGGAATCTACTGGTAAACCAGGTAATTCGACATTCAGTCTCGTCTTCACTATATTTTATTTTCTAAAACATATTCTAGTCTATATTAACTCTTAACATGTAGATAACGTTTTTTTTTGCTCGCGCTGCTTGTAGTTAATTGTCTTGTGATTACGATAAATGATCTTAATTTCGTTGACTTTTCTTTAGCTCATGTGCACATAACGGAAGCTACGCATTTATTATTGAAACGAGATGAATTTCAATTTGAACGAGGTCCGCTCTACGAATCACCAGGCCATGGTATATCTCCAAAGACATTTCTTCCTTTTGAATCATGAACGGTATCTTGTTTTTAGCTCCCATTGAAACGTATTTCATCGGTAAACGACATTTAAGTCATCGAATTACACAAAAACCGCCGCAGATGACGTTAGCAACTGCTGCAGCAGTAGCGGTTGCTTCTGGTGTACCATTATCAGTTCCCTTGAATGAATCAATCAATATTCCAAATTCGTCTGAATCAGCCGTAAGATTAATCGAGTAAATTCACCGAATTCATTCTTTTTTTTTGCCCATTCTAGATGGTAACAAGTCCGTTATTAGAAGAAGTTGTGCAAGCTCGTCGTGCAACAATATCTGAGGAAGAGCCTCCGAAGGAGTTGAACGGTCTCGTGGAAAAAGTTGAAAATATTAATGACACGACATTTGAAAATGAAGAAAAAGAATTAGCAATGTCATTCAATGTTTTAACATTAAAATACAAAGACAAAAAATTCGAAGAGGGCTTCTCTGCGCATGTTGGTCCACATTCATTATTGATCGTGGAAGTCATCCTTTCGATTCTTTCGCTTCTTTTAATTTATATTTATTTTCTTAAACATCAAATTGTCCGAAGATCCATTGCCATGAGCATTATCATTGGTATAAAATTGATTTTAACATTAAGTGTACTACGTTTTCATCGTACGGTTTTAAATTGGTGGATTTTAAGACATTTTATTGCTTCGTTCTATCTTTTATCACCTTTAATTATCATTTTATGTCAATTATTTGATTATGATTTAACTTCACCAGCATTTTTCCTTTTCATTTCAACTTATCTTACCTTAGGTGCATCTTTATCTCATTTGATCAAAGTTCTTATTGCCATTATATCCATTGCCATTTATCTACCTTTGATTTATTTCAAAGATAAACATTCAAGTTTGTTTTCTACTCGAGAGAGAAAAAAAAAGGCAAACGTGACAAGGTTCGTTTTCTTTTAGTGCCATCACATGTCAACGCAGTGGATATCGGCATTTGCGTATTAATTTCCTTAATAGTTTTGTATGGTATTAGTCGTCAATTAGAAGTAGCTCGTCGTTCTCAATACCACGTTGTTCATACGTCGTCCGAACAAAGAATCGAAATAGAAAAAGAACGTGAACGTGCTGATTGGCTTTTGAGAAATATTCTACCGGAACACGTTATAGAACCATTACGTCTTCATCATGGTTCGTACTCACGTAATCATCCATGTGTGGGCGTTCTTTTTGCATCATTAATCAATTATCATCTCATGTATGAAGAACAATTTGAGGGAGGAAAGTTCTATGCCAGAATTCTCAATGAATTCTACGGCGATATCGAAGAACTTTTTCTCAATCCGAAATTTGCCAAAATCGAGAAAATCAAAACGATTGGTTCAACATTTATGGCTGCGTCGGGTTTGCAAACCGATGTAAACGATAAAAATCCATTAGGTAACTTTCCTAGTTGTTGTTTTCTTAACAAGACTCCATCGTTTAGAATCTGTCTGCGACTTGATTGAATTTGCATTGGCATTTCAAGCGACTATGGAACGATTCAACGAAGCTCTACTGAATTTTGCATTCGAACTTCGGATGGGCCTCAATTTTGGACCGGTAACAGCTGGTGTTATTGGTACAACCAAACTCTTCTATGATATATGGGGAGATACGGTCAATGTTGCTTCACGAATGGATTCAACTGGTGAAAAAGGACGAATTCAAGTTCCGGAGACAGTCGCCGAGGCTTTAAAAGACAAATATAAATTTGAATTGCGAGGAGAAATCGATGTCAAAGGAAAAAGTCGGATGACAACCTATTTTCTTATACCAAATAAAAAACTCTGAACAGTGATTCATATATTCTGTAGAATAGAACTCATTTTTCTTCATTTTTTTTGTCCTTTTTTTTTTCTTCTCTCTTTTTATCTCGTATTAAAACAGAAGACAATTATATCGAATTATTTCATGAATAAATTTATTCAAAAGAAAACAAAGAAGAACGAAACTATTTTCCGTAAAGCAGAGACTTAGCGCAGGAGATACATAGCAAGAAAGTAATTCTATGCATTCTGCTGAGAAGATTAGCTTTTTTTTCTCTCTATTCTTTGTCTTCTCAAATGTCAATCATCACGCAGTGGCAAAACAGATGCCATCAATCAATGTCTATACTGATCCGAATATGGTATTGAGAAATAATCAGACGCGATTGAGATCAAATTTGAAACGATCGATTTGTAATCTTTGTTGATCTTAATATACAAAGATTTAGTTGTAATGACAAAACGATATGAGTTTTTTTCTTCGACCGTTAGTCTTTTGATAGAAACAAAATGAATGTAGTTAGTCGCACTTGAAAGAAGTACTCTTTGCCGGAAGAATCAGACCGTTTATGAAAAATTCAATGCAATACGATTGGTTGAAAGCGAAATTTGTATTTACATAAAAGTCCGATTTTGATTTTCCAAATGAAATCCTGATAGACAGAACTATCGTAGTGCATGGTATGATTAAGAACACGAAAAGAACGGTTTAATTGTCTGTCTACTTCATATTTTGATAAAGTTTTATTAATAGAAGAATCTAATAGCTGAATGCGATCATAAGTCTAAGGGGGGAAATGAAGGATAAGTAGAACTAAGAGTTTTTCTATTGCCAATTATGATGAGTTGTTTAGTTAAAGATGTCAATGATCTTTTTCCATTGTCCGCCATCCTTTTTCCAGACAACAACGTAGTTTCCGCCATCGGTGTTGATCTTATATTGACTAAAAAGATGCGACAAAATCGAAATCGATTTTCAAATAGCTGAATGTCAACTGACCTAACTTCAACCAGATGATCAGGACCGCATGGAATGACTTGTCCTGTATGTAATTCGACTTTGGAATTACCAGCTGAGCGTGCTTCCGTGTAATATTTTTCGATTTGACTTAAACCTTCGTAGACTTGCTTGTCTGTTGCGAATAACCGAGCATCATTTGAATATGTTGCAACGGCTTCTTTAACTTGACCATTGTTGTAGGCACGTTCAAATTCTCGATTGACTTTGTCGACAGTATCAAATGACATGTTGTATTGAAGATTTCTTATATGTTTCAAGAACTGTTGAAATAGAGATGAATGATTGTCTGCTAATGTGTGTTTCCTTTATATACCCAATCTGCCCCCCTCTCTCTCTCTCCCTTATTTTTCTTGTTAGAAATGTATGTTCCGATTGTGAACGCGGATTCTGACATTCATTCATTTTAAAGTCAAATGATGAAAGAGAAATCCTATTGGTAATGTTTCGAGAAAATGAGTTTTCTTCGTCGTCGGATGTCAATCATTATCGAAGAAAAACGCGTATGCCTTCAATCAACATCCGTTCTTCTGTTTCAATACCGGAAAACGAGGTTCTTTCTTTGTCTTTGACAGCCTAATCTAATATTCAAAGATCAATCAGAGATTAGTTTTCATTCATGCTGAAATCATAGAACATTATTTTCAATTATTTCTCATTTTTAATGGAAATAATGATATGATTGACATTTGCTTCTCTTCACAGGACAAAACCATTTGTTAGTTTCAATTGAACTTTGAGTACATTTCAAAGTCAAAAACTATAGATTTGCGCGAGATCGACAAACGATATTCGACATAATAGGAAAAGACTTAACAGAAGAAACAATTTTGCTTTTAACAAAGTCAACATGATCAGAAACAGTCGTGCTATTGACACATACACACAACGGAAAATCGAGCATTTGTTCAATTATCTTACGCTGCAAATAGATTTGTGTTAACACATTCAAAGAACAATATAATAAAAGGTCTTTAGTACCGCAGATTTGGTACAAAGAAGGGTGAAGTCATATGACAAAGAAGAAAACTTGCTTTCATCTGTATGTCTAACATCACTAAACAGAAGGAAAATTTTAACCAGCACATGACCTGGAATTAATAATGAAACTTGTGAACGGTTCCGTTATGCAAATCGCATTCTTGAGATATACAGTATGAAAAACGAATGAAATAGAATATCGTTTCAAAATGACGAATCTGATTTCGTTTATTTCAGTATATATTATGTTCTTCTATTACTTCACAAAAGAATAGTTAAGTGTTGACACGAGTATTTTATTGCCGGACTTTGTTTCCTGCATGTTAATATACATCTTTAGATGTTGTTTTTATTCGTGAAATTCAATGTGATAATATTGACTAACTCAGGTATGCTCGTGATATCTTTTGTTGGTTAGTTGCCATGATCATGCTCGACAGGCAATCTCAATTTTTGCTTCCAAAATTGTTTTATGGACAAAGTATAGAAGCAGAAGAACAGTGATAAAATGATTTTTTCGCTTTGTCATTCTGTTCTTGCAAATATAGTATATCAAGATTGCGTCGGTGTTTCGTTTCATAGAGTTTATCATCCAAGGTGAGTTGATACACCATAACAAAAAAATACTAACGTTTGCGTGACAATAGTGAAGTCATATTATTTACTTCTTGTTGAGACAGCATGGTCAAGAATCCTTTCAATAGGGTAAGTTCTCGTTTTCATCGCGAATGATCATGTACAAGTCATTTGTGTGCATGAGGTTCTGTTATATCATAGTTGTTCTGTATGTAGGACATGAATATTTCTGTTCTTTGTACCTGTACAATAGTTTGATTTGACTGCTTTCTAGTTTCGTCGTCCGAAAGTTATTGCTCAAGCAAGCAACAGTGAAACAGGTGACGTTGCGATAAATCATGACGATGAAGTGAGTGTTTAGTGATGAAAGATTGGAGTTGCTATTGGAAATTATGTATATAGGAAGAAAACAAACATCAGTGGGATCGCCCGGTAGAATTCGTTTTGTCGCTTATTTCAAACTCAGTTGGTCTTGGTAATGTCTGGCGATTTCCGTATCTTGCAGCACAGAGTGGTGGAGGTCAGTTATCTATGTTTTTTTTCTCTCGACCTTTTTCTTCATTTCCTCGATTATTTCCAGGTGCTTTTCTTATTCCATACTTCACTCTATACTTTCTCATCGGTGCTCCATTATACTTTATGGAACTAGCTCTGGGACAATTTACCAGTCGAGGACCGGCTACGGGATTCGTTCTCGGCAGAGGATGGCAAGGTATACATACATGCAAATTCTCACGAACACTTCCATGTTAGTAATTATTACTATTTTCAGGTGTTGGTATTGCGATGATTATTAATAGTGTACTGGGAACTCTGTATTACAATGTTTTGATTGCTTGGGCTCTATTCTACTTTTTCCTTTCGTTTCGTTCACGATTACTATGGTCTGATTGTGGTAATTGGTGGAATACAGCACGCTGCTTTGTACCTGGCAGCCAAAGTAACCTTTTCAGTGCCAATGGAACGAAATGGAACTGTACAGAAGAGCAATACTATAACTTTTCTCAATATAACTGTCAAGAAGTAAACGCAACTGAAAAAGTAACAGCTACCGAAGAGTTTTTCTAGTAAGTGTCCCAGTAACCGATCAATTCTATGAAAGCATCAACTTATTTTCTCCATAACATACTTTCTAGTCGATTACTGTTGAATAAAAGCGCAACTTTCGATGATTTCGGTGTTCCGGGTACTTATATGTCTTTATTATTACTATTAGCTTGGCTTATTATTTGTTTGTGCATCATTCGTGGTGTTCAATCATCGGGCAAAGTAGACATTCTTACACAAATCGTTCAGTTTCTCATCGAGCATATTTTCAGGTTGCATATTTCACTGCAATTTTCCCATACATCGTTCTTCTTGTACTCATTATCTTTACAGCCACGTTGGATGGAGCTGGTGATGGTATCAAGTTCTATCTTATACCTCGATGGGAACTAATTGGCGACTTTAAAGTATGAATTCCAATGGAGATTCATGCATTGAAGGTGTTTTCGTCGTTTAGATCTGGCAAGCAGCAGCTTCGCAAGTTTTCTTCTCTCTCAGTCTTAGTTTTGGTTCATTAATTGCCTACTCAGCAGCTAACAAATTCAACAATAACTTTTATCAGTAGGAAAAGAAGAAATTCTCTTTTATATTTATCATATATGTTTCATTCTAATCAAACGATAGGCAAATGTGTATTGTGGTTTCGTGTGACTGCTTTACTGGTGTTTTTGCCGGCTTTGCGGTTTTCGCTACGATTGGATTTCTAGCGAAATCGTTAGGTGCAGACGTCGAGGAATATGCGAAGGCATCAGGACCAGGTTTAGCTTTCATTACCTATCCCGAAGCACTGTCGAAGATGCCTGCCGGGCCATTTTTTTCCATCATCTTCTTTCTGATGCTTCTCGCTCTTGGTTTAGGTTCCCAGGTACATTGAATATGGACTATTGTCTACAATACGACTTCACATTTTCTGTTTAGTTTGCCTCGACGGATGTACCGATTACAGCTCTGATGGAATTTTTCCCATCCTACGCAAATAAACGATATCTACTCGTTATTATTTTCTGTACAGTTTTCTATCTTGTTAGTTTACCATTTGCTTGTCCGGTAAGCGATGTTTATTCTTGAGAAAATTCACGAAGATTGTTTTTTTTTATAGGGCGGGATTTATCTATTCGAAGTTTTTCAAGAATATACAGCGAATATATCGTTGGTGTTCATTGGATTTTTCGAAGTTATCACTGTTGCATACATCTACGGTTTCGATCGATTTATGAATGATGTTTCAATGATGTTGGGTAGACGCGTAGCTGAATACTATCTCTTTTTCACATGGTGTGTGTCAGCACCATTATTAACATTGGTGAGTCTGGATAAAGAGTGAAAATCTGAGTGTGAAAGGATGATTTTGTGTTATTGTTGTTAAGATTCTTACCGTTACCAATTTATTGAATGCACAACCATTAGAAGCTCCAGCTAGTGCTGGTTTTGAAGCCTATCAATATCCAACATGGAGTACCATCCTTGGCTGGTTTATATTTGCCTTTTGTATCCTACCAGTGCCACTTGTTTTCGTTGTGAGTTATATTAAACAATACCGAAAGCTGTCGGCCGAACAATGGGTATGTTCCATGTATTTGCTTTTGCTTCTTATTTTTCCTTCAAAATGAATAGAATGCGATTGCTGCAGAAGATCAAACAACTGACAATCGTACTAAGCCGAGTCCGCTCTACATACGAGCATTACGATTGAACAACGAACCTGCAGAAACGTGGGGACCACGAAGAAAAAGAGATCAGAAGGGAGTTTATGAGCGTCAGAAAGTTGACAATAACATTCCTGATGAACGACCTCCTTCAAAACAATCATCTATTATACAAAGGAAAATTAGTCCTGCTATCGGTAATGTAAATCCAACGTTCGATGCATCGCCAGTGGATCATCGCGACGATGACGACAACTATCCCGAGTCTTCGTGATTCGAGCAAACAAAGAAACTGTTCTCAATTTTATTTATTTTTAAAAATTTAATACAAATAAATAATTTAGTGAGAGAATATTCTTGATTACATATTCGTATTGACAAGAATCTTCATACGTTAATCACTGCTGTACGTTTGGTGAAAACCAGTGATATTCGATCAAAGATATCGTCTAGTTCTGAAAGATTTTCCAAATCTAAGAACTTGCATCGAGCTCCACCGGATCGTTTCAAAAGATTCATAGCTTGTCGTCCTTGATATTCTAATCCGATACCAATCAATAACACATCTGTTCCAAATTCTTCGCAAATAGTTCTCATTCGTTGACATGCTTCGTTCAAATTACATTCAGTTGAACTGCAATCTTCTCCATCGGTAATTAGAATAATTTGATTTCGATTCTCATCGCCAAGTAACAGACCGGCGAGTTTGTTTCGCAGTAAGATTTGAAATGTAGAATCAATCGCGTCGTATAACGCAGTACCAGAATTTTCGTCATTTATGTCTGGTTTCAATTGCGAAAGAACAATTGCTAATTTCAATTTGGCTACCTCGATGGATTCTGCATCCATTACTTCGTAAACTTTAGCATTGAATGCTAAACAAGTCAGACGATCTTTTAAACCTAACTGGCTAGCAATTTTGATTATTCCACGTTCAGTTGCTGGCCAACGGTTTTTTGCAGGATTGATTCGGCTGTTTGATTCATAGCCAATCATTGATAACGACACATCTATAACGAGAATCACATTGTAACTATGAACGGATAGTCCCACATCAATAGTTTGTGGTCTTGCTGCTGCTGCAGCAGTAGCAGCACTAGACATTGTTGATACTTGTTGAGCCGGTTGTTTGATCGGAGTCAGTGCGTGTGTGTCTCGGTGTCCTTTATTATTTGGATTTGAGTTAATACAGTTTGAACACAAGTCATAATCGTCACAGACAGAACATTTGTATCGAGTACCGACAATAGGACAACAACCACATACGTCGCACATGACATTATGTCTCGGAATTTGACTATTCACAGTAGACGAGGGTCGCTGTTGTTGTTGTTGTTGTTTCGGAAGGCACTCGTTGAGAACATCGACGTATTCTCTTTGATTAGGTTCTAGTTCACAACACTTTCGATAGTATTGAGCAGCTTCAGCTTTACGGTTCAACATTTCTAATGCTTTACCTTTGTAAAAATAACCTTTCGTCCACTTCGGATCAGCTTGTATACTTGCCGATGCGTCCTTTAGAACTTTATCAGCATCATCCAAACGATAATAACAAAGAGCACGATTCGTTAAATAAGGGGCATAATTAGGTACCTGTTCTAAGGCATAACTAAACAGTTCGACAGCTAATGTAAAATTACCATCATTGAACGCTGATTTGGCTTGCCATTTCAATTTTTCTGAACTAGCGGTAGGTTTTGGCGTTATATTACTCATGCTTTGTGTCTATGTGTAATGTCAAGTACTACTCATGTAAAAATAAGTTTCATATGATAAGAGTGTGCTTCTTTATAGAGATATGTGACTATGGGTTTTTTCCAATTTCATTTGTAAACTTGTGTTTTTATGTTCTTCCTACTGACATTAGATTACACATGGCATATTCACTTCCTTTTGCATGACTCATTCCATGCATTTCTTCAATCCGTCGTCTACAACGGACGTATGTTTGGATTTTTTTGCACGTGCATTCATTCAATGTATGATTTTGGCGAAAGAAAAATATTTTCTTGCGACTACATAATAAACCAATTATGATTTTTCCGCGAAATACTCAATATAATCTGATTATGAGATTATATGGCGTTGACCGCATACTTTACAGATAAACTCTCTAGGATTTTGATCTCAGTACGAACTCGATCGTTGGCAAGAATTAAAGCTAGCTTGATTATGTTGATTTTACGTATTTGGTCTAGATAAATCTTGATTTATTATTCAAATTTTGTTAACTGTTTTATACTGATGGAAAAATGAAAAAAAATGCAATTCTCTCTATTCGTCTTATCCTGCTTTTAAAGAGAATGACAGAAGAAAAGTATACCTCGCGATATCAGCGACGTCTTATGAGGGACTTGAGAAGAGAAAAATCCATTGTTTTCGATGAAATCATACTGTCATATTATAATTTGCAAACCGTCAAAGCCATAAAAATAGTTTGCAACCATATACGAAACAAAGTCAGGTAGATAAACCACGATACAACTAATGAAACCAATGATCAAAAGATTAAAATGAAACGCAGATCAGTAGAAACAACATCGACAAAATCACAAACTAATTTTGATGAAAGGACACAATCTATTCGATCCTCTGCACTGTTACCTACAGCTCGTCTAAATTCAGTTGACACATCGATAGATGTATCATCCAAATCAAAATTGGTTCATGTAGCATACAATTGTTTGACAAGTCCTCACTTTAAACCATCGTCAATGCCAAGAAATGATCCGACACCATTAGCTGATATATTCAACAACGATATGGACGAACCGTACATATCAGATGAAGCTTCACATTCAAAACAATCACTGCTTCGAAATATTCATCATGTCAAACTAATCTGGTTAGATGCCAACATTGACAAATTGACAAGAAAATATCGATGCTCATTGAACCAATTTTATGGAACTGTAGGTCAAATCAAAACATTTACGAGACACACCGACTGTATCGATTTTGTCCGGAGCGATATCGATCAAACACTATTTTTGATCGTGTCCAATGATTTCGCACATTTAGTCATACCTACAATTCATGAAGTGTCCAAACTTAATTCAATCTACATCCTATGCACAGATACATCAGAAGACATAAAATGGATCAAGGGATATTATAAAGTAAAAGGTACATTTGCTGATATCGACTCGATATATGATCTGCTGAAGTTTACCATTCAAAGCACGCGTCGAGGTTCCATTGATAGCAGCGAGAGCAGCTTTGATCTTAATCATTTAGATGCATCGTTCATGTATACAAGAATGTTCAAAGAAATCTTGCTTACTGTACCGTTCAGTGATGAATCAAGGAAAGATTTCTTTGCTTTCTGTCGCGAGGAATGCAACTCCAAACAATTCGGTATACCTTTGGGAATCATTAACGAACTAGAGAACGATTATGATAAACATTCGTCAATTTGGTGGTACACACGGGATTGTTTTATGTCTAGATTACTTAATCAAGCAGTTCGATCGCAAAATTTTCATGTTCTCATCAAGATTGGCTTCTTCATTCAAGATCTCCATCGAAAAATCGAACAATTGCATAAGTCATTAGCCGATGTACTCATTTGCTACAGAGGGCAGGGTCTACTGCATGATACTTTCGAACAGTTGAGAGAAATGGAAGGTGGTTTGCTTTTCTTCAACACATTCTTATCAACAACACGCAATGAAAGTGTGGCAACCATATATGCGGAATCTTCTCATGAAGACTCGAATTTAACAGGAGTTGTATTCAAGATAATTGTAGATCCAGCTGTTCCTACATCCACTCGACTAGCCGATTTAGGAGATGAAGGTTATTATTTAGACGACGAAGAAGAAACATTATTTTCTATGCATTCCGTTTTTCGTATTGGAAAAATCACGAAACTGAACAATCATTTACATCAAGTCGAACTTTTTCTAACTAGCGACAACGATAAGGATTTACAAATGTTATCAGATTGCATTCATCGAGAAATGCAAGGAGACACCGAATGGGTTCGACTTAGTAAACTACTTTTGAATATCACCCACTTCGACAAAAATGAAGAACTTCTCGAAATCTTATTTCAAAACTCTTCAGACACCGATCTTGATAAACATGGCTATCGTTGTCATTTACAAGGTGTAATAAAAAAGAACAAAAACCTTTTCGAAGACGCACTCAGCCACTTCAAAGAAGCTCTACAAATCTATCAAAATTCCTCCAAGTGTTATCATATACATATTGCCACTATCTGCAATGAAATTGGCTCAATATATCACTACAAACAAGAATATTCTACAGCAATTCAATACTATCAGATGGCACTCAATATTCAAATAGATCTGTTTCCTCGCAATCATTCTAATTTACAATTAACTTATACTTATCTAGCGAATGCATATAGAAATCTGAATCAATGTTCCATAGCATTAGGATTCTACGAACGTGTGTTGAATATTTATAAAAAGTCTCAACTGGTCAGCTATGCATATTTGGCTGATATCTATGAAGATATTGGTGAAATGTTATACCAGATGGAAAGATATGAAATAGCATTTAAACGTTTCCGAAAAGTATCGATTATTCGACAACATCGTGTTGCTCACGATGATGCTAAAATAGCAATTAGTTTAGTCAATGTTAGTCGAGCATTGGAAATGATATTTCGATATCTCGAAGCGCTTCAACAATGCCAGTATGCATATAATATCTTAAAGAGCAGTGACTCGGTGGATTACATTGAATTGGCCAAAATTTGTCAACGAATTGCTTATTTATACGAAATGATCAAAGACGATTCGAATGCATTAATATTTTATCAAGAATCGTTGAAATATTTAGAACATTCTCCGATGCGTGATAGGGCAAGTTTAGCTAGAACTCATAGAAGTATAGGTCGTATATTTGAACGAAGAGGAGAAACGAACGCCTCATTCAACTCGTATACACTTGCTTGTGAATTTGAAAGAAGATGATCGTTGTTGAATGATAATTTTTATTCATAAATATTCGGATAACACACTATTTTTTGTACTCAATAAAATTGACATTTTCTTAACTGATTATTTGCTTTCATTAGATATGAAACTGACACGTGGTTATGTGAGTGTTATTCGTTTTCTTCTTAGAGTAAGGAACGGTTTTGAATTATCAGATTTCAGACAACCGAAACTATGTATATGATACTATGTTGATAATTAATCAACGGCTTTCCTCCTTCTCGTTCCTCATATGAATTATTTATCCTGATTTCTACGTACGTTTTTTTAACTTCACACATCGAACGCAGACTTTTCTTTTGTTCTACAACTGACAAATATGTCGAACATATCGTTAGATATTAGCCGGTTAGCTGCAATTCTGTTGAGGATCGATTCGTATATGATCATCATACTCTATATAACAGGTGTTGGCGGAGCGAGTTTAAATATTATCACATTTCTTCAAAAGCAACTTCGGCGCAATTCATGTGCAAATTATTTTCTGTCAGGTTCGATCGTTGATTTTTGCCTAATGAATATCACACTTCTACTTGATATTATCATTACGTACGATAAAATACCGTCAAATCGAATATATTTAACAAGGGTTTGGTGTAAATTAGGAAACTATTTAACGTTTATCTTAACTTGTCTATCATCATGTTTTATTATCTTGGCGTCCGTCGATCGTTTCTGTGCGAGTTCGTTGAATCAAACGCTTAGAAAATGTAGTCGATTAAAAGTCAGCCGCATTGTTATTGGATTAGTCTTAGCTGTATGGATACTTTTCGGTTTGCATATTCTCATTGCGTATGATTATATTCGAGATCCAATTAGTAATGTAACGCGATGTACAGTGCAAACAAGTTCAGCGACGGCTTTTGTTGTAATCGATGGATATTTCTTTTCGTTATTCAATGGCGCCATTGCTCCATTCCTGTTGTCCGTTTTCGGTATGACAATTATCTATAATGTTCGAATGAGCCGGCGACGAGTTACTACTCAAGCAGAGAATGACATTCAACTGAGCAGACGTAGCATTGCTAATCGACAACATATTCATATGATTAAAATGCTCTTAGCTCAAGTGTTGTTAACAGTTATCCTGAATATACCATATGTGGTCATTTATCTCTTAGGTTTTTACCAGTCAATTCCTGTTGATCCGTTGGCTTTGTTTTTGCTGATTGTTTTTAGTTATATTGGAAGATGGTTTTATTATATGAATTATTGTAAGAATTTCTATGTGAATACGCTGACGAGTACATTATTTCGCAATAGTCTTTGGAAACAGTTTCATGTTTTTTTTCGCTATGAATTGCCGATTTTCACTAGAGTTGGTGTTCAATTTTCGAGAAATAATTGAATAAATAAAACTCAAATGACAACTTCTTCTGTTGTCTTGTTCAAGAGATTTAATTACGCCGTTGATAATACAGAAAAATATCAATCACGAATTCTACTTTTCCTTAGTAGATAAGCGTCGCACTTGTGTTCTTTCGTCCTATGCGTGCAAATGCGTTAATGCGGGAGTCATATGATATTTAATTCTGTGATCATCATCATCTTCCTTCAGTAATAATCCAGCTGTCCTTATATAAAACAAAGTGCGCGAAGTTGTTTGAACTTGTTCCAAAGATTACATTAAAGAAACATCTGATTATACCTTAGCAATGTCGAACACAACATCCATTGAAGAAAAATCGTCGATCGCTAGTGCGTCGACAATTCTTTTGATTATGGATTCGTACATGATTGTTATGCTTTATATAACTGGTGTAGCAGGAGCTGTTTTGAATATGATAACATTTCTTCAGAAACAACTTCGTTCCAATCCATGCGCAACTTACTTCTTATCAACATCGATTGTCGATTGCGGCATCTTGCAAGTGTTTCTTTTAATGGAGATTCTGACAAGATTCAAGCCGGAACTTTTTACATTGATCTACTCAACCAGAGTTTGGTGCAAATTTGGAAACTATCTCACATTTGTACTTCCATGTTTAACATCAAGTTATAGTGTCCTAGCATCGTTTGATCGTTTCTGTGCCAGTTCATTGAATCAAACACTCAGAAAATATAGCAATCTAAAGACATGTCGAATCATTGTAATCAGCATATTTATGATATGGGCACTGTTTGGTTTACATGTGCCTATTGCGTATGATTATATTCTGAACCCCATCACCAATGCGAAACAATGTACAGTACTAACAAGTTCAGCAACAGCTTTCATCGTTATCGATGGATATTTCTTTTCGTTATTCAATGGCGCCATTGTTCCATTTATGTTGTCAGTTTTTGGCATACTGATCATTCATAATGTTCGAATGAGTCGGCGACGAGTTACTGCCCAAGTAGATGGTGAAAATCAGTCGAGGACCACTGCCGTTGCTAATCGACAGAACACTCACATGATCAAAATGTTATTAGTGCAAGTATCACTGACCGTCGTATTCTACATGCCATATATTGTTCTTTACTTATTGAGTTTCTATCGGAAGATACCTGGTGACTCTTTATCATTGCTGCTCTATATTATCTTCAGCTTTTTCGCTCGATGGCTTTTTTACGGAAATTTTTGTAAGAATTTCTATGGAAATACGCTTACAAGTGTGTTATTTCGAAACAGCCTTCGAAACCAGTGCGTTAGTTTCCTTCTTCACTGTTCTGTTCCACTTATACCAAGATCAATCTTTTCAACAAATACACATACAAACTAAAGGTTATTCAATAGATCTTTTTTCGTTCAAAACGGATTTGTAATTCGAATCTTCAGTATTTAGTATGTCATACTGTTGTTGTTGTTGTTGTTTTGTAAAAGTACTCTTTTAATTAGATTTGGAATAAATGAAAACGGGATCCCGAATCTAAATATAAAATGTGGACCATAATCAGGCTTCTCTCTTGACGTCATATTTAGTCAAAGCGTAAAGCTAATCATTTATTAATATCTCTATTTTTACTCCTCTAATTCTTCTTTTCTCCATGATAGATGATACTTGAAGTTTTCATCTTTCTTCTTTAATTAACTGTGAAATCGTCCCGTTCTCGCTTCATTTATCTTTGAACCAATCTACCTCAAAGGCACATACGTCTCAAAAACAACATGTCGAACGCAACTGTAGTCTCGCCATCTATTGACATTGTCCGTCTAGTAACCGTTATCTTAGCAATGGACAATTCGATGTTAGTTGCGCTGTACATCATCGGTATGATAGGAGCCATATTGAACATGATAACGTTTGTTCAACGACAGATTCGAACGAATTCTTGTTCAATTTATTTTTTGTCAACTGCGATCATTGACTTTTGGATTATGAATGTATTTCTTCTGTTGGAAATCTTAACAAGATTTAACTTATCGTTGTCACCATTGATTTACAAAACACGAATTTGGTGTAAATTTGGAAATTTTCTTCTTTCGATTTTACCATGTCTATCATCAACATACTTAACACTTGCATCTGTCGACCGATTTTGTGCAAGCTCGTTGAATTCGACGCTTCGAAAATGCAGTCAATTGAAAGTCAGTCGAAATGTCGTGCGAGTCGTTTTTATTCTTTGGGTGTTATTTGAGTTACACATTCCCATCGGTTACGATTATGTGTTTAATTCGATAACAAATAATACTGCATGTCAAGTTACTGTTGGCTCTCCGACAGTCTACCTTGTCATCGATGGATTCTTCTTTGCCCTATATAACGGAGCTGTTGTTCCGTTTTTTCTATGTACATTTGGCTTGTTGATATGTTACAATATGAAACGAAGTCGAGGACGAGTTGCTGCGCAACAAACAACACGCAGTAATCGAACAACCGTCGACCCAATACCATCGACAAATCAAGTCCGATTAGTTCCTACTCGAAATAATTTCCATATGTTGACCATGCTGTTAATGCAAGTGACAGTCACCATATTTCTAAATGTCCCGTATATGGCCATTTATCTCTACGGCTACTTTAATCAACCACCGAAAGATTTATATCAGTATGCTCTGTACATCATATTCACTTTCATTGCTCGATGGTTCTATTATATGAATTATTGTAAAACTTTCTATGTAAATACTTTGACAAGCCGGTTATTTCGGAAGAGTCTTCAACAGCAATTTCTCATGCTTGTTCGTAGACGTACAATCAGTTCAGTACTTTAATCCACGGATCTATTTCTTGCATGTTGCTATGTTTTTCACGAGAGTATCCTGTAATAAACGAGTCGATATATGTCAAAGACTGCTCTTTTTTTCTTTGAAATATGATCATCTCTTGAAGAAAAACAAGAAGATTTTCATGACACAGACTTCACCTCAATTTCATATCGGTTTTTTATTTCACTAACGGTGATTGTATCAAATACTGAAGGGTTCGAATCGATCGTGACTTTGGGCTTTTAGCAAATTCTCGGCATGCTTCGATACTTGATTTCAACTCGGGATCCTTGAAATCGTACGTAATAACATGTAATTCCGGAAAATTGAATACTAATAGTTCTTGTAACTGATTCAGAAGTCCTAGGTCAGGTGCATATGTTCCTGAACCATTATCAATCACTAATTCCCATTGATTTAAATCAAGAACTTCATTGCAATCATATTGGCTCCAACCGCATTTTGGTCTGGGATGAAATTCACCGGCATAATGAACTGTTTGAGCACAGTTGGCATGCAAAGCATGTTTTGAGGCAAAGTCAACGAAGAACGAAGCACCGGTTTCGCTAAAACGCCAAGTGTGATCTTCAATAATATACGTATAAACACATGGTTTAATTAAATTTGTGTTTCCATCGATTAGCAAATGCCAGAAGTCGGCATTCGAACTGATAACACCAAATTCATTCGTTGTATGTTTAGCATATAGAACTCGATGCGCTTGTTTGATAACTGATTGAATTGCGTGAGCCATAGGACCTTCAAATATTGATTTGGCTGCTTGATATGATGAATTCCATTTTTGTTTCTTATTTCGATCAAAATAAACGTCAATACGTTTCAAGTAGATTTCCCAGGTTGAATAGAGTCTTTCATCATTCACTTTCGCCAGTCGGCCAACTGCCAATGAATTATGACGCGAAAAACGAACGGGCCCATCGAATGTATAAGGACGAACTTCGACGGATGGAAGCAATTCTATACTTAATCGAAATACTCCTCGCGTAGTTTTCGAAGGTCCAATAATCGGCACGAATACTTCGTCAACAGGTACAATATCGATTTGGAATTTTCCAATGTAATCATCATGAACAGTGTCATCATCTTTGTCATAAACAGTAACGCAGAGATTTGCTGCAAATGGAACATTTCTCACGATCCATTCTTCATTCCAGACAGGATTTAAGGTATTGACGATACATGAAGAGCTGAACTCCGCTTGTCCGTCATCGATTTTAGCACGAAAATACGGATCAGCAGTGCCAACAACATCCATCTTCGGTAGACCCTAAAGAGAAGGAAACTATCAGATTTCATATACACGAACAAATGAGAAGAATTACATGAGCAGCATGAAATTTGATCAGAAAGTCACAACTAGTGACATTTTCCAGTTTCTTCTTAGTTGTTGATGGATGAATCAATGTTTGTCCAATACCAGATAAGATTGAATAGGACATTCTATTTTAATAAAAAATAGTCCAAATACTTCTCTCTTTCTTTTGTCTATAGAAGAAAAACAACGTGTTACGAAGACGCGTCGTGTATTACAAAGATCTTTGTAATCATCCGACGTTCTTTTTTCTCTTCGTCTCTTCCTTTGAAAGTAACTCCGTGTCTTGGAAGTTCATCTACGCGTCCGTTTACTTTATTCTCTTCAAATGAGTTCTTTGCTCATCATGTTCGCAACCTTTCAAAACGACGTCACATCAAAGTATAGAAATCTTCACATTTTCCAGTTGTTGCACCGTTTTGCTCATGAATACTATCTACATGTTTATCTCTTTTAAAACGATAACATATCAACACGCGTATCTTTCTACATACGATGACTCACCTCTCACACATTCGAATTGAAAAATTCTATTAAGAGGTGAATTACATTCCATGTACTACTTTTAGTTCTATAATGAAAATTTCACAAAATATTTATCTTCTCTTATCGTGCTTGATATATGCTAGGTACGAATTGCATTTTCGCACTTCTACCATCGTTTTCACATTGATCATACGAGATGAAAAGCGCGGTTCTATTGTTTTTATTAGTCTTTTGTTTCACAAAGTATGTGACCATTCAAGCACAAAATCCAATTGGTTTGAAAGTATCCGCATCTCTACGTGGTTTGTTATTAGGAGCAGCAGTCGTGGTCAAGTATCTACAGCCTAATATTGATCAAGGACGATATAATTCTAATGTTGTGAAAAACTATCAACTGATTGTACCCGGATATGAGTTAAAACCTGAACATATCTGGCTGGACGAAAATGTCTATAATTTCTCGGACGCTGATTGGCTTCTGGGAGCCACACCGAACACGACAGGATGGGTGCAACAGAATGGCATGCAGTTGCGTGGACATACATTAGTCTGGGCGTACGACATGAGAATTCCACGTTGGTTATTAGATAGGGAAGCGTCCATAACGCCAGAAAAAGCTAAAACTCTATTACGTAGTTATATTCATACAGTAGTTGGCCGATATCGAGGAAAAATTCAATGGTGGGATGTAATTAATGAGCTCATTTCCAATTATAATAATACTCGTCCATTTTATATAGCGAATTCGTTTTGGTATCGAAAATTAGGTATAGATTACGTTAAATATGCGTACATATTCGCTCATGAAGCTGATCCAGATGCTAAACTTTACTATAATGATTTCGGAATTCAACAAGGAGGATTTAAAGCTGATCGAGTGTTTGATCTCATCGATTGGTTAAAGTCAGAAAACGTTCCTATTCATGGTGTTGGGATACAATGGCATATAAAGGTTTCCGAAACTGTCACGCCAGGAGATGCACATTACCAAACAGCTCAACGATTTATTGATCGGAATCTCGATTTAATGGTGACAGAACTCGATATATCGATTCCAATGGTTGATAGTCATCCAGTTGATCCGAATGACATTCAAAAACAAGGTCTCGCCTACCGTTCGATTTTGGACTATGTCCTTTATTTCGCTCCACGAACTCCAGCATTACTTACATGGGGTTTCACAGATCGATATAGTTGGATTCCAGCAGCGAATAATTATACCCAAGGTGAAGCTTTGCCATTGGATGCTAACTATCAACCTAAGCCAGCTTATTGGCAAATGCAAGATGATCTAGCTCGCGTTCTTCTAAATGGGATCTATCGTCTTTCACCCAAATCACAGCCGAGCACATGTCTTGGCATTGCCGAGAATAGTACAAGAAGTGCAGTGCAACTTTATACCGGTGCTTGTAATCAAACCAACCAACAATGGAATCTTATGTGGCTTGGTGATGGTACTTATCGCTTTTCTCCACAGAGTGTCAATAGTAGTGCTCTCAATGCTTATAATGTGACAGCATCGACTGGCACTGTTCGAATTTATGAATGGATCGGTAGTTTCGATCAAGAATGGGTTATTAGCTGTCAAGGAAATGCGACATATCGTATTGGACCACGCAATGCATGGCAACGCGTGTTAGCTGTCGATCAAACATCTAATATTGTAATTATGAATTCCACGAGAGACGAGCGACAACAATGGATCATCCATTAGTCTTAGTTGAGAAAGACTATGAAATGCCTTTTTTCAAATTTTCTTTGAATATCTGTAAGAGATATATCTAAATCTGTATGTGATTACAACATAGAAAAAAGAGAACAACGATTTCTGATTACTACGATATTATTCCTCTACGAAAAGAAAAGACAAATCTAAGGCATTGTTGAAAACAAATCAATGCCCCTAGTGAATTTATTTCATTTGAAGTATAAGAAAAAAAACAGATTAAATAATGAGCCGATACACACAATATTGATAATTATTTATCAAACTAAGTCACACAACTGAAGTATATCTACTTCAAAGTCTATCAAATTTTATCACTTTGTCCTGACGTTTTTTGACTTTCCGTTTGTGTTGATTGTGTCTTCAACAATTTGGCAGCGTAATGAGTCTAAAGAACGAAACAGATTAGATATGAAAAGTTCACGAACTACTTTACCTGAACTATTGCAAATCGTTTGAGATCTTCAGCATCAGTTGGCACTCGACACAAATTATTGTTGGCGCCAGCAAGTCTTTCAGCAAAACGACGATGAGTATACTGCGGTGTCGATAATTCACATATATCTGGTGCAAAATATTTTGCCGCTGCCTCAACAATTGAGTCTTCTATTGGACTATTTCTGTCGTTACTGCTTACAGACGAGGGTCGTTTTGGTGAACAGCTGGATTCTTTCTCGGCTGCTATCATATTTCGACGATGTATACGCTGTTTACGTGTCGATGGTTGAGATTGTAAGCTTTCTTCAACAACTTGTCTCTTTCTTGGATCAAAATAAGCAGCCAGAGCGAACTAAAATCATTCACACAAAAAAAGATTTTCAAGAAATCTTCTTCTTCTAGAATTCCTTACTTTTATTAAATCGAATGGAAAAAACCAAATAAGATTCCAAACCCAAACAATTCCCGCCCAGGTCCAACCGCAGCCTCCGACATTTGCAAATTGCCAATTAGCATAAACTGCAATAAGTGTTGCAATAATTTGTGCTATTGCGAAAGCAAAAACTAAGAGAAATGATGGACGCTCAAGAAAAAAGAAACTTCGAGAGCGTGCGATAAATATTAGAGCATGGCTCATAATCGACGATTGCAAATAGATTATCGAATTTAATATTGGATCGTTCCAGCCAGACGGAGAGCCATGTTTCGGATGATATTGTATTTTATCCACACCAAATTTGTCTTGAAAAAATGAGGTTTTTATAATTATGATAAAGAATGAAACAGTCGATAGTGCTGAATATATTCCGTAAACAGTGGCATGTACGAACACATCTGATAATAACCATTTGGTGGGATACGGTGATGCTTCGACACGATCTTTTGAAATGGTCATCATCGTCGCATTATTGAGAAGAGTCAGAATGAGTAACTAAACAAGAATATGTTTCATTGGACAAAGTTGTTTTTCTCTCTCACCATGAATGATGGAAAATCAAATTCAAAAGCGAATAGAAGGATTGTATAACCAACTAGTAGCCGAACTGTCATAGACGATGTGTACACCGAATAGTTCCGCATAGACTGAAAGATTTTTCTTGCACTAATAATAGCTTGATAATAAAAAAAAGCAGAGAGTTTACTTCTTTTTACTATCAAAGACCTATTTACCTTCGATCACAACTGATAAACCAGGTTCAGTTAAAACGATATCAGCTGCTGAACGTGCAGCATCCGATGCATCAGCAACAGCAATGCCAACATTTGCTTTCTTGAGTGCAGGTGCATCGTTCACACCATCACCAGTCATAGCAATCATATGACCCATATTTTGTAATCTTTTCACAATTTCATATTTATGTTCGGGATACACACCAGCAAAACCATCCGCATGTAACACTAAATCATCAATATCTTGATAACCCGAATTGGCCGGTGGACCGTCTTTGAAAATTGTTGAGCGAAACATATTATCACCTATAGCGAGACGGCGTCCTGTCTCTTTGGCAATCGCTAATTGATCACCAGTTACCATTTTAACTTTAATGCCTAAAGATTTTTCAGACGAAACAGTCAGTTGTTTGTTCTTGTTGCTAAATAATAAAAATATATGTTTACCTAGTTCAATCGCACGCGCGATCGTTTCTTTTGTATCGCTACGTGGCGGATCATATATCGGTAGAAGACCAATTAGTTTAAAGCCATTTCCTTTTCCGTTTACAGTTCCACTTGGAACATCTTCAATAGCCACAGCCAATGATCGTAAGCCTCGCTCAGCAAATTCATCGACGTCAAGCTGTAATTGCTGTATAAGTTCACTCGTGTTATCACGTGTGCACAATTCTGCGATTATACGAGGCATTCCTTTAGATATACGATGTACTGTTCCGTCGTTGATAATTCTGTAAGTGATCTCCGTGCGTTTATCCGTTGGATTAAATCTGAATGAAAATACGTGCGCTTTTCTCTGTGACAAAGCTTACATGTGTTAACTTACGGTTTGAAGTGTAATTCTTCAATTCCTTCACGTATTAGCTTTGTATCACCATATGCTTCGGTGATACAAGAATCACTAAAAGGAAGAGAAGTAAAACATTACAGTTATCTTATCCTTTCTGAATATATTCACATTGCATCTTGGTGTTCAGTACGTGATGCTATGGCAGCACAATGAATGATCTCGTCAGGTTCAACATCGGCGTACTGTTTTAAATTGTTCCTATCAATAACAAGTTTATTTAATGTCAACGTTCCTGTCTTGTCCGAGCATAAAATCGATACACCAGCAAGTTCTTCAATAGCCGATACGTGTGTAACTATCGCTTTTTGGTTTGACAATTGTCTTGCACCGAGTGCTAATGTTACCGTCATAACTGTTGACATCGCTGTTGGAATGCCACCAACGAGAGTTACTATTAAGTTGTTCATACCACGGCGATAGTCATAGCGGAAAACAGCACTAAAGATAGATTCGAATTCGAAAGTAGAGTTTTTTTTTTCAAGGGACTACGTACTACATAACGATTATTTGTGCAATTAAAAATACAACGATCCAACCGATGCAAAACAATCCAATACGACCCATAATAATTTGTAAATGCGCGGTATCGTTGCTGTCACCAACTAAGCCAATAGTTTTTCCCATGAACGAATGTTTTCCAGTACCGATTACTAGAAAAGACGAAAAGAAAAGTGGATTTGAAATGAAGGATTGAAAGAAGACCAACCAATAGCCTCAGCTTCTCCTAGTTTACAAACTGCGCCCGATAGAATTTCATCGCCGACTTGTTTTTTCACAGGAAGCGACTCGCCAGTTAACGCCGATTGATCCATCAGAAGTTGCCCGTGCACAGCTATAAACACTTGACACTCTTTAATATCTCTCAAATATTCTTCTTACCGATAACTCGTCCGTCACCTGGTACGACATCACCTAGTTTCAGGCTAATTATATCTCCTGGAACAAGGTCAGCTGCGTCAATCACTTTCCAGTGCCCATTGCGTTTCGTTTTGGCCTCTGGTGCTAACGACGCTTGTAGTGCTTTGACGGCATTTCCAGCATTTCGTTCTTCGATAAAACTAACCGTTGCATTAACAAACAGAAGTAACATGATTCCCACGAAATCTTGCCAATTTGGAGGTTTTCCTCCACCGTTCGACAAAGCGATTGAAACAATAGCAGCGATCTCCATCACCCAAGCGGATGGATTCCACATGTATGACAAAAACTTTAAGATTGGATTTCTCCTCTTCCGTTCAATTCGATTCGTTCCAAACTAATGTTCAAAATGAGAAATTTTCAACCGAACGTAAAAAAATTTTACCTTTTCAATTCGTTCCTTGACTTGATCATCAGTTAAACCATTTCGTGATGACCTGGCATTGTGAAAGGAATGAATATGAATTCCAAAATGAATTTGTTTACTTACTCGAGTAAACTAAATACATCTTTTTCTTCCATGTGTGCGAAATCATATTTATCACCTTCATACAACTCTTCAATTGTGATAGTTCGCAAAGGATTTTCCGGAATATCTATTATCGTTTTTTTATCCACGGACTTTTCTTCCATGATTCACTTCGTTTCAACTTGTTACAATCTGAAAGAAAAAGAAAATCACATTTATTGAAATGCTCGTGAAGAATATACGATTGGCTGTGCTTTAAGCGTCTAGGACATTCATTCTTCTCCTTTTCTGCACTCACTCTCTTCTAGAATGTTTGTACATATTCTTTCTATATCAGTCAGTCAGTTTTTATCGAAGAGAAGCGTGACGAATGTTTTAGAAGGACATATCTTAAATCTCACTTGTGGACATGCCTCGTTGGATAGTTCACACCTGTATAGGTTCATACTTTCATCCTCTCTTTCCTATAAACTAATTGCCTTCGGTCGTGTTCTATACCGTTATGCATAACCATTTTTGTCCTCTCCCTTTCTCGTCTTCTCAATGGCCGGGCTCGTTCAAAGTGAAAAAAAAATGCACTCAAAGGGCAATAGTTGATGTCAATTACTGAGTAAATGGTGGATTATTTAGGAGAAAGTTTGATTTCATATGTATTGTTTTTGATGAACAATGATATTACGTTATGTGTTTGTATAGTTTGACGATTGGTGACGAGTCTTTGGTGATAAATTTTCTGCATGAACTCTTGCTCTCTGACTGAAACGAAATGGACTGTTCATTTTCATCTTACCTGTACTTTACCTTCGAATCAACTGACTTATGTATGAGAATAGAAGAGAATGAAACATTGCGTGCCATTTGTGATCTGTTCAATAAAATGTGTCGATATTACTATGACAGTCAACTCTCAAAACAGTTGAAGTACAGTCTAGTCGATGAGTATGTAACAAAAATATACGAGACTATCAAAATGAATCTGAAGTTCTCTCGAAAAAGACTATCACAACAAAACGAAGACACATTATTTTGATGAATGCGTGTGTTGGATCATTTTATTTAATCGAAGACTTCGCTTTCGAATCGTCTTTTATCAAAGCTCGATAACCTTTTAGTGTCTTGTAAGTGATACGATTTGAGTTATGAAACGAATTAGCACCACGATACGACGTGCGAACTAAATAAATCATATCGGGACCACCATCGCAGTTCCATTCAATGCAACTTGCATTTCTGTTCGATGCTGATGACGATAGATTATCAAATTGCCAATCGACATAATGGAAGCCGGTGTAGCGAAGGCTATCATTCACTGTAAAACCGGTGTCATCGTATAGAAGACTATCAGCTGCAATTTTCCAATCGATTAAATCTTTTGAATACGACAAACTGAGAATATTTCGTTGAGTTGGATAGTAGTTTTGTGTGACTGGATTTACAAATGTAAAATAAGCTTCCAGAATAGGATCGTATCTGATAGTGAATTTAGTCATACCGCCTGGAAAGCTTATTATCGAAACAAACGATAATGTGTTTGTTGTTTGCTCTAGTTCTAAGACAATAGCTAGATTCGCTAATGGAGCCGAATTAAATCGAAGAATATTGTAGATACGTAGTTGTTTTGATGGTGATGTTGCGACGACGACATTGCCTTCTAAGTATCCGGGTTGCGTTATATTGGGAAATGTCTTTGGTATCCAAGACTTATTGAACGTCATTGGTGGAGTTATTCGCCAATTTTCAGGTGACATAAGTGGATCGTCATCATCGTTAATAGTCGAACTTGATTTCGTTAAATTGCAGCTTATAATGGCAGCTTGAAAGTTATCAGGCCATCGAGACGGAGCAGGCCAAGCTTCAATTGCTCGATACATAACTTGATCAGCAATCACAATCGGCGTTGGACCTGTGGCGTACGAACCGCGAAACAATATGATCCCGTTATCATTACCGTTATAGTTCCATGATGCACCTTGATCGCTACTTCGATGAATTCTAATATTCGCATTCTCATCACTGTCTGTTCCGATCGCGTAAATCATATCCTTATAAACAGCTAATGTTGTCCAATAACTGTGTTTGATGTAAGAGTTAAACACCCAGTTTTGCCCGTCATCATCACTGATGTAAACAGACGCATTTCGTGGTTGAGATGCATAGCCTGGACCAAAGAAATCGTGGCTAGCAATGAGTCGTCCGGATGACAAACGAACAATTGATGGTGAACCAAGATAAATCTTCGATAGCTCGTCGTGATAGACAACTTCATTGAGGTCAAGACTCGAATCGAGTAGAGGCTTCGCTATTATCGAATGACATGATAACAGTAGAAAATATATCCACTTTATCACATACATTGTTTTGCCAATTTGGATTCACTCAAAAAATGTGTTTAAAGATAAAGTCTTTTTTCTTCTTTTTACCATTTACCTTATCATCAAAAAAAGAATTTATCAGCCGATGAATCTTTTGTGTTAAAGCTTGCGTCCGATTAATTTACTTTATGAATACAATGAAATTTCTTTTCTTACTCATGTTTATTAAATTAAATGTCATCTATCACAGTATCGAAATAGAAAAAGTCTTTACTCTGGCTCATTTAAGATGTTCTCGAAGGCGTCATTTTTCCATTTATCTATTGATACAAACCAAATATTTCCAAAAGCATTCCGTATCGGACCTTTTGATCCCATCATTTGTGACGAGAGCACTTCGCGAAAAGCATATCCTATATCCGTTGTCTCATTTCCGAAAGCACCTGTGCCGATTGGACCAAGTAAGAGATACGTATTTGATCCATCACCTTTTGTATTGGCAACAGCGGCCATAATGAATGCACGAAATTTTTCTACAGTATTTGCAATCAACTAGAATGATCACAAGAAATTCAGCGACTGAGATATGCATAATCAATGATTTGTGTGTTACTTCGGGTTGCGTTCGAGGATTGTCATAGAGTTGAGTGGTACCTGTCAGACAATAACATGCTGAAACCAACATATCCACTGCGCGAATTTTATCCAGAGATTTGTCGAAAAATCGCATGTCGCGAACATAAGCAGCGCCAAATTCTGGTATTGCATATCCACCGCCCATACGACTATACTTTAAATCAAGCAATGATCGATAACCATCGGAATTGTAGAGGATGATTTCCTCCTGTGCCCCTGAATGAAACAAAAAATATCATCCATTGACAGTCGATGAGGAAAACAATATACTTACAAGCATGTCGCAAATATCCTCCGCCGGGAGATCGTTCATTCTAAAATATTTCAATAGAGAGACTGAGAAATCAGTGAATTGAAGAAAAAAGTCATTTACAGCGAAATTCAACACAATTATTTGTGCGTCTTCGGGTACATCAAAAACCGCCTTTTCAATTCGATCGTGTACGTATGTAATTTTGACAGCATGGTTTCGTTCCGGAACGGGATATTTACGTAATGTTTGTACAGCATCTTCATCGGACGGATCATATGGAAGTATCTTCTTGTCACTCGTTTGTTCATTTGCTATATCAATTTCATTCTCTCTATTGAGAACTTCTTCTATCGAACAAAGATCTTCTAGTTGCTGGGCATTCCAATATAACTTTAACTCTTTGGGATCCCAACCGTAACTACGAAAGCAAGACATATACTCTCGAGATTGAATCACATCTGCATGTAGCTACAATGGGAACGTTGTAGAAGATTAATCGGTGAAAAAACTGATTGGAATAATAAAAAAAAAACTTACGTCTGGTATAGTCAACTCATAGTAAGGTTCAATATTACGGAGATTGACACCGAAAACTTCTGCCATACCGTTATCAACTTCGAGCGTCATTTGTTTATATTTTTCTTCTAACTCTTTCCATGGAAGTTCTTTAACATCACCTGATGCATCCTTCTCTACAAGCCATTTTCTGACTACAGATGCATGTTGAACGGTTTGTTCATCAAATTTAGTCTTTAAATCTTTGCTTTCCTCAATTTGATCTAGTTGATTGCGGATTGCGAGTAAAAAGGCGAGAAGTGTACGTCGACCAAAATGCCAATCTTTTCTCTCGCTTGAACTCAGCGTCGCAACGATCGAATTGATTGTTTTCTCATCCAACGATCTCAATGGCACATAAACTGACAACGGATCAGGCAGTGGTCGATATTTGATCTCTGGATTCGCTGCAACAGAAAGGAAAGTATCTGGATCGGATGGAATAGGAGCAGAGTTATGAAGTTGTTGTAATTTTGCCATTCGTTTTCTGGAAGCTCGTTTTCGTGTTTGCGTAGAAAAAAATCGTCGTAATCCAAAACACATTCCGAATCAGTTTATAATTGCGTATACCTTGTGAGAAAATAATAAATTCTTTCAGTTCTGCGACACACGCGGTTTATTGTGTCAAAATAAAACTATTTTTTGTAGTTATTCTCACGTGTATACGGCGAATAGAAAGATTTGCTTCCTTTTCTTCCTTTCTGTTACTACATCGTGTACAGAACAAAAAGAAAAGCAATATCACACACCAGTCATTGTCAGTATGTATTTTCAAGCGACACCTGTCCTCAATCTACATGACAATTTCAAACAAAATTTAAAAAAAGCCTCAGTTCATATTCGTAATTTTTCTTTGGAATTTCATGGTTGAAACCGCGTTCAAAACGATATGTCCCACTTTCTCGTAGTCACTTAATTCCATATATATTTGAGCACTAATTCGACAATAGAATTTCTTGTCAAATTCAATCATCGGTAGAAATATGTTGTGTTCATTGATCAATTTTTGATACAAGTCATTCATTTTCTCTGTTGTGTTGATAAAAGCTGGTAATTCAATATTATTCATTGTGCTGATGTATCTTTCATCAGTTGTTAATGTTGAACTATTCCATAGCCGTGCGAGAAGAGTTCCAGTTTGAATGGCTAATTGATGATTGTAGGCAAAGATCTCGGATTCATTGGCGATCGTTCGTCGAAAATCGATCGCGTCAGAGATGGTCAAATACGCACTGTAATCTCGTGTTCCTAACCAAAAGAATTCACTTTGAAAAGATTGTAAATAACCAAACGATGTTATAATCGGATGAATTAGTTTTTGCAAGTCCTTTCGTACATATACTAGACATGAACTTCGTTGTGTGTACAACCATTTATGCGTGTTCGTGACATAGAAGTCTGGATCTAGTTTTTTTAAATCAAGTTCAATTCCACCGAGAGCGTGTGCACCGTCAACAAGAGTTAAAATACCTTTTCCACGAAAGTATTTGATCATTGTTTCCACATCGAATCGAACGGATGGTAGAGAACTGATGTGATCGAAAACGATGAGTTTTACATTGGCAATTTTACTTATCGCATCCTGAGTTGTTTTTAATAGAAGTTCGGTGTTTTGAATCGTTTGATGGTCAAGATCGATTTGAACGATTTGCTCTTGTGTAAAGATTTCAGTTGAAACGTATTGCAAAGTTAATTTCACCATTCCGTAAGCGACATTATAGTACAAAATTGTTTCATTCGATCGAAACTTCAATGATTTTAGGATTGAATTGATTCCTGCTGATGCATTATCAACAATAACTAGGTCATCGGGGTCGCAATTAACGTAGGCACTTAATTTCTCACGTAGTTTATTCATTTCGAGTTGAACGTCGATACGATACCATCGATCAGGATTCAATTCGGCTTTCATTTGGTATTCACGCAATTTCTCTTGAACATATTTCGATGCTGAACCGTATGAACCATGATTAACATTGACATACGATGGATCGAGTGAAAAGAGCGGTAGTAGTGAATGACCGAAACTCTGCGCAGATGAACATATCGATAGAAGAAGAAGGAATAGAGATGCGAACGGAAAAGTTTTCATTTTGTTACCAAAATATTTTACTAGAACGGGTTTTTTGTTTTGTTTCTTATCTTTTATCGAAGTAGATGAGATATGTATGATTCTAAATGATAAAGCAGGCAAATATTTTGCTTCAACGAACCGATGTTGGAGCAATTGTTGCTGACGAGCCCTAATTTTCTTAATTCTGTTCGAAAGAACTTGATTTTTTAAAAATACAATGCAAATTATGTCTGTAAAATTATAGTTCGACTAAAAGAAAAGAATTTCATTTTGATGTTCGCATCCATAGTCAATTGTGACTTCATCGATAAAAGCAGCTACTTGAGCAACATCGTATAACGATCCTATGATCATCTACAATAATTTACGTAATAAGTACTTACGGATCGTTGTCACCAGTCTGTTTTTATTCGAATGTTAATGGTGTTTATTGGCACTGTTGATAATGATCATGTCAATGTAGTAACTGATGGTGCGTTCGCCGTCGTTATCCAAGATAAAATTGGAAAACTCTTCATCTTCTTATCTTGTCACACGTTCGAAAAATGATGTTTTCTCATAGATGGTTCGGTCGAAAATGGATTTGGAATATAGTGGACAAGAACATCTGATTCGAACTTCTGTCTGAGTCAGGAAAGAGTTATACACTCTGCACAACCTTTATTTTCACTACGAATCATGAATGGTGTGGTAATGTCACAAAGCGTCGTCGGCGTGTTCAGAGTCTGTTCCATTGATTCGGACACACGATAATTATATATCAAAGAACATGATGCACGCATACGGTGAGTTCGTTCTTTTTTATTCAGTAATTCGGATTTCTATCATGAGCGCATCATACGATTGTGAATCTGTACTGTATCAGTATATAAAGCCCAATTTCCTGCATTTGCATGCGATCTACTTGTCATCATATTAACATTGTTCATTCTTATCCAACCTGAAGGTTAATAAACATGTAGATTCATGTCGATATAAAGGAAACAAATATGCGACAGAATCACATCAATGATGTCTTTCCCTCCTTTTCATGTATGCGGTTTAGAATAGACTTTGAACAAAATACAACGGATTCTTGTTTTCAATGACAAATGAAGCAAAATCGCGACGTACATTCCAACAAAACTCTTAGTTCGTATTTTAAGTCATACGATAGTACGGAAGATCAATCTGCTTAGCTAGATGAATAAGTGACTGTGTACTTTTTTCGTTTTATGAATCATCGAAAAATGTTGACAGAGGACTTACACTTCATTTTTTATCATTAATTCTAGAAAGCATTCCAAATAGGTTATAACTTATGTCCATCTTGAAGAAACTTGAGACTTAACATTATCGCCATCTTTCGGACTTCGTCAGTCACACCCAATCCAAGCGTCTAGTTTCTCTTTCTCTCCTCTCTCTCCTGATAAAGCTGATAACAGAAACCGACTAATCTTTTCACGCAAATACGAAAACATATTTTCCTCCCTAGATCATATTCGTAATACACGATACAAGATGACAACAACAAACGATTACGAATACATAAATGAAACATCCATTCACGAAGACCTACTATGTCCATTATGCACAGATCCATTAGTAGAACCCTTGTGTGCTAACCAATGTGGACATACATTTTGCCGTGAATGTATTACTGAAACTTGTCGTACCATGTCGAAATGTCCGACATGTCGTCATGATTTAACGCTCAACGATTTGCATCCGGTCAATTTGCGTCCTTTTCTCAATCAACTTAATCAATTACTTGTCAAATGTAAACTGTGTTCCGAAACAAATATTCAACGAGGTAATTTCAAAGAGCACGCTGGAAAGTGTTCGGAAAGACAAATATCGTGTCCAGCAGTCGATATTCAATGCGATTGGGTAGGAAGACAAGATCAAGTATCAAATCATGTAAATAACTGTTCATTGATGAAAGTTCGTCCGATGATCAATGAACTCAATGCTCAGGTGAAACAACAAGCAGATCAAATACATTTTCTTTATACAATTTTGGAGAAAGTGTCAAAACAAAATGCACGTGCATGTAAAGAACTACAATATACAGCTAGAGTAGTATTTTGTGACATATGTGAGCAGAGATTGGCATTGAACAAAGGTGAACGTGCCTTGCATTTCTGTCCCCAAGTAGATGTTTGCTCTGACTGTGTGAGAAAACATTTCCAATAGTAGCAAGATTCCATTTTATTACCTCGATGTATTTCCACTAAGAAATGATATGTTATCCTATACAAGATTGCTTTTGCTAGCGCTTCTTTTTGTTTAAATATACGTAAAGAAGCATAGTTAATATGACATTGAACTGTATATTGATTGGATAAATTTTGAAGGAAAACCTTTGCATTCAAATCAAATCTCATTTAGAAATATATTCGTTTCTGACTTCTGTGCGAAAGTCGCGTGATCAAAACTCATAATTCAGTCGATGTTTACAGGAAACTTCGTGCCAACAATGGTCAATAGTAGTATGAGAACTTGCCTGTCACGCTGGAACTGATTTTGCAATATGGCAGACAATAGAGAAGGCACTAAAAGGAAGTTCATAATGCAAGTAACAGCTAGTGACCTTTATCGATACGTTGACTAATGGGATCCATGAGTCTCGTGATAGTTTCGATCGAAAGAGATTTTTCCTCCCATCTTGTGTAATTTGACACTTGTTTTTTCTTATCAGATGAAATACCGGTCACACATGTGTCATTCTGTTGCTCTTTAAACGATAATCAATGCTTGGAATCGAAACGAGAGAAGCGAAAAGGTTAAATTCCTGTTATCCGTTTCGTTATATAAAACGAAACAACACACTGTTGTGCGTTGCACACAGTAACAATGAAAAAGACCTCATTGTCTACATTTATCATACTATTGTTGTCGATTAGTGTTTCGCATAATGAAGCAGTGTATGTTACACATGAAACGAGCTTTAAGAAAAATGTATTTGATAATAAAACAACAAGTTACCATTCATTGAATCAACCATTAATGTTAAAAGAATCAAAAAGTACACGTAAGATACTCGTTACTACGATTTCTACACCAAACATATCATCATCAACAAAAATTCCACGATGTGGCGTAAGGGATGGTCCTCTATTTTATTCAGCGGAAAGTCAATGGTATATATTATTTTGTAGATACATGAATATACATAGATATATTTAGGGGAAAGAAAGATTTTACTTGGAAATTAGTTAACGGATATCTACCGGCGTTTGGGGCAGGTAGAACTCGTGCGATACTTTACGAATCTTTTAATGATTGGGCCAGATACGCACCCTTGACTTTTCGCGAGGTATCCGAATATGACAAAGCCGACTTTGAGATATCATTTGTGCACAGATATCATGATCCGATTCGTCGATTTGATGGACCAGGAGGCACTTTAGGTTATGCATATCTTCCACCTTCAGGAGTTATTCATTTCGAAGCAGAAGAAGAATGGACTGAAGAGTAAGAAATAGTAATATAATTGTTCGATAAGATCAAATTCTGTCAACTGTTTAGTTATTCAGAGAATGGTTTCAATTTACGTCTTGTAGCAACGCACGAAATAGGTCATGCTCTGGGACTGGGACATTCCAATGATCCATCATCGATTATGTTTGAACGATATCAACTCATGCAACCGTCACAATTGCTACCCATTGATGTGAGTACAGACAGTTATTAGCCGTGTTCGATTGTTTCAATATATAAAAACGTAATTCACAGGATCAACGTGGTATTCAAACTATGTATGGACCAAGACCTTCTCCTCGGAGAGCGAATCCAACTAGCAAACGTCCAATCACGAAGCGATATAATCCAATTACAGTGAGGACAACAACAAGGTTTAAATTATCCACAACCAGGCGGCCAATGACTACCACACGAAGACCAACAACGACAACTCGAAGAACTACAACCGTACGAAGAACCACACCCGCTTATAAAACTACATACAGAACGGCTGTTACATGGAAAGCGCCATGGTACCAGCCAACCACTTGGTCGTGGTCAACAAGAAGATATTGGCCACCTTGGTCAAGACACAATCATCAACCAACAAAGAAAATGAGAAGACGCCGACCACATCATACACAACGAAGAACGAAGTTTCAAATACCAGCAGTATGGAGACGGAGAACGAGAGGATATGAACCGACGACAACGACACGGAAAATGCGAACATTCTCAACCACGAAGAAAACAACGGTGCGAAAACCTAGACATATGCTGCGGACTACGCCACAAACAAGGCACACAACATTAAAACGAACACCAACGACGACAGCAGGATACGTATGGTATAAGACAATGCCAGATCGAACTACAAGACAGCCGAAAAAAATACCACCGAATAAAGAAAGAAAACGTGCAACAAAACTACCGAAAGTAGTCGTACGAATGTCAGTATGGCCACTTCATAACATACGATCAGTCATGCAACCAACAAGAAAAATAGCGATATCAAACAAGAGAGTGCACCAAATAGTAGCATCCCCAAGCAAGCCAAAACAAACTACGAAGAAAACAACGCTAACCTACGTCAAAGAAGTAACCAGGAAACCTACGCCAAAAAAAGTCATATTCACAGTTACAAAACCAACAACTAAAACAACACTAATCACCGCAATGTTTAAAATTAGTAGCGGCTGCGACGCTAAGAAGAGTGTTAAACAATGCATCAATGTTAAATGATACGGTCACAAGTCGAAGAAATACAGATGATCATCGCTCTTCCTCTGGTTTTATTTAGTCGGTGCGAATTATCGCGCCCATCTCATTATTACCATTGTATAGACCGTAATAAAAACGAAATTTTATTGTGATGTTTTGTCAAATTCGTTTACCGTAACTTTGTTTTCATTCATAACACGATATATACAGAATACTTAAATATTGCTTGTGCATAATCACATACTCATCGGTATTATTTTGCATGTGAAGGTGTGTAAACAGTCGATTTACTGATTTCATAATGTTGATCTGTTTGTAATGTTCTCTTGATTGGATGAACAATCTGTTCATTACGAATGCGAATTGTTTGCTTCTCTAATCGAATTAACTCATTTCGATAAATGTTAGACGATAAGATGTGTTGATACTTGAGCGAGAAGCAAGCGAGCCAGTTGTTTGTCATTCGTTTGTCGATGCATTACGACAGCATGATGACGAATTCGTTGTTGAATATTATAAATAGTTAAAAAACCAACCGAAATCATCAGAAGCGGCATTATAAGAACATAAATCGTAACATTGATGATCAGATTGAAAAAAACTAACTGCGTTACTTGTAGATCCAATAGCATCATCATCGGAAACGCTAGATATGAACGCATTGGGAAGCATAAATAATGACAAAAATAGAAGTGTACCTAATGCTACCCATCGGGCGGTCCGACAACTATTCAAAGTTCGTCGGTGAACTTCCAATGAGGTAGCAGTGTCGATCAATAGAAGCTAGTGCCATAACATATATACCGCAAGATGTGAACAGAAATTAATGAAATAACTAATAAATTATTAGAAAATGTTAGAATCTTGTGGTAAATTGATTGTCGTGCCAATGCAAATGTAGACAAGATTACTGATTGATAAGATGACAAAGTAGAGAGAACAATTACTAGTAGACCGAAGTATTTTATTACCGTAGCGATGACATTCATTATTTCATAGTTCATTGCTGGTTTCTCACAAAAAGACGTTCAGAAAGAAATGAAATTCGAAAGGTCTTTTCAGTTTCGTACTTCTAGTTCTCTATTACGGAGGAATTCAATTTCCTATAGTATAGCATACATGAGTACACAAAGTATATTCTGTTAAATAAACTTGTTCTAGGTGACGGAGCATTCTGTAAAACAACGTCAACTTTGCTTCCTGCTTCTATTGTTCTGATCGGTACCAGCGAAAGGATTCATGTACTTCCATTATTCTTCAATTTCGTTGCTAGACTTCATCCTTGATCAAAGATCAATTATCTTTTGGATTGCATTTGTAACTTATAATCAAGTTAAACTTTCTGTGCTTTAGGCAAAAGTAATTTCTCGATGATAAAGAACCTGTTTCAGTCTGAAGTACTCAGATGATCATTCATCAGAAGACAATCAATTTGACGTCGTCCACTTTTCTCTGCACGAAAATGCACCGTTTTATTCATTAAATTTTGAATAATAAATACCATCACTTGATAAAACACAGTTTTAGTAACTATCATGTCGAACACGAGGTGTGTTTGTTTTTTGGAGAAATTAAATTTTATGCATGCATGATTTAGTATTACCTCTTGACGGTGTTTGTTTTGGCGGATTATTCGTTTTGCGAGGAAATTTCGACGCCGTCTGATTCGAATGCTCTATTGAGAAAGAAGTGCAGATCTTAATAGTAATACACTGACGACTATATACTCACTTGAGGGTGTTTGCTTGAACTTATGAGGTTGTGGTGGATGATATGTCCACTGAATTGGTTCATCTTTCGTTGAAATTTCATCGGTAGTTCGATCTTCCTCCTCTTCACGTTGGATAGCGTTTTTAGATGATGTTTTTTTCTTATGTGGAACGAATGTACGTACTTGTACTGACTCAGTTACTATCGGTACACATGGAATAGGTTTTTCGACATATTCAGGTATATCCCATTGAGACTTTGGTTGTTGCTCTGGTTGCCCATTCTGCAATTTTTGCGGCTTGTGATGAACTTGTTGGACATTTTTATTCGATGAATTACTAATATTGAAAACAAGTTCTTCCGACGTCTCATTCACAGAGGGAGAAGCAAACAGTGCAAACCGATTGCTTATTTCCATTCTCTGTCGTGTATGAATCGGTTTGTCTATATACGTTACTTTTCTTTTTCTTTCACTTTTTATAGAGCTAACACGTGTGCATACATGTCGATAGCGACAGCATGTTTTTATTGCATACGAAGCTTGATTACATGTGAAAGAACGGACGAAAATATCTTGATTACGTTGGCGGTGATATTGCACTGTATTTTTATTCATGGTGAAAGTAATGTAAGATGTCAAAAAATCGAATAGTCTTTCACAAACTTACGTCAGCCTCAGCCTCAGTCCGCATAATTTCCTTCGATCTTTGTTTTCTTCCAGTACACATCTATGATTTATCGAAAACGCTCATTGTCAATGGTGAGAGGGTGGTAACTTATGATTGAATGTCATACCATGTTTCGATTGTCAAACTGAGAGCATGTATTTAGAATCAAAAAAATGAAGCACAATATCAACTACAAAAATATCAATATAACACATGTTAGATTAAGTTATTCAATGATTTTATTATCCACAGCCAATTACTTAACATTATTACACAGATGAAATTTTAAAAAAGAATGTGAGATTTTCAGCCGATTGGTTCGTTATCTTGCCACAGACCTGCCTTGACCCTTCCATCGGTATATATGGCTGTATCTGTATCACTCATCAGTCCGTTTTTCCAATGTTCTTTTAATACGTCGCCATTTTTATATTTATATACTCTGTATCCTTCTAGTTTACCATTGATAAATGCGCCTGTGTACACCTCACCATTTGAAAATACCACGTCCGGTTTTAATATCGTTTACAAAATTAATCTCGTAGCGATTATCGCTTTTCCAAATCAGTGCTCCTTTTTCAATGAACTTTCCATTCTTGAACGAACCAACATATTTTCTACCATCACAAGAAGTCAAAGCACCCTTTCCGTTCTTTTTCCATTCCTGAAATCATCTTCGTAACGTACACCACCTGGATAATCATCTACTACATTGAAATGAGATATGTACTCCATCATTTTCGTAATACAGTTCTTTTTATATCTCCCCACTGGTTTTCCATACTTCTGTTCGATTTCACGTATTATCGCTAGCCATACTTTTTTCCAATTCATATGAAACACACACATCCTCATCTGTTCGAATAGGTTTATATTTTCTCCAAACTAGTTTTCTTTTACTCACTTTTTTAAGTGACTTTTGAATCCTTGTCTTTTTGTCCTTCAGGCTTGATCGAGTCATGTTCCACATCATCTCCCAGCTCGATCGAAATCTGATCCTTGTTTTGTTCTTTCTGATTGACCGAGCCATCTTCTATCAATACACACCACCAGTCGATGTACGAACCAGATATTTGTGTATATGCATGACAAATGACAATTTCTATGGTATTATACCTGAGAAAAGTGTTTCGACACATTCGTGTGCTTATATATGCGTGTGATAACAAAAGCAACAGACAGAAGTGATTGGAAGCCTCATTGATGCTTTTCTATTCTTCGTCAATATTCTTTTTCAGTATTAAAAAGTACTCGTATCGTTCTGTATCTTACTTGAAGAAAATGATAAACGCACGTGTATTTTATTATGGCATCTACCTTTTATTTTCTTTTGTCATATCACTCGTAACTACAAATACAGAGAGCCAAGTTTGTCATGATGACGCTTGATACTTCATTGTTTCCATCGCCTTCTTTGACTGATGTTTTTGTTCATATTATTCTAACATTAATTACTACAGCGGTTTGGGTACACACATATCGACATCGGTCTTTTACATTTCTTGCTTTGGCAATGTTTTTTCCAACTCTTTTCGCAGTTCTTATTCATATTTATCATAGTTCTCTGACTGACTTTGTGTCATTCTTATTACTAAAGCCACAATGGTCAACGTTCAACTGGTCGATATGTTGCGTTTTATTACCTGTCGTTACCGTATTGGTTTGCTGTTTAATGAACTATTTAATCGGTTGGGGTACACTCCGTCGGCAAAATGAATTGTTTACATCAATACATGAACATAATCGAAATTTATTCTTTGGATGGATTCGTGCATTGGGAGAAGAAATAGGCTGGCGATCTTATCTTTTACCCGGTTTATTGACTCACTTCCATCCGATCATTGCCTTGAATATCAGTGGACTCGTTTGGGGTTTATATCACGTACCTGTCATGATTCTTCTGGCATATCATTCTCAATCCAAAGTTCAACATCCAATTCGTACTATTCTTGTTCAATGTGCATCGTGTTGGATTTCAGCAATTACCTACGGATGGATTGGGATGCAGTGTCGATATTCAATGATTCCACCAACGATGATACATTTCATTTGGAATCGAGTTAATCCGTTTCTATTAGGTTCCATTTATACGAATACACCGGGATGGATGAACGGTGAACAGTGGAAAATCAACGGCGAGGGATTGATGGGATGTATTATTTATCTCGTCTTAGCAATTATAATTCTCGTCCAATTTGTCTAACAACGTTCAGCAAGAATTGTCAAAGAATTACTTTTTTCTTCTTAAAAACATATTCGTTCTGACTTCTACACTTCAGATTTCGTAGAAACTACGATTGTATGTGATGGAAGTTGTTGAAGTATTAAAGAAAAGGAAAAGACAAGTCGGAATAGTTTACGAATACCTTTTTTTGATTAGTATCAGATTGACAAACGAACAGAAGTAGCTAATTTGAAGTATACTAACATGTAAATGTCGACAAGCTAATAAACTAGATGAAAATCATGTGCATATTCCTAAAACCTTTTAGACTAGAAAAATTTCCTTCTGAGCACTCGAGAACTGGTATCAGTGCGATCAAATAATCCACTTTTTTATTATATCGTTCCTGTATTCTGATAAGTATGTGCTAATCTGCCGATAAAGCATTATACTGTATCGTTTCTTCTTATCTCAACATACGTCAAGTAGCATAGGTGAATATATTTAATATCAACAAGAACAAATACTTCAGGTTTTAAAAGAAGCAGTCCAATAATAGTCTTCGTTTTCTTCCATCACGAATTCGTCCGAAATGAACGGCGATGCCATTTTGGTATGTACCAATGTAGAGCAGCCACAGCAATAAGTGTAATCACGATCACATTCACCCCATAGCAGATCAACATTAAAATACATACAATAAAGTCATATGTCTTCAACTGTGTGCTGTTATGAAGCAGCTTGCTTGCATATACAATGCCAGTCATAGCCAATATAAAATATTCCACAACGCCCAATATGTTTACAATCAATCGCCATATATTGTATAAACTACGATCATTATTAACATCATCTATGTATAACCTCCAGCTAAAATGTTTATCGACGACGATTAAACCGAAAAAGATCGATAGGTTAATCAGAATCTCATAGAACGTGTCTCGAAACGGCGATGTTGAATCGACGAATAGCAGGAGTATTTGAGTTTCGAACATCATTTCGTACCAGCATAAAAGCATACATATTGTACAACAAGGAGGATGACGTTGATTCGGATAGTTGCCATTAGAAGTCCACGCAGTATATAGAGCGAGTACATGGAATAGGACTTCAATAAAGAAAAAAAGAATGGTAATCGTTAGTAAATCAGCTGTACGCGGTAGAAAACTCAAGTGAAGTATTAATTTCAGATTTTCTATACATAAACTGAAAATGATATGCAGTCGTGGCTGATTGAATAGTGGTTTGAATACAGAGATAGCACCAATAGCAAATAAGATGAAAAAGAAACGTCGTTGAATGTTTTCAGTCGGATCATTGCCTTTTACAGCGAAATATATGCCTATTTGTTCCGCAAGATCGAATATATCAATAAGAACAATCATCAGATTCGCCATTAACATATGTGTGACTGTTATAGAGATTAATACCATTAAAAGCTACAGTGTGCTAACTTATTTTATTGATTTACTATATATCGTATGACTAACTTGAAAAAGCGAAGTAGGTAACGCCTACATAATCAATAAAAGAAACGTATATTCATATAAAATTGTGAAAGTTTAGTGACTATGACAACACTTGATTTGTTCTTTTTTTGTATCGTTCGTCAGCACTTTCTCAATGATTCACTGTTTCTATTTCAACCAGATAAGCACCGGTAAGAGTTGTATTGTTATGATCGAAAGACGAATAACAAAAATACAAAGTATACAAAAAGAGACTATCAAACAAAAGAATATTTTATGAGTTATTTCGATCAAATAGATCTGTTTCATTATTCATCACCATCGCTGGAATCCTCTCTAAAATTATTTGTTTCAGACGCTTCGATCATAGTTCCATCATTGTCAATACTTGAGCAATATGTCATAGCATAGTTCAATCGTTCATACATAATGTCAACAGTCGAATACTTTGGTAAATCGATGGTAAACGAACATGTATGTGATCCTAGAAATGCATAGTATAAAATTTGTTTTCGTTCAATACATGATCTAACTTACGGGGAAGTATTTTATCAATTTCTTCATTATCGGCATCATACATGTCAATACAAAACATTGTGTTGAAGTCTTCGTCTCGTGTCGGTAATATACTTCGACCCCAAACAAATATTAGGAATAATCGTCTTTGTTCTTCAGTAAACCGATCTTTGAGAACTGTCCAGAATCGTTCGATAACTGGCGAATCTGGCTTATAGTCACGTTCATATTTTGTATTTCGTTTCAATAGTTGAATGTCAATTTCCCCTTCTCCACAAACAATCTTTTCCAGTTCAGCAGCCGTGAATAAACTTAGATAATAACATGGTACAACACTCGCTAGACCTTGCCGAATGTATTCGATTTGTCGATTGAATTCGGTGAGACGATAACTACGATAACATGCGCAATACTGTTCGAAATTCTTTGTTGTGATTGCAATGTCCATTCCGCCAGGAATTAATTCGAATATTTCGCCAGTTGAACTAACTGCATTAAATCGTAATTCACTCAGAAAATTATCGAATACATAGTCCATTTGATTGTCACTATCGACGGATTTTGCTTGCTCAATGTTCTTCTCCATTTCATCGATCATTGTGAAACTTTGGATATCGATTGCTTGAATGTCATCAATTGTAATCGGCTCTTTCAATAACTGTTTCCATACTATGGGTGCGAATTTCAGATTTAAATAATGCTTCTTTCGAATAGCAAAGCCCATTAGTTGTCCGACGAATCGATATTGTTTCTGAAATTTAGTTGAAATTGACTTATTCGGCGGAAAACTCTTCGGAATCCAGCAATCACGATTCAAACCGCTATTAGTTCGTCCATTTGGACATAAAACGAATAGTGGGACTCGAGTACTACAAATATCCGAACAAATACAAGTGATCGAATCGCGATAAGGTCCACCGGCGTCAGTACTATGCATTCCGACGTATTGGGCTTGCCAAAGTTGTTCGTTGGGTCGGCGAAAGATTGTTTGTGCATCAGTATGTAATTGTCGATAAGCTTGATGGAACATCGTATTGTCTGTGTTCTCACTTGTAACACTGCCTTCTACAGTATCAAATTGAACATCAAGTGAATCGTAGTTGTAATCGGTTTCCGTCTTCTCCAGACATTCACGGAGTAATTCGAGCTTGGTAGTGGTTAATAGATAACTCTTTACTGTTCGAATTTGATCGGAGAGAACACTTTGACCTGGTGATAAGCTCAAATCAACGAGAGACAGAATTTTCTCGATTAATTTATTCAATTGGTATAAAAATTTCGCTCGAATCGATAAACAATCAGCAGGAATGTGCGATAATATTAAATATTTCTGATAGAAACTTGCACTGGGATCCGATTCGGTTGGTAAATTACGAATGAATTCACCGAAGGAACTATTTTGCAGAAGACTTTTATTCATTGCATGAATCAACTGTTGATCACTCTTCGCATCGAAGAATTTATTGCATCTATCGAAATCATCGCGATCTAATTGATGAACGTTACCTAAAAGATCTCTGGATTGGATAAAAAAGATCTCCGGTAATTGTGTTCGCTTAGCAGAATCCATTAAAACATGAATAACGTCAATCACTGTATAAAAATCACGGATATCTGCTGGTAAATCACTGAATCGTAACGACTGTTGTTTGGAGAAAATGACCGATACTAAATCCATCAGTGCTCGCCGAAGGGTTTTCATTAAATCATCTTTCATGTAGGTCTCGTCGGAAGATAATGTAATGAGAAGATCAATGAAGAAGTCTTGCATAGATTGCTTTAAGTGGAAAATTCGACTCATTTGAAGAAGTCTAAAACGAAAGAGTGAATACAGAACTGATATGAGAACGACTTACGTGGTGAAAAAATGAAGAATAACGACTTTCGTTGGATGAGCATGGATTATTAAGAATAGATCGAATAGAATTTTAATTAATGGCGTCGGGAATAGTAAAGACACAAGATGATCGATTTGATCATCGTTTAATAAGGGTGTGCTTTTGAAAAGTTCAATGAACAGTTTCAGAACTGATTCAACGGAATTGTTTTCGAAAGATGGTGATGCTCCAAATAAGAAGCTTAGCGATTGAATGACGATCTCATCTCGCAATTGAATAATTAGCGGAGTTTTGGTTTGAAGATCGATTCGACGTTCCTTGAATTGTCGAAATTCATTTTGCAGAATGGACAAAACGATTGTTTGTATCCGATTGAACTTCTCATCTCTAATCATCAATCGAAATAAGGCGACGATAAACGATGGATCATCAAATTTTCCCCAGGGAAACAGAGCTGTTGAATTGTTTGCCCACGTTTCAAGCATAGTGATAATGGTGTGCCGAGCGTAGACTATTGCCAATGCGTTTTCACAAGAAAGACGTAAGTCGTAATACGTTTTCTGCGAAATACCTTCATGAGAATAGCGAACCGATTTGTGTTGATTCTTCAATCGCGCGATTTGTTCGTTTATATCATACAATTGATGCATAATGTCAGGTTCTGGTAGGACAGTTGAACGGTCACGAAGCCAGTCGGTTAGAGATTCATCGATGGATAATTCTTTGATTGTTCGATGGAACCATGGATGTTCTTCTTCATTGTCATCTGAATCAATCTCTGGTTCGTTTCTATCATCGGTCCATTCTGTCAGAATACGTTGACTAATGGTAGTTATCTGTTCGTTGATATTCACATTTGAAAAATCAATTTCAGGGGTAATTCGTAACAAAATGCGTTTGTAATCCTTTGCTTCTGTTTCAAGATCTAATTTCACAAACTTGTCCCTCTCTTCTCGTAGGATCGTATCAATTCTTTGTACATTCGTTGTCTTGTATTCATCAATTACAGATTGAATCCATCGTTTTTTGTATCCAATAGCAATCAAATTTGGCGAAATAACCGATAGTGGAGGTGCAATAAGAGATTCTAATGATTGATCAGGTGTTTGCATTTCTTCATTGATAGCTGCCCCTTGATTTAAGAAAGTAATTGATCGGCAGCGAATCCTCAGTGAATTTTCATCGGTGCCACTTTTTGTTAAGTTCACCTCTCGAAAGATATCGAAATGATCTAAGGTTGCATTATATCGATCGTCTTCGTCCGACAAATCTATCTCCAGCGATCCGTTTTTGTAGACTTTAATTGTCTGCTTGTCAACATGGATCCACATACGAAAAAATTCAGCTGGTGTTACCTCTGAATTGCCTTCATTGTTTGTACTTTCGTACTGAAGACAAAGTTTACCGTTACTTGTGACGTAAATCTGTATTTTATCATTCAGTGTAACTAATGAGATTTGTTTATCTTTGGCTGGCCATTTCGGTATGGATACGTCTAGAATCAGGGTGTAGTGGAACCAGATATCAGTGGGTTTTTCCAATATAAGGTACGTTTTGTTGCCGAAGAATTCGATAACTGATGGATCAGCTGTTGAGAAGTAATTGACTTCGGATGAATCTGCATGTTTCATCTTTGATTTCCAAATCATTCTCTCGAATGGTTGATCAAATGGAATGAGACTTTCGTTCGCAAACTCCTTTTTCTCAAACGAGAACGTATTGGCACGCTTGCGATATTCTTTGATTTGCTGGTAATCCGTGGCGACATAGAATAGTCCGTAAGTAAATAGTCGTTGAATATGATCTTCGGGTAGTGCATATTTCCATATGCCGATATTTCGGATGGTAGCATCGGTTTTCGGTAAAAGAGAAAAGGTGCACGTTTCATTCGGAAATAAGGTTTCGAATGTCTGACAAACTCGATTGATATACACTTTTGTTTGCTGTTCTCTAGGATAAAAGACGAGTACAACACGTGTTTCCTTATCGAAAAATGGTATTTTTAATGAGAAGACGTCTGCAGTATCGGATACGAGTGATATGCTGTCAAGCGGTGCAGTAATTTGAAAATCAAAGGAGATTGTAAACGATATAAGATCTTTGTCAACAGAGATTGGTAAACCGAAACTGTTTGCAGTTAGAACTAGTTGACGTTGGTCATTGAGAAGAAAGTCTATTTGCAGATGACGTTCACTGACGAAATCACGTAGAAAATGAGTTGATTTCGTTGTTCGAGATTGATACCTATAATCGTCGATTTGATCACCAACTAGGTAAGCATTGAACGGATAAGCGACAATAGAGTTTTCTGTGTTAATCACTTTCGGTAATAATAAAGGTTTGTACCCATCAGGCAATGGACATTGTTGCATATCTTCCGGACTGAATATAAATTCACAATATGTCGATGGATGATCGGTAAATTGCAGAGTAACACCAGGATAAAAGGGCATTAGCGTTTCGTTAGGTAACAAATAGCAGGTCGTATATGATCCTGGAATCTTCGTTTGATGTTTAAAAGCAGTTCCTAACAACTTTCCATTAAGCCAATACTTGATATTTGTGTTTTCTCCATCAATCTCAATTCCACAGCCACATACATCATTTTCCTTCCAACGGACATCATTAAATTGCTTGTCGAACACGCCATCAGCTAAAAATAACCCTCGCGATCCATCATAAGCCCATGAATATTCATCGTCGCCGAGACCTTTGCCATCATTACCCCGCGGATTAAATTTATGTGTTGCCCATCCAATTTGCACACCATCTTTAGGTAATCGAACACAAAAATACCAATTTCCTTTTCCTACCCTCAACTGATCGGTAACGAACGTCGGAAGACCAACATGCACATTATCACCGGTTGGACTGATGCGTCCATTGAATTGATGCTTTGTTCCACATGGTTTCACAGCTGTAGTATCTGCAGCAGTGCTTGGCATTGGTACAATTGAAATGTCATCGTTTCCGGAACGACCGTTTTTGAAAAATTCTATCTCATCCTTAGACATATACGGTTTCCAACCATTGTACTTCAAGACCGATGTAGACAGAGCCTTCACTATCATTGGATTACATTGATCGGAAGAAGTATTTTTGTCGTCTTCGGGAATATTCCAGTCTTTTTCCTGTCGGCAATTATCTAAACTTAAGCAATACTGTTCAAGATGTTGTTTATTGAATAGACGAAGATCAGGAAATGTTGGCAAGGTGTTCGAAATGGCAAGTTCAATGAGATTCGCTGCATACGGTTTTTCTATGAACAATTCAATGATCTTCTGATTGGTCAACATGTGAGTAAGTACAGAAATCGAACGACGTTTAAGTTGTAATGTATTCAACGATTTTGCTGATGATTGAATCCAATATCCTAGTATATTGAGTATTGAATGTATCGCTGCTTCGTCGGTCGTTAGCAGTGCCTGAAAATCCGGTGGTGAAACAATGATTTTTTGTTCGATTCGATTTACATCCACGGACGTGATTTGATTGGTTTGATAGTATTGAATCGTGTACGATGATGTATTGGAAATGTCGATAATCAATCCTAAGCGAAAATCTTCATCATTGTAAACTTTCACAATAGAACTTAAGCAATATGGTTGAATATATCCGCCTAAAACGCAAAAGGTAGCTGTGAGCTTGTTCAGTTCTCTTGTTTCCATTGCACTATGTAAAGTTAGCAAAGCCATCGATTGGCATGAAGATTTGCTTGATAGGATTGTTCGATAGATATTGATCAATTCATTCACTATCTCTGATTCGATAGGGGAAGAAATAAAGTTGTTTCCAATTGTAACAAGCATTTCTTCGAGGAAGCTCATCGAGGCCGATGAGATGATTTCCGAAAGATGTGGTAATAGTTCTCGTAGAATTTTCAGTACGAGCAAACGAGTGACATTATGTTTACTTCGATGATAAATGTCGAGTAATTCTGTTGTAAATTCCATCGTTGCACAAATACGTCGAACATGTTCGTAGAAATGAATACAACGAAACAGGAGAACTAGGTATTGATTAATGTAAAGATCGATTTCGAACGTTTGGGAAATGATCGCTTGATGAAACCAGCCGAGAGAGAGATTTTTCAACGAATTGTGTATCAATCTATTGTCTACATCGATGTTCTTCAATCGACGAAATTCATTCAAAATGAATGTGTCAAAAACTAACGTCCGGTGGTGTTCTAATCTTTCGTTGTTTACACCTTGGATAAGTTCCAATTGAATATTTTCACATAGTTTTAATACAAATAATCGAAACCAATTGAATGCGGTTAGTTTGTGATCCAATGAATTCTCCTTTTCGAGATTTTCCGATTGCAAAAGTCTTTCCGGAAGAAGATGATCCATATCAGCTGAATCGTAATTGAAATTTAATAGGTAGAAAATATTCTTTTGGATCATATGCGATTGAAACAATGAAGATTGTAAAATAGTTTTGATGATCAAATGATAATTCACTCGAATCTCTTCTTTTAGTTGATCATTGGTCGCAGATATATTCTCGAGATATGACCATTCCAGACCAGAATTTCTTAAACATGGCAAATAATAACGTAGAATAATCAATACAGATGGCTGATCACTCGATTTGCAAAGTTTGTAGATGAATTTCTGTGCAAATCGATAGCTCATCAATCGTGTTGTCGCTCGTTCATACTGTCGATAGAGACAAGTTTTCAATTCGTCTAATAATTGATTAGTATCTTCAATGGATATCGGTGTGTTGCTTTTATAGAAGTCTTCGTAGAGAAATTGATCGATTGTACGATTAAGTAAATGTTCGTAATCGATTTTAATATCGGAGTTATTCTTTTTCGATAAGATTGATTTTCGGAATCGAATGCAAGCTTCCATTAGATTTCGAAGTAAATCAATGACTTTCTTCGCTTGTGACCATCGAGAGACTTGTCGTTGAAAACCGATAAGTTCTTTATTCTTAGGCGGAATGTCTAATATAGACGTTAACACTTCATTTATGATAGAAATCATGTGATTTTCTTTGACGAATGTCAATAAGAAGTAGGTTTTTGCTTTAATTTGTTTCGCAAATGTTTCACAATCACCGTTTTGTGCTTTTACAGTAGCTAAGACCGTCTGAACTTGACTGGCGTATTCGAAGATTGAGATAAGCTTGAGTGATGGTTTCATTTCGTCCGCTTGAGTCAATTCATACCGTGCAAGATTAATTCGACGGTAATGCTTGACAAAAATTGCGAATACTGCTGCGGTTAATTCATTCGCTTGTTGTTCAATTGATTTTTGTAATAGACGCTGTTTATTCTTTGCGAATGCTCGTATTCGAGATATTAACTGTGCACCTTCGCCAATATTATTATAAATCGACAGAAGAAATGCTTCATCTCTAGCAGCTTTTTCGGCTTGATTTTCAAGATGAAAGCCAGTATAATTGGCCAAGTTTGATTGGCTTAGATGTGAGAGATAGTCGCTTTGCTCCAGTGCAGGTGTTTCACAGCCACCGGCGAAGAGGAGAAGATTAAGTTTATCTTTGTGTTTCAATTCCAATGCATCCAACGAACAATTTGTAATCATGTATTGCGTCATTTTACCTAAGAGCCAAGATATGAATGGAAGTTGAGTTAGATCGTGATTTGTTTGTTGTAAAAGAAAATCGGATAACAATGGTAGCACAGTGGAGAATATCGGTTGAATGACTTTAAAGTCAAAGGTTTCGTTGATTTTTGTCATTAGAGATAGGTAGACAAGGATTGAATCGATTAACTCCGTTTTTATCGGATGTTGGAATAGATATGTCAAATATTGAATGAAGAAGAAAGACGTTGCAACGGAAGTATCCGATTGAGTTAAACGATATGTTAACAACTGATGAAATGAAGATAAAATCTTTCGCACAAACTGTTTTTCCGTAGAGATTGTTGATTTGTCAATAAATGAATATAAAATCTCCAAAGCTTTAACTTTATCCTTACTATTTGTACACAGAAGCTCAATCCAACTCATAATCGTTTCTTCCTTACTGAATTCTATATACAGTTGTTCGATCAGAGCTGGATATCGATTGTTTGCGATATATTGATGGATAAATTCTAGTTTTTGAATAAATGACCATGTTGGTAGATTAATTAGATAGATTAAAGCTTTTGACGCATCGATCGATGTCGATTTTTGATTCTCATCAGCGATAATTTTTAACAATAAATCAAGCCATTTAGTTAATTGATCGTTGCTTGCATAAGTCAACGGATCTATTCTACTAGCATCAAGAAATTTCAGATGTGTAGTGAATAATCTCAAACAAACGGTTAGAATTTGAGTCTTGGTCGCATCCGATGGTACGGCTAGTCGCTCGATGATCTCTGAGAGTGATCGAAATGTATTTGGATGAAACTCGAATGAAAATGAACTTCCAATTGCACCTTGTTCGAACTGTTTCGATGAATAAGTTTGATCATCTAACTCTAGATGTGACAAGATGATTGATGCAAATAATTGACCAGTCAATAGTTTATCATTTGAATCTTTCGATTCCGAATCTGGGTATTCTCCAACAAATTTCAGATAATCCAAAGATCTGCTTATTTCTTTCGATGCAAGTGTATTTTCGTCTTGTTTAATCGTTTCTCGAAGACCATTACTTAATTGAGTAAGAATACCTCCGACACGATAGGTATTGACTGTGTCAAATATCATCTCGGTTAGCAAAGATAGAATATCTTTAAACGATCCTCGAGCAATAGCAAAACTTAGTAGAATGATTCGCACCTGTCGAGCTTGATTTAAATCATTGGATGTTAATAATTGTTCGATATAACTTATGAGAGGCGTTAACGATTTTAGTAAATGACGATGATTTGATGAAGTGAAACATTTCATTGGAAGTTCATCACATAATTCACTGGTCAATGTTAAAATTTCGTCAACAATGCACGGATCATGTTTTTGAGCGGATTTGATGAGAATTAGTAGGATCGATGATACCGATCGAATAGCGAAGTACGAGAGTTGTTGATTATCATTATTTCGTATAGAAGTTGATTTCTCACTCTGCAGATCTTTTGTCAAAGTTGTTTGTAATTCTAGGCGACGTTCGATACGTTCTATTGTACTTTTGTACGAATTCTCACTTCTAGCGAGAATATCTTTCGTTAGTAGATCATTGATTTTCGTCTCAATTTCTTCTGACGTGGTGAATTTCGTTAAGAGAGCAAGTTGATTTTGAATTCGTTTGATGACTAATGATTCAGAATTGTCAATTTTCTGATCATGTGATGTATTCACCGGAAAAAAATAACTTATATCATCACCTTCGTTATCTGATAGAATCGTTTGAACAGCGCATGTAGAATTGTCTGTCTCGTTAGTATCAAACAGTTTTCGACAACTTTCGAGGAATTCTTCATCCATCTATACCGTCAAAATCTAAAGTGAAAAGAAACATATTGTGCATGTTGTTTTGATTAAAGTCAAGGGAGAAAAGAAACGGGCACACCTTACACTCTTAAATAACAAATAGAAGAGACGAAAAAACAGGCATGTGACTGATGGCAAAAATATCTCACACTTTTCTTTTCTTTTCTTTTCTTCACATTCGACTTGTATCTCATTTTACACAGACCATGTAACCGACACGGAGTCACACACAAAACATTGATACCTCATTGATAGGTTGTTTGACGACAACAATAATATGTATCTTCAACGAGTAGTGGACAATTTATTTCCAATAGGAAAGAAGAAATAACTTTTCTCTTATATATGATGATGTCAATATTTGTACAATGCCGGTCGATGACTAATGCGTAACAACAACCATAAAAGGAAATGGTTGCAGAACAGATAAATATTGCATAGGTGACAATCATCATAGTGTCATCGATGTATTTATTCGTTGAACTGTAACCTACACAGTTCTGCTAATTAAACTCAGGGTACGAGTACATCGCCTTGAAAAATATCTCCTTGTTACAGATCCCTTTGAGTCCTATGGTGAGACCTATTTGTATGAAAGAATAATATAGAAAGATGTATTGAGTTAAGTCTATTCGGTTTGGAAAATTATTCTTAAAAAATGTAATTTTTGATAAATTGATTCAATAAGTCACGATGAAAATCTAACTGTTTTCTAGAATAAAATGATTTCAGATTATGATCAAACCATATCCGATGAAAATGAAAGTTCAATGGATGATTGAGAATAGCGCGTTAACAACTCAAGTTTCCTACTTCTTTCAATTATTTTGATGGACAAGCATTAGGAAAGAACATAACTCGACCAATAGATTCTTTTTTTTTCAAGTTTAGATCTCAAGATTTGATATCTTATGAGCTCAGCTATCCGATCATCACATTCAAGAGATTAATTACTAATCAGATCGACAACTATGGCAAATAACATTGTGTTTTTTATTTTTATCTGACCAGATGTGTCGTAATATGATGTAAATATTCATAACGTTTTATCAAACGTAAATTCGATGGAAAAAAATCAGAACTCAAAGGGATAAACATGTCCTGTGATCTTTTGAATCTCCCGACATTCATATGTGGGTTGCGAATTAATAAAGAATTATGTGAGACTATTTAAATAAATAACTAGTTCATAAAAATGCATTTACGATATTATCCAAGTATATAACATTCGCTTTCTTCCATCAAGACAAAGAAGAAATTACGATGCAGTTCTATGATGTTCGACGATCAAAATCAATGCATCGGCTTTGTACTCAATGTAGTTGTCATGGCTGAAGATGCAGTTACAAGTCTAATACTGTTGACAATCTCAATAGTTATCAGTTATAATTTATTTTCCAATCAACTCAATTGTGCAGATAAGCCAAGACCAATTTTTCGCTTCAACATTGATGTTTACAGTTTCTGTCGTTATACATCATTCTACTCGTTGTTGAATTAGCTCTTTTGCTTATTCTTCTCTGTTCTGTTTATCATTAGAAGGATGTTGTCTTTCTATCGACCGATTTGTTTTGTCTTGTGTCGTTATTGTTTACTCGAAGTTATGTGTAGTTCTTTTTCGTCATTTATGGTACATCTGTCGTATTACGCTGTTTATTCAAAAACAGTCCAACGTTGACAACACGATCGAAATCTGAACACTCTACGACGCATTCTCACAATAGTTGGAATGTTATTCTCTGCATGGTTGTCAGTATTAGCTTTCATGATAATAACGTTTGTTACAGACCGGGAAAAACCATTCGATTTTTCAGGTTTATCTGTTACAGTTGCGACGGCGATGGTAAGATTAAGTATTGCAATGCTACTCTGTGCGATCCAACTGAAAAAGATTATCTCGAGATTTGTTATATCAGATGTCGTTGTTCCACTTGTGAGTACTATCGAAGATTCTGCTCAAAGAAGAATTTACACTTCGACTCACTAATCGATAGAGCGACGTTTCAAAAAACTAGTTATATTTTAAATCACTAATGATAAAATACGGGTGTATGAAACTATTCCACTGAAATAAAGCGAAATGCTCATGAAGTGATAATTTCATCTAACACTTATTCTGCTGACGACAGTATGGAATATTGTTCAAGGCAATTTCTTTAGAAGCCTACGGTGACAATAAAAAACGTAATCATGGAAAAAAGTACGTGTTTTTTAATGTGATAAGTATTCAAAATATTTTTCCTCGAGCACATAAAAGGTACTCGTACACAGGGTCGTTCAACACTTTTAACAAACAAAAGAAAAAGCTGAAATCTCAACGGAACTCAAAGACTCAAAAAGTTCATCTATTCTTCAGTTTTCTTTTCTTCAACAATCATATCGAAGTTGATGAACGGTTAAAATACCTGGCTTTTTTGTTTTCACTGTTTTATGCTCGCGAATAAATTCCAAACCACACTCGTTAGAAAATCCAGATACGCTTCAGTCCATTGCTCTTTCCATTTCTTTGTAGACAATCCTATTCAATTATGTTTACCATTCCTCTACGATTCTTAGTTCACACCTATGTACTGCTGTTCGTTGCATTCGAACAGATTGCGTCTATCCAGATTAAAACATTCTCCAGTGCCATATTCATCACATCAGATGTGATCAACACATTCTCTAACACCACATGCGATCAGTGTACATGTCTTGCATGGACATCTCAAGCGGTTGCATGGAACTGTATGATAAACACGAGTACATGTCAACTAATCAGCAAATATTCATCGACAAACGGTTACCTGCAAACGACAACCAATGGATCATTTTTTTATCTGCCATCAACCACAGGTAAGAACGATTCTCTGGAAAGAAAGGCGAGTGACTTGTTGTGAACTGATGCGAGCAGAGTAGTGTATACTCCAACAGGATAGACATATTTTTTCTCTCTCTCTTTTTAATCATTTTCAAACGATCAGTTGGGACAACTATCGCTGGTTATAGCACTGGATACAGTTCAAGTGGATCGATGGGATTGAGACGTCCACATGGATTGTTCATAAGTAGAAATGGTACTCTATATGTTGTTGACACGTTCAATGCTAGAGTACAAGCGTTCGCATGGAATTCATCTGTTGGCTCAACTGCTGTACCTAGTTCGGTTTTAAGCTACGCTGAGTTCGTGTACGTTAACGAGAATACCTCGACTATATATACCTCAGACTACAATTTACATGGTGCGGTTCTTTACCCTGGTAACACGACAATACCGACAGCGGGACAAAACTTGACTTGCTCTACCAACCGACCCTATTCTGCATCGGGTTTGCTAGGTGATAGCAAAGGAAATTTGTACATTGCATCTTCGTTTTGTCATACTGTACTCAAATTCGATGGATCAAATACAAATATTCGCATTCGTGTGGCAGGTTCAGGGACGGCTGGTAGTGGTAGTTCACAATTGAATACTCCGTACGGACTAAGTCTCGATGAAAAGAACTCCATTTTGTATGTAGCTGACACGCAAAACCACCGAATTCAAAAGATTTTCCTCAATCAGAACAGTACTGTTGGCGTTACCGTAGCAGGTGGAAATGGAGGTGGATGTGCTTTGAATCAACTTAATGCTCCATCAGGTGTGACTTTTTCGCAGAAAGACGGCTCTGTTTACATCGCAGACAGCAATAATAATCGAATTGTTCGTTGGAAAATCAATGCCACTGAAGGTGTAGTTGTCGCAGGCAGTTTGAATTGCATGGTTGGAACTACCTCAGTTCTGCTCAATGGCCCGTTTGACCTAAAATTTGACGCAAATGAAACCTTTCTGTTCGTTGCCGACATGTATAACAATCGTGTCCAAAGATTTCAGTTAAATTAAGACACTTTTCTCACTCAATCTTATATGACAAAATGACAGAGACGGATTCGCAGTAAATAATTGTACTATTCGCTAATGCTTGAATATAACTTTTGAAAAAATTGAAAGCAATGAAATTCATATTTATACATGACATAGACTCTCATCATTCACTTTGAAATGAAGTTGTGGTATGTTATTCTACAAGTACAGTCGTCTAAATCGGATTGAAGACTATACTTATATCCTTCTAGATCGTTTTTTCACTTTTAAAATTCTTATAAAAGAATGAATTTCTCTTCACAGTATATAACACCTAGTTTGCTGAATTATTTATACCGTTACATCAGACAAATCGATGTGTCTTACTTGGTAGTTTAATTTATTCTTCTTACCGAATGTTTAAAGTAATGCATCACGTGAATCAAACTATGAGATATTTTGTGTATTATAAAGTAAGGACTTTTCTCTTTCCCAAAGCTAAAATTCAACCAACTCTTCACATAATAGTTTGTAGATAATGATGTTGTGAAACATCCTGAACATTTTTTATTGGTGCGCTACGACAGATCGTGGAGATTCGAAACTTAGGTTATGCGCTAGTCTACGCGTATAACTGCGGTATGAAATAGAATGACATTCTATCGATGGAGAGTTCGTTTTTGAGAACTATTTACTTGTCCATCGATTAGTTTGAAGATTTTGAAATATTTTCAAGTACAAAAACAAATGTATTTTTACCTATAATTGATTTAGTTTGACATAAAGCATCTAAACCAAGAAAAGCTGGTAGAAGTATTCGATGTTGAACTATGGAATAGATAAATGAATTTTTTTATCAGAAAACTCTCAGGTGGACATTTAAAGACATATCGCTAAGTATGCACAATGTTGATTGCCGATGTTTCAAAAAAGAAACAAAGGGAAAGAAGCATTATTATTTTCCCCAACAACACAATTACTACAGCAAGTTGTCACATACAACGGGACTCACTTTTACCAGCAAAATCCATAGCAGTAATATTGATTTTGCTCTTCAATTCAGTTTACCTCACATTGGAATTTTGAGAGTGCAGGTAATTGCGACAATGCACGTGATTTTAAAATGCATTTTAACCCACGCTGAAATTGAAAAGAAAGTGGAGTACGCATTTTTCTATGACTATTGCGATATATGCGAATCGCTTTCGATGAGTGTATCGGACAATAAATACAACATTATGAAATAAGTTTGCACAGTCATATGACGTTTTATGCATATTCTAGAAATGGCGAAAGCAGATGATTCATACAAGGATTTACAAGAGGAAGTCACATGTCCTATATGTATGGAACTATATGAAGATCCAAGAATTCTACCTTGTTCTCATACGTTGTGCTTCAAATGCATCGAAGGTGTGATCCGTGCAAAGGGGGATTTTAAATGTCCGTTTAGATGTAATGTACAAGTGTCACAACAAGATATTGGACAATTACCGTTGAACAGAGTAATTCATAATATTGTTGACCGTATGAAAACAAATAAACCTGCAAACCCAAACGCTCGTATGTATGAATTTTCTGCATATTGCGAAGATCAAGAAGGCGAGAATTGGAAAACGATAAGGACTCGTTCGACCCATATTCGTATAAATAAATCTCTTGAAAGCAGCATTTTCGTATAATTCTTTTGTCGAAAGCTAGAAGTGTATTGTGATTTTCGAGTCAAGTTTTCAAAAGAAATTCATTGAATAAATTATGAAAAAATCCCAGAATATTGACTTAATATTTCGATTCGTTTTCGTGAAGTTGTATGACTCATTTATCCATGAACTTTTTTCCAATAAAGTAGTGAGCTATTCTTGTATTTTAGGAGCAAGTGCACCAAAATTCAAAATATCTCCACAGCCAAAAGCAATATCGGAAATGGCGTGTCATCATCTTTGTAGGAGTTGGTTTCTACGTGAGGAAATTCGTATCTCCGAATATTGTTATGTTATTAAGCTGTATAAAATCCCTGACATCCCGGAATCAATCTCCAAATATTCGATGGGAAAATTTGAGGATCTGGCTGATATTGTAGAACAGATCATTAGTGCAGATGCTCATCTCAAAAGCGCACTTCAACACGAGGATCCGCAATTTTTTAAATATTATAAAATGTCTACCTACGAAATACTTTGCATATCTGATAAACTGTGAAACCAGACATGAATAGATATATAGACCATTTTATCTATAGACATAACTAATCAATTTTCAAAGTTGTGAGAATACAGAGCAGCTCGCAGTATTGATGTCCTCATGGTTTGAATTTGATATTCGTTACCGACATGTACAATAATCATGCCCCAAGATTTCAGCTAGATTGAAACACTTTTTCTCACTCAATGCTATACGATAAAATGGTAGGAATGAACTGGTAGCAAATAATTGTATTATTCGCTAGTGCTAGAGCATAACTTTTGAAAAAGAATAAAATAAAAGATCTATATTTACCTTCATTGGTTGGCCTATAATTCATATTAGTATGAACAATTTTCATTGAGATCACTTGAGTTTCTAAACCTTTTCAACATTCATCAAAAGGCGCTAAACAAATGATGTGACACCTAATTAATGTACGTAAGCGAAACAGAAAATGTCATTTAGGCAGTTTTGTAGAGCAAGTCAAGCTCTGTCGATTAGTATATGGCTCAATTTTTGAGAAAATCTTTTAGCCGTAATATTTTGGATTTTATATGGGTCAATAAAACTTAGCTTCCTGTCGAGTCAGATTCGAAATCTGTTGATCCACATGTTATGATCTATACTAAAAATCCGTGGTTTTCTCGTGGAACGTCTCTCAAACATCTTGATAACATTCGATCCAGATGTCACATCATCGGGATCTCTTGTGTTAAGATAATTCGTTTCTGACCCTTATTCTCACCGTTGATAACAACGATGTACGAACGTTGCTGAGGTCATCTTTTGTTTTGTAACATATATATTGACCGTTTGGATACGTTTTGCACATAACGTATATAAAATCATAGTGTCGGTCAGCGAATCATGTTCACATTGCTAAAATCGTTTGTACAAAATTCATGACTAAGAGGAAGAAACGATCATTTGGTAAGTTCCTCATCTGAGAAAAACTTCAAAAGTAGTTGGATGCGAGTATGAAGACTTCCGAACCAACATAATCTCTAGTAATCATAGCACAAATCGCTAAATAAAGCTTCCATGATTCTAATTTAGATGTTGTTGCTAGAAAGCATGCATGCATGGTTCAATCTCTCTGTGAAAACAAGCGATTTTGTCAACTTATTTGTCAGTTACGGAAAAATAATAATAAATCGTCGATATCAAAAGCACTTGTCGACGCTTCACGTTCTCTACTTAATGAAAACACACATGCGCTTCAGCGTCGTCGATTTACATTATCGCAGCTTGAACGATTAGAAAACACGTTTGCTCATAGTCGATATTTAAATAGACAAGAATGTTCCGTGCTCGTTCAAGACTTACAAATCGAACGATACAAAATTCAACAATGGTTTGCACGACGACGAATGAAGTTCAAGCAAGAATTACGCAATACAATTGCACTTCCCGCTCTACCTGTACTTCCACCCGTTCTGCTCGCATCGGTTGCTGCGTAAAATTTCAAAACAAATAGCATGTGTTACTTTCTGCAGTTTCATCTTTGAAAGAACATCATTCTGAATTATATAAATCATTTCGTTTGTTCATAATAAAGTAATCATCGGAACACTCAAATAGGGTTTGTAAAATGTGTGAAAAACAAGAGATAAGGACATTTTAGCAAATATTGATAGATTTGTTGACACTGGAAGGAATCTTATGATGAATAGAGAGGACTCAGTTCCAAACATGATCACAAATATGAAAAATATTGTTATTTCTGAAGTAGGACACTTATTAGAGTTACATGTGTGGATTTACACCTATTTGAATTGGTTCTCTCAGTAAATTGAGATCTGAAAAATGAGTATTAGTAATTTCATTTTCAAGATATTACTTTTGGTGATTCGATTGTTTTCCGATGGCATTAATAACTAATCTTTTCTTATTTCTCTGCGTTAATGAAGAAAGAAAGAAAGAAAAACAACAATATATATATATACTTGGAAACTACATTTTTTCTTCAGAGTAAAAGAGTATATCGATCATTGCTTAACTTTCACAGTGATTACAGTATGCATTGTGTTATACTTTTGTCCACGTTATTTTCTTTGATCGCAGTTTACACGCAAGTAACATCCGCAGCCGGATGTTGGTCTGCAAATGCCTGTATCGATAAGGGCGTCTGCAGTAATCGTGGTGGCACATCTTTAGCAGGTTTGTGTCCTGGTGCTGCTAACATTCAATGTTGTAGTTGGTAAGATGAACTGTCTGGTTACTATGAAGATTTTACTCTTTAATCATTTAGTTCCACGTGCAAAGATGCAGCAGTTTGCCGATCTGGTGGTGGAACGCCTTACGCAGGTATTTGTCCTGGTGCTGAAAACATTCAGTGTTGTAAGAAAGGCGGTTCCACTTCTGGATCAGGCAAACCAGTGAACACAATGCTCACAGGCTTAGCCGATATACTTCGAACAGCTGGTCTCAAGGTTGTCGAAGTTGCTGGTTGGAAGACTCGCGGACATGGTGTAATGAGTTCAGTAAAAGGCATTATTGTTCATCATACAGCAGGCCCAGCCACAGGCGACTTTCCATCGTTAGCGGTCGTTCGAGATGGTACAAGCAGTCTCAAAGGTCCACTAGCACAACTTGGCTTAGGCCGTACTGGTACCTGGTTTGTTATTGCAGCAGGTCGCTCCTACCATGCTGGCAGCACCATTGATGACTCTATTTACGGCAATAGCAATGCAATTGGTATCGAAGCTGAAGCTTCCGGCTTACCAGCAACCAATAGTGGGCACGCTCACTGGCCAGAAGTACAGTATCAGAGCTATATCAAAGGCGTAAAAGCTCTGCAAAAAGCCTACGGTGTTCCTACTGCTCGTGTACTAGGACATAAGGAAGCTGCAGTACCCAAAGGTCGAAAAATCGATCCCAATTTTTCCATGGATGAATTTCGTTCAAAACTCGGTTAAGCTGACATGAACTTACTTCTGTTATTGGCTCTGATTTTTTTTGTGATATATTGTTTAACAAAGAACCAAAGAATATCATCACATTTACATATTGATAGTTTAGTACTTCTAGAAGGAAAAGAGGTTTTGAAGTCTTCGACACTGTTTTTGACAGATCAAGATAGTTAATGAAATTATCAAAACCACACACGTCGCTTTTGACTTACCAACCCTGTAAATTTCATTGCATCTGAATTAATGCGCCAAATGCAGACTTCAACATAACAACAGAATTTTGTCGGCAGATAGATCTGGAAAAAGAACCATGAGCCACGTTATCGATGTCTTGAATCAAAGTAACTTCTATTTGTACAAATACATTGGTCCAATATTGTTCATTATCGGAAATATCGGCAACTTTTTCAGTATTCTCATATTCTTGAAGAAATCCTGGCGAAAAAATGTGTGCGTCTTTTATATGCAAGTCTGTTTAATCTTCGATTCGTGCTACAACAATTCATACATTATCGGCTCAATCCTCACCTACGGTTATGGAATCAGCGTACAAAATTCAAACGTGATCATATGTAAACTATTTTTCTACGTTGGATTTTACTTTTCTGCAACATTACCAATGTTTCTTATCTTAGCATCGATTGATCGGTTGCTGATATCTTCACAAAATATCGATACACGTTTATACAGCTCGAAACGATTAGCTTATCTCTTGTGTAGTATCAATAGTATAGTTTGGTTAATATTCTTTGTGCACATACTCATTCGAGTGAATCTTGAAGAGTTTTACCCTTCATTCCACGTGTGTTACTTTGATCCAACGGAAAGTTATCTTGATTTTATCTCATACTCCTCGTTAGTTATAACATCAATATTTAGTATAACGATGATTGTATTGATTGTACTCGCTTTCAAAAATGTTCGACACATTCGATTAGCGGCCCGTCAAAGCCGAAGGGAAGTTCGACAGATGACCAAGAAGGATCTCCAGCTGCTTCGCTGCTTATTCGCACAAGATATTATTTTCATACTCTTTACGATCTTTTTGAATATGTTTTATGTTTACTCGGCAGCGACCAAAGCGAAACTCAAAACCGACTTGGAATCAGCGATTGGTAATTTTATATTCGCAGTTCTTAGTTTCACTCATCATATACCATTTTGTTCGAACGTATTTGTCTTCATATTTGTCTCCAAAGCATTTCGAAATGAAGTGAAACGTTTCATCAACAAAATTATCTGCAAGAAAGTTATACAAACGCGTCTTGAAGAAAAAAAATCTTGAATAGAAGCAAACAACTGACCGATTTGTCCTATGACACATGCTTGAGTAATTACACAATCATCACATCGATGAAATTGTGTTTTTTTTCTCTTTTTCATCTCGTCGTATTCATTAAAATAATTTTATAGATCGAAAAAGTATCAACGTAATTAGTTAGAACGTTACAACTACATGACTAAACTATCGTGTGACTTGTGTATGTGTATAGTAATTAGAGAAAGAGGAGCCGAAAAACGCTGAGAGTGATTGTTTGAACTATCAAAATGAATTAGATCGTTAATCAATTTCATTTTTTCGATTTTATCATTTACCGTTTTCCTTCCATCTTGAAAAATTTTTAATCATCAAGAGTGCTTTTCTGCAAAGAAAAAAAAGAATATCGATATTTTAAAAAGTTTTGTCTGTCATCACATACGCAGTTAGTGTCTTGCTCGTCGTGACTAGTTCGTCATTGCATTTTCTCTTACTGAAATCGATATGGCAACGGCTTGGATACCAAATCCTGAGATACCAAATTCCGGTAAAAAACGGCATCGAGCTGGTTCAATTGTTAAGGAATTTGGCTTGAATACATCAACACATGGTATACCAGGTATAGCGCGTAGTGAAAGTACTCATAACCGTATCTTCTGGACTGCGTCTCTACTGATATTCTTTGGTGTTATGGTTTATTTTGTCACTGAAGCTATTCTTGCATATTTTACTTATCCGACGCAGACGTCTGTATCGATTATTTTGGAATGGCCACAAGCTTTTCCTGCAGTAACTGTTTGTAATTATTCTCCACTACGATACGATCGATTTATCGGACCGTTTTTAAACTATACAAACATGCGGAATTTAACGAACACAACAGATACAAGTCATTTCACTGTTGAACAATCGTACTACATTCAGGATTTCCTAACGTATAAACTCAATCGAAACGAATCTCTGAATGATCTTTTCTACTCGCTTGATTCTATGATGATGTATTGTAATTACAACGGTATGCCATGCGAAGCAAGTAATTTTACTTGGTTTATGTCACCAAATTTTGGTCTTTGTTACACTTTTAATGCTCTTCTGAAAACGACAGGTCAAGAAGGTTTAAAATACAATGCCGATAACGGGAGCAGTGGTATTCTACAACTACGTTTCTATGTACATCAACATCAGTATGTGCCGCACCTATCGAACGGTTCGTATCAGATGTCTACGAATATCTTGCATGAGATTATTTTCTCTAGGTGTCGGTATGGCAATATTAGTCCACGATAACATACAATTACCACTAATAGAATTAGCTGCCATGTATCTTGCGCCAGGCAAGCATCATAGATTGGGGTATGCGAAGAAGAGTAGTATATTTTTACCTGCACCTTATACAACATGCAATGAAAATCTGAATCTTGGTATGCAAGTCATGTTCAATGAATATCATGACACTGATTATGAATATGCAATGTATCCATGTTATTTAGCTTGTATACAAGCCTACACGTAAGCACGGTAGAAAACTATTTGACGAGCGAAACCGTTTTCTTTTAGATATAAAAAATGCGGCTGTGGTCATCCTTTTCGTTGGAATGTTCGTTCGATTATCCTTCCTAATACGGATAAAATCATCAATATTCCACTTTGTGATTTGAAAAATCCATGTTATAACGAAGCGACAACAGAAATTATGAACACACAAAGCATTTGGTCTACATTCTGTCCTGATTGTACACAAGAGTGCTCGTATTCTGAGTTCACCATCACATCCAGCTCTCTCTCCGCACCGCCACAATTCTTAATGAACGATATCAAAGCCTTTGTTGAATCATCGCAAGTTCCATTACCTGTCAATTGGTCCACAACATGGACATCGGAAATACAATCGGGTTACGTATCCTTAGAAGTTGCTTATGAAACAACTCGTACGGAAGTTTACTCTCAACAGGCAACGATCGGCGTCGTCGATGTAATCTCGAATGTTGGTGGAAATACAGGTCTCTGGATTGGTATAAGTTTTCTCTCATTGATGGAACTCGCTGAAATGTTATATCGTCTTATACGTTCTTTATATCAAGCCTCTCGAGAAGCAAAACGGACAGCTGTGGTTCAGTCATAAGAAATCAATACGTATTTGTAATCTGATTTTATTCTACATAAATCGGATAGAGTTGAGGAAGAACAAGATCAAAACCTCCACCAGTAAAAATAGGTTGTAGCGTTGTTTTTTCACCTGCTTTAACTCGAGTTATTGTTAACGTTTGTTTTTCATTAAAATTTCTACCATTGAACGAAAGTTCACTTGGTGTCCAACTCAAACAATCTTCACAATTCATAGATTTCCATTGAACTGTAACAGTATCACTTCCATTAATACGATGTGGTGGTGTTGTCAACCAGATTTGAACTTGCGAACTCTGTTGTACATCGATTTTACTTGTTTGAGGATAATATAAAAGTCCAAGGTTAACATCGCGACATGCACGTGACCAATTTCGTGGAATCGATTGAAAGTATTTCTCATCTGGTTTTCCCATGGATATGATCTGATAATTAGTTATCTCTTTAAACACGGCCCAACCTCGACGAACCACTTGAGTAGAACGAAGTGGAATGTCAGTACCTTTTTTGAAAAATATCTCTTGACATGGATAGACTTGTCCACCGTCGACTTCACATGTTTGCTTTGCAAACCAATAATCTTCGTCTCGAGATGCATTTGTCGAAGGTATCATTTCATATTTGAATGAAAAGTAATTTCCGATGGTAAACGATGTTCCGTTAACCCAATGTGATGGGAAAAGATTGTATGAATTTCCACCGTATTTCCAATATGTTCCGTACATGCATCCGAGTGGAGCGGAATCGAGAATTAATTGAACATAATATTTCGCTTGTGGAGAATCAGGTGTTGAATACGGAAATTGTTTCATTGCAAAGCCATTCTCGACTCCCGTCGCGCCGTATTTCATAATGGTGAATGCTTGTTGATTGACTTCGTCAATTCCATAGATCATCTGGCCATTATTTGGTGAAAAAACAATTTGACCAGGAAAGTATGGTTGAACACATTCTATGCAGTAGTCATTATACAGAACGAGAAATATCAAGCTCAGATAAAGTTTCATTTTCAGCACGATTCTATCGTCGATCGATTGAAAAAAACTGTGATAAGCTGATGGTTTAATACTTGTCGTTATCTTTGCAGACGGACTTTTCTCTCATATACATCATGCTTTCGTCAGTATTTTTTACGGAAAATGCATCTATCATTAAATCAACAGATGATGAAACAATCAATTGTTTTATTCAACGAGAAATTATCTACATTTGACGTAGCATAAGACGAAGTTTTTCAATCTCCGTGATCGATCAGTGACAATAATGAAAATATTTGTGAAATGAAGTTCTAACAGATATTGCAGTTGTTTAGTAATTAGCCACACCAAAAAATGTGGCGATGAAAATGTGATATGAAACCGATAGTATTGTTCTACAGCTACTTTCCTAATGAGTGACATCGAAATATTTACCAGAGAAAGAATCCAACATCATCTGTAAGTTAAATCCTGTTCAAGATACTTTTCCAGTACGAATTCAATTTACAGAAAACCTGCTATTCGAGAGACATTCACAAACAGTTACACACTATCTTCTAAGAGTACTAACTAATGTTTTCTATTAATTGCACAAATATCCAAAGACTAAGAAAGAGCCTGCTGTGATTCAAGTATGTAACATGAACGTAGGACACTTCGAAGTAAAATGTAGAACGATTACATCGTCAGTTCAAAATGAAAACAATAGGAACGAAGGAAA